TTGGGCGCCTAAGATCTATGGTGCTTTGACACTCTACAACCGTCTCACAGACACGATCATCTCATGGCGAAGACTCGAGCTCACGACGTGGAGCAAGCTACTCGACACAGAGCTCAGAAAGCGTGAAGATGATGCGAACTCTTGGTGGTTCGTCGCGTACCAAGCTGTCATTGCCGGACCCATGTCACTGGCCCAGGCTGGTGGTGATCTCTCATCCAATGCCGCCGATATTTTGAAAACCCTCGAGATGTACTTCTCTTCATCCCAAGTTGGCGAGTTCGCCACCCGACTAGCGTTGGTGAAGCAACTCCTCAGGCAATTGAATGTTATTGTTATTGATTGGCCAGCCATGTCCATCATTCGCGATGCCGTCGACAACTTCGTCAGCTTCTACACATACTTCGAGAAGGCCGCGCAAGATATAATCCATAAAGGTCGTGTGCCGATTGAGAAACAGATGAAGGATGTGTTGCTCATGGCAAGTTGGAAAGACACAAACATTGTGGCCCTTCGAGAGAGTGCACGAAAGTCACATCTAAAGTTGTTCAGGATCATACGCAAGTTCCGTGATGTGTTGAATCAACCCATGCAGGCCATCATTGGATCCGGACTTCCCGATGAGCTACAAACAGACCCTAATTTCAAGCCACGACAGGAAAGGGTCACTGTAAGCGCAACCGCCGCGTCAACCTGCCAAAATCATGTTTCCGATTGGCAAAACGAGTACAAGAGACTGGCCAATGTATCACGTACTGCGGATATCATGGCGAGACTTGGCCAATTGCCCTCGGCCGGTGTCGATGCAGCCGAGGACATCGCATCGTTCTTGTCAAGCCTAGAAACATCAGCTGCCGAGCTGCGCAAAGAGACGCCTCCGTTTCTGACAGATGAGAACAAAAATTTAGTCAAGCATCTCAAATCACGGAAGCGCAAGTTGTTTGCGGAGACTCTGCGGGGGGCTAGAGAGATGGGATTTGCCTACAACCTAGGTACTGATGCTCTTGCGCAGCAGGCGTCTTTGTCTACTGTCTTATCCAAGACGGCGCCGGTCTCATCTGAGCCGAACTCAATCGTCCAGAGTGCCGATTACTACTTCCACAAGATCCTTGATCTAGCTCCACGCTTCCGCAGTGCTGCACAAACTCACAACGAGGATCTAACCGGTGCCGAGGTTGGCAGAAGTATTGGGTTCTTGGAGGGTATGCTACAAGTGATCATCAATCAACGCTGCGCTCTTTCCGATAGCTCTCAGAGCTTTGACAAACTGGGTGTCCAGGTCAAGCAAATCCAGGCACTCGCAAATGAATCAATTGAGTCAACTCTCCAGCGAAAGACAAGTATCAGCAATGCGCCCAAAGTATCTGCTTGGATCGCGCAGATGCTCGCAGTTGGTATCCAGTTGATTGAGGTCCATGGCAAATTCGGTACCATCGACAACAGCAGTGTCATTGGTGTACTGAAATCACAGGCCGAGGGGTTGTCGATTTACAACAACAAATGGGACGCTTTCGCTTTGCTTCCAGAAGGAATCGCATCGAGGGAACAAGTCGAGGCCGAGACTCATTTCGCTGACCTCCTGAAGCAACTTGATGTAGAGTTGCGGGCTCAGAGCGAGGCACGCCCTGACCTTGCCTTTATCCTTGAGCAAGTCCAGCTATGGACAGCCCTCGATATCCAGCGAGTCGAGCTTAATGGGCTCGGTAAAGATGTCCAGACAGAACTGCTCAAGACCGTCAAGAAACTTAGCGACAGTGTTCTAGTCGCTGTTGAGCACTACAACAAAGCCACCGCGGATCTGCCGACCTCAAGCGAAGATGCTGGTTGGTTGATCAAGTACGATCAAGTTGTGACCAGCTCGATCAAAGCTCTTCACGTTGGCAAGATTCAGAAGAGCATTCAAGATTGCATAGGTGCTTTCGTTCGAGTTAATCTCGAAACTAGCGACGCCAGTAAATTAGCAACTTCGCTCATGGCTGTGGTCTACCCAATCATTCAGCAATATCAGAACATTCTCCGATCTGCTTTGTCAAACTATAGTCAACTCAATCACAGCATATCTAAGATGGCTCACAATCTGAGCAAGACATTTGTTCAACTTGCTGGCCAAGGCTTTTGTACACCCCAAGAGAAATCAGACGAAAAGTCCGGTGACAGTGGCAAGGTTGAAGAAGGCACAGGTCTTGGCGAGGGCCAGGGTGCTGAGGATATCAGCAAGGATATCCAGCCCGACGAGGACCTTTCAGAGCTTGCCCAGGAAAAGAACAAAGAGCCGAATGATGGCGAGGTCGAAGATGAGAAAGATGCTGTCGATATGGCTGACGAGGATTTGGAGGGTGACTTGGGTAGCGTCGCCGGTGAGGATGAGGACGAAAAGGGTTCGAAATCGGGAGATGAAGAAGACGGAGAGAACGACATGGACGAAGAAGCTGGTGATGTCGATGATTTGGACCCGAATGCTGTTGACGAAAAGATGTGGGACGGCGAGAATGAGGAAGATGCCGAGAAGGATCAACAGGGTGAAAAGCCGAAGGGTCAGCAAAAGAAAGAGGAAATGATGGCTGCCGATCAGAAGCCAGATGATAAGGACGCTCAGGATGAAGAAGACGGCGAACAACAAGGAGATGACGAGGAGCAGAATGATGACATGGGTGCCGAACAGGATGAGGATGTGCAGTTCGACGACATGAACAAGCAAGATCAGAATGTTCAGGAACAGGACACACTGGCGCTGCCCGACGATATGAATATCGATGGCAACGACGAGGATGATATGTCTTCTATCGGCGACGATGACTTCGACAAATTGTCTGATGTTGATGAGCAGGATACTGAGGAGCAAGGAAAAATGGATGATGACAAAGAGAGCGAGCAAGGGGGCGGGGAAGAGCAGAATGTGCCGGCGGAAGAAGAAAAGGAAGATGCAGAGACGGAGGAGCAGCAAGACGAGGAGACTGCTAATATCCAGGAAGATGAGATGGATCTGGACAACGACGAAGAGCAATCTGAGGATCGTGAGAAGGCTCAAGATCACAACAGGGACGACCACACCGAAGCGACCGATGCCGAAGCGGCACCAAGTGATGTCCGCAGTGGCGAGCAAGATCAGAGTGCCGATCAGACCGAGGAGCAAGAGCAAGATAGCGCTCAAGACAACGCGGCTCAGCGGGAGAGTGGAGAAGTGGGCGAGAGTGCAGCTGATCAGGACATGTCCAGTGGAAACAAGGGTAGCGTTTCGCAAGCTCAGGAACAGCCAACGGAGGGGGAGATGGATGATGCCAAAGATTCATCTGTTGACCAACCCTTCAAAGCTCTTGGCGATGCTTTGGAGAAGTTCTACCGCCAACAGCGGGATATCAAAGAAGCGCCGAGCGATGAGGCTCAGCCGCAAGAGCAAACCAAGGCAGACACAAATGAGCAGGAAATGGCCTCTAGAGAGTTCCAACATCTTCAAAACGACGACATGGCAGCTGATACCCAAGCAATTGGCACGGCCAATGAGGATGAGGCTCGACCATTTGACGATGCCATGGCTATAGACGATGAGACTCAAGCTTCAGATAGTCACGTTCAGCCCGAGGACAAGGACGAGCTTGCTGAAGATACCACCAATGAGGAGAAGATGGACACATCGGAGCCGCTCGAGTCGACAAGCAACCAGGAGCCCAAGACCGACGAGCCACGTACTGGTGTCTCGACTCGACAAGGTGCCTATGATAGGGAAGAAACCCCGCCTATGGAAGGAGTGGACCGCGAACTACAAGAAGAAGAGGAACACGTCGAAGAGACACGTGACCAACTCGAACTGACGCATCTCTCCGACGCAACGCACGAGTTGCGAGACTTCGACGAGTCCATGGAGCAGTGGACAACCTTCCAGACAAAGACAAATCCACTATCGCTCTCGCTTACGTCGCAGCTTCGACTTATCCTGACACCATCTCAGTCGACCAAGCTCTCCGGCTCTTACCGTACGGGTAAGCGTCTCAATATCAAACGCATCATCCCTTACATTGCATCGAGCTACAAGCGGGACAAGATCTGGATGCGCCGCGCTGTTCCCACGAAACGATCTTACCAGATCCTACTCTGTGTCGACGACAGTAAATCTATGGGCGAATCATCGTCCGGAACCTTGGCACTCGAATCCCTCGTCATGGTCTCGCGTGCACTTACCATGCTTGAGGTGGGCCAAGTAGGTATTCTTGGCTTCGGCGCAAACACGTTCATGGCGCACGAGTTTACCGAACCCTTTGCCTCTTACGATGCTGGCGCCAAGGTGTTGCAAAAGTTTACGTTCAATCAAGACCACACCGACATCAGCCTCTTGATCCAACAGACAATCGACCGCTTCCGCACTGCAAGGCTTCAGAACCCTGGTCGCGGCTCGGAGGATCTATGGCAGCTCGCTCTCATTTTGTCTGACGGCCTCACCCCTTCCGACAAGCACGATGAGATTCGTCGTCTTCTCCGCGAAGCACACGAGGAGCGCATCATGATCGTGTTCATTGTGATGGATGACACCACCACTCACAAACGTGACAGCGTATTGAACCTGCGAAAGGTTCAATTCGTGAAGGATGACCTGGGTCATACTACGGGAGAAATGCACATGGAGTATTACCTCGACAGCTTCCCGTTCAGATATTATTTGATTGTACATAATCTGGAGGACCTGCCGGGTGCGCTGGCGGGTCTCCTTAGGAGTTGGTTCGCGGAGGTCAACGCATAATACGGCGAAAATGTATAGAAAGTAGAATTTAGCGTCATGCCAGCATTATTGCATATGGGAGGTGTTGTGGAGTTCTAAGAATTGGCTGCATGATTCGTTTTAGGTACAGATAGAACACAATACGACCGCAAGGTAATCCTCTACGTTTAAGCATGCACACTGGCTTTGAGTTAGTCTATAGAAAGTTATACTGTCACGACAAGCCTTTATCAGCGGTCCTTAAGAACGAACATCGAAAAGATCCCCTGCTAGGTGTGTCCGGAAAAAGGAGGTAATGGTAGGTCGATTTGTCTAGTCTACTCAAAAAGAACATGTGGAAAGGGGCCATTCGCCGTGCAGTCGTGCCGAGGAGTTGTCCACTGCTATATTATTATGCATAGGGCTTCCGGAAGCCCGTCTACCTTGCTTGGTGAACTAACCTTAGCACCTAACTCCACTATGGCACAACCCGCTAATAGCCAAACGCCAGAGACAGCCGAGGGTAAGGTGACATGTAATATTATTTACTCTAAACTTTATATTTGTCAACGACTTTCATATTGTTCCCGAGAGACCTGGCCACGAACGGGATATATTCACTGCACGTCAGTTTTCAATCGTGCAAACACATTGTAGTGTGCAGGTTCCTCATGACAGTTTCGAGGCGCACTGCAGCTATGGCGGCTTCCAGAATGAAGAGCTGGTTCCCCACCACGACATCACCACTGATAGTCAGCGCGCCCATGGCCTTCGTGACTAATGTGCAGCTGGCATCAGAAGTCAGCAGAGTAGGTGGCTTAGGTAGGTAAACATCATCTTCGTCGGCATTTGGCAATTATGCATAGTCTGGGCCATTGATACTTGGCAGGTTTTATTCAAGGTGGCCGCGACTTCTCCGCTGGCTCGCCAGCTCTCAAGAAGCTTGACGAGGATCTCTCTACAGCGCGTCAAGCGCTCAAGGTCGGCGGGGGCGCCAGGGATACGCTGCCGATTGGCGTCGGATTTGTTGCCTACCCATCCTCGGTCAGTGAGTTCGCTAATACCACTACTCCGATCCTGCAAAGTCATCGGCCGGCTGCCGTTTGGCTCTTTGCGCCGTCCCCCTCAGCGCCCACCACCATCGCAGACATCATCCAGTCTTTGTCCTCGGTGGGAGGTGAGTGGGGATTAAAGGTCGTCGTCCAAGTAGGCAACGTAGCCGCTGCCCGGCAGGCTGCGGAGGAGGGGGCCCACATCATCGTCGCTCAAGGAATAGATGCTGGAGGACATCAATGGGCTAGCGGAGCAAGTATCGTCAGTTTGGTACCGGAAGTGGCGGATATGCTGAAGACAGAGTTCCCCGACCGCGAGATAGGCCTCTGGGCCGCAGGAGGCATTGCAGATGGCCGGGGTGTCGCTGCTGCCTTAGCCCTAGGCGCAGAAGGTGCAGTCCTAGGAACAAGAGTAGGTCATCCTCCATGGAGTGGAGTGTATTGGGATAAATCCATTGATGCGAGCGCAGTTCATGGTGGCAACCGAATCCGATACACAAGACTATAAGCGCCAAGTCATTCTATCCACAACAGATGGTGGGGCAACTACGGCCAAGTGAGTATTGAAGCCAGCGCTGGGAGAGGAACGGTTGCACAAGTTCTCAGCTGACCGAGAGAACAAGGTCACAAATCCATGACCATATCCAGGGAAACCGCGAATGGCCCGATGTATATGACGGTAGGGCAGTGATTCACCCATCGTATCAGGATCAGCAGAGCGGCATCTCATTCGAGGAGAACGAGAAGCGCTTCAAAGCTGCTAAAGAAGCTGGAGAAGTCTCAAGAATGGTGACTTGGTCGTAAGTCGAGAAACAACTCTCTTCAGCTTTTTATTCGCTAATGGGCACTGCAGAGGCACTGGTGTAGGACTCATCAAAGAAGCGCTTCCTGCCGCAGATATTGTACAGTTACTGAGAGAGCAGACATTGAAGGTAATCGGACCGCTAAGTAAGTTGTAGCATTGTTCAATGCCATGTTTATAGTGCTTGATATGAGGTATCCTGTTCGTCAAACTCCCCGTATGTTATATACATCAACTCAATGTCCCTCCCGAGTGATCCGTCCCATGATCTGATTTATTTGGTGGTGACCTCATTTACCGCCAGGGAGGACTGTGCTGGGGTCCATGTAAGCTAGGTTCGGGATTCTGACTGAGTGGGGCGGTATTGATCTTCGTACATCTCGGCAATTGAATCTTAGGGGAGACTTGAACCGTGTTCTCTCACCCTTGCGAAGTAGTGTTGAGCTTCACTGATGGCTACTAATGAGCAGAACAAATACGCAGAATCATGCGGTGTACCGGGTTCCATCCCTGCCATGCAGCCAAGGCCTAAAGGCGAAAGGAATGCCGACGCTGCTGCAACTCCGGTGTCCAAAGTAGTCACCCGTGAGAAAGCCCAGTTTCCCCGAGGACAGTACGATTGGTCCTTAGTGGTGCCAGTCATATACAATCTCTACATCGTGCAGAACCTGCCACTTTCTGAAGTGATGGAGATCATGAAATCCCAGCACAAATTCAAGGCTACGTATTGAATACCGATGTCGACTCTCAGTCCTACCAGCTAACAATGTATGAATAGTACGCGTATGTACAAGGACCGTTTTACAAGATGGGGTTGGCTTAAATATAGTAGGAGGAAACCGCCTGAGAAGGCAGCCACGGCAAGCTCCCGGCACTTTGAACAACATGAAAAAGGGACTTTCAATGTTGTCCGGCACCAGAGCTTGTCTTCACCCACTCGTCGGATGCTGACGCATCAGCACGACTTGGGCCGCTCATTGGACATGGGCTATCGTGCTCTCAAGGTCTTCATCCAACACTGGGCTGAGAACGACCCACGCTGGAAGGCCACTGCAGTCGACAGCTCGATGACTTACCATACGCTACCTGGATATGTCACGACGGCCGTTGGCTACTTTCAGGACGGCAAAGTCGTGCAAGGGGGCAAGTTTCTGCGGCTCGCTTTTCTTGACATTGAACACTGTATCAAGGACAGCCATCTGCTCACTACAATCGGCCTGTTCTTAGATTACGGGCACCCATTCATACAACTTCCTCCCGTGCGAGGTGTAAACCTGTTCCAAGTCTTTAGTCAGTAAGTGTGCAGATACCACGCGCTATGTTCGAGAGTTGCTCTGCTCACGTATGAGTCTAGATATGTATATCAACAGGTAAATCAAATTTCCTCGTAGGACTCGAGTATGGGCCCAGTCCTCTTTAGTTTCTGTGATGGTGACTTCGTGGAGACTGCGGCACTCTATCTTCCTACCAGTAAAAACTCAACAAGGCTGACTCATCCGACCAGGCCACAATACATTTTAGAGAACATCCCATCGCATTAATCTCGAAGAGCCTACTGGCGGTTTCACGTGAGGGTAATGAGCAGGTACGCTCTTGGATACGCAGCATGTTTCGTCTCGTGCTAGACTTGTTCAGATTATTGCGCGGATACGACGAAACGACAATGATAACACAAACATTATTTCTTTCGAGATTCCCGGACCGTGATATAGCCTTGGATTTTGCTCAACACCAAGAGATACGCATCAAGAGACTTGAGAAGGAATTTGGTCGTGATGATGTGCGAGTCCTGCGGGCACACATGGCGTTAATGTGGGTTGGAATGCAGTTCCACATCTTGGACGACGAATTAGAAGGGCGACTGGAACGGCTATGTGCCAGGGCTAGGTCGCTCTTCAAATATATCCAGGATCGAGACCAGGATGTATGGCTCGCAGAAAAAGAGCTAGATCTTTTTCGCGGATCACACTTCCTCCTCGCCTCATACTGGGGTTCGAAAGCAAATATCGACAGAATGGTGGAGGCTTGCCAGGAAGTCGTCTTTCTGGAGGATGAACCGTCCAGTATTTGGGCATCTCGCACTGTTGCTGTCATCGAACTATTGCGGCAATATGGAGTGCACGACGAAGCAGACAGAATAGACGCATGGAGAAAACAAGTGGAGCTCCCCCCATCTTTGGAAGCCCTCCTGGAGGACTAGGCATTGAGGCAAGAACTCTAAAGTAAATTAGGATATATTGAATGCTGATGCTCTGCAATAGACGTGTGCGAGATATACCTTCTTTTCCATTCAATCGCACCTTCCATTTCGATTTCCAAATCCTCCAAACTAACTTTATTAAAGGTTCGTTGCATAACTCGAACAAGGGTTCCCAATTGCTTTCCGACACCTTGCCAAGTGAACAGGAGGATCCATCAAGTCTGTGTAGAAGTTGCTCATAGAACAGGAGATATTAGCCAAGTCTCGCGCTGTTAACTTCTCATTATGCCCAACACCTCATGTTCGTAAGATGTGCCCAGCCGGACCTCGCCTGATGAACTCGAGTGTCACATATCAGTGGCATGGTGAGGGCAGCTGGATCTACACTATTGAGCTCAGATGATTGTTGGCTGTGTTACAATTATCGATGGCGGGCATGCAAGTTTTGGAGCCTGTGTGCCTCTTGCGCGAGCTAGCAGTGCAGCATATCGTTCGTCCGCTATCATATATATGATAGATGAGAGGCACCAGAGTTTTGTATCATCGTAGGCAAAGGACGGCGCATTGTATGATCCCATAGAACAGCAACGAACGCGAATATGTACGGTACATGTGGGTGGCTTTCTTATACCTACATTCATAGAAATTTACACACAAAAACCCTTCCTCTTTGCGTAACATATATGTTTTGACTATTTATTTGTTTTCCCAAATTCCTGCAAGCAGTGAATTTCAGAAAATGCAATGCTTACCATTGGTTTTGGGGCGATTCACTGTAATCGCTCTGACAGACCACATGTGAAGTGGTTCTTCCTACACCCCAGCAGAGCCAACGAAAATCCTCTCTGCGATTAAAGAATTTTTTCCCAAGCTTCTTGGTACGCTCAGAACTGTATCAGGGTCTTATGTTACGGCATAGTGTTTCGCTGGGCATAAGCCCCTGTGGTGCTCTGACGCATTGGGCTGCGACAGTGCCACTGGGACGCGGGTGGGGCGGATGCACGAAGAAGGATCAAGTATGCAGCAGTTTTGATTTTTTGACAACAATTGAGACCTGAATAATCTCCTCGGATAAGTACCCTCCCGCGCGATTCTGGAGAAGAAAGAAAGAAGTAAAAAAATATGCTGGAGCTCGTCAATGTCCCATTTACACCGCACGATGTAAAGCCGACGACGGTTGTAGATGCCAAGGATACCTCGTTCCGGTACCAGCCCAACATCATCTGCTCCGCATGCCGGGAGCTTCTAAGCCTGGGTCTCGAGCTGCACAGGAAACATGGCCGCCAGATGGCCCAGTTCGTACAGACAAAGTTCGAGTTTGCCGACCTGCTGGCATCGGCGGACCTCGGTTGTCATTTGTGTGCCCTGCTGAGAACAGGCATGCTCGGCGTGGCCAACGGCGAGCCCATCCCGGCGCCGTCGTGGGGTGTCGCGTTCTCGGTGCAGCGCGCCGCAGCTGAAGAGGCTCTGTATCAGATCACGCTCGACTGCAGTGGCCCGCCAGGCGAGAACCAGTACGGCAGCATACGCAGAGGGTACCTGCGTGTCTATCCGCGCGACTATGTTGACTATGCGGCCATGAAGCCGCCTCCGGCGGCACATGCTATCCTCGGCAGAAGCACTGGTGACGAAGAGACCTTTGCCCTTGCCGAGTCGTGGCTGAAACAGTGCCTGGACGAGCACCCGCTATGTGCTGAGAACGATGACGAAGCTCGAATCGTCCGGCCTGCGCGCCTTTTGTACCTTGATGGTACCATTAAGTTGGTCGACTCTGCTGAAGCCCAGGGCGAAAAGTACGTCACTTTAAGTCATTGCTGGGGGAAACAGACGTATGTTCCTCGTTTGCTTTTTGAGACTGAGGCCACTCTGCGAGGAGGCGTTGATATCGACTATCTCCCCAAGACGTTCCAGGACGCCGTCACGGTCACGAGAAAGCTGGGTTACAAGTATATATGGATCGACTCGTTGTGTATCATTCAAGACTCGCCGGAGGACTGGGAGGATCAGGCCAAGATTATGGCTCTGGTCTATGTGAACTCGGTCTTTACTATCGCTGCCCTAAAATCACCCGGCAGTTCGGGTGGGTGCTTCACCAACGAGCGCAATCCTCTTGGCCTGCGACCTCTGGTCGTCGATGAGTTGGGCATCACTATCGCCCACTCCATTCCCACCGAGTTATGGGAAGCTGAAGTGAATACGTCTGGCTATGGTGCCTCACCGTTGCATACTCGATCATGGGTCGTGCAGGAGCGTCTCTCATCACCTCGTACCTTACTGTACGGCGCTTTCAGCGTATATTGGGAATGCCGCTGTGCGCAAGGCTCGGAGTTACATTATCGCAAACTGGCATGGGACGATCCAAACAACAAGAAGACGTGGTTGCAGAAACTTGAGGGTGAAGACTCTTGGATGGACCACTGGATAGACCTGCTGAAGACATATTCGAGCTGTGAGTTGACTATGAAGACCGACAAGATTATCGCAGTAACGGGGTTGATCTCAGAGGTCGAAAGGCGGTCCAAAACATCCAAACACTGCATTCTAGGGCTCTGGTCTGATGATCTGGCCGGCATGTTGCTCTGGTACCGAGCAAGAAATGACATGAATTCACCTACAGATATGGTCGGTCGGTTAGAGAACGGAATGCCAACGTGGACTTGGGCATCTGTGGAGGGCCGTTGCAGCTATCTCTCTTCCACGTTGGGGATTATTGAATGGCAAGCGGTGGCCGAGGTGAATACGGCCTCTACGCCTGCGACCATGGCGCTCGAATCCTGGAGGAGGAAGGTTCTTCTTGATGAGGATAATTCGCTCGTACTTGACCCTGATGATCCGAAAACAGGTCAGAAGGGCTGGGGTGGCGATCTCGACGACGTCTATTCATGGTTCTGCGACTGCGAGATGCCGCCAGCTGAGCAGGAGCTCTATCTAGTCCCTATACGTAGAGCACGGATCACAGGTTCGTCACCTCTGTGGGTGACTCAATGTCTGTTGGTGAGTCCATTGTCTCAAGCCGTAGCAAACAAAGGCCAAGCTGTTTTCACTCGTGTTGGGGTGTCAACAGTTCGGTTTGGCAGAGCAAAAGACGATCCATTCAAGTCAAAAGATCCCGAAGCGCGGGAGGTGATTGGGCTCCAATAATTATATTATCTGGTGTTGAATCATTAAAGGAACTTAGCATGTTCTGTATGGTCTTGTAGATGGATGAAACTAGTTGTGATTCATGAATAGTCATGACCTACCTTTCTCGGCTTTCCATCCAGTGGTACGACCCATTCTCATACCGATACTCAATAAAAGTCTGCACCAAAATCTCGAAAGGCGAGGCCTGTGTATTCCGGTTCTGTTCTCCATGCTGCGAAGAATCCCATTCCTGGGTTGCCCAAAGATACTGGGCCGTCCTTTGCACTACGACCTCAACCCAATGTAACAATGCCGAGACTCGTGCGACCTGACCTGGACTCCTGGCTTCCGGCCCTCTCTCATGCACCACGGAAAGCGTGCCTAGGTCATTGAGCGATGCACCACTGATACGCCGCAGCCGGCATCGTGCTGTGGGAGCTGAGAATGCGGCATGTAGGGAATGGCGCCCCGTGGATGATGGAAGGATGATCGTCAATGTCTCCATATTTGTAAAATATGTCATTAGTGCCAACGACCGTGCCCCGTAGTTTAGAAAAGTCTGCGGCTGCATGGCAATATGACGAGTTGTCGAGCAGTGTCTGTCAGCACTGAACCAGACTGGGCTAGAATCCACAGCAGGGATGTAGAGGACGTCAATTTCTGGACGAAATTGCCTGGTTGGCACATCCATCAACGCTGTTTGGGAATAGCGAAGAGTCGTGCGGGCAACGGCAAAGCCTCGCCATTCGCGACAGACATGCATGAGCACCGGATACGCCGTGTAGATTATCAGATAATGCTCTGCAGAGTCATCCGGACGAGGACCTAGAGGAATAATTGGGCGCAAGCCACCGGGCAGGAACGCAATCTCAGGGACCTCCGTAGGCATCGAGTACTGCAAAACAAGCTCCTTGAGCTCGATAGGAAGCTTATTGAAGGGGCAGTTTGCAACCCCATGATTAGGGAGCAACATGGATCGCGGTGCTATCCCCCGATGAGCATTGGGTCAGATAAAATTCAATTGACCATCACTTAGGGTCATGACTTATTCGCATGCCGGGCCTTGACACTTACTTATGTATCAAAGTAGGGATATGCGCAGACGAAAAGCCGAAGCACCAAAGGTCGCAGCAAATATCGAGCGCATTGTCCTAGCATGAATCAGCCAGACGCGTCGAACAATCGATCTATTGTTGTCTGAAGAGTAGACATGAAGCCACCAGAGTTTGCTCAACCAAACTTGGCACAATAATCTAGATTGTGCGTCAAGTTGTATCACAAGTGCTAAACAAGAAAATAGCCACACAAGAGAAATAAATGTGCGCAGTAACTATCTAACAGCCACCCAGTGGTTCCGTAGATGCAGGAGCTGCTAGCGAAAAAAGACTGCCCGATTCCGTCTTGGCACTCGTAAATGGTCAGAACATCGTGGGAGTGAGTAGATGTCTGATGATAAGATGGTGCCTTGAGATTATGTAGAAGAAGAGAAGACAAAGGAGAAGCTCACAAAATTTTCTGAAGGATATCGATTTCCTCCGCGGTGTGGCGCTAGCGTTCGGCTGGCGGCACTTGTGGCTGTTTTGGGTAAGGCTGAAGCTGTGAGGGGCATTCATTTGTATACTTTTATGCATGATATTAATCCCAGCGTAGCATTGGATCGCTAGACTGCGGTGAGGTTCTCAAACAACTTTGAGAACCGACTGGCGCATGGTCATCGGCGTGATTCAAAGTTCCATAGTCGGCCGAACTGAAATGCCGCCCTCGAATACGAACACACTGGGTAGGTATAGGTGCATAATAGCATTTCTTCCAGAACTCCTTCTATCACTAGCACTAGTACAATTCATCCGTCTTAACCTGCTTCAAATCATTGTTGCGTGTAACATCAATATTGATGCTCAAAATACCAAGATCCGACCATGACCTAAAACGCACAGTCTCCTCAAACTTGAGTATATCGCACCTAATGGTACATCCGTTATTGCGACAGGTCCTTTCTATGAAACATGACAGTGTAAGGACCCATTAACACTGCTCGATGATACCGAATAACGCCGTGCGGATGCTGCAAAGTTGGTGAATTTCGAGTGTTTCTCAGACTTGAATGTCCAACAGGACAGCTCCCACTAAATTCAATCGCAATTATCCTCTCACGGGTATATTAGCCAGGCAAAAAGCCGCCTAGTCGTGCCCAAAGCATGCCAGCCATGCTGAAGTCGCTGTGCCCTAAAACAAAACGCCCCCTTCTGAAGAACGCCTATGTTCATGCCCCATGAGTCGTTATGCAATCGTCAAGATAAACAGAGAAATCAAACATTGATCTCTTTCAGTTCCGAGATGGCCTTTGCTACTTCGTTGTTGGCAATCTTTTCGCAATGGCGGCGAGTCTCTTCACTTAGTGACTCTTCCGGGACCTCTTTATACAGTCGGCGAGATAGATCACGATTGATGATAGTATACTGATCGGCAGTAATACTACCTGACTTATAATGAGGCTTCAAGGCTTCCTTGATCACCGCGCTAATGCTTTCTTTCGTCTTCAAGGGAAGTGACTCGCGAGTCGGCGAGGACTCAGGCGACCGAGAATGGTGGTGATGAACATCCGTGTTGATGTTGACTGGGTTTCGACGGCGCGGCTGGGGATTTCGAATTCTCGACTGATAGGAAGCGCCGTTTGGGCGATGACGACATGCTGGCTCCGAATCGCTGCCACTCTGGTCACTACTCATACGAGTGCGACTCGGGGAGAAGTTCGCCATAGATGGATACATGGGCTCGATATGCGATGACAGAGTTAGAGGGGAGCCAGGCCTGTCGGCAATTCCTCTAGGAGGGGGTGTAGCCGAGAGAGCACGAGGACTACTTGGTCCAGAGGGGGAAGGAGAGCCTGCCGGTGAAGACGCATCTGCAGAGGGCCGAGCAAGTGAGCCTAAAAAGTTGCGCACATTCTCGTCATCAGACGGCGTGCTCGCCTCGACTTCCTTAAGCAGGGACGAAAGAAATGTTGGTGCGCCAGCTTGTGCCGGGAACACTGGGGGTTGCCGTGGCGATGCTAACGATGATGATGATGATGCTGCTGCTGCTGCTACCGCTGCGGGTGCATGATTCGCGGTCGACGGCTCTCGGTTTTGACGTGAAGACGAGGGCTCACCTGACTGTGGCATGCGGCGAGTTCGGGGACGCTTCAGGCGGCGTTCTGGTTCAGGCGCAGGCTCTCTAGGCGATGCAGTCGCAGAGCGTGACTTTCGCTTCCGATGATTAGCGGTGGTGCCGTTAGAACTGCTGTCGACCTCCATTGCCGCTTCTAAAGCGCCCCATGCTCTCCGCGCGTCGGCGGTTTCTGGGGGAGGAGGCGGCGGACGAGTCGGCTGGCGATGTGGTTGGGCACGCTGAGGAAGTCCTCGTGCTAAGTTGCTGGCGAAAGTGTCGCCAGCGCCTAATCGACTTGCGATGTTGAGTCTCTGCTGCCATCTTTGATACTCTTGACGCTCTCTCTGCTGTACGCGCTGTGCGACACGGAAATTTTGCACGTCTTCGTCGTCGTCATGGTTATCGAGGTCAAGCTCAAGTGCATCAAAAATGTGACTCGCGATCTGACCCCAAGCACCTTGCCACTCATCCGATCGTGCTCGCCGACGCGCACGCCGCATGGTCGCTTGGGTGCGTGGGAGGTAGTCTGAGCGTCCATGTTCAAGCTCATCCTCGTCTGCATCTTCCAGCTCTTCACCTAGGAGGGCTCTGTATTGAGCGTTGCATTCCATGCATAGCCAGTGCCTTCGAGGGACACAGTCCAGGCCAACGCAGTAAGTGTGGTAGGGGGCATCGCAGTTGTCGCAAAGCAGTGTGAGCTCTTCATGTTCGGGATTCTGGCAGATAATGCATGGCTGTGCTGGTTCTTCGTCTTCGGGGTTTTCGTCCAGCCATGCTTGTGCATCAAATTCGGCAACCTGCTTCTTGTCTTCAACTGTATATGATGAGAGCTTGGTACCACCAACTCTATCGTATACATTGACTAGGTTGAAGGACTGCCGACAAATTGGGCAGCTGTTGGCCTTGCCTGTCCATTCCCGTAAGCACGAATCATGTAAGATGTGACCACATATTTCGATTTCGGCGATCTTGGTGTCATCGACGGTCGTTGCCTTGCCGTTCGTGATTGACGTCGGATGCGCTTGTACTGGTGCTCTAGTGGTGGATTCAGGTACCAGTTGCTCGCTCGAATGCAGACCCGGAGGCTCATTGCTTTGTTCCACTGGAGAGACAGTTCCAGCCAGGGGATGCACGTCTAGATTTTCTAGACATACAATACATTGATCAGCCATCAGGACAAACCTTCATGAAAAGCCTGTACTGCTGTGTTGACATGTAATAAAGTCGTTGCTTTCTAGTTGACTATGCGGTCGGCGCTGCTGCGTTGAATGCAACAAGCCGAAAGTGTACGCGAGTTAGTGCTAACTTTGAGCTCCGTGCTCGTGATTTAAAACAACACCGAGGGGAGTCGAGGGGCACCAGTGATGATGAGGTGCAGGGGGTGGAAATGTTGCGTATTCTGTGGTCTTGGCAGGTGTGCACCGTTATTCTCGAGCAGTGCTCATGAGCAACAGTTCCAAAGATAAACAGACCAGTCAAGTGGGCGATAAAGGTCAGATAACACGTCCTAGCCCGAGTGGTTGATAGAGTGAGTTGGGATGTTTTATGGATCAAAGAAGGACGAAAAGATGGGCATGGAAGTCAACTAGCATGGACACTGGAGGTTGGTAATAACGAGCTTCCCAAAAGCTGTCGAGAAACGTCGATGATCAAAGGTGTCTCTGGAGGGGGGGCGATATGAGTGTATGTGCGCATGTGGTAGTAACTTAATCCACCCTGCGAATAATAAGAGGGAGAACGCAGAGAGAATCATGGGAGTTAATTGCGGAAGGAAACAAGGCCAAATCTGCGGCGAAACTAAGCCGCCAGAGCTTGCCAGTGCCACGCTGGAATTGATAGGGAAGCTCTCTGTTGAAAGTGGGCAGAAAGGCTCAAGTGATGCAGAACTGCGGCAGGTGTCTTCAGGTCGAGAGAGGGGCCTCTGGGGCCTACCGTGAGCAGCCTGGCTTTTGACGGGTTTAGCGCTGTCGGTACAGCCCAATTGAAAGACTTCAGGCTAAGCGGATCCAATCAGCTGATGCCACCACAAATATACTGAAGGAATCCGCACCCTGGAACAACATACCTTCTTCGTGAGAGATGCCCGCAAAAGAATCGTTGTGGAGGCGAGCTGTCCTGGACGGTATCCAGATAAATCTGGGTTATGCCTCTAAACTCATAGAGATTGGACGCTCTGCGCAAGCTCAATGCTATCGTGCACATATGTGTGCTTAATAGCTGGAGTGCTGGAGGTCAAGCACAACTTGGTGTCGGATGGGTACGTACCGAACCTCCCGCGCGCTGACAGCGTCACTTGCCTGCAGTGGATCCAATCGCAGGGCCAATTGGACCAGGCACTGGGAACCACACCCACACTCGAGCACAACTCGAGGATTGCAGCGATTATGGTGAGCAGCCACCTGCAAAGAATAATGGACTCTGGTGGCTGGACTATCGTTGGGTGTGACCGCTCGAGAGCATGTCAAAGCTGTGACGTTAGGATGTGGATCATAGATGTATGGTGGAGTTGGCCTGGCGGTGATGGGATCCCATGCCCAAGCTGGGATTTTGTCCTGGGAATAGAATATAGCTTGCACTGAGACTCAATCCGCCGAAGAGTCGTATGAGCTGTTTGCTATGGGAACATAACGGAGAAGATGCTCCCAGCAACAAATTGGAGATCAGAGTTCAGTTGCGAGCCGTGGCTGATAAGTTCATGAAACGTCAGAAGTGAATAACTTCCGGGGCCGCTAGTGCTTTTGCTCGGACAAACTTGAACGAGAACAATAAGACAACAGCCGACCAACCACGTGAAGGTTCATATGGCGGCCAAGTGCATAGCTGAAGTTTGCTGATACTGGGAAACTCAGAGCAGCGTCTCCAAATGTGCACGCTATACTCAACCACCAAGATAACTGGACTAAATGGAATCAATCCTCACGTTTTGCTTGAAAGAAAGCTCGAACAGTAGATGGCTCTATATGGTTGGGGACCGTGAAGCCGGACTCTACGTTTGGTGATCTCGCACTGATGGTGGTGCAATTGGCGTTTCCCGCGGCGTCGTGCCCACTGCTTGCTTTGTCTGAATTCAAGGAATTCAAGATCGGGAGGCGCTTTTGTTGGAGAAGCAAAGCCAAGTCCTCAAAACTGATTCGACCTGATTTGCCAATTCGATGCCCCTGATTGCCGAGTCTGTTTGTAGCAATGAATATCAAAGCGCGACCTATTTGTAGAAATTGCTGATGTGGTTGCTTTCTACATCACCATATAATATCATTCATGTTCTGCAACGAGATCAGTGACTTAATGTGCTAGGTTAGGCAATTTACTTGGCATCTGTATCTTTTAGGCGGTCACAATTGATGACTCACTTGTACCTGCGTCACACTGGCAAAGATACCACACAGATGTGGTTCCGACTTGTGAATCAAGTCCTCTCCGTCGATCGAAAGGCTGCCCAAGAGACTGTGCATGCTAAGTAGGCTGAGACGCAGGCATTAGTGGCAACTTGACGAATAGCGATCCACGATTGAGCCTGAAATGGACGAAGAACGACGCGACCAATGTCTTTTGTACAAAACTGCCTGCAGCCTGGCATTGTACCAGACTACAGTGCCTCTTCCACGTGGTTTGTAAGGCGGACAACCCGACAACAGCAATGACTCCTGCAAGTGCGGTAAAGTCAAGCCCGTCTTGCCCAAGATCAGGTGTACCGTTGACCCAGACTTGCTGTCACAGGATGGAGGAATTTCGTTGGCGAACTCGCGAAGATGCTTGAAACCACGGAGTATGGTCTTGAGTCTTTCTCATTCACGTCTTGTCATTGGTGACCCATTTGCGTCTCTTTCTAATCACGGAGGTCGAGACCCGATCTCATGCAGCGTCAACCTAAGAATAGTATGCGTAAGAAATCTGATTTTCCCTTTCCGACACCAAAACCAAGCCAAGCGCAGAGACCAATACATTCCATTGCTGTACGTTTCGACTTCAGCAGCCTCCCTCAGACGACGCAGAATTTGTCAGCACATAGATATCCAATACAGAGTTTCCACGCCTGCGCAAAGGCGTGCTCAGCCCGACGTTGGGGATATCGAAACGCACGAGACAGTATAGGCACCACCAGCAACAGTCTTGCGGCAAGAATTGCATTTCCAGGTACCAATGAAGTGACGTTTAACGATGACTACAACGAATGCGAGCATAACCTTGACCATCTTGATACAGAATGCACGAATGCATATTCACGTGTGCTACTTGGGTCTAACCCAATCTCCAAATTCTAAATTCTAGTGTTTCATGGTGCTGCGAAAGACACTCTCTACTGCAGTCCCTGAAGTGAGCCAACACTTCAGTCTAGTTATACTACGTGTCATTTGCTGACTAATGCTGTGTAAAAAAAAATCTGAAGTTTGATGTTTAAGTGAACAGTTTGTTAAACTTCAACATTGTATCAGATTGCCAACGGTGGACAGAAAAGTTCACCCATGCAGCACCAGGCCTGGCCCCACAATGCATTTCCGCTGCAGCACGGAAAAATGACAAGATATCTTTGATTTTCAATAGGTAAATATGTCAAGTAAATTGTCAATTGGTCTAACAAGACAGCAGAGATGAGAGGGATGTGAAAGTAAACATAAAGATGAAGAGTTCAACCGGCGCTTGCGACCCGTTTTGTCCACGTCTTGCACGCTTGCTTTCGCAAGAGCTCGCATTGGGGCATGACTGATGATACCAAGGTTAGCTAGGTTAGACCCAAGAGGCAAGCTCCAATACGACTCTGGCTTCAAAGCGCATCGGTTCTCCTCTCGTTCCATGATCAAGCAACTAATCATGGAGTGAGCTCGGCCGTCCAATCTTTTCTGAGCAATTCAACCGTACACACTAGTCATTTGTCTGACATGGACCTTCGGTGCAGTGCTATTGCGAGATTGTGTTAGTCCTTCGTCAGATTAGTGCAGTATCAAAGTTACGTCGCCGAGGCGCCTTCGGCGTTGCTTCCACACAGAGGAAGCCGTCCTAATGGCACTCCACCCGAAAAGGAAAGGAGTAGAGGTCGGTTAGACCACCGCGGCCTTTGTTCATCCCGTCTGGAGATTATCGCGTTCTCAACGTAGCTCTGCAACGCCCAAGGTTGGTCCATACACTCCGAAGTCGATGCCGCCCAAGCGGCTCCATAAAGGAGCTACGGGGAATGCGTGTACAAAGAGGATCTTGTTACCCATGTCGCACATTGCTGGTGGGGATAGTGTAGAACCTCTTCATTTTTTTGCCAAAGCTTGACAGTTCAAGTATTTTGTCCACAACGTTGTAGAAGCAAGCATAACAAACCTAGAAAATGCCTTCTAAACAGCATGGGCGTCAGTATGACGTCGTCATATTCGGCGCTACCGGTTAGATCCAATATTCTTATGCCACTCAGGCGTAGCTCTAATTCCAAGGACAGGATACACCGGCCTCATGACAGCTGAGCATATTGCTGCTCACTTCCCAACAGATCTCAGGTGGGCTGTTGCAGGTCGTTCTTCCGAGAAACTGCGGAATGTCGTTGCGGAATGCAAGGCACTAAATGCGGACAGAATCCAGCCAGGTATGCTCTTCGATAACGTCATAATCACAGTCACTAAAAAGCTCCCTCAGAGGTTGAGGTTTGCAACCTCGATGATGCCGACCTTCTGGAACTCGCAAAGAAGACATTTGTTCTCATCACCACTGTTGGTCCATATGCTCAGTATGGCGAACATGCATTTAAGGCTTGCGCCGAGGCCGGCACGCACTATGTCGACTGTACGGGCGAAGCTCCTTGGACCCTGCAGATGATCAGGAAGTACGAAGCAAAGGCCAAAGAAACGGGTGCCATCTTGCTGCCTCAGAGTGGAATCGAGTCTGGGCCTTCCGACCTGCTCACCTGGGCAATGGCTCAACTTATCCAGTCGAAGTTGTCCGCTCAGACCGCTGACGTTGTCGTTGAAGTTCATGAGCTCCAGTGAGTACTTACATAAATGCTCAAAAATGTAGTACGTTGTACTGATTCCACCAGCTCTGCTCCCTCCGGCGGTACTCTCGCAACCGTGTTCGGGCTTTTTGATAAATTCACTATCAAAGAAATAGCCGACGCGCACGAGCCCTATGCTCTTTCACCAGTGTCCAACCCACACAACGCGCCAAGGGCTTCCTTGTTCTCCAAACTCACAGGGCTCTACGATATTCCCAATCTCGGCTTATTACACACTTCTATAACTGCCGGAACCAATGCTGCTGTCGTTCAACGTACTTGGGGTGTATTCAAGCAGGACCCTGCCCGGCAAAAGCAGTTCTACGGACCGAATTTTACTTATCGCGAATTCATGAAGGCTCGAAACTTTGTCATCGGCATAGCCATGCACTACGGTCTAATGATCGGGGGTGCGCTGCTCATGTTCGTCCCGCCTTTCCGGAACCTTGTGCGTAGATTTGTCTTCCAGCCTGGACAGGGCCCGAGCAAGGAAGACAGTGCCAAAGAGTACATCGAGTTTAGAGGTGTGGCCAAGCCCGACCTCGAGGAGAGCAAGAAGCTGGCTTTTGTGAAGGCATGGTACTCTGGGTCGATGTATTATTGTAAGTCATCTCCACTGTTTGAACGATTAACCTAGTTTGTTAAGTATCATTAGTGACTGCCGTATTGCTTGCTCAAGCGGCCGGGACGCTACTGCAGGAAGAGGTTGGCCTGCATGGAGGAGTCTACACTCCGGCGTCTTTAGGTCAAGGGTATATTGACCGATTGAACGAGCATGGTTTCAAGATCGAGACCAAGCTCATAGACGCATAGATGTTAGCTCACCATGCGTTCAGTCCGTAGCTCATCTATTTGATAACTAAATCAAATAAGAAGTACAGGGTTCCAAGCTGTGTGTGGCCAGCTTGCCCTCAACCTACTTATAACATGTCGATGAAGAAATTGGCAGTTTAAGACAGAAAGAACTAGGAGACGAAGAAACCGCCGAGGTAGCTGACGATGTTTTTGTGAACTGCCAGGCCATGCCGATACGTCATGGATACTCGGTGATTGCTTCCAGTTTTAGCAGCAATCACTGAGTATCCATGAGATGTCATGTCCATCGGCAACATGAATAGACAACCGAGGTCAACCCCCATACGGAGCGCAGTGAACTACTGTAACCTTGGCACATTCAAGGTGTAGAAGAAGACAGGATCATAAGAAGGGGGCATGCCTGTATGGCATTAGAGAGCACGACATTCTGTCAGTATTCTTTGGTAAATATCGGCCCGCGACTGCTGGCCCAGGTGTGTGTGTGTCACTTAGTTAGTGCTCGACCGAGGATGATTGATAGGATAAAGTGGCGTGTTTTAGCTGGAAATAGGAACCGTGGTACGGAATGCGTGCCAACCAAGAACAGGCCGTGCCCCGCATTGATCTAGGTTAACCCAGTCTAGTCTACATAGGCCGGGCAGGGACCGCATTGTTCAAGAGCTATTGGATGGATACACACATGTACTGCAGGGCGTACGGAACCGTACCTAACCTTAGCTAAGTTATGTATGTACTGGTAGTGCTAAAGTGTTGACCTTGGCTTTGGGCGAGCCTCCCAAAAATTTCCTAGTTCAATTTAGACGTCATCAGAGCCGAGCACCCAGTTGCAACTCCAAATCCTTACGACGAGAATCTGGAAATAAGGCCGTCGTGTCACGATTCAGGCTCCCAAAAGGCTATCACGCGACCTTATCACAATCATCTACGTGTTTGTAATTATGCAATCATAATATTACCTTGTCGTCGTCGGGTATTCCATTACCGTATAGCGGATAGCGACATAGTCTCTCGGCTCAGAGCTCAGAGCTCAGCTCCTAGGCTCCACGAACGCTCGCGCGCGCAGAGCTGAGGCACTGAGACACTCACGGCACGGCCGCCGCAAGGAAGCAAAGCTGCCATGGCTTCATCCGGTGCTTCATCCTCGACAGCCACCGGTTCCAACCTGGAAAGGACTCCGCTCCTTCACGATGGCGAACGACCTCGGGCTACCCGTAATGTCACCTTTAACCCAGACCCCGTGTCGAGCACCTATTTCCCCGAGCCGGCATCTTTAGCCTCGTCCCCAGGAAGCACTCTTGGTACCATACCGACGACTAATCCCTTGAGTCCAGTCGGAACCACGGGTTCCATACCGAACCCAGCAGGCTCTGCTGCCGCCCACTCTTCGACCATATCGGCCATGACAAGCCGTCTGCGACGTAGGAACTCCCATGGCGCTACCTTCTCGACCTTGCCCGCACCTTTGGGGCCTCTGCCCAAGCTGGGTCCTCAAAGGTCTAGCAAGACTGCTCAGAAGCTCAAGCTCCTGCCTAATCCAGACACTGGAGAAGGAATGCCAGATGAAGAGAGTGGCAGGGACGTCTACAGCCAGTATACACGAATCCAAGATCCCGTAGCAAGGCGGGATGCTGCCCGTCTTGGAAAAGCAGATCGGGACCGGCTGCCAAGAGTGACTGCCTACTGCACCGCGAACAACTATCAAATGGAGGCACTATTGCGTTTCTTGAAAGGTCGTGGAAAGACCAGGAGTGCCAATCCAAAGTTGATCGACGAGTGCATATACACCCCATATAACTACAGCACGGGCAAGGGTGCTGAGCGGGCAGAGACTGTCGAGGAACGGACGAGGAGGGAGCGAGGAGAGCAGGAGCGTCGCGAGCGCGAGGCGTCCGGGGAGAGCACGCAAATGCCAGTGCAAAACTACGAGCGGAGGCATTCCACAGGCCAGTTGATCGATGTCGGTGACGGTGCTGCAGATGTCGGTACTGTCGAAACCTATGATAGTGGACGCGATTTTCACAACAATCTCTCCTATCCCTCGCAACATGACGAGATCCACGATCCTTCCAGTACGCAACACGAGGCCGACTTCGATACAACAGTTCACGTACCAGAAGTCTTCCTGTTTGAGTACGGTGTTGTGGTGATCTGGGGCATGACACTTGCACACGAGAAGAGGTTCTTGAAAGATATCGCCAAATTCGAAAATGAGAAGCTTGACGATGACGACGTGGAAACGGAGTGCTTTAACTTCTATTATACGCGAGAATACCAAGCGCGGATATATAACGATTTCATCACTTTACGAGACAAGACCAACTACATGACGAAGCTGGCAATCAGCCATGCACTTGCCCAGAGTGTCAAGGTAAGTGTAGAGGGTTCGCACTACAGAGCTGCGTGGCTAACATGATCTAGACGTCCCTGTTCGAAGAGTTAATTGCTAGTACTATTGAGACATGCAAAGACATACCTACACAAATCGCATTAACTGGCAAGATTGCATTAACTCGCAGTCAGATCAACATGCAAATCGGCGAACTCTTCATCCTCCGTATCAATATCCATCTCAACGGCTCTGTTCTCGATACGCCGGAGCTTTTCTGGGTAGAGCCCGCTTTGGAGCCTCTGTATCAAGCAGTGCGTGCCTACCTAGAGATGGACCAGAGAGTCGGACTATTGACAGAGAGGTTGGACGTGATCGCGGATTTGTTAGCAGTACTGAAGGACCAATTGAGTCATGGCCATGGAGAGATGCTGGAGTGGATAGGTAAGTCGTCCCCTCACCTTTCATCGAATCGGCAGTGTTCTAGATCTCCTCCGTGATTACGTCAAATCACTAAATTGCATCGCTGATTGTCTCACAGTTATCATCCTCATTGCTGCCGAGATTCTGGTAGCAGCAGTCAATATCGTCGTCGATCTCTACGCTGGTGTTGACTAATCATTGGCCACTTAGTCATTCATAATAGCAGTGTATGATAGATGCAGGCAGACTTCTGGTGGTACTCGATATTTCAGCCACTGGAAATGGAATGAAGGACATCAACACTTGCACTCCTACCTGGGGAAAAAAAAAAAAAAAAAACACCAGACATCCTTATGTAATGCATAGGTACAGATATGCACCGTCGCTCGGCCATACCTGGTACGGACGCAAAGTTTTTATTTTATCTTTACCATGAAGAATATCCACATTAGCTACATGGCGTTCCTTGGTTCATAGGTAATTAGATTTGGGATGGTTTCACGGTGTCATGTAGATGTACATTAATCGGGCCAGCATTTTCTGATACCTTAGATGTCATGCCTCCGTCTGATCAGGTTTCAACCAAAAGGTTGTTAAAAATTGAGATTCTATTGAAATACATAATTTGACTAGATTGAGGCGTAAATATGGTCCGTTTCTTAGTCCGCAAATGCATCTCATTCCAAGTAGAGAGCTTTGGTCATGATGTGGGAGACATGCACCGCAGTCGTAGATCTGATTGGGACGCTTCAATTTCCAAATAAAAGATTGAAGGTCTGTCATCTTCACTGCGATTTTAAACTCCCACAAGAGGTGCGTAGCCTTAGATACTCCGCATCAGGAGGATAAACGCCCACTTGCACCTGAGGCCAAAGTGACACCATAGCGCAAGCTGGTAGGCCCAAATGAAAGTTGAGACGGCCGACCAAGCTCACATGTACGGAGTAAGGAAGAGATATTCATCATGCTCGCAATCTTCAATTCCAAAACGCGGTATACACTTTGACCGAAGTAGGCGCAAGGTCAACATGAGTCTTGAGTTTTAAATCCTTCTCCAGATCTCGTGCTTCCATTAATGTATTGCTAGACCGTCAGAGCCATAACATATGCTTCTTTCCCAACTCCAAAAACGCCATCATTCCGGAACCAGGCTTCTTGCAAGCACACACTTAAAGCATTTTGCCCAAGACCACAAGGAAACGCCATAAATTTTGCTTGCGTTACATCTTCTGGGTATCGGAGCGTCCAATCGAGGAATCGTTCAGAGCGTCGATCGACTTGACAGAAGCACTTCGTGTCTCGTTTTTTGCCCCTTTCGCAGTCCATCTCGTCTTGACCGAGGTTCGCATATGGCACCAACTTTTAAGTTTCCGACAACTTTCACAACTGGCGCGAACCTGACCGCCATCAGCCAGAAACCTGTTCGGTCATCTGGACGGTACAGGAGGAATCGGCAGTGTTTACGGAACACGCTTCTGCCTCTAGTCTGAGTCGGCGGGTTCCGGCTCGTCCTCGGTCTCTGGATCATCGTAGAGGCCCTCCTCAGCCGGATCAGCGTCTCCCATCTCGATGTCCTGCTCATCACCCTGGTCCTCCATGACACTGGCATCCTCGTCGTCCTGCTGAGCAAGAAGAGAGCGTTGTCTGGCGGCAGCGGCCGAGCCACGGCCGCGTCTGCTAGGAGCTTGGGAGTAATCATCGTAACCATTACGACCAGCCTTAGCGCCTTTGACACTGCGGCGGTAGGCATCGCGCTCCTCTTTCCATTGCTTGAGTGCCTCCTCATAACGCTTCTGGTAAACAGCCTGTGCGTCAGAGGTGAGATCTTTCCAGCCCTTTGCCAACTCTTGCTCTAGCTGATACTCGCCGTTGGCGATTTCGTCCTTGTGCTTCTCCTGCAGGAGAGGTCGAGTGTCATTACAATAGATCTCAAATCCATTGCTGGGCCGCTTCGGGGGCTTGGGTATATTTCCATTGCGGGTAAAGGAATCACGGGGGAAACTGTCTGACCCATTGGGGGAGTATAGACGGGGGTTGTCGTCGATGAAGGTTGGCCCGGAAGTGGTGAGCTCGGACGCGAGGAGAGATTTGTGGCCTCTCTTGACCCTCATGGGCTTATCTTCTGGCTGAAATCCTCGAGCGTTAGTCGATTCATTTCCATCAAGGCCTGGCGAAGAGTGTCGTACCGTTGGCGGAGGACTCGGGCTACCATCTGAATCTTCTACATTTGTGCTTGTGCGTTTGGCGATTTGTTCTAAGAGGAAAGCGCGCTCAAGACGGGTTTTTTGGATCTGGCGCTCTAGGCGCCTTAGGCGTAGTCTGTAGGCATCGTTCTCGTCCTCAATCTCCTTTGATCTCTGCTTTAGTTGTATACACTTCCGGCGGTATGCCTCCTCTACTGTTGGAGGCAGCGATGGTGGGTTCGCTGCGAGAAAAAGGGTGTGTCAGTGTGCATTCATGGGGTTTTAATGAAGAATAGAAGCTGGAGGCCGGTGACCCAGCACTGAGCGGCGCGATATAGAGCAAGTGCTTCGGCGCTCTGAGGCCGAGGCGTTGCAAAAGCCGAGAGCCCACAGCAGCAACAACAGCAGTCGCCGTCGCAGTCCCAGTTTATGCGTAAGGGCAGACGCCAAGGGGGCCACAACCATTTCTCCAAGACCTTAGGCTGATAAGAACGGCTGACTGACAGCCCATTCGCAAGTGGGAGGTTGTGGATAAGACAGTGGCTCATATCCCGGCCCAGGTGACGCCAGAGAATGCGAGGGCAGAAAAGGTCGGCAGACGGTTTCGAGGGAAGAAGGAAAAGACTTACCATTTGAGGGCGCCATTGTGTGCGCTTCAGAAGTTGTACAGGGTGGTGAAGAGGAAGTACAGAAATGGTGGAGATGTGACGATTGCAATGGGCGTTTGGAAAAGAACAGCGGATATGATTGTGCAGTCGAAAAAAGAAGAAGAAGCAGCAGAAGAAGAAGAAGAATGTAAAACGATGGTGGCTTGGGCCTGGGGGGATGAAAATGGTATCAAGAACGTGTGTGTGTGTGTGTGTGTGTGTGTGTGTGTGTGTGTGTGTTAAGAAAGTGAGCAAGAACGGTGGCATGGAATGAAAGCGAGCAGAGGTCGCGACAGCTTCAGGAGCTTATGCGGGCGAGGCTGCTCAGTCGCAAACAGTGAGTAACGAGTGATTGGTTCACTAATTTTAGTGCCTGGAAGCTTATGCTGCAAGGCTTTAATTGATCAAGCATGTCACTAAGTATGTAACTACACATGTAACCCAAGGTTAGTGAATTCTGCTCATGTTGGCACTGGGTGACCAGAGGGGGACGGGACGTATTTGATGTGGATTCTGAGCAGCTTGTTCCACCAAAAAACCGACAACGGAAGAACGACCTATGGATGTATGCACACATGCATGCCTTGTATTGTATTGTATTGCATTGTATTGTATTGCCATAGAAGACCAAACTTGATTTCGGCTTGGGTAACATGGAAGATGTGACTTTAGAGAGAGAGAGAGAGATAGAGAGAGAGAGGATACTCCAGCTCCACGCAGCCACGCAGCCACGCAGTCAGTCAGTCGGCGCCCCACCTAAATTTCAGCGAGGGTCCCTCTCTGGCAGCTGCTCAACTTTTTTTCCCATCTGGGGAGCTTTGCTCTGCTTTGCGGGCCATATACAGGCTGCTGTGTGTCGTCCGTCAACTTTGGAAGCCAGGTCCAGTTCAAAGACTCAACATCCTTCCAGAAGCTTTCCTCCCGTGATATCTACTGTGGTATCGCGAAGCATCTGGTCACCATGTCGTTAAATATTCCCAACGCCCCCAACGCCGGGCTGTTCAAGGGCGGCTACAACAGGTTTGTTTCTTTTCCTTTCCTTTCCTCGCCCCCGCCATGCCGCATTTCTGCCCTTGCGACGGACCATGAACATGTCTAACAACCACACCTTGTAGCTACGATTCCGAGGATGGCGCCGTCCTCAGAAACATTGATGCCTGCCGGGCCATCGCCTCCACCGTCCAGACCTCTCTGGGTCCCTACGGCCGCAACAAGATCGTCATCAACCATCTCCAGAAGATGATCCTCACCTCGGATGCCGCCACCATCCTCAAGGAGCTCGATGTCGTTCACCCCGCGGCTAAGCTTCTGGTCATGGCCAGTCAGCAGCAAGAGGCCGAGATGGGAGATGCCACCAACTTTGTCATCGTCCTTGCCGGTGAGCTTCTGAAGAAGGCCGAGGACTTGCTGCGCATGGGCCTCAAGACCGCCGACATCGTCCAGGGCTACGAGCGTGCTCAGCAATTCGCCCTCGAGGCTTTGGAGGAGCTCGTCGTTGACAAGGTCGACGACATCAGAGATCAAGAGGAACTGAGCAAGGCCATCCGAACAGTCATTGCTAGCAAGCAAAACGGAAACGAGGACTTCTTGGCCGATCTCGTCGCCGAGGCCGTCCTTGCCGTCCTGCCCAAGAACCCCGCCGGCTTCAACGTCGACAACATCCGCGTCGTCAAGATCATGGGCGGTGCCTTGGAGCAGAGCAGAGTCGTCAAGGGTATGGTCTTCCCCAAGGAGCCCGATGGTTCCGTCAAGAAGGTCAAGAAGGCCAAGGTCGGTGTCTTCTCCTGCCCCATCGATACCAGCCAGACAGAAACCAAGGGCACCGTGCTACTTCATAACGCCAAGGAGATGATGGACTTCACCAAGGGCGAAGAGGCCCAGCTCGATGCCGCCATCAAGGAGCTGCACGATGTCGGCTTGCGTGTTGTCATTGCCGGCTCCACCGTCGGAGAGCTTGCCATGCACTACCTCAACCGCTATGGCATCCTTGTCATCAAGATTCTTAGCAAGTTTGAGCTTCGCAGAATATGCCGAGTTGTCGGCGCCACTCCTCTGGCCAGGTTAGGCGCTCCCATGCCTGATGAGATGGGATCTGTTGACGTTGTCGAGACTTTGGAGATCGGTGGTGACCGTGTGACCGTATTCAGACAAGAAGACGAGGTGACACGGACAGCAACCATTGTCCTCCGTGGAGCCACCCAAAACCACTTGGATGATGTTGAGCGTGCCGTGGACGACGGCGTCAACGTCGTCAAGGCTATCACAAGGGACCCTCGATTGGTGCCTGGTGCTGGTGCTGCAGAGACACAATTGGTAGAACGGATACAGGCATTTGGAGACAAGACCCCTGGCCTGGCTCAATACTCCATCCGGAAGTATGGCGAGGCCTTCGAAGTTATTCCCAGAACCTTGGCTGAGAGTGCTGGTCTTGATGCCACTGAGGTTCTCAGCAGATTGTACACCGCGCACCACAAGAAGGACGACTGGAAGACCGGCGTTGACATTGAGGTAAGTTAACATGAACCATGGCTCTTTGATAATTCAAAAAAAGAAGAAGAAAAACTCACCAATAATTTCGCAGAACGATGACGGCACTGGCACATTGGATGCAAACGATGAAGGTATTCTTGACTTGATGGTCACCAAGGCCTGGGCTATTAAGATGGCTACGGAGGCAGTGCGCACAATCCTGTCTGTGGATCAGATTATTGTGGCAAGACAGGCTGGTGGGCCGAAGCCTCCCGGTCCCAACCCCAACTGGGACGACGACTGAAGAACTAATGAAGTAACGAAAAGATAAAGAAAGGCTTGTCGGCGCGTCGAAACTTGATTCTAGAAGGGGAGTCCTGTGTGGCTGGCGTTGTACAAGTCGATAGACGGTTTACCAAAATACCACTTGTGTCCATTCTGAGCAATATAAACTCACTAACACATTTGAGATGATAGCCATGACTCGCATCGGCTCGTGTATTTGTTCTGCATGGAGCCCTTATGGACACGAGCCGTCCAAATTGTGCTTCGACACACCAGTCTAGACCGACAAATCACGCAAGCAGATGACACAAATGCTTGCATCAGCGCTCAGACTCATACCATGATCGCATACCCAGAGTCATCCATACTATCCTATAACATGATAACAGCTTCTTCCACTGACGGCCCTGGAATCTTTCACTCCAATTATGTCGTGCAATAGTGCAGCTGTATGGGTAGCAAGCTTGGGAGTGGCACGAACTCTCGTGTCTGTGGCTTACCCCGTACTGAGAGTGATAACCCCCAAACTTCAGTGAATCAAATGAGAACGCCGCAAATTCGGTTGGCGTGAATTTAACATGATTTATGACACTGTTGCAAAACAATTGTATAGCCGCCCGAAACGTGTTCTGGGCCCGATATCACGATGCTTGTCGCGTCTGGTAAGGGGGGGTCTCATTCCGGCACCTTGCGAATTATAGCACATAAAGCAACGCTCTAATGCGATGACGGTTTTAAATATTAGCAGCTTTCCTGAGGTCACATTATAATGCTCCTATGTTTACTACTCTCAATTGAAGTAACATTGCGGCCTTGTCAGTCCTTGATATTTCCAATCTCGGCAGATATTCCAGCCTCTCCCTGGTCGAGTTGACGGATCTCATAACCTTCGGATCCCTCAACAGCGTTGTTGCCTGTCCATAACTCCCGGTATTAGCCTCCATAGATGGCCTCGAGATCATTCATAACAGCGCGAATTCCCGCTATGTAATCTCAGTAGCCTCACAGCTGTCGGAACTGCCAAGTGGACGAAAAGTCTCATATGGTAACAGCTCGACTCCTTTGTCGGTTGCTTATCCGAGCTGCCTCTCCGTTCTGGCAGACCCAGGGTACTGTGAAAATCAGGCCGTCGCACTTTGAACATCTTGCTGAAAGCTCCAGTGTGACCCGTGAACGGCGGGGTGACTCCTCCAAATTTAGTGTCTTTCAAGGGGCTAAAAAGTGTAAGAGAAAGCATTATATTGAAGAATAATTTGTACTCGATGATTTGAGGTCCGTGACCTTGAGACCGTTGGGTATCTACATATATGTGGCAATACAAACGTTACCTTCTGGTTTAATTCCACGTTGGGGGTTACAGCAACAAGGGGCTACAACAATATCAATACTCTCCTTTCCGGCGCGTTCTTAAGTCTCCGCGGGGCGGTCGAAATTTGTCTGAGTGGGATCATGAACACGTCAGTCGACCCGAAGTCTTGAAGAGGGCACATGGCTGACCCTTTTTGTAAACAAGTCCTTGAACTGTAACATATTCCCATCGCTCACCATTGTCCACGACAGCGCTCATGTGGAGTCCTGGAATCTGGACTTCGATTGCCTCAAGCTAGCCGAAAGAGCGAAAGCCGATTCATTCGCAGAATTCTACTGCAGCGGTACAGGCTCGACTAGATCTTGGTCACAGACTCAGGACCGCTGTATGGGCCAGCATCGGTGTATCGACTGGGTTATTCATGGTAATAGAGCTTGTTCCGTGTCGCACTTTGCGTTATCGCTCCACGATCATGTCGTCGCTATGGCTGCGAGCGCATAACATATATCGACCAAATGAACATCCACGTTTGCGTTGTGGTTTTCACGAAGTCGGATTTGGAGAAGTTCTGGACAAGGTAGAAGAGCCAGTAACACACTAGGTATAGTTATATATCGTCAGTCCCAACGGCTCGCGTAGAGATAGATGGGAATATATCACGCCTGGAGATAAACACTATTAGATCACCTCGCGAAATGGATATCTCCAACTGACGTGCTGAAACGAATTCCATTAGGTCGCCCATCGAAAGGGGAAGTAAATGGCGCCTAACATAGCAAGCTTACATATATCTGGCTGTGGTTTCCCAGAACTGCGACTAGCGATGGTTTATTTTTATTTTTAATCTAAAGCGTTTTGAACAGAGCAAATCGAGTTTTGGCATGGGAAACTTAATATGTGTATCCATAATTCTATATATGCGTGACAGCTAATTGTACGGTAGTTCCTTCTTGATACGGAATTGTAACATTCTATCTGGAGGACCCAGCTTTAAGGTGGGTGGACTATGAAGCGTCCATATACCGCCAACTAATAGGCCGTTGCCCAAAAGGTAGCACTAAATTGCGAGTCGCGAAATGTTCACTGTATAGAAGTTGTGACCTGGCTTGCCACCAAATTCATAGTCTGAAGTTTTCAAAACTGACTCAGATCGTCTGAGATGATTTTGTACCAGCATGATTTTGCTTATCTGGCCTTGAGTGAAATCAGATCGTTGGCAATACACCAGGGGGAGCTGTCAGATGATAATCACATTCTCTAAAATGGGGCCCAACTGGATAGTCGGTTAAGGTCGGGTACGGAGCATTATTCTATAGTAGGGGCTCGAACAATGACCTCTTTTGCCTTTGTCTTTGTGAAGCACACCTCGGAAGGGAATGAGGCCGATGAAAAGAAAATTTCAATCCCACCGAACTTGGAGGCAACTCTCAGGCACCTATGTTCCGTGAAGGGCCGCGAATCATGTGTATAAGTGCCATCTGCATCAGTCAGAATGACGATATTGAGCGAAGCTGTCAAATATCGATCATGGCGAAAATTTATCATGCCGCGTGGCAGGTTGTTGTATGCGTTGGAGCTGAGTGAAACGATAATAATTACACTTCGGCATATATTACAGGAAACGCGAGCAATATGGTTGTGGATTGATATACTTCTACCGTTATTTTGTCGGCGGCGGCTTGAGCGGTCCCACGCCAATTATCGCAGATGCTTCCATGGAACAATCGCCTCGGAAAAGCGTTACACTCGTTATCTGTATGAAGGTAATCTAGGCATCTTTAGGTCAGGCAAGAAACTCGCATAGATTCCAAGGCTGTGTTGCTACGCGGTCTGTACTCTATGCCCTAGACTGACTTCACGGCCACTATCTATTTTATTCATCACTGAGGGTGTTATATGAAACCTAATCCTTTTGGCAACTTCTAGCGTTGGTTTCAATTGATATATATACGCTATCTTAACACGTTCCTGGGTCCTTACGTCTAGATAGTCTGCGCCTTGCACTGCTGGGCCGCTCATAAAAGTAATCAGCAGACTCCGTTTATGCGATCCAAAGTGTACTATCAAATTGGGATTTCGCGTTGGAATCTTCTCTGGGACCATTAGAGATCAGGAGGCCGATTTCGTCAACTCGGACATAGGTTGTATGCGTGACAAGATTACAAATAGAATAGCTTGGCAATACATCGGTCTGGCACCAGGGGTGATGTTAAGCGCAACGCATGTCTGATGTACTGACAGTCATGGTGGATTAACGGTCGTCTGTATTGGCATAATCCATAGTAAGAGGATCTATATATGTGACACGAAGTTCTAGTACATAGCTGATACCAGCATACAAGCAACAAACTTGAAGCCAGCTGAACTTGGGGTCTAGCGATGATCTCTTGTCCGCCTTGGTAAGTCGTTGGGCTTACCCATAGTCGAAGCGTTTCGAACATTTGCAACAAAGTCAGCAGGTTGACTTTCTAGTTGAGTACTTCCCTACTAGTGGCACTATGAGATTCCTGGTGGACTGGAGGTTGCTATGTTAACGACCGAGAGGCCTATTTTTGTGATAGTTTACACGAGGAAGACACTCTCATTGTCACTGTTTCCATTCCCTCGTGACCAAAATCTAGACCGGTGCATCCTCCATGGACAAGCCCAAAGACTCACATGTACTTCTAGACTTCTAAATTTGCAAAAGCAGACGGATCATAGTCACACGATATGCGTCTCAGCATCATCACCCTACTATCACGAAGACATGTCGCACGAGTGGTCGTCGAACGTTCTAGCCCGCTGACAAGTAGTGTCGTGATAGTGTACACAGATCATCACCATCACAGCCTCATCCTTCACATTTCCTCGACTGTCAATTTTCTGCATCAAGTGTGAAACTGAGCTGCTCGGGTGAGCAATAAGAAGCTGCTTTACCACCACACGTAATGATTGGATGTGGCTGCTTACCACAATATCTTTGTCGTAGTGGCACAAATGGCTCTATGAGGGATAGTGTATGATGATACGTGATAATTTGATAGTATTCTAGTCATACTTCCTACCGTCTAACACGTTATGACTTCCCCTGAAAGTTGTCCCATGGATGCATTTTCTTTTCACTACACGACTTGTTGCCTGGTTTGTCTCAACATTACTTAGCTTTGATCTTGTCTGCCGTAGCTGATCATGGGAAAGGAGCATGGCAGGAAGCCGAGATATCACATGCTTGCTGGCTCGCTGGCCTACACTTGCGCAACACGGGATGCCTATTTTCCGCAAGCGAGCAACCGTACATCCTACCACGGGGCAATCTGATGCGGCGCTTGTGCAGCTCAAACCTCGTGGTGGCAGTGAAGGTGTACGCATCGCATCCTGCGTATCTCAGGATTTGCCTGCCATGTGCTCAGATCTCACCCCTGGGCGGGACCGGCATGGTTATGGCCAAGATGCCGCATCCGAAGTATGTCATGCATACGGGCTGCTGTATAGTGGCTTAGCTATCGGGTGTCTGTCTGTTCGTCACCGATGGTAGGCCTAGATATGCGCGCGTGTGCTGACAGATCCTGCAAAATGAAATGTACTGTTATGAAATATACTCGTATGAAATGTACTGTCTCAACGTGAGCATTGCAGTCACGAGTGTGGCGGAGAGTCAGCATGGGACGAAGATAAGGATGGGGATTTTCCCTCGACAGGCACACCAATAGCAGCCTCGTTCCTTCGAAGTGCATGGCTGCGTGGAGCCGTTCGGTCACTGGCGATAAGGCAGAATGCCCATTTGCCGCAACAGGCGTCATATACGAAGTTCACGATGCGCCACAGCTGCCGGTAGACAGTGCGTAGCGCGGCGTCTAGATGCGGGTATCAAGAACAATCCCTGTGTACCAATACCCTCGCATCGCGCTACATGCGTTACCTTTCGATGTAATGCAGACACAACCAGCAGTCCGAGAATAGTTTATCAGTCGAACCCCATGAGGCCCGCGCATCAGTGGTTGGTCAGGATCCGTGGGTAACACTACAGCGATGACAAGTCAAAAGAAACGCTGCCATATGGTCAAGTATTCTACAACAGCTTCCTGATTGGGTCAACAGGCCAGGGAAAATATGGTGTGAGTTCAACGGTTTGGGTCAAGGTTCATCGATCTCCTTTGCTGCGACTTTGCCGCAAAGCTAGGAGGATTTGATTGAATCCCAACAGGGTCGTGAACCTGGTACGTGCATTCACGTGCAACATCAACGCCAGAGGCGGTGCTATGAGCGAAGACCATCTCCTGTATTAATTTCCCTGTCTGGATATCAGTCCGAATATGTGGGGAAAGTACTCTGTACGAATCACCATTCAACATCCGGGCATCGGCCTTGAGACTCCAGGCGAACTCGGAAACAATTTGAGTTCTGAGGTCTAGTTTCATTGACGACCAAGCCGGGGGGCCTAGTAGATTGCCTGGTGTTGAAGGGTGGTTGCTTTGTTTCACGTTGCTGGGAGTTGTAACCAGATGATCGGTGAAGTAACAGAATCTAGATTCGGAATTTCTTTCGGGAAGGAGATTTTGTCGTAGATTCAGGATCGGCGCAAAATTTGACTATCTTGATATTTGTTGAGAGGATACCTGATTACGACAAAGAGCCCAAGAGTGCCACATTGTCCAATGTTACAGTATTCGTGACAGTTCACCTAGAAGCTAAGAAAGCGGCATTCCTTTGGAGTCCTCCTGATATCGCACTGTCGCACGATCCTGCCGGCAAGAAGCTCTATCCTCAAGGTGATATGACTAGATCCTCTTGGCATCTCCTCTTCAATGAAGCCATCATTCCCGGAACACAGATCCTGGGGCCGAAGAGAGCTTCTCAAGTGAGGAAAGAACAGACGATAATCCCTGGGCAGATCTCAAGTTGACAATGTCCGCTGGTGGAGAGGCAGGAGAAATGACCCCTCACACAAAGTTTCGCTTATTGCGTCTTGGGCACGGTGTGTAAGAGTGAAGCGAAACAAAAGTCGCGATGGTCGCGAAAATTGAGGAGTGATAATGATTAACCCATTGCCTATAACGACAGGCTCTCCATGTTCGTGTCACAAATGTCGATAATTTTTGCAAGGGAGAAACGGACCAGTAACGAAGACTGTTCCGGATCCGGGAGTAACATGCCTAGGGGCCCCCCGTCGAGTGACCAAATTCAACTTCGCGCAGGAGCCGGGGTCGAAATTCACCATGTATGTACATCGAGCGGGGCATAAACACGTGCGATAGATAGCATCGTTCTGAAGCCCATGGCAGTAACGGTAGGATTCAACGGGCGTTAGGTATGTAGTACAGAGGGATTTCACGAAATGAGTTTGGGTTGCATAAAAGGCATTACACTTCTCAAGATGTGCTTACTATGTAGCAATTGTGGCTGGTGGGCAATCCTCCAGGATATGTTGTACCTAATACCAATTTCCGAGCAGCATATTGTTGATCCTTTGCCTCGCAGCTATTTTCGATCTCGCATGCCCAGGTCACATGAGTACTTCATGATGCCACTTTCGCAGCAAGGGCTAAGGGGTCAATAAGAGCGAACGGACTGCTGGGAATTAAGTGGCTATCGGTCGGAAAATTTACAACAACCGTTCACTAACGAGATGACGAAATGTAACCTTGCAACTCGTGAGCGTCCCTCTCCCAGGCGTCATTCGCGTAGAGCCGCAAGCACAATCTAGGTTAGCAGCTAGTCTAGTACTATGTAACCAGTGTACCTGAAAGTCACCAGATTTGGTTCGACAAGGCGGGGCGGCGCGTGTGTTTCGTGTGAGAACCCCCGCGTGTCTACTATGTAACTAACTAACCGACGGAGGATTGCTGATTAAGACAACGCTGGATCCTGCTGTATAGCTTTCGCACGCCACAGTTGAGATGCCCTTATTTGATGACGACGGCTCCAGATCCTTCGCTGCAACCATATTGGTTACCGGTAGAGGCAGATTTTAGACACGTACATAGCGGCAGCGGCTCGGCAAGTCATGGAATCCTTCCCGTTCTTCCATCGAGTCATGCCAGATTGACAGAAATCCAATGAATACACTTCTCCTGATCTGCTGCCTGCCGGTCACCCAGAGTTACCGGGACTACCTGATGCTATTGGGGTGAATTTTCTACTACGCCCTTATGGTGTGCTCAAGTTGATTATCACTACCCACATCGTGCTCGTTGCCGGAATAGTTTGGCTCAAGAAGCATGATTCGGTAGACACTGGTACAATCGAGCTTCACCTGAAAACTCGAATCCGGTAATTCGCTGATGAGGACTATGGACATGATTGGATGGAACAGTTACGGGTAAATCAGCCGGCGAATTCCAGTGGCGGACAATGCGTGGTAGACTAACTTATCAAGTTAGCATTGACGAGCTGGACGACTAGCCCTGACGCGGAGTAGTAATGCTAACTCTTTTCGACCTTGCCAAAGTCAGGACTGCATTTCTAGAGCTCTTCCTCAAGACCGAATTGTGAAGCCCACAGAACCATTAGCAATGTATGGGAAATCTAATGCAGGGCTCTACGTCAAACGCATTGCAAGAAAGCCAGCTAAGGCACACTTAAAAGTTAAGTGACTTTTCGAAGGTGTTATAGAAGAACTTTGACGCCGCAAAGGTTGGTTCATTGTATTTGGCGTTTTAACATGATGCAGTAGTCGAACTCTATTCTTATCCATCTCGTTGACTTTCAGAGCCACAATGAAGCTTGCTAGTTTGGCCTGTGTTTGTGTGGCGTGTACGGAACGCAGCTTTGCCTTGATCTTGTCATTGGGACAATGCTGGAAACACGAGCACGATCTCAGTGATAGACTCCACAAATTACATGTGGCATCTCAATAAAAGCACTATGGCAGGCAACCTGGCAATCGAGTATGAACGAAAGCTAGACATTTAGCGGAATCACCAAAAGTGACAATCGCAGATCCTTATAATATGGTGTTGCCCGGAATAACGTGAGGCTTGTTAACAAGTTGGCAAGGAAAGTATGCAGCTAAGAATATACTCTGCTGGACGGCGTGGGTGTTTTTAAAAGTACTACGACTGCGATTGTGGCTTTTAGAATATACTGACATACATGCAAATGCAGAAGATGATCGCTTGAGGGGAATCTTTGATCAGACCATTGTAATGAGGCAATGGCAGATTGAGCTGCCGGCAGTTGTAAAACCGTTCACTCTTGCACGATCCAGATGGCGTAATTCTCTCGAGGATCGCCACAACTACAGAATGACAAGAAAGAATGCCAGCCTGCTGGCAGTCGACTCCACCTCTGCTTAGCCTTTGTCGAGCCAACTGAGTTTCGAGATCAATTGGAATCGTAAGTTTTCAGTCATGGACCTTGCCAAGTCAAAACCGTAAAACACATTATTCTGATATTGATCGGCAGAGATGATTGACAAGAGGCGGACAATTGACAGTTTGAAGTGGAGCTTGCTGCATTATCCTAAAGCATGACAGGTGCCCCCGGCAGCGATCGCATTCTACATGCGGATGAGTGCCCCTCGCTCAACATGGATCTCTGTTTGAAGTGAGCCCGAAAGCTGGCATGCCGAGCAGGGTGACTCCTAGAACTAAGTAAAGGGTCAGTACTTCGCGTGTCTCCCCAACGTGTTCCAGGAAGCTGGCTAAACTTCCGATTTGTCCTACTTGCAAGTTGTCATCTCGAAATTTGATATTTACGTCGATCCGCACTAGGCCCACCAGCGCTACATCAGAAACACCTGCAAGACCTGCCCCACGGCTGTGCCAGGCCCGCCAGGCCTATCTTCGTTGACCCTGCCCTGGACAGTACCGAGACCGCGGCGTGCGGCGCGACCCTGTCGCACTTTTATTTTTCTTTCTGTTTTGTTTGTAGTTATTACCGTAATAATGACATAAATATCTATGTGTTTAGAAAATTTTGAAATCTGAAAAAAAAAACTCCCCCCCCCCTTTTGGGGAAAATAGCTTGACGTAGCAATGCGAGAAAAATTGGGTTCTAATCACAATAGTATAGTTGCAGTACTCATTTCTTCTTGCCCCAACAGAACAAATTTGTCCAAAGACCGAATACCTTGAAAGCTTATTTTGGCAATCAGATGGTGACTGTGACTGGCTTACCCGTAGAAGTACAGTGGACTGTAGTGAAAGTAATTGTTTATTTGGGAAGCCGTTGCCGGATATTACGGTGTTCTAAAGTAGGAGGCCCTCCTTACGCGGTTCAGTTGAACGATATAAATTAATGTTGGCTGGAAAGATCTGAGCGCTGTCTCACACAACCGATAAGTCTCACCAACCAAGGCTTTAAGGTCCTGCACAATAAGACTACGACACGACTGAATTCGCCTTGATCAGTCCATAACGATATGGAATATGACGATGCAATGCAGACGCTTGTGGAAGCTTTCTTGATACAAGTCGTCCAGTAGCTCTTGACGGATATGCAGGGCAGTCAAAGCGCAGATGCTACGAACAGCTCTATGTATAGGCCGGTTCCGTGGCCAACATTTAACCAGCGGCAGAGGCGCATGTATTTGAGATGCGTGCTTGCCGGATAGTGTCTCTTTCTTTCAGTTGTATTGTAAAATCTGTGCATCTTTCCAAGATGTGCTTGCGCCAAATGCGTCAATTCCAGAAAGGACTTATAATATGTGCGTGCACCTTCAAGAGGTCATTGTCAAGGTCTGGATACCCGAGTGTTCAAGTATACTCTGTACGAAGTGGCGCAATCAAGGAAATTTCCTTCGACGCCGCTGTAGGAAGCACCGAAGCCACTCCTTTCGTAGCCTTGAGAGCAATGAAATTCAAGGGCAGAATGAGGCCCAGTTTGCATGATTCCTGTCATCATTCTCTATTGCAACCCCATATGCTAGCTTCAGAAGTCTCACCCTGATTTTGCCCAAAAATTTCTCCAAAAACGCTACAAGCCACGTGGGCATGGCGCCGACGTGCATGTCTATCTTTTTTGCTCCGTTAGTCACTCCACTAACCTAAACGGCCTGGCAGGAACGCCTTCTGTGCTCTGAAAATCGACCGGCGCCTTCGATGGCCAACACTACGTACCAAGTAGCTGTTATGACCACACTCGATCTTGCTATTGACTTGTCTACTGTAGCTCCTGACGCTGATAAATGCTGCAGCTAGCAAACCGGTCCCATTGACCCGGGCGGAGATGAGGTGCTGGCACGTCTTTAATAACAGCAGCGAACTAGGCTAGGTTAGTTTGGTGTTGACCCGGGTGCGAGCAAGTCTCTCTCCTTTGAATTTACAGTCATATTGGCTGGTCAACATCGCTTCGCGCGATAAAAGTCCTTCGATACTGCGAGAAAAATCTATGCTGAAGGACTCTCCTAACTGCCAGCAAGAGAAGGACAGCACTGACACTCTGGTCACTTTGTCAAGACTTTATCTGTCCCAGCTTTTCATCACCAATGGGCCAGTCAAAATAGCGCCCACGCGCAAGCGGCGATCGTTGATAAACTGCCCAGCAGTCCCGGCCAGGCACTTTCCTGCATGCGGCAGTCACCTTGCTCAAGTGCACGAACAAATTCGACAAGATCCAAAGCCATGGAAGCAGGGAGTCTGACCAGTGCTTGCTTTAGTGGTGGTGTCCCGGCTTTGCATAGCAGAACTCATCGGGTACATTTCTATACCTACTGGAGTGTGATGTTGATGTTGCCATGTAACCTGCCGTTCTCCTGCGTACAGTATCCCATACTTGGAATAGGCTTTTTACATGAGGTGAGGACTTTGGAGGAGCCGACAGCCCCCTGGTCGAACCAGGGATGAGGAGCATGACTCTATCTAATTAAGACCCCTGGCAGTACATCCGTACCATCCTTCTGCTGGGTATCCCCACCACTACATGCCCATCCACATGTAGTATCCGCTAATCAAGTACCCTCCACTTCTACCGTTGTAAGCGACGCTGGGACTGGACAATTGCTCCTTCAAGGGCACGGTCAACCGAGCGAAACCATGAGAAAGGAAGAGGAACGACGAGGGTCCAGAAGCACCAGCCGTACATAACTTAGTATCTTCTAGGCTGGCCTACCTGGTCATTTGCAAATGGGCATTACGGTAGAGTCGCTCAAATGAAATAATACCCCCCATGGTCCCAATTTTCCCTTCTATCCTGCTCCTTGATTGTTTCCGTTTGTATGCTCTTCGTTGCACACGACAATTGACGATTTGTTGTGTGGTCTTCCCCGTTAGAGTTCTTTTTTTTCTGGGAACATAATCTATCAGGTGGTTGCCTGTTTCAGCGGAACAAGAAGCAAACAAAAGAAACACAATATACAAAGTGTGCAAAGGAATTCGTCCCTTCCGATTATCACAGCCAGAGTCTTCTCAGACACCAGAATTAGCGACTGGGAGTTCTAGTAATTCGTCAATTACTGGGTGAAGTGAGGGCCACTGCCGATTGGCTTCCAACCAGTGACCTCTTCGGATGGATTGATTGATTGATTGGAGCTCCTTGACCCCCAATCAAAGCAAAGCAAACCAGCGCAAAAGCAGCCCGACCCGACCGAATAGCGACCAGCCTCCAGTCAACGAGCCTGGGAATCCCCGAGACTCACGAAGGCTCATCACGACCACCAAGTCAGACATTGAACAGCCTGACTCAACACGTAATCAAGAGTCCTTGTGTCACCCCCGCGAGGCTTTTTATACATCATCACCGGGATGCGCCACACTCTTTGAGGCCTTTTGTTGCCCGCATTGAAAAGTCCCATATCTTGAAACACAGCTCGAGTATGCAAGGACATCTGTAACACGACCTCCCAAAAGAAGAAAACCAAGCTCTCTTTGGGCGACACTCTCTGTGTCAACCCGCACGTCACGCCTTAATACTTTTATTCTGCTTTTGCGCGTTCCCTGCGTTGCTCACGTTGCCCTATGTTTAGTCGATTGACATCAAAGGCACAAGGTTCTCCATCGGGTAGGAAAGAACATCGAACTAGTACTAGGGATCAGATTTCGAACTTGCGCGAGCTTGGGATACTCGGCAGTCTATCATCAGAGGCCCGATCACTACGCTCGCTGAACTCAACCAAGAAAAAGCAACAAAAACCTAACAATTGGGACAGTGGGTTTGATCAGCCGTCGTTCCCCGAAAAGAGTAAGTCTCCTCGTGGCCTCCGATAATTGAAAATCCACATTTACCATGTCTCACAACTATCCATGGTATCGGTTGCTGACTCGAACTCGCGCTAGACCACTCCATCTCTGCTGGGAAGTCCCGCGCGTTTCCACCGCGAGCTCCCTCGCATCGCTCGGTAGCTTCTTTAAGGTCGACCACATCCAGGGACACCGTCAAGCAGCTGAGCCCGCACTCTACTACGGCCATGTCAAGCATAATGAGTGCAGACCGTAGCCGCAACCGGCGAGAGCGGACCTTTGTCGGCAGTGAATGCGCTGTGTGCGAGGAGCCCCTTGAACATACGTTGCGTGGCGAGCGCATCTTGCAGTTTTCATGTTCACACGTCTCACACGAAGCATGCTTCTACGAATTTATCAGGGAATTTGAATCGCAATACTGCCCGTCATGTAATGCGCCGTTACATCTGGATACTAGCCGTGGAGGCAATGTACTAGATATCGGTAAGAACAGACCGCCGGCTTCTGCCCGACTCATTGCTGACGAGTCTTCCGACCGTACAGAAAAGATTACCAATATGGTGCGGTCCGCATCAACCAGCGATTCAAGGTCGCAACCTACACCTACACCCGCCGCGGGCCATTGGGATGAGCCAGTCAGCCACAGAGGGCCGCCAGCCAGCAATGGCCGCGAAAGCGCTGCGCGCGGAAGTCAGCGGGATAGCCGTGAGGCGCCATCTTCATTCGCAGCAACATCGCGGCACACGCGCAGCGACAGTGAGGCGACTGGAGTCACGTCATCTGCTGGCTACCCCGAAACTACTCAGAGTGGACCAGCGCGGCGGCATGATTATGACCTGCAGGCAATGGAGACAACACCCACAAGCCCGCAAAGAATAGCGCGGAATCCTATTCCGGCGCCCAGCGTGACAGTGCGCTCAGAATTCCCGACCATTAACAAGTCTCGCCAGCAGCAAACCCTGACATGCCTTATCACTGTCGAGGTTCCAGACAACAAATGGAAACCGGACCCGGAAGATTTAGGGTCTGTTGCGCCGGTTCAGCCAATGCGCATTGAAGAGACCTTCGCACAGCGACCACCGTCGCCAGCGAAAAGCAACAAGCCTCGCTTCTATCCATACGAGTCCCCCGAAGTCCTGCAAGAAATGACGGACAACTTACGAGATCGCGTCGACAACTGGCACGGGTTGGACTTCAACAGGTAGGTTTCCATGTGCCGCCACTGTCGGATTTATGAACTAATGGTCTGCTTAGGTTTGGAAAGCTCCGACTTTACGGAACTCTTCGTGTTGGAAAAGACAAAGTGTCTTGGCAGGAACTTGAATGCTTTTTATTCGCCGAAATGCTCATCTGTGTCAAGGAGAAGAAGAACGCCGCAGCCGCTCAGCAGTGGGACGAGAACGGCATGCCGCGCAAAGCTACGAGATGCACGCTCAAAGGTTCCATACTTATCAAGAAGCACCTGAATGATGTTGCAGAGACTGGTACGATTGACGAGAACGTCCTGACTCTCAGCCTGTCCGTCAACGAGCTGCCGTCATTTCATCTGAGATTCGACAATCGCAATCAGCTCAAGCTTTGGCAACAGGCACTTCTTGACCTTAACGCAACAGAACAATCACCCGTCAGAGGTCCCGACTATGAGCGCGCAGAGACGTCTGAGACGGATGAGGATGACTGGGGACGATCACAAGGCGGCCCCAGGCGGACATCAGCTGCCTCCTCGGGCTGGGGTGGTCCAAAATCAACAACCACGGCACCGACCGAGTATACCAACTTCCCCAAGAGCCCCTTGTTTTCGTCGGTTCATGTTCCCATCGATGTCGTGGTTGTTGTGCCAATTTCATCATCGATGCAGGGCGTCAAAATCAACCTTGTTAGAGATGCACTGAAATTTATGGTTGGCAATCTTGGCGAAAGGGATCGCATGGGCTTGGTAACCTTCGGTTCTGGAGGCGGTGGTGTTCCAATTGTCGGTATGACCACTAAAGCGTGGCACGGTTGGAACAATGTTCTCGCATCGATCAAGCCCGTGGGTCAGAAGAGCCATCGTGCTGACGTGGTGGAGGGCGCCAATGTTGCAATGGATCTTCTCATGCAGCGCAAGCATAACAACCCTATCGCTACCATTATGCTCATAAGCGATGCATCAACTTCTGATGTTGACAGCGTTGACTTTGTCGTGTCGCGAGCAGAAGCCGCCAAGATCACAATACACTCATTCGGCCTTGGAATGACGCACAAGCCGGACACCATGATTGAGCTGTCTACGAGGACCAAGGCTTCGTACACTTATGTCAAAGATTGGATGATGTTGCGAGAGTGTCTGGCTGGCTGCTTGGGATCAATGCAGTCTTTGTCGCATCAGAACGTGAAGCTCAAGCTTAAGCTTCCGGAAGGGTCTCCAGCCAAGTTCCACAAGGTTAGTGGTGCGTTGCAAGTCACTAAGCGGGCCACGGGCCGGGATGCAGAAGCCTCGCTTGGTGATCTCAGATTCGGTGACAAGCGAGATATTTTGGTCCAACTGGTCATCTTGCCCGATACTTCATCTCAGGAGCAGCTGCCGCAGGATCCATGGGAGACCATTGTTTCTGGTCTTGAGGCGCTTGGTGGTCCCATGGACTCAGAGGATCAAAGAACACTCTCTGTGGAGGAATTGCCTCTCATTCAAGCAGACCTTGTCTGGGGTGATATTCTTCGCGAGGGCACAATGATGCATCTGCCCAGACCATCTCTGCTCGCAATCACCATGCTGCCGCCAACAGCCAGTTCGAAGAAGTCCTCATGGCAGAACAACCCGCCCATCCCTCCACACCAAAGTATCGTGCAACGCCGTATGGAATTATTGACATCTGACATGCTTACGCGGGCTTTGACCCTTGTGTCCCGTGGTCAGCATGATCGCGCCCATACATTACTGAATGAAACACGATCAATCTTGAAAGGGCTTGGAAAGGGCGGTCTACCACCAGTTCCACCTCCACCAGGCAGCAAATCACATCCTTCTACACCACATCCTGGTTTAGAGCCGGATGCATCCGCTACCCCTGAGCGTAGGCGTACACCTTCACCAACTGCGTCGGCCAATGGATCTGTCGCCCACGGCTTTCCGCGTCCTCAATCTAATGAAGCCCTGTCACTTGGGTCTTCTGGTGGCATTGATGGGAACACAGTTGCGGCACTCGATGCCGAGCTTGAAGCCAGCTTAGAGTGGATCAGCCACCCCGCCGTGTTTGGGCGTGACAGCCGCAAGCAAGTCCTTCAAGCAATTGGCGTCATCAGCAGCCAACGCGCATACACCTTCCGAACTCCCATCGAAAGCTTGTGGGCTGCACGAGTCGGTGGCGTAAAGAAGCTGACTGACAAGAGTCGCGAATGGAGAGAGGAAGCTGCTGGTGAGGGTATCATTGAGGAGGCGTAAAAGCCACTTCATACCGCTTTTTCTTATTTTTAATCGATACCAAACTTTTCGATACCCTACAAACGTATCTTTTATAGACCAGCGACCTCTACAGGGTTCTGTCTTTTTGTTTTTTCCCTCCCTCCCAGCACACGATATCCCTTGGCTTCATCCAATATATCGCCGCTATTTATTTGGGGATTGAGTCCCATTTCTTTCGAATGTGGTTGATACTCCAAAATAGTCTCTGTTTTCATTCTATGATACCACTTGACGATTTCTTTTCTCTGTGGCTACTGCATAGCATTGCGCTTGTTACTCCTTTAGGTTTAGGCCCTGGACGAGCAGTTTCTTTGTTTTACGAATTTGCATCACTACCCCGAGTTTTCTGGAAATGGCATGGCTAGGCAACGGCAAAAAGTGTTTGGATTTCTCGATGTGAAGCTGAAGTCATAGGAGTCTTCTGGTGCAGCCTGGGAATTTTAGGACTTGTTGTACATTGATGATAAATGATCCCCGAGTATATAGAGAAATATGGGTTTCTCGATACTACGCCAAATGTATCCGTTTTGCAACCCTCCGTTTCAACACTGTCCAAATGTGAGGCCAAAAGTGTTCTTGTCATTGACAACTAAGTTGATATTGGGGCTGATCTAGGCCGCTTGTTTTGCCGCCAGACAAAGATCCCAGCCAAACCTCCCATATGAACGTTGACGGACGGGCCATGTTCCTAGAAATGTATACTATATCGGTATAGTCTTGGCAGGCAGCAGACAATCGAGACCGTGCACTTGCAAGATCTTTTCCTATTTCTGGCGAAGCGAGAGAAGTCATGCTAACTCAAATGTTATTTATTAAAATTTTTTTTACCAGTGTGTCCCTATCATCATAGATTGTGCGGGACGTTTCCTCGCAGCACCAATAGCCACCTGGGGACTGTGCACACTTTTGTCGGCAGAACCTACAATCCTGGATCGGCAGGCCTTCATCCAGCACATTTGCCGGTTGTTCTAGAAGACACTAATGCAGAGAGATAGCAACGTTTCTTGGTCGGCAAGAAGCTTGATTTGAGTTACTCCGCATACAACACCGGCAACGTCGGCGATGTTGGAGTAGTTGGTCGTACGGCCTTCCCCGCTTTCAGCTGGAGAGCTATATACCCAATGCCCTTTGCAATTACCGAGACTGGCAGGCGATGTGGTTGAGCTCATGAAGTAACTCAGATATTGCTTGTGCACCACATTCAAACCGTTGGTATTGGTCTTCTGGTTCGGATCTTCCGAAGCAAAACGATTCAACCTGCCTAACGCATCATCGACTTGCCACATAGGAATTGTGAGACAAATCTCCACTGACCGTGGAGGCCGTGCTACAAATAACTGCCAAGCAACATTTTCGTTGAGCCGGACGCCGAGTACTACTTCTGCGTCAACTTATACCAAACCTGGATGGTTCCTTAGGGTTTCCTGGAAGCTGCCCTTTCCATACAGAAGCCATGACGAAAGACAGGTATACCGAGTTCACCCCTGAGCAGTATCCGCCATTTCCGGATGGACTGCCTGTGGTGGAACTTCAGACCATCTCGCTTGACAAGCTTCTCAAAGGCGACGAAAATGCACAAGATGAAGTCTTCGAGATCTGCAAAGGCAGAGGGTTTTTCTACCTGGATCTTCGGGGCTCAGGGGTTGGTGACGACTTCCTCAAGAACGCCGAGCAGATCGCTCGCGTCGGCGAGGAGACGTTCGACTTGCCAGTAGACGAAAAGATGAGGTACACGTTGGGCAACAAAGTGAGGACGCTCTTCGGCTACAAATTCGTCGGCGCTACCGTCACGGACAAACAGGGCACCAAGGACACCGCCGAGTTCTTCAACGTGGCAAAGAATGACATGATCGTGCCGGACGAGCAGATGAAATATCCGTGGCCAGCCCCGATCCTCGACTCGAAACCGCTGTTCCGAGAGTATATCGAAACAGCTCACTCGATGGGGATGCTGCTCCTTGGCATTCTGGCGGAAAGGTTGGGTGTCGACGCCGCTGAAATTACGAGCAAGCACAGGATCTCAGAACTAGCAGGCGATCATGTGAGAATTACCCGCGGCCCGCCAAGAGAGACTGAGGATATGCCTGAAATTCAAACACCTTCGCACACGGACTTTGGCACGTGAGTGAATACCATGGACCGTAAAATATTGTGAAATCTGACAAGTGGCACACAGAATCACGATTCTTATGAACTGGCTAGGGGGCTTACAAGTATGGTCTGAGTCGGCGCGCAAAGCACAGCTAAGCGACGGCCAACCAGACACAGCTGGCGAATGGCTGTGGGTCAAGCCTCAGAAGGGTTGCGCTATCGTTAATCTCGGCGACGCAGCTGTGAAGTTTACCAACGGCGCATTGTGCTCGGGTCGCCATCGGGTCATACCAGCACCTGGGGCGCAAGGTAAGTGGCCACGGTATAGTATTGTGTACTTCGTAAGGCCAGAAGACAAGTGCATTTTGAAGCAGCTGAGAGGCACGGGAATTCCCGATGGCCCCGAGGAAGAAGGGCTCACAGCCCAAGATTGGATTTATCGACAGGCTCAAAACCTTGGAATTAAGTAAAGCAAGTAAGAGGGATCGATAGGATGCTCGAACGTATAAGATCATAATCAGATTATTGAGGTAGAATATATTTCGTGCCGGAGTAAGACGCCCGCCTTTGATAACTGTACATCCAGCGACGGAGCTTCTGTGGAACTCTGACGAATAAACAGCTAGACTTCTTCTTGCTTTGCCACACAGGGTCTCCAATTCTTGGAACACCGACTTGAACGTGTCTTGAGCGTATACAAAACGCATCAAATCGCAGATACGTCTATACCACAATGTGTTTCCCCCCTCAACAATTTTACCTTTTTTTGTGGCCTGCCATGTAAACTCCGGCGTTAGGTCTACATTCTTGCCACACCGTCCCGTGTTGTTCAAGTATGGGAAAGGGTTTCACCTTGGAGCGAATCAAGATCTATCAGAGTTCGGAAAAGGCTGAAAGGAGATCCCTTTGAATTAGACTGCGTTTGAAAAGTTCAGGAAGAAGTCTTGAACCGGCCCTCCTAGTTTTAACATCGGGCATCATCCTGGTGTGACACATTTGGCCCATAACTGGGGCGACAGGCTGCTATGGTATCCCGAGGGGCTGTGATAGACTAAATCGAATGACTATGGTTTTATATCTTCTGAACATCTGGTGGATTTGGTCGTTTTGATGACACTCATGGCTGGCTCCATTCTTGCTGTCCGGAGACTGTATGTGAAAAGCTTCTTGTCAGGATGATGCAATTGGGGGACTGGCTGATTCGCTGTGCAAGATCCCCAACGAGCAAAGCGTGTCGTCCTTGGGGATGGTGCATGTGAGTCTGGTAGACATGAAGACATCGCTCAGAGAGCCTTACCACTCTTGATAAACCTGCAGGAATTGTGCCTTGAAAAGTGGAAGGCAGGAAACCTGACCAAATAGTTTTCGACCGTAGACAGCCGACATTTAATGAAAACGCCACTACCTGGGACAGACCAATTACTCGAAAACATCCAAGCAGCCGCAGTGGGAGTGCTTTGACTCGTGTTGCTGTAGAAGAGGTCGATGCCGTGTCAAGCGTGTTTTGGCCGGGAATTATGGTCAAAGATGTGCCTAACTTGTTACAACTAGCAAGGCAAGCCGATACCGCTACAAATTGCTTCATTAGAAGAACATTCCGGGGTAGAGCTTATTATGAAAATCACTGCCAAGAAGATGCGAAGCAGCTTTGTCCAGACTACGAGTACCGCAAAGAACACAACTGGGAGTTCGCCTAGTTTGATGGTCAGATTCGTATATATCTTCCCAAAATTACTAGCTCGAAGGTTCTTGCAAGGACGATATGTTTACTGGGACTACTTCTGCTGGTTACTGAAGGCCTCTGCTAGGGATAGGTACTGAATACTCCTAATGATTAACGCACCCTCCCCAAGGCCACCTTTCAATGTTTTGGGCAAAGTTTGCTTGGGTAGGCCAGTCGTGGGCTCAATTTCTAAGATTCATTCAATAAGAGGGTGGTATGGACTTGAGAAGTCACGCTCTCGATTCTGTACAGGTCTGGTGTCTCGATTCAACCATCATTCCTGAGCCAAGCGTAGGCGTGTTATACAGCTATCACGCAAGTTTCCGGGGCTCAACAGCTTATGAGATTATGCCGATACGGCACATAGCTCTCGATCTTAAGGTGGCGTATGAGACACATGATAGCTCGAAATAACCATGAATGCTTGGCATCAGCTTATCGCCATCACGTTTCTTACGAGTATTACAGATACGCCACACTACGCCTTGAGAGTCACGCAGACAAAGTAACGACACCGTGGGCGGTCGACGCTTATTGTTCAAGCGTAGGGTCAACAAAAAGCAATAAACGCTCTCGTAAGGACTCTGAGCCTTACTCTCGCTCTGGCTGGCAGCAGAATTGGGGGCTGTAGGATTGCGGCATAGCCTCGCCTGTTCTGCCTAGATGTTATGCTGACAGGGGGGAGCACGCAGCCATAAAACCCAAGAGGTTTCGCCAGGTCGCGTATTGCGTATTTCGATGTAAATCTCTCGAAAAGAAGAATAAGAAAACCTGCATTCTTTAAAATGGTTTACAGCTCCGACACAATCGAATTTGGGCACGGTTACACAGATCCAACACCCACCAGCGCCGCAGTGGTGTCCGATATTCCTACACAAACTAGCCGCCCTTCCACATCCGCTGCCAAATCGGCTTCTACGCATAGCACTTCGCATATCAAGCCAACGGCGACTCCTGAACCGCCGCCTATACTACAAATATACAGCAGTAACCAAGATGGCGTTTACCTCATGGGCGAGGGCGCCCTATCGACAACGCCATTCTACCAGCTCTGCCCGGGGCAGGATTGCGTCGCGGCATGCGAAGATAAGGCTCGGCTGTACCAGGCTGTCCCTATGGGCATAGAAGCGACTATGAACACGTACGGGAGACGTGGGAGTGACGGCCACTTGAACATGACTTTGTTCGGATTATGTAGTAATTTGCAGCAGACACAAACACTTGCGACATCGCAGCCAGATGTAGCGCCGTTCTTTCGAGCAAACCAGTCGGAAGCACGCATCGAAAGCATAGCATCGGATATCGCCATGTGTCTGGCCGGTACCTGTGAACTAACCAGAGATCCGGGACTCTGTGCCGGACCTTGCTCATTCGAAAGCTTGATCTCGAATGACTCATTGGTAGACATCAACCCTGGCGTCTATACCTGCATAAACACACTGTGTCCTAACACGTGCGGACTTCCATATGCGGACAGAGACACATTTGGCGTTGGGGTAGGTTGCATCGTAGTCTTGCAACTGTGATTTCCGCTGACGGCCATTAGATACTATTGTCTTATTTTATACAGGTCGGCCTATTGCTGATATGCGCACTATTTGTAATCGCAGTTGTACAAGTCCAGGAAAAAGCGTTTAATCCGAAGAGTTCGCTTGTAGCTTTCAAGAAGCCCCTCAAGAACTTTCTGGCTATACAGTGCTTTTTTGGAGGTAAGGAGATCGGAGCACTTGTTGTTCACATATAGGGTCTCTGCTGACAATGGTAGTGACAACCGCCATAGCAGCCATAGCTACCATTGCGTCCCGAGACATCAACCCACTCACGGGTTACGTGCTCATATTTGTAGCAATAGACGGGTTCCTATGCCCGGTCTTCACGCTGATGCTGCTTCACTATTGCGGCATCAAGTTCCGATACTTGACCGCACTAACGGTCATTAGCTGGGCGATTTCCTCGGGGGTCTTCTTGAGGTTGGTGTCGGTCTTGTCCCACATCTCATTCGACGAGAGCGCAATGCAGAGCGGTCTCGAGGAGCTGTTCCAGGTGTCGTCCTGCGGAGGTTCATCGGCCATGATGCTCTGCCAACAGATGCTCGGCACGAACCCTTTGTTCTACATGACCCAGTTCTACAACCATGAGAAGGTGCCGAGCCTCGAGACGGTTCCTCTCCTTCTGGCATGGAGCACTGTCGTACTGTTGGGTGTTGTGGCAGTGCAGTGTCTGCCGGCGCTCGGAGAGACGTCCACGAAGGTATGGCATAATGCCGCGCGAGTAATACGAATACCAGAGCCAGTAGTTAAAGCGTTACCAATTATCCTTTCGTCGACACTTTTCATGCTGTCCATCGCATATTACGTCGATATGGTCGTGGTATATCAGCGGATGGATTTGATTGATTGGCGAGGCTGGGATTTCGGGCAGGTTGTTGCATTTCTGTTATGGCTGCCGACCTTGATCGAGCTCGGGGACGCTTTTCTGAGTAAGTCGACACCGCCCTCTATGATCGGACTCGACCCGTTAATATGTAAAACCACAGAAATACGGAGGAACAGGCGGCAGGCTCATAAATTCCAACAATTGGCAGACGACGAGCCAGACAAGATGCTTGGCCGATATGATTCATTGAATGTTGCAGGGACGCGGAATAATTCGAACGTAAATAAGTAGATTACCATAGAAACGGGTCATGATGCCATATCCTGCTTCACATCCAAGATCCATGGAGTGATAACCGTCACATGTCCTACATGAAAGCAATTGTATTAATGTAGGTTTCGACGCTAATTACGTCCGCTTGAAGAACCCTTTGGCCTTGTTCGGGGCCGCTCCGACCCGCCTACGGTGCATGAGCATCTCTTTCACAGCCTTCGAGTTATGATTCGCCTTTGGTGCTAACTTCTGGTCGCTCTGGTCGACCATGACCCTGTAGGCGGTGGAGCCAACAATCTCATCCCGGGGTGCCCTTCCTTGCTGGGAGAGTGTTTGCAATGCATCGTCGAATTTGATCTTCTTCGGCTTCGCCACTCTCAAATCACGGTCGTCTTCGCTTTCCTCCTCGGAATCTGTAAGAAACTCTGCTGGCAGGACGCTGGGCAAATTGAACTTGTCGGCTCTCCTACGGCCGGTGGTCGCCCTCTCAACTTCAGGCTCGGAATCTTCCTCGTCTTCGGTCTCAGCTTTGCTGGTTTTCTTGGGCTTTGCTGCACGTTGTCTCTTCTGAGCTTGTTGCTTCATCATGTTATCTCGCTCTTGACGCTTCCTCTTCACTGTCGCTGCTTGCCTGGGTGACACTGTTAGCACCAGCCTCCGAAGTACCTACGTATATATATGATCTTGAACCTACTTCTCTGCGGCGTCTGTGGCAGCTTGTGCTGCCTTCTTGGACTCCTTCGCGGCTGCGGAGGTGGTGACGGCCTCAGGGGCCTCGTCGTCGTCGTCACTATCTTCCGGCTCTTGGACTGCAGTCGGCTGTGCCTTCTTGGCCTCCTTTGCAGCTGCTGCCACGTATTTCTCCACGTCGTCATCGTCCCCAAAGACGATACGCTTGCTCTTGGGTGCCGCGGCATCGAGCTCGTGGTTCAATTGCTGTCGTGCATCCTCCTCGAGCTGCTTCGTCACGGCGCCGGGCGTGGGCTCTGCATCCTCACTCTCTTCGGCGGAATCCGCTATGAGGGCCTCGCGGCTTCGTTTCGACTTGAGGGCTGATGACGGCTCGGCCCTCGTGGTTCGCTTGATCTTGGTGGTCGTCGTGCCATCTTCGTCGCGCACACGCACGGCGAGCCTTTGCCGCTTGGGTGTGGTCTCTTCTGCGTCGGGGCTTTTCAGCTGGCCGAATGTCTCTTCTACTGTGACCTTGCGCTTCACTTTCGGTGCCGGCGATTTTGGCGGGGCAGTCTCGGAAACTTGGGGGCTGCTCTGCGCGGCCTTGCGTCTCGTGAGAGGCGCCATATTCGGGCTGAGGGTCGAGTGATATACAGTCTGGCGTCGAGTTGAAACTGAGGGTAGATGCGGAAGGCAATTGCGCTGGATGTAATTAAGAGGACGCTTCCGTCGCTTGTTCTTCGAGAGACTTCAGCGCTCCCAACTTTTTTCTGGAGCGGAGCTTGTTGATAAGAGATAACGTTAAGACGTCTGAGACCACTTATCGGCTGCACCCGATAATGGCAAAAGAGCCGGATAGTTGCATAGCATACATATCATCAACAAGCCAAGGAGAGTTGGCCGTCACGAACCACAGCACGAGCACGGAAAGCAAAAGAGTGTCTCTAAGAGGAGAGTCCCGTTGCTTCTTGTGAGGGCTTCGCTTGGTTCAAACCAAAGCCGGCTGGGCAGAGCCATTGTTGCTACACGACCGTCGTCAACGGTGAGAGCGAGCATCCCTGAGACTAGCATGTTTGCCAGGACGACAACAAGACAGGCCAGGCTTTTGCGGCGAATCGTGACACGCCAAAATTGCCTGAGAGGCAGCAGCATCCAGACTCCAAATATTGCACATTCCGCTGCATTCTCTACCACCAGAAGCCAGAATGCAGTGCCGCGAAAGGTCCCGGGCACCTTCGCCAAAGCCCGCTTCTCCAAGATGGAAGTTCCCCAGCTGGCTTTCTGGAAGAGCATGGCACGCCCACCATTGGTAGTTGACACGGAACCGGACGAGTTCTTCAGAACCACGCATGTCTATGTTGACCTGGCCGTGGCCGACAAGGCCGGATGGCGCAGCACACTTAAAGACCCGCCTCATTCGTTATCATATGCCACTCTCCACTATGCAGCAGCAATGATCATGAATGGGCCAGTTGGGCCGGCTTACCAAATTGCCTTACATATTTACCACACTCTGGTAACCCTCAACTACCCGCCGTCCATCATTACTGTTATACGCTTGGCCTTCATGAGAAACAAGCTGGGACAGCCGCAATTCAGTCTAGCAGAGGAGAAATTCGCAGCCCTGTTGCGGCGAAAGGACGATCCTAATGCTTGTGCGATGCAAGGCATTATACTTGCATCGAAACTGACGCCCGAAACCGATAAGCAAGCATTGCAATGGTTCCGCACCGCAGCTTCTCTAGGTGGGGAGGAGCCAGGTGCTTGGGACTGGCAAGCAAGCTGCGCCATGGAGATGGGAAAGGTGTATCTGCGCATGAACAACACAAATAAGGCTAACGAAATCTGGAAATATTGCGCCGAGAGACTTGATGTGGCCGAGGGCGCTTGGTTGTATTCTACTCTGTTGGACCACTCGGACCCGAAGAAGTACTACTGGGTATGCAGAGCCGCTGTTTCTGGTATTCAAGATGCTGCACGGGAGATGGCACGACTTGAAGGCTCAAGGACAGAAATCGAAGGCGTGGGAGGCGCCGGAGCCTGGGATGCTAAGTCGGCTGGTGTATTGCAGAGAGAATGGGAAGCCATTGCCGGTGATCGAGCACTTGTGTGACGACGGAACTCATGTGATCCAAGTCTGACATAATTAAAATGTAGAACATGTACTCTATACTTGTATATAAGTCACCGTACAAAGGGATGTCAAAGATCTCATTCGCAGTTGGGCAATGGATGAAACCCCTCCTATAATTCACTCTGGCTCACTGTGCTTCAATAAAATATACGTGACTCCAAAAAACCCCGTCGCCTATCCTCCTAACATAATGGTCTCCCTTTCTCGGTTAAGTATTGCTCTGGTTGGCGATACCTTGACCTGCCATCATTCCACGCCAGCGTCAAAGGCGGAAGCAATGTTGATCTGGCACCGCTGAATTTCGGTATCCTTATACTTGGCGTAGCCTTTCGCAACAATTAGTGCCACCGTCGGATGCCCTTAAAAATTCGTCCTGAAATGCAAGCCACTTACATTGTAGGTCTCTTCCAACAACTCTCAAGAAGAGTTCGTACTCGACTTCATAATGTTTTCTGCCTACCGGTTTGCCTGTCTCCTCGTCGAAGCGTTGTCGTGGCCTAATCAAGCCTTGCTTGCGAAGGAAAGTGAAGTCTGTGATGATTCTTCCGATGACTTCCGCACCTAGCAATAATCAGTCATGAGGAAACAAGAAGAACAGTTCACTGTCTCATTCCCAATTACCGTGGTTCTTTGAATGATCTCTCTTATAGTATGATTCGGTGTCTGAGTCAGACACGAAGAGCAACTCTTCACACCGCAGTGGACCTTGAGTGGCAACAATTGTGTGAGTACAGGAGATGGCCTCAGATGTCCATACGGGCTCGGCAGGTTTGTTATTGGAGCGAGTTACGACTTCGGAACCCTGTCATATGTTACGAATATGTCTTATTCAGAGTCAGCTGGCAACTTACATGTTTCAGGACCCAATATATGGTATCCCTTACCCAATATCCACCGTCAGTCGAGCTCCGTTGCGGCTTTGTCAACCCAGCAATTTTGAATTCTTCCTTCTCGTCGTCCCAGGGCTCAGTGCGAAGAAGGCCGAAGCTAGAGCGAATAAAGCGAGCCGGCCCGAGGTCCTTGTTCAAAGATCGGAGAATCCCTCCAGAAGCAACTGCGGATACGCTGGTACTGGATTAGTAACTATTGTGGCCGACTTGAATACTGCCACTAACTCTCTATTCGGCACAAGTACATCAATCTTTGGATAACCGTACCGCCTGGAATATGCCCAAAGCTTGCGTTCAAGATATCTATTTAGAGAAATTGATCCTGCAAAGCCGCCGGTCAAGACGACTTTCTGGCAAACGATCAGTACGTTGTGTCTTAGGCGCGTTAGCAATCATCTTACATCGATTACTTTGTCCGCCCCTGCGAGGTTTCGATATCGTTCAATCTGTGCTTGAACAAGTTCCCACGTAGGCTGTAGGCAAGGTTTGAAAACCTTTTCCTTCATGTGGTGGCTAAGGGACAATAGTTCTTCAATCAACTTGAATGCCGGAAAATAATTTATGGAGCAAACAGACAGAAAAAAAGACTCACAAAGGTACCTCAATGTAATTTTTTCGAAAACCTTGGTTCATATTTTGTTCCAAGCCTACGCACTTGATTAACTTGTTGGATTCACTTTTATGGAAAATGTCGAAGTTTCTTTTGTGGATCAGCTCAAACTCAGTCATGGTGATTGTGTGAGCTATCTCGTCCAATGTCTCTCCTCGTCTGGTCAGGTAGTCTGCACCCTCGAGCCTGCTACGAATGTAGCGGAAGAAAAGCTCGTTCAGATAGCTCGATCCACAAAGATCACCTAGATGAGTCAGTCGCTTTCGTAATTGCCTACAAATGCTGGTCAAGACTCACCTTGAGGTGTAATCCCTTCCGCTTGAAGCCTCAAAGGAACTTTTTGGGAAACGGTATAGATACTGACATCTACCGTACCGCCGCCTGTGTGCAATGAGCTAGAAGCACAAAACGAGCCCCAAAATGGTTTGGATTACCTACCAGCATCAACAAGTACAAAGGTATCGCCCGCCTGAAAATGAATTAGTATTGCTTTATAATTGTGTGATTAGTCAGACCGTGTACTCACCGAAATACTTGTGTTGGTTTGTAAAACCCACGCTGCCGCTGCTTCGGGTTCAGACACAAGGAAGAGTCCGTTGATTGAATTCTGTTCTGTGGTCACCTGATCAAAGTCCGCATGCGTGAAGGCCAATGCAAGTGCAGTCTGCATTTCTCTGCATGCCTTCGGCGTCCAGATAGCTGGGATACATAGGACAACCTCAAAAGCACATTCTTTGTAGCTGTCCTGTGCAATCAACTCGCTCTTCACATGCCTCAGCAGACATGTCAGATAATCAGATATAGCGCAAATATGCGCGTTTGAGGCGTCGTGGTAGCCGATTTGTGACAGTAACGGCGCAAGATCACGTCGCACTTGATGCGTTCTGATGTCATCCTGAAGCATAAGTTTAAAGCGCTTCAATAGTGTTCCTCCATCTGACGAGCCCCGGGCTTGGTAGCCCCAACGTAGATGTCTTGCGATTTGATGATGGGGAGATCCTACTTCTGTGCGCCAGGTACTATCAGCACTCGAACTGCAATCGAAGTCGTCAATCATAGGTGAGTCGTCGATCGTAGACGAGTCGTCAGTTGTAGGGTAGATGATTTCTGAGGGAACTCCAACAGCCGCTGGGAAATCATAGAGGTGGTTTGGGTCGTCTGGCCAATTCGTAATGTAGTTGATGTCTGCTGCAGGTACATGCCTACTGTTTCTATTATGATCGAGGACTGCGTATGACACCTCACAAGTTGTGGTACCAAAATCGATGCTCATGATCACCCGACGGGACTGAGATTTACTGAGAGACTCCCCCCAAGCCAAACTACCAAAGCCATCAGATACCTTGGATGGCGTGGTCTCTGAGGCCAGAAAGTTACGGCGGCGGGATGGACCGCTGAATGACTTCTGTGCGGCCATAGGTCGGCTTTTTAAAACAATGCCTGGAGAATGATGAGCTCGGTATAAAATTTTCAAGACTAGTCTGAAAATATGGCAGCACAAACCTTGGTTTTGTACTACAGTGGTGTTGAACAACAAGTAATAATGAGATCAAACAATTCGTCACATACCAAGACAACATCACGAAGAAACATTCTAGGTTAGATATTCTTGGTTGCCTTAATGTTTCTGCATAGCAGGCATAGACGCAAACCGCAGGAAACTGTGCGAAGATTCAGCATCAAGGATAATGACTTGTGCACGGATCGCTATCACACTTGTGATGGAGCGTATAAAGATTGGTGGCTTCACAAGGCTTGTTGACCCATGGCTCTGAGCCGATTGGATTCAAATTGCTTTTCATTTATATTTCCATCTCTTGGCGACCAACAATTAGCTGCACATTTCCAGCCCTGTTGTTTTACAATCCCGGCAGTCCTACATAGAACGCATAATCATAAAACACTGGCACATCGTGTCAAGATTCATCATCAAGAGAAAATGACTTGTTCACGGATTGCTATCACATTTGTGAGGGTGCGTATGGGATTCGTGGCTTCACAAGACATGTTGACCCATGGGTCTGAATCGATTGGATTCGAATTGCTCCTCATTTCTATTTCCATTCCTTAGTGACCAACAATAAGCTACGTATTTCCAGCCATTTCGTTCTACAATCCCGGTGATACTACCAGCCTTATTATATTTGCAAGGGCCATTAATTGATAACCTCCGGGGTGAAGCTAGAAATAGAAATGCGGGTTCTAAATGATTACGGGACCTCAAATTTGAGCCAAAAGCTGCACATCGATTTATTTGTTTATGAATGGTTCTGGAGAATAAACCCCTTGGCCACAAGGCCTAGTATAGCTATCATTGTAGCCTTGTCTCCAAAAAAAATTGGGGGGGGGGGGGGGGGTTTTTTTCACAAAGTGGCAATGATTGATTCCAAGTTTAGAGTGCACATCAACACCTGTGACGGTGCGAGAAAAGCAAGCATAGCACAGGAGGACGTGATCACATTTGCTTTTTGTGATGATATCTATACACCCTGGCTTTATGTCTCATGTAGATACTCCCCGATTGGCTTTGCGTCCTACCGGAAACAAATTACCCCTCGTAGCGTGCAGGCAGCTCGCATGAAAATGTGACAACTTCCATCGATTCTGGAAGAAGATGAAAGGTAAACGACAAGAATTTATTTATTTCAGGTGCACTTAGCAATTTCCAGTGATAGCATCATTCGGAACTTTTGGAAGTCGCAGTTGTACTATCACCATGACAGCAAACAGCCGTAAGGCTGCAGAGTTAACAACGAAATCACAGGCGGTATGGTCTCGAGATTCTGTACCACAACTGCTTGCATGGTTGGATTTGTGTCGGGAAGAGGGCAAAACTGCTCACTTTTACACAACAATCATTCATCGCCTGCAAGATACATTGAACTTTTCCTTTACAGTAGTGCAAGTCAAGAACAAGCTCACTTACCTTGCGCGGAAGGAAGATTCAAAGCGCAAAATCTACAGGCCTTTGATTCACAAGTTTGGAAGCGACCATTTGTCGAAGTTGTCATCTAAAGATAGGATCCGACTTGAAGAGATCAAAGCAGCCCTGAGGCCAATCTTCAACAATACTCTGAGAAAATATATGGAAAATCAGTCGCTGCAAATCAAGGGGACGACGAGGCTATCGAACCAAAAATCTCAAATAGCGACAAGCAAGGTTGCACTTTCCACCAGCACGAATCAAAGTGAAGATTTCGTTACTATATCGGCGAATCTGTACGGCAAACGAAAACGTTCAGACACTGTTAGTTATTTTCCAGGCTAGTAATTCCTTAATAGTAATGAGGATTGCAGGTACATGTTCAAATGGACCACTCACCGAGATTCCCCAGGCGTTCATCCTCGTTCATAGAGATATCCGCAAAAGACTTAATCTCAGACGAAGAATATGATGTCGAGAAAGCCTCTGATACTTATCGCAATCAAAAGGCGCAAGCGGAACGTGTGACCGGCGCTGTCGTTGAACACCACACCAGAGATCGTGCGATTAGGGTTGCAAGTAGCCTCCCGAGCTTGACTTCTAGAGATTGTCAAGAGAAGCTACCAGATCCGGTCCTTGATCTCACGATATCACCGCAACTAGAGAAGAGGTTGGGAACAGATCAGATACACATATCAGCAATGTTCCAAATTCTCAAGGACGAGTCTTCGGCACTCCACCATCGCATCTGTATGCTCGAGAATGACAACGACGTGACAAAACAATGTCTACGCGCGCCAATCGACGTGGCTGCCATGCGATATGAGAGTAATCATCTGCATGAGAAGAATGCTGCTCTGGAAAATCATATCGAGAAACTGCGAGATCATGAAAAGAATACTCTCGGCATGAGAAGCTGCGAATTAAGCGCGAGGGTCAGAACATTGGAGTCAGATATCAACGATGTCTGCCTCAAGATTTGCTCGATTTTTGATGCAACAGAGTTATCACTTCCGGAAGAAAACGAGCAAATCTACAACGGCTTGTTTGAGCGAGCACTGAAACCGAGCAGCTGGAGTGAAATCACCAAATCATCAGCGCCTTCCCCACTCATGTCGGATGCTTTTCGTATTTTGAGTGCAATTCATGTCTGTGTAAGAATATTCGAGGATCGGGCTTTTGATTCACTGACGGCGGTGGAGCCTTTTTTGAATGGCTGGCGCCGGATGACGCTGTGTGACGGTACGTAGTTAGGATCACCACCGCGCGACTGTTGACTGATACCCTTATTCTCTCAGGTGGCTCGGATGCATTAAGAAAATTTGACTTGCTGGGTCTCAGCTCCAGTCTTAGGTCAAAAGCATTCGACCGCCAAGTAAAGGCCAAAGCCCAGGCGCTGTCCCATGAGATAGTCGCCACCATATCTGACTTGACTCATCAATGTGGCGACCATCAATTTCACCCTTTGCGCAATATTCAATCGACAGCGATCTGTCTCTCCGACTTTGAATCTTTATTCGGAAATGCGCTGAAACTCAAAGCAGAACTTATGCTTACTGGCCAGGAGTACACTGCATTCTTCGTGCCGTCTGGCACAAAATTCAATCCCGAAATGATGGAAAAGGCGGCCTACTCCATTGAGGAGCCTTGCTGGAAACGAAGATCGGGTTTCAGTGAGGATGATGAAAGGACTAATAAGCCACAAACCTTCACTGTCAATATTTGCCTGTTTCCCGCGATCTGCGCGTACACTTCTGAGCCAAAACGCGACAGACAAGCGATCAATTGGAAGACAGTCAGACCATTGGAGGATGCTTGGAAACGCTACTACAATATTGAGGATTTGAAGGCTATGGGTGCTAAGACGTTGTCGAAGGCAGTTGTACTTTTAAGATAGGTGGCTCTGGGATTGCCGGAGAAACAGTTCATGATTTCGAGTTTGTCCTGACCACGAAAAAAGAAAACGTCATTGGAGTGGACAGAGTTGATGACATTAAAATCCGCGATTTCTCGCAATTTATTTACAACATATACTTATGAGAACACAAAATGTGAAAGTGTACCATAGTGATTGCACTATCTCCGGGAATACACAACAGGGAAACAAGAAACATTGAATATAAAAACTGGAACCTATGCCCTCTACACCAGTAACAAGGAAATACTCCGCCTCGGTCTACCTGCGGCGGAGACCAAAACGAGTGCGAATGGCTCGCGTTTCTCTAGTAATGGTCTGCCAGCCTGAAGCCACTCTCCTCCGAGCCTTTGAAAGCTTTGCCTCAAAATGGACACGGCGCCCGTGTAAGAACGGCTTAGCCTCATGGATGGGCTTGAGATGTGTCTCGATTTGGTCAGGACTCGTTCCATCTCCAGAACCAGTCCCCATGACGTCCGAACCTACTTCGGCTTTGAAAGAACCGGCCGCTTCCTCCAAGACTTCGGAAGAGGTCGAGGCTGCGTCGGCATCATCAACATATGCGGAAGAAACGTACTCTGGCGGCACTACACCTGTGGCGAAAGATGGAGGACGATCATTCTCAAGGATTACCTCGTTTCGTCGGCACGTTGCCCCGTAAAGAGGCAGTGGCTCAACCCAAGGGTCTGCAACTGTCTTGGGTGGAGCGTAGCCGTTACGGCCATCCATGTGCTCGATCTCGGCATGTGAATAGACACGCATAGACCCACTCAGTTGCCGGTTTGTGGTGCCCGGAATGAGTTCTCCTATGCTGTTAACGTCTTGCATATATGTGATGTAGTCATCTACGCTACCCCAGCACCCCTCGAACAGGATGTCCTCGACGTCGATTGGAGTCAAGACATATCTATGCTTCGACCAAGCATAGGCGATGACCTGGGGCGTCAGATGCTCCTCTACGATCACCTGGGAAGTCATCTGGATTACGGATGATTCATCTCTCAGAGCCGGATGAATATCCGCCAAAACCGTGACAGTGGCCATTATTTCTCGACGATTCGTACTACGATGGCGTTCTTGTCGTTTCGGTTTCGATATGAATCGGCGCTATTAGGTTCGAAGCATATGGTCTTTAGAGTAGAAGGGTTTATCCTGGGCATGTACGTGGTCACTCATATTTGTATATTCACTGGAGCTTGGTCTTACATGTTTCACAATGGGCTTGTTGCCCTCGAAAAATGCAACAAAAACACCTTTGTTTTTGAAAGGTCACTTACGAACACGGCTTTTGCAGGTTTGCCCGGATTATTGTCACAGCTGTGTTTTCTTTATTGCAGGTCCTGACAAACCAGCGTAACAAGGACGCCTTGTATTAAGCTGTATATATGATAGTAGGCATAGCGGAGGAGGTTTTGGGAATGACAAAACTTCCACGAACGACTCTACTATTGCAGGGAGGTTGACCATTCGACAGAAGCAGAATGTCATTTGCCGGACCCAACGCAATTCGAGATGGTGTCCGGCCATCTAACGTACTATCCAAAGAAGATGACGGTCTTGTTCAATACGAGGTATTCGACTGTGGGCACGCCTATATTCCACAAGAGGGCATGCCTCAGGTGTTCATCGGTAACAAATACACAGGTTGTCGTGCCGAGTATTTTCCGAGACGAGGCCGCCAGCCTGCAAAGTTCCTATTTTACCATGGCTATGATCCGTCGGTCACAGCAGCTTGCGGCTGTCTCACCAAGAGCCAGCCCAAAACCATTACGTGCGATCTCCCGAGGGCGCTGGCAGAGCACGGAGTGGGGCTTGTCAGCCAAAAGAGGCTCGAGACGAAAATGGCCTCGATCGTCGTTATGAAGCTGTTCTTAGGTCTGTATGTGCCTGAATCACTACAAGGACCTTTCTTCGAAGAAGAAAATGAACGGCAGGCGAAGCAAGTTGAGCAAACTGAACGACCAACATGTGATATTGCATTGAATCCAGAGTCAGGAGCAGAAGAAGAGGTAGCCCGAGCTCAGGGTGACGGTGAATAATACACCCATTTAGTCATAGATTTGTTTGTTCAATTGTGCGACCACCTTGAGGAGGTATGTGAGTTGTTGGCTGTTGCTGCCGGGGAAGTTCGAGGTAGCCAACGTCAACTTGTTAGCCGTTACGCACAGGCCATAGCGTGGGGGCACGGGCCACTAAAATTTATCGAGCTTCAACTCAGCATCTTGGAAAGGGATCATGGCTTTCTTGTCGCGGAGCTCCATTGCCACGCAGCGAAACACACAATGCCTCCCAGGATACCAGCGCGCTTGACGGCGCAGTGCTGCCGGGCAGCTCTCGAGCCCTCCAAGTCGACTCCCCTCATTGGCGCTTTCGCCGCGCTTTCAGTCCAGACCCGCAGTGCTTCCATTCTCGCCGATCTCAGAGACAACGACGGAGCCTACCAGAAGCGCATTCGTGTTGGTCGTGGTCCGTCTGCGGGCAAGGGAAAGACGTCCGGAAGAGGTCACAAGGGTCAGAAGCAGCATGGAAAGGTGAACCCGTGGTTCCAGGGTGGTCAGACACCCCTTCTGTTCTCAAGAGGTAAACTGGGTTTTGAGAATCTGTACGTCTCCTCCACCGGACTCTTAGGCAGCGCCGTGCTTGTGCCAACGTGCCATACAGCTCTCGGCTGAAACCAGGCTGACCCAGACACTTCTTCTAGTCGCGCTCCCGTCATGTCGGAAGTGAACCTCGATAAGCTGCAGGAGTGGATAGACCAAGGCCGAATCGACCCTACGAAACAAATCACACCAAAGGAGATCATTCAGTCGAACCTCATTGGTACCATCAGGGATGGTGTCAAGATCCTCGCCCGTGGTGCAACCAACCTCAAGCAGCCCATTGACATCATGGTCTCGCGCGCCTCCTCGGCGGCCATCGATGCCATCGAGAAGGCAGGCGGCAAGGTTGTGACCAGATACTACACAAAGCAATCAATAAAGCGACTGGTGGAGGGCAAAAGTGTCAACACTGCTCTTCCTCTGCCCGTGGGGCCTGAACATGTTGGCCCGGTACTGGAGCAGGTCCGCCAGAAGGGCTTTTTCTACAGATTACCCGATCCCACAAGCCGTTGGGACATCGAGTACTACAGAGATCCGGCACACAGGGGTTATTTGAGCCACACCCTCAAGCCAGGCGAGTCGCCATCACTCTTCTTCAGGGTGCCTCCCACCAAGCTCGCCAAGTCGAAGAAGCAGAAGACGGCGAAGAAGGAGGATACCAAGCTTTGGGAGAAGTTGTAGAGTATACAGATTCCAGATATGTACAGAATACTTGTATTATGAGAATGCTATGCTAGCATGCACTGTATCAACTACCTTTCCGATAATACTACAAACTTGCGGTATTGACAACTTCTCAATGCGTGGCCATTAACATACAGACTTGCTGGAAGCTGTCACTGGATTTGTTTGCACACTTGATTCAGATGGAATGGCCGTGGACCTCAAGAGTCCGCCATATTATCGAATTCTCATCTCGAACCGTAGCACACAGGATAGATCCTATGTGCGATGACGCTTTGCACAATGAATCACAAGCACCCTGGCAAAGCTGAAACATGATGAGTTACCTACACAAGGGTTCCTGTACTCGTTCGCCCAGGTGCTATCGCTAATCAAGACGGCAAACAAGCTTTTCAGCAGGTCACGGTCACTGTAGTTCAACGTAGCTCTGCCCCAGTATTCGTGTAAGCTGCTACGAATGGATCCTGTCGACACTGGAGCTCACAGCCTTGGTACTCTATCTGCGAATGGGCTCAGTAGCCTCCTGCGATAGTTGGCTTTAGTGACTGTGATCTCTCTCGAGATTATGTTCGTACACCAAATAAATACCAAGCATCAATCTCACTCAGAAGTATATGATCGAATATGACATGCCGCATCTAACTATATATATCTATTCACCGCATTCTTCCCACCTTGAATCACTCGTATCCGACTCTATACTAGATAGTATATCTCCAAACCAACAGAACCATGCCCATATATACAGGCTACGGTCGTTATAGTCAATGATGACCACACGAGTTGTTGGGCAGATGCGAAATCTGTGGCCAGCCGACCCTCCGTGGTCTTGAGGAGATGTTTCCGCTACACAAGCGCCAAGAGGCGCAGATGCCTGATCTTGTCGGTGCGGCCGAGATCAGGCCTGGAAAGCTTATGAAGTACATCGGCACCAGCAAGCGACTGTGCTGGCTCTGTCGGTAGTTTCTGAACCAGGGCCGGGTGGATAGCACGACTGTCACATCTGAAGATGCAAGTGGCCGTTGGTATGTGGCAGATATTGCAGCCAAGAATATCCACAACCAGGACGCCTCGACGGACGAAAAAGCCGATGGTGGATCTCGTCAAGAATGCTTATTGTCGTGGTTATTGGGATCGAGAGAACCGACCACGAACTCCTGATGAACTCTCAAACCTTTCGCCAATTGGCCCCTCAAGCCTTAGTACCAGTTCTGGTGAATTTGAGATCGGAAGTCCAAAGACCAGACACCCAGAGGCCAGCATGCCAGGTATCAGACACGCACAAAGTCTTCCAAATAATCTAAATGGTCGGCACGAGGAGTACCTACGTGGTTGTTGCTGACTGTAATTGCTGGTCAACGTGGATCCTGTATTCACTATATAGTCGTATCGTTCTATTTTCATCTATTCCCTATCTAAGCATTCCCGCCAAGTGTCTTTGCAGCCTCGGTGTTAAGCCGGCTCCATCTATTGAGCAGACTAATGGCAAATGCCAATCCACTTGCCGCAATTGATATCGCCAGTGCAACCTTGATGCCAGCCATGTATGCCATCAGCACACCAGGAATCTGGTTTGCATCAAAGACGTTTCGCAACTCTGTCGCACCGGTAGCAACCACGACAGCTGGGTCGACACCCGGCGCCGTCATCGGCAGTTCCTGGACCAGCTTATTGACGAAAGCCGCCTGGGCAGCGGAGAGCATGGTTGTTCCGCCAAGGTTCATGAAGAACAAGACGATTGCCGTGATGGATGGTAAGTCAACAGGATCGGCATTGCCTTGGCCGATGACGATTGGCACCTGCCATGCCATGCCCCAGGCCACACCCCCGAGAATCTGATATCCGATCCATCGTCCGGTGCTGGTGTCAATGTCCAGCGTGTACAGCAGACCGGAAGCTACAGTTGCAAGAGCACTGCCGACGACTTCTAAAGGCGCTGCATGGCCAGTAGCAGTGATACACACGCCAGACAGGATTAAGCATATCGTGACTGGTATGATCAATGGTAAGCTATAGACGCCAGACATTGTCGGCGTGGCGCCATCGACGCTCTGGAAGTAGATTGGGAGACTGCCGATCAATAATGGTTAGCTTGTTATTCCAGTTTCGGGCAATGAGAACCACAACTGCGTAACTGAAACAGTCGGAACAGTAGAGAAACTAACGAATATTGAGATGAGCTAAGGGGGTCGAAACTTACTAGTAGATAGTGAGGAAGTAAGGGCCTGAGAAGAGGAAAGTGAAAGCACTGCTCACACTAACTGAGCGTTGCTTCATCAGTCGTGGGGGAATCATCGCCCTCTCGCCTTGATTGAACTCCCAACAGCAGAACGCGACGGCAATTGCGACGGACCCGACGAGTAAGCCGATCACGGTGCTAGATTTCCACGCCATGGACTGGCCTCCGTATTGTAAAGCCAGGGTATAGGAGATCAGTGCAGCCATGACCAGTGCAACGCCCACGAAGTCCATCTGGAGCATCTTCTCCCTCCAGGTGGCAACAATGGGCTTCGAAGCGCTGGGGGTGTGGAACAGGAAGAAGATGATGAGTGCAGAGACTCCACCGACAGGAAGATTGATGTAGAAACACCAACGCCACGAGACCTTGTCGGTAAATGCCCCGCCGATCAGAGGCCCAAGTACAGCGGCTGCTCCGTATGATATCCCGACGATCCCCGTGTAGCTTGCTCTTTTTGCTGGCTCCACGATCAACGCAATGATGGTGTAAACCCCTGTTCCAAGACCGGCAGCACCAACACCTGTAATGGCTCGACCGACAATCAAAGCCTCAGGGTTTGGAGCTACACCACACAGTAGACTCCCGAGTTCGAAGACGAAGACGGAGGTGAGGAATGTTGTTTTGAGGGGAAAGTACTTGTATGCTTTCCCCCATGAGGACTGAAAGCCACCATTTGTCATGAAGAAGGCAGATCCGTACCAAGATACTTTGTCGAGTCCGCCGAATTCGTCTGTGATTTTGGGAATGGCTGTCGCGACGATCGTCATGTCGAGGGAGGCGAGAAAAATGGCCAAGACAAGTGCCATAACGATGAACAAGAGCTTGGAGCCCTTTGGGTAATCATTTTCTTTTGCATTGTTGCCATCTTCGATGGAAGAAGACTCGTCGAGCTTTTCGTCATTCTTAGTGATCATGGTTGGAGGTTGAGGGGAAATCCTCGCTTCGAGAGGATTTTTCTGAGGACTTGGCTCAAGTATGTCTTGGCTATGATTATCCATCGCTCGAATACTTTGTCGTAAGACTCAATGATTGAAGGGCGTGCTGGAGATGAGTGCCTGGAGTATTGTGACTCTAGTTCTTGAGAAGGATGCTCAGTCCGACTTATATGTCCCACACGAGCCGAATAACAACCAGTAAGTTTGTCGTTTGGTGTGACCGTCTCGGTCGAGAGTCATAATAAAATTTGACTGGACCACATAACATATGAGACATACTTCATCATTGCTTCCCAATTATAATCTCAGTTTCATGTATTCTTCGAGTGCATGCTTGGTACGACATACAAATGCAGATAGATGTATACGGTTAGCGCCGCCTTGAGACCCACAATGAATCAGAATGGTTCACCTAATCCAACACAAAGGCCAACAGCAAACATTGGCGAGCTGAAAAGGGGACCGCCGCGCCCGCAACTAACATTTTCTTGCTTATTTTAATCAAACACATTGGAAAGGGACATGAAAAATCAAATTGCCGAGAGTAAACCAATCTCGAAATGCCTGACAACTTTCGGCCGAGTGCGGTGGTTTCCGGCCCACCTAGCGGACATAGTACACTGATATGGCGATACATTGCGCAGACAAATGAGCTTGGCTTGACCTGATCTTTCACATGGACTGTTTCAAATGACGAGCTCTGTTGGGAAAGGAAAATAAAGTATGATTCTTCCTTCAAGTCGAAAATAATGACTATATACATGAATTGGTTCTACCACACCTGCAGACTACCTACAGCTTGAGATAGTATCCCTCATTTAAGAGCAGCGCTTGACAGCAGTAGAGCCCACCGTAAGGGTAAGCGTGGTGCTAGCCCTGATATCTCTCGAGCTAGAGCCGACAGCAATGGTGTAGTCGCCGGATGCGACAGCCCAGGCCTGGGCCGCGGTGTCCCAGTAGCTCAGATCACGTCTGTGCAGGCTGAATGTGATGTCCACAGACTCGCCGGCAGCCATGCTGACCTTCTCGAAACCGCGCAGGATGCGAATGGGCTGCTCGGCCTCGTCGGGGAAGCTGATGTAAAGCTGAGCGACCTCAGCACCCGTCAGTTCTCCGCTGTTCGAGACGCTGGCAGTCACGTTGACGATCTCGTCCCACAGATCCTCCTCACCACCGAGAGTGAGAGTGCCGGAGGCATACTTGTAGGTCAGGGCGGTCTCGTTGGTGACGGTAGCAGTAACGTCGGCTCCGTAAGTGAAGTTGGTGTACGACAGACCGTAACCGAAGGGGAAACGGACGGTGACGTTCTCGGCGTCAAACCAGCGGTAGTCGAGGTAGACACCCTCGGTGTAGTCGCATTGCTCCTCCTCGCAGATATTGAACTCAGTTGGGTAGTCGCTCGCGTTCTTGGGGATGGTGTAGCCGAGCTTGGCGCTGGGGTTGACATCTCCGTAGAGGACGTCGGCGCTAGATCAAAATTATGTCAGTGTCACGGCCTTTCTCTTTTGGAATAGCGGAACCGGGGAATTGTGACCATGGGATACTTACATGGCATTGCCTGACTCTTGTCCCAACAGCCCACTGTAGAGCACAGCAGTGACGTTCTCGTGCTCGATCCAGGCATCGAGGATACGAGGGCCAACTGTGTTTACAACGACAATGGTGTTGTTGCAGGTGGCAGCGACGGTAGTGACCATGGTATCCTGCTCATCGTTGGACAGCTCACCACGGTCGGCACCCTCGCCGGAGTCCGCGTTGATGAAAACGAGGCACACGGCAGAGTTCTCAGCATAGTTCGAAAGAGAGGGCGACAGAGCAGTGCCGGAGCCGAGGTTGCCAAGGTTTGTACTGCCACCAGAGCTGGAACCGCCACCGGAACCCGCAGCATCAGAGCTGCTGTTTCCAGATGTAGTGCCGTTGGTGTCCGAGAAGCTTGTGCTGCTAGCGCCGCTGGGAGCGGTTCCGGTAGAGGTGCTGTTGTCGCTCATGCTAGGCATACCACCACCGCCGGAGCCACCGCCCATACCACCAGAGGAAGAATTGTCGTCAGTGTAGGTGTTGTTGAGGATCCACCAGATCATGGATCGGTCAGCGATGGCACGGGCACTAATTGCTTGGAATGGGGTAACCAGGTAAGAGAGTGAGGGCTGGCCAGAACCTCCAGGCCCGGCAAGATGGCCCTGGTAAGTGTCGGCTGGAGTTCCCTGAACGCTAAAAGCACGATTGGGACCGGCCATGACAGGGCCGGCATGTGCACCGAACAAGGAAATGGTCTTGGGCTTGTTCAGGGGCAAACCGCGGCCAGTATCATCTTGGGTGTTCTTGAGAAGCACGAGTGCTTCGCCGCCAACTTGACGGATGACATCAGCATGGTCACCACGAACGTCACGGTAGTTCACATAGGCAGTCTCTGAAGGCTGCTCCCCATCATCAAGACCGGCAAAGTAGTAACCAATGACGTTACGGACAGCCATATCATCCAATCTGGCCTGTGTAAAGCTGCCGTTGGAAATACCAGCCTCGAGGATCTCTTCAGACCAGAGCGAACTGGAACCGTAATCCAAACCACCATTAGCGGAACCATAAGACGTGGACTGAGCTCCCTGGTCAGGGAAAACCATACCAGGAAAACCAACAGCAGTCTTGAGGTACTCGTTGAGGAGCTCGGAGTTCTCGCAAGACAGTGTGTTGTTGACCTTGTTCATGGCACACATAGCAGCCATCACTGTATAGCAATTGTCAGCAGGATATTTTTCTGGCGCGAATTTTCACCGACTGCCATCTTGGACTTACAGCCTGACTTGACACCATCAGCAAAAGGCCAAAGGTAGACCTCCCGGGTGGTCTTGTCGTCAACGTTGCTCGAGTATCTGTTTGTGCTGGATCGGTTCGTCTCCTGCTCGTTAAAGAGGAAGTGCCTGCCAGCAGTAATAACACCGGCGCTGTTCATGCCAGTGACGGCTTGGCCCATCGCAACACCATTCAGGTAAGGGTCGGATGCAAACCCCTCGCTGTTTCGTCCTCCGTAAACCACACGTCCCATAGGGCTGGATACAGGTCCATCGATAAGGTTGGCGCCAGAATCGTAGAACTCCTGGCCGACGGCGGCGAAGTTCTCAAGGAAAAGAGTACGGTTCCACGTCATTGCCAGGGCGGCAGGAGTTGTGAAACCAGAGACGAAGAAGTTCATGTTGACACCCACGGCACCATCCTTAGTGACAAGAGGAGTCCATGTTGCGTTGTCATCTGTGATGGACTGTCCAGTAATAATGGAGATTTTCTGAGCATTGGTCAGACTCGAGACAAATGTCACAGCTTTCTCGTAAGCCTCAGCGGCGATGCCAAGGTCAACGGTGCCATCGGCCAGGAGGACTGGGGAAGAAGCAGAAGAAGTTGTGTTAGTAGAATTGCTGGCACACAGGCCGCTAGTAAAGAATGAAAGCGCCGAAGCGACACTGAGGGCTCGAGGTCCCTTCATTGTGAAAGAGTGAATGGAGCAGAGGTAAAGACTGGTTTGCAGAGACCAGTATGATTCAGCAGTCTGGACCCAACGTCCAGTTTATATCCAAATGGGTCTTATGAGACCTGATATCACATCGTCATCCAGCGGAGCCGCAATCTTTTCTTTTCACTCAGCCATATCCCTACAGATTCGATGGACTTCCCGTACGAATCCATATGGTATCATCCAGTCATGGCTGGATCTGAAGGACCCATAATCTGCAAGGTTGACATCGACAATGATCTACATGACTTGTTCACGGGCATGCTTGGGGGTGGCATTCTACGCTTTGCCGTATTGCCCATGTAATTCTGCAGTGACGAGCTCTTAACCATAGTGTTTCGAAACATGATGGGGACTTCTAGCGCTCCTTGGTGCCCGCAGCCACTACCGCTCGATGAAAGCTTGTGTCGGCATTCGCCGTTCACAGCCCGTGTCGAGATTGAGCTTGTCAAGATCACTGGTATGCGCTGCCGTTTAGAGTTGAATGGCATACGCGGCCACCCTATTGAGGCATAACGTTTCCACGTTTTCAGGGAGTAGAGGGCTACCTAGTCAGCGGGTCAGGGCCACAAGTGCCGTGAGTAGTGGAGACACCGGCACCACAACCGGGATCTCTGAGCCACTTCAACGCAGTTTATCTGATGGCAATATGGATGCATTCGATATCGGTGCCACGAGGTATTTAGGTCTTATGGGTCCTTCGATGCACGACCGCCCGGCTCCCTGGTAGCACTGGCACGGATTTCCCGCGCCGTACGTACTCCTAGTTCGGAAAATCCGGCCTGCATCTAGAGAGACTCGACGAAAAATTTAGATGAAAGGGGAGAAGCTTACGTGCATGTGGGCATGTTTTAGAACAGGCAACCAGTAATATAATAAAAGTGCAGAATCCGCGAATGACAGGATATCCCAAAATAGATATATATACTATGGTATGCAAGTTCGTAACAAAGCTGTAAAGCCGTCATGCTAAATAAGAGCAACTAGACTATATCTCACCAAGCCAAGGGGGAACAGACAGCAGAGAGCAGAAAACAAATGAGATCGATGTGTCAGTTACTGACACAATTGAAACTTCGCACTTACACAGGCTCTGCAATTCCTTCCTGTTCACCACGTGTTGGACCGAGTTGTTCAATCAATGTGGGCATGTGAGAGGCCAGGATAACTGCTATATGATCATACTTAAGTCCAAGCAGCAGGCAATACCGCGATTCATCCCGGTTGCAATGCCCGTGTTGCAGTAATTTTATAGAGCTACATACTCGTTGCTGTCTGACTAGATTAGATGATGGTTTTTTGCATCTGTCAATATTTGAGAATGCAATGGCGTTCTTGGATATCGAGTTTGGCCTGAAATATCATGACCATGATTCTAACTATGACGCGATATTAATCTAGCCTGAGCAGCATGCATCATGACCGTGTTTGCTTGTTGGTGTCAGTTAATTTTGGCGTAAGAACTTTCGAATAGAGGAATATGTCATGGCGCCTTACGGCAAATCGCACATCAAGTCGTCGCTGTTCGTTTCTCTTCCCGACAAGACACTTTAGAGCATTCCTCCGGGCTGTGGAGTTCTGGCGATAGCCATGACTTCGCGAGCTCGCTGAAGCTACAAGGCTCCAATGCGATGGAGAGGCAAATGGTGCAAAACACACTTGAACGCCTGTCTGCGCGATAGGCTCGAACTAATGATTAGGACTCCCACAAGTACCTGGAACATATCTGGGACTGCACAACACATTAAGCCGCAGGTACTCCGTAACAGGTTTTGTTCTGGGGTGTTTTGACGTTTCTATAAAGGAAGGGAAGAAAAGAAGAAGGAAAGAGGAAAACTTATGTCAGGGGATTATAAAATTCTTTCGATTTGGACCGGCAGCTCTGCTCCACTGTAGAGTGTCCGAGTACCACTTGGGATGTTATACCTCAGCCTCACGTAGCTGAAGAGGTTCAGCTGATCTTCGAAGGTTAGGTATCCAATATTCAACGAATGCGCACCAAAAGAAGTATCCACACGACCTTGCATGAAAGTCCTCATTACTTGGGGGTCGCAATTGTTTGCAGCGCATTTCTTGAGACAAGTTCCAGATATACGGGATCCGAAGTGCCAACATGTTGAGGAGCAGGAACCAGATCCCTTAGCTTGCGATGAGATCATCGGCCAAGCCTGGCGCGGCGATAAGGTGCAATACTCCCTAGGCAGGATGCGGGTTGAGATTGAGGTTGAGGTTGAGGGTGGTACTGATTTTAGGCGTTTTCGGCTCCACATCAGCTCCCCAAGGCCCCCCAAGGCCCCCCAAGGCCCTGTTTCAGTGTGGGCAGCGCCATAATAATACACTTGGAACCAATACGATTGATTGATTCACGCAGTAACCTTAACTACTGTAGAAGCTTCCCCAGCTTGGTCAGTGGAAGTCATCGCGACGAGAGCTCTTCTCGCACAAGTTTCCCCGTCTTCCACCTCGGCAATTGCGCTGCGTTCTGCGCTTCATCAGCTGAGTGCAACTGTACATTACCTGTATCACCTCGTCATTTACTGCAACAGCGACAGCCCCGTCTCATAATCCCTCCGTGATTGCTCCATATCGTCACTACGAGGCACATTACGACAGCCGGATAGGCCGCCGATATAACTTTGAACTTGCAGGTTTACCTGCATACATCTACATATATCAATACATTTTCTCCGACGGGCTGTACTAGCTAGGTTCAGAGTCCCAGCCTGTAAACATGTCTCTCTTTGGCACCTCTCCGCCGAACGAGGAGTCCATCCTCGCCAGCTCGACTCTCGGCCGGTCGCGCAACACGCTCTTCGACGAAGAAAACCCGATGACCCGGTCTACGGGAGACTCGCTCTTCAACGACGACGAGCTGTCTGGCAGCGGTGCTGCTTCGCCTTGGGACATGCCCACGCCTCGAAAGCAGCAATCGCGCGCCGACCTGATCCGCGGCCTGCTTTCTGGCGCACAAGTGCCAGATGGCTATATCGAGGCATTCGACCACGCCGTGCAAGAGGACGGTCGAGGCGGCAGAGTCACGCCAGCCGGTGTATCCAAGATACTTGCAGCAGCCAAGCTTGGCGCAGACGAACAAGCCCGCATCACGAGCATCCTTGCGCCTGGCGGAGAGGAGACGGACCTTACACGTGATGCTTTCAGTGTTCTTCTAGCACTTGTCGGACTGGCGCAAGAAGGCGAGACAGTGAGTCTGGACAGCGTTGACGAGAGAAGACGAAGTAAGTTCCGCGCCTGCCTTCACAGTACCTTTGTGCATGGATCTATTGCCTCATTCCCATCCTGCGCTTCTTCAATTACGTGTAGCTCCGCTGGCCATGGGTCGGTTAACATAGGCTGCATGTCCTGTGCTCACTTCCCACTTATGATGAGCGGGTCCCTTGTTTTTGACGCTATCGTAATGCCCAGATTAGATACTTACGAGGCGAAATAGATCTCCCACAGCCACAGCTATCCAACATCCCCAAGAGGGAAGCGCCTGTTTTCGACGCGTCTGAGCTCGCTGCCAAACCACCGCAGGCTCCCGAAACGCCGCGAAAGGATTCATTTCCCAGGCCAGCTGCCAACGTCAGAAAACCCACCATGACCGACCCCGAAGACGATCCGTGGGGTTCGCCCGATCTACACAGAAACCACCACCACCCCGAAACATCCCAGACGAACGGGAATCCTCCCACCAACGGACTTGGCTATGACGGTCTCGGCGCCGGCGCACCCGAGCTGCACCAGAGGACGACTTCGACCTTCACCACTACCACGGCCGGCTCGGGCCCGCCTTCAGGACGCCAGTCAGCTGCTTCGGGCACCATAACCGAGAATCCGACCGTCGGATGGAATTATTTCGAGGGCGCAAGTTCCCACCAAGATCAAGGCTTTGGTGTTCCACCCAACAACCAGCCTACGAGTCCCTTTGGCGGAGTGCCTCGAGAGTCGGGCCCGAATCCTGCCGTTGCTTCGCATTCCCGCACTATCAGTGGTAGTCGGATTGGCAGCGGCGCCGAAGAAAACATCCTGGTCACGTTGATGCCGGAGAAAGAAGGCATGCTCTTCTTCCAGCACCACAATTACGAAGTCACGAGCTCGCGACGGGGAAGCAAGGTCATCAGACGGTACAGCGACTTCGTGTGGTTACTAGACTGCCTTCACAAGCGTTATCCATTCCGCGTTCTGCCACTCCTTCCGCCAAAGAGGGTAGCGGTCAGTGGAAACCACCTCACCAACGACAACGGGTTTATCGAGAAGCGAAGACGGGGTCTGGCACGATTCTTGAATGCTGTTGTTCGGCACCCGATACTGGGCCAGGAGCAATTGGTCATCATGTTCTTGACTGTGCCTACCGTAAGACCCGGCTCTGCTTGAGCTTTGACATGAAACAACAAGAAGGCTAACAGGAAGACAGGAGCTTGCGGTCTGGCGCAAACAAGCCACCATCTCCGTCCAGGACGAGTTTACTGGTCGGGCACTACCACCCGGCCTGGAGGATTCGCTGCCCATCGGACCACTCAACGAGCTGTTTGACCGCACTCGGTCAGGTGTCCGTCGGTCCGCGGACTTGTATATCAACACTTGCAGCCTCATGGATCGCCTGGCCAAACGCTCCGAGGGCGTGGCAGCTGACCATGGGCGTCTGGCTGGATCGCTGGCATCCCTCACAGAAGCTAGCGCGGACACGTACTCGACCGACACAAATGACGTGCCGCTGCTGAATGACGGACTACACGCCATGTCGAAGCGATTGCAGACGGCGAAAGGATTACTCGAGGACGAGAGCAAGGCATGGGAGACTGGAGTGCTCGAGGATTTGAAAAGACAGCGCGACGGGCTGGTATCCGTGAGGGAAATGTTTGACCGCAGAGAACGGCTTGACAAGGACAGCATTCCGTCTCTCGAACGGCGCATTCAAAGCAACGAGACGAAGCTTGCTGGGTTGCGCGCCAAGCCTGATGGTTTGGTCAAGCCCGGCGAGATTGAGAGGGTAGTGGAGAGCATCATCAAGGTATGTGTCTTTTCGTTGCTGCCACGCTTGGATACGTGCTGACGGCGGTAACAGGATAAGGAAAGCATCGTGACCCAGCACAACCGCTCTGTCTTTGTGCGAGAAACTCTCCGCGACGAACTCATATACTTCCAACAGACACAGTATCAAGTCTCGAGATGGAACCAGGACTGGGCGCAGGAGCGTGTCAAGTACGCCGAGATGCTGGCCGACAACTGGCGCCGACTTCTGGACGAGCTCGAGGGCATGCCGCTGGGAGAGTAGGGTTCTCATGGTGGCCGTGGTGGCGGGCGGGGGGTGTCTCAACACCATCTAAAGCGTTCGTCAAACAGTGCAGGCATATCGCCAACTAGGACATGGGCGAGGGGCATTCTAGACGGTGCTTCGGATACTGCGGGAGACGCCAGACGGAAGGGGAGCGAACAGCAGGCCTGCGAAGCGGTGAAGAAAACTGATGCTGCGAAGGCGAGAAGACTTGTCCCAGGTGGCGCTTGCACGACAGGTTGGGCCTTGCCAAATTGGCTTTGCATTTTCTACCACTTGGCACGACGGTAGGTGTTACTGAAGATGTCACGGGATCGCATCTGTTGTGCGGGAGCTTAGATTGCATGTTGGCATTTTTGGTGTTTTATTTATTCGTAAGAGCAGGGGGCATACGCCGAAGGTCAAGAAGAAGAGGCAATGCCGATGACGGCGGAAGGGGCTGAACTGCTGCGATACCCTTTGGTGCAATATACATTAATTTGATTTCTTGTCCATGGATTGGCTGCTCACGAATGGGCAATCAACAGGAGAGGACTTTTGAGATATAAGGAAGTTGGTTAGAGGCCCGGATGCATGGCAAGTATGTGTTTGAAATACATTCTATGCAAACCTACGGGCTCCGAGTGAGTGAATTGACGATACCAACGTCTAGCTGTGCACGGAGGACCTTGCTGTAATCTGGGGCAAGTCGAATTGAGCGGTTCCGTGCTTTGGGATGGCCAGTGTTTGTATCACTGATTTGATTGTCTTGGATATACTCAGAACCCCCAAAATATGTTTAGCCTGGACTAGACTAACCTAGACTAGGTTAGGCACTGGATCGACACGACCCGGCTTTTGAACCACCTCGAAAGAAAAAAAACCCCACCAAGGCCACGACCACCCCCACCATCCCCTTCCGCTTAACTTGGGACGTCAGCCGCGTAGACATCACAAGACACTCTCAGCCAAGGGTCTCTTTTGTGAATCACTTCCAACGCAGCTGCTTCTCTCGCGGAAGGAGGTATTTGTGTTTGCTGGGCGCCGACTTGGGGGATCTTGAGAGTGAGTCTTCTTCGCCTATCCTCATCCCGCTTGCACAAAGCTGATTCCGCCGTCCTCAGACGTCATTGTTCATCCCATATCCTCCATTATCTCCGACAGCCATCGAGCCATCCAGCACGTCGGCGCATTTCTCCCCTGCGGAAACCACTCCGGACGACCGAGGAATCCTTCAAGATATAGGGACGTCGGACCCGGCCAGTCTTCGCCATGCCACTGACATCCGGCCAGAAGAACCTGGTCGACCATTTCGTCGCCAGGACTGGGGCCGACAAGAAGAGGGCTGAGCGCGTAAGTCTCGTCTCACCTTCAAACATTTTATCCCTCTAGATTTCGGCCAAGGATGACCCGGCTAAATCATTGTTGCTCTTCAAGTTACTCAAGACCTCTGGCTGGGACCTTGAAGCTGCTCTCAGATCGTAAGTCACATTGTCTCCCCCGTCTCTACTTTCGCCATGGTCCATCTCATGCTGAACTGTGCGTTGAAGCCATTACCCTCCCGGCTCTGGACCTTCCGAGACTGCTCTCAAGAGCCAGTTCGACTCGCTGCGAAGTATGCGATTCTGCGCCCTGACTTTTATGAACCCACCAGCTCACGATACAACAGATGCTCAGGAGGACGCCCCAGATACAATCGGTGCCGAGAGCGCCATGCAATACCTCTCGCAGCTGGGCGTTGACTTCGAAGACGCCTCCATGTTCGTCGCATTACAGGTCCTCAAGGCAGAAGATATCGGCGACCTGAAAAAAGAGGGCTTCGTCAAGGGCTGGAAGGAAGCCGGGTATGTCTTGCCCCCTGGTCAACGACGTTTCGTATCGTTACCCCGTATGCTGACCCCGCCGCAGCGTCGATGCAAACATCGCTGCCCAGAAGAACTACATGACCAACCAGGTGCAAAGTCTGAGCCGTGACCCCAAGACTTTTAGGGAAGTCTACCGACACGCCTTTGTGCTGGGCAAAGAGGGCGAGGCCCGCGCCTTGACCCTGGAGATGGCCACGACCTTCTGGCAGATGCTCTTCAAGGCCCCCGGGCGTCCCTGGGTTGGCAAACAGACGGGTCTTAACTGGTTGGCCCAATGGCTCGCGTTCCTCGAGGAGAAGTGGACTCGCACTGTGAGCAAGGATATGTGGAATCAGACATACGAGTTCGCCGTCAAGAGCGCCGACGACGAGTCCCTCTCGTTCTGGTCAGAGGATGGCGCCTGGCCAGGTGTCATCGATTCGTTTGTGGCCTGGTACAAGGCGAAGCCCGCCGAGGCTATGGATGTCGACTCCTAGCAGGAGGTGGATGACCAACAAGTTCCCGGTACCAAGCCAAAGGAGGGCAGGGACCAGCGAGGTCCCGGCCCCAAGCGCAGCAGGACCAGCCCAGAACAGGCTCATAGTGCCAGGCAAAAGAGGAGCGGCAATGGACGACAAGCCGCCGGTGCTAGGCGATCTACGCGGCTGAACTTCAGCCTCGGAGGCCAGCCGCGAGCAGGGTAGAGCGGTAGCATGGTGAGTCCCAATGGGTGGCTGACAAACCTCACCAACAAACAACCCACCAGATGGCCGGCTCGAGACAGGGTTTGCACATGGCAGCAATGGCTTCATTACAGCATCAGATTAGATTAGCCAACGAGACATGATCATGATGATGGCAGCGACGATAGACAAATATGAACAAAGCTTTCACGATTGCAGGCCTTGAATCTTCCAGTGACCTGTCATGTTGCCGCACCATCGTACGCAAGGCCACATTTCGGTCACATAATCGCTCTCAGTGATAGAGGACTTGCGGCTTGCATGACACGTAACTGAGCAGTAGTTGAAAATGTGATTGTAACACTCCCTACTACAGCACGCCGCCTCTCTGGCAAAAACAAAACTTCATGTCTCCTACTCTATGCAATGTGTGTGAATCTCCCCCCGATGATATCCTGTTCTGCACTCTCACCCCTTGCGGCGTCTCGTTCGGTCGTGCGATATGTATACAGATCTTCCTCATATCATACACGGACCAGGAGCTTGTATATATGTGTGCCCCTCCCTGTTGATGTACATCCGGTGGCTGCAAACAGAAGTCGTAAAATAACCGCTGCTGGACAGTACTGCCGTTTTCTCCGCCTCTCCCAGCAGGATATTCGTCTTGGGCTGGTCGGCTGCTGCTATCGTCGTTCGCCTTTCTCCCCTTTCGTGTTTCGTTTCCGCGCCCTTTACGACGGGCAGAGATGCCATGGGGGTAGCAGGGCGGGAGGAAGGAGGAAAATGGATTTTTTTTTTCTTTCTTTTTCTTTTTTACCAGCCCTGCGCGCCGTTGCCGCCGTCCCTGCCAAGGCGGGCGAGGGTGTCGAGCTTGCCGTCGCCGAGCTTGACGCTCGTGTGGCGGATCATGCGCGGGTCCTTGGCCAGCACCTGCTTGACGGCCTCCTGGGTGCCCACGGACGAGTCGAACCGCATGGCGAAGTAGTGGCCAGTCTTGTGCCGCATCTGGTGTACCGACGTCGGCTTGGCCAGCGAGAACACGCCCCAGTTCGACACGCCCCGTATCACCCCCTTGTTCTGCAGGATCATGTTTCCGGCTGCCAGGACGATCCTTGGGTGTCGCGTTAGTATAGGAAAGGGCGTTGTCGAGAGAGCATCGGGGGCGCAAAGAGAGGGGGGAGGGAGATGAGTTGTTGACCGGGGCAAGGGCTAGATGTGCTGTAATCGTTCGTCAAGATGAGCCCGAGTGCTCAGCAGTTGTGCGATGATATATCGCTCCGCTTGTGATAATGCTTCGCGCTTGTGATGCGTAGACGGTGCTGCCATCACCGAAGGGGAGAGGGAAGAGAGAGAAGAGAGAGAGAGAGAGAAGTCGTCGCATCATAATCGTGGTGTAGGTACATACTCTTTCACCTCGGCCAGGTTGCCGGGTCGGACCTGTTGAAGAGAGTATTGGTCAGCATAGGCCCTTTGATCCTTTGGACATATTTTTTCAAAACACCTAGCCCATGGGGACGTCACCAGCATCCTCGCCGTCGTCGTTCAAAATGCATGCCGGGCTCCTTTTTTTTTTGGTCTTTGTTTTTTTTGGCTCCCCTTCTTCCGCATCGCCTTTCTCGGACAGGAAAAGGGTCGGTACTCACAATTCCAATCAACTCGTACAGCATCTTGCCGACAAATTTTACATCTGCTTCCCGATCTCGTAAGGCTGAAGCAGGAGATGAGGGAACACGGGCAAAGGGATAGTGTCGCGTGCTGGGTAAATTGGTATGCTATGAGGTTGAGCTCCGCGACGGGCCTCGAAATTTCATCGGTGCTTACAGGGGTCCGTGGCGCCGGCGGCCTTTTGCACTTGCAGTTGCAGTTGCGGCTAAAAGTGGAGGCGGGGGGAGAGGGGGGAGTTGACATCTATCGGTACCTAGCTGCCTACCTGCCTACCTGCCTACCTGCCTACCCGATCATGCACCTACACTCGACTTCACGCAGTTGACCACAGCAACACCAAATGTAACATGTGTAGTTGGTTTACTTTTTACCGCAGACGAACGCCCGGCGAAACGTTCCTCTGCAACACCTAGACAGACGGGTTCACATGTCACTTTGCTGCGATTCCGTGTCACTACGGTCGTCTTCGTACATGGCAAGAAGAGAGGCGTTTATCCGAGGCGTTAAACCAACCTGTCAACCACAATGTGCTTGAATAGTATTTAGAGTCAAACCATACGAATTAGTCATATATTAGGCAAACGAAAGACTTGCATTTTCTCTCCTATAGTACACAACTAGAGCTACTTGTTCAGAAAGGCAACAAGCATCATCAATGATCAACCCTGCTTCTCTGGTCTGTTCAGCCGTGAGGCCCCCATAACCATTCTCGTGACAACCTCAGTAGCTTGTGAATTGAGCGCCTTCCACAACCGTGTTTCAAGCAAGTGCACAACTCCCATGTGAAATTTCATGCGGTGTAATGTGTCGGTCTCCCCACGGGTATCTTTTGAGAGGAAAAAGAAATGAAACGAAAGAAACATTTGACTGTGGAAAAAAAGTGCAGCCGGAAAGGAAGAGAGGACGACGAGTGCCTTGGCAGAACCAATTCGTCCACTTCACTCCGAGAAGAGGCGCATGCGAACGAGTCATGCGAACCATGCTGTGCATTAAAAGGGTGTATGGGGTAGGGTGTATGCTGCAAGAAATGGAAATGGAAAAGGGTATTGCGATGGCCACCTGAACTCTAAAGCCCTCTCATGAGCTCCCGTGACCTCGAGAGAATTCCATGAACACCGTGGTTTTGTTTTGCCTCCATGGCCGCCACATGATGAAAATACCAAACAAATAATGCCGACCAGGAAATCAATTTGAAGAAAGGGGTTGAGACATCATGTCGAGTTCATGAGAACCTTGCCGTCTCGCGAGCAGTAGATTTGGTGGATTACATCGGAAATGCATCCTCCAGTCTTCGCAGGTGCTGCTGCGACTCGCCCACCTGGAAAGTGTTGGCACCCAATCGCCCATTAAAAAAAAGCATCGGCACGCAAGGAGATGCACAGGCAGGTGTTCCAAATCAGTACCTCGGCCATTTGAGTACAAAGCCCCAACAGCCGGGCGAGTGTCGGGCGATCCCATTACTCTTCACCCGTCAACTCTTCACCCTTCATTGCCTCCCAAGCATCATCCAAGTTGTCACTACGCGCTGTTAGCTAGTTGCTGGCGAAGAAATCAAGACACGACTTACGAGGCGATCTTTGTAACATTTATGTTCTGCTTGCGGAGGAAGGCTAGGAAACGCCTCTTGGTACGCTCACGCTTGAACTGAGCCAACACAGTAGGCCGTGCTGGGTCGCGGAGCTGCATAGCAACTCGAAGATTGCCCGAAGAATACTGAGCCTCGATGAGCTCGTCGAGTTTGAGGTCGAAGTCGAGTGGCTTCTGGTATACACCCCAGATAACCTTTGGGTGAACATCGCGGAGGACCTGGTGAAGGAACGTTCTGGACTCCTTCTTATACGTCCAGTACTGTGTAACCTCGCTGCTGGTCGTCAGCTGGGGGGTCTTGATTTGATGGATGCGCCAGTCGAGATGAGAGATGGTGCCGGCCGAGAACGAATCAGTGCTGCTCCATCCATCATATTCGAGATCATCCACAACCTGCTGTGGTTGTTGGGGCTGCTGCATGGGGGGCAGCATTTGATGGGGCATGTGCTGAGGGATAGGCTGAGGCATCATGGTCATTTCCTCGATACGAGCTCGCTTCTGCATGCGAGGTGTCAGAGGGTCCAGGTATTCCTGCTGAGGGTGCTGGGGGTAGCCGTCGATGCTCTGGGAATCATCCATATCGACTTGACCAATTGACCGTCGTGCTTTGCTACGGCGGCTGGTCAACCCCATCTGCTCACGCCTCTGCTTTGCCTTGCCCTTGTCAGGGTTCTTCTCGCCAACTTTGTAGCCTGAGGGACGGCCAATGTTGCCGAAACCGTGCTTCTCACGCAACACCTTGAGCTTGGAGTCGTGATACAGGTCGTGGGTGTACTTGGAGAGATTGAACTTATCACCCTGTGCGGTCGAAACTTCATACATGCGTTGACGAAGCCACTCCAGGGGGGTGACGTCAAGGTCGAACTTCTTCAGCTCCTCATGAACATTGATAAGTCGGAACATTGTATCGTAGTTGATGAATGTCTTGTAGAACTTGACCATCATTTCTTTGCCAACGTATTGATAAGGGTGAAACTCGGGGTTCGGGCTCTTCAGGTAATCAATAATGGCCTGGCCACGGTTGACCTGTCGGTTGGCGAGAAAGACAGTATGGCGCACGGCGGATTTGTCCTGGCGCAACTTATCTAACTTTTGCTGCCATTGTTCGAGCTGAGGCATGATGTGGTCCTCCAGAGGAAGCCATTCCGGATCCCAGTACTCGTGCTCAGGTGCGATTCGCGCCAGAGGAACCCCGGCGTACATGGGAGGCTCCGTGTAGATGATGCCATTATCTTTGAGTTCGATCGTGTCGCGGTTGATCTCGATGTGGTCGGCGGGGTTTGGCTCGTGCGGTGCCTGGGAGTGCGATCTTGCGCCAGGCAACGACCTGCGGCCAGAAGGTGATCGTCCCTTGGGGTCAACCGGCGAATCTTGTAGATGTAAGTAAAATCAAGACACGGCAAAGGCATTCTCCAGAATTGACGTACCTCTACTCGCTTCAGAATGGAACCCGGGCAGACTGTGGCGCTGCTGCTGCTGCTGCTGCTGCTGCTGCTGTTGTTGTTGCTTCGGCTTCAGAGGTCTGCTACGACCAGCCAGACTGGCGTCTGACTCGTCAATATCCATACCAGAACCGTTAGGCCGAAACGGTAGTGGCTTGCCATTTGCATGGCCATCGTCAGCAGACTGATAGGTGCCAGACATGATATTGCCGGCATCTATGGGCAACTCTTCGTCCTCGCGCTTCCGACCTCGCGAGCCATTAATGCTGGTCCAGCCACCACTCTGCGGAGTACTCGTGCCCCGTGCTGAACCGGGGCGGCCATTGCCGTTGGCTTCAGCTCGCTCACGGTCCTGTGCTGCGTACATCTGCTGCTGCCTATCCTCCTCGGCGAACTTTTGGTTGAGCTGATGCAAAGCTGTATCCCATTCGACAGAGAGCCGCTCCTGGTCTTGCTCATGCATGTGAATGGTTCGACTCACAGCTTGCAGCTCTGTCTGGAGGGTAGATCTGCGGTCATATTGGTTGACTAGTCTGGCTCTGAGTGACTCGTATTTCTGCTCAAAGACTTTCTGCAGCTCTAGGTGCTCATTTCGGCGGCGAAGGGCGATTGGATCGCGTGTTTGCGCTTCGCTCCAAGCTGGCGCCTGATCTGGTTCTGGTTTGATTGACATGATCACACGTCCAGGCATGAACTTGATCACCACGCAATGATCTATACAACTTGGAAAAAGTCAGTTGTTTGTACTGAAAGGTGCATGAGACTAGGATGGTTTGGGTGCAGTAGTTTGAGGTGTGCAGTATAGGCGCGCCCCACCTTGGTAGAGCAGATGCAACACATAGGCTAGGTGCCGGGTAATGGAAGTCGGCCAGCAAGAACAAGTCATCGATCGTGTCGTTTGAGGATGATCAGACGCGACAACGAGTACGACAAATGCTGCCGGCTATATGCAAACGAAATGGAGAAATGTGAAAGCAATGGATGGATTCTGGGGAGTGGGGAATGCGAAATGGTGGTTCCCAACTATAGTCGAAAAATATACTCGAGTATGGAAGCAGTGATTGTCATGTGCTGAATGTGGGGGGTGGGAAAGTGACGGCACGAAAATAGGTGGGCGCACTTTCCCTGGTTGGTGAAGGTGAGAGCTCTGGGGGGGGGGAGGGAAAGGGTAAGGCGAAAAAAAAAATTTAGATGGAAAAAAAAACTCCCCCTTCTCACCTGCTCCCCTAAATTGTGGCAAAGGGCAGAAATGCGAGCTGTGCTAATAAGGTGCGAGGTGATACAGGATTGTGATTAAGGAAGTTCCTTCGAATACACGGTGCTTGCAGTATAGGAACATCACCGCCTACTAGACAGCGTCATGCTAGGGTGGTCGCATCTGACGAAAGATGATTCTGAATGGGGAAATTGGTGATTGCCATCTGACTGCGGTGTGCATCTGCGATGCAAGGGTGCATTGGAGAAAAGCGCAGAGAAAACGGAGTATAGCGACGCGTCGGAAATACGCGATGCGCGCCTATGGTTGGGGGATGTAATAGAAACAAAATATAGGACTTACACTACTGTTTGAATGCCTTCAGGCGATATTCGGACTCGTGCTCATAACACGCAAGTGAACAGATTGATGCGATCGTGGTTGGGAGGTGTGGACGAAGAAAGAGTGATGCAGGCCGCGAGGGACTAGTATGCGGTCTATTAGTCGTGCGGAAGACAAGAAAGGGTGGGTGGGAGGGATAGTTGGAGGATTTGGCGGGCGCGGCCAGGATAAAATATTAAAGTCGACTATTTTCGCTCGATAGCCGAAGGGATGGGAAATTGATGAAATTGGGTGATACGTACCGAGTATGAAAAAGCTTAGATACCCAGGCTTTGCTAGGCAACCGGGGTGGGTCGATATAAATTCTGATGCGATGCGATGTGAGCACTATGCGCTAATTGAGTGAGTAATTATTAGTCTAGGCTCTCCTCTCTCTCTCTACCTTATCGATAGGTTGCAGGCACAAAGTGCAGGTGGCAGCATAGATGCACGCGCACAGAATAGGTGCCAAGGAAGAGGGAATAGAACTCGTGTGGGAAAAGTCTTGGGGTGCAGAAGGGCATCGCTCTTTGCGACTTGGCGGTAGAATCATATACTCGCGAGGGAGGGATTGCGAAGCACTGATGGAGGATGATGGTGTATACTCTGCTTTGATGCAGCTTGATCAAAGGAGGTCGGCTTTGATGGATGCACCTTAGCACAGAGAAGTCATGAAAAACCAACTTACCACGTTCTTCAAAGGCACGCCTGTCAAAAGATCAACAGGTTGGCCGGGAATGGTTCGAAATCTGAGGCGTGGCGTCAGTGAACCCACGTATTATACTCATTCGATCACTATAGGCGTCGTGATAGTCGGTGAGTGACGAATGTGATGCGGTGAGAATCGGAATAGTCGAACCGGGAATGATTGGAAGAAAAATAGCCTAGTGAGATGCAGGAAGGCAAAGCGTGGGTGTGGAGTATTGGTGTGTAAGGGCGAAAGTCGATTCACTTACATTGACGAGGCAATCAGGGTAGGGTGTTCAGCTCACATACTACTGTGTAATCGGCAAGTCAGAGCATGGCTTAGCAGGCTAGAGACAAAAAGGATGAAATAACAAAAAACGGCGGCGCACGTAATAGTCTGGGCGTGTGGGAGTATTTACCTGCTGCTGTGCCACTAGTGGCCGGGCCGGACGATGAGTAGGCAGGTAAGAGTATGGGCCGCAGGAAGAAAAAATTGAGCTTTTCCTATCGCTCAACTTTCGTGAGTGAGTATTGAGTAGAGGCTGTGACCGACCCCTTTGTGCCAATTACTTGACCTAGTAGTATTCCAAGTACTATCAGGTAGAGGAGTGGAGCACTTTTAGCGAGTTGTGCAGCCGTGGATGGAAGGACACCCCGGCCAGTTGCGGCTCCCCCCTACCAAGGAGATCTACTGGGGGTGTGTCTATGCTGGGGCTGCTTGGGAAAAAGACAGCTCTGTGCTTTGCACCCAGATCAGCCTAGGACGCAAAGACCTCTGCAGCCGTTCTTGTACAACCAGCTTAGTCGACAAGTTTCTGCAAGTGAGCTGAAAGAGTAGACGGGCCACCGCAAGCCAGACTTGAGCGCGCGACGTGCAACCCCAATCTTGCAAAGACTGGTACAGGTTGAGCGTTTGATGGCGGTTATCAAAGAGAGTTCCAAAGCAAAGAAATAGGAGTAGCGCAAAACTGGTAAAGTTTGAAGTTTCGGACTAGCAACGCTTCAATATCCCAGTCATGTGATGCCGGGCAATAGGAATAGCTCGGGATAAGGTCAATACTTAGGGGGTCCCAATAGTAAGTAATGAATGAAATTACAAGCCTTACGAGCCAGCCCACTCCGATAGCATTGTTGGGACTATCGAACGCGGATTGTACTTGTATCCTGCTGGTTGCGCTGCCAAGTCTCACGGCGCTTTTTCTACCCGCGTGTCACTTCAACTGCACTCGCATTTATCAGCGAGAGTTTTTGTTTTTGGGTTTCCCTACTGATTGAGCTGTGTTACCGTGTTGGGCGACCGTCTTGTTATCCACCGAAAATTATAGAATCCTGCACAAATCACAACGATTGGTCGACATGGTTTATGCAGATCTCCACATACCTGAGGTTAGAGAAGTGTTAGCAGTAGGCCGGGCACTATTTCGATAAGCGACGCGAGCGCCAGGGCTTTCGCATCGATATACACAGCTGCATTCCGTAAAACCAGGTGATTTGCATGATGTTATTATGCTTGTAGACATATATCGAGTTGATTCCATCCTTCTTGTACTCGGTTGTAACATGACGGGGCAGTATTCAGAAAGCTCGAAGCTAAACGCCGATCCGGCAGACGCGTTTAAGCAAACGCTTCCGCCAATATTTTTGATGTTGAAGGTGGCTTTCTTTGCGATATGCACCATGTTTGCTACTTCCCACTCGCCTGCACTCGGTTTCAGCTTTAGCTGATTTAAAACCACGAACATTGGTTTAAGATACAGTAGTATTCCTGGCTTAGTTACAAGAAAATGTTACTTGACTTACCAGCTAAATGTAACGGTCACTGTAAGGAGGTGCAATATAGGGCTTAAACGTTGATGAGAAGTGACGTGAAGGTCTGGTATTCATGCCATCTCGGGCAGATAAAGTAACAGTAAGCGTATTGATTCTTGTACTACCTTGGTGCCACTGGAAGGATTTTGCGACGATCCGCTGACGTCGTGTATAATTGTCACATTATTCACCACAATTCCAGGGATGGTGGGGGTCTTGGGTCTTGGTGGCACATTCGGGTTTTATGTTGGGGGGCTTCTGGTTGACTCACGGCGTTAGGTCGTGATCTAAGGCGCCTTTGGAAACAAATATTCACACCAAAGATGCTACTCCCGTGTGTTTCTAATTAATAAAAGTTCTGTTCCGTTGTCATGGGGAAGTCAATTGAAATTTGCACCGGAGTTTATATGATATGATAAACTGGAGAGGATGCTTTTTCAAATGAGACGAGTGTCTCATCCTTGAACATCAGATCATACCTTGTCAATTGCGCCAAGGCGGGGACTCGGCATGTTGATCACGATCCTGACCAGTCACACAATTTGGGCATTTCGCTAGTACCTCAAAGTCAGTTCGGATTCAGGGAATTGATGCCTGGTCGAATAGCAAGCATCTCAAGCTATAGGCGGACGAATACTTTAGCCGGCTAGCATATCGGTCCGGGCTGCGTCTATGGCACACAGGTTTGGCCCAAGCGAGCCTGGGCTAGAAATAGCAGCCGCCGATTTAGGTCTTGCAATTGCTGACTTGAATGGTGGCGCAGTCTTGGATGCGAGCATGGTTGGCCTTCATCTTGCTCGATCGCAATTGTTCAACGCAGCTCTAACCCCTTGCAAGGGATTATTACGAGGTTTGAGGAAGTTGGCGGGTTATCGAACTGATCTATATGCATCAGCTGGTTGATCGCTGACCGTGCCTACTAACAGAAGTTGGTCCAGAGTGTAGAGGTCAAGGATGGCATGTGAACCCAAGCTGAATACTACGTCAAAAGTGAATAGTTACTGAAGTATCGGTGGTCGGCACCTCGAGTATACGACTTGCAGTGTAGGCACACCTACCCACTCAAAGCCTAAGACAACCGAAAGGCAGTTGACAAGGTGTCATCAAATACATCTAGTTCGAAGGCTTATTTCAACCATTAGCGATTCAGGTGACACTACAGAAAGAAACAAAGAAGAAGAAATAAATAAATCCAATTATGCGTCTCTAAACTCAACAAGACAGGCAATAGGTTGGAGCATTGGTAGTAGTAGGTACATATGCAAAACTTCCTTCGAGGGGATTTCCTTAGGAGTATGCGAAATGCGTAAAATAGACAAACTTGCGACGCATGCCCCGGCCCTGAACGCGCCAGTGTCAGACCAGCAAGCCAGTAAGAAGTAGCCCTCGTATGGGCTTAGTGCAAACTCTACAAAGTGTGTCACACTACCTCATGCATGAGTTATTATGCTTTTGCGGTAAGTCAGCGACCCAAATAGTGCATGTATCGTGTGGTACCTACCAATGACATATATTTGTCGTCTCTATATTGGGTCGGCGGTTGATTACCCAAAAGAGTATTTATAAAAATGTTCATGGTGTTAACCTCTGAGACTTGAAAATCTTTGCTTAACGCTACCTGAACTTGTATGAGTATTTTGTGCCTCGTGCATTACAAACAGTTGCCAAATGGGTGTCGCCATTCTCAGTGTAGGTAGAAGGAATATACGTATCCTGCGGCGCGGCTTCTCTGGATCACTTCGCTTATGATCAACCTATCTTAGCACACCGGTTCTGTTCATGGCTAGCCTAACATTGCAAGTAGTAAGGGCAGATATTCCTCTCTATACGATGCAGGTGGCATGCAGAAATAAATAAAAGAGATACTATGGTTATAGCTCTGTTATTCGTGTATACTGTGATTCAAGAAAGTGCCGCAATCGAGTATTGTGGTGACACAAGAATTGGCCAAGTATCAAGATTCTTATTTCAGCTCCTCGAGCACCACAGTTGCCCTTGTGATTACAATCATGAATTGCGCTTAGTCATGTTTTCGGCAAATTTACTGCGTACAAGAAGTTGGTGCACTTAAGGAAAGATAATATCCATCTTACTGCCACGACTCAGCCGTCAGCCAAGCTGACAAACCAAGGGTATGTTTGCCCGACTGGGAGGGGGGGGATAACTGATACGACAATAATTCGACGAGATACACGGTGGACACATGCTTGTCGGAGTAACGAGAAGGAGGAAGATGACGCCGCTTCCATACGCATTCATCCCTACCGCAATGATGAGTAACATGTCAGCGTGGTGGTCGATATATCATATCATAGCACGGTGCCCAATGCAACACTGGCCCAATCAATGTACGTGTCAGCACACGGCGGATAACCGGACGCCGTGGTGACACAGGGCAGTCGGCTGTCGTATCTCTACATGGCATTGCGTAATACTTTGAGAACTCGTCCAGTGACTTATCAAAACCTTGCGGCCCTAATAAAGCACAGATATCGCGAATTCGATAGGCCTCTGCCCGGCCTTGACGATTGAACCAGCTCTTCATCCCATTTTGGAGGTCGTTAGAGTGCTACCCGTCAGTATACCAGACATGGATATTCACGATGGGAGATCCAGGGGTCTGGCGACCAAATATGCAGTGTGCCATGTGGATTTGACCAGAATGATGAATGCACAACAATGGACAAAATCCCACAACCAAGTTACAAAGAAAAGTCTTGGGATGGTATTTGATTGCTGAAATCTGGATTCTATACACAGTTGTTTCCCGTCTCACAATCAATGACCCTAATCCTGTTCTACAGCTGCTGCCTTTCTCGCCGCTACGCCTCTGTGCACCGGGTGCTATCATGAAACACAAGCCAACTCGCATTGTTTACCAGTACTGGGGCTTGACGAAGTCGGCGAAGGTCTTGGGCTCCTCGTATCCGTGGTGGTCGTGGCCGTGGTGGTCGTCCTGGGGTCCAACGTACTCCATCTTGTAGACGCTACCGCACTCAGGGCATCGCTCCACGGGGCGCTCGCGGGACATCTACGCAGAAGGGAGTCAGTATCATATCAACATAGATAGGTCGCACTGAGAGCCAGAGTGTTTCTTCCCGACCTTGGCCGACAGTGCGGACCATGGGAGAACTTACACCCAACCAGGTCACGACGTGAGAGTCAGCGGGGTAGCCGGTGCAACCAGCGTACTGCTCGTCACCAGCGGACTTGACCAAGATAGGGTTGTCCAAGGTTCCCTTGCGCGAGGCATCGAGGGGGCGCATGTCGAAAATGTCAACACCCTCCATCTTTCCCAGAATTTCCAAACGCTCCAGACCAGTAGCCTGCTCGAGATCGGTAGGGACGGATCCGGGAGCGGCACCAGGACCAACAAGGTCGGCCTCGGTCTTGATATCTGCGTGGCGATTGCCGTGTTAGCTCTCCTAGCTCTCGCGCGGTCCCGCGATGGCCAATTGCATTCAATGATGCCCACGATGTCCGATCCCATCTCGGTCGGGTTGTGGCGGCCGGGCACAGGTGGAAGAGGGTCTCGTACCGTGGAACTGCTTTATCTTCTGGCCAACAGTGGCATGAGGCTCGACATTCTTGGCACCGGCATCACCTGTGGTGGCGGGATTGAGGGTTAGCTAGCTGTGACGTGATGGTGTGACTCTTGTGGATTTCTCCTGGTGATTGGGCGTCTTACGGCGGATGACCGAGGCGGAAAAGGTTCGTCGGACGATGGGGGAGACGGCAGCGCGTCTGGCGGCGGCCACAGCAGATCGTTGCAAGAACATGGTGGCGGACAATTGATGTGCTGTTGAGGAGTGGAGAGGCGGGTGACCAAGTTGGTGATGTCGGGTTAGGCTTTCAAATTGCTAGCAAAAGAGGGATTTCCAATTTGTCGGCTGTCAATTGAATGAGCTCGGGTCGGGTCAGATCAAATCGTTCGATTGAGTGAGCGAGTGCTTTGCTCCAATTCCAATTCGTTTGAAAGCTCTAACCTCAGGCTAGTCTAGTCTAAGCTGGATTGGGGCAGTTAAGCGAGAGAAAGGTCACTGCAACCGCAACAAAATCCCAACTCCCAGCTGCGCAGCTTCGGGGGGGACGGCAACCACGTGATTGTGATTGGCCAAAGCTTCATTCTTCCACGGCAGTTACTAGGTAGTGTAGCAGTTCTTCGATCGTCTCCTCGCTTCTTTGCCTTGATGTCGATATTTACAAGTCGCCAGAGCTCGAACAATTTTCGAGGGCATCCGCGTTGTCCGCCGGAGCACGGGGGAAGGAGAACCAGGCCGATATTTCCTCTCCACATACGATCACTCTTTTGTAAGTTATCACGTAAACAACTTTCAGCATGTTCGAAGTGCTCCTCAGCCGGGAATCAACTAGATTCCCCGACGCTGCGTGGTTCAAACCGGAGAGATGGTTGAGAGATGCTGTAGTATATTACACGATCATGCCCACGTCAGTCTAGCGATTGCTCGTAGACTCAAACTCAAGCCACTTTCAACACAACCTTCCCTCTGGCGTGCCTCGACTCGACCTTTTCCCAAGCTTGCTCGAAATCCTTGAACTCGACCACGCTATCAATGACCGGCCGAGCCCTGCCGTCTTCGATCAGCTCCGTGACCATGTCCAAGTTCTTACCAAGACTTTCCATCACAAACCATAAAGCATGCACATCCTTCTTCTCCACGCCTGCTGGCTTGCTCTCTTCAGGCTGGCCACAGATACTAATGAATCTTCCATCTTCCTTGACGGCAATCCAGCAGTGAGCCAATGTCTGCCCACCAACACAGTCAACAACAAGATCAACTTGTCTTTCCGCGATATCTTGGCTCGCCCATTCCGCCACATTCTGTTTATGGTAGTCCACGACCTCCGTAGCACCTAGTCGACGAACAAATTCCACATTATTCGTCCCATTAACCGCAACGATAGCACCCGCACCAGCCAACTTGGCGAGTTGCACGGCCCAACTACCCACACTGCCTGCGGCAGCTGTGATTAGGACCCTTTTCTCACCATTGCTTCTTCGCGCCTTCTCCTCCCCCTTCAAAGCCTCCACGTCCAGATTACCTTGCACGAACAGCGCCTGGTAGGCGGTCAAAGCACTGAGGGGCGTTGCCGCAGCCTCAGTCCAGCTCTGATTCTTTGGCTTGAGCGCCAACTCGCTCACACGAGCCAGTGTGTACTCGGCGGCAGCGCCAGGGCGGTTGGCTGTGATGCGGCAGTAGACTTCATCGCCGGCACTGAACTTACTAGACTCAGGCGCAGAAACCACGGTTCCAGCCATGTCTTGGCCAGGGATAGGAACTTTGTCACCGACGAAGTCGGGCGCCCAGAGTGCCCAGTCAAGCTCACCCGAGCAGGGAGAGGTCGCTTGGACGCGGATAAGTACGTCGTCTGGATGATGCGGCACAGGTATGGGCTGCTCGCTGAGTGTCAATTTATGAGAAGCTTTGTCGGGCTGTATGACAGCCCTCATAGTGTCTGGAACGGCGGTAATCGATGCCATAGGCGTGACTAATGGATCGTATCTGTAACTTGATGTGAGAGGTTCTCTATGCAATGGACTAGGGGCTGTTTCTCAATGCTTGATATGTGCACTTGTGCTGCGTGTTCACAATCTGAGACTGATGCGCTCATCTTTTGTCGTCTCCATCCCTTATTTGTACAGCAGTTATGATGAATTCACGGTGACCTTCGGCCTCGCGTTCTTGAATTCGCCGTGGCTGTCATTCTCTTCCGGGTGCGTTTTGTCAGCACTGTCATACGGTGTGACAACCAGATGCCTTAGACAGGAATTAACTTTTGCAACGGTGCCCGGTGAGACGGATAATCCAAGTTGCCAAGAGATCTTTTACATGTGTCTCTTCTACACAGTACTGCGGCCCGCGAGGCATGAATAAGCACATGCGAATTTTGCGTAGAATGGTGTTATCCGGCATTTATTGCATGCAGCTCTGCATTTGGCTTACTCACGCGGAGGCATTTCCTGGGTAAGACAAGACGACGGGGTTGAAGTGTAGGACCCGATTCGGGTGACATCCTAACGTTAAAATGACTCGTGCGGTGCATCTCCGCGGACCACCTATACAGGACGGTGTCGCTTGTATATCGTGTGCTAAAAGCACTATCGAATATTTATCTTAAACAATCTTGAGGTATCAGATCTCGGCTGTGAGCAGTACAATACGAGATTTGTCCGTGTAAATCGAGGATATATGGATTTCCGGCATGACTGCTGGAAAAAGTAGTGGGGCAATAATCGCCTCTCAATGGAATGGTCCGGCTTGCTGCGGAGCCCCTGGCGATAGTCGCGTTTGCCTATTGATTAGTCTTTGCGTTTCAAAATTTCCCTTTACATTGATTCCATTGAGTATTGCTCCATAGTGGACCGGCAACTGTGCATTGTTCGCAACACATCTTACAGTGAGCATCTTTTCCACTGTTGTTATCGAAATGTTAGAAACACCAATCGCTAATTGCCCCGGCAAGTGAACCAGAAACTGAATACTTAAACGACTTTGGGTCTTCTTATGGATCACGTCTTGCATTTCAATACACTCATATTACCTAGTATTGGGTCTTTTTACTTGGATTGCGTTGTTGCGGATAAGTACGAGAGCCGTGAACATGTCCGAACAGAACCCGGTACCAGACAAAGCTCCTTATCATCCCCCGGCGTTCACCTTGGGCCCGAATTTAGCACTTTATGATGTGCCCTTAGCATCATATCTTCCCTCCAACCTATGTGCTTCTGGAATCCCTTACCAAGGCATTGCAACGGGCTCAGTGGTCATTGACCCACGTACAACCAAAGTGCTGCTTGTTCAGCGAGCGCCTCACGATTCGATGCCACTGCGTTGGGAAACACCAGGCGGTGCCGTGGATCCTGAAGATGAAAGTATTATACACGGTGCTGTACGTGAGCTGTACGAAGAGGCTGGACTCGTAGCCACAAGAGTCTGCGAGGTTGTCGGTGGCGTTCGAGTGTTTTTCACCAGGAGAGGCCAACTCATGGGCAGGATCAATTTTCTTGTAGAGGTGGATGTGCCGCAGGATGGAGACATCGACGTGAAGCTGGACCCTAATGAACATGTGCAATATGTTTGGGCCAGTGAGGAGGAGGCTAGAGCCAAGAGAGTAGATGAGGTGGTGTTCGAGTACACAAACAAGGCTCAGGAGCAAACGATATACGAGGCATTTAGGATATGGAGAGAGCGGGCTAGTGGCACAAGCGAGACATTGTAACCAGGCACAAGCATAATATCCATATATACCCAACAGTGCTGTGACGCAGCTTTTCTCAATACCAAAGACGGCCTGCGCCGTCTGCATAGTCTGCTGAAAGACACGTTTCTGTGTGGAAAAGGTAAACATTTTAGACTTTCGTCGCACTATATGCCTGCTGCATGTCTCGAAATGTCGTTGGTTATGCATCTTGGACTAATGAAAGGTTCACTGATGTCCAAGTGGCCGCTTTTGACGGCCACATGGAGCGGACCGAACATGCTTTTTCGTGTTCCACGTCGACAAAGCCTTCCAGACATATTTCGCGAAATTGGTGGCTCCGTTGGCGGCCACAAGACAACCTTTCGAAGTTGCTCATTGAAGCACCTTGGAATTCGCCATGTGAGATATGATACGTGGTGGGAGTTTCACACGGTGCGCCTACAGAGTATATACATATCCTCATTTATGCTTCTCCTCACGCCTCGTCGTAATTTTCTCTTTGTCTGCTTCGTCCGGTGCGATATGCTCAGCGTTTTGTGCTAAAATGCCCCCCTGCTGTCTCGTATTTCCTAATCTCCTCCCACCTCAGCCTCAGACCTTTCAAAATGTAGTTCTGGAGAGTCACTATATCGGGCTCGGCCACTATCTATCCTTCTACATTAATCTGATGTCTAATGATTCAACTGAAACGACAAAATCCTGCGTTGTGTCAGCCATCTCTGAATTATAGCGACCTAGCAACGGGGACGTCTGTGATGACGGTTTCCTGCCGTGTCGCGGCGTATAGCCTTTTGTTGCTCGTAGCAAGTGTGAAGACATCCCACAGGTCAATTGAGTAGTCTTTGAAGCACCTTCCCCCGGGGGGTCTTTTTCTTTTGCGGATCATCACCATCTTCAGAATCTTTAGGTGTTTTCAGCTCGGCTCCATCGTTGGGCTTTAACGCCACCGCCTGGCGGATTGTCGTGACGTGGGCCCTCTGAAGCCAACATCGTAATAAACTTAGCGATCTGCACTAACAAGTAGTGATATATAATGGAGTAAGACACTGCTTTACGTAGTAAATTGGTCAGATCAACACTTGAAAGGTGCAAGTGAACACTCTGTTTGCTTTGTGCAGCCCGCTTCCATGATGCTTTCAAATAGTAAGTAAACAGCAAACGGCGTTGATAAATTAAGAAGGACAGCCAACAAGGAATTTGCAGTTGCATGTTTAGTACACAAAGCGAGCAGATTATATTTCTCCAGCCAAGAAGAATTATGGTGAAGGACTCAAACCACCACCGAGAAGCTAGCATCAAGTCTCAGGAGTCGGTTGTTTCTGCGGCCACGAACGATTGTATGTTTGTTGTGGGGTGCTACAGACTTGGCTGGTGAGTTCGCTTCCTTTCAAGGCGGGTTTTTTTGTGCATACCACCATAGACAGGTATGAAGCTCTTCAAGTACGTGCAGTCCGAAATCGAGCATTTTCTTTAAATGCCCTAAAAGCACAAAGGGCTCGCGAGCAGTCGTCTGGATATAGGCAAGTGGTTGCGAAATGCATGCTCAGACATCGAGCTACGGGCTACTCCAACCTTGAAGAAGCCGCTCCAATGTCAGGTTCATAACGAGCGTCGACTTGAAACGCGTCGTCTTGAAACGTCACCAGAGACATTAGCAAATGCTATCGACGGGTACGCTACATGGGCGGCGCACGGCAGAATCTAGTTAAGGCAACTAACCTTAGAGCATCTTCAAGTATTGAATCGCGAATAAAAAGTGAACACTAATTCCCCAGTCAAATGTCCTGAAGTTAATCTTATTAAGCATCGTAAACTTTGTCATGTGGCCCTGCTATCCGAACCGGCTAAGCTATAGCGGGATCCCTGATCCCGAGGGCTCCTAACAATTACCATTCACGGATACTCGGCCACTAAATGCGGCGTTCCCTCTATCTCGAGTCAGCCTCCAACAGTTGGAACGGCCAAATTTTGGAGAATACCAAGTGTGATTGTTCTAAGCCTGATCAGCTACGTTGCAGTCATCATCTTCCATCTTCCCATGGCATTTCTCGAGGAATGCCTGATAATCCATGTGATAAATCGGTGAGGCCAACAGGAAATTCGCATGGCAGCCCAGATACTGAAGCCTACATATGCCCAGCAATTTGAACCCTTGGCGACCCATCTTTGAGGTTAGCGACCTCCTGAAGATCCCTGCCTGAGCCGCAGAAATGACAGGGAACACGAGTTTGTGTTTGATCTGCCCAGCCAAGTTAGCACAAGTTTGTTACAGCTCGAAGGGCTCAGCGCTCTTGCATCTGCAATGGTCGCGCCCAGCGGCGCGGTAAGCGTCGAAACGGCGTTCTTTTCTGTCCACTTGCTCTCGTCGCGGCGGGAGTTATTATTATTCATTGCGACGACTACTTGACGCCCAGCTTCTGCTATTACACACGTCTTGTCTGGGCGCCGGGCTAGTTGCTGCCAGTTACCCGTTTGGAACGGGGCTGAGCGGTCAAACATCGATTGATCATTCGTGTTTCCATCTTTCAGCCTTTCTCGGCATTCTCTTCTATTTCTCTTGGAAATCGGCTCGTTCATTTGCTTTCATCTGTCGCTAAGCATTGGCAAATCTGGGGACCCTTGCATCATTTCTATTCTAATATATCCCGTTACCCAGCTTTAGAACGCATATCTTTTTTCATTACTGTTCCCACGCTCTAATTTGACAACGGGTCCACGACTTGCGGGAGGTTATCGATTGAACATTGGAGTATCGCAAGGAGATTTTGATATCGCATGAGCTGTGTGCAGTAGTAGATCGTTTTCTCGACCTTTTTGCTCCCAAAAAATGGCGTCCCGTCTTGCCGCCATCAGTATAGCTTTGGCTTCATATTGTCACGCTCTGGACAGCCTGCCAACGGACGACATTACGGATACTCCCAGCAAATATGTCAGATTTCCCGTGATTCATTCGACAAATACGGACGTATTTTCCGATGTTTGGACAAAGCGAGAGTTATGGTCGAAACGAGGCATTCAAACTTTGCCTCTAGCCAACCGATCTGATGTGGCATACTATGCAAAATGTACGAAAATGCAGATCATCTCATATTGACGCTCATCACTAACATATAATAGTGGAGATTGGTAGCCCACCTCAGTCGAACTATGTTCAGCTGGACACAGGATCCTTTGAGCTTTGGGTGAACCCGGACTGCACCAACCTGGATTCGTCTTCGGATAAGCGTTTTTGCCAGGCCGTTGGGTCATATGATCCGTCCACCTCAGGTTCATCTGTGGTAAGCACTTCTACCAAGAACCTTAGATATGGTATTGGTAGTGCACAGATCCAGTATGTCACTGATGACATTGGCTTTGAGGGGTCAGGTAAGGTTTTGGACCATGGAGCAAAAACATGTCTAACAGGTTTCTAGACATCCAACTCAAGAATGTGCAGTTTGGAGCGGCTACCTCGACTGTAGATGAGTTCTCTGGTATCTTGGGGATTGGGCACGGTGAGAATGTGACTATCCTCTATAAGAACTTTGTGGACGAATTGCAGGCACAGGGTGTCACAGACACGAAGGCATTTAGTCTGGCGCTTGGCAGCAAGAGTGAGCAGGAGGGTGTAATTATTTTTGGTGGTATCGACACTGGAAAATTCGCTGGACCTTTAGTCTCACAACCGATTATCCCAGCAGAACAAGCACCGGATGGCGTCCCTCGATACTGGATTGACATGGACTACTTGAGTATAACGCCACCGAGTGGCAAGGAGCAGAAGTACGCCAACTCAACGATGGCCGTCTTCCTCGATAGTGGAGCGACACTCACACTGCTCCCTCAGGTATTGGCAGACACCATTGCCGCAGACTTTGGTGCTACTGGCACCGACTCCAACGGGTTTTATCTTGTGGACTGCTCGTTGAACAATCTTGGCGGTACTGTCAACTTCGCGTTTCCGGGCGTCACCATCCATGTTCCTTACAAGGAGATCATTCGTGAGCTGGCAACGTCTTTTGGAACCTTGTGTTACCTGGGCATCACGCCCAACGAGGATTTTGTGCTCCTGGGTGACAGCATGCTGCGCTCCGCGTACGCTGTCTTTGACCAGACGGGCAACGCGATCCATCTCGCGCAGTACGTCAATTGCGGCACCAACGAGAAGGAGATTTCGACCTCATTGAACATCAGCTCACTTACGGGCGATTGTGATGCGCCTGACTTTCGTACTGAGGCTTCTGCATCCACTACTGCTTCCACTGGACTGGCCACCACCACCGCGACCGCCACCAGCTCTGGTAATTCTGCCGCGAGCAGTACCGGGGCCTCGAACGCAGCTGGGCCAGCGTACGGCAACGTCTTCAGCTGGGTTGCCGTGTGGGTTGGAGCCATGGCCACTGTTGGCTTCATCGAGACTATCTAAGGATGATTGGAGTGGGCGGGCATGGACTTTGCATCAACACTGGCGTTACCATTGGATATCCCTCACATTGTATTTCATAAAGCATTGTTGGCACAGGGCACTCAAAATTATCGAGGCTCACTGTAGCACCGGGGACTGCTTAGATCAGAAAAACATTGGATTATTGCTAAAAATTGTATTTCAGACTCGCAGCCACCTTGTCATGGGGGTTGCACGTCGATATCAACAAAACTGTTCATATCAGGAGTTGAATTCTCTCATCGTAAGATGCGTTTAGCAATACCATTAGCAAATGAAGCTCATGTCCACGCGAATACAATGATTATAACCTTCCGGTAGTGGCCCCCATTTCCCCTCTATATCAGACGCCATACACTACGTAAGCAATAACTTTTCCACTGTTATGCATTGATCTGTATCATCCCGACCCGTGTGTATCAATTGCAGTTCCAATCTCTTCGGCCTCTTCCTCCGCGGCAGACCCAGTCCCACGCTCCTCGTGCTCGGTTGCCACCTAAGCATCCTGAGCTAACTCGAAGGAACCAACGGAATGCAGTTCGTACCGAATTTGCGCCGACGAAACGCCGTTTGTAACAAGATAAGTTGAAATGTCCTTCATGAATCTCTCTGGGCCACAGATATAGTACTCGGTCGACCTGTTGCTAAAGTACATATCTTCTTCTTTAAGCCACTCAAGGTAGTAGCCGAAGCCAAGGCTGTCGGTCGACTCAGCGAGGTCTTTGTTGCCCATCCCTGTGTTGAAGAAAGTCGTCCTCATATTTGGCCTCGTCTTTGCCAGCTTCATGACATGCTCCTCGAAAGGAATGCTCTGCTTCGACCCCTGAGCCCATGTGATTGGTCGCGTTGAGTTCTTCTCTGTCACTGTGTTTAACATTGATAGAATCGGGGACACGCCGATCCCTGCAGATATAAACACCAATGGCGTCGAGCCCGAGTCATTGCTGGTATCGAGGTAGAAATCGCCAGAAGGATGGCTCAGTTCGAGGACATCACCTTCCATAATTTCGTCGATCAACAAGTTTGATACAACGCCCTGTTTCCTCTTAGAATAGTCCATGATTCCCAAGAAGCTATCCCCAGTTGTACTCTCGACAGCTGTGGAGAACGAAGACGCTCGGCTATGAGATCTGTTCGGTGGTGAAGGCCTCCTGGAGGGGGCCGAGAGATTACTGCTGGCTGAGGAAGCTACGGTTGTCTCCGAGACTCTTTTCACGGAGATGCGGTAACGGTCGGGCCGAGGTGTATCACTGAGGGAGTACTGTCGAATTTGCAGATATCCGGATCCGGGAACACGAACGCGCAGAGACACGTATTGGCCTGGCATGAAAGCTGGCAAGGGGACCCCGTCCACAGCTTTAAGCTCGAAAGAGACTATATCTCCCTCAGTCGTCTCACGCGTCTTCTTGTCAACAATGAAGCGACGGAAGCCTTTCCAATTCTCGTGCTCTCGGTAGAGCTGCCGCTCTCTACCAGCCAACATGTTGGCCATAATCCAATATGCCTTGGTCCATGCCACACGCACATCGGTGTCCATGGCAGGCCCGAGGACGGCAGCAAACGCCCTCATCAAGTACTTGCAGACGATCTCATAGTGATCGGGCTGTATGCCGAGGCTGACGTGCTTGTTTGCAACGCGCTCAAACTTGGGTGTGAGCTCGCTGATGTGGCTGATGTTAGAAGCATACGCCAGTATGAGCTGGGTGAGGGCGCGCGGCTGCCTGCCGCTTTTCATGTTCACGGCATTGAAGTAGTTGTTGAGCTCCGGGTGGTCCTTGAGCATTGTCTTGTAGAAAACCGTAGAGATATGTTCTCCATGCTCCCGCAATGTAGGAATTGTGCCCTTCACCAGCTTCATCTGGTTGTAGGTGAGGGCCATTATGGGTTGATGACGTGAGGGGTCGTCTGCCCTTGCTATGGTACGGTTCGCTGGGATAGATGTCGGTAGATCGCAATGTGGTGTTGGGCAAGGTCGCTTGACAGGGTTTAACGATCCTTTGAGATCTTCTGGAACAAATAGTAAAGAGAATCAGGAAAACTTCGGGTGATAACCGGAGCAGATAAGGAAAGGAAAATATTTAAGAGGAAGAGCGACCCAGGCTTCTCGGTTAGAACCTTCTCGCCCACGAAATTACCTACCTATGCAGTCTAGGTATCACAAAGTTCGACAAGTCTATCACAATCCATCTGTCACTTTCTACTTTTCCCGGTCCACGCGACATCTTCTGATGTATGGCGCCTGATCCCGGCAAGAAATCTGCAACGCAAGTGGGCGGGCGAATGTGAGTTCAGACTTTATTAGCCCTCACCTTCCGAGGTATCCCACTTTGCGGTGACCCTTCAGGGTTTTGGAGGAACAATGCTGCCGGGGCACGTGTGGATTCGAGTGCCGGCATACTACGCGAAGCAACGGAATGCTTACAGAATTTGCCTTGTATTCGGAAAGTCCAAGCAAGCGTGCCAATGACTGTGAAAGAGCGAAATTGTAAATTGGTTCGATATTGTAAGGTTGAAGGCCGCCGTCATGATGGGCTGATGAACAGGCGAAATGGCACGATTGTCGCCCGAGTCATGTTCGAACTGTCAGTTCCACGGGCCGCACACGGCCTAAGCGCCCAATCAGGAAAACCGTGTCTCATGCAAGGGACAAACAGAGAATCCGAGCAACCGGCCAAGGGAAGACCCTGAATTTGCGAAATGACCGCCCAAAAGACTCGTGAATACCCCATATCTAGGGCAGAGCGCTCGGGGACGGGATCTTTACCGCCGTGCCAACGAGCAGATCATCTGAGATATGGATGGCGGTGGCTCAAAAGAGTCCCGAGGGCGTATTGAGATTTGAGTATATGTAGGGGAACGGCGAAGTCCTATACTTGAAAGTGGCAAGCACACAACCTTAATCGCATCGCGTCGACAGACACTTGTCCTTCGATACTCGTCGTCGTGGCCGCACCTTCTCTGCCCAGGTGTGTTTTCTGGTACGGATCCGTACGTAGTAGAGCTTCTTCACTTGGGATCCGCTTCGTGGCAGTGATTTTTCTCGAAGATTTCTTGGAGGGGCTAACCAACGGTTCGGATTCCCGGGTAGTTAGCCCTCGTTCGTTGCGGGCCTTCTAATTATATGCGAGCAAGGATAGGCCTGTGATTTGTCGGTTCGAGTCCGATTTCCGACCTCGTAAGCATTGAAATTACAACCCCAGATACACGTAGTACATTAGCATCCTTCCGAGGTCTGTCGGTGTTTACTTTTGACCTCAAATCTCTGCATAGCCGACAACGCCCGCAAGTAGTCAAAATAAAAAAGGTCGTAATGACCTGAACACACCGGTACAAGCCGGCTAGTCTACTACCTATTAATCTAGCTCCTCGGGAAATAGTTCGGATATTTATTAGCAACCAATTTTTAAAACACTGCAACCATAAGAAAGCACCCGTTATTGTGTACGTAGTATTATAGCGATAACCGTTGCTTATGGCTAGACACATTGTACATAGGAAACAATAACATATGACAAGTACATCATCTAGTCTTAGTTCTAATCTTTGCCATAGACCGCCAGGCCCATAGGGCCCACATAACGATCCAGGTGGATGCATCATTATTTTCACTCAGAATTGCTGATTTTGCTGTGTTATACTATGTAACCTTCATAACATTATAGTATAGACTAGAACAACCTGATGAAATACAAAGTCTTCTCAGAGAATTCCGGTGACAGGTGTTGATTCGTTCGAAAATCCCCACGCCGTCTAAATTGACTCCCCTTACTATGTACATACTGCGGATCCGTACTCGAGGGTGGTTCTGTAGGTCGCCCTGCTGCCTGGCGCCTCCGCGCTTCTGGCTTTCTCCTCACCTGGGGTCCACATATGCTGATGACACTGGAGCGCATGATACATTGGGGTGATTCATATGGCTGGGGTCAATTGCACCACTTGAGGTGTAACGATTCCCACAACAACGAGGCACACAGGTAGTCCAAGCGTCTTATCTAGATTATCTGGTATTATTCCCAAATTAACGCTGATTGAATCCGTCATGGCCATCAAGAACGTTGCCCTTGTTGGTGCCAACGGTAACTTGGGCGGGCCGATCCTGGAGGCTCTTATCAACTCGAAGCTCTTCAACGTCACAATCCTAAAGCGAGCATCATCAAGCTCAAACCCTACGCCGGGTTCAAATGTTCGCGTTGTCGACATCGATGATGGGATGTCACTCGACAGCCTCAGGTCGGCCCTGGAAGGCCAGGACGCATGCATTGCTAGCTTTCCACTGAAAGACACCGAACAGCACCTGCGTCTTGTTGATGCGGCTGCCGCAGCGGGCGTCAAACGCTTCATCCCTGCTGACTACGGCAGCTGCGACTCGAACAGCGAGCAGGCTCAAGAACTTGTTCCTCTGTTTTTGAACAAGGTCCGCGTGCGTGAGCGTTGCCAGGAACATGCGAAGGACAATCCCAATTTCACATGGACGAGCCTTGTAGCGGGTCACTTCTTCGATTGGGGTCTGAGGGAGAACTTTCTCCATTTCAATATCGATACGAAGACGGCGGATATTCTGGACGATGGCACATATAGGAGCTCCACCTCGACGCTCGCGCGCATCGCAGAGGCCGTGGTGAAGGTCCTGCGGGACGAGGATGTGGGCCGTAACAAAATGCTTTTCATGCAGAGTTTCTGTGTATCACAGTTGGACGTGCTGGCATCGCTCGAGAAGGCTACAGGCGAGAAGTGGAAGGTCAACTGGCTCAAGTCGAACGAGTTTATCAAGGAGAACAAGGCCAAAGCCGACGGAGGTGATAGGGATGCCATTGAGCACCTTGTGTTCGCGCTGGGTGCTATAGATGGTGACTGGGAGAAGAAAGATGGCTTTGCCATGGACGCCCTGGGCCTCCGGAACGAGGATCTGGATGAAGTAGTCCAGAAGGTGGTATCTGAGGTTCGATCATCCTAGATCACCGCACATGACGTCTTGGGCTGCATGCTTCATGCCTATGGATGATGCCTCGGCCCAGGTTCTGTCACAATCACATGCGCCTAGACAGCATAAGCGAGAGAGTGGAATTCATAGACGAGCTAGACAATTGAACCATGTTCTAGATGCAATTTCTCTTTGTACTGCTTTGATGGCAACACGATAGACTACAGGAAGCCGTACAAAGTTGGGTTGGTCGTCCGGGCGCAAAGCCGCAAGCTTGAGGATTATCCAGGTTATCTGCATGACTGTACGTCGCTGTAGTATTCAGTGTCGCCGTAACGTTTTCATATCATTCACCATAAGTTTATGATTCGTTTACAAGACTAGAAACGGATCTGTCGTTCTGTTTCAACTGTGGTGGAGGGTTACATACACAATTAATGCTCAAGTGGCGCCTGCTAATCAAGGTCGTTCGCTCTATTATCCCTTTTGCTGTCATGTGTTTTCGCTCATCCCGGCCATATTTAGCGCTCACCGTCAGAACCCCGCCAACGCGCCAGGACGCGACTCACAGTAACTACTTGGAGATCAATACACAGTCCCTTGTGAACCGATACTCAAGCACACACATACGCACAAGCACAAGCAAAAGCAATTAATACCACCAATATCAGTCAAGCCTGTACACGGCTGTCTTCAATTGGCAACCCAACTGTGTACCAACATGCAGGTCGCGGTGTCCTCTTCAGGATGGCCCCCATACAGCAGACATTCTCGTTGATCCCTGAGCTGCCCTCGGCGCTCAATGGCGGGGAACAGGCCGGCAAGCTCTCGAGACCACCCATGACGACCAAGCAGGCGAAGAAAGCCTACAAGGCCAAGAACAACGGTCCGAAGCTCTCCAAGGCCGAGCAGCGCCGTATAGAGCTCATGGAGCAAGATCGCATCCGACGCGAGTTCGAGAAAGAGCGCAACCAAGCAAGAGCCAGGGCCGCCAGGGACAAGCGGAAAGAAAAAGAAGAGAAAGAGAACGCCGACAAGAAGAAAAAGGGCCTCCCCCTTGTGAACGTCCATCCGTCACAGGACACCCTGGCACGTTTCGTGAGGAAACCTATGACCCCTGTACCAGAACAAGCAAAGAACGGCGAGACGAAGGAGCCACAAGCACCAAGCGGTGAACCAAGGAACCAGGAATCCATACCAGTACTTGTTGCTCGTCCCGAGGCATATAACAGTGAAGGGACCTTGTCAGCCGGAGATGAGACTGAAAGGCCGGCCAAGCGACAGCGGGTTGGTAAATCACCCAACCTTCAGGAAGTTCTTGGACCTGTCCCACATAATATGTTCACACCAAAAGCCCAAAAACCGGAAGCAGAAATAGAACTCAGAACAGATAAGCTACCCGTGATTTCGGCAGTGGTCTCCCAAAGAGAGCCTGCACAAAAGACGAGCCGTTTTGTTCCAGATGATGCTACTATCGAGGAACTGGTCAATCACCAAATTTTCAGCGAGTCATTCTCTGCCGATGATGGTCTATTTGATGATATCGACATCGAAGCCATCAAGGTGAAACCTACCGTTGACGACGCCGCACAACGAACGAAACTGGATGGACCTCCTCCCAGACCTCCTGACTGTTCGCCGGTCATCGGGAAACAGAACGTAAAGACTCAAAATCGCAAAGAGGAATATCGGAACTATAAAGAGATCAATTCAGGAAGAATGGATTGTCACAGTGTATCGAATGCTACACCACGACAAAGAGTTGGAGACCCAAAATCTCGGGGAATTAACGAGCCTCGTCAAGACCCCCTTCACACAACAAACCAAGAGAAATCCACTGTAGAGAGAATTACTACGCATCAAATTCTACCAGATCATTCGAAGCAATCCGAAGAGCTAGTTGACGGGCCTCTGCAAACCCTTGCTAACACCAAATCACCCTCCGGCTATGGGGCGCCGAAACAATCTCGTAGGTTGTTGATTGTGGCCGAGCAGGATGACCGAAAACCAGTCCGTGAAATGACTTCTAATGAATGCGGTCAGGTCAGATCGCACATTGTGGCGCAAAAGGTGGTCATGAAAGCACAAGCCGAGAAACAGCCCCAGGAGAAGCCGCTGAAGCCAATATTGGCAAAGCAACGGGTGGCATTTTCTAAACCTGACTCTTTTCGGTCTCCTAAGACGCCTATTATGGGTCCACCACCTGTCCCGCCTAAATTCAAGACATTTTTATCCACGTCTGGCATCATCGCAAGTGGAAAATTCAGGTTTCTGCCTCAGAAATCACCCTCGAGCGTGTCACGAGATGAGCAAAATCAATGTACAACCAGCCACGAGAGCACACTATCGGCTCCACCGCCTAGCACACAGTCATTCTTGTTCAACAACCTGGACGACCTCTTTCCAAGCCCTTCTCAAGAAGTTGCCGAGATCTTTGAACGACCTCTTGGTGCAAGACATGGCATTTCTACTCGCCCAAAGACTGCTCCGCCGCCTCCACGCTTCATGCCGCCTGCTTGCGAGAGGCCCAAGACAGCAAATAACTTGAGCCGCCATATTACCTCGAGGTCTCTTTCACGGGACTCGGGTATCACAACAACAGCAAAGTGTCAGGAAACCTCGTTGGCGCGTACGACAAGTGCGAAGGTCGTCCAGTACCAAGCGCCATCGGCACCTATCAATGATTTCATGTCATTATTATCAACTCAAGATGTTTCATTATCATCAGAGGACCTCATGGAGCTTGGGGACGGGGCTTGCTCACCAACAAAAATCCCGGAGGCAGGGAATAGTCCTACGTTTCAAGATGATTCATTGATTTCATTACACTGTACCTCTAATATACACCTCAATCACGGGTATGATGATCTCCAGACTCCTTGTGGAAAGCAGCACAATACCATGAACATAGGCACAACACCTGCGGCAAGCAAAACGGATGCTCCAACCACGGAAGATAGGGTGCTAGGGTCCAATTATCAACCGCAGCATTCAAGCGGTTTGCCCGAGACACCTTCAGGTGCATATCCTCGTGTAAAGAAAGCATCTCGCAACGGTACACCGGTAGCTATGGAGCAGGCGCATAAGGCTTCGCGATGTCAAGAAGACGCAGAACCTAATTCCTCTTTCATGGACGATGAAATTGCAGAACTTCTAGACATGGACTTGGAAAAGGAAGCCGTGGCTGGCCAAAAGAACACCGAGGCCATCCGTTCAGCAAATGACCAGCAGACACCGGTAGGAACACGACCGTCTCCAAAACCATTCTTCACATCTAGCGGTACCAAAGAAAAGGTATATTTAGCCATTGAAAAAACTAAACACACAGCTTGGCGAGATTTAGACGCACAACGGCAAGCCCAGCAAGATTTAGACATCCTTCTAAAGCAAGAAGATGAAAAACAGGAACGAGTACTATTGACCAAGATGCTCGAGGAAGAGGAGGAGATTATTGAGACCTCGCAACCAGATCCTCCTCGTAGAAATGGCAACTTCCTTCAAGGTTTGCCGAGAAAAGAAGCAGGCAATATCATACCCCAAAGCCAGAGAAGCAAGACTAGTACGCCACCGGCTCGCCGGCGGAGCCAGCCACAGAGCTCATTCGAGAAGATGCTGCAGATGCTCGATAAGTCAAAGAATGACCAGAACGTGATCTGTGCATCTCAGGAGAGCGATTATGGTTGGGATGACGATGACATGATTGATGTATAGGTAGATGCCGGTTTTATGAGCGATATTTACCGCCTGGGGCCTCGATACAGCCTTGGTTATATACACTTGCAAACAACGGTTCTCATTGTGCCTGTTTGCAAACGGCATACGGCATACGGAACCAGAATACAGCGGCAAACAACTATCGCTTGTGATAGCGTCTTGAGAGGTTACACCCCTGGTATTTCGAATGTGCCGCCGTTCTTTGAAACCCCAAATAAAGTAAACCGAGAAGTCAACGTATGACGGGTAGGTAAGCAGTATCACCAAGGTAAGCAGTATTACCATGGGTCTCATATTTAGGCCCACGAGGCCCGTTTGCATGCAGTGTAATTAATTTTCGGCTTCTTTACGGCTTCATGCAACGCATTACAGCTACTTACAAAGATACTTATGTGACGGGCATATCAACGGAAATCTTGTACCGGCGAACGATTGGTGCCATTTACAGACTGTTCATTATACGAGCACATCCGTTGATCCAACGGTTATGACTTCCTGCAATACTACATTACAATTACCAATATGTTATGGCAAAGGGACCACCCACCATAGCTGAAGCCTACGGCTACCCAAGGCACCCACCTGGATATGGACATATATATTGCCACGGATTCATAGATCCACGCCACGGGTATCTTCCCTCCTTACGCCCTTTCTGCTATACCACTTCACCCCATATTTCTCCGTTTCAAATCACCTAATTTTTGCACAAGCCTACACATCGTATTTTACCATGCTTAACACGTCGCATTTTTACGCTTTCACCATCTTTAATAAATCTATATTTACGTTGTCATTTTCTTAAATAGCTTTTGATTGATTACGAGCAAAACTGAAATGAACGCCGTGAAATAATCTTCCTCGTCTAGCTAACTCAACCAAATCGCGAAGTGCCCAATCTTCTTTCAAGGGCCATTGCGTGATGATTCTCCGGACTCCAAGTTTGGACCATGCACGTATGCGCCATCTGTTCCCACAGACCTGCTTGGCACATTTGTCTCCGTAGCGGTATTACCATCGGTGTTATTGTCGTGATGATCAGGTATGATGCCGTCATCCTCGGGGTCCTGATCCGCATCCTGAAGAGGATTGAGCGTTCTGTAATCCACGGCTTTGACAAGAAAATATATGAATGAGGCAAGTAAAGAACCGAGTATTGGACCGATCCAGTATATCCAATGGTGACTCGGCCAGGCGCCTGACACGACAGCAGGGCCAAAGGATCGCGCTGGGTTGAGCGATGCGCCAGTATAGTATACGCCTCTATTTTACGGTCAGAAGCCAACTCTGATATAAAAATGGAGATTCTTACGTCAAATGAGTAATAAATAAAGCCAATCCAATGCCTATCGGCGCAATAAATGTGCCTCGGTGCTTCTCGCCAGCGAGCATGAATATCGTAAAAATAAGCTGCGCAGTCAAGAACATTTCAAGAAAAACTCCCTGAGCCAAAGTCATTCCGTCTTTGAGCGTCGTATTTACACTGAGAGGTCCAGGTAATAGGCCGTGGATGACTGCGGCTGCCGCGATACCTCCGGCCAGCTGCGCCAATACAAACAAGATGCCTCGGACGACCGTGATAGCACCGACAAGGACCATGGCTAGACTGACAGCCGGGTTGAAAAGCCCACCGCTGATCCTGTAGAAGACCCATGCGTTCACCGCTAGACTGATGCCAAAACTCAAGGATATAAAGAGGAGGCGGGCCGGGTTGGCAGCAAGGTCCCAGGGCTGTCCATCGTCGGGAGCCGTATTGACGGCTTGAGTGCCGCCGAAAGCGAAAAAGAGGAACATGAACGTGCCGACGAATTCAGAGACGGCGGCCACAAAATGGTGTCTAATGGGTTTGGGCAACTTGTTAAGCAATCTGACTCGACGACCTTGTAGCACGCCATGTCCTGGATTGGTATCATAATCGTGAGACGGGTCGCCAGAAATGGGAGTGGCTGGATTGTTCTTTGCAAGTGGCATTTTCATGTCCCGATCCACCAATAACTTAGGAATGTCGAACCCAAGGACAAATATTTAGCGAGAGGGGCTCGTTTTTGAGCCAGGTTGGGTTCTGTGTAGAGTGCAGTGTTACAGGACTCGAATGAGCCGAGCGAAGGTCTTAAGAAAAGTGGTGAAATGCCGGCTTTATAGAAGCTACAACCGAAAGACAGCAATGCACTGATGCTCATGATTTATGATCAACGGGATGCAAGTACAGTCGTGACTCCTTAGGTTGCAACACCTGTGAACACAATAGTCTGTTAGGACGTTACACCTGTACGAAGTTACTGGCACACTACTCCAAACAATGTGTATTGGTGAGACCTCATCATACTAGAGTTGTGAGACGATAAACTACACTTAAAAGTGGCATGATATTAGAGGTCTTTAGGATTAAGATACAACACCATAGGTACGCACAAGAAGAACGCAAGCACATGACAACCGAAGCCTGGACCAATTAGCAATGTTGCTTGGTTTCCTCCGCATCACACGAGAATCATGCATCATGACCCTGTAATAAATCGGTCATCAGCCCTTGCGGGATAAGTAGGATCTTGCTTGGATATATTTCGTGGGATTTTCAGGAGGAGCTATCATTACTTTCACATGGAGTCTGCTGTCTGGGCCTTGCCCTGGCCTCTTTAACTTAGTAAAGCGATATGCAGGTAAATGAGACAAAACTTTTCCGATGTAGATTGAGACCCTGAAGCATATACATGAATTTCATTTTCCGCTAAATACACTCGCTTTTCGTAACGTATTTCGTAATATAGTCCTATAGCATCGGCTAACCGCCTGCACGTGACGACCCAATGACGGGGGGCTCATTACCTGACAGGGGCCATTCCAGCGGCTTGGTTCGTGATGCTTCTATGGCACGATCAACCTCGGACGGCGTTAAAGATACATGGGAGACCATTCGACTTTTTCTTTGGGCTTGAGATTGTAGCTCTGCCAAGATAAAATTTTCAGTATCGTGATCCACCGTTGTACTTGGGCGTAGAGGAGTAGACCGCGTAGACTCCTGTCGCTTCATTTCTCCTGTGATGCTTCGTCCATCCTCGGCATCAGCAAGTCTTCTCGATGCTAGAGATGTCTTCATTTCGCCCAGCAGTGGCCTCATCACTGGGATGCACTGCACCATGATTGTTCCGGTGACCTCGGCTGAGTACCAAACCATTGATAAGCCTTGGTGCCCTGTGTCCCTTGGTCAGTTGCCGTACGTGGTAAGAGACTACCTGAAGAACTTACAGAAATACCAATCGTCGTAATTTGATGTAGCAGGGCTGTCCATCCACGATTGTCGAACAGCTGAGATTACTGCCACCACAATGCCCAGACTCATGGTCCCACAGAGGCCTATTTTTTCCCACTTGCTGATTTTGAGTTTCCATATGACCATCCATGGGTACAGTGCTAGAACGAAATCCATAACAATGTTCCATATATTGCCAGCAGCTTTCGTTCTCGACACGGCCACGTAGTCCAAACAGAATCCCTGCATCCGCCAATAATTCTGGTAGGACGATTCGTTGCAGTACTGTGCCCAGTTCATGAAAACTTTCAGGACCATGAACGCATTGAGCGATACTATGCAAAACCACAGCCCTAAGAACATCTAAATTAATGGAGGTTCTATTGCGGTGCCTGCAGATAGAAAGCCGCTTACCTTTTTTCTTTAGACTGTCAGTTATTCGAAGCAAAGTCACAGCGAATGCAGTCTTGCTCCATGTCTGGCTAATGGTTGTCCCGCAAGACGATATCGAAATGAGCATCAACATTTGATCGCCCCATGACTTTGTGACATAACCATTTGCCATTTCGTAAGTGATGACAATATTTGTTGCCAGCAACACAAGCTAGTAGGACGCATCCGTCAGCTTTCTTCCGTCGAGCATGGGTATCAGACGAGGAGACCGAAATGGGAAGGATCGCTTACCCAGCAGACTAGGAGAATATAGTCATCGTACCAAAGCCCATGGCGGCGCTTGAGCTTGCACCATATCCTGACACCCAAGAATGTGGTTGCGCCTGCGAACAAGGTCCACAGACCGGTATCGACTTGCTTCACAGGCGACACGAAATGGTGAACGGCCCGTGGCGAGGACATCCTCGCATCTTGTCTTGGCGAAGAGAAAATTGTCTTGGCAGATAAAAAGAGGAAGGGATTCAAGGGCCGAGGGAAAATAATGGCGGTTACACAGATTTGACTGGTTCCAGGAAATGTCCTTCCAAGACGATTCCGTACTTCTTTCCTTGAAATTCTGTTTGTTCGCTTGTTCCCCATCTCTGCTGCGGCCTAATATCGGGTGCAGCATATTGGAGGGGGGACCCATGCAGACCATGTGGCCGGAGCTGGAATATACGATGACTTTAGATAACTTTAGATGAAGAGATGACCACCATCAGCTTTCATCGTGAGACCGAAATCCAGTAATTTCCACGGTGCTGTCGCATCTTTATTGATGGAGTTGTCATTAGTGGTATATGGACAAGGGGCCCCCAGTCCCTACCCCTGCTGTCGACGGATACTGAGATCCACGAATGACGAATCGCAACCTCGAGAGGTAACACACCACGTGTGATTGTATTTCTTTTCACGTTCTATGGAGTTGCGGAAAGTTTAGCGAACGGCAATTGAAGATGTACATACTGTAGTCTCGTGGGGATAATAGATTACTGTCATAGCGGCCATCTATTTGACATGTAACAGGTCCAACTTCTCAAGTGTTCACTTTGCGGATCGCATCCAGCTATGTTAGCTGACTCCAGCGAACCAGGACTACTGTACATAAGAACCCAGCGGCTCCGCAATCTCCTGTTTCCATCTGAGTTGACCGAAATCGGTTAGGACGGGTTCGGGGCTGACATCTTTCTGCGTGTTCCGAGGTCATCAGAGATTGACGAAATACGTAAATACTCTGCACAGACTTCGGCGGACAATTCATACCTGGGCTAAGTGCAGAGGTATGTCGCGATAGGTGACGTGACATGAAGTGCATGCGCATGAAAATTATACTGGGTAACCTTCGTAGCGCGCATGACCAACGCTACTGCATGTTAATTCACGGTGGGCCGTGAGCCTTGTGAAAAAAGAATTGTTCCTACCCTTCTTTCTTCCCCGTGTAGAACGACACCATCAGCGACAGAGCTGTGCCCGGGATCTGGCCCATGGAAGCATTCGATAGCATTGGCCACGATCACAGGTCGGCAGATGGTGCATCGTCAGAGAACGGCCTGATCTGGACTTTCTTTGCGCATGGCATCCCTGCCATTCTGTAACTTTGCGTATCACATTTAAAATAATAAAATCTAGTAATAATAAAATGGAAGCCAGACTTCTCTATAGTCTGCTTATTCGGAAAGTCACTTCCATGCGTACTGTTATATTCTGCCCAAGTATATCGCCTTGTCTGATATAGTATATTCAAGCACAGCCCTCTGTTTGCTTATGTCGCCGTCGTGGACTTTGCCATTATACCATGATATACTGTCGCCTTGTTGTGTACGTGATGTTCGGGCTGTCCGAGGTCTTGAGCTTTGCAATTCCAGAGAATTATCTCATTATCGGCAAAGACTCGCTAATTCTTCAGTAGGCAATAGTATTGCTGACTAGATTCTTGCGAAATCAACTCCTCAACCTGATAATTGTGAGGTATCAGGTCCAATATTCTGCACTGGCGTGCCATAACTGGTTCCTACATTTGGCGCCACGTACATCAATCCTATCATGATACACTTTATCCACAACGGAGCTCCCTAAGTGCTTGCTTGCTGTTCGAGCCTACAAGCCCGCCTGGAGCCCTTGGAATATATCACACAAGCGAATACTCAGCAAAGACGCCTCGCCGCCCAGGTCAAAGCCTCCTTTGCAAGATCGCGGGTCTCGTCTCGGAGATTGAGCATCCCCAGTGCGTTCCAGGTCGCCCAGACGTACTCTTCATGCTCGTCACTTTTGACAGCAACATCCCCGATATCACTCACGGCTACGGCCCAGTTTAGCTGCAAGTAGTCCGTATTGACCAAGGATGTGAGGTCGGTATGGTCGTCATCGTCCATCCAAGAATACTGCCTGTCCACCCATCGCTTCTCGCGTAACATGGCATTTATTCGAAAGACCTTCAAATCGACTAGACTGCTGACTGCCCGGGCTATAGAGTCCGAGATGATGAAGTCATCGTCATTCACATTACCGTTAGGGACTTCAAAGAGTGCTGGACTGTGTATGCCGTGCCGCTTGCGTTTTAGAAGCAGTATCGATGGTCTTGAAGACTGAACATCTACTTTGAAGATGGCAGCAGCGACCTGGAGCTTTGTTTCGTAGTCGTAGTTGCCGATATGCGAGAGGTATTCAGCCTTGGACATGGCCAAGATGTTCTTTTGGATGACTGTCAGGGTCGCAGCCATTCTAGTTGATAAGGGTACTGAAATGCCGATTTGGTCTGCCCAGCTGCTCCCGTTGTACTTACTGGATGACTTCGAACAGAAAGATAATTGGGCGCGGGTTGATTGATTGAGTGATCTTTGGTCATATAACGAATCAGCTCTTCTTGATTCCAGGAATAGGTCTTGTTTCACAACATGAAGCTGCAGGATCCAGGTGGCCTTACAGTAAGCCGTCATATCTTAGACGGAAGCTTCCAAACGTGGTTCCTGCGAAGTCCTCACAAGCACTTGTCATTTGGACTGACAGAGTTTGGTATGAGACACGGGTTGATGCAGTACGATTCAAGCACCGAACGATTCCCAGGTGGGTGAGGTTGCAAGGCATGTACGCAGGAGTTGCTTTGCTTCGCTTCTAGACTAACCTAGGTCAAACCCCATTTTGAAGAATTATACCCAGAACAATAGACCACCTCACGTCTGAGGCAATCTCTGCCCTCAATAATCAGCGCCAAATACCCACATACTGATTGTGACTATAAGCATGCCTATGCGTTGGCTACTTTGCTAGGTATGAGACATGTCTTAGACGAGAACGCCATCGCGTGGCATCATAGAGATATTGGGTCTGGCCAGTGAAATATTGCCCAACACACCAATTTCCTGTTGAATTCCACAGCACTGCATTTGATTAACGCTGGATAATGTGACTGAGAGTCCAACCTAGACTCGATACTGTCGAGCTGTCGCATATATTCGGAGTTAGAAGAGCGGACAGGAAATGCAGCTCCAGTTCGTAGATCCGGGGTAGAATTCTCTTGGCTTTTTGTCGTGGGCCGACGTCACTGGTGAACCTTGTGACCCTGCATAATGCGGAGCGCCTAGATCGGGCACTCGACAGATGCCGTGTAGAGGGAGGCGCAACGACTATGAACTTGTCAAGGGTTCCTCTACGAAGATCGTGGGTTTATTTTTTATTTTTATTTTTTTTTTACTTTTTTAACCTTACTTGTAATGACCTTGACACGAGCTTTGAAAAGCCGCAATGAGAGGGCGTTTTTGCATGGTCGCACGACATTCCTTCGGACGCCACCGTTAAATGACAGCGGGTACAGCCCAGTGGACCATTGCAAGGGAGCGGCTTTTCTCTCTGTTTCAGTCAGATCGTGCATAGAGGCGCATATCCCGGAGTCGGGTTGTGTTGCACTGAAAGCTCAATTCACCAGTCTCTTAAAACAGACTGAGCAGAGTAAACATGATCCCACCAACTTGCACCAGAACCCATCTGGAGGGATGCGTGAATCCAGCTGAGCGGTTTAGTTAGTGCTCAACTGTTTCAAACGGCGTGCGATTTAGCACGGATTCAATGCACTTGCATGGTGGACGGTGCAGGAAAAGGAGAACGGCGCCGATCACCAGGAGGATCAACTTGCCGAGGAAGGTATAGCGCTGCCCGATACGGGGAACTCGAGCGAATTGGGGCCACTAATTACGAGCCATTACCCCTTGGTCGCAAGGTTAATTGGTTAAATTCAGTAGAGTTATTGTGTGGATCATCACGAATGGAAAACAGTGTCGTGTTGGGGGACCTAGACCTCGGGTTTCGATGCCCAGAGAACCATTGCTGCTCCTTCCTGCCTGTTACATCTTCTAATCGCATCTTCCAGCAGCACTGTGCTTTTTGGGTCTTTGTGCCTTTTCTTGTTTTTGCCTTGGTTTCGGCGGTCCTTGGTAGCGGAGCCATTGATCGACGACAATCAGGTTACCATCAAAGATCTCATGTGCCAGTGAGTCTCTGAGTCTCCTGACGAATCTGAGTCCCTTTCGACTCGCCACGATCGCTCTGGTATACACTCGCTATAGCCTCAATCGAACGACCGAATTTCGCTTCCAAAACAAATATCTGGTTGAACAGGAGAGTTATTTCACATTTAGACGCCGACTTATAGTTCATATATACGCAACAGCAACAATAACAACAACTATACTACTATATTTTGGGCTGGGTCTTTGCCCACCATATCACGGTCGCACTTTCTGTTGGACATCGTTCCAGTTCGAAAACTCGCCACACTTTCTCTCATCGTAAAGTTAACAGCAACGATAATACCTCACAATCACAGATATCGGTTGTCATTACTTGGCAACACTACCTTCGCTTGTGTTGCGTTCTGTTTCGAGATCGCCGCTGTGTAACGCATTATTCGATCAGTTTGCCGGGGCGGATTTGTTCTTCGAAAGTTTACAGCACTATAATATCTAATACTATTGTTTCGGAAACGGCTCTCCTATCATGCTCCGCTCTCTCCTACCCGTGGGCATTGCCCTGCTAGGTGCAAAGTCTGTTCTTGCTGCTGCCGCAACATGCTCTTTAGAAAGCAAATGCCCTGAAGACACGCCATGTTGTTCACGTAAGTCTTTCTGCCAGTTCCCTGAATAGTTCTGTATCGAAGTTTCTGTGCGTGTTCTAGCGTATGCCATGTCTGCTAATGCGAAACTTTATTAGAGTATGGCCAGTGTGGTGTGGGCGCCTACTGCCTTGGAGGGTGCGATCCTCGCATGTCGTTTTCGCTCGACGCTTGTGTCCCAGAACCAGTATGCGTCAGCAAAACTATAAAAATGGACAGCAAAGACAATATTGTGGATGTTTCGAAATATCTCGGCGATTCGACGAAAGCCGATTGGGTTGCCCAGGGCACGCCCGTGCCTTTTAATGGAAACATGCTTTTGACCATGCCTCCAAATACTGCGGGTACTGTTCTTGCGTCTACGAACTATATTTGGTATGGAAACGTAAAAGCGAAAGTGAAAACTGGTAGAGGCGCGGGAGTGGTAACAGCGTTCATCTTGTTAAGTGATGTGAAGGACGAAATTGATTACGAATGGGTTGGTACCGAGCTCGATATCGCACAAACAAATTACTATTTCCAGGGCATCCCGGACTGTAAGTAGCCACCCGCCGCATCGGTCTTGCATGCGCATCTAGCTCACGGTCTGCAGATACACACTCTTCTAACATTACTGGCGTTTCCGATACGAACGCCAACTTCCATGAGTACGAGATTCGTTGGACGCCTGACGACATCACATGGCTCGTAGATGGCAAAGTTGGTCGGACTCAAAAGAAGTCGGACACATGGAACGCTACTGCCAACCAGTGGGACTTCCCTCAAACGCCTGCTCGTCTACAACTGTCTATCTGGCCCGGTGGAGCCAGCACCAACGCAAAAGGAACCATCGACTGGGCTGGTGGTCCGATTGACTGGAACAGCGAGGATATTCAACGCGATAAATACTACTATGCTACCTTTGGCGAAGTCAGCATCGAGTGTTACCAGACCAAGTCTCCACCGGGTACGAACTCAGGCAAGAGCTACACATTCAACGACTACCGTGCCACCAACGACACCGTCATAGATGGCGATAGCAATACAATCCTCAAGTCACTTTTGGGCACTGGTCTGGATATGGACAAGGAGATTGCTGCGTCGGCCTCTGGCACAGCTGAGGTCATCCCTGGTCTGAGTGGTGGTGGACCCGGTACCAACGGACAGGCAGCTGGCGATGCCAGTGGCGACAGCAGTTCTGGAGGCAGCAGTGGCAGCAGCTCATCTGGCTCCAGCGGTTCCACTCCCAAGTGCAATAGTGACAGTGGATGGCAACAGGATTGCTCGTCAAGCAGTAGCGATAGTAGTACCACTACTAGTACCAGTGATGGCGAGAAACAAATACACGTTTTTGGTGTAAGCGTGTTCGCTGCACTGATCGCTGTTGGTGGCATGCTGTTCATGTAGGGAAAGAGTGGGATAACACGACGAGTATTGTATATATTCACGAGAGCCTCAATCAGGTGTTACTTGGGTCAAACAGCTCAGCCTCGCATCTGGTCAGAGCGCACATTCTTTGGCAGCTCATCTGCTTTTCGTGAGTATAAGTTTGTTTTCCAGCATTTGGAAGTACGGGCATCTTTTGGAGCATATTTGCAAAGTAGTAATGGAAAATGCCGTCCCTTCATTCAGGACTTGGTCCGATTCATTGGTGCCAATGCACACAATTACAAATTACGCAGCCTACGGATTTGAGAGGTTGAACGGTTGGCTAGTATCTAACTTCTTCGTTATCATGTAGACCAGTACCATCATCCTAAGCAAGTCATGCCCCAGAAGATATGGAGCCTATAACGCGAACAGTGTTTTCTAACAAGGGGCAAGAGCAATATCCCAGACATGAGCCATAAGACGGTGTTTGATAATGATCTGTCTCGGACTTGTACCTACCCGAACTATGTATGCCATATTACAGTAGCACGTGGCATCAAGACACGCAGTTGAAATGAGTATTTATCAGTCGTCATATCACTTGTAAAACGTGTTGAGAAGTGTCCATTCGCACCCTCTAGCTTATTCCCTACGGCACCTTCGAACTGAACTTTAGAGTGTGGCGTTCCCCACTCGGCTTGATTCAACCTCCGTGTACAACCTCCAACTTACACATCGCTGCAGGCTTCAGTATTGATTTTGCCGACTTGTGGCTTTCTTACGATCGAGGCCGGGCAAATCTAGCTCGCGAAATGGGGGTACTCAAGTAGCAACTGTGGACTGATGTATGTCCGCTTCGCTACTGGCCGCGTGTCAAGTATGGTTTAGTGATTTGCAGATGATCAAGTCTAACATTCCGTCCAAGCATATAAGGATGATGGAATGACCATTTCTACGGATGTGGAAAAATCACATCTAATAAGATACATTAACCAGAGGAAGGTCTTACTGACTGACATACTTTGCATATTAAAATAACATTGTTACGACCATACACATTTCCTCTCATTCATCTAGTCCTCATAATGTCAAATACCAAGGCGATCGCTTTCTTTGGAGCTTCTGGAGGTTGCGGACTGTCAGCCCTCAAGCATGCTCTCGCAGAAGGTCATACTTGTATCGCGCTCTGCCGTTCACCCTCAAAACTCACAGACCAGTTCCCAGCGGACAAGTACCCCAATCTGAGCGTGATCGAAGGAAATGCACATGACGTCGCGGCAGTCTCAAAGTGCATAGTGCAACCCTCCGACCCCCTGAAAATTGTAGACCACATATTATCGTCAATCGGTGGTGTTTTCCAGCCCAGCAAGCTCACCATCGATGACCCTCACGTCTGTGAGCGGGGCATGGAAGCCCTCCTTCAAGCACTCGCAAATGTGAGGGCAAACGGAGCGACAGGAAGGCCGCATATCTCTGCTCTGAGCACAACCGGCATCTCAAAGGCCGGGCGCGACCTGCCGCTCGCTATGGATTTGTTCTACCGCATGGTCATAAGCGTGCCGCACAAGGATAAGAGAGCTATGGAGGACCTGGTTGTGAGCAGTCGTGAGGACTTTACAATTGTCAGGCCGAGCTTGCTAGTGGCGGACAAGGAGCATGAGGACTGGGATATCAGGGTTGGAATTGAGGACTTGATGGGTGGAAAGAATATCGTCGAGAGGAAGGAGTGGGGCTACACAATTTCTAGAGCTGATGTTGGAAAATGGATTTACCAAAATCTGATAAAGGAGGACGAAGGAAGACAATATGTCGGAAAAGCCACCAGTCTCACATGGTAATTTGGCGGGTTACTCTACACGGGTTATGAGCTTGGTATCGTCTTTTTACGGCTGGCTTGATCGCAAATGTGACGATTTGACGTTGTTTTTCGTCCACCACAACTTTCCATAATTATTATTATGTGATGGACTACTTCCATCAACTTCTAATACATCACAGAACATATACATCGGCTACACCCTACACGTATGCGGAAGTGCTTGACGGGAACGCGTGAATCGATGACTTACAACTATTAATCGCGAATCACACCCCAACCGAGTTGGCAGTGCGGTTTCCAGCAGTTCAGTGATCGCAGCTTGGAAATCCAGAAACCCAGTGGGTGGTACGTGCCTATTCACCAGACACCAAACTATGTAGTTGATCTTGCTCTGAATCCGTCATCGCGCCAGGAGTTGTATGAGAGTCCATTCGACTGGAGACAGAAACATGCCACAAAAGTGATTGGCTGATGGATTCGATTGAGCACAGTTGTTTCTAAAGAAGCACCAACGACTGGGTTCCAAAGCTCTGTTGGCGGGTACTGGTGCTTGGCAGGCCGCTGTGTTGTTCCCGTCGGCTGCCTGAGCCCAATACTTAGACCACAGGATGTAAGCTTTGAGCCAACCATTTCCCAGACTGTATTCGTAAAGCCGCCGCTGGGACTCTCCTTGAAGCGCAGCCCAGGAGCTCGCAGTAGCTAGTGAGCCAAGATTGATTCAAAGCCAATGGCCAGGCAGGTTTGTTTCCGATCGGAGCCTTGCTGCGCATGAGGATCAGACCGGATCAGACCGGATCGAATCATCCATGCTTATTTTAAGTGTTGCACTGCCAGCTCCCTAACCTAGGTGCAAAAACCCACCTTACAGCGCCTTCTAAGGCTAAGAACAACCCCGTGTAGTTCGGGCATCCGTAAGTACCTGCATAAGCACAAACAAGCCAAATCCCTATATAGACTGTCAAACAGACAGGTCTTTCTGGCCTTGCCATGCTGTCATTCATGACTCTTTTCAATGAAATTTAAAGTCAAGAAATAATCACTTCTTTATTATCAGCCAATTTTGATTGAAGTTGCTTTCACTTTGCAGTCGTTGTAAGCATTGATGCCTGTGTAGAGGGTTGTTTGAAGGGATTCTAACCAAATGCTTAAAGATTTATTGTATCTGTTCCATATTTAGATTTGGCAACGATCAACGCAGGAAACCGCAAAGGCAACAATCACAATTGAATTTACTTTTTCTTTTTTTGTGAATCATATAAGATCCTTTGTTCCGCTGGCTCTTGTCACCAAAGTCATCCGACCATAAAGCAGTGCCATCGACTCATTATTTGCGACCTTGACTTCAACCAAGCTGAACTTCGCAACAAGATTTCTCACCACACCGGCCTCAAGAACGATATCCCTTCACGGACAACTTCCTCCTTTCGCCAGAGAAACACGCAAATATCGCAACTCGATAAAACCTTCCCCACCACAATCGAATCGAGTCGAACATGGTACGGATATTGCCATCGCTGCTCCTGCTTTCGCTTGGACTGGTCTCCGCGAACTCGATGCTTACCTCACGGCAGGAGTCAACCGACCAGTCCAGAAGACTGATCGTAGGTGCGCCCGGACAGATATTGTCGTATGATTACGATGGAAAGACCTTCACCTTGGTAGCCAACTCGTCGGCAGCAGGCACTGCTCCCAGCTGGATGATCTTCAAACAACCCGACCAACTCTATGCTGTTGACGAAAACTCTAACACCACTCGGCTCTTCAACTTCAACCCTGCTAACGGCAGTCTTTCGGGACAGCCCAGCTTTGTTGCCGATGGCTCATTGGGGGTAGTCTCGCTCGAGTTCAACTCGAACCAAACGTATCTAATCGGTGGTTCGTACAGTGAAGGTCAGGTCGATATCTGGGACCTATCGTCACCTGACGTTAGCCTGAAGCTTGCGAAACAAATTCCCTTGCCTGGCTCCCTTGGTCCTGATCAAACGACTCACCGGGCACACCAAATTGTCCTTGATCCGACGGGGCAATTCTTCGCCGTTGCGGATCTTGGAGGAGATGCTATCCACTTCATTGATTCATCGACGTGGGAGATTAACAACTCCGTCCGGGTTGAGCCAGCAGGTGCTGGTCCTCGCCATGGCGCATTCCTCGGTGGTAATGCAACATCGCTGCCGAAGTACTATGCCGTCGCTTGCGAATCCCAGAACTTGATCATCCTCTGGGATATTGAGAAGACCGAGAACGGCAAGATCAACCTCACAAATTCACAGACTCTAAGCACGTTCGGCGACGCCTTCCCCCCTTCGAATGCGACTAGCGCCGCAGCTGGTGAACTGCTTGCCTCGCGGAACGGCAGAGACATTTACGTCTCGAACCGCATTAGCGGCAACGAAACAGACAGCATCTCGCATTTTCTAGTTCAGGATGGCAAGCTTGTCTTTGCCGATCAGGTTTCTAGCGGTGGCTACATCCCCCGGCAGCTCAGTTTCAGCACCGACGAGTTGTTGGTCTTCGGCACAAACCAGGGTGGCAAGAACGGGCTGGTTGCTTTTCAACGCTGTTCCGACGAAGGAACACTTACACTTGCTGCCGCTCTGCCCAACACGGAGACCAGCGCCACTGCTAACACTGGACCGCAGTTCATAATGGAGGTTCCCATTTTATCTACTCAGGAACCTGATCAGTGTTAAATGGTACTCCGAAGCGATTACGATAGGGAACGGCTTGATAGGGAGTTTGGCTAGTTAGGCGTTTAAAGGAAAGGTCAAGATTACTGTGACCGCAGGCGTTGTCACGAAGGATTTTACCTAAATTAGATTCCGCCCGAAGGCCTAGAGGTATAATAATGCGATATAGATTTTCTAAACGAACTCTCATCATATGACATGACATCAGATGCACTACTTTATGAAGCATTGAATAGTAGTTTCTATACACCCTGAGAATATCCTCCTCGCTCCGAGACAATGGTATTCACAAAGCCGTAATGTCAAGCTAGCAATACATATAGAAAACTAACTAATCGTAAGATTTGACCACTTATCATCATAGATGATTATTACCTTTGTTAACCTATATTATACCGTCCACTTCTTACTTAAGTCGTTATTAAAATCTAGTGGCTTTCGCATTTATCTAATATGATATTCGTAATCGTCTACTAGCTTTTAGTTCCAGCCTCCATCAAGTTTGATGGTTACGACGCGCACGCCTCCTAGTTTATTTATTTATTAATTCGTCGACCAAATCGCGCAAACGTAATCCGTTTTGCTGGCTAATATTATAGCTGCCAAGATAGGGGATTGGGTTTAATTAATCCGGCAATCACTCTTTCAGCTCTCGATCCACAGAAACTGTGTTGGCCTACCACTCGTTCTAAATCATAGCTTCTGTACTGCCGTCAACTGTCTCCTGGCTCCTTTGTTTCTGAGGATTCCATCTTGATAGCAAGTCGCAACATGTTGGCCCTTTGGATCCCAAATCTTGCTGTGCAACATCCCTCTTCCAGCATCTGATCTACCAATAAGGACCTCTTGCACCCACCAGCCTCCATTTTGCATGATGGCATCTGCTGGATTAGTATGCACCACAATTGAATTACTCAATGAGGCCACACGCCCGAAATCATGACCCCAACCAATGTGGTTGACAACCATCAAGATCCCATTCCGATCGGCCTCGTAAGCGTGAACCATCACATGTGCCGCCGGTTCGTCAGGCGGCAGAGGGGCCAGAAGACGATACAAGATCAGCTCGCGGCGCTCGTGCAGGGGCCTGCCATTGTTGAACGAGCGCATGTCCACTTTGCGCATCTCCAGGGCTGGAAAGCTCCCTACTAGGCTGCGTGGTGTGTTTTGGGTGTAGAAATCGATATCCAGTGGCGGCGCGGGGATCCATTCCATGGGACTGCGGGATGAGAGGATCGTAGCGAAGCGGCTCTGGACAGACGGCTCCTGGTGTTTGTAATATGTTTTCTCAGGTGGTCTGAAGGATACCAGACTGCTGAAACATATTTTCCCCATGGAAACCTCGATATCTGCTGGAGTGTAGTAGTCCCCTGACCCCGTTGTGCTTGGAGATAGTGGCTGCCGAGCTGTGACTAAAAGGTTTATAAACAAAGGTGACACTGACAGCGGCGTCACCTCATAGACAAATGGACGGTCTGTGCTACCAATCTCGGACCAATATCCATGCATTGTCTGTTTTGACATTAGCGAATATAAGTCCCAACACAAGAGTTTGAAACATACGTGTATACCATACTGGCTCAGGTCTCCTCTTTGTATATAAGATGACTCCCTCATAGCTTGAGCAGCTGCCATTCCAGCTTGGCAGTAAACGTGGCCACCGAAAGCATTACGATTCACTATGGAGTTTTTGACAACCACGGATACCTCCTCGGACGCCTTCAAATCGGAACCTGGAAGCCATGCAGCTCTTACGCTCATAAATCGTCTCATGCCTTTCACGTCATCTTCACTTCGGGAGGGCAGAGACAGGAGGCTCATAGCCTCCTGAAACGTTAAACGAACGGTCATGATGTCCTCTTATAAAAGCACGCCGAGGTGATAAGCGCTGTCCAGAAAGACGTTCTTATCCTGGTTAAGACTGTAATCCGAAATGTTCGCGACAAGGTCGCACCACGGCAAGAATACAGCGCAGAACACAGAGACGGTATACAGAAAGGTCTGTTCTCATTTCCAGAGGAGAGGAATTCCGACTGGCCTCAACATCTTTGGGAGAACGCCTGAAAAGGCACAAAAAAGCTGAGTTCCTGTAAGCGCTTGACCTTATGTGGAAGCTTGTGGGAGGTGAGTCGCGGGGTCAGGAAGCACAGATACGGAACATTGCCAACGATCACCATCACAGCTTCAAACCGCTGGAAGTCTACATGACCTCTCATCGTAACGGACACGCAGAGACATCATTTGTTTGGCTGGATTTACCAGCGATCAAATAGGCCGAAGAAATAATCTCGCTCGAGAGCCATGCGAACTGATCGTATTAAGTTGGTTAGACGACATGAAAATATACTGCGTAGGGTAGGAGTTATATATGGCGCAAAAAGATACTGCAGATCCATGTATAAATTATGAAAGGACAAAAGGGCAGGCTCAAAATGGATTTCGATTATCAGGATGAAACTATACTAAACTCCACAAACGCTTTTACGCCAAAAATACAACTCATTCGGTTTAGTGGCCTTTGTATATCATGGGGTGCCATGGTAGTTAACAATCATCATCGAGCTTCGGGTTATAATCGTATTCACTATTAGTATAATCTTACATTCAAGAATGTGAGTCTATTGCGCCTCGGAAATAGCCTTGCGAAATTGGGGAATCAGTGGGCTGGCAATGGCGACCATAACTTGAAACACTCTGTAGAAGTGTGAATGGGTAGTTCGCAAGGTCGCTGAAAGCAGAATTTACAGTAGTACTAGACAGAGATTTAGAGCCAGTCGAGTATATCATTTGGAGATATTAATTAGTCTAGCCGGTTAGTCTAGATGGGATATTGATCCACATGGATCTTGCAAACCAATTGAGTAATAACAAATCACAACGAAGCGCCGCATTCCAGTAAACCCACCCAGTCCATTTCGAGGAAGGATACCTTGGGTTTCTCGAGAGCTAGAACCTGAAATATTCTCGCAAGGAGTTGTTCTCGCCCTAGTTCAGCATTGTTGTCTGGCTTATAGCGGTAAGGCGAGCCTGATTGAAGACATCTTCCGCGGTGGTAGCTGTCACATTCCTCCGTCTTGTTGGGCAGTACTCTGAAAGACTCTGACAACCTCGACTTGTCTCGAATGGGAGCCCAACTCTTGCGGTAATTAAATTGCAAACTAACCAACCCATGACCTTATTGTGGCAATAGCGGACGGGAAAGCAAATTCAGCCAACTGCGGCTGAAAGAATGTGGGCCATTAGAACCTCTAAAGGGCAGGTCTCGGCCTTGGAGCAAGAAAAGCACGTGTAACTGATTGATCGGATCTTTGTGCTTAGAGTTATCCAGTAGTAATAGCATCAAACATGCATGAAAACCAATTCCAATGACATACCCACGGCAATGTCCCTTTACCATGGTCAGCATTTTGTACGTTGTAGTCTTCGAGCCCGCTGACTGCAATCTGTAACCCCGCTTCCTGTCATGCGGGTGAGCGTGTCAACAAGGTCTAGGGTTTATGCAGTACCTGTGTGCTCTAGAGCCCTGGATGTATCTGGAAGAAGAAATGCCGTCGCTTGTCGGGCTTCCTGATCTCTGAGTGACTAGAAATTCTTGTCAGTAGGACACCAATTGATCGAGATGCTACAAATAGCTTTGTGTACTGCGGAGGGTGCCGCTTTGAGGCGAGCCACATGGGAGAAATCCCGCAGCGAGTCTTTCAGAGGCTGACGTTTTCTTCCAACCGCGTGACCTGACAGCCACGACAACGATTGGTTATATCAGATGTACACGATTTTTGTTGAGACTTAGGCGATGGGTTTGGCCACAACGTAATGCCAATCAGAAAGTATCTCGCGTCAGCGAACTCTACCTTCATATTTGGTTGGCAAGTAGAACCGACACGACTGCAAGGACTGGAGACCGGTTGAGATCTTCATACCGAAGGCAAAATCTGCATCGACAGTCATTTCGGTTCCGCCGCCGGCGATTTCTCTCGGAAGAGTCTACATAGTTATGCGACCAGGTATGAACAAGATTGAATAGGAGCTCTCGTATCCATAACGAGAAATCTGAAAGCCGTACGTACCCGGCCTCGCGTCGTAGGGATTCTGTATGGCTAGCGGGTGTTTTTGTGCCCGAGCGGGCTGGCGACAGGCCCCCAACTTAAAGATGAGACAACTGTGCTGGGAACTAGGTAGTATTATACTGTAGCTCGACGAAAATACAACTTGGAGGAGCCAATGTGATGTAAGCATTCTACAGGAGCGAAATGTCGGGGCTTCCGCCGTCGTGAGGACAGGCCCGGTTCTGGTGTCCTTGGGCGAAAGGAGGTCCTCGCTTGGAATGATGGATGTGTACATCCATACTGTAGTATCCGTACCAACCTTGGGTGTTCCATTTTCAAGTTGCGCGTCCTGGCGATCCAATACATCGGACAGTACCAACTAGTTCTAGTCTTGGACGAAGGGCGTGTGGAGAAAAGGAAAATTGGCAAATGGCCCTGGCAGGAGGAAATCAGTTTTTGCAAGGAAGTTGCTGCAGGCCAGCCCTGGAAGTCCGGGGGATCTCACCTTGTCAGTCTGGGGTACTTCGGGTGAGGGGGCTCACAAGGTCAGGGGTCAGAGCCAAAAGCCAGAAACCAAAAATCTGCGACCCACGCGGACCGTAGTTAGTTCAGGCCTCTCCTTAGCACGCACCATCATAAAGGAAATGCGACACATACGATTCGCAACATGTTGTCGTACATTGATGTCCTCGTTTCTCCTGCATTGATTCTTGCGGCGCGGATGTTGCCCACGTGAGCCCAATCGACGCCACCAGCTGGTCCAACCATAGCCTCGGGAAACATCGCAACTCCGGAAATAAGGTTCCATGTCCCAGCCGTTCAAGCGTGTTCGGTGCAAGCAAGCCTCCCCCAAAGACCATCGCCATGTTCATCACCGCCGAGCGTAGCCAATGAGAGACGAGTGCTCAGTGGCTGTTCTCTTACGGGACGCTATTTTCCATACGAAAACCGCGCCGTGCTCGCGTGCCACCTCAAGTGCCTCCAGCGAGGCGTGGGCAAGAAGTGAACCTCTGCTGCTCATCCAAGGCTAACTAAATACCACCCTTCACCCTTCTTAATGGCCAGCATTTCTTACGCCAGAGTCGAGTAATACGAACGGGGCCATCAATCCCGCACACCGATTCTTCGGCCCTTGAACTGGTCACGCCCTACTTGCCGTCTTACCACCAGGTTAGTTGTATAGTAGACCCGCTCGGAAGACCCCCCCGCTCCGTCGATTGTCCAACAAAACTGATTGAAACGAATCAGTCTTGTCTTGTGCCCTCTACAAAAGACAGCTCATTAACTCCCCTGGATCGTCAAAACTTACAACCTTGGTACACCAATAAAGACCCGAGGACCCTGGCACTCCGCAGGCAGACGGTCTGGTTCGCCTTCCCCACGGGGACACTCTTCTACCCCACACAAACCGACTCCCCGGTTCTCTAGACCTCTCAGGTCTCGATTTGCACAGGCTTTCCTGGTTATCATTCTGCATTGTAGATTGGGTTCTGCCGTTTGTTTTCTGTTCGGGGTGGTTCAGCTCCTCACTCGGTCGTCTCGTCAAGCAGGTTGTCTCGTTAGTAAGAAACAGCCTTTCGTCCTTGAAGCAAGTCGAATAATCTGGTCCCCCGATCGTTCAAATTTGCAGATCCTGCTCGGTCCTTCTGGACAACATATATCGAAAAGAGTCACAGTATTATTCGCGAGTATGGTAGTATCAACCACACGGCCACTGTTACAGGACTACTGAGGGGGTTGGATTCACTGGATCCCGATAACTCCTCTCCAACACGTCACTTGTGAGAGATACAAAGGCAGGGTCCAGAGCAAGCATTTATTCTTGCTTATGAATAGCTCAGGCGCAGCACATAATGGTCATAGGGTTGGAGATACGCCAGGCAAATCTGGACCATTTCAACCGATGGCCTTACCGGTCGAAAGATCAACCGAACGAAGCTGGTGGAGAAAGTGTTTACCTAGCCCGTCAAACATCACAATCAGCTACGTCGGCTAATGGAGTGTCTGCTATCAACGGTATCCTTGGTGATGCGCGTAACGCGTTGGCCGAGGGTCTCGATGCAGACATTGTTCGATTGCCGGACATGAATAATCTGTTGGCCCCATTTCCAGAGCCTCCATTCAAGCACGCATCAGCTTTGAGTGAGACGCATGCTGACCGCTCCAACGAAAGTGCCGGGTCTCCAGAGTCGTTGACTACGAACATAACGACAACTGGGTCTCGTTCTAGCCAGACGCAAATCCGAATCATGACAGCAACAAGTCTGTCAGAGGGGCAAGCTGAAAACCAGCCATACACATCGCCTAGTCTCTCTTATAGAGCCTCGACTACATTCAAACGAAGAAGGGCGCTGCATGATGTTGATGGACCTGGTACTAGCCATATGTCGTGCAAGAAGCGGCGTCTACGCCTCCAGCTTGTCACTTCGAGGTTATCTCAACCATTTTCCTTACCTGCCACACACATCCTCAACCGCGAATCGGATAACGACACGCCAGTAATCTCTAGATTCGTCAAACGCGCAGCAATAGGTGCCAAGAAGGCAGGCCATCAAACGGCACTGGTTCGCAAGGCAGCAATCATGAATCGTGTCAGGCTGACCATACGACAGACAGCAGTCACGCGTGGTCATGATCGAATATGGAAAAGAACAGGATGGGGTGCCATGAGACATGGCTTCCAGTTAGTAACAGATAGCACCGGTGCGATGTTTCCGGGTAGATCAGGAGAGCAGGTCCCCGGTCCTATAGTTCCACGCGCATGGCGACCACATACTACTAGTACCAACGCCAAATCTCCTCCAGGGATGCTACTACCTGGGTTAATATCCTCGGAGAAACGAATTGTGCATATGAACGCAGCGTCTAGCAGAGACATGCCGCCAACATCATCCCATACCAAGGCAGTAGTGGAGGATACGTCATTACCACTACCTCCTCCTCCTCCACCAGCTACATATATCATGACGCCATTGGCCGGAGCGGATGAAGACGAAGCATCTTTTCCTGACTCAGACCTGGATTCGAGGTATACTGAGGCAAGCGATGACGAAATGGATGATGTATATGCTGACTTTGGTGTCCTGTTCGGTGGCGGGACAGATTCACTCGAAGGTCTAGAGGAAGACGAGCATTTCTACGAGGAATACCTCGACGAAGTTGATGGTATCATATGGGCATCGTAGGATGTAGTGGAATAGGCGGCGCTCACAGGTTCTGCATTGCTGGTGTTATTTACGGAAGCACTTCAAAAGTCTAGCATAAAACATCTTCATCGTTATGAGCGTAACATCAAGCATATGGTAGCTCAATCAAGTTATCATTAGCGGATAATTGGAATACTGTGTTTGCAAATTTCGATAAGCATATCACAGTCATGGTCGAAACTAGTTAATGTTGCTTATTTGCTTTGAAACCTACCTAAGGCCCAAGGGCCCTACTATTCATTTGTTATGCAAACTCAGCTCTGTTGCCGAGGTATAATGAGAGCTGTAAACCTTTCTGCAGTAATACATGTATATCGATAGTTGAGCCTTTTCGTACTTGGCCACCGGCACCGGCACACGGGATATTACGTCTCATTATTATGATACCAAATATTGATGAACTTGCCCCCATGTCCAATAATGATGTTGGGACATCTCTCTTTTATGGCGAAGGGGCTACTTCCCAACTCCGGGTTTCCTTCCCTTCTATATCTTTCAGAATTTTCTCACATTGTGCCTTAGATTCAGATTTATTATGTAGTCTTGCCTCTTCCATAAATCTTTTCACACCCTAAAGCTCCGGCTCACGGCCGAGCAGACTCTGCACACATTCTGTAGCCAAATCCCAGTTATATCGTTGTTTATCCTTTCTTAGCGGTACCTCGCTCATTGAAGTTGGCATCTGTTGAGTAGCTGCTGCAATTGATATGTGAGAAATCTGACGTTTACCTGGAAGTCTTCCGAGGCCAAAACTCTCCAACCATTGGCCAAATCGGTGCTGAATCTCCATGTAAATATTGCATCCACTTGTACATATACTATCCCATTGAGATCGCGTCGAAGACGCTCCCATGAAGTGTACCTGACTCTTTCTCGAGGCTCCACTTCCCTACGTCATACCCAGCTGGAATATGATGCTTCTCAAGATCGGCTGCCGTTCGATTTCGTATGTTGACCTTTGCGGTTAAGATGGAGTCGGCTGGGATAGTGTTAAAAGGCTGGGGAACATGTGAAGTTCTTGTACTTGAGCGTAGAACAGGATCCCCATGGGAGACCTGCTCACCGTGTTGATTGGAATAGTTAATAGAGGTTGCGTATTTCCCACTTGATATGTAACGAGGATCCACCAAGGTTCCTGTATAAACGGGTTTTGTTCTGGGAGATTTTGAGTAGCGCTTTGATAATACAATGCTGATATGCACGCAGGACACAGGCAGGGTCCAGGGGGCGGGTTACCATAACGGGGGGCATAATATTGTGCCATTTTTAAGATAGAGCTAAGCCGTATTTGTGGTAAAGAGTAGACTCCTTGTGCAAGATAAATTCTGACTTGGTCCTTTCAGTGCGCACAATATAGGTTGGACTGCCGTTTATACTTGAATCGGCCATATCTTAAACCATTATCTTCAATGATCCACGCTGTCGAATGAACACAGACGCAGTAACGTACAGGCAACACGAATGACTAGAACCGCAATCATCGCATGCTTATCCTTTGTCCTTATTCCTAACCAATATGACGGCAACGTCCGACTAGAACTACTACTGTACGGGAATTTGATCAGATGAATGGCTAGAGGGATTTTGAACAGATATAGATCGTAGTCGAAATGCATACTCATGACACATTATACTAGAGGGACAAAGATTTCGTGTGTATTTGCAATCAATGAAGGCGACAACTTTCGAAACCCGTGACGCTCAGGAAGACCGGCCATATGACTTGATCACGTCGAATTATATGAAAGGCACTCAAAACTGATCGAAACACGGCGGCGACTGCATGTTGACCGTGCAGACCGATACTTTGTTTCCAGACAAGACCGCGGCGCCGTGCCCACTTGGTATTGCGGAAGCCTTCGATGTATATTCCCGCGAGGCAGGGCGCCACATGCTGTGTATACAAAACCATGTGTCATGGTGATTGGCTACTAATGCCACTGGTGAACTGTCCCGTCACCACGTTTGGACATAAATATGGTTTAGACGGTGAAGTAAAACTCCTTGAGCACTGTGGGATGGCGAAGTACAAGTACGCGGCAATTCCATTTATTCATTGTTGCACGAGTTGGAGCTTCTTGGCTCGATCCTGGGCAATGTCTACCATGGCGCGTATGGCCTCACGCTCCTCCTCTCTGATATCGGCTCTATCAATCCTCTGCCTCATGTTCTCCATGATGACAGGCCTACTCCTTCCATTGACAAAGACAACGTATCGGAGGCCGGGGAATGTGGCCTCGTACTCATCATTTAAAGCCTTGAGCTTTTCAGCTTCATCGGCGGTACCTGCATTGAGCGAGGCCTGTTCAGCCTGCGATTGCGTACTGTCCACTTTCTTTGCCCCCAGCCGCGGGTGCGATCCCAGAATGGCATGTAACTTTTGCTTGGCGGATGGCTCGTCTGACTGGGCAAGCTGGAGAAGAAGAGAGGCGATATGTTGTACAAGTGCAGGGTAGGAATCAAAGGCGGGTTCCGCAGCACTGGCGGCGGAGGTGACCGTGTTAGCGGGGGTTCTTTTCGATTTCAGGGCCGGGAGCGCCAGGGTGTGCAATTGTTTGGAAGGCTCGAAGAGCAGGTCGAGGGCCTGTATCTGGGTGTTTATGGAGGCGCTGGAAAGCTCAGAGATGGGCGGGAGTGTAGTCATCTTGCGACGAGCAGGTGTGGATGGGGTCGCTACGGCTGCTGGCGAGATGCGCTCTTGGAGGGGCACGTGGGGAGGCCGGTCAATATGGACTGGACGTTTGGAGGTGAGATTGAATCCCAGGTCGTGATGGTTCTTTATATTTATCTTTAGCTGCAAAGGAGTGAATTGAGGCATATTTCGGCCCCTTGAGCGGAAAGTTTATGCTGCCAGTCTGGCTCGCGGCGAGGTGCGACGTCGGGGTGGATGATGAAGTTGCGACGGGGGAAGGAGATCCCCCCGAAAGAGAGTCCCGAGGTCCCGATCCATGAGACGGAAATGCGGTGCAACGCATGAATATCGATAAGATAAGGGAGAGAGTGCTGTGGCTACTGCATTGTAATGGATATACCAGCACAGTGCGGAGCAGCTGGACGCTCAAATAGCTACGGCTACGGCCACAACCACAACTACAACGCCAGCTGCAGCGGCAGCCACGGCTCAGTGAAACACAGTGCAATGTCTACCGCACGGACTGTACGCAAGCAACTATTCTTTGAGCTTTGTCTGATCAAAGCTAGCGTCCCGCCCCCCCGTGGCTGTTTTCCTTTTGGCGGCTCACTTTCAAGGCTGCCAACGCAACTCCAGCAAATTTCCAGCATCTGAAGCTTGATGCGCCAGAGCTAATTGCACAACACCACATTAGAACCTCATCATGCTGTGTGCTTGTATGTACTGGTCCATATATCGACCCCCCCCACCAAGAGATACTAACGCGTCAATAGTGTCCGGCGAAGCTCCTCAGGAGCCTGTTGTCTCCAAGCTCTCAGGTACCTCTCTCAATGTGCTATAAATGCAAACGGGTACTACACCGGACTAACAACGCGACAGGTAACGTCTTCGAGAAGCGCCTCATTGAGAAATACATTGAGGAGAATGGAAAGGACCCCGTGACTGGCCAAGACCTCACTCTCGATGACCTCCTTCCCGTCAAGACCGCACGTATAGTCCGACCTCGCCCCCCTACTCTCACATCGATACCCGCACTCCTCTCTACCTTCCAGAACGAATGGGATGCATTGGCACTGGAGACATTCAACTTGCGTGAGCAACTGACACGCACACGTGAGGAGCTGGCCACGTCCCTATACCAGCACGATGCAGCCGTCAGAGTTATCGCTAGATTGACATCCGAGAGAGATGAGGCACGAGACGCCCTGTCCAAGGTCACTGTCGCCGGCACAGGAGCAAGCAATGGCGACGCCATGGCCGTCGATGCCGAGGCCCTTCCGGAGCACCTGGTAGCAAAGGTCGAGGAGACCCAAGCTAGGCTGTCCAAGAGCCGCAAGAAGCGACCTGTACCTGAGGGCTGGGCTACCGTCGACGATGTATCGTCATTCGCCGTTAGCAAGGAGAGTGCTTCCAACGTTGAGCAGCCCACGACGCTGTCGGTCGAAGAGGATTATGCAGCAGTTGGTGGTCTAAAGGGCGACGTCGCCATCTACTCGATCGAGGCAGACAAGGTGGAGAGATCTTTACAGGTCAACGAGCCTGTGACCGATTCCATCTGGAAGGGTTCGAGGGTCATTTTTGCGACGGCAAAGGGTTCAGTCAAGGTTTATGAGAGTGGCAGCGAAGTATCTTCTTTCTCGGACCATGCGGGACCTGCCACCGCTCTCGCTATCCATCCGTCCGGCGACATCCTGGCCTCGGTAGGCTCAGACAAGAGCTTTGTCTTCTACGACTTGGTCGCTCTGAAGCGCGTCACTCGCGTTTTCAACAACTCATGTAAGTTCATCCAGCCCCATTGGGGCATTTCCACATGATTGCTAACTCTTTGCCAGCGCTCACGGCATGTGCATTCCATCCCGATGGACACCTGTTTGCCGCAGGTACTTCTACGGGCGACATCAAGTTCTACATGACTGCTACCGGGGAGCAAGCTACTTCCTTCTCTCTCGGTGCACCAGTGCAAAGCATTGTGTTCTCCGAAAACGGTTACTGGTTCGCAACTACGGCCAAGGGACAGACAACGGTGACCATCTTTGATATTAGAAAGGAGGGTGATGCTGCGCGTGCCAAGGTGATTGATGTTGGCGGTGCTGTGCAGGATCTGGCATGGGACTACAGTCAGCAATTCCTGGCGACGGCTGGCCCTGCCGGGATCACGGTGCAGCAATACGCGAAGAGCAGCAAGAGCTGGACCGAGCTCGTTAGGAAAGATTTCGCCGCCTCACAAGTACAATGGGGCAAGGATGCCCGACAACTCATTGCGGTGGGTCAAAATGGCAGCATCGGGGTGCTGGCAGCGCAGTAAGCCACAAAAGGCTTCGTCCAGAATAGCACCGTCTTGTTGTTGTTATTGTTGTTGTTGTTGTTGTTGTTTTGCTTGTAAAATGAACGGTTAGAGAAGGTCAAAACAAGCTGGCGTTGTTATTGTTGTTGTCGTTTTATAAAACGGGAATCAGAATGGTCATCGGATTTCAGCATGATTTGTATAGTACATATGGATGTATGATATCGACCTAGCCAGTGCAGAGTCCGTGTCGGAGTTTCTCAAAGCATCTCGTCAAATTGTACCGTCTATGCTAAGCCAGCGTTACAGCAGTGGACTGGTCGCCGTAGTTTCATGACAATATGCGCTTGTTTCTGTGTGTGAGAAGAATGACGAAATAGGCTGTAGGTCCGTCGGTGATGGGAAATTTGAGGCGTGGGCCATCGGAGTTTGCAGTCGGCGCGCGGGACATCAGCAGGGGTAATTGGTGGCTAATTTACCTCTACTTTACAGTACATAGCACTCGCTGAGCTAACGTTGGTACGGAGCATTTTGCATTACAATTACAATTACATTCATGTACTTTACAAGCACAAAGTAGCCGGAAGGTAAGGTGCTCGTCATCCTGCCCTGGCGCCAACCGAACTAAAACCTACAAGGCCCAAGGAAAGGATCCAAGCATCCAAGCATCCGGGCGGCAACAAAGAGACCTCACCTCACCTTGGGGGCGGTTGGAGGCGCTCCTGCTGTACCTGTACCCCCTGTGGACAACAAACATACCAACGAACGAACGGCTGAGTTGGAAAAGCACAGAAGTCTGTTTTTGCAACAAATTATTCATTTCCGGCTTTGACCGCACGAATAACCACTTGTGCTTTCGCGACATTTCAATTCGACTCGTCGACAAAGAGATTAACCCAGTGCGCCCACTGCCCGCTGCTGCCCCATGGCCACTTACTGATTGATTGGATGATTGATTGACTAATCGAGCACGAGCTCCAAGTACGCTCGGGAAAGCATGATCTCGAATATCTGGTCGATCCCAGGCCTCTGCGACTCTTTGTACTGAGATTACTTGGTCGCCGAACTCTGCTTAAATTCAACTGAGCGACAAGGAGACTCACAATCCTGAGTTGGACTCGAAGGCTTAAGGTTGAGGCTCAAGGCGGCTCAAGGCTCTGTCGGTAAGTGTGACCCTACACTTGTTGCTTTCGCCCCTCTGTCTACCATCATCCAACTGCCAACCCTCTCCATGCCACCAGAGACGCCGACCGTGACTTGAGTATTCCCTGCCTGTGCCGTGCACCCACAAGGTAGCCATAAGGTAACCACTCGTCCAATCTCGCGCTGCATGGGAGAGGGGGGAGAGGGAGAGAGAGAAAGAGGAAGAGAAAAGAACTACCGGTAGAGGAACACGGAAAGATTTAGACACAAATTATAGCACATTCCGCATAACCTGCTTGCTGCCGTACCAAACGACACTGACGTTCGGAACATGAGTAGCCCGGCCGACCCAAAAAAAAAACTATTACCACGACCACTCGAGGAATTCGCCTCCTGCTTGTCCGAGCTGAGGCATTGCGTTATGGACCATTATTCTAGCACCGTTTCTGCCTCCCCATCCTCTGCTAGGTACGGTGCCGGGTCTGACGTTTCCTTCGACTCGGACTATAACTCGGATCAAGCCGACGCATTTCAAGATCAACAAAGCCTACCAGACAGCCATATTGGCGAAACCGCCAGCGAGAGCGAAAGCGAAGGCGGGCTCTTTGTCGAACAAGACCGCAGTTCTCCTGCTTCCATCATTACACTTTCCGCTTCTGAGCCAGGAAGCGATCATAGTCGTCTGGGCTACGGTTTGCCTGAGCCAGATTTAGGACCCGGCTTAGTAAACGGGCTGTATCTGGGCAACGACCCCGACGAGTTCGATCACGACTACGACCTAGAGTCCGAACTCGAGAGGGAGCTCGTGAGGGGCAATATTGATATCATCAGTAGCGACAGCGAGGGAACTGTTGGCCAGGAGCCGCACGGTTCCCCATCACCAGATCCGCTACATATCGGGGCACACCAATATCGCCTTCTCGTTCACGACGATTACCCACAGCCAGGATCAGACGACTCTGGGGAATCCGAAGATCTAGACTTTGACAATTACGACTTCGACGACGAGCTTGACAACGATCATCTATTTGGCGACGCCTTTGGGGAATCTGAAGAGGAGGACTTTGGGGAAGGAGCAGGCGACGCCGAGTTCCTAGGTTTGCCTGAACCTGTGCCACATCACCACCACCATCATCATCAACACCACCACCATTTCCATCACCCCAGACTTGCTGCAGTTCACCCGGACAGGCATTCACCCATTGTTCTAGGTATCAATCCGTTGCAACACTTGGTACCTAACTTTCTCCCCCCACATCTGCACGAGCACTTGCGCCGAGCAAGTTCCTCACCTGCATTATCCCCCAACCGTGTACCCAGGATGGAGGCTAGGAACCAACAAAGAGATGAGCTGGTTGGTGTCGAGTTGGGCCGAGGTCGTGGGAATTCAGCCCAGAACAATAACGTCATTGATTTAACACTCGATGATGAGGATGTAGAGATTGTCAACGGATCCCAAAACGCCCGGAGGCAACAATCACAACGTCGGGATAATGCCCCGCGTCTCAATCGAAGCGACGGTAGCTACGTGGGCAACCGAAACGTCATTGAGCTTAGCTCCGATTCTGAAGACGATGTGCAGATTCACCGCGTCAACGCTGTAGAATTACAACCCGCAGCAGCTGCTGCCGCAGCAAACCATCATAGGCATCATCATCACCACGTTTACCACCACCACGCAGCTGCCCATCATCATCATCGTGCTGCTGCTGCCGCCATGGAGCGTGCTGCCGCCATGAACCAGAGACAGCAACGGCGTATGCCTGCCGCCAACAATGTTCGAGCCGATGACAATAGCAATCGTGGCTTCTTTAACATGGCCATGAATGGAATTAGGGGTGTATTCGGCGTCGGCGTCGGCAACCGCCGCGGTGACGATGGAGATGTTGTCATGCTAGGTGCAGGGCCAGCCGCCATTTTACCAATACCCAATATGCCTAATTTTGGCCACATCCAACTTGACTATGGAGCGCACCCATTCCGGCCCCCACAACCAGCTCCTGGTCCCCAAAAGCCCCCCCATGAAGCTCCTCCAAAAGCCCGCGAAGGGTTCACCAGAGACACCGAAGGCAATAGTCCCGTTGTATGTCCAAGTTGCGACGAGGAATTGGCATTCGACCCCGATGACGGGGATGAGAACGGGCCACCTGCAAAGAAAGCAAGAACGAAAAAGGACAAGGCCGAACACCACTTTTGGGCTGTCAAGGAGTGTGGCCACGTGAGTTTTAACTGACATTCAGTAATACCATCACTGGTACATTTACTAACACCGACATCTCAGGTCTTCTGCAAGAAATGCTATGAGAATCGCAAACCTACAATCAGGAATCCCGTCAAAGTTGGCTTCAAGACCTCTCCCCAAAACAACAAGAAGATTTTGTGTGCCGTGGATGACTGTAACTCCGACGTCTCCAGCAAGACCGCCTGGGTTGGGATCTTTTTATGATACTGCGTCCATTGGCGTGCGTGGGAGGAAACTTTTTTCTTCGCTTTCACAACATAGTTTGGGCACATGACTTTCTCGACATGCACACTCCAGCAAAACATCCGACGCACATCTGGGTTTTGCATTCTAGGGCGTTCACTCGACAGATGAACAAGAAGGTTTCTGCACTACATGGCGTCTAGGCGGTAAAGGCTTGCTGGGATCGCCCAAGAGGCACATTTGCGTACGGACTCACTGCATTACACTGGCGTTGATTCAACACGGATTCACGAATAGAACGAGTCATGAAGGTAGTGGCCATCAGTGTATATATATATACACCTGCCATGCTAAGTTTGGCTTACAAACGTTTCATCATCGTCTGAGACGGTAGTTTGGAGGCTATCCATAGTAAGCGTTATGCCTAGACTAATGAAAATATTTAAATTCATGGTACACTATTGTTGTCGGGACACTGTGTTTCCAACCATGCTTCAAGTTAATCATCTGCAATATTCATTTGACCTGTGCGAGCTTTGCTGCCCATTACTGACGGATACCCGCAACGCTTTCTCTCTTCCCCTAGAACAAGCTCAGGTTCGTCCTCGGAGCGGCCTCCCATGGTTGTGAGGGTCTAGGCTACTGACAGCCGGTTGTCTCAAGAGAGAGAGAGAGAGAGATATATATATATATATATTTTTATCGTCGAGCCCTTATTTCCAGGCACCTGCTAATCTTATGGCAGAACCCAAGTCTCGGAGCCATATTGTCATGATTGCTAACATGAACGTCGCCTCTAGGCAAGGTATAGAGTGGTCCATGGGGCCTGGACTGCTCTTCTCCTCCTGACACAGCTGCAAGCGTCTCGTCAGAGCTGCTTTCTGAAATATCAGATCGATCTCCCAACGCAGCGACGCTTCGTGCTACGGGCCGAGGATGGACGGTGAACCCCCCGTTTCCCCCACGCTCGACATCACCTGGTCCCGCAAAGGTCGGTGTCTCGCTCGATGGCCTGTCCTCCGTTACCTGTACATGGTGGTCAATCTGCACTTTTATCCCGTTTTTCATGTGCGTCCTGCCGCGGAGTCGGCCCTCGTACTGCGTGATCCGCGTGCTAATCTTGTGGCGCAGGAGATTTGCATTGGTGTCGGTCTGGCTTGAGAGCTGCTCGCGCAGCTGTTGGTATGCCGCGATTGCCTCCCTTATTCGGGCCCGGTCCGTGTCGTCCAGTCCGGCCTTGAGCGATTTTCCTTGTTTTGCTGGTTTAGTACGGACTAGCAAGTCGTCCTTTTTTGTTTTCGGTTCAGGCGGTGTCTTGAGGACTGTGACGGGCGCGGAGGTGCTGATCGGTACAGATCGGAACCGTCTCTTCAGCATCTGGTATCGGAGCACGTTTCTTGCCGGAATCATATTCCATAGCGCCGTTGGGTCAAAACCTAACCTGGTGTCGTATACGAAGGTAGTTCTTCTGACGGCTTGCATCTGATACTCCTCGTTCTTCACACCGCGCCCTGGGCTGGAGGCGAAGCCAAACGCATCGCCTGGGAGCTCTCCCAGGGTGCTCGTTTCCTCAGGAATGACACCGTTCCGTTCTAGGACAGCCCGCAATATCCTGGTTTGTTTTTCGAGATCCGTCCGATTTCTCTCAGCCATCTGCTGAAAATGTGCGATACCATCCCACAGAAGGTAACTTCCAGCCGCTGAGCGCTCAACTGACGGCCATGCCTTCTCACACTGCTTGACGACGGGGTAAACCGTCCATATCGCCTTCCTCAAGGTCCCAATAAAGCCTTGCTCGTCGGCTTTCCCCATCGTTCTCGTGTCTGTTTCGCTGGGTTCCGACGGCCCAGGCGCTTCTGGCATGTAGGGAGCCCGCAACCGGAAGCCCTCCGGGCAGTAGGGAGAGCGGCGAAAGGCATCGACATGGACGTCAAGTTCGTGGGCCACCGCGATAAGGGGCTTTACCGACGACTCCCAGTTCGCCCCCAGCCACGGCTTCTTGGAGATGCCCATTCGCTGCGAGCACAGGGCCTTGCGTACGCTGCGCCAATCGCCCAGGACCAGCTCCAGGTTGTCCTGGGTCTTGGTCGCATTGGGCGCGCCCTGGCCGCGCGGAACATTTTGCCAGGCCACTGCCTCCTTGGGTTCGATGTCTTCTTCGAGATAAGGATTAGAGAGGCCTGGTGGCAGTGGTGGCTCAGCAAGGCCGGGAATGCGGTTCTCTGTGTTGCGCGTTGAGGCCGCAGATGAGTTATGCATCAGTCGTGCAATCTCGCTCTCGTCAAATGGCTCAGGGCCGAGTAAACCCGTCCTATTCGATGTGTGTATATCCGTGGCGTCTTCAGCCTGGGATCTCGATGAGGAGGTTTCGCTGCTGGGGTTTTGGGTCCCATTAATGAGTGTATCTTTTGGACGCGGCCTTGACTGTCCCGGTGTAGATCGGTCGTGCGTGAGGGACTCTGCATGCATTTGGCCATGCTGGAGATGCAGCTGCGTTGGCTTCCCTGATGCCAGAATGGCGTCGATTGAATAGTTCCAGGATAGCCAACTACGAACTGCCTCAGTTCGCTCCTGGAGTGATTCTCTCAATCCTTTCGAGTCATATGATGGCTTGTTCATCTCTATGGGATTATGGTTAGTGGTATGTCTACGGACCAAAATCCCCGATACCCTGGCATGTTCATGATATATCTCATCGTTTCCTTCGGGCTCTAGCAGTTGTCTCTGTACAATGTCGGTATTTATTCCCCCTGCTGCAGGTAGATCTGGTGAGTCTCCTGACTTCGGAGTAGCCACAGGCGCGATAGTACCTAGCGCGGGATACTTGTCGGGCACGCGCCCATGTTCAGACAGCCCGCTGTTGCTCATCCCGTCCATTTTCAAACAATAAGTCGGTTTGTTATTGCCTATCAGAGGTTACCGGTGAGATACATTGTTTCTGAAAGAGCTCGCCTTGTTATGGTGTGTAAATGCGACACTTAAGAAGCGGGAGACGACTGCAATAAATCATGGTCATAGTTATATGGTTCGAGTACACAAGATTTTGTAGACAATGCGCGCAGAGCAGATTTGCTACAATTTTGTTGTACTGCACAAGCGCGTCACGAACCTGCACCTCAGGAGAGCATGTTATGATATGACTGGATGCACTGGTCTGAACAGCACTTTCAATGAGGGATTCCACGTCAGAAATGATGCGTATACATAATGAAAGAGCGATAGTACGCCAATACTTGGGGTGAAAAGGTAAACCTATTCCGCTGCTACAACTATGAAGACTGAGGAGACTATACTGAGTCGTGATCGACTGCATTTGTGTTGGAGTTTTCTAACATATGCGGCGACTGATGTGGCTAGCCTTTGTGAACCACACAGACAGTAAACGTAAATGTTTCTGCATAGGGCCCGCGTATGTACTTTTGAAATTTGAGCGTCATTGACGATCCGCAAAGTCCTACATTATTTATATTGTACGGAAGCTAGCGACAGAGCACCTCCATTGCCTGTGCTGTATCAGTCTCTAGCAAACAACGTAATCCGGGCAGTATGCCGCAGGGGAAAAAAAGCAAGTTTCTTGGATCGCAAATCTGGAGGACAGCTCTCAAGCCAGCCTCTCAACAGAAATACCCCTGTGAGCTTGTTTCTTGGCCGAGAGCGGCCAGAACGAGGGCTCTGCTAGAGGCACCCATAGATTCAAGAGGGATGCCCAAATAAAGACCAGTAGCCAAGTTGGCGCTCTGTACAAGGCTGGGCCATCCGATCAACAGGCTGGACAGGCCGATCCGCGGTCTATCAAGGTGAAACGAAGAACTTTCCCTATGCTTCTGAAGTTGAAGGGCCAAGAAGAATGAACGATGTTCTTTGAGTGCATTGTCGAAATAGAGTACATTGTGTAAGTTTTATCATCTAGACTTCCATCACATTCGATTTGCGGCCGACATGCTCCTGTTTTTGGAAATGGGCAAACTGAGTCAACCCTCAGATAGAGCAGTCGCTCCCCTGAGATATGACGCAAAGTCTCAGAAGAGTCAACGGTGAGGTTATGTGAGAAGCCCTCCCAGGACTCCCAACATGGTAGGAATATTACCTCCTGTCGTCTCGACTCCATTGTCGGCCCATTCATGATTGTCATGGCTGCCTGAAAGCACCTTTTTGAGGATGACTGTACCCTTAGAAGGCCTATGGATGAGATTCAATATGTGGCGATAAAGCTGGAATATCATTTGTACGGGTATGCATTTCAGTGTACAAGCTCAGATTCAACTCTATTTATATAATTCAGTAAGTAAGTGGCCATGTAGCCGAAGCAATCCAAGATGGGGTGAGATTTCGAACGAACCAATGAGAGTATAACCGCCTACCAGGAAAATTGTAGTGAAATGCCTCACATAGCAGACCCGCAAAGGACGAAATAAAGCGGAAGTAGGCGGCCTCATCTTCCGCCCGAAGGCTTTGATTTTGGCTAGACGAAACCATTTGCAACGACTTCAGAAGTCATTAAAATTAAAGTTGTATTACTGCGATCGATATCCGAACATAATGATCACGCCTTCAATCTACCCAAAAGTCTTTATTATGGTATTGTAATAAATACGAAAGTGTACTACTAAATGAGAGTGTCCAGTTTATTTTGTCCTCTTTGGGCAATAGACAAAAAGTTGCATAATAAATCGAGAACAGCCAAAAGAAAGCATAATATCTGTGCGTTTTGATCTGTTCTGATTGACCTATCGCTGTGTGTGCATGCAAAACACTGGGTTAAGACAGCAAAATGCTGCAAACCACCACGTAAAAATAAGGAATATGACAAAAACGGGACAAAAGTAAAAGAAATATTGTAGCACCTACTCGTTTCGATCGAGTGTCCTCCGGGTTATGAGCCCGGCGCGCTTCCACTGCGCCAAGGTGCTTCCTTTGTTGTTGAGTTTTCGAAGCTAAATGAGTAATAAGTAGCTAAGCTTCTAGCATGACACAGTTACGTACAATTATGCACACAGCTAAGGTTAAGCTTAGTTCGAGAGCACTGCTCCGGCAGAACGTCGGTTATGCCCAAGCACGGTTTGAAAAATGATCATTTCAGCTTCATCACAATCATTCTGTATAATGTGTGGTAGGATTATCTGCCGTTGCCATTTATAGTCTTCCAATGTTCCAAAAGTTTGGCGGTACACCCGAAGCGAGTAGCAGGATTTTGGGGCGTCGGAGTCCGGACGATATTCTCCATATGTTTCGCCTTTCAATGTATCCACAAGCCGCTCAAAGAAGCCAGGGATATACTCAGTGGGACTTGAGGATGAGAGCTGTCAGAGCTGAATCCATGTCCTTATTTGTTCTATTTCACCGTCGAAGAGGCCACTAACCAAACCTGTCCCGTAAACCCAAACTGCATCCACCACAGCAGGTGTATTTTCCAAAACACTTCGCTCCGTATTATACATAATCAGCTTTAACCCTGGAGATACTAGTCATGTAGTATCACAAACCACGATGGGGACTTCGACTAGCTATCTGCTCGATTTCCCAACTCTTGTCTCATAATGACCACACACGGCGAAGATGGACTACTCTTATCATACTGGAAATGCTCAAGATATGTAAGCATCTAGATGAGGGTGATGAATCTAAGGTTCCCCGGGGAGACACCACGACAATTTGTATGGGCCGACACGGACCGCGCCCAATCTGCCGTCAGGGTCCAGTTCCTCCGCTGGGCGCTGTCGAGGCGGCGCCATTCGGGATGCGGGGGGACGCCGCCGTCCCAGTCTGGATGTGTCGGGTCCAGCTCGCGGTTATGGAGCAGAGCCCGCACCCGTCTCAGCAAGGCCGCCGCCCCGGTCAGCCTCTGATCTACGTCTTGCCACTTCGCCAGAGCGCTTCGGGTCCACCGCGCCCTGGCCTCGTCGTGCATGTTGGGGATGCTGCCCTGCCAAGCCCGGAGCATCCTGCCCATTCGGCTGAACGAGCGGTCGGCTCTCCCAAAGCTCGTGATGGTAGCCTCCAAAACCTCCAGGGGCTTTGGGCAAGGTAAAGTTGCCGTGCGTTGGCGGCAAATGACTGTGGCGGCTGTTTCTTGTGCGCTGCGCATGGACTGTTCAATGTGCTGGAGCGCAAGACCGACAACGAGCACTGCCATGGTCGTTAGAGACCAGTGCCACCAAGAGTGGGATCAAAATCATAAATAAATCGGCCGAGAATGAAACTCACTTTCGTCGGAATCGGGTCCCCTTAGTCGGGCTCGTTGGCGCCACTCACTGGAGTCGAAATAGGCAGAATTTCCGTACATGGTACCGAGTAGTGATAGATCGACAATTGTATATAACTGCAATGACGAATATTTTGTACCTGAGAGTGTCGGAGCATTCAAAGGCAGCAAGGAACTCAATTAAGCAACATCCAAATGAACGTGGTTTTACATAGTCACGAAATTTCGCAAATCTTCTCTGCCCTCTCCTCGGACATAGCTAATCATCGCAATTCATTGACTTACACGCGAGACCAGATTCTGCCACCAAGCGCAAATAGTTTGTTGTGATGCTCAATTATGCTCAACTACGGTTGAGAATTAATGTTCTGAGGATACGACATTTAGGTCTACTGGCTCAAAAAATGAGAGCCATCTACGTGGCTTGCGACCAACATACTTAAACATGATGTCTCAAAAGACATTTTCGGGGAGAGCAAAGACCCTATATGTGTGTCCATCATTGCTTAACAGGCATACCCGTGCCGGAATGTGGCCACGCTCGGAGCTGGCCTCCTTGACCTCCATACGAACCGGTACAAAGCCGTTTGTACCAGGAACAATCACGTTAGGGAAGATACTGGTGACTTGCTCTGTGCTAAGCTCATGTGGTTCTTCAAGTACCCACGGGTCGTATTTCTGGTAGCCGAGATCGGCTGATTGATGTGGGACTTTGATTAGCCGCAGTTGCTCTACAACAAGATTAGTACATTGCGGTAAAAAGGACCTCTTAGCTTCTTTACCATCAACTAATAAAAGGACAAGTAATGATTCGTCGTTGAGGAACCTCAGATCGAGAACCTTGGCATCGCCGAGCTTAAGGTATGAGTGCTGGGTTGCTACAGCACCACTAATTCCGTTGACAATTATCGTTTCTGTGCGGAACACATGTACTGCAGCTAGTTAGTCAAGAGCCATAAGCTTGTCGTATGAGTTCCTACTGCTGCCCTCTTGCTCCTCTTCCATCAAGGCTGTGTAGGTCACTGCGTTGGAACTCTAATCTCGTCAGTGTTCCGAAGCTATTAGAATATGGAAATGGTGCCTCACCCCTTTGTCAATTGTACACATCCTCATGTCAAGCTTGGACACATTGTGCTCTAGTTTGATCATTTGAAGCGTTCCGAAGCGGACGCTGCGCCGCTCTGCCGCAGCAATGCCTTCAAATACGACATCGGCTTTCTTCAGTAGGAGAGCCCCAAGAAATTCGACCTGGGGGACAACTGTGGTATGAGGCTTCCCATCTTCTTGTCCTTTAATGTGCTTGCCAAGTGTATCAAGAAGCGAAGCCACATCTTCGGTGGCCGCTGTATCTCGCGATGCATCCTCTTCAGACACCTTACTAAGATAGTATCTTAGGGGACTGGCAGGCATGTATTGTGAGATATAAGTCAATATCTTGCCGTGTTCCATTGTTGCCTCCTTTTCTGTCAACTCTTCAGACACTGTCGAGGACGCAAGACGGTCGATTTCATAACGTAGCCATGTGGAGAAAGACTGGAACAGTTCCAGCTCCTCCATGACCAAAAGTAGAATTTTGTTGCCGACAAGCATTAGACATGTTACGACATCCATGACTTTGGAAATATGGATGCTGGTAAACCCAATCTCGTCCTTGGAGTCGTGAAAGCGAGCTATGCCAAGAAGGCGGCTCAGAAGGATTGCAATCCTTTCCAAGGCTGGCAGGAAGTTCTCGTGCACGAGACTACGGAGACCTTCTAAACCAGCCACCACTGCTTTGTCCCAACGTTTGTGACCCTGAGATGGGTTTAGACACATTCAGACCAGGAATAGGACGAACTTACACGTTCCGCCAACTGGTCAACTAGCCATTCCTTCACCTCTGGAAATGTGTGACCCGTAACAACCGTGTGGTACATGGCTTGGCCGATGTCCATGCCGCCGTACTTGCCTGTCTCTTTCAATGTCTCATTAATGCTATCAAGAAACTTGTGGGGAAGCTCTCGTGTGGATTGCCACTCAAACCCCATATGTGTCTGCACCTGTTTGACGTATCTGAGGAGCTTCTGCAAAGTAGTAGTTTTAGAAGCCAAAAGTGACAGGTTCTCAGGTGAGGAATAGATGAATCCCAAGTCGACAGGAACGATGTACAGCTCGTTGGTCTTCATCTCTTGAGAAGGTTGGAAGAGTAGTGAATGTGTGGTAAGAGCAGGATGCGATGCATGGTGTGTCAACTTCAGCGACGGTGCTGCATGCAAACCGTCTGGGAGGTCATATTGAGGTACAGTGTATTTGAAATGGCCGATGACGAAGGAGTCGTAAATGCTTAAATGAATGTGGCCATTATCCGTTCCTACAAGCATAATGTCGACCATATCGGCCGCCTCAGGAGAGAAGGGGCGAAATAAGAACTCCAGAGACGCTCTCGTGGTAAAGACGTACATGTCATCTCTATCATTTCGTTAGCCGGCCATCTCTGTCGTTGCAGCAGCTGACATACCCCGAACCACCCGATGCTGGCAAAGGACTGAGCTTGGGCAGCGCAGTCTCTACCTCCAGGAATGCAAGCTCACGCGGAAGATCAGGTTTTTGTTTCTTTTCACCCAGGCTTCGCCCGTCTACAGATGATAGATCTTTCCATAGCGAATCGGACTTGGCCGCCGCAGGAGCCTTTTTACCGGCACGATTGCGAGTCCAGCCGATGCAAGTTATCTTGGTGGCAACACCATCACAAACGGGAATTTGATGAACGGCTTTGCTGTTCTCTAAACCCATCAGCCGCACTACGCCGTCGCTCCATGCTACAGCCAAGAACTCTCCTGCTTGCACGTTAGTCTGCCATCTCACATTGTGTGCGGGCTATATACCATCGGTCTTCCATCTGAGTGCCTGTATGGAGTCCTTTTCGCCTTTCTGGCTACTTTTGATGACGGATTGGCCATTGGAACGCCAAACCTGGAGTGTTTTCGAGCCTGCTGCCCTGGCGAAAAGCTCGATGCTGGGGTTGTAGGTGAGTAGGCCGCCGTGGGGCTTGGGATCTAGCTTTGTCTCGCTCAAAAGCTGCAAGGTGGTTGGCTCAGCCATATTGAGGGTAGACAGCAATTCTCATAAGATCTGTGATCATCTTGGGGGTTTCTCAGAATTGACAAAAGATTTGTTCTTACAAAGACCGCTTGTGAGAGCAGTGCGCAACAAGCAGTTGCCATGGAACGCGCCTAACGCGACATTTATTTTGTTTTTTAGAGGGTGCATACTCGGTACAGTGCTGGCGTATTGTCGCTCGTGCGCAGCAGTAGGAACCTCACAAGACCCAACCAAATCGGCGCTTTACAAATGCACTTTCCACAAACTCTGGGATTGAAGAGGCAAACGCATCAAGTTTTATGGCTTTGCAGCGCCAGTCGAATATCCTGTTGGACGTGACCAATTGCATATAGGGCGCGTGTATCACAGTGTATAATCTTCTTTTCAACCATTATGCATAATCATCAAAGTAATCCACAGTTCTCTATAAGCCTTGAGCTTTTGATTAACCTTTGCTCCAAGAAATTCGCTGAATATTGCACCTCTATCACAGTCTATTCGACCACATAGTTGTCCGCCACGGACTTGATCTCCTTGGAGAAAGTCACCTCCTCGTTCTCTTCTACCAAAGCAACGGACAAGACCTAGTAGTGCATTTGTTAGCGAATTTGGGACCTGGGGTCTGCAGACACGAGTAAGGACTTACATCAACGTCGATAAATGGCGTTGTCTTTGAGAATCGGACTTGCATGGGGAAGAACTCCTCCTCGGCGTCTGCTTGAGCTTCGAACTCGAAAGAGCCACTAGGTTCATCTGGTGTAACTGTGCCAATTGTCCACTCCAAGCTGTCGCCAGATACCTCATACTGTGCATCAAAGCTGGAGACGGACGGCTCGCTCGTGGAGTAGGGAATGGTGACGCTAACATCCTTCAACTCTTGGCCACCGGTCAGTTCGTATTCGACAGTAAGACCGTAGTTGCCCTCGGAGCCCTTGTTCACCCAGACGGTAAATTGAATGGGGACAGCCTCCGGGTCATCGACCTTTGGCGAAGCTCTCCATCTAAGCACACCGACAGCGTTGTTTACGGGGAAGCCACGTGCTAAATTGCTCATCTGGATGGTCCTGGAGCTGTTGAAGGCGGCCTTGTCCACGTTGGGGTGCGTTCTGAACTGGGCTCCGTGAGAGGGGGTGGCTGAGAGGGCGAGCTTGACCTTGGTCAAGCTGGGATCCAGGACGCGCAGGGTCAAATCTCCAGTTACGGACAAGGAGTTGACGGAGCCTTCTTTGGACAGCTTGGCAGAGATGGTTTCGTTGACTGTGACGTGAATAGCATCGCGGTCTAATGTGGTGGATGCACGCGGCGCGGCAGGTTCAGCAGCGGGAGCCGGGGCGGCAACGGGCACCAGAGGTGAGTCGTCGGCCTCATGGCCCATGTCTCCTCGCACACGCTCAAACATATCGGTGGTCTTGGACTTCTTGCCGAGCTGCATACCCTTGCCCTTCATGGTACTTGACTTGAGGGTGGTCTTGTTCTTCTCGGCCTCGTAACTATCGTAGGTATCGGCAGGGGTAGGCCGCGAGGGCGGCGTGTAGGTCGGGTAGACTGGGGTACGTGGGACGCCGGCACGACCGCTCCTTGCGGATTCCTTGCGCTGCATTTCCAGCTGCTTCGCCTTGCGCTTGCGCTCCTCTGTAGCCTCGAGCTCCTTGTTCTGTTGAATTGTGTTAGCCAGAGTGAGGGATGGGGGTGTGTCGTGAAGCAGTCAAATACCCTTGCGATGATCTCCTGTATGCGCTCCTCGTGGGACTCCATTTCCAGGAAGGTCTTGATCTGGCTGATTGTGAGGTTTTCCCTGTAGCCGAGGGTGACGAGCTCGTCGAATGCGCTGAGCAGCTCGTAGGCATTCTTGAGGATTTCTCTCTCGTCCAAACTCTTGCACGTGCTGGTGACGACCTGGGCGAACAGGTGGAGGGAGTCGATGTCCTGGAGGATGTTGGACTGGCGGTTGGTGATAAGGACCATGTAGAGTTCGTCGAGTGGCTGGTAGACGAAACGGACATTGTCCTGCTCGACAGTGGTATGTTGGGTGCCCGAGTCGGCAAGCTTGGGGAACGATGCCAGGAGGGCCTCGATTCGGGACCTGGGCATCTCGCGGAACTGCCTGGAGAGGACAGCTTTACCCCCGCGGGTGCAGATTGATGCAGCGAGGACGACCTAGAGGAGCATTGATTCGTTAATGAGTTGTCATAGTGTGGGCGACGATATGATATATATATGCATATACTCACCATTGTTGCTGCTGGTTGTCTTTCTTGGTCTGGGTCTTTCTGGTCTTGGAAGTGTGGGAAAGAAAGGGCAGGTTGAGTTCTGGGCTGGACTTTGAGGCGGTGTTTGAGGCCGTTCAGGAGATACAGTAGACGTGCACCATATGCGCAACTGCGTCTGCAGCTACAACCACTACTACAACTGGAGGTACAGGGCAGTTATTAACAAGCTGGCCGAATCGCCCCGACCTTTGGACTAACCTTGGACTAGTCTAACAATTCCTTGCAGTAAACGCTTGCAAGGCTAAAATTCAATGCCAAATGCCAACTCGTTGCGACCGATGGTTAGTGGGATAAGTCGTGGCTTGTGGCTCAGGTACTGTGCCGACAGAATCGTGGCACATTGTGACATTCTGGCCTGATTTATTAGTACTTTTCTAGGTTAACCTAGACCGAGTGTAGCTACAGTATCAACGTGCCGCAAAGCAGTGCTAAAGGTAAGCTTTCAGAGAGGGGCAAGGCAAGGGGAGCACGTTCAGCAGGTCAGGCTAATTAATTTGCGCCGCGCTCTGGAATCAACGCCGCGCCTCCGCACCTCTTCTAATTTAAAGCTGAGGCAGCTCGCGTAAGTCACCCAGAGCCCACTTTCCAGTCATCAACCACCAAACTTTTCCTTTCCTTCTTCGAGACCGTCCGCGTCACACCGGAGTTTGTCGCAGCTCACCATCATCTTCGCCTCCCGCCATTCCTTCCTCCCTGTGCCTGCTCTCAGCTTAGAGTAGCTTAGCTCTCGAGACCACCTCTCACAACCTCCCCCGCGAGCGAGCCACTCCTTGTTGAATCCAAGACTCCGGCTTCGTCGCGAAAGACGCCCATCCGCCGACCTCCATCCGGCTTCCTGTATTCCCAACTCCATCCTGTATTGGAGCTGCTGGCCATCACACTCAGCCTTCCAGTTCGACACCAATGTGCCTCGTTTCACAAGACAAATTGAACTACCTGAATTTCGACCGGGAGAAACCATAAGCTTGGACCCGAGCATTACCAAAGCCAAGTGAGGCGTCTTCACCACCCCAGTTTAGACTCTTCTTAGTTCTCGAATCAATATTGTTCAACAGGACAGTGCTTGTTTCCGTTTGGGCCACTAACAACACAGAGGCAATCCCCTTGCCCATAACCCGTCGTTGAGGCTAGTCCTGGCCCTTCTAGCTTTGTCTCCGTCCTTCGTACCGAAACCCCCCGCTGCTACGCTTCCGTCAAGTTCATATGCAACATGTCGACCGAGGACATGGAAATCAGCATGGATTTCGGCCATCAAGTCTCCGCCGAGGACATTGATATCGATATCGAATTCGCCGCTGGACAAAATGACCAAGATCTCGAGTTGGGCGATTATAACCAAGCCGACGAGTTCCAGCATTTCAACTCAGATAATAGAGACGAGCTCATGGCAGAGGACGACGACGCCTCGTATGCCATGGCTGACGCCGATGAAATTAGCTACAACGAGACTGCCACTGCCGCCAGTGACTATGATATTGCCATTGGTGATACCGATGTATTTTCCTGGCAAGAGCATCATGGCACCGATAACCTTGAACAAGTCTCAGCTGTGGTTCAAACCCAGCAGCTCAATGGCACCCAAGTCAAAGGTGACGATTTGATCTCAGCTGTCATCGAGGATTCCGGTGCACAGCTGCAGGATCAACCGACGCGCCCGGAGACGGTGTTTGAAGACTCCCTGGAGGCTGTAGAGTCGGTTCAGATCTTTGAGAGCGCCAGCACAAAGACTCCGAATCCGGAAGAGCTTGCAAACCCCAATGACATTGTAACTCAAGATTCCGAGGTTGGCTCAACCGCCGTAGATGAGGGCCATGCCGCTTTGGCAGACAATGTGGAGACTGAAGCAGACCAGCAGCAACAGAATCTTCAAAGCTCCGTGACCCTAGATGCCAGGAGTATTGAAGATATCCATGATGCTGCCGGCTTCGAAAGCACGCATGACACTGAAAGCCCTGAAAACGCGCATGATGGTATCGTGGACCGCCTTGATAATAAGCCAGACGCTGAACAAGTGGGTGCAGACCATGTAGAGCCCGCTTTGATAGAGGAACATGATGAAAATGGCAATGACCTAGAGGCTCAAGAGGATGAGATTGGCTATGATCAACTTGAAGATGAAGACGATCCCAGCCATGGGAGCCTGGCTTCTTCCTCTGCCGCCGATGAACATTCGAAAGAACAAGGGCCCGCCGAGCAGTACACCGCCGAAGGCGATGGCAATGGTGAGGACAATGACTTCACTGCTGGTAACTACCAGTTGGACGACGAGTCATTCGAGCACATCGAGAACCAGAACACCCAGGAAACTGAAGAGTCCGAGCAGCGCCAAGACGCCTCGCCAGAACCTAGCGAGCAAGCCGAGTCTGTTGAATTCGCTGGTCATGACCTGGGAGACACCGATAACACTAACACTGGGAACGTGAATCAAGAAATTGCATCGGTTGCCAAGCGTCATATCCTGGTTGTTCGCTACGGTGAGACAGATTATCAGCTCTTCGCCAGCGATCCGGATGATGACCCGAGTAACTACTTCTTCAAAGACACGTCAGCTTTAGATCTCCCACTTGGAGAGTTCTTGTCGGGCATACGCAGTGTAATCTCGGAAGAGGTTTCGCCACTGGACGAGCTTGTCCTGCATATCGATGGTCTTGGCCTCGAGTTTGGAGAGGTATGTGACTTCTTGTGCTTTGAAAGTTCCGCTCGCTGATAAATATAACAGAGTATGACGAACCAGATACTCGAAGAGTACACATTTGGACATATTCTATCATTGTATGATTCGCTCGTCCAGAATGATGCCAACAAGGAGGTTATAGATGCCCCTGAACTGTACATGTACCTCATGGTGAGACCGAATTGCTTGCAGCGCCTTTTGGCACTACAAGTCCAGGCAGCATCAGGTAGATGTTTGACCGACGTCGCGGTGTATCGTGAGGCCTCCCCAGCACAAGATGATGCTGATGACGGCCACGTCCTCGCTGTATCTCCTGATTTTATCGAGGATGAGTTGTATGATGATGAAGATGAAGATGAACTTGAAGAACACGAATCGCCGGACCACACAGAAAATGCTCAGCATGACGTTCAACCATCGCAAAGCGAGGACACCGAGGCCGAGGCGTCACAACACGGCGATGAGCATGGGGACGAAACACAGGAATTTGCAGATGACGTTCAACCATCGCAAAGCGAGGACACCGAGGCCGAGGCGTCACAACACGGCGATGAGCATGGGGACGAAACACAGGAATTTGCAGATGACGACGATGAAGATGCCGTTGATTATGGCGATCTTGATCTCACGCCGTCACAGCAGGGTAATGCCCCTCTTTCCCTTAGCTCTCCCTTATCTACGCATTGTACAGGCGAAGTCACCTGTCTATGCGATCCTTGTTGGTACCAGCAAATTGAGGACGACTTTGCTCCCCTCACTTCGAGCGACCCAGCGCTGATCAACAATGGCGGAGTGTTATTCGCTCAGGCGCATTTCAAGCATGACTCGTCAGATGCTAACAATTTTTACTGCGAAGACTTCCCAAACGATATTACTAACGAAACCACAACTGAAGCGAACGCGCCCCTGGCCAATGGCAATGGTACTACCAACGACGCCGATACTGTCCCCTCCGCGCATGATGAGCAGCATGACGACCCTCCTTCTGAGAGTACCAGCGCTACCGCCACTTTGGACGGCAATCCAGATGATGAAATCGACTACGATGAGAACGATCAGAATGCCAGTGTGGACATAGCTGACGCCGAGTATGCGACCCCTGCTCTTCCTGCTGCGAAGCTCCCAGCGCCACTGGACGAGGAGATCACATGGGAATCCGAAAATGAGGAAGCACGAAACGAACAACCCGCAACATCTCAGCCGTCTGAACAAGTGTCCACGACGCCGGGAAAGAGAACGCGTTCTGGCTCAGACGCGGCTGCATCCGCAGGTGATCGGAAAGGTACGTTGCGCTTTCCTTATCGATGTAGGTTGCCTGCTAACATGTCATAGATGTCAAGCGTCAACGATCCTGATTACCCGGAAAATGCATTCCTGGGCATAGTGCTTCTTTGCGGTATCCCCTCCCTCTTCGGCTTTTTCATGACAACCATCGCAACAGGGATCGACTAATGGCACCATGACAACGCGTCCCGCTTACGATCCTGTCCAACTTTTCCCCATTCTATTACAGATTACTAACAAATAGGAAGTGAGCGCAGATCTGACAGAGCGACAGATTCTGCTGGTAAGTTTGCACTGCTCCGTCGGACACTCTTGGTCTTGATTTTCATGTTCGCATCGGTTTCAGAGGTCGACTTTCTTCGCCCGGCTTCTTCACTTGTCCCCATATACCCCTAATCTGGGTCGCGTTTGGTTGTAATCAGTGTCATTTAAGGAGTCCAGGATTATCAAGAGTTCTGTAAGAGGCGGAAAGCATTTTAGGGGCGTAATAGGCTCTTGAGAGATATGGTAGCACCGTATTTTTACCAGATACCTAGGTGTCGTACTGAGAATCTGGAACGTGGGTAATCTGTCTCGAGACATCGGCGAAACTGATGGACACCAGGGCGCTGTCGTGCCATCTATCGGGAAGTATATGCGCTTCCGAACGATTTTAGCATTTAGTGTTGAGACTCTGGCAACCAGGTCGTCCTGTTGGGCCCCCTGCATCAAATACACTATAGCCAAGAATATGATATTTGATATTTATTTCTTGGTATTCAGGACTTCTATAACAATTGGGTATTTCTTCAGTAAAATATTGGTTTAAGCTAACCACATCCCATGAGTTACGAGCCTGGGCCTAACAAGATGGTACTTTTCGTTGGCTGCTCCTTTGTAGAAGGAGGGCTTCCACACCCGCTTTCAGACGTCGAGAGAGCAACTCTGTAACGCGCCCCAGCGAATTCGCCACCTCTCCGTATATGAATATTCAGTCAAACATAATTTATCGAAAATGTGTTTTCAAATTACATAATTGCAACAACCAGAAGCCCTCCGAGAAACCGAGACAGTGATAGCTTTAGTACCAGCTCTTGCTGATAACACTGAGCATAAGCCAGAAGGCACGCCCACCGTGGACTGTTCACACAGGCTACAGGCTTGAGTCTGAGGTCCCTGAGGATGAGACTAGACGGAGATGTTGTAGGCGAAGAACTGACCAGTCTCGAGAGGTTACTTCTCTAGCTGAGCAAGCCAATGGACGCCCCCCTGGAAATGATCAATGCCGACCACCCTATCCTGACGAGCCCGTCCAGAAGCAATTCAAAATTAGAAGACAAGAACAATGCAGAAAGTAGTGGTTCGATCCAAAGGAAATTGGGGAAGCAAGCTGCACCGAAGTATGAGTAACTGCAATCCTCGGAAGCTGTTCTCATGGAGATACTTGAGCGCGACCTCAACAAGAGGATTACGACCCAGGATGTGTCGGAGCATGAATGGTTCAGTCACACACATCATGGTGCCTAACAGCGGGCGTCAGGATAAAGTTCAAGCACGAGTTGGTGCGGTATACGGACAGGTCGTGTAGTCTACTCTTTAGTTGCATCCCCATAACGACCATATGAATGAAATTGTGTTCATGAGGCTGGCATCTTGCACGTACGCGGCCAGGAAAGATCTGAGCATTTTTGCCCCCTCCCCATACGCTATTGAGCATTGTCAATTCCGTGCCGCGTATACCAACGAGGAGATCGTCCTCAATCAACGAAAAGCGCACTCTCCGCTGCTTTTGAGTCGTATCAGGATCCGACTCAAGCCAGACTAATCTGTCCCTGCTTTTTCAGGTATCGTTGGCTGTACCAGATGCCCAGCGCCTCGAACCCCTGGATGACGGCCAGCAGATACTCCACCACGACGATCACCAACCAGGCGTTCAGGATCCAGCCCTGCACGTGGAAGACCCTCCCGAGGCAGCGCGGCTCCCCGCACTCCACCGCGAGGTCCCGCGCCAGGGTCGAGAAGACCACCAACAGCGTGGCCAGCACCACGTCCACGAACGCGAAGACGAGCTTGGCCGCGAGCGGCGCCATCAGGCCGTCGCCGCCCTCGTCCGAGTCCCCGTACGCCAGGACCGTCCGGCCCCTCACGGTGACGCTCACGGGGAACGGCAGGCCGTCAGCGAAGCGCTGCAGGTAAGGGTGCACGGCGGCGGCGGAGATGCAGACGGCGTTCCAGGCCACGACGGCCCACGAGGTGGCCATGGAGCCGTGTGCGCTGAAGAGGGCCCGGAACGGCCCGATGTAGGTGTGGTAGTTGGCGAGGAAGGCGGCGCTGAAGAACAGCAGGATCGTGCGGAGGATCTGCGTGAGCAGGAGACGGGGTGCTAGCTCTTTCGCCATTGCTGATGCTCAAGACTCTGTACTCAACGACGCTGTCCGTTCGCGGTTGTTCTTGGGATGTAGGATAGCCCAAGGGTATTTGGATGTGCGCTGCAATGCCAATACGGTGATCTTTGGGATACAGAAGGTCGGTGGAAAAATGGAAAGAAACTTATGTCTTCTCTCTAAGGCAGCTCTGAATTATTTGTTTATATAAATGAAAGGCGGAGTCTGCGACCTTATTGTACTGCGCGTATGACGTTGCGGCGGAGCATGATCCTTGTTTCATGCCCCTCCTGCCTTTGTGTACTGCAACCGTGGTCCCCTCAATTGTGCAGGAATACATCATATTGCTGCAATAACTGTTTGCTCCTTTTTTCCTTTCTTTTTCTACTTTCAAGAAAAATGGCAGATGCAGGTTCCTTATTAATAAGTGTAGCAAAGCTTCTATCCAGAATTAAGACTCCTCGAGGCTAGCAATTATACCATGGTTGCACCGGACCATCGTTGAAGTGTTGAACTATAGTGGACGATGTAGGGTCTGGGTCGCATGAGGTTCAAGTATTCAATTGAAAGAAGTGCAGAGCACTCGGTACTCTCCCCATTTAAGCCTGGGGTTTCCCCTTCTTTGACCATTCTCTGAGCACGTTCTTCTGAATCTTTCCAGTGCTTGTCTTCGGAAGCTCGTCGACAACCTCAACTTCTCTTGGCACCATAAACTTACTAATAGTACTTTGATGCTTTGCCCAGTCGATCATATCCTCTGCCTTCAAAGTCTTGCCTTCTTTGACAGTAAGGTATGCTTTAGGCCGCTCACCCCAGTGCGAGTCAGGCACGGCCACAACTCCTGCCTCCAGCACATCCGGATGCTGTACCAGCATGCTCTCTAAAGCCACCGAGGATATGTTTTCGCCACCTGAAATTATGATGTCTTTGGCGCGATCTTGGATCTGTGCACTGCCGTCAGGATGCCAGACTGCCAAGTCGCCAGAGTGTAGAACACCACCGAGGAAAAGTTTTCGTGTAGCCTCCGCATCCTTGTAGTAGCCTTTCGCACAAATGTTGCCTGTGAAGACGATCTCTCCAATTTCTCTACCGTCTTTGGCAACATCGATGAGAACCCCGTCTGGCTGATCCGGCTTGATAATTCTGATCGGTAGACTGGTCACGAAACCATGACCTTGGAGTGCCATCTTTGCGAATTTCTGTGCTGACGGCAATATATCCCATTCGGGCATGTGATACCCCTTGGTAGCTGGTCCATAGGTCTCAGTCAAGCCATAGACGTGAACAGGGTGAAGGTTCAGGTTCATCATTTGCTCAAAAAGATGAGCTGTCGGCGGGCTAGCCGCAACTGTTACTCGTACTGGCTCCGGTAGTTTTTCGGCTTCTTTGGATGCACATAGGAGGGTATTGACAGTAGGCGCTGCGTTGAAATGGGTAATACGCTCTTCCTTGAGTAACCTCCATATCAGTGAGTAGTCAATCTTCCTCAAACAATAATGCGTGCCCCTAACAGCTGTTATTGCCCAGCTGAGGTTGATTAGCAGAAAGTTTTTCATACATTGATCATGTAAACAACTTACGGAAACGTCCAACCCATGGCATGAAATCTAGAAACCGAGCATTAGTAAGTCGAAATTTGGGACCAGGTGGCAAGGGGTTGGCTTACAGAGGCAATGTCCACAGATACCTACATCTGCCATTGTGGTAGTTCAAACCAGACTCTATCACATTTCCCATGCTTGCCAGATACGCTCCCCTATGGGTGTATATCACTCCCTTCGGCCTTGAGGTTGTGCCTGAAGTGAACGGAATTGCGAGCATGTCATCTTCATTCGAGCATTGTGAGTGCAAGCCTACCCAGCCCTTGTTGCCTTGCGTTTTGTCATACTGTAGACCCTCAAGGATTGTCTCATCAAAAGGCCCGCACAGCTGACCTTCAGTTGCATCCGTATCCTGTAGATCGTCATTAATAACACTTGGATGGGATACAGAAAAAAAGCCCCTACAGTGTCAATGATAATTTTCACCCCTGGGTGCGCCTTCTTGAATTCATCTAGTAGAGAGATATACTCTTGGTCGACGATAATGGAATCCACTTCCGCAAAATCCAAGATATAGGTTATGTCATCCGGCTTCAATCTGCCGCTGTGTTAGAAAGCTTATGGGCCCCGTGTTTCTGATGATGATACACACCGATAATTGACTGGCACAAGTACGGCACCAGCTGCAGCAACACCGAAGATGGACTCGAGGAAAGCAGGCGTATTTGTGGCCAGGATGCCAACGCGCTTGAACCGATTTTTCAAAAGGTAGTAAGCGAGTCCTCGCGCCCGATCGGCGAATTCTATGTACGATCGTCTCAGTATCTGATTGTTGGACGTTACATGATAGATAGCCGGGGCATCGGGTTCAATCGCTGCTGCGCGCTCCAGGAAGAATGTTGGCGACAATTCGTGTACATGGTGATTATGATCGTACTCCGCCGGAGGTGTCTTCGCCGATGAAGTGAGATGTCCCAACAGGCCCTTGAGGCGCGATGTAGCCACAGACATGGCGGCGGGTGGTGACCCCTTCCGCAGGCGGACTGTTGGCTGGTGGATTCCAATGTATTGCTTTCTCAGTTCTTCACAAAATCTGAACTTGATGAAGGCTGGTGATTTCTGTCAACCGGCTTGATGCTCTACGATCTCACGCAAGGTCGTGTCATGTCATGTATAGCAGTTGGGTGAGATTCAGCGGCAAGACATCACGACTCCGATCTCCTTAAGGTGAGAGCTGCAATCTTCGGCATCATTGCTACGAAAAGGGCTCTTAAAAGCAGAGCTCGGTATTAAGGTAGGGGTGATGCGGGGAAGACAACCGAGGACCCCTGAGCGCTAGATTATATGTACATACATAGTCGGTGCCAATGACTCTGGGGACGACGCGCTAAAAATTAGCAGTTTAGATAGCCCCGGAAAGCTTGCCATCCCCACATGCAATAGTCTACCCTGTTTAGGTATCCATTAATAATTGGGTTTGGCAGACTCTCTTCTACATTCTAATCGTTTCGATTTTTTACGATCTTGTATAATAGTAAAGCACCTTGACATAGGAATAGTAGATGATTCTCGCACCCTGCCAGCCTGGCCAGTTTTACAATATCAATTTGGTCGCATAGTGGTACCAAACAATATGAAGCGTAAAAATGCGTAGGAATAAATAACCCTCGCAGAATTGAATGAATCGATATCTCTTCCTAACATTTTTCCGTTCCTTTTTTTATTTTATTACTTTTTTTCCTGCTGTCTTTTCCGTTCCTCCAATAACTCAGGACATTTTGCTCGCCATACTCGAAACATCATAAATGCCAATGACGGCTCTAGAACTGCTCCGATCTATTACTCACATAACTCGAGCCCCGTCTGCTAACGTAACATCGGTTTTGTCGACAACCAGTGCTCTCGCACTCCAGGACGAAAACGTTGCCATTTCGTTCTTGTAACCCAAATATTATTCCGATTTCGATATTCGTGGCTGACTCGTATTGAAATTCCATGTCTACCGTAGTGCCGCCATTTTTCCAAATCCTCATGTGGGCGTCCACAAGTCCCCTCATCCTCCAAAACTCATGTGCCGAGTGTTACAGAACATCTTTGATCTTGCTCCAAAGTCTTGAAATTTGAAAAGTTCTAGGAGAGCTGCCCAGATTCAAATGGTCTTTGTTCGGAGAGCACCAGAAGGAGCATGTTGGGCTTGAATCTGCAAACTGCGTTGGCAGCCGTACAGTGCCCAATCTGGGCTTCGCGATGTGCCCAAACACGGCGTCGACTTGGGGTTAACATGGCATCTCGCATGGTTTAGAACAAATGATCATATATGTGTATCGTGGATGAATCGATGTCCTTCCCCACTATATTATGCGGAGCTCATAGAAATGCTCATTGCGGTTATTATAGAGAGAGCTATTAAGCAGTCGGCGAAGACGCCAAGCACGCACACCGTAGCGCTACCAACGTTGTATGACTTTGTAGTGCTGCTGCACGAAGTATGAGTATTACCGGTTCCAGAGAAACTTCATTCGGCGTGGGCCATACTACCGAGCCTTATACCAAAAGTCTAGTGACTTCTGAAAACCATATTAAGAGCAAGTCTACTCACCTTGGGCGTTGTTACGGTCATATCTTCTCGTGTGTAAATTGTAGGTCTACTCCTCGCGATGTTGAACGGGCATCACGTATTAGTCCTTTACTTAAGCAAGTATCGAATCAAAACTGTGATTAATGTACTGTAATCTCATAACTCTAATGCTACACATATCCTCTTATTCGGCGATAGAACGCTAGCCCATGTCAACACCTGTAGGCAATCGAAACCCTACTTCGCACAGCTCCCTGATAATGTATACACTGTGAGTGGCGCTAGGTTGTGCGTTAGTGCTTCCGCCGCAGAAGAAGCATCGAGGCCCAAACCACTGCTGGCATTGTTCAAGATGTCGCCTCTCGAAGGCACTATGTTGTGGTTGTGAACCTGCCACCTATCCATCTCATGCCACTCCCCCTCAACTTCTAGGACTAGCAGTCATATGATCACATAGCTGCTGCCTGTTCACGCATCTCGGAATGCGTCGGAGGAGTATTCGCAGAATGATGCAATAGAGTATCTGAGATGCCAGTAAACAAAAACAATCGCTTTACATGCATAAATTTCGAAATCATAGTACTAGATACATTCAACGCTGTGGTTTAGAGGCGTTCTTCAAGTAATTCATCAAGAAGCTTTGATCCGCAGGGGTCAACGAAGTTGGAGTCGTTTGGCTACCGCGGCGGCTGCTGTTGGTAGCTGAAGCTGAAGCTATCGATGCAACCCGTGACCGCGGACGCTCCATGAACACGGGAGAGGAAGCTGGCTCCTTCCCCTTGTTCTTACCAAAGAGAGATAAGAGTTGGGTTTTCTGCTCCGATGACGAGTCTTGCCTTGGCTTGAGAAGTTGATTTGGAAGCGGTAGTGCAGATGCCTCCGGAGCACGTGCAATCGACAAATCGGCTGCAGAAACGCCACGATTGCCTTTCACACCGTACGTTTCCGGGGCAGGCTTGGGGCGTGAAGCGATTGAGAGAGCCCCGAAGGGCAGATGTAAGTCGGGACGCGCAGCCGCCGCCGCCGGTGCAGACGCTGGTGTGGGTACCTGTGCTGGCATCTGTGCGTCGTCCTGCTTGAACATACCCAGCAGTCCACTTCGATGTTGGTCTGTAGGACGCAGAGGTTTCGGCTGAGTTGCAGGCTGCAACGCATTCTCCTGCGCGTGTTTGTCCTTGAACATATTGAGCAAACCCATCGAATGGGCGTTGGGCTGAGCTGCTTGTCTAGAAGCGACCGGTGCACCGGATGCCGTGAAGGAATTTGGTGGTTGTTGTTGTTGATATGCAATATGCTGAGTGCCTGGGGCAGATGCATGCCGTGGTTGTTGGTGCATTGGCGCGCCAGGCGTGCCGAGCATTCCGCGCATCAACAAGGCCTGCTGGACTTGAGGCGGCTGTGGTTGCGGATGAAGTAGTTGAGGTTGTGTTTGGTGCTGGCGGGGCGAAACCATGACATTTGTTGGATGGCCACGCGCATCCGTGGTCATATGTACCTGTGGCCGCCCCTGGTACTGCTGAGGACTGCCGTTATACATATGGTGCGGGTTGGGCGCGATTGGAAACTGGGGTGGGTTCTCGAAAGCACCGTGTGGCAGCCGTGCTGCTTGGTGATTGTAACGAGGCGACTGGGGTTGCGGCGGGTTGGTGTTGATATGGTCCATAGGTGTATGTGGATATTGGTTCTGGAATGGTTGTACATCAGGCTCCTTGGACTTCAACATGGAAAGTAATGCCGCTCCTTGGCTGTTGCTGCCATTCGGCAGTTGCGCCGCTGCATGTTCCTGGACCTGGAGCAGGGTACGCATTTCTTGTTCAGCGGCACGAGCACGACTGGCAGCCTCTTGGAGATGCGGGATTGCCGCCTCCAAATCTTCCATATCTCCGTTGTTGACGAAAACATCGTCCTGAAAGACCTCTGGTGGAATGTCCTTCTTCTTCTGGCTGAGTACCCATTTCTTAAGGGGGACCAAGAAGGGTGCCACATTGTAGAACTTGCTGGCGTTGGGTATGGCGTTGTTGGCAGAAGGTCCTTCGTTCTGTTTGCCGCCCTTCTTCTTCCGGAAAGCTGGCAAGTCCCGAAGCGCGTACCAGGCGACCTTGCCAATCTCATTTCTCGTCTGGGGTTCGAAGACGGTGTCCATGGGCACGTCGCGAAAGACAAACATGCGCAAGTGCTGATCACGCATAGTTATATCAAACGACTTGGCGTCCTTTTCTTTGGGAACCAGCCCGGCTTTCTGCAGGTCGAAACCTGTCTCTTCCCAACATTCTCGCACGGCGCAATCGAGGTCGGATTCGTCTTTGTTGATTTTCCCCCTAGGAAAACTCCATGTGGCATTGCTCTTCCATCCTCGGACCAGGACACAGTGGTCCATTTCGTGATTCAACATGATAGCTCCGCGTACGGGTATGCGGGTCTTGTATTGCATGAATTCGGAATATGCCTGCAAGTGGTGCTCGATGGAGTAGGCGGCGAACAGCGGACAGTGCTGGAACATGCGGAGGCAGAAGTCCTTGAGGCTCATGTGAGGCAAGGCGGGATCCAAGACTCGTATGAAGTCCTCGTAGAACCAATGGGCCTCTTCAATCTGAAAGCATATGTGTGGGATGGATCCCAGATCTTCGGCCGGGAGGTTTAGAATAAAGCGGACGCAGAGGTCGTCCAGCCAGTCTTCGAGAGTCATTTGTTCCTGGTCCATCTTGCCTAGGCATGTCCGATGAGGTGGATAATATGAGGTGAGTTGTGCGAAGAAGGAGAGGGGGACTGCATCGGTCGCCTTAAAGCAAAAGTGGTTGGGCCGTGATAAGAATATTTGGACTTGGGAGACAAAATAGATCAGATCAATTGGGTGACGTGACGCAGAGGAGCTCGCTGGCACTCTCAACTGTTAGGCGCAACCTGAACCATGAGCTGGCGCTAGCTTTGAAGTGGGGCCTTTTTCTTCTTCTCGGCAGGTGCCCAGTGCCGATACAGTATGTACATATCCCGGGACACTACAGACCCGTACTTATGTATTAATAAGTTACCTTACTTATCGATACTGCAGACAGCTGCCAAGAAACATCTGGCCGCTCACATGAATTGAATTGGGAGCCCCCGATGGCTGTGCCCGCTTCGTCCCTGGTGGGGGTGGGGTGGCAGGGTGGGAGGCAGAGGAAGCGACAGTCGCTGTTGCCAACATGTTTCTATACTAAGAGCCCCAAAGCTGATTTTCACTTCCCTACCTTTCAACGATATGCTAAAAATAAGCGTCGCTTTGCCGTGGTTGGACTGTATCACAAGACGCGCCAGGTATTTGATACACAACTCCATTTATACCATGCATTTTACTTCTGGAGATGGATGACTTTGAGTTGGAATTTACCTTTGGGATTACTTGAATTGTATAATATCAACATATCAACCCGCTAACTAGCGTACTTTACTGGACATGGTGTCGCATCGTATTATGGCGCACTCTTGGCAGCATATGCAGCTTGATTCGAAATACGAGCATCGTGACAACCTCACCTCGGATACGTTGTGTGTAACTCCAAGGCAGTAAAAGTTCCTTCACCGCACCGTCAGTCACGGAGCCAAGACCATTCAGTAGTTGAGCCGGAGCTGCAGAAACTAGATCACTAGGTAGAGATCAAACGAACACCTAGCATCACAGTTGCTCCGTTTCACAGGAGAGGAAGGTTCTGTTGTGAAGAGGACACTTGTACCGACTGGCGGCATCAAAATACAATGCGTGGTACGCCGTATTGGTACACACACCACCAGAACAATACAAATACCATCACCCACATTCAACGCTTTCCTATTCAGCAGATAGCCATTCATAGATGTGACATCAAAGTCGTACTTGCAGCAGGGAGTACTCTATTTATGTATTCGTGAGTCATCTTGAGTGCGTTGATGTGTCGTAAAGAAACGAACAACTATCTAAACCAACGGATGGAGGCCAGCACACCTCGGGCCAATCAGAGCAGATCCAGGACTTACGGAACATGACATGGGACACCGGGCCGAGGATAGGCGCCCGCGCTAATAAGCGAGGTCAGGTCCCAAACTGTCGGGTTTGAAAGGTGGGGTTAGTTGAGATCTTGTAGGTCTTTGGTTGATCACTTAGTTGAGCTGAACATTGCTGTATGTGCCTTAGACTTCATGGTCGGGGTATGTTCACGAGTCGAGCAGTACCCAGTGAATGTATTGTAGGCAGTGCTAGAAACCAAAACAACATAACAAGTAAAGACTAGGTACTCAATCTTGCTACGCAGTCTTGGAAATACATTCAACAGAAATTGCTGTGTATCAACACTTTTATTTCTATAAACATGTTTAGAAACAGGAACCTCAAAGTGAAACAACCACACATGCAACTTCTGTCCCGGTAGCCCTGGATATCTATGTAGTCGGCTCCCTCGCGCCACTGCAGTCTCTCGTATATCGTGTGAGGTTCACCGTTGATCATCCAAGGTCCATCATTCAGGTGAACCCGATTCTCTCCACCAGCAACACCTTGCTCGCCACTGGAGGGACCGGTCAAAATCAGAGCCTGAAAATTTATGACCGATACTATGCAGATTAACACAAAACTAGGCGCAGCCAGGTCTTTGTCGGAGCGTATGCATAGATGGATATCCAGGTTGCTGTCCTCGGAGAGCCGTCACTATGCGGTGACATCAACAGTGCTGGGCATGTCAAACTCGGCCGAGCTGTCGAATATATCGTCTGTCTCGGCGTTATCGTCATCATCTAGTCGTAATGTGGCGAAGCGGTTGCGTGTCTTAACGATCGGCTTCTTGGGGAGCTCTTGCTGGGGCTTAGGATGTGATTGTCGCGGAACTGTCTCAAGGGGCTGCTCGCATTCATCCGTATCCCACTCGATCTTGGAGCCCTTGTATTTGCTGAAAGGTGTCTCGTGAGTACTGGTAAACGAAATATGACGCGAGACTTACATTTGGCTCATCATACATGTGCGCGCGAATATCGCGTTGTGCACAGAATTGGTCTTGATGTAGCAGCTACCACCAGAAAACTCGACCTTGACCACTACCAGATTGTGGATGTGTTCAAGATCATCGCGAATGCTGTCCTCGGTATTGTTGGGATCACATCGTCGAATAATCATATTTCGTGTGGCTCCGCGGACGATTTTCCCGGCAACGTGGCCTGCAAGGTGAAAGTGTCGATCCGCCCACTTGATGAAAACCTGTATGAGCAAGGTCAATTGCTCATCGTTCGTTAAAGGCCCAAAATGGTATGCTTACACGCTTATGGTTGATGTACAAGTCATTCTTTCGTGAGTGATCATAGAAGCGCACGGCGTCTTCTCCACGCAGGAACGAGACGTGGGCTGAATGTTCCGCCGTTCTGATATATACCTCCAACAGTAACCCACCTCGGACGACCTTGGTGATATCCTCGTGCGAAGTGTTGTCTGCAATTCCGGCGAGTACGATCGTTCGCTTACACATGCGAGGATAGCGGGGTTGATCGAAAGGCTGAGTGTGACCAAAATTGTTGAAAGCGCTATCCTGTTGTATTTCCGTAGTTTGAACGTCAGGAGAATACTCAGCAGAACATTCGTCCCCTTTCACACCATCCCACACTGGAGGGTTGTCATAGGGCTTCCCATCACAACCTCTATAGTACTGGTACTCATGCTGTTGAGCACCCTTGGCAGGACTGAAGCAAGCCTCTGGGTTCCAGTCAGTCTTGGTTTTCTGAATCCCGCCAGAGACTTGTCCAGTGTGGTCATCATGTTGGTAGGTAAGCAAATCGGTCGACTGACTGGTCACTTCCTGATTTCGCAGTTTTGCTTCCTCCTGGCTCAAGAGCTAAGCGCAATCAGCCCCAACGTAACTCTCATTATGCTCAGAAATGCCTCGGCCAATAATGCTATGGGTGACGATGGAACACTTGCCAAAGGGCGAACTCACTGAAATAGTGTTTTCATCAATACCGCCCGCAATCAGGTTGGATCGGAGAGTTGCGAATTGGTGTGCAATGAACATGAGTTGCTCGTATTCCGTATTTTGCACAACCATCAGATTCTGCTCTGCCAAAGCGTCGACGAAAGCTTCGTAATCGCCATTATTCTGGTAGATTTCATTAGAGTCCTTGCAGTTGAACTCGAAGGGATTGTAGATTCATCCATGGATATAACATACAAAATTGGCCCTAGTAATGGAGCAAAGCGTCTAGAATCAGCCTTATGGAGCATTTCCACCAATAGCCAGGGAAGATATTGGGCAGCTCTGTTTTGATAGAGCAATTTTCAATACAAGTCTTACCTACGCACAAGGGTCTCGAAGTAAGTGCGGTCTATGGTGACGGGTTCGGGGGTTGAGGCCATATTTGACAAAATAACGAAAGGGGAACGAGGCACGAAATCAATGTGAACCTCGTATACAGAGTACTAGTAAGGAATGAAAGAGAATTTCGAAGGGAAGGAAGAAAATATTATTAAAAAAAATTCTTCTGCTCTCGACTCGGGTACTTGCAAAAAAGTAAGGGAATTGTGACGACGAACCAAAGACCCTTGCGGCAACTGCGACCATATGGGTGGTGGGTCCACCAACACTGTTGGATGCAGATGCAATTGGAGGCACATCTGGGGGCCTTAGGCGGGCGCTAAATACCCTGGGGGAGGGGGTCTTCAGAATTGAAGTTCTTGCTAGATAGATAGATGGAGCGGCAGCTATTCGACATCTGCCGCTTGACATCCGTTCCGCGTGAACAAGACTGTTGGTAGATCTGACATGGCAAAGCTTATTGTGTGGATACGAATAGCTGGCCCCCAAGAATCCCTAGATGCCAACAGCAGTATCCATTTATATGGCTGCCAACATATCTCTAAGAAAAGATCGGTATGGGAAACATGTTCTGACAGATAACATATCCAGACGTCGTCCACAAATGTAGAAGTGCCGCCGGCCGAGGCAAGTAGCATCCGCCCTGGCTTCCAATGTGAGAGCATGTTTACTATCTCTTTGAGATGTCTCGCATTCAACACATCAAAAGTCCACGGAATTTTGATAATCTTGGGGATGTGACCGCTGGCCGCTGCCCAACTTCAGTGTACCAGATCCAATGACAACCATCTGTTCACCGCGATTCAAAGATGCAATTTTCATACAATAGAGTATGCAATATGTGGCAGTCTAAGCTCAATGACATTTTCCATCGGTCTTTCACAATATTATTCTGCTCTAACTAATTAAGCCCTTTGACAGAGCACTCAGGTAACGCAATAGCAGTTGCAGCTCGTAAGCTTCTGTAAAGAACCCATTTTGACATATATTACTAAACCCTCGTCTCATACGAGCACAAACATCCTTTATTGCGACCAACTCGAGTTATATATGGAAATGGTACGCGAGTACAAGCTAGCCATGAATATTTGCATGATTCAATAAACAAAAGACCTAGCATCCACATGCCGTTATCAAATTCAAGCATTCTCTTCATCTGCCGGCATAGATGCCGCTCCATGATCGTATCTCATAGATCGACGGCTTTTCTAGCAGGATTTAAGAGGTGCTCTTGTTGTTGGACCGTTTTGACGTGAGTTACCAAGGCTGACGAGCGTTTTCATCATCATTCGTTCTCGGGTTTACTTGGCATAAAATATCTTTGGGCTCGTGGAGCTTTTCGTTGTGCCAGAGGGCCTAGGAGTTTGTGCAAGTCTTCAAGTGGGATTAGAAGCTCACAGGATTCAGGGTGATTTTTTCTGCTCCAATCGTTGCTGAAAACAATGCTTCTGATCTTGCAGGTAGGCTGGAAGTTGTCAAATATACGGACAATGATGTATGCCTATTTGAAAACGCATGCAGCAAGCCTTGCCCTTATTTGCTTCGTCAACTGCCGTGCAGATCTCCGCCTAATAACTAGGCAGAGACCAAGTTCTATCATGCACACAAAATAGTTTAGGCCATACAGCGCCAGTTTTCATGCCTCCCACCGTCAGTCAATCTTGGGGGGCGATGCATGGCATGTCCGTCACCAACTCTTGTAGAAACGCTGATAGGGTCCAACTAGCGCTCAGTGACCTTGTGTTCGCCGGTATTGTTCTAAGGATACCCAATGTGCTGACTTGTCATGAGAGAGACATCAAAACCAAGAAGTAGCGGCCTACCCAGGCTCCTGCTGTTGACGAGATTGTGGACATGTCTTGCTCAGCATCTAATTTTTGCCCAACTCTGCAAATGCAATTGGTTGATGACCGTAACAGGTCCAGGTGGACTTGAAAGTGGTCACGAAAATTCAACGAACCATGTTTAGATCACCAGCATGTTTGTTGAAATGCTAAAACGCCTCACCGGTAACCATTTTTCGTAGAATGTAACCGTGTAAAATAGCAAGTAGTCATTATATAGTGCTTAGAGCCCTTCGACTTCGTCAGCGGCAGATTTGCCTTCGAAGTTCCCATTCATGTTGGCTCCACGAAATAACAAGTAGCTGTCAACCAGCTGCACAATCTGTTTCGAATCAGTTTAAATGTATGGAAAATAGTTTGAACCCAGCCGGGGACAGCTGTCGCTTTCACGAAGTCGTTTAAATTTTATACTTGTTTGTTCAAGTGTGTGAAAACATCGTGTTCTATTGTAGATTGCTAGGCTAGACTCTTATTCGAAGCACTTGCCAAGTTACTGACTTTCGAACTTAAACCAGGTTTCACCAATGGAAAAGCACTAAGAATCGATTGTAGCCATCAATCAAGCCACTGTAAATTGTTGATACGCCACATTGTTTGTACATGGCCCTGCTGTGGATTCCCAGATATCTTACGTTGGCAGTGGCAGTTTAAGTTCCGCGGATGAAACAGGAAAACGTGGAGTGGTGGTGATACCCTGATGATGCCCACGTTGCTGAGAGACTCTGCAACGTCCAAGAAGGCACATCGACAGAATTGCAAGCTTATGCGGTGAAATTCTTAATACACCTAGGTATGCAAAGAATCTTTGATGCGGAGCTTCTCGAGAAGCATACAGGATAGACCGGATAGGTTAATAAGGTGTGCTGAGAAGCTGTAGGGTTTCGGGGATCCGGCTGTTGCATGCTTGGCTGCATGATGATGGCGACAAGCAGAAGACATGCAGGGATGGGCAATATGCAGCCATAAACACAAACATTTATCGGAAGGGGGAATGAGTACGGCCGTTTGCCGTGCCCATGAACGAAATATATATTTTTTTGGAGAGACTATATGGATTGTTCAACTTTGGAGAAGGATAAACTTATTTCGAGGAATGCGAATGAGGTCATTCGATATCACACAGCCTCCACGAAACACGAGGAAAGCATGTGGCGAGAGCCTATTTTTAGGCGGTTAAGATATTCTACTGTCTCGCTCGGTGCCACGTCCAAGCTCTGGAAAAGCTCCTGGCTCCTAGCCTTCGTGCTCCCCTGACTCCGTACAATACAGTACAGCTGGAGAGCAGCTAAAAGATCTCAATGCTTTTTTATGTATCTAACCCACCAGCCAATCTCAATCCGGCGGACGCCAGGTCACCTGCCCCGCCCGGGAACTCAAAGGCTCAATGCTCAATGCTCGAGGCTCAGGTCAGGGCTCCAGGGCTGCAAATACGACCTCGATCCAGGTTGAGGATCGTCGCTGGGTCGACCAGGGATTTACCCTGTTGGGAGTGGTCAACTCAAAACATGGGTTGATTCTGGACGGCTTTTGCAGCATGTAAAAGGCGCTGACAACTAACTTAAGTCTCTGGGGCGATGAGTATTATTTGTTTGTGTCTGTCTTTTCTTTCCTGCGCCACGGCCAACATCCATTGCATTCAACGAGAGGACGCCGAGTCCTGAGATAAAACCGAACCGGCCTACAAGTACTCAGTGATTCCCTCGAGTCTGACCAGGAAAGCTTGCCAGCTTGGATCCCCGAACTGCATTGAGGTCGCGTCCACTGGTCATTAGCGCGCATCAACGCCTTCCCCATCTTGGGCTGGTACGAGCCGATTTACTTCGTGTTCGTCAGTCCCCGGGCCAAAAGAGCAGCAGTGCCCCTGTCTAAACCGAAGGTAGGTGGATGGCCTGCACTTTAATCAACGGGTCAGCCGTATTGTATTAACTCGACATTCCCCCCTTGTTACCGCCCGTTCCCTTCACTCAATCGATACCATCGCTCAGCTTTTAATGATTGTTGCATTTCGGATTCTGCCTTAGAGAGAATCCTGCTTCCCATCCGACACTCGCTTGTTTACTATTCGACTATATTCTTTCCCTCGCTCGCTCGTTCTGTGCATCAGCTATACCCTAATAGTTTTTAAGTTTTCTCTGATCAGTTTTCTTTTCAGCAGAGCCAGAGTCAGAGTCAGAGTCACAGTAAATTCTGAGGACATTCTATATCTAATTTAGTCCACGCCATCCGTCTGTCTCCGCGAGTACCAGTCAACACGAAGCTGCAAAAAGGGGCATCAACACAAACGCATCGCCCCGACAGGTACCACGTACAACGTGAGACGACAACTTTAAAAACTTCAGTTCACAAGTTTTCGGACGTGGCACAACATATTCTTCGGCATAAAACCCTGTCCATTTTATAATTGCTCAGCATTGGATTTGGATTGGGAACTCTTCGCCCCCCACAAAGTAAAAGAGTTGATTGAGACTATTCTCAAGCCCGCATTCCGACACTCTGAGACAATACCCCCCAACAACAGACATCAAAATGAAGGGTCCTACAAGTTTCTTGGTTGCAGCTGTTGCACTTTCTTCAACAGTATCGGCATGGCCCCAATGGCTTCCAGCTCTCGACTCCCTCGTCGTGAGGCAGGATGACTCGACCACAACATCCGGTATGCCCTGCACAAGTTCTGGCCATCTCTAGGGAAATTTACATTACTAACGGGGGGGATAACAGCACCCAAAGAGACCGGCACTACAACAGCCGAATCAGCAACAGAGACAGCCACAACGACAGCTACAGGAAAAACTACTGCCAAAGTTATCACAACAAATTTGAACACTGGTGGCGTGTCAACGACGAAGACGACGGGGACAGGCGAGACGACAGGCACGGGCAAAGAATCAGGCAGCAGCAGCACCGGTACGAGTGGGTCAGGAAATTCTACGCACACATCTTACGATTCCGACGACCCAGCAGGCGGTATCTCCATGATCACGCCAGCAACGACCGCAAGCACACCACTTTACCGTATCGGAGAAACAATCACATGGGCGTGGAACTACACGTCGCTCCAAGGCACGCCAACTGCCGTAGATGTCCTCGTGTCCTGCAGTGTCGCCACCGAGACCTGGACTCTGACCCAGAACATGACATTCGAGCCTACCGGCACTTACATCTGGGACACTAACTCATATGCTCAAACCGCTGTGGCCAGTCCTTTGCTGACGGAGCAGTACACACTGATCATCTACGATGCCGACTCACAAATCTCAGCTACTGCCGAACCGGGATACCTGAGCGTCTATAAAGGATTCACATTCGGCATGTACACTGCCCGTCCATACAAGGATCTAGGCGAGTGGAAGTGTGTCACCTGCAGTGCCGCCAACAGCAACCTCGACAACCAAGCATTGCGATTTGCTGTTGGCATGGCGACCATCACCGTCTTGACCTTCACCTGGTTCGTGGCTGGATTTGCAGGGTTATAGAAGTAGATGGCCCAAACGGATGACTAATCGTGAACTTTTTATGAGGTTCAAGAGGGCACAGGGAATCTCGGATGGGTGCCGTTTCACTGGGTAATATCTTGGGATATGGAGGGAAAATTCATTGTACATGGCGTTCTACATTTGATTGAAAACATAGCCGGAGCTATATGTTTTGCGAGTTTATTTGCACATAGTCGGTTTGGAACGGGTACTCAGCATTTCGATGACCACAAACACAGCTTAATGACCAGACCTACACTTTCAAAGCATAGAAGAAGATGTCATCTCCGATTGGCCACTATGGTTTGATACGCAATGCACATATTTACAAATCAGTTTCACATACTCTTACAAGTCGCACGACGATGGCGTACGTTGGGATTCTTCTAACCTAGGCTACTTGATTGTCATGAGTCCATGTAACTTGTATATTTTACACCAGTCGCAGGGTGAATCCACCACCCCTTTCTTCCTTTTCTCTTCCAGCGAAGATGCCACTGAGATCCATCGTGCCCAGATCTGCCGCCTTTTGTCCGCGCCCCGGTGCGTTCGGGGTCTCCCTTCTGCGTCTCCTCTCTTGACCTGCCTTTGACGGGAATGTGGGGAAGAGAGCCTCGTGCTTGGGCTTGGGGTCCTGCACGAAATACTCGTGCTTCAGCATCTCTCGCGCACCAGGCCGCTGTTCGGGGTCTAGAGACAAGAGACTGTTCAGTAGACCGCTGCCCGCCGCGGTCAGTAGGGGGAACTTGGCGCGTATCACCGAGCCGGTCGTTGCGGAACTCTTGGGCAGCCGCAGAGTTCTGGCATTTGGGAGTCGCCTGAAGCCCGGCCACGACTCCTCTGTAGGAATGCCACAGAGCTCGAAGATCTTGGTCAGCTCGTCGACCTCATTCCGGCCCTGCAACAATGGTTCTCGCGTGAGGAGCTCTCCGAATATGCAACCTATACTCCACATGTCGACCTTGTTGTCGTATGTCTTCGCGCCCAGCAATAGCTCGGGCGCGCGATACCACAGCGTTACGACCAGTTGTGTAAGTTTTGGCGGGGGTGGATCGCCGACGTACCGGGCCATGCCGAAATCTGCTATCTTGAGCTGTCCACGATTGTTCAGCAGCAGATTTGACGTCTTGAGATCCCGATGTAGTATCCAGTTCTCATGTAGATATCCCACGCCCGCCGCGAGCTGCTGCACGAGCGTCTTGACCTCTGACGCCAGGAATGGCTCCGGCATGTCCTCCAGTATAGTCTTAAGATCGTGCTCGACGAACTCCAGAACGAGGAATATAGACTCGATCTTGCCCGGCCTGCTATCTGCAGCGCCGTCGTTGACCACCACGTCATGTAGATCCACAATGTTGCGGTGCGAGCAGTCCTTGAGGATCTGGATCTCGCGCAGCCCCGTCTCGGGTAGGCCGATGCGATTCTGTGGCGAGTCGTCGAGCTTCAGGCGCTTCAGCGCCACGACGCGGTTCGTTCGCAGGTCCTTTGCGCGGGCGACCCAGCCGTAGGCGCCCTCTTCGATGTCGTTTAGCTTGTCGTAGTTCTCGACGCTCGTCGCGGGTGCAAAGACGCCGGATTCGAAGCGCAGGAGTTTTGCCGTCTCGCCGTCCTCCTTGCTCGCTGCATCGTCGCGCTCGGGTGTGAGTTTCCGTCGTTTTACTGGCCTGTCGTCGTCGTGCTCGGCTGCTTCTTGCTGGGATTGCAGTGCTTCTTGCCGTCGGGCTTCTGCTGCTGCGCGCCGTTGTTCTTCTTCTGCCTCTTCAGCTGCCTTGCGAGCTTTCTCAGCCTTGGCGCGCTTCTTTTCTTCCTTCTCCCGCTTCAGCTTTGCCTCGAGGGCGGCATCTTCTTCTGTGTCTGCCCAGCGTGATTTGCCAGCCATGGTGCTGTGGTGCAAGGACCGCAGCTAGAATGAAGCCACTCGAGGTGGACAACCAAGCGGACCTTGGAGGGATCGATGCAGACGCTTGTCTCGTTGGATAGCTATCGGATTGATAGGTGACTTTGAGCCGAAATGAGTGATCGTGTTGACAGGCTTATCGCTATTGAGATAGGGATTCTCCCTTGACGTAGGCGCGGGACAAGTTCCGCCTTAAATTTTTTGGAGTTCGGCACCTTCTGTAATGTTAGAGCTCTAATAGCTAAAGCTCCATTTTAGCCTCCCGTCTCTGAATTGACAGAGGTCAGGTCAACACCATTGGCTCAACGCACATATAAGGCTATTCGCGGCATGTGTTTGTGATTGTAGATTTTACGAGGCCAGAATGCGGTCCGTAATTACACGCAATGCCCGTCATGGGCTGATCAGTGGCTTGAGACTGAGGTCTGCACAACCTTTATGGATCTCATGTCAGAGCCGCCGGAACTTTGTGGCAACAGCCGAGAGAAAAGATGAGGATCGTAAATGGTCAACACCGTTGGCGAAGCAGTTAACAGAAGCGATAAATGTGAGTCTCCTTCGCAGCGTATCATCAAACATTGCTAAGGCTGGAGTAGACGACCGGGCCTGTGCCCCTTGCAAGCTTTATGCGCATGTGCTTGACGTCTGATACCGGTGGCTACTACACTGGGGCACTGCAAGAAGGTCGAGACCAGTTCGGCAAAAAGGGCGACTTCATCACATCTCCAGAGATTTCTCAGACTTTCGGGGAACTCATTGGTATCTGGTTTGTTGCAGAGTGGATATCTCAAGGTCGACCAAAGAAGGGCGTTGAGCTCATGGAAGTCGGCCCTGGCCGAGGCACTCTGATGGATGATATGCTCCGTGTAAGTTGTTCTGTCACCGTAAGAAGCGCCATTGCTCATTTTGAGTAGACCATCAGAAACTTCCCAGACATGGTATCAAGTATCGATGCCATCTACATGGTGGAAGCTAGTCCAGAACTGCGGGTGGCGCAAAAGAACCTCCTCTGTGGCCAGGACGCTCAGATGACGGAAGACAAAGTCGGATATCACAGCACAAGCAAGTACTCGGGTCTGCCTATAGTCTGGACGGAGACTATCCAGGCTGTGCCTCGAGACGCCAGTAAGACACCACTTATAGTGGCCCACGAGTTCTTCGATGCTCTCCCTATCCATGCTTTCCAAGTTGTGGATATACCACATTCAGAGAAGAAGCAACCGTCCCTCTCGTCAGCACAGCCTAGAGCTACCACTGATGCTAAATCAAAGAAGCAATGGCGTGAGATGGTGGTCGCGCCAGCGCCGCTGGGATCTACACACGACAGTCTCGGAACGCCCAAGTCCGAACGGCACGATGGACCGGTTCCTGAGTTTCAACTCACCCTTTCGCCATCCGCCACACGTCACTCCATGTACGTGCCCGAGACATCAGCACGATATCGAGCACTCAAGTCCACTCCCGATGCACTTATTGAGGTTTGTCCGGACTCATATCTTTATGCTGCCGAATTCGCCTCACGCATTGGTGGATCTAAGCAATATCCCAAAGAGCGACCTTCTGGCGCTGCACTTATCCTGGACTATGGCCCAAGTGACACAATACCTGTGAACTCTCTTCGTGGTATCAAAGCCCATAAGCGTGTTAGCCCCTTCAGTGAACCAGGACAAGTGGACCTCAGCGCAGACGTTGATTTCATGGCTATTGCAGAGGCGTCAATGATGGCGAGCGAGGGAATCGAGGTTCATGGCCCTATAACGCAAGCAGACTTTCTAGAGACGATGGGCATACGACACCGTGCAGAGCATCTTGCTAGAAAGGTCACAGACGAAACAAAGAAGCAGGAGATAGAGAAATCCTGGAGGCGACTCGTTGACAAAGGCCCAGGAGGTATGGGAAAGCTATACAAAGCGTTGGCAATCTTACCGGAGAATGACGGAAGAAGGAGGCCCACCGGTTTTGGTGGTGATGTAGGAGCTTGACGCCCTTCTCTACTTGTACATATCGGCATTGCGGTTGGCAGAATGGCCTTGTATTATAAGTCATCACTGTAGAGTATTGTATAGCCATAGAAAATTTAGGCCTTATTGTGCTTCTACATACAGCATGCATGTAGTATTCTCAAACCTGGATTGGATGCTTTCATAACCCACGTTCCCGCTCCTCCTAGATATAAGGTGGTCTACTTCCACGCGGTTGTGGATTCACATTTTGCTAACTTCGTTTTCCTACGTTGACCATCTGTTTCAGGATATGTTAAAATGGTTAGTTAAGGTCATGGCATTACCGGTAGCAACAAGATTGTATATGCATAGGATGCTCGCTGTGGCGCAGCTCGAAATTAAAACAAAAACACAACGTATGAAATGAGAGCGATGGATACAAACGTACTCCTTCGATCAGCCGTTCTCCTGTTCATTGGTGAATCACTGGTCTCGCGTCCGTGCGATCATTCAGGGCGCCGGGAGAGTCCATGATTCCTTGGCTAAGAATGAACAACATCCGTGGAGCCGTGCGCTCACCCTCTAGCTCCGGTTTCGACTTCGGCCGATGTTTTGCGGATCGGCACTATCCCGCCCGCAACATTTGAAGTCGATCAATGCCTGGAGTGTGATGGAGTCTTCGACCGGTCTGAAATTGTTCTGGCCCCCTTGAGCACGGAAGTGTCACAGGCTTGGCATTGATCCCGCGCTGGGATCCGTTCTCTTTGCCTAGTGCATGGAGTTGGTTGCTATAAGTAATGGTCCCAGTCCCGTCGTTTTATGTTAAGCCTATTTACTATCATTACGTACAATACGTTCGTTCAAAATGTCTTACGACACGACTGTAGAGGACGCGCTGAGCGTCGAAAGCGTAACGATACCGGACAGTGTTTGCGAGAAGGTCGGTGAAGCTCTGCCCGATATTGCAGGTGTTGGTGTCATGGTATCCTTCGCTGGCCAAGCTTTCCTATCACTAGCCATCACTATCTGGGTCTTCTTCCTAGCACGGCATGGGCACCTAGATCTCGATGGATTCGAAGGAACAGTAGAGTACTGGCGGCGGAAAAAGAGACTGGAGATATTCTCCAAAATGCTCCGGGTTGGAAATGATGTGCAGATGCTGCTAGGAATAGCATATATGATCACGGTGTGGGCCAAGCAGGACAAGATAGGGGTCTATCATCTGAGACTTGCCTTTGACACTGTCAGCTTCGTGGGGTAGGCGAATCCCAACAAACCATAGTAACGATGTGCAAGTATATTAACCTCAGATCTTCACAGAGTATCCGGCATTGTCGCTTTTGTCTGGACGAGGTTTTGCCAAGCCAAGCTCAACAAGTCGCCGCGTCGATTGTCCCTCCAGTACTTGTCTGTCTACCTTTACGCAGCATTTTTCTTCGCCCTGACAATCGTCACGCTTTCGCATATGCTCCAATGGAACGAGCACTCGGAGTCACTGGGCTACTGCTATGAAACCAAGGGTTCTGCAGATGCAGGTGCTGAACAGCCAGGCACGGAAATAACATATGTTCTTATCACAGGATTTGCACTCCTGATTACCATGATCGGTGCCATTTTCTCTGGCCCTAAGCTCAGATTCCCCTTGGTCATCCTTGCGGTCCTACACTTTGGGGTTCACCTATATTTCATGGTGGTGGTGAGAGAAGCAAACCAGAAACTGCTAGAGGGTGTTGAGCGGGAAGATCGGTGGGATTTTGGACAGTCAACGGCCATGTTGCTGCTAGGCCTCGCAATCCTCGAAGTTATTAAGAAGTCAGTGATGTACTGGCAATGGAACCACACGTCGGACGAAATGATTTTGGAAGAGGGTAAATTATCTCAGTTTGATTATTAGTTTTGGCCTTCGCGTTCACTGTACAGCGTAAATAATAATTGTCATCTATCACATATTTACCAAAGTTCCGGGTCGATTCCATCAATGGGAGCGGTATCGCCAACCCCCATTTCTAGGCCCGTATTCGTCGTTTGGAGCCCATTTCTGGCTCGAGCTGTAGCCTTCAGTTCTCTAGCACTTCCGCTGAGACTTGGCATGACTGACGCCATTAGCATAATCTATGAAAACGTTCCGTGTCCTCGCAGCATCTTCTAGCTGTCACTGAACATATCGGCCACATGTTCTAGCACTTGGAAGTTATGTAGACAGACACAGCCATAATGACCACCTTTTCTGAATCCAGCAGCAGTCGGCTTGTAATGTCCAAATCGCTCAGATAAGCTCCTTGCAGTGTAAGGAGACAAGTCACTCCCAGGATTTAAGCTTGCGATGAACGGGTACAGTTCTCTGGGCGCTGGTTTGTTAAAGGCCTTAGTATACACGTAATGATATGTTGCGATTTGCTTACCATTTTCCATTGGTTCTTGGTGGTGCTCGATCAACTTGAAGGGACAAATGAGGTGCGTTCTCTCCCAGTGATACGGATGCATCGAATACATATTTCATGTTGTTTGATAGTATTTCTCAGTGCTTGATTTGGACTGGACCTTTAAGTTTTATCTAAATCATGTGGTGGAATGAAAGCAATCCCGATTTTAGCCACGTCGCATTTTGTTACACCCAAAGGCTCAAAACCAAACGCAGTGAAGCTGCGGGGGTGTTTCATGAGTTTACGAACACCTTGCGGTCTGGCACTCGATTATTTAAAAATGAGCTCCGGTAGAGGCGGAAAGCTGTTTTGGGTCTTGGTACCGCTTGTTGAGGTTGAGTCATGGTAGAAGATTTGGCATATTGACACAGGAGCTGGAAAGATCCAAGTCATTTACCATAATATTCTCCTATGAGTGCGTACGGTCGAAGACAAGGACTTTCCGAGTTTCAACTTGCAAGGTTTGAATGTGAGAATGCGCAGTTTCTATAGGTAGCGCCCCGATCATAATTTTGAAGACAGCGCAGGCAATACGTCGCCTCAGACCACCTATATTCATCATTAGACTTGTAGTCTTCTGCCTCCTAATATGCTCCATCACGAGCCGTTTGTTCATCTCACCTATTTTAGTCCGACGGTGGTTTATAGTTGCCTCAAGTGCTTCCTCACTCAAGAGCTTGTTATTATGACGCTAGATTGAGTCGAATTGCATCAAGTACTACCATTGTGGGAAACGGACACGGGGTTCTCCTTGTTGACATATCCAATAGGACAGCACATATCCGCTAGTAAAATTTTACAACGAATGAATTATTGACAAGCCTAGACAGAGGACTGCAGCAATGTTTCACGTTTATCGGCTCTAGTATTGTAACAATGTACTGCACTGATTATTCATACAAGTAGCTTTACAGTGTGAAGCGCTGAGCCTTCCTCAGCTTCAGCCCGAATTTGTAGAACAACATTGGCGTCGGGATCATCGCCACGCAAATAAATCCAAGCAGTGAATTTCCCCATCCCAGACCCAGCGACTCATACATTGGTGGTCCTGCTAAGGGAAGCAATGCACCCACAAGACTTCTTAGTACAGTGCTGGCAGCGATAGCCGAAGCGGCATACATGGGATAACTGTCAACAATATAAGTAGTAAGGGGCAGGAAAACACCCACGACACCAAAGCCGTACGGTATCAACGAAACGATAGTTGCCGCCCAGTGTGCTTTGTAGTATGCGCACCATCCGTACCAGAACAACGTTATGGGAAGGAACACGCTGAAGTACATACTAATGTTCAGTCTCATCTCGGGCTCGAAAACGCCTCCATTGGCCTGCGCGAGGCGCACAACAGACTTATCTGAGTAAAGCGTCACGAGGGTCCAGCCGAAGAGATTACCAACACCCAGAGCCAGATACACCAGGCCTGTCAGCTTGACCTCGAAACCATACGTCTCCTCAAAGACAGTGGGAATGGTTGTAAAGAGGAGGTAAAGGACACCATAGACGAAAGCAATATACATGGAGATGAAGAAGACCAGGGGTGACAAAAACAGTAACTTCAGTGGCCGTACAAGGCCATTGAGCATGGTCCTTGTTGCACTGTGTTGGTGCTGATTGCTGGTTTCGTAGCAACTCCGCAAATCATCTCGGCCGAGCTCTTTCTGAAGTCGAGCTGTCTTTCGTTCGATCAATTTCTTGTGACTTGTTTCCTTGTTCAAAACCTCTATCAAGGCCGTGATGATGACAGCAAGGATAAGGACAATCCAGAAGTCCCATCGCCAGCCAATAGAGTCAGCGACAAACCCGCCGATCAAGGGTCCGATGGTAGGTCCAAACAGCGGACCAAGTGTCCAGATGCCCATGGCAAATCCTCGTCGATCTGGCTGGAACATATCACCGATGACACCGCCTCCGAGAGTCTTTGTGATAGTTAGCAAGTTGCCAGTCTAGGATTTGTGGTTGAACTTACTAGGCAGCCGGCACCACCGAGGCCAGTAAAAAAGCGGCAAATAATGAGTGTGGTGATATTAGGTGCCAAGGCACACCCTATCTGCCATACACAGAAGAACACGTTGGCAGCGCCTAGGATAGGTTTCCGTCCATATATTTCTGACAGAGGGGCCAGAAAGAGTGGGCCTACAACATACCCAAGCAGGTAGATACTGACTGTCATGGAACCAACAATGGAATTCTCCTCGCCAAAATCTTCCATTAATTTCGAAATTCCAGGTGAGAGAATCGAAGAAGCAAACGGTGTCAGAAGAGTGATTGCGGCCAACAAACCAACCAGCAGCCATTTCTTCCACATGGGAAAGTTCAATGGCATGTCTGGATCGTCCTGCCCTTCCCATCCAACTACGCCTTCGTTGAGATCCGTGACCGGAAGCAGCTCGTAGCGAATGCCATCTCTATTTGTCCTACTACGGCGGCTGACAATGCTGAGAACACGAGAAGCCTTACTTCGAACTGAAGCGCGTGTCTCTACTCTGTGAGCCTGGTCTGTGTTAGTTATCCTACGGTTCGTCGTAACTTGGCGTTTTGCTGCAGACCTACGTTCTGCATTTCCATGTCGAACTCATGGCCCGGAACTGCTTTTTCAACATCTTCGTGGTTTGAGTCTGGCTCACCGTGCAGCTCACCGGCTTCGTGGGAGTATCTTTGATATTCTTCCTGTGCTGTCGAAGACGAGGTCGATCGGCGTGAACCACCCTTCTCTTCTGCCTTATCACTCATTTCGGCGGATGTGGGACGGCAGCTTCTTGGTCAATAGTCTGCACTGGAGCATCCTGAGATGGAAAGTGCCCGTTGCTAACGCGCAAAACCTGGGGTCACCGGGGAATCCGAGGGGAATGGGGACATATCCACCTGTGACTCAAGCCGGTGTTGAGCTCAATTCCGAAACTGTCAACTTGACTAAACGGGGAAAACCCCCAGTCTTTCAACGGTCTATACTCTTTTGGTGCTTAATCTCGCGTTTATGAGCTTCGGCAACTACTGATTCCCGTGCAAAAGCCGTAGCCGAGGACGAAACCCACAGCACCGGCACCGTTCCGCTTAACGAACGGCTAACATCAACCGCAATTTCGGGGGGTCATTGAGCCGACATATGATTTCAGACAACCAGGAGTTCGATCTGGTTGACTCGATTTACTTGCAGTAGTCTAAACTATACATAACAGAGGTAATCTTTCAAAAATTGACCCTTTGAATTGTCCGTCCTCCTACAACTTACGAGCAAATCATGAGTCGGAGAAATACCATCAGTCTCACCAAAAACCTGTTAGTCTTGACTAAATAACTTTCTTGGTGCAGTGTGCACAAAGCAAACATGCTGCTTTTTCAATGAATGACATTTCAACTGCGTTCAAGTTTTCTTGTAGCATATCTTCAATTGATCGAAACTCGACATCTTAGTTCTATACATCGGCCATATCGCATACTATTCCTAAGCAATATTAATCATTGCTTCTGCGTTCCAGGAGACGCTCGAATTCCTCATCGGCCCGCTCAAGATCGGTCTTATTCCCCTCAGGAAGGAAATAATAAATGGCTGAAGTGAGTATGCCAACACCTCCAGCTACGTAGAACGTCGAAGCTGGGCCAGCCGCAGCTCTGATCGGTGTGAACACCTGAGTGCCAATTGCAGCTCCTGCTTTTCCGAACCCTGCCGCGATACCATAACCCATACCTCGTGCAGCGGTAGGGAATGCTTCACACGAGATCAAGCCAATTGTGGCTCCTGGTCCGAGATGTCCGAATGCTTGTAGTAGACCGTAAAGAACAACAAAGGCAGGAAGTGCATCCTGCGTGAGCTTGTCGTAGCAACCGCCAATGATGAAGCCAATAATCACATAGCCTCCCATCAAGCCAACGATACCCGTCCAGCGGCGACCAATCTTGTTCACTAGCCATGCTCCAATGACCACACCAGGAATGGGCATTAGGGCCAGATAAAGTTGCCATAAAGCGACGTGCCGGACGTTCTTGCCGGGGACCAACGAGTTTATGATGACTGATGACATAATCGAGTTTGGACTATATACTTGTTAGTTCGGATCTCTTAGTGGACAGTACCGGAGTACTCACAAGTTCACGAAATCGTAAAGGAAGAACGCAGCCGATGTCCCAATAATACGCCAAAAGTATTGTCTAAGGAGTAGAGTCCAGGGAATTGCCCGTTCCTTGAAATTGCTCCGAGTAAAAAGCATGCCATCTTGCATTCGCCATCTAATGACGACCACGAACAAAGGTAGAAAAATGGCGATGGAGTAAATAGCATGAAAGGCGACTTTCAAATCATTGCCGCTACCAACCAGAGCCATGAGGTATACGAATGTGCACACAGCTGAACCAGATGTCGCTTGCAGAGTTGAAATAAGCACTTGAATAGGACCGCGCCTAGAGTCAAAATGCTCTTGCGAACCTTCGAGTGCGGCTGCAGCTGATGTTGGATACTCGCCTCCAACACCTATTCCAGCAGTCCCGCGCGCAATCGTCATAAACCAAAGCATGGCATTTACTCCCTGCGAGCTATAAACCTGGAATGCCAATGTCGACATTAGAGTACCGACAACAACCAATCCTGACGTGGCGAGCACTGGGTCACTCAATCAGCTCAAGTTCAGAAGTAACCCAGAGGCGATACACTTACTTCCACCTTTTCGACTGAATTTATCCGCCAGGTATCCGAACAACACAATACCGATCACAGAGCCCACTAATAACGAGTTTGAGATGCGCGTCTGAATGGCGGATGTGTAGACATGTGTACCAATAATGTGATTGAAAATTATGTTTGTGGACGAAGCCAGGTTCTGCTGGTAGCCATCAGAGAAATTGGCTATCGCACTTCCTACAATGGTCATAATACTGCCGGTCTTTCGCCCCGACGACCCATTCTCAAAACACTTCCCTGAAGTATCGACGGCACCGGTCACTGTAAGTGCGGGCTTTTCGACTTGCGGAGGTTCTTGAGCCGTCCGCGGAGGCAATGTTTGTACGGCCGCCATCGTGAGTACAGGCAAGTTTCGCTATGTGCTGGCAGAGCGACTGCCTTCTTCGCCTAAAACTATTATATTCATATTGGATAAAGAGATTTCCTTGGCTTCCACTATCCTCCGCGGGATTGTAGACGTTCGGACCGATCTACCCACTGTATCTGCGCCAAGTGGGAACCACAACCCAGGAATTGTGGGTAGAAGATTGCTATGATAGGCTATGAGAGGGCAGGGCATTGGCTTATCTGTACGACCTGATGGTAATAATGACGAGAAACTTATTCTAATGATGATAGAGTAGCGGCGTTTAGCTCATCGTTATGTCCTTTAGCTTTTGGAGGCTCAAAACCTAAGTCCGACCAAAGTTGCCAAGATCCTCTATAGTTCTCCATTAGATATACAACAGTATACAATGCCAAGATTTATATTCAGGACATTGGCAAACCTCAAGACTAGCTCCACCACATGGTCTGCCAATGTATCGCCAGCTCTATCTTCTCAGAGATGGCATGCTCCATTTTTACACTCTCAATGGCATTCAAACAAGTCTGCAACGAAAGTGTTAACTAGTTGTCTCTATAATTAATACATTTTACGTATAAAAATATTTTTGCATTCATAATTTGCTCGAAATCTGATCCTTTTTGCCATCGCCCCTCTTTGCGAGGTTTCTGGCAGAGCTCAGAATCATGGCCACGTGGTGGCTCAAGGCCACAACTTCCTTCTGTTCGTCCATTATTATGACTTCCAAATCTTTTCTTCCATTTGCGATGAGTTTCGACTGGATCCTGACAAAAATCCATTTGGCGCCGCCGTCGGGTAAAAGCTTCTTGATATCCAAATTGAGCGCCAACGTTGGATACCAGTGCTGTGTCAACTGTTTCTGTGAGATGCCAGCGTTGTTCATGGCTTCCCAGTCTTCGCTGTACGATTCAACCATCTGAGGAAACATGTCGCTTAGCAGGCCGAGGCAAGTATTGGTAAAATTTTCGCCGTTCTTGAACTTGATCCACTGATCCATGATACCTCTGCCCACCCTTCCACCTTTCGGGATGTATACATCCATATTCAACGATGCCTTTCTGAAGTCCGACCGGGGCGACTTCCACTGGTCCCACGTGCCGTCTGTTCCATTCTCAGCGAGCTCGTCCAAGTCAGCAGGGGGAGGAACCGGATCGAGAGTCCAAGCCGTTGGCAGCGACAAGCCCGACTCAAGTGCGATATTGGCATGCGTGAGCACGGCAATGATTTCATCTCGTCCCTCCTGTGTGAGTATCAACTGCACTGTGGAAGTTTGCCGGCCGAGTTTGAGGTCCTTGACATTCACGACAGCAGGCCCGACAGATGTGCGTTGTACGAAATCGACGTGAAGTGTGATGCAATCCGGTTGGTTTTGTGTTTTCAGAGTAGTGGTGAAATGTCTACGAGCGACCGATTGCAAAACCGACGTCACGACACCGCCGTTAGGCACTGTAAAAGTCAGTGCGGGTCATATGTACTAACAACAAAGTTCTCACCAGATCCAATAGCCCATTCGTCCTTCAGGTTCACCTGATATGAATGCGAGTCAATCGCCTCGACTCTCAATATCTCCGAGAAAGAAGCCATTTCTTAACCGGAGCTTATTTAAAGTGGTACAGCCTTTAACAATCTTCTTAGCCGTTAGATGTATGCATAGATTTGTCTTTGCTAGAAGGGCAAGGTATAGGGGTCCGGTCAGGCACTTGTATGAGAAAGTTCAGAGTTTCAGCAAGAATATCATATATATTTTGTTCAAGTCTAAGAGACGCTAATTGGTGAACCTCGGCAACTTTGCGCAACGCTGCCGACCGGCGATAATTTGTACCCCGCTTAAAAGGTACGAAGGCAACTTCAACCCTGTTATAGAAATATATATCCAATGAAGGGATCGGAAGAGCCCGTTGTTTTCGGCATTGCGCATTTCAAGCCACTAAGAATGGTCAATTTTCCAGCGTCTGCCTCGATAAATTGCAACCTTTTACTATACTCGTTTTCGCCGTTATACTCGAAGTCTAAGAAGACACTTTATGCAGATTCTCTTCGTGCACAGAAACATCTCCGCGTCTATGATGCGTCTGTAAGCCACTCTCCTGATCTACGACTCCTTCTCCTTTCTTCGCAGCATGAACCAGATCGGGTTGTTCAGCCTTGAGTCGCGCAAAGGTCTTCTCGGCATCCCAGACCCATGGTGTCTTCGCCGCAAACAGTAGGTCCATCTCCTCGAGTGTTCGCTGGTTGCTCTCGGGATATAGGGCCCAGACAATAGGAATGGCGACAAAATTGCACGCGCCAAAAATGTACAGAGTTTTTTCTCCAATGGCGTTGAACATGACCGGGCATAATAGTGTAAGCCATCCGTTACCGATACTCCAACCTACCACTCCCCACGCGTTGCCCTTGGCGCGAACAAAAAGAGGAAATATCTCGGCTGTAGACGATTTATTAGCTTGAGAACCTTCATGGAATTCCGCAACTACTCACCAGGATATAGCCATGGTACTGTAAGCCAGGTAGCGCCGAAGATTGAGGTAAAAATGAACACAAACGACGCGGCAGCAGCACCATATGAGTTCGCCTTGGAGAGGTCACCGGCGCTGGTCGCGTCTTGCCCAAGGCGCGAGAAACCTCCGGCTAAAAACATGGCAATACCTTGTATCCCGTTAGCGATGTACACCAGTGTGACGCTGCACATGTGATCTATCACGAAAAGACAGTCAAATAGAGAGAAAAGAAGAAGAAATTACCTTGTCCAACCGCGCCCCAGTATAGCGTCCATCGGCGACCAATGCGATCAAGGGTAAACACGCAAATGAGTGTCGCGAACATGTAGAAAATATTATTTAGCCCACTGATCCATTGGCTCTTGACTGTATCGAAGCCGGCAATGCGAAAAATGGTTGGCGCGTAGATGGTAACGCCAGCAATTCCTACCCATTCCTGAATGATCTGAAGCCAGATCACAAGTTGCACACGTCGTCCAGTATGCAGCTCGCCAGAACCGATACCAAACAGCATATGGTAATAGGAATTCTTCGAGGACTCCTTCGACTCCAGCTGAACAATATTGCGAATGTCTTGATATTCGAGATCTGCACGCTTGGCATCCTCGTGGGTAGAGCCTCGGAGACGATGCAATATGTATCTCGCCTCCTCGTCGCGGCCAACTTTCACCAGCCAGCGCGGTGACTCGGGAAAGAACCATACCACACCCAAGAGGATCAAGAGAGGAATGATCTGAAAGGCAATCGGAAATCTCCAGCGAATAGCACTATTGCCGTTGTCAACGTATGACAACCCAAACTCTAACCAGTAAGCTACAACAACACCAAATATGTTTAGCGTAAACTCGATAGCAATAAACTGTCCGCGGGAAGTGTGCTCAGCAGTTTCGGTAGCCCATACAGGCACAATGGCGTTGAGAATACCAGTACCGATACCATTTATAGCTCGAGCTGTAAGCTGTCAGCCCATTGTTCACTTTTACTTCGTCACGAGTACAATTACCGCAAATCATCCAGTTATGGTTCATTGCTGAGCACTGGAGGCACGCCCCGATTATAGCCCAAACTGTCCCAATGGCAATCGTTTTTATTCTACCAACCTTGTCGCCGACCCACCCTCCCAGCAAACAGCCGAATAGCGTTCCTAGATAATAGACGGAAACGATGCCGCCTTGCAGAAGACTGTTCGTGACAATGGGCTCCTCCGTAACAGGGTCGACGTAGCCGAAACCCATCAAGTCGATATAGTTTTTGGCGTTATTGACACCGCCCATCATGCCTTGGTCATAGCCGAAAAAGAAAATGGAGAGTGCTGCAACGCAGTTGATTGCGATCAACAACGATCGCTTCTCTAGCACATTGGCTACGTTGAAACCTGGAAGTCGTTCCATGTTGCAGATATATTCATACCACAAACTTCTATCAGACCTGGAGTGAAAGCCCAGTACGAAAGTATTCAGTGGGAGGGGCTTTTCCTAGGTCTTATAGTCTCGCTCAAAGTCTGCAAACTTGTTGCTGATCACACCACCCGTCATGGGCCGAGCTCATCGGAGCATTCGCCGTATCACTACCGCCATTATTCTTCGGCAATATGACCGACCCCTAGACTGGAATCCTTGTTTCCGAGTCATTTCGTTTTGCCATTCTTGCAGCTTGACCGTTGAAAAATAGAGCCGCCTGAATGCTGTGGCTTCCGGTTGGCTGGCGGGAGAGTTCTGGGGCGTTTAGGCCTTGTCTTGAATAACCCTTGGGGAAGCGTAATGCTGATCATCGACTGATGCGCGCCAATGAAGCTATTAGAAGGTTGGGGCTCACTGCAAGAATGTGGGGTGTCGTGGGGTCCCCATCATCACCATCGTGACCACGAGACTAGTTGTGAAAAAGTGACACTGACGTCACGACGGTGCAGCACTGATGACGTTCAAGAAAATGTATAGAAAAGACGTCGTATACACAGATACATGGAGCTGACCAAACCCTTGGTACAGTTTCTCAGCTGCGGTTACAGACGTAGCGGTGTTCAATATCTTGAACAAGCACTCACTAACAAAGCCACCGGCCCAGACATCAGTCTAGGATTTATGATCACATATAATTTGTCAGGTGCGTGTTGAAGTCGCACTATGAACTGTTGGGAACCTTAGTCACTCCTTCAAGAAGAGCCAACTCATAGTGGTCTCAAGGCATCTTCCTGACCACTGGTTTTTACGATTGAGTTGCAAATAGGTTGTAGCGATGGGACGGGTTTTTATTTCTTTTTACAAAGGAACTCATATAAAAACGCGCGTTCTACAGCTCATCAAGTGCTCTCTGGTGAATACGCTCTAAGATGGATGTGTTGACGCCTTATGACATGGGAAATGTCAGAATAATAGTATGGATCCAGTGAGAAGAATTCGTTATTCGAACGAAGAACGGGTATAATCGACTAATACATGAGAACTTCTAGGTCTCTTGCTTACGTATAGGAGGTTATCTGGCTGCATGATACAACTTCTAAACTTCTGATTCTGAGAACGAAAACCCATGCACTCATTATCATATATAAATCATATAAAGTTGATACTAGTCTGAGTTTGTAAAAATACGGATTTATCATCGTAGGTGACTGTGGTGTGAAGATCGATCTAACAATCCGCCAAAAAGCATAAAGTTAATAGCATAGCTTAAGACAAACATAGACGACTACCCAGCCATAAGCGCTATTACTTGACCTAATATGGCTCTCGAAAGGAGGGAGCCAGCCCAGCCCCCTTCATTACATCATCAAAGTTGGCTCGACACTGACTGGTGCGAAAAAGCAGATTTAATATCATTGTTGATGTTATTGTTATAGACCTACTTATTCGTCCAGATGAAGTTGCGCTAAGTTTATATCTGTAATTTGTTTTAAAAGAATTATGAAAGAAATTAAAAAGAAAAGAAAAATCAATCGTCTTGAACCTCATCGACAAAAAAAACATGCACTTTTCACTTGCCCAACTACTCTACTCTTCTATAATTGGGAAGGAATCGATTTGGTATATCGCCATCAAAAGCGAACCAGTTACACCATCGGAAGGGTTGAAGGAGTCCGTAACACCTAGAGACTCAATCCGATAATCCGCGGCAGCAACTCAAGCCTCACCTCAGTGTTTTCCAAGTAAGAAACATTGATGTCAGCAATTTTGTGCAAGTCGAAATCTCCTGCTCCTAATGGCGAGTGCGGAAATCCTCCGGACGAAATCTCGGACTGTGGTTGCGATAGCGACCTCTGTTTATCTCAAATGGCCCAGATTCAAAAGGTGGCCGTGAACATCCCTGGGCTACCGCAATTGAGTGAGGACGTGCTGCACGTAAGGGTCGGTATTGAAAGCTGTCGTGACCATTACCACTGATACCATTATGTGAACTATCGACTCGATTATCGCCGTCTAGGCCTGGTGGAGGAACAGGTGTAGGCGAAGCGGCACGCGCAGCAAATTCGGGTGCATCTGCTTGCACTTTGCGTGGAGCGCTAGCTAAGGGCCTGTGTAGCATGGCAATATAGGACGTGGCCGCCCGAGCCGAGAGCTGGTTCTCCTCGTCGGGAACTTGAGGTCCAACATCATTCTCGTTGTTGCTTACAGCGTCTTCCATCCGCCAATGCTCTTCATCAGCACTGGCCTCCTCGACTTCGCCAGTCACGGCAACGACTGTCCTTGTCTTACCCCAACTAAAATTGTCCATATTCCAAATGGCGTAGACTGTGACTCCAATGTTGATAAAAGGGCCACAGAGGGTAAAGATACATAGACCTAACATGAACTGACATCTCTCCAGGAGATTTCGTGGCATCCAAGCGATCATGGTGACATAGTACAAGAGAGGGATGATCATAATCGAGGCGAATGTCACAATGATCCACCAGGGTATGTCTGACGAGATTTTAGTATGAGCTTTGAAAGGCGTTAGGCTTTCCAGGGCAATAACTCACGAATGAAGGCGTATATCATGCAACCCAGACTGGCAATAACGAAAGGATTTAGGAGCCATGTAATAACATTGGAAAAGGCTACAATTCTTTCCCACCAATTGAAATGCCACAAGTGAGCTTTGGTGAAAAGCATTAAATCGTTTGAGGTGGCACCAAGGGTCCAGCGTCGTCTTTGACTTAAAAAGACCCTAAACCCATGTGGTACATCTGTGTAAGCTCTTGCCCGAAGCGCCTGCCGTGTCTGGGCTCTGGGACTCTCCATCAACATCAAACAGACGTGGTTGCGATCTTCCGAGGCAGTAGCGCGAATACGACGTATAATGCCGTCAAGAGGCTTGGGGTGATATCCAAAGAGGTCAATAAGGACTCTGTCACCGCATGTCTCTTCGCACACCTTAAGAAGCTGACAACAACCTGGCAGGCATGAGACTTTGTGTGTCACCAAACTCTGGTGCAGACGTCGGAGTGCCTGAGAAATAGTATATTCTGCTGATTGATAAATGGACCACAGGTTCCAGTTACCATAAAGAAAGTCGACTGCCACGTACCCACAAACACCAACAGTGTTGGGGTAATGGCTCTCTGTCACGAGGTGGGAGATACAGTCTCTATCAAAGACCGTATCAGCGTCCATGCCGATAATAACATCAACCATATCGAATTCAGCCTCATTGTGTAACCAATTTGCCATTGCCTCAAAAAATACTGGGGCGAAGACAACCTTGGGACGTTCAGCTCGTCGATTGAAGTTGTAGACGAATGATCTACTGACGATGAGACTATCACGCTTGCCTTGGTTCTGCTGCTTGATGATACAGAAGAATGGAACTCCTTTGTAAATACCCTTGACATATTCAATATCCATCGTTTGGCCGTCCCAAGCTCGGTAAGCTGCGCGAATCGATCGGCGTTCGGTCCCGTGGCCCATGAGGATGTCCTCGATTAAGTATTGTGCAGTGGTTTTCTCCATGCCTGGACCACGAACCTTTCCATCGCAAATAATCATGATGGCTTTCTTGTGCTGGTCAATTCTGACTTGGCTTATGAGTGAGTCTAGAGATCGTGTGCACTCTTCGAAGGTCTCGTTGTAGCATGGCATTACGAGAACCATGGTCTCTGGCGTTGCGGGGACAATTTGCTCCGGTTTGAAGACTAGATTCTTGATACTGTAAGTAATGATCATGAAGACCATGATGCAATTCAACACCAAAGGCAGCGAAATAAACGGCAAGTAGATGTAGTAGTATTTCTGCCACCACCAACTTGCGAATATCAAAATGAAGCTGTGCAAGAGTTAGCCATGTTAATGGATCACTTCAAGACGGGGTACTTACTTGGCAGAAAAAACCAGCGCTGTCAGGAACTGCTTTTGCCAAAAGACTTTACGTTGGCCTCGCTTGATGATCTTTGGCTCAAGTGCCTCTACAGCTTCCGCTGCAGTTTTCTCGTTCAGCAAAAGAGGAGGTGCCCCTAGGGTTGGCGGCCCACTCTGTTTGACGTTGGTGATTTCTTGAGAAGACGTAAATGATCGCGTTACTGCTATAGCTGGTGCTGGCATCTGAGAGGACGCCTGCAAGATACGCTCTGGAGCTTTGCCCTTGCCACTGGTGGCCGATTGTCGACTTGAGCGCTTGGAAGATTCCCGTGGTTTGTCACGAGAAGAGCCTTCATGCCCATCTAGCAGTTGTCTTGACGACGATGCCACTGCTGGGAAATCACGGAACAATCCTTCTGAGGGTGTGGTATTTCCCTTATTCGAGGAGTTCTTGGATTGCTCCAAGACCGGTGAAGCGTCACTTTGTTGAACATGGCCATGCTGCTTTGGAGATATCTAACCACTATTTAGATAGTACTATACGGTTTTGATTTTGCTAGACTCACCGTTTGGGGGCCACGTAAAGTTCTATTAGATTGTTCGCTTGTCGAATTAGAAGAAATGCTGCGTCGCACGGCATGGTCGCCAAAGGGATCTGCAACGCCTGGAGGCGGAGTGCCACTCGACCATCGTTCTGAGTCCATATTGCGAGACTAGTGCTCCCCAAAGTGAACTACCTGATTGAGGCTTCTTCTGAGAATAGCACTCAGGGTTCTTGGAGGATCGAATTGTCTAAATCGCCATCGTGTTGCATAACTTATACACGGCTGTTCTAAGACGAACCCATTGACAGACACTGTGAAAAGTGTTTCACTATACTAGAAATTTCGAAGTCTTATGGAAGCTGACGGGACATTAAGTAGACCAATGTCAGGATTCAGAGACGGAGAGCACGGAGTGAGCCTAGACTAGAGCGCATGCCCAAACTTGCGCACCATCAAACATCGTGATTGTAAAATTTTGTTTTACAAACTCCAACCGAAGGCAAGGATCTGCACATGCACAGAAGAGCCCGTTAAGTGAAAACTTAAAGGCGAGCAGCCCAGTTGCTGAGCAATTTTGCGATCCACCTGCCTGCATGTGCACTTGGAATTGACACCTGTCTGTACCGGAGATGTAAGGTCGATGGGCGTGATAATTGTTTATCCAGTAGCATACTGAGAGCTGAAATAACGTCTCTATGATATGGCCTGGGCCGTGTCAGTCGACCTGCAGCATTGGCGCCGTTGTGTTAACCCTTTCTCAACCCTCTCATTTGCGAGAAGGTATACTGCATTCGAGTCTACGCTCACCATCACCACCCGCTGACAGCATTATAGCAAATGTTGAAACACTTGCGGACAAATCTTTGTCACCCAAAAGCCATCCTATAACATTTATCACCATGTATAAATAGGTTCAATTGCTTTGACAATAAAGCAACCGGTTGGACTTATCATTTACCCAGATAGACCTTAATAATACGTAGTTTTAATCCAAGTCGATGCCATTTGGGATTCATAAGAACCCCCCGCGTACGCAGACGACCGCCATGAAAGAAATCGCGTCTCAGTCACGCAAATAGTTGTTTTAAGATGTGCGGTCATTATTTAGTAGTGGAAATACGTCGCTTTTCCAGCACCGCTCTGAGGACTTCCAGTAACACAAATAATGATATCTGTAGTTTTATGTTGTGGATATTTCTATTCGACCAGGAGTAGTTGTTTATAGAGTGTCCAATCTCCAGGTCAAACTACCTCGCTAAAACCAAATACCTTTCAGGAACCTGGCTACCAAACATAAGGGTCGGTATATAGTTCAATCACACAGGAGCTGTGACATTCCCGTATTCTGCTTAGTTGGGCTGGCTCCTGGAAGTTGATGTTCTGGAACAGCCCCCATGCTCGTAATACTATCGAGAAGCCCCTAGGCAACGAGATAACCTAATATTATCTGTGACATATACAGTTTACAGTTAGACTAGTTTTAAGATTCGCCCTCGCAAAAAGTAACGAATGATTTACAGTAGTAGCAATATTATAAGCTCTCTGTGGAGAGTAGTGAAACGAATTGTACGATGGGTGAAAGCGCTTTAACCTTTGCAGTATCCTTGGACAACCCTGGGGTCTCCTTTGGTTTGCTTTCAATGTACGGCTCTGCATGCAGGCCAAGGAAGACATATTTCGGACATTGGCGTCGCGAAATTATGGGTACCCGTACAGGGCTCGCGAACAGCAACAAGTCCCTGGGCGCGGGTTGCGTCTACTATACTGAAAGTCAAAATTATAGAATTGCGAAATTTCCCATCCAAATCCTTTTGATTCGTCTTCGGACTTGCTCGTGCTCTTGGTATCGGGTTACTTATCGATCTCTTCCACACACGTTCGTTGCCTTGCCAGTGGTAGTACCAGTAAATCGGATTGATCGTCCATTTCTTTCGCTCACACCTGTCCGATCTTCCATCTGATAAGCATGGCTCCAATAATAACTACATCATTTTCTCAGCCTAGCTTGGGTCGTCACGGCCATTCGATTGATCTGTTTAGTGGCTCAAAGCCAACACAACAGACCTCGCCTCCACGTACACCTCCTGCTGGAGTCCACAAGGACAGCGCATCTGATATTGAACACCTCAGTGTCTCACGTTTTCCTCCAGTAGACCCAGGAGAGGAGCCACATGTTGCTATCATCGGATGTGGCTACGTCGGAGAACATCTCATAAAAAGATTCTCAAGCCGTTACAGTGTGCTTGGATTCGAGGTTTCCACCGAGCGCGTTGAGTCTTTGAGAAAGGTGTATGATCAGGAAGACAGTCGCGTTTCCTTCACGCTCGCTCCCAAGGACCTATCCAGAGCCACCCATTTCCTAGTCTCTGTTCCAACCCTCTTGCTGGAGGACAAAAGTATCAACACCAGTTATATCCAGCTTGCTCTAACGACGATCGGCAGATATGCGCGTCGCGGTTCTACCATTGTCGTGGAAAGCTCTGTAGCTGTGGGAATGACCAGACAACTTGTCGGGCCGCTAGCAAAGCAAAAGGGATTCTATGCAGGCATGTCTCCTGAGGTCAGTAATTCTACTCATCCCCCGGTGTGCTTGTATGCAGTACTAAATTTCACCGAAGAGGGTTGATCCTGGCCGAACCGAACCACCTGCGCAGAGAATACCGAAGATCATCTCTGGCCTAGATGACGTTGTTCCCGGATCACTGGAAGCTATCACTCGCCTGTACTCTCCCGTCTTTGACACCATTTTCCCTGTCTCCAAGCCAGAGGTTGCGGAAATGATGAAACTTTACGAAAACTGCCAGAGAATGGTATGCATTGCATACGCAAATGAAATGGCTGATGCTTGTGCCCCCCATGGCATCGACCCCTACGAAGTCTGCCGGGCTGCAGCAACCAAACCGTTTGGTTATATGCCTTACACGCCAAGTTTGGGCGTAGGAGGGCATTGTATACCAGTCAACCCTTATTACCTCCTCTCCAACAGCGATTTTCCTTTATTGGAAGCTTGCACAGAGAAAATGTGGCAAAGACCGGTGGAGATTGGCCAGAAAGCCCTTGAACTTCTCGGCAATATTGATGGCAGGGAAGAACAGATGCGACCGGCAATTCATCATGTCGATTCTTGTATGGACATGTATTGTGCCCAAACCGTACACAACGCTGCCCTCGAGAACAAAGACATGGCCATTGAAGTGACAAGCCGTAGAAGCTCTACGTCACGAGCTCGTGTGCTTATCGTCGGTATAGGCTTCAAGCCAGGCCAGAGCGTCTTGAGCAACTCTCCTGGACAAAAGTTGGCTCAATCACTTGCAGACTCGGGTCGCGTCGACGTCATGTTTGCTGACCCTTTGGTGGAACAATCTGCCATACCGCTTATCCCACGCCTCGACGACGAGTCCTGGAACAAAGAGGTGCTCGAGACATTCGACATGATTATCGTCGCCATCAAGCAAGTTGGCCCCGACTTGGACGTTCTTCAGGAGTTAGATGGACCGAAGATCCAGATGTGGTGCGCGTAATGGAGGATCCGCAATTCTGTACCAATTCATGGAGCATCGTACCGTCGCAATTAGCCGTGGCCAGGCGAAATCAAATGGTTTGAACAGGCGTTATGTCTTTAATTAAAAGCCAAGGTCAACGACGCAGGCCATTCGGCTAAGGCGAAGCTATTTGTGCAAGTGCACACATTACATATTTTAATATTCATACTGTAGCAAATAATGTCATTCTTCAATGGAGACAATAGGAAATATACCATTTGCACACGCTTGGTACGAAAGCAGTTGCAACCAGTGCTAGGCATTGCGATAGCCATTAGAATGCGTGAGCAACATTCGCCAAAGCACCTGGCAGACTTTCCATCCGCTCCCAACCATGCTGCCTTTTATGCGTCTCTTGCGCTCTGTGCATGCATTTGGGTTTCATTTGAGACTGCAGCGCAGGTGGCATCAACCGTGCCAATACTTTTCGTGAAACATACTAGGTGCTGCTATTATAGCGCGGGTTGGTAGAAGTGGTTTGCACCTGAAGTTGTGGGAAGTGTGTTGATTGACATCGGTGGAACCTTCAAAGTCTAAATGTTCGACCATTTGCAGTTCATGTTAGCACATGAGACAGACGCGCCTTCTACCAAATCAGTGCGGAAGTCTTGCCCTGGTGGTTTTCTGACATGAACCTGCTTGGTACTAGATTGTCTTTCTCTTTTTAGATGTCTTCTTGAGAACCTTCTTGAGCACTGGTTGTACCCAGACCTGGACTATCCTTCTCAACATCTTATGCAAATGTTCTGATCCGGAACAACTACCTAATACTCAAAGTGCCACCTAGTATACTCTTAACAAGTTTTATCACAGCCACAGCTTCAGTATTTACCGCAACAACGAACCAGTGCAAAGTTCCTGTCCTAGCACAGAGCTATGGCCAGCCCTCATTTTGTCAATGGCGTATACTACCCCTGCTGGCGTATATACAAAGGTCATGCCCCGTCATCCCTCCAGCTGGATGCCATTTCACACATTTTTTACGCTTTCGTGCATGTAAACGAAGATGGTACACTTCGCTTCCTGGACGACTATGCCGATTGTCATATCGTCGCCGATGGAGAAAAGGGATGTCTGGCTGCTCTCGCCAAGCTCAAGACTCGAGTACCAGGACTGAAGACACTCATGTCCATCGGCGGCGGCAGCGGGAGTGCCGAGTTTCCAGTCATGGCAGCTAATCCAGATACCCGTATTACTTTCGCCAAAAGCTGCCGAGAATTCTGCGAGAAATATGGTGTGGATGGGGTGGATGTCGACTGGGAACATCCGCAGACGCCGCATGATGGAGCAAACTACATCGCTATGCTTCAGGAGTTGCGCCGGGCACTGCCATCACCTTGGTTCCAGATCAGCACGGCGCTGCCTACGAGACAATATTGTCTCCAGCACATCAATCTTGCAGTTGCCGGCCAGCTACTCGACTACCTCAACCTGATGGTATATGACTTCAATGGACCGTGGACAGACGTCTGCGGCCATCAAGCCCAGCTATATCCTCCGCCAGGACCCTTGGAGAGCGTGTATCCTCGGTTAAGGAATTCCGGCCACGGAGGCGTCGAGTACATATTATCACGCGGCTTTCCGGCCAGGAAGCTCGTAATCGGAATTCCAGTGTACACCCGGACCTTCGAGGGTGCTCACGGCGTTGGCCAGCCTTTTAAGAGAGCGCACGAGATGGAGTACAACGAGATGCCGCCCGAGTGGGTCGCATATGCTACCGTCGACCATGACTCTGTAGCAGCAAGTTTTGTGGATAAAACACCTGGGGGCAAAGGTTTCGCGAGCTTTGATGTTCCAGAAACCGTGGAGAAAAAGGCCGAATATGTCAAACGGATGGGTTTGGGCGGGTTGTTCTACTGGCATGGCGTTGGCGACGTTCAAGGACCAGACAGCTTGGTACGCACTGGGTATCGAGCACTACACAATATACCACGCCCGACTTGAATCAACATAGCCCCAAGAGAGACATACGCAAACCAATAGACACCGCTCAACTATGCCATCATCTCTGAGAACAGTAGCAGACTGATATCTGGTTATTATACCCACGAGGCTGTGTCAATTAAGCCAGACCTTGAAGAGCTAATACTGGCCCGCCTGGACGTTTAGTGTTGCGGGCACTGCCTAGCTTAGCATAGAAGGTGACAAGTAATCGGGTACGATCCTCGGTCTCGGAGTGTATGACTTTCAGCCCAGTTGTTTCCGTTGCTTACCATAACTTCCCGTTCCTCTTGCGCACATGGAGCAAGTAGAAGCACTGAGCAATTGCAGAAATTGGGGTTCTATCGCGTGTGTATTTTAGCACAGAGCTTGGCGTCACTAGCGTCATTAACGTGTGCATGCATCATTGCTTCTCGTTCAGAAAATTTGGGAGCATAATATTGCTTTGATCAACTGTGGAAGTCTGCATAGTCGGTCCAGAGGGGAGGAAATAGAACGGGGGCAGAGACGGAGCCAGGAAGGATGGATGCAAGCAAAAGCATGGACACGTTGACGAATCGGTACATGGTACACGCACACGGTACATGCATAATCTCCAATAACCTAGCGCGTTTTCCCTAGCGTGTTTATCTAGTAGGTCATCCACAGCTCCCTCAACCACGGCGAGAGAAAACTCTCCCCCCAAAACCTCGCACAATTGTCACTGCTGCAGCTGCCGACAGCTGATTCTTCGCATCAGTTCCAGCGCGTTTTCATCCAACTGCCAGACAGCCGACGACGACCTCAATCGCCTACTCGACCATGTCCACGACCAATAGAGGAGGCATCATCCAGCCTCCGCGAGGCCGGCCTTCCAAGGTTACCAAACCCGCCGCGACACCTCGCCGTCCCGCTGCTCGCGGACGCCCCGGACTTCAAGACACAGTCCCGAACCAGGACCCTGAACTCGAAGCGCACCATGATCTAGGCCCGGAGCCCGAGGATATAGACCAGCAACAGCATCATCACCATGAGCATGAGCATGAGCATGAGCATGAACATGAGCATGAACATGAACATGATCACCACAATGACTTTGATCCCGAAGCTGCCGCAGCAGCCGCCGCCGTCGCTGCTCAGCATACCGCCGCTCAGCAGCACCAGCAGCAGTTGGACCTGAGCACGGCAGCCAGCATTCTGGCTAGCAGCGGCGCGAACCCCATGGGAGTCAGCCCCCACGAACAACCAGACTTCGAGATGACTCAGCATGATGGAGCAGAAGAGGCCCCTCACACCACCGAGAGCCTCGCCATCCAGTCTGGCTACCACAACGTCATCGTCGAAAGCGCCTTGGCCAAGAGACTTGCTCGCGAGCCAGGCATGCGCTTAGCCCAGCAAAGACGCCCAGAGCAGCAACTAAACTTGCAAAGACGTAGCAACGTTGAGGCTTTGTTTGCCCACATTGCTGGCGAGTCTGCCCCCGTTCCTTGCAAGAATTGCCACAAGGGTCACGGCCCATGGACTACATGTGTCATTGTCGACGGCCAAATGTGTGGCAGTTGTGCCAACTGCTGGTTCAACGCATCAGGTGCTAGATGCTCATTCCATGGTAAGGGACCCCTCGGAAGCACGGGTTTTTTTATTTGGTTGCTTGCTAACCAAGACAATTCAGAAACCCGCAACCCAGCAGCTCATCCTGGGGCTGTGATAGGAGACGGCTCGTTCAACAATTTGGCCATACCATCTGCCGCCCTCGGTGGCTTCAATTACGTATCTGGGCCTGCTTCAGCTGATCCCGTTGTCAAGTACACCATCGAACGGGCCATGGCAGATATCAGAGCAGCTGACAAGAGAACACGCCATATGCTTATGATCGAAGCTGCGGCCAAGCAGCTGGCTTTCCAAGTTGTTGCCTACGAGGAAATTGTCCATGAAGAGCAGGCACAAGAACACGCACAGGCTCAAGCGCAAGCACAAAGCCAAGGCCATCCGCCACCCCCGGAAGCCATCAGTAAGTAATCCCTGCCTGCCTCTAGCCCCCCTCCCCCCCCCCTCTTTCCCAGCTTATGCTGTAAGCTCTATCATTGTCTCTCTGGAGTGTTTTGGGAGCATAGAATTAATCCCCTTTTCTCATCAGTGAAATATCACTTCAGTCCCACTGACACCGGACCTCTAGTGGAAGACCCTGATACTGCCCAGTAAGGCGCAGGAGGTCCTCGCTAGTCTTTCTTGGGTAGGCCAGCGTGAACTGGAGTTAAAAAGCGAATGCTCATGTGATATGGCAAAATCGTCAATTTCAATGTTAATAGTAACAATATTGAGGCTAGTCCTTCGACGCATGTTGTCTCATGGTCCTGTCGTCATAGTTCCAGGTGATTTATGGCCAGTTGATTCTTGAGGCAGACGAGAGGAACCGAGCACTTTCTACATGGTTAGAGGGAGCATGGCTGAGATTATATCATACGGTGTGGACGGCGGCGGCGATGTTTTTCAGCACTCTATGATGTGTTTGGGAACATGTGAGCAGAGCAGATCATTTTGTAGTAGGCGACGAGTCGCCTTTGAAACTGGAATTCAATTACTCCAGTACTTAAAACTCTCATTTGGTATTACTGCATCATACAGGCGTTATCTTGAGACATGCCTGATAGCTTTGTCTTCCGTATTACCCATATACCGTAGCAGGTCATTATAATCTCCTTCCAGCCGTACATCCAAATATTAACCAAACATGGTAGAACCCAAGGCTTTCTACATGACGACACAGCAAGCCTTCTCCAGCTTCTTGAGCAATGTCGTGACGATCTTTTCAGCCATATCACCACCTTGTTGCTGTTGCTGTTGCTGGTGCTGCTGGCCACCATGTTGTTGCTGTTGCCCACCAGGGTACTGGCTCTGTCCGCCATGGTGTTGTTGCTGGCCTCCATGCTGCTGTTGCTGCTGGTGGCCGCCGCCATGCGGGTAGCCACCCTGCTGCGCAGGCGGCATGACGGCCTCGCCGCCCTGCAGGTTGATATACATTCTCCCGGCGTTCTCCTCAGTCGCATACTGGAGGCCCAGCTCCTGGCAGACCTGCTCGACCCTTGGCTTGATCTTCTGGACGTGGTTGGTGGAGTGGTTGCCCTTGCCGACGATGACGTGCAGGTGCGTCTGGCCGTGCTGCTGGGCGTAGCGGATGCGCTGCTCGAGGATGTCCTCGGCCTCCTCGACGAACTGCCCGTGCAGGTCGATGGTGTCGTCGGCGACGCGGCCGGTGGCGTTGTTCTCGCGGAAGATGAAGTCCGAGGCCTGCTTGTTGTACTCGTCCATCTTGGCCGCGTGCCGCTTGCCCTCGTTGCTCAGCTCCTTGGCCTCGGCGCCGTCGCCGCGCTCATAGGCTTGGTGGGACTGCCGGGAAGCATTCTTGTCAGCGCCCAGTGTCCTTCAGAAGTGTGTCCGAGGCCATGAAACGCGAGATAGAGTGGGCGTGACAGGCCTGGCTGGTTATGAGAACACATACCCGATCAAAACACGCATTGCGCTTCTTGGCCTCCTCGCGCGCAAGGTCGCGAAGACGGTCGTATTCAGCCTCGGCATCATTGCCGGCGCTGTGGTTGAAGGCTACAAGTGATGGTTCTTTGTTAGTTGAGTTCCTTCATCTATTCATCATCACATCGTCTGCAACACCGGCGCATGATACACACAAACACCGGATGCATGAAAGCTACGTTGTGGGGTTCATGATGCATTGGCCGGCTCTTGTGATTTTTGGGGGGGTTTCGTCTGAAATGGAGACGTCAACTTTTAACAACGCGTACCTTTTCCGCCGAGACGCGTCAGTGGGATAGCCTGCGACATAATTGGGATTGTCCAACGAACTGCAGGCGGCTAACAGACCTAAGGAATCGGCTGACGTAGTAATGATTGTACCGCAATTATTCTTGCGAAACACAAAGGGGCACGAATAATGTGCAGTTGCAAGCGGCTGATACTTGAACTGGATTCTGCAGGCCGCCAATGCATACTTGGGTACGTGCTTCGGGAGCTGCGACGGTCTGGCCCTCCCTTCTCCCTGGTTTATTGGAGGCTGAGAGGTGCGGTGGACTGCACAACAAGGCAATTGAGCTGTACTATGATCATGCGCCAAATTGTCAAGATTTGAGTAACCTAGATAGACAGTAGACTAGATCCGATATACGTCTAACCTGACCAAGTTAGATCAATCAATCTAGATGCCTCCCGTAAATGAGTCTTATTCCGTTCAACGAACCGTGCTGGAGGTGAAAACTCCAGGCTGGGGGCTGAATGTGATACCTTTCTTGGGAAACCAGTATGCCGCATCTTCAGTCACGAACTCGCATCGTAGCATATACTAGGGTAAGCTTATTCTACACGTGTCTTGGAACCCTAATCGGCGAACTGCATAGCGGGGGTCTCCTCTTTGTGCTGGTCCTGAGGGAGTTTGATGCGAGTTGCCGCCTTCTTCTAGACCTTGAGTCATACAGAACGGGAGTTCCCTCCTTAAATGAAGGCATGCTAAAAATTCGCTTGCGGTGCAAGAGCGGCAGAGGGTTGCATCTGGACGTATACGCGTTGCCGCCCATGTTCGAGTATGCCCGGTAACCTGCAGCTTCATTGAAAAGAAGGCGACAGCATCGTGAGTACAGGGGTGTTTCTGTATGGGCTTCTGGAAGCGCTTTCCAATTAGGGCCATCCATGAATGCTCGTCCAAGGGTCCAGCAGCACGCTGCCCAGTCTGACGTCGCTTGAACTTCTATTACAAACTCTTGTGGAGTCATCACAACTGCCGTGGCTCGCTGTGGCTTTGCTGTGGTAATGGATCTTTTGGGAGCAGGTTGAAACGTGCTACCAGAGAACCCAGTAGACAGGACTGGATATTGGCAAGGTACTGAGCCTTGGGTGAACATGAGTCCTCCATGTAAATCCAACATGGTTGACAGCGTTGAAAACCAGGAGACTGCGCAGAAGAATGCTCGACTATGTGCTCAGTACAATTGAGCCCATCGGCCCGTGGCCTATCAAAGATGGTGCCGATTGCCACGTGGAATGCCGGCCGACCGGTTACTTTCTGAACCAATCTGACCTTCAATTACTGGCCCATTACAAGTCGATGGAGCATGTTCGAGTTCAAGCTAATGCGGGAAAGCCTCAGTAATTACAGTACACAAATGGCGCGAGGGACGAGATGTACATTGGAATAAAGGAATGAAAGTTAATGGTCAAGGCACCTTGAACGTTAATCAGACCACCCCAGAAGGTTCTGTGCAGGCTTCTAGAACGGTTCAAGGAGGCATATCCTCAAGAACTCGTTTCAATTCCCTTGTCGCGTCCTGTGCCTGCCAGGTAATCGTATCAATAACGACAGAATTATTGCATCGAGAAAGGATACCCTAGCCCTGACGATGTTAAGCAAAATACCTAAACTGGCCTTTTCTGTGAAAGAATACACACGCTATAAGACCATTTCGGAATAGCGCCAGGGGCACGGAGTATTTTCTGCTTCATGGGATGCAGATCATGAAAGGTGGGCATGGATTTCACCACCAGTGGTGGGGTTGGAAAGTTGTAGTCTGCATATGGATACTATCCGGCTAATCTGGAAGATGTTTCAGATGTCGAGTTGATGTACCATCTTCCCTATGTTTGGAACGGATCGGTCCTCGAAGCTATATGCCAACTTGAAAAGTTAAAAGATTGAAGTTAACGACCAGAGACTTAACCTTAGAGCTGTTTAAAACGGTTGGTTTTTGGGTGCAAATCACCAAGCTCAAAGCGTCTCTCATCTAGCGGCTTGCCAGCTCGAACTGGAAAATTGGCGCTCAGGAAAAGCCTAGGCAACCCCGTAAAAGAAGGATTAGTTCTCATCCATCGGATGAACAGACTGCAAAGCAGGGCGAGTCAGCACTGCTCCCAGCCACACCCGCTAATCACTTACATACATAACATTTCAAAGCTGACTGCAGAAAGACAACCAAAAATGTCAAGTAGTATGGCTGTTATAAGCAACCAAATGTCAAGAAGCGTTGCTTATTATTACGAATGTCTCTGTCGATCTTTGGCGCAATCCCGTGTCGCACGGACTGGAGTGGAGCGCATCAAGTCTAGAAACAGGATGGTGATCAAAGGCTAGGTGACGAGTCAAGGTTCATGCCTTGCAAGTCGGAAGAACAAATAGTAAGTTGTGAAGATCACGGAAGCTTACTGATCACCATGCAGTTCGGGTCATGGCACATGTGAGCAGTATGTAGTGTTAAAAGCAGCTGCTGGAGAGTGTCTCAGACTGTCAGACGACAACTGCGTAGGTAAGACGATCATACCCAGCCATCGATCAATATTATCTCCACAAGCGCTGTGTGCCGCAGGAAGAAAGGCCTGGAGTGTTGAGCTGCGGTGTCATATTTATAGACCCTGGCTTGAAATGAGTGCGACCGGCAGGGTCCGAGCAAGCAACAAGTACATAGATTGCCTGGCTTCTTGCTTGCAATTCGTTCGGCACTGCAACTGGAAATTTGCTGCAAGCTGGTTGCAGATGCGCGTCACGGTGCAAATCAGTGGATCGGCAATCCCGGTTAGGAATGCTGGTGATGGCTACTTGGACTCTGAAAGTTGCGCGCGCCCTGAGTTTATATGTTGATCTATGTACTGTAGCAGAGCATGGTAACCGAAGATCGTGTGCTGCTTGTTTACTGTAGGTATATTCCTTGGAGACGAAATCAATAGTGGACGGATCTGGGGTGCTCATTTGCGAAATGAGCATGGGGGATGGAGATGATGCACAGTGTGATGCACACGGACCAATCTTATGTCATATTACCCAGGTGAAGATAGTGTGCTTCTATAATCAGGACGAGGACGAGGACGAGGAGCATGCGAGACGGATACGCCGTGTCAAAGCCCACCACTATAGCAGTGACTTATTACCGTCATGGCAACCCAAATAGGACCAGTTAGTTGCGCGTTCACTATACCGAGCCGATGGTTCCTCGGACGACTCATGTATATCTAAACAAGGATCAACGGCCGAATGCTGCATGCACGAGTTCAACCTTATCCGGGCGAAGCAATAGCCGCGCACTTCCAAGGCCGCCAAAAGGGCAGCATGGTACTATGGAATGGAATGGAGATGCGACAACGCCGATGCGACCCTCCGGCAGCACAGGATTTGTTGGAGATGATGGTGGTGCCTATTACTTTGCCAGCTAGCAGGAAGCTAGAGGATGGATAGTCGGGCTGGATACTGTAAGACTGAGGATAGGAAATGACCATGACTACAGTACCTATGGGAAGAGTGGTGGCGCGAATGGGAATTTCCATGGGCGTGGAAGCGTGCTTCTAGACTGGCGACGAGTCAAGAAGCTTGAGGCGCGGCGGCGAGCCATCACAAGATGCTCATTAACCAACAATGGGGCTCATAGCATAGTCCTCCACCTGTGATGCTCACGATGCAGTCGCTAGGACAGGCTTGCCTCGCTTGCCACGCCTGCTAATGAAAGCAAATCCGGGCACTTGTTAGAGAATACAGGAGTCCTTTCCGCTTGGAGGCTAGTGCCCCTGACATTATGGAATGCCCCCGGCTGCGACAGGCTGGATGCTGGATCCCGATTCACCAATTGATGCTCTGGCGTCTCCTCTTTCGAGTTCTCTGGTGCCAGGCAAGCCAGGACAAGGTCAGGAAAAGCGCAAGGACCCAGACCCGCCTTTGCAGCAGCGGCGGCCATCCCCCCTGGCCCATCTTTTGGCACCCTTTTTTGTGTATTTTTTTTTCTTCCCTTCTGTCTTTCTTTTCCCCCCTAAGCCCTCCCCTGCTGGTGCTACTTTGCTGCTGTACTTTGTTGGATTACAGTGAGCGACAGGCTGAAGCAGCTCCAATTGGCTTAGTCCCACGCAGTACCAAGTAGGTAGCCTCTGGCACAGTACCGAACTTGTTCTCCATTTCCAGTGTCCCACCGGCCACCATCCAATCCATTCATCTCTTTGCGTCGCCTTCGCCATCAATTCTCCTCCCTTTCCACTTCAGGAGACAGACTTAGACTGGCGTCCTGTCACATTTGATTTTCCCATCCATCATCCATCTGGGCCACCCTTTTTCCTTTTTCCTTCCCATCGTCGTCGGGGGCCTATCGTGCATTCACTGCGCATTCATTCAGCTACCGTGACACCTATCACGATCCTTTCTATCCAGCACTGCGTCTGCATCTGCATCTGCATCTGCCTCTGCGCCTTCGAATTCTAACTATTGCTTCGTTCAATCGGTAAGTTCCAAAAGAACCAAAACCACACTCGGCTACAGAACCTTATTTCACCTGCCAACACCACATCACATCACCCATCACATCAACCATCCCGTCCCATCTCCTCCACCGTAGCCCGTAACCGTAACCAGCAACAACGCCAGCCTTGTTTCCGTGTCGCTGCTTGCGATGCTACTTCCCCCTCTCGGCCTCACGTTCTCCATGTAGCAAGTTGTGCGATAATTGAAGCTGTTTCGTTCTGCCAACCACCGACCGCGAAACACTTGACGCCAAGAGCGTCTGCAAGCATCGCCATCGCGCATTGAGTCTCGGGCACTGCATTCAATCACGGCTTCGCCACTCGGCCGCTTCTAAATCATACATGCTGTCTAACCACTCAACTCGCTAACATTGCTCCTTCCCAACAGACAGCAGCTTAATAGCCATAAATCATCCAACCGTACCAATAGACCTGGTGCTTCCGTTATATCCATACACCAGTCTTTATATAATCGACAACTGAAACTCCAGTCAAGATGGGCTGCGGAATGAGCACAGAGGAGAAGGAGGGCAAGGCCCGTAACGAGGAGATTGAGAACCAGCTCAAGAGGGACAAGATGATGCAGCGAAACGAGATCAAGATGCTTCTTCTGGGTGAGTACACGTCCCTTGAAGACATGCCCGGGACAGGAAGTCACGAGAGCAACGATATCTGACCGGCTTTTCTTTCTAGGTGCTGGTGAATCCGGAAAGTCAACCATCTTGAAGCAAATGAAGCTCATCCACGAGGGCGGCTACTCGCGCGACGAGAGGGAATCCTTCAAGGAGATCATCTTCAGCAACACTGTCCAGTCGATGCGCGTTATTCTTGAGGCCATGGAGTCCCTTGAGCTGCCGCTTGAGGATCAACGCATGGAGTACCACGTTCAGACCATCTTCATGCAGCCCGCCCAGATTGAGGGTGATGTGTTACCACCCGAGGTCGGTAATGCCATTGAGGCCCTCTGGAAAGACCGTGGTGTGCAAGAGTGTTTCAAGCGTTCGCGTGAATACCAGCTCAACGACTCTGCCCGATAGTGAGTTGACATCTGTTGTCTGTTCCCTTTTCCACGCCCTAACCTGTTTCCTTTTAGCTACTTCGACAACATCGCCAGAATTGCCGCTCCTGACTACATGCCTAATGATCAAGATGTCCTGCGATCTCGTGTCAAGACAACCGGTATCACGGAGACGACTTTTATCATTGGCGATCTGACCTACAGAATGTTCGATGTCGGTGGTCAGCGATCTGAGAGAAAGAAGTGGATTCACTGCTTCGAGAATGTCACCACCATCCTCTTCCTTGTCGCCATCTCCGAGTACGATCAACTGCTCTTCGAAGATGAGACCGTCAACCGTATGCAAGAGGCTTTGACCCTGTTCGACTCCATCTGCAACTCGAGGTGGTTCATTAAGACTTCCATCATCTTGTTTTTGAACAAGATTGATCGCTTCAAGGAGAAGCTCCCTGTTAGCCCCATGAAGAACTACTTCCCTGATTACGAGGGCGGTGACGATTACGCCGCTGCTTGCGACTACATCCTGAACCGATTCGTAAGCCTCAACCAGCACGAGACCAAGCAAATCTACACACATTTCACTTGTGCTACGGATACGACGCAAATCCGTTTCGTCATGGCTGCTGTCAATGGTAAGTCCCTCATGCTTTCAACCTGAAGCCGTGTCCCGCGGAGCTAACCCGGACTCTAGATATCATCATTCAAGAGAACCTGCGTCTCTGCGGTCTCATCTGATTTCATTTGATTGTTTACGCGATGCTACGAAGAATACCCCTTTTCACCACTTTACAGTACGGCTTGCCAGTAATGTCACTCTCTGGCTAATGAAAATTGGGCACACGCCCAAACTCACAAATTCATCAACCCATCTCCTTCCGTACCTCTGTTTCGACGCTTCACAGCATACATCTTCGGAGCTTGTTTTACCATACCAATCACCACGCGGTTGAACCGAAAGGATATCGACGATAGATGTGGAAACGCGAAGGGGAGAGGCAAGGACTGCATCTAAAGCCATGGCGGTTACATATCTTGTTTAATTATGTGTTTGTGGAGTCCTTGGTTCTTTCTATATTTTCTCTTTCTGCGGCACAGGGCCGCCTGCGATGACGGGCGGAAATGCGGTGAGGTACACCCAAGCGAAATAGTTGACGAAGGTCGATCAGTAGAGGAGTCCAGTGCGTGTTGCAGACTATACCAGAGCAGATGCCAGATGGATCTGTAGGAGCATAACGGAGGCGTGTATCCAATGCGTTGGATGTGTATACAGATCAAAACAATGTTTCCAAAAGCCTACGCAAGTTTAGCATACTCCCGTGCGTATTGATCGCTCCGAGAGCTTATCTCCGCCGCAATCATTATTTGTCTGTCACGATGCCACCCACTTACCCAACCGTGAGTCACACAATGTTGTTGCTCGTGTTCGACTATTTTTATTTTTATTTTTTCTAAATGTTTTTTTGGGCGAAATCCAGTAACCCAGCGTGCCCGATTTAGGCTTACGGGACGGGGACGGGACGAAGGCCTGGTACGCGTGCTCAGTCAAATTTTGTAAAACCTAAATCCCGAAGTCAATTGAGGTCAAGACCTGCATGCAGAGCAGTGAAACCACCCGTAAAGATGGATCGGATCATCCCGTGTACCTAGAGCTTAAGAGTATCTTGCTGGCTCTATACGGGCTGCAAATATGCGTAGTGTGTTGTGATTGGTTGTATGCAGGTATATAACCAGAGTGTCTCGGCTTTTGGGATTGTAGGGGGGTTTGACCATGGCGGTTGTGACAATAAGGACACGGGACGATGGCTTGTATAGTTTGCTTATAATCCAGTGCATGCCAATGACACAGCACGTCGGAGTGCTTCTGGGCAGTCCCCTGCGAAAAGACACCATCACCATGGCTCGGCGAAATATTCTCCGTTTTTCTTCTTGGAGCTCATGGAACTATCTATATCCTGAATTGTTAACCTTCATCAGGCAACAGGTTTGATACAAGGAAGAACCTGAGGAGCTCCGTGGCTCACTTGTTTCTACCAGACATGCACGCTGTTCAAATACCACGTCAGTGCTCTAGACGGACTCCTCCAAGATTCATGGCTCCCTGTCGCTAATTTTTATTTCATACTTTAGCGGCGCAGATGGAAATGTCTACAAAGTGTCTCTCAGGTCTGGATAATCCAGAGAATGAGACAAAACGTTGACAAGACTTCGACTACTGTTCGACCCGTCCAAACTACTCGTCCAGGTGAACGGCGTAGGCCTAGCTCAGCTCGGGGGGTTTTTATTTTCTCCCAGCCATCTTACCGTGTAACTGGGCTGTATAAGTTGTAGTACTTCAAGCCGCACGCTGTATGGTCTCGCCGAGTGACAGCAGTGAGCCCGATCTAACAGTACGTGCCCAGCAAACGCTGAGCTTAACCTAACGTTTGGATTAAGGCAAGTTGTCACAGTGGCAACTCTTTTGTCCTCGACCTATGGAATACCCGTGTAAACTAAACTTTTTTTTATTTTCCTGAAATGTTGTGGACTAAACATGTTGTAGTTCAGTGCTAGCAGAAATGATAAGGTTGTTGTTGTTTTCAATCACCTGTAGCCCTGGATACGTGAATCATATATGTTCATGTCCCTGGACCTGTCTCCAGTAGTTCCACCTCAAAACGTCAGCCTTCCTCATACAAAGAAGTAGTTTTTCTTCTTCTAAGTGCTCTGGCATTTCAGTTTAGATCTGATGGTCTTAGGTTACCCATCGGACATTTCAGGGATGAATCTCGTACTGTACCTCTAGCCCCTTTTCAAAAACTCCATTGCAACGCCATGCTTTAACACACTACCGCACGGTACAGCAGGAACACGCTTTCTGACATGCTTCTGATTCGCCCGTCGGAGGCATCGTGGGATGTTTGCTGCGTTAATATCTCAACAGAATCGCTCTGCATGACGATTACGGAACAAAAATCACGCAGAGACTCCCGTCGGTCCCTAACTTATCTTGGTACCGGGGGGGGGTTTTTTTTTTGGCTTCACTCAACAGAAGCTCGAGTGAAGTGGCGAAATTATTGTTTGTACGTCTCATATAGCCCCATGCTAAGACCTGAGTTGCTATTCACGCGGAAACCGTAAGCGGCAAGGATGATATTCTATCGCCTCGCCATTCGGACCTTACGGGGTCGGCTTTCGAGCCTAAATTAACACTCAGCTGGACTCTAAATCGTGGGCCATTTTCGCCTGCTACCGAGTCCAGTCAGCTTGTCTTCAAGACTACAGATACTTTACGACATGGCCAGCTGTCCTCGCAGTGCGTTTGCCTCTTCACGGTGTACCTGTTCGTGGGCGACGCAAGTCCACCCACGGCGAGTTGCTAGACACTCAAAGTAACCTGGTGATATTCAAAGGTTCAAGAGATCCTGGCCTTCGGAAAAGGTTAATCACATGACATTGATTGCATGGGTGCCGAGGTCTTCTATGAACGTGAAAACCATGTCCCCAACCAGTACCGTTAGCATGGACTGCGAGCATTGGACTGACTAATGCATATCTTACTTGACTCGTAAGATTGATGGCTATCCTGGACCTGAACACGATTCACGGAAATTCTGTTTCTCTTCGTTATGCACAAGGAAGGGGACCAGCTAGCGGGTTTTCGGTGATGTAAGGTACTCTGTATCTCTTTTCGAACTCAATATTAATTCATCTATATTCTGCTTAAATGCGTCCTGGAATTTCCGATCGCGGGTTGAAAATCTGGCATAGCAAAGAGGTTTCTTACAGCCGAACCTTGACAGCAGGCTTCGACATAATCGCTTTAGTGGCTGGTGAGGTCTTGACCCGTCTCGAAGGTGGGTATGTCAAGCTCTCTGCCGAATGAAACCATTGACCATACTTTGTGGTTGCGATCGCAAGTATGATTACCCGCCTGTTCCCCATGAGTGACAGGGCATGGATTGTTGGGCGAAGCCTGCAGCCGTTGGAGATGCCCACACCACTGCGCAATGCTCTGATTACCAGCAGCCCACCCCATGCCCCCGAGCAAAGGTGGCAGCTGCAGTAATGTGATTAGCCGCCGATTGGAGCAGTTCACCTGTAGTGACATGCACGCCGGTGTCAGTAAGGCTGACATGAACGTTCACTGGGGAAGCCTCGAGGTTTGGAACGCGTGGTTGGTCGTGGGATTAATTGCCATCTTGTTGCTGCTTAATCTTTCTCCCACTGCGCGAGGTGGTCTCTATACTCAATCATTTCTTTCCACTTCTGCGCAAACTCTCGCATGCCACCCTCGCCGGCCTGGCTCGCATCTACGACATCTTTGGGTAGTTTGTGAGCCGAATAGGCCGGGGAACTCATGTTATAAGCACCTGCGTGTTCTTTCTCAACCAGCCTAAGCTCCGGTACGATATCTTCATCGTCGTCATCTTCGTCTTCGGTCGTTTCCGATTCTGTTTGTAGAACACCATCGTCCCCTTCTCCTGCAACTCCGATGACTGGGCCGGGAACTTGCCAGTCGTTCAGCTCATCCCAACCGAAGAGCAGGCTGTCTGTGTGAGGTGCCCAGGCGTTTACATCGATGAGCCGTACCCGGCCTAATGGCTCGTCTTCGCCTTCAGGAATGTAGACGTCAAAGGCGAAATTGCCGTCCGGAAATGTGTAGCGAATTTTGTTGTTGAAGAATTGGCTGATTTTAGCCACAATGGCAGGACGCAAATCCATGAGGAAGTCGTAATGCTTCAAGTCGCGTTGACACATGCCGATCAAATTTCTATGCTTCACGAAACACCTGAATTCCAGTGCTGTGTGGGGGTTGAAGAAAGATCGAAGCACTAATACCGGCTTGAATGGTGCCTGTTCCGCAGCTCCAGGTATAGGAGTACAGTCCTCGAAGGCGTGCTCCATATCATAAGTGATAAAGTTGGAGCTCTTGAGGAGCAGGTAGATATCATTCGGCGTGGTGCACTTGACAGTGTTTTGATGAGGCGATATCCATGCAGCGTCTTTTGGCGATGTCCAGTTGAGCTTTGGGGCAACTTCACCACCCAGCTCAGCAATCTTGTCCTTGATGGCCTGGTGCAGTTCAGGAAACCTCTTGTTGGGCGGCAAAGCTGCAGGGGCTTCGTCCTCACTTTCCGAGTCCGAGTCCAGTTCCTCGGGCTCAACTCGCGAAACCGTGGTTGGGCCTTCCCATTCTACATCATCATCATCCTCCTCCTCCTCATCGTCTTCGTCGGCCAGGGTGATGCCGTCTTCCCGGATGTACTCCACGAAGTCGGGTGTAAGTGGAATGATCCTGGACTTGATGCATGATGCTCGGTACCTGACGAATGTGTTAGGTATGACCATCTCAAGCCAGAAGGATAGATGCGCACTTGGGAAACCAGTAGTCATATGAGCAATGAAGAATGTGATCTCTGGTTATAGGAGGAAAGCGCAATTCCGGCGCAGGACCCTTTGATGCGCCAGCCGCAGGCTTTGTATTAGTGACGGTAGGCATTTGGCCAGACCTTTGATACCCAGCGGTATTCTTGTGTTCGGGCGGAGCGGAACGAGAGAAGACTCCGTCAGGTATTTACAGACAGTAGGCCCTAGGATATCGAGACCAAAGCCGTAGGAAATATCAAGGAAGGGTGTATAGATGAAAGGATGAACATGGCAATCACAACTATTTCGATGGGATAAATTCAGATACGAGTCATCGCGGGGCAAAATCCCAACGCGCGAAGCTTTGAGTCAAAAACCCCACCATCGAATTGATTAGTTAGACACCGGGGGCATTCTTGCGTGTCTAGCTGCTAGGTTGGACTACTGCCAGAGCCTACTGATGGTATGAGATTTAGAGCCCGTTGCCCGTAGAAAGCGCCCAGGCCGCTCTAGGGTGCTGCTGTCCGTGCTATACTGCCTACCCAGACCGCTAATATGAACCGGCATCTCGCTGGTCACGACGCTACATCATCAACCGATTGTATGCATCTCGGGGGCGACTACTGAAACCGCTTTTACACCGAAAACACTTGCGATATTCCGAGTCTGTCCATTTCTCGCAACGACAAACCCCATCTGCAGCCATCATGTCGGACAACGTGGGCCTTTCGACGCCCCGTGGCTCAGGCACCTCAGGCTACGTCCAGCGCAACCTGGCGCATGTGAGACCGCGCGACCGCGCTGCCCCATATCCCAAGGACTTTGACTCCATGCGCCACAGGCAGAGGCAGCCGGACAAGGGAATACTGGAGCATGAACGCAAACGCGAGGTGGAAGTCAAGGTGTTTGAGCTACGGGATCGGCTTGAGGACGAAGGGTGAGTTCCTCCCCGTTGTTACGGACTCTACTCAGGGCCCGGGGCCCGGGCTAACAGGCGCGGCAGTGTTGACGAAGATGAGATCGACTCCCAATGCGACAAGCTTCGGAAAGAGCTACTCGACAAGATGAACAGGGGCGGAAATGAGTCCAAGAAGGGGCTAAAGATGCACCAAGTACACGAACTCGCAGACGCCAAGATCAAGGAGAGCGAAAGACTGAGAAAGGCGCTCAAGATCGACAAGGACTACGAGGAGGGCAGTCACTGGAGGAGACAGGAAGAGCGCTTAAAGAAGGCGCTCGAACGGGATGCCGACAGAGACGAGGATAACCGGGATGGCCAGCGGCGATCGAGGTCGCCCCGGCCATCATAGAGTGGTATCCTGTCATGGGGGGGAGGCATATTGCATCGTCACGGCCCACGGTCTACGGCCCACGGAAGTCTGGAGTTCTGGGTTGCTTTGGTTTTGGCAAATCGTGGGCTGACATCATACGATCAAACTGGTGATCAGCAGCGCTTCTTGCATTGAGACAAATGAAAAGGTGATTGAGCTGTTAGTCCTGTAATCGTTTCCTCTTCCGCCTGTCTATTGGGTATCATTGATAGGTGTCCATCCATGTTTTCCGAAACTTCCGTTCCTAGTTGGCGGCCAGAATGGCTGCTGCCTCGTGGGCCGGCGCATTATCTTCACGGCCGATATTCCTCCTTGCGTCCTCGGCCTTTCTGGCCTTCTCTTCCACCTCTTTCTTCTTCTCGTGGTTGACGTATGTTGCATAGCGTATCGTACCAAGGGTGAAGACGGCCATGAACAGGATGCCTATGACTGACCGACGAATCAGCACCCAGCGTAGCCCTTCAATGTCCGACTTGGCATCACTGGTCAGAATGACACTGATGTCGAGATTGACTTGTTGAATCTTTTGCACGTGTTAGCCGCCGTGGATGCCCACTCCTGTGGTCACTGCAGTGACGGGCCTAACTTACAGCTCCCTCCATCCGCCTCTGCTCTTCCCTCACCACCATCTTCCGGTCGTTGAACATTCCCCTGACGTCATCCCTCAGCGTCATCAAATCTTGGCTCAGCTTCTGGCTCAATATGTCGACTTCGTGTTGCAGCAGAGTGCGCTTCTGCCGCGATTCCTCGTCGGCCTTTCTCTGGTTGTTGATCACTTCCGAGCTCAGTTCGGAACAGGCAGCTCGGAAGAGGTATGTTTCGTTGTCGACATCGCTCTTGCTGACCAGGCCGTCCTGTGCGATATCCAGGTTGGACGACAGCAACCCCCTGACTGCTTTCATGATGGTGATGGCTTGGTCGTTGGAGTAGCCTCCGCCCTCAAGCTGCTTGACAAGTGTATATGTGTCGAAGTGGTGCACATACGGCGGCTTGGAGATGTGCGGGTGAGAAAGCTGACCGGGAGGTGGCATGTGAAGGACTGCATCCATAGGCCCGCTGGACTGCATCTTCTCTTCTGCCGCTTTCTGCTGGGGAGAGAGCGCGGTCTCGTTGGGTTGGTGCGACCCCTCGTCTTGTTTGTTGGTCTCCTTGTCCCCGTCCGTCTTGGGTTCCGGTACAGCCTTGGCCTCGAGGTTTGCTGTGTCGGCGGCGGTAGCGGCAGCGGCAGCGGCAGCAGCGGCGGCGGCACTGGCAGCATTCTTCTGCTGTCGCGACTCGGCGTCGGCGACCTTGGTGTTGCCGGGTTGCGGTAATTCCACAACGTCTGGCAGAGTGGATGGGGGTTCGACAGCCTTGCCATGCCTCTCGAAAACGGCTTCTCTCGACTTGGCCGAGGTGGTAAAAGCCGCTGCACAAGGTTTACGTCGGGGAAGGGATTTGCGACATGATGTCTTGGAGGTCTGCAGAGCGGCAGACTCACCTAGGCGGATGGACCTGAAGAGGTGGGGGTAGAGGAAAGTCAAGCGGGCTGTCGACATGGCGAGTGCTGCGGATGAGGTTGTGTAGAGTCAAAGTTGAAGAGTTGAAGTGATGGAGAATACCCCGAGCATGGCTAAAGTGGAATTTGCTTTTGTTCAGGGGCCATGGACACGGTTGGCTGGCGGCGGGACGTGTGATCTCGTGGAGCCCCGGCAAGCCTGGATATACAAAGTAATATGGAACAAGTGCTTGTACAGTACGAGCACCAGACGCTTCCCACGTGGGTCGCATGGGGCACCTGTTATCAATTACGGAGTAATGTGTGATCCGTGATCTGCGATCTGTAAGTTGATGAATAGCGTGGAGGAGGGCAGTTGACGGGCAGTGTCAAAAGTCGATTCGGCACGTGTTTGCAGTTTTCAAGGCCCGTGGTGAGCGAGCTCCTATAAGTTCCCAGTTCTGCTGTAAGCTCCACTGTAGGTTCTAAGCTCTGGCTGATCTGCCCAGGTGGGCAACGGTTCTGCGGGGCCCTGCTGATGCCCCCCGGCCGTCACCCAGCGCAACGGCAGTGCAAGTCCAATCCATAGTCAACAATAAGCTCGAGATGTGACGACCCTTGTCAGAGAGAGTGCGACTACTGTAGGTGTCACCCATAATACTTCCGCCAAAGCTGCACAGTCCCTTCTTGCTGCAGCTGTCCTTTCTCAGACTCCAAGTCTTGGATGCGAACTCTTTCCCCTTCTTCCTAGCCCTCGCATCCACCGAGTATCGACCGACGTCGACATTCTTTTGGGCGTCACCGCTTCGCTTGTACACGTAGGTATACGCTCCGCTGGGCGCTACCCCACCTGAATACCCGAGTTCACCTACGGAGCAGAAGTCACTTCACTTCGACCAGATCAAGTCGCGACATCGCTTTTGCTACAGTACAGCCAACTTTTGGAGAGCTTGCGCCTGTCCTCAGCGACTCAAACCTACGACACTTACATTCTGCCGACATCCAACCAGAAGCCATCGTGCCGTTCTCCGCAGGCCGAGTCGACCAACAAGCACAGTATTGTGCTGCCGCGAAAACGGCTTTGTCGCAACCATGGCCCCGGCCGATGCCCTGTCGGCGCCGGGGGCAGTATCCTACTCCTCTGATAATCTCGTCGTAGGAGATGGAACCTGGGATTTCACCAAGAATGATTTCCTCCTGCCCAACCTCATGGGCTTGCCCTTTGACACCATGCAGTACAACGGTGAGTGCCTCTTGCAGTTCCCCGCCCCAGTTTTGACATGCTGTGCTTTGCCGTGCCATGCCATGCGCCGACTGACGCATCCAAACATAGGCATGGGCAATCGCTTCTCCTCGATAGCGCAATATCATCAGCTCATCACCGGCCACGGAATCCTGGCCGCCATCGTCTTCTTGTTCGTCATACCGTTTGCCGTCATGATAGCCAGGTTTTCTCGACGTAGAGACGACCGAGCCGTCAAACATCACGCTTATCTACAGGTACTGGCCGTCGGTTTGACCACTGTCGTCTTCATATTAGGATTCTTCGCAGTTGGCCCCGAACGAAGTCTGACCAACCCACATCACGGCATTGGGGTTGCCATATACACCCTGATTTTGCTTCAAGCATTGGGCGGCCGCTTCATCCGTAAAATCAGGAAGACGTCGCTGCGCATTATGATTCACCAGTGGTTTGGACGGACTATCGCCCTCCTTGGTATTGCCCAAGTGCCATTGGGCCTGACATTGTATGGATCACCCAAGTACACGTTTATCCTGTTCGCCGTCTGGATGGCTTTCCTACTGTTGGTCTATTTCCTGCTGAGCTGGCGCCACGAGAAGACGAATCCCAAGATCTATGCTCATGGCGGAAGGTCTGTCCCGGCGGGCACTGAGTACTCTGTGTCTGAGAGAAGGGAGGAACGGGATGGCCGTGGCTGGTTAGGTCCCCTGGCCGCTGGTGCTGGGATTGCAGCGCTATGGCAAGGTCGCAAGAACAGGAAAGAAAAGGAGCAGAGCCACAGTCGCAGCCGCAGCCGATCGCATGTGCGAAGTCGGAGCAGGCCAGCCGAAGTCATTTCTTCTAGACATGGCTCGCCAAGCTACGTTGAAAAGACCGAATACTCGGAACATGCCGAGCCACCGAAAAGCGGTGGTTTCATGAACAAGCTATTGGGCGCTGCAGCTCTATTCGGAGCTGGCGCTTTTGCCAAGAAGCAGTTGGACAAACGAGAAACGCGGAGATATCGCGATGAGGAGTATTCTGCAGTAGCAACTGAAACGCCCAGCAAATCCGATCAGAGAACTAGACCAAAGCGCCCGGCCCACTCTCAGCTCACCGAGAGTGAGTTCTCGGATTCCGTGACAGAGTTTGGAAGAGACGGTAGACATGGCGGCCCTACCGCTGCAGCCGCTGCTTTGAGCGCTGCTGAAGCTCGCCCTCATCGGCCAATGACACCAAGGCCATCACACCATCGAGGGCCTACAGAATCCCGCCTTGACAGTGTATTCAGTTCTGATTACTCATCCTACGTGAGTCCATCCAGGAGGGCCAGAGAAGAGAGGGAGAAGGGAAAGGGTGGTGCGGGTAAAGGCATCCTTGCTGGTTTGGGTCTGGGCTGGCTCGCGGCCAAATTGCAGGGGCGGAAAGACAGAAGGGCGGCCGAGGAGGAAGAGCGCGTGAGATACGAAGATGAGAGGCGCGACGGACAACATGGGTCGAGGCTTACTGGAGACGGCTATGGATCGCCTAGGAGGGCATCACGCCGGCGTCCATCCCGACCTGCAGGAACCGTCACCACTTACATGACTGGCGATTCGGACTTATCTTCTGTCGAACCTCGTCCTACCGGCGTCAGTTCTGCAGGCCCGCCAATGCCCCCGCTCGGCCCAGCAGGTCATGGCCCTGTGCAGATCCGGCCAGTCGCCGGTGAATCAATCACGCAGCACGGGGCAGTCGTGGAGCCTGTGGACATGCCCTCGATCCCTAACGATCCACACGGTATCTTACACAGGTCTCAATCGGGCAGTGAAGAATACATGTCCGCTGGTGGCCACCCACATCGCCGCCACTCGTCTCGCCGACGACGCGAGTCTGTAGCTGCTTCCGCCGCGGCACCAGCCAGCGCCCTCGCAGCCGAGCAAGAATTTGACAGTCGTCGTACGGCTAGGAGCCACTCTCGGGCTCCGAGTCAACCTGTGAGCGTCAAGGTCAAATATCACGACGATCGGGACCGCAACATCACCCTGCGACGTCTGACAGAGGAGGAAGCAGCACGTGAACAACGAAGAAGACGCCGATCCCAGTCTGCCAGTAGCCTTAGTGGGTCTGATATCGGTGGAAATGGACGCCAGCGTCGTTACCGTCGCGATTCGAGCGCGAGGCGGCCTGGAGATGAATTGGCCTCGGAACAACTATCTCCCCCGGCGCCAGCATTTGCCGGAGGACGAAGACCAGCGAAGGACTCTGCCTACTACTCAGGTCCCCCGCCAGGTCCTTCGACTGCGCCAATGACACCTATGCATGGGAACCCCACGGTTTCTAGTATTGGCAGTCCAGGTAGCCACGGCGAATGGAGCGCGCTCAGCCCGTCGCCGAGTGGACCGACTGGCACAGATGGCGGCATCTCTGCAGCCGAGCGGAGAAGACGGAGAAGACTTGAAAGAAGAGACCAGCGACCTCCCGCCAGCACTGTGGAGTTCAGCTAGAGGACCTTTTTATGTTTGGTGAGCAAGCATGGCGAAGCGATGACAACAAACTCATGGGTCGGCGTTCTGGGTGTGATTCTGATCATCTGGGTACTTGCATGAAGCACATTTTTTCTTATGACTGATGTATCCAAGAACACGTTTTTCGGTCAATTTTCAATTAGAAGTCACTGCACTCGGGGCTTCACAGCCTTGGGTGCTGATCATAGTGGGAAATTCGGTTCAATCCTAGAATGGATTATGTGGTTGGGCTCATAATTGAGTACACCATCACGGCTTCTTTGTATTGTAGATATGAACTTGGAGAATGGTAATACGACATGCATTTTTGGCAAGCTTTTCGCTCGTGAAGTGTGTTGCAGGTGAAGGATTGATCTTATCACCCGAATTACTCTTGTGACTTGTGAAGCTTACCGTTCCTGATGTGAGCACTGTGCGCCTGGCCTTTCCTGCCCGCTTTCTCGTTTTTCATACTCGCCATTTGGGCTTGACTATTCAATGCCAGTCCTGGCATCCGTCCGCCATTTATTCACTGCGCTCACGGTCCCAAGCGCATATATTGCCCCAATCGTACTTGTTTAATACGTCTTCATAATTGTCACTTATCTTGCGCTGTGTTCTCTCGCGGTAGTACAGATGATACGGCAGCTGCACACTCATTTCGTAGCCATCAAAGTTGTCGTATATTAGGGCTTTAGTCTGCGATTCGCACGGTTGTTATCCTTGTGCGGCTTTTGATGCTTTTCTACCCAACTGTCGGTCCACCTGCAACGTTGGTCGTCGGCCGGTCGGTCGACCGTCATACTCAGAAGTTCAAGTCCCATCTTTGTGCACAAGGGATGCCAAGCCAAAGGGACAAGGATCGTAAATTACTCGAACCCTCTACTGGTAATTCCACGGCACTCGGTGGTACCACAACTGCATACGATACATCGACAAAACGGCTGCTAGGCGCTCTATCGAGACTTTGATGGGAACCCTACATTACCTGCGCCGGCGAGTCGTCTATGTGGGCGTCTTCTGCCATGACGGCGAGTAGAGCAGGTGGAACTACGTCGCGATGGGGTGCTGAGGTGAGAGAGAGCGGGTTGCGACAGTTTCGCACCAGAGGTATCCAAGAGGACGAAAGATTCGCTGGCGCGAGACACCTTGGAAGATAATATGACGTGTGGGATGAGTAACATCGTCGTCGGTTATATTAGTCCTAAGCGGTAGTGAGGTAATCGACGTGGTCAGTGAAGCAGTCAACGTGGTGATGGAATATTCGATATCGTAGTGAAGCAGTTGACTCGGAGTGAAACACTCGACGTCGTAGAGAAATAGGTAGGTTGAATCGCCATATATACGAGTAGCTAGAATAGACCAATGCCTACGTAGAGTGCGTGCTTTCCACGAGCGAAGCATGTTATGCCATACCCTGGGCTTACTGTCAAGTGGTGCCTTTTGCGACATCAGGACTCTAGAAGAGATCACCGACGGAAGGCAAGTTATTATTAATCCGCACACTATTATGCAAATGGGCCGCAACGATCTATCAATGCCTGGGCTTGTGGAATCCGCAATAAATTTATATAAATTTGAAACTTTACACGTCTGGGTAAGAACACATCCACTTGTCATGATATAATAATCTTGCCCATGGAAAGATGTAAGTGAGAGAGCCCTGGTACATTCAAAAGGGACAAACCTGGTGGTTGCCAGCATGACTAATTATTGGAACTTGTTTGTACATGATGTCCGGTTCCGTGTGTCAAGTATTACGCATTGTCAGGTCATCCCTTGGTTCGTTTAATTGCGCCTCTTGCACTGAATGGCACCGTAACAGGCTGCATTTCGGCTTCTGCCATTGTCTGTCAGTGCATGGGCCGTGCCCTCAGAACCTGGTGGCCCTTGCATACCAGACTGGTACATATAGTCGAGGCTTAATAATACGGATGGTGATAGTAATAGTAAATCGTTAGCTTGCTATGACCCTATTGAAGGGCCTAGAAACAAATGCTGTCGATTCAATGGAAGGTTCCGATATTTCTCCGAGCGCCTGTCTCTCATCTGCGAGCTCGAGCTTCCAAGTTCAGGGTACTGCATAATCCGTACTTAGACAGAATAACGGGGGGAAACCGATCAGATTTTTGGAGGCGGACGCGGACGCGGACCCTCTTGGGCCACGTGCACCACGCCTTCCATTTCGACATTCCAGCGTACTAGACTAAGGTTGGAGGTTTGAAAGTCCATCTTCTGCTCTCCGCATCTTACGTAGAATACTGTTATAGTGAAGGGCTTACCTGAATAGCTACCTACCTTTGTCTTTCAGAAAGAAACTAGAATATTTGGTCTTGTCTTCAACGCCGCCCTTATTCATTATATATCGTATCCTGCGCATCGCATCTGACGCGTGCAGCACAGTATCCAGTTTGGTAGCCAAAGCAAGCCAAAGTAGAGGTAGACTAGGGTAACAAGCAGACCTCTCCGACCTTTTTGAAAAAGGAAAAAAAAAAGGAAAAAAGGAAAAGTACAGTAGCTAAAAACGACGTTTGCGTCTAGCTAGTACTGGGCTTGATAGGCTAAGGTTAGACTCCATCCCCAAGTCTAGGGTAGGTGCTTTAGAAGCCGAGTCCACTTCCATTTGATTGGCATTTTGGCCCATCCCGCATCACCACCATCACAATCTTCTCCCGCACCACAACACAACCGAAGACACCACAATACAATACAAGACAAGACACCACACTTCATCCAGTCGACGCTTCCTCTCTCGCCAGGAAACCGTCCTCTTTTCCTCAACCCCAACTCTTTTTTCCCCCATTAACGACAGATTAGTAGACCTCCGAGTCTCTTGATTTCAATTCCCTTAACCAGCGGGTCTACATCTAATTCTCTTTCCACGCGACTTCATTCTGGGCGTTTGCTAGGGTAGGTGATTTTGGTTCAGAAAAGGTAAGCTTGCAAGAGCTCCATCCCACGACAGCCGCCTCGGTTTTAGTTGCTTCCACTGCTTCGCAATTGCGTCCTCATCCACGTGCACTACGTACGGTACCTTACACGCCTTTCTTTCTCACTTCAGGATCCTCCTTCGAATTTTCTATCCACGAAATCCCACACGGCCGCGACTCTCTGTATACGATCGTCACATCCCACGATCGAATCCGATTTCCTCTTTTCTGCCCATCGTAATAATCACAAGCAAATAAACATGGCAAGCACAAACGGTATGTTCACCTGGTTCCGAATCATCAGATCCCCACGACGCGTCCTTGTCTTGACCCTTGTCCTCCTTCTGACAACATAGTTCAAGGTTCCACCGCTGTCGAGCAATCGGGCGGTCCCAACAACAACAACCTTGGCAAGGATGAGGTGGCCTGGTTCTTTGTCGAGCAATACTACACCACCCTCAGCAAGACACCTGAGAAGCTCCACGTATGTTCCTGCTGTAACCTCATGTGAATTCATCTATCTACTTGCTGACATGTTGCAGCTATTCTACAGCAAGCGATCCCAGTTCGTGTACGGAGCAGAGGCCGAGGTAGCTGACGTCTCGGTCGGTAGACAGGTATGCGCACATCCTGTCATCCCTCATTGCTGCCCACGGAAGACAGAAGCTAACCCGTACACTTCACAGAACATTCAAGAGCGAATCAAGTCTCTCGACCTGTCGGAAAACTGCAGTAAGGTTCGCATCTCCAATGTCGACTCCCAGACCTCTTTCGACAACATCGTCATCCAAGTCATCGGTGAGACATCCAACAGGGCTGGCGATGACCCAAAGAAGTTCGTGCAGACCTTTGTTCTGGCCCAGCAGCCTTCCGGCTACTTTGTCCTGAACGACATTCTCCGTTACCTCAACGAGGAGACCGAGGAGGAGCAGGGCGACATTGCTACCCAGGAGGCTGCCGTCGAGGTCGCTGCTCCTGCCCCCGCCTCCGCTCCTGCTGCTGCCGAGACTCAGGAGGAGCCTGCGGCCAAGCCTGAACCAGTCGCAGAGGAGACCGCCCCCGCGGCATCTTCTTTTGACGCCGGCGCCGTTGATGAGAAGTTGGAGGAGGTCGCCACCAAGGACACTGCCGACGTCAATGGAGACGATGCGGCCGAGGCCTCCCCTGAGCCGGCAGCTGCTCCCGAGCCAGAGGCTCCAGCTCCCGCCGAGCCCACCAAGGTCACTGACCCAGAAGAGACAGCTCGTCAACTTGAGGAGGAGGACACCAAGGAGCCGGAGAAGCCCACTGACCCAAGCCCAACCCCTGTTGCTGCTCGTCAACAGCCTCCTGCCCCTCAACCCTCGGCTCCCGCTCAGCCACCCAAGCCAATGACCTGGGCTAGCCGTCTCGCTGCTGGTGCACCTCCCAAGCCCGTCGTTCCTCTCCCCAAGGCGGCGACCCCAGCTGCCCAGCCGAAGCCGGCAGGCCAACCCGCTGCAGCCGCCGCAAAGGCCGCCGCCGCTCCCGCTCAAGCAGCTGAAGCACCAGCAGCTACCAAAGACGAGTGGCAAACAGCTGGCAGCGACAACAAGAAGCACACCCGCATTCAGTCCGTCTCTAGCCCTCAGCCAGAGAAGGAAGGTGTTTTGGGATACGTTAAGTATGTTACCGAGAAAGTCCAGCAGGACGAACTGAAGGCGGCATTGGCCAAGTACGGCGACGTTGCCTACCTCGACATCAACCGCGCAAAGGTATGTGTCTCTCCAAAACAATTTCTTGATAGCCTCACTGACTGGTCTCGCAGAGCTGCGCCTTTGTTGAGTTTGCGAGCCCCGCTGGTTACCAAGCAGCTGTAGCTGCTAATCCCCATGTGGTCAATGGCGAGAATATCACTGTCGAGCCTCGCCGCGCCAAGGCCCAACCCTACGGTGGTGGCAACTTCGGCTCGGGGCGCGGAAACCCGGCCAACCGAGGACGTGGTGGGTTTGATGGAGGTCGCAGCGGAAGCCAAGGTGGCCGAGGCAACTTTGGCGGCCAGAACCGTGGCGGACGAGGTGGAGCTCGGGGAGCTCGGGGAGGTGCCCAGCCTCCTGCTGCTGCTTAAGGATCTGTCTCGATCCGGTTGCTAGCGTCATGTACGCCAGCAGTGAGAAGGCGTATCGGCGTGGTATAGGTTGGGTGAGTTGCTCAGCTGTTCGCCTGGCGGGCGATAAGGAGTCTTGTGCCTGTCAAGCATGGTGGCAGGACGGCGGACCGTCTGAGTTTGGGTTGACGCCTATTGTTATTCCTTGATAGACTCATTCTCTAGGGTGTATTTTTTGTTGAGGTGGTCGTGGTTATGGTCGTCACACTTGTGCAAATAAGCATTGCGAGGGTCATTTGCTGCTAGGAACTAGCATCATGGGGATTTGTACATTGCTCGGTGGCTGGGAAAAGTCGATACCTAGGGATCATTTTGCATGAAGCGTTACGGTGGAACGTGATCAAGCCCAAAGATGGGATATGTACAATACTGGAAGAGTATTCGGTATCCTACTTGTATTAGTGTAATGCTACCAACGAACTTGATGACCTTTATACCAGGATAATCACATTGCCTGACAGTGGTGCAGCTTATAAAACACTAAGTGAGACCTGTTTGAGGCTCTTGGACATGAATTGTACTTGTACCAGACCAGCAGCGGCATTAACTTGGCTACCCTTTATACAGGGGGGGTACGTTATGAAGGAGACCTGGTCCATAGCATATAGCTGAGCTATTCGCAAAGTATAATCTTTTTGCTTGTATGTATTTATGTAGCCGTGATCATGGCGATGCGCGTGTACGAAACGAATAATATCCGAATGTTCGATATATATATATATTTTAATAGATTATTTATGCGCGCGATTAACCATAAAACTTCCGTTGTTTCGTTTCGTTCTCATTTTAGTCCACCCCGCAGTTTGCGGCCACGACGATTGAAAAGCACGGATTCGTTGTTCACGCCGACCTGCAAGTCAGTCTCAATCTATGTTATTTCCATAGAGCAGGAGTTGAGTTTGTAGACACCCAACCAAGCATCAAGGCATGGCCCCTTGTCCATTCCGCGCTTTTAAGAGCATCTGGGAGATCTCGCAGCATCCGGCAATGTCACCTTCCACAATGAATTTCTCTTACGAAATAGGCTTTGAGGAATACAATTGAGCACGCAATACGGATCCACCCATCATCCTGGCTCACGAAGCTCCAGGCTCACGACCTGGCAGCTGCTGGGTTCTACGTTCCCGCCCCCCCCCCCCCCCCCCCCCCCAAGCGATCGGCATGGATTAGCACGTCGGAAGCGATGACGGGTACGTGGCCAAAATGGCCGATCTTCTGGAAGTGGCAATGGGATCCTGTACTATGTACGTACTGTAATTAGTGTGCTTGCAAATGGGTTCCGGCCTTGGCTGTCCAACCAGCAACCACACCGACCCAGACAAACATGATCCCCCAAGTACATGCTTCTGCCTGCGTCAGGATGCCCATGTATTGGGTAATTTCGCCATGCAACGGATATGCAGCCCGCTGCAGACCACTCGGTCAACGCGAGTACTCTCTACGTCGTTGGCGTCTTACAGCGCTGCCCACAACTCCATGCAGTTACTTACCACCTACTTGGATGGGTTAGCGGCGTCGATGTGATAGGCTCGGCAGACACAACCCTCTCTGAACCACCCCTGAGCACACGGGATTAGGGGACCATGTACAATTTGATGGCCCAGGGGGACTGCGATCTTCAGACTCGTTGTCCGCTGGACTTCCGCCCTAGAACACTTATCGAACGCGAGAAAAAGGCTTGATTCAAGTACGACTGACACGGTTCCTCAGAAAGCCCTCTCTTAGCGCATGAACACCTACACTCGTGATCCTTGCTTAAGTTCATAGTGCACACAACGCCGACAGCACTGCACGGATTATATTATACTGAGCAGCCTGGAGCAGCTAGCCGCATTCCCCGGCCTTTTACTTCACCCTACCCGGGGCCCTTCTGACCTTATTCCTATGCTGCCTCCCCTGATCTCTTGGTTCTCTCTCGGCACCTGATCAGTGTCACCCCTTTGCATCTTCCTTCCACCCCGACGACTACAGCTTGGCCCTGTCTTACTTTGCTGCATAACTCTGACGGCTTAGTTGCAACATGTTGATGGACTGGCAATAACACCAAAGTTGCAGTTTCCTCGTCACTCCTTGCTCGGCGCGGCACCGGCACCGGCCTTGCGGACCAAGCCTCAGCATCTCTGTTGATGACCCCCTTGCCAAGACCTGGGCTCTTGTCCTCATACTAGAGACGAGTTGATGTCTATGGCACCTGTAGCCGCACACGAGGAACATGATGTCACGAGTCCAAGCCCATTGGCGGCATCGCCACTCCGGCGCCGCGTCTCCATGGAGGAGGACTACTTCTACCAAGAGGTCATGACTATCCCAACAGGCCGTCGCCTCTCATTACCGCCGGAGTACTCGCCGCCTCTCTTTGGATACGACAAGGACGGTGAGCTGGTAGTACTAGCAGAAGACGAGCCTCTACCGCAGTACACCTGCGATGTGCAGATGGAAGGCGTCTTCAACATGAAGATGGAGATCGTGGACACGATCAAGCGAGCACCGGCTCGGAACTGGCGCGCCATGTTTGTTCAGCTGGAAGGCACAAAATTAAGCATCTATTCCATCAAAAGGGACTGGGGATTGAGTAGGTCGAGTAGACACGGGGCCGAGGTTTTTGCCGACAATCCGCCCTGGGTACAAAAAGGCGCTCTCGAAAAGACATATACCCTCCTGCACGCGGATGTCGGCATTGCGGCAGACTATGAGAAGTACGTATTTTATCGCCGCACCACGGCCGGTTGCTTATAGCATCTGGAAACCGTAGCACCTCAACACCCCACAGCTAGGATCTTGGGCAGTTCTAACATGTAACCGTAGGCGAAGATATGTTATACGCGTCCGCGCAGAGACAGACCAATTCTTACTTTCCTGCATCGAGCTCGAAACCTTTGTGCGTTGGTTGGACGCCTTGTTCGCAGCTCTCAACATTGCACCGGCCATCGACGAGCGGGATTTCCCCAAGGACCAGAGCATACCCCGGAGAGCACGGTTGCAATATTTCCGTGGAGGCATAACTGCGAGCGGTTCCGGTGTTGCGCGGCAAAGCAGCAGGGGCTCCGATGTCCCACGGCCGGAACCAGTCGTCCACCATTCAGCTGTTACGCCGAGAGTCCCAGTACAGCAACCAAGCCACGGGAACAACCGACCGGATCAACCCAGATCTACAACGGGTCGTTCATCTCAGCCTGGATCCTCGAGGGCGGTTGCGAGGGCGTCGACTAATAATTTGCCAGGCTCCTCTCGCCCTGGGCGAAACACTTCTTCATCAGCCGCCCAGGCCCAGCCGGGACCTTCGACAGAGCCCTTACCGGTCAGGTTATCCACGACCTCGTACTACAACGAGCACATCAATCCCGAGACGGGAAAGTGGCGGCCGATACACGAGTGGACTGCTGCACACGACATGGTCTATGCCAAGCTCTGCTATGCCGTTCTGCTATTCAGAAGTCCAAGAAAGTCCAACTACGTGATCGCCAAAGGCAAGAAGTGGTTTGTAGACTGGACGACGGGGAGGATGATTAGAGTCCTGCCTCCGGGGTATTTCGAGCACGAGGTCGTGGGACCATGGCAAGTCTGGAGTAGCGAGAATAGGAGGATATGAATCCAATTGTGGAAGGTCTGTTGCGTGATTTGCGCCTGTGTGGGTGCGGGTCTTCCCAGGGTCGAAGCCAGGCCGACGTGGGAAGTCAAGACTGGAGGGAGATGTTGGGGATACTTTTCTTTGTGACCTTTGCATACATGGACGCATCAAAACATCTGGCTGCATATTTATTGAATTCTGGCATGGGTGGATACCAAGCACTATAGCTCTCACAATGCCTTGCATATAACATTCTATATTGTCCAAGACAAGAAACAGGCATGATTTGCCTACAAGCTGATTTGGCTCGATTACCTGGCTCGCGTTGTGCACCACTTTTCTTTTGACTGCCGTCTTTGAGAACTTTGTTCCGTCTTGAAGCAGACTTGGTCTGGTCAGGAGTGTGACACACTTCCAGTCGCAGCCAAACTTCCCAATACTGACTGTGCAAAAGGTAGTAGAGGGCGGCCCGGGCTGCTTCTCATTAGACACCACCATACATGTTTAGCTTCTCCGGCCCCTTGAGATGATGATGATGATGATGGTGGTGGTGGAGATGATGATTCTGGTCAGAATTGCTCGATCAGATGGTGGCTCAACCTCACGGGATCAGTGGAAGACATAGACGTGTCCGTGAACAAGGCCGCAACGGACCAGGCGGTTTGCGATGCAGCGTGATGGGGGCTGAAAAGGTTGAGAACCGGGATGATGGAAACGCATCCCTCTCGTGGCCTCGATGGGGATCGGGGTACTAGAGTCTGGCCTGGCCAGCCTCTACTCCATAGCGTCTACCTCGACGGGGCCAGCAGGCGTCATGGCCCTGCGTGGACTGCCATTATTCTCGTCTTGTGGAATCTGTTGGTGGTTTGTCAGGCCGTGCTCCTTTCTTTGGCATTAGGAACAGCGGAGAGTTCGAAGTGCCCTCTGGTAGTCGATATAAATGCTCTGCTGGAGGGGATCATGTCAATATCCACAGAAGGTGTATTGGCCGCCGTGGGTGTATGTAATCGTCACACAGGGGACGCGAGGGAGACCAGGCCGAAGGGAGCCTTACCTGTTACAAAGCTCGTAGCATCGTGGGCTTCAAGACCCGGACATTTCGGCTTCCACAATCCTCGTCTCTTTGGCCAGATCGTCTACGACACCGTCCATGGCCTCGTTGGCGCCGTGGATGTCTGCGAACAGCTTCTCGAGCAGCATGACGAGGGATTCGAGCTCCGCGCGCTGCTTCTGGATGTCGGCGAAGAGCCTTGCGTTGTGCGCCTGTGTCGTCTGAAGCCTGGCATTGAGCTGGGACTGATGCTGGGCGAGGTGAGGTGCGAGATGCGCCGCAAGCACAGTGTCGGCGGGGAGTAGATGCGGCCTGTCGGGCTCGGCGGTCAGCGGATCCGTGTCTCTCTCTCCGCCCTGGCCCTGACCCGAGATAGGATAGGATTGGGATGTCAAGTGTCATGAGACTTACGGCGCTGGGGCGTCGCCGGCGTCTACCGGTCCCGCCTCGTCCCTCCTCTGCTCCGCCTGTCCGATCAAGCTCTCGAGCTCGTTGAGCTTGGCCACCACGCCGCGGTTCAGCAGGATGGAGTCGAACTCCTTCCGGCACAGGGCACCCAGCCTATCCACCATCTGCTTTTGCACGGCCTTGAGGGTGCCCGGCGCTTGGGCGGCGATGGTGGGGTAGCACGAGGCGAAGTTTTCCCAGCTGATCTTGCCGAGCGTGTGCGACAAGGCGCTTTCGAGGGTCTTCTGAAAACGCGCTGCCCTGGGGCCCGGCGCGACGGGTGTATGTTTCGTAGGAAGGGGAGGAGATGCGGGAGCGGGCGCCGGCGCTGGCGACGGCGCAGATTCCGAATTTGAAGCCTCTGGTTCGGCCATGTTTGCAATGCTCTATCTCGACGCTTTGGGAGTCTGCCCGCAGAGATGGAAGAGGATGACAGTCAGCTGGGATATCGCGAGTGGGGGACGCGTCGCAGGTCGCATCGCGTTTGGGGGCACCGGTGATAGTAATAGTAAGGTTAGACACTCAAATTGGTGGGGTCAGGCTCGTCTCGTCTTTATCTTTATCGCCGATAACCTATTATCCTCCAGTATTCTTGTGAACATGCTACAGTACTACGCACGCCTCATGGAATGCTTTGGAGTGATGCCAAAAGATTCAATCCGAGGTTGTAGATCAATCATGCGTATCAGCCTGTGCTGTTGTGCCCCCGCGAAATGTGCCTTTGAAGTAACGTTTGATATTTATACATTGTAATCACATGTAATTTGTACAACACGCCGGCTTGTGGATATCTCAGGAAGCTCTACAACTGGAATGCATGCTCGCACAACACGACTGCCTGGATGCTTACAAGCAACCTTCCCGCCCAACTCGCAATGATCAGGCCCCTCCCCCTTCCTCCGCAACACATAATTGGCCTCGATTACTCCTTCCTCACCAGGCTGCCATCGACGCTGCTCGGGAACGCTTCCGTCGGTGGTTCTTTCGCCCACGTCTCGGCGAGACCGAGTTTCGCATCGCCCTCTGCATGTCCGGCACCAACCCTGAGCTTCTCGATCTGGTCTCTTACTCGCCTTGCCACCTCTATCCGCAACTCGACAGCCTCGCGCCCATACTTGAGCTCATCTGTAAGCTCGCCCATGGCCAATGCCTTGCCATCCTTTGTCTCCTTGCGCACGAGCTCCTGCCATTTCTTCCGGAGATCGCCGAATGTGGCTTCTCGGTCGACGAGTTCGCCAAACGACACACGTAGTGTCTTGTTAACTCTGGGCAAGAAGCGCGGAAACGTCCTGTTCTCGGGCATCATGTGCTGCGTTCCATCGATGAAAATGGGCAGCACATCAGGCATAGGATCTGACTCGAGGATCAGACGCGCCGTACCCCATTTGAAGTAGCGAAGTGTCAAATCTGGGTGTTGGTGTGTACACCCTTCTGGGAAGACGTGCAACCAGGCCATCCGGTTTTGTGCATACGCCGAGGGAGCAGTAAACGAGTCGGTCCCGGTAGTGGTAAAGGTCAGACCACCTGTCGTGAACGGGTCTGGTATCTCATCGGCGGGCGACGAGATCAATGGTGGTGAAGAAGAGCCCGGCTGAGCACCCGCAAAAGGTTGTGCCGAAAGCAACCGGATTGCCTGCGGGATTGTTGACTGAAAGGCACCTCCGTGCCGAGAGTATAGGAACCGATGAGTCGGTAGAACTTGGCCCAGGCTGAAGAAGGTTGCCAGGGCTCTATGGTAGACATGAGCATGGGCACGGGCTGAGTGGTGGGACGAAAGGTGAAGGCTCACTTGTTCTTGAAGCATATGTCGTGGGCTCCCAGGCCCCATCTCATGTTGGCTGGGTTGAAGGCATAGCGCGTTGGCAGCACTCCCCACATTACAGGGTCATCTATCCTGTGGCCATGCATGAGCTTTGGAGTGTATATAGTCAAAGATCACTTTACAACGTACACACTCACGTGGTTGCACACTGTATGATCTGTTAGTCACTGATGTCACCGGACGGGGAGGGAAATGAGAGACGGTACCTGTCAAAAGACCTCTTTCCCTTTTGTTCACATCTTCCCTGCCGTCTAGTATATTAAGAAATCTCTGCAATCCATAGGTTTCAACGTTGTTGAAGCCGTATAGAAATCCCTTGCAGACCATGCCAGTGAGGCCCATAATCACTGAGGATGACGCACGCCATGACAGACTTGGGTGCTGCAGCGGAACCCTGGCTGGTGGCGGGTTCGACACTTCGATATTGTCCTTTGCCATGGCTGAAGTCATGACGCCCTCGCCGGAGAAGGAACGGGGGAATTAATGGAAGTCAAATCAAAGACTGAGTCATAGCCGAGGAAGCAAGCAGTATCAGCTCCTCAGAACGAACGTTGGGCGGCACGAGCCGAAGTTGGGTTTTTTTTCTTGAGAAGAAAAGCGCGACAGCGAAATCTTCATCTCAACTCAACATTTTCAACAAGCGACCTGGTCCCCCTGTCAGGAACAACCAGCTAAAAGAGCCCCAGAATCGCCAGAATTGGGGCGGCTTCCATGTCCCATTTTAGCCCCCGGGCCGCCAACCGAAACCACTGAACCTTGGGAATCCGGCACGCTAAGAACGAGGCAGCTCTCGCCATTGAAATACTTACGTATGCAGAATGCTCGTGTACGTAGAATACCCAACGCAGAATACTCGTCTACCGCACGCCCCTCGTCTGCAACATGTCACATAGCAAGCGCAACACCTCCCGTGCCGTCTTCACGTCCTACGAGCGAGAGCAAGCGAAGAAGGCATGGGGTGCCAACTCGGCCCGCCTGTCGCGCGAGTCCATGCTGCCTTTCTCGGCGTGTAGACTCTGTCTCGAGCCTGCAGAAGATCCCGTCTCTTGCACGCACGGCGACATCTTCTGTCGAGAATGTGCCCTGTCCAATATCTTGGCTCAGAAACAGGATATCAAGCGACTGGAAAAGGTGCGGGAGCATGAAACGCGAGACAAGGCAGACGAGGACGCCAGAAGAGACGCCGAGGCCAGAGACCGCGAGATCAAAGAGTTTGAGCACATCATGAGTGGTGTGGCTTCGTCAGCGCCCGCCAATTCAAGCGTGCCCGACGCAACAACTGCCCAGCCAAGCAGCACAGATCGCCCCGGGAAGCGCAAGTTCGAGATGGACGATGAAGAGCTGCAGCGCATAGCTGCTGGAGACCGAGCCAAGGCACGCAAAGCTCTCGACGACGAAAAGAATGCGAAGCCCAAACTGCCCTCCTTCTGGACGCCTTCCATAACGCCAACCTCGAATACCAAAGACGCCCTGCACGATATAGTCAAGAAGGCCAAGACCACCCCGACATGTCCGGCTTCCCAGCAGAGCAACTCTCACCCATACTCTCTAGCCACCCTGGTCACGGTGCATTTCACAGAGGACGAGGATGAAAAGACGCGCAAAAAACAACGCGTCTGCCCGTCGTGCAAGAAAGTTCTGAGCAACGCATCCAAAGCTGTACTCGCCAAACCTTGTGGGCATGTTGTATGCAAGAACTGCGTCGACAGGTTCATGCGCCCCACAGGCCATCACGATCCTCATGCCGACGACTTCGATCCGGAAAGTCTGCGATGCTATGTTTGCGACGCCGATCTTGTCGACAAGAAGCCCGCCAAAGACAAGGGTGAGAAATCCAAGAAGAAAGACAAGGAGAAGATCAAGCCTGGCCTAGTAGACTTGCGCAGTGAGGGCACGGGCTTCTCGGCTGGAGGAGTCAACCAAGTCCAGAAATCAGGCGTCGCCTTTCAATGCTAAGCCAATGGCAATCGTGTCCCGGAATCATGGCGGATTTGGTACAAGGTGGGTTGACGTCCAGATGTACGTGATAAGCCCTGTATGGACCGAACTAGATGTGTCCCTCTATCTTCATGTGTCTCCCAGAGTACCTGCATGGGGATCGGTCGGTGATACCGCCGTTGCCGGGGGCGCTTAACTCTTGCACGAGACCACGTTTCTATCTTTCTTTCGGAGACAAAAGGTCAGAGTGTCCTCACGATGACTTTGCCCGAGCTTGACTTACTGCCTCAAACCCACTCGTTGCCACCTAGGGTACAACTTAGGAGCAGATAGCTTCCTGCGCCAGATACCATGCTCAAGCCTGCGTTGAAGGCCTTCTGTATCTCAACCAACCCTTTGTTCCTCAACGTACGGTGAGGTTGATCACACCTAGTCGGGTGCTCAACTTAGTACGGGGAACCAGAAAACGGCAAAGGACACTGGTTCGATCACGGGAATCGGCATGTGATGACCCTCTGACCTTTTGTCCCCGAAATATATGATAGATGAAATAGGTCGAACCTATTTTTCTGTCGTTGCCGCTAAATATGACTATTACTGTCCGTACACACAAACTCGGCTTGCCTGGCGTGATATCTGCATGACAAGCCCCGCTGAATAATGTGGTATATCTCTTTATGGGTTACCTACCCGCCGAGGAATGTACTCACGCGCTACATAGTCTACTGATAAGATGGGCCGGACTTCTGTGCTCGCACTTCGGGAGCAGCTCGTAGTCTTCGTCGATGCATCTATAAGGTATATCGGCATATGGGTCGTGTGTCTCCACAAGAGGATGATTGTCCAAACGATTTCTGGGATTAAGGCACTTCGAACATCAGCGACTTCAAGGTTTTTGGACCCAAATTCCCATTGCATGAATTTCTTGCGTTTTACGCCTCATGTTAGGTGGTATTTGTCGACTTGATTGCGATAATGCATATATACATGTTATCCTTCTAGAAGGCCTCTCTGCATAATCAAGGTCAAGTCATCCACGAATAGTAATCAGAGGTAACGAATATGGAGTAATCAATACTGAGTCGGTTTGGTAACGAGAGACATAGATGTGGTTGATAGCGACGTAATTAGCCGTGGAGGAAATAAACCTGTGTTATGCTTGACGCCTCCCCGACCCCCCGAAAAGAAAAAGACAACTAATCTAGAAGAAGAAAAGAAGAAGAAAACTCCTGCTAATGCGCGTAGTTACAAAAGGAGATATCACAGCAACTAGGGGAAACATGCTTTAACCCTCCTCTCCATTTGTATCTCCTCCATCATTTTCGGGTTACAAAGTTCTCCTTTAAATTTCTCCCTCTTCTTCTTCTTCTTCTTCCTCCTCAATCTTCGTCAACCGTTCTGTGCGTTCTATCCTGAAAATTCAGTACGATATTGGCGCTGGATTGAGGTTGCCTGGCGGTATCGGCTTTCGTGGCAAACGGGTAAAGTCGGGAAAGGAAATTTAGCGAGCCAGATTGAGACTTGACAGGTGTGGGTGCTATAGCCGCATTGTGAGGGCCTGGGCTTCTAAAGCTCAGAGATGTTGGCATATCTGCTGCTGACCCATCACCGACTCTTCGCAGGCGCCTGGCCCTGAGTTCCTGGAGCACGCCAGCCACAACCAAGTAAAGCTTGAACAACAACTTATGCATGACATCTTTAGCAAGCATGGTCGTGCCATGACTAAAGAAACCTTTGAGCAGCTCGCCATGAATGCCGCCGTAGAGCGACCCAACGCCTTCGGTACGCACAATTTGTGCAATAGTCCCAAAGACGCTTTGCTGGGCGAACTTTTGGACAGCACGCGTGGCCTTGAGCTTAGCGTCGATTTCTTTGTCGAGAGCGCGATCGGGAGACTGTAATTCGGTGGGTCTGTCAGTTTGCTCTTCTTTGTTCTCTCCTTCCCGAGACTCTGCAGTGACAGGTACGCCAGCTTGGAGACGAGCCTTGGCCGTTTGGAAAGGGTAAGTGATCGTGCTAGCGATGGCTTTGCTGCTTGCCGCCAGTAGGAATGTCAATGCAGCACCGGGATCTTCCGGACTATCGTCGCCCAGTATACTCCGTTTCAGAAAGTCTTGTAGGAAGAAGGTGATGCCCGGGTTGAGCGTCAGAACCAAGGTGGCCGAGTACCCGGACCAAAGCCCCTTGACACCTTTCTCCTTCAGGATGCTGTTCACGATTTCTCGGACGCTCAGTTGTCTCGCATCCGCGTTCTCGCCCTCCACCATGGCCCCAGTCTGTTTTCGCGTGACCACATTAGAGATAGGGGTCGTGAAGGCCCTCGAGCAGGCACCGGCGGCGACGCCAACGGCAAGATCCTCGATGACCCTTCGTGCTCCACCACTCTTTCGAGCAGGCGTCCGCGACAACAGCCGAGACCTGAAGAACTCATAGAACAAAAAGAATAGAAAAGAGTCCAAGACAGATTTGGCTGACTCCGTCGTCAGGCCAGTATAGAGTGCTGCGATGCTCTGGCGCGTGCCTGCAGCGCTTGCACTCGGCTCGCCATCCCGCCAGATCCGAGAAAAGGCGTCGACGATGCCGGCGTACTCGTCGGCTGCGGCGAGATGACCGGTACGAGCTAGTTGGCGCTGTTCGGTGTATAAGCATTAGCATTAGTCTCTTTGATATTGAAGTGGATGAGCGGTGTAAGTCGTGGTGGGTCTTATAGTGGCCCTCAAGAGTGAGAGCACAAAATGCTCTGTGCACATGAATGAATGTTGTGCACCCGGGACAGGACTGCGATGTACGATATGCATAGAGGAGTCCTCACCTGTACCTGTAGACGGGTCACTACTAGAGATAACGGATAGCTCGTGCATGTCGATATCAATGTGCCGGCTGAGCCAGAAAGAGCGTGGTGGAGAGCAGGTAATAACTTGCTTGCAGAGGTACGGTTGGAGTTTGTCATGGTGAGAGGAGAAGCGAAGGCAAGTTCGCTTTGACTTATATAAAAGCGTGAAGGTATCCTCAGTTGCGGTCTACAAGTATGGAAGACCCAGAGTGGAACGAGGTGGGTATATTGGGCACATATGTGAGAGGACGTAACCGGGTAACAGCTGCGACTCAATCGTTCTGAGCTGCTATATTCACAGTGCGCGCTGTTGTAAATCTGGTTTGTTTGCAACGTCTACTCTGTAGCTGTGTTCGCGTCCCACAAATTCGAGCTGCAGGACGCGGGAGTTGCCCACAGAGCGAATCGGCGTGTTACCGGAGGTGCCAGGTCTGAAGTCTGAACCTCCTCAGGTGTCTGTACAGCATGCAACCTGACGCCGAACAGTCCAGGCTAGACTAGCAAAGGGTCGGGCTGACAAAAAAAAACCTGAGAGGTCTACAAAGCGATCGATAGCTCCGTGTTGACGATTGCAGGCACCTGGAGTGCAGCGATTGGAAGTTAGTCGGTCAAGGGAAACAAACAACTCAGCAATCACATCCCTCCTCCTCGATGGTGGTTGGGGCGTTATACAACCACGGCAGCAATCGACGTCCAAGCTAGCCTCCAGTACTCAAACCCGAGGTTACTTGACCTGGACCTTGATCGACGTCATTGCCGAAACGCAACTAACTTAGCCAACGTTTAGAACATGTGCTCCGCCAGCCAACAAACAAGCCCAACTCTTCCAACGACGACACATGCGAAAAGAGCCCAGGTGCTGCATACATGAGCCCGCGAATCGTGCTTAGACCAATAATGGTTCGAGTTGATGCCCTTATGTAGACTTTTGTGTCAACAGCCTGCGTGGAATACTCTGTTACACACGAACACCACCCTACCACAACTACGCACAGTGCCATGTTGGTTTGTCGGCGTAGACAGTAGAGATGCGGGCAAGTCCTCCGGAAAATGAAACTTCTATTTCCAGACACGGCACCCCTGAAATTGGCTGCCCCATCTGTACCCTGTAGGGATGTACCGCTCACAAGCCGCGCCGATACGCGAGTTCCACGTTGCCAGCCGTGGGGCTCGGTTCATGCAGGTTGAACTCGCCTCGTTGTGTCAGGCGTCGACACGTCAAGAGCTTGCCCACCAGCAGTGTGTCCAACCCAAACTCACTCGGCATGCGACGGACAAACAACCACTTGTATTGCATTCGTAATCTGCCCTACCTTGGTTTGACACCTTCATCGGAGTGAAGCTACATGCTCTGAGTCAGTCCTTCTTGCCGTTGCCCGTTAAGAAGGAACAAGACTGATGAAAATAAAATTAAAATGAAATGTTTCTTAGATCATTGATCAAGCGGTATAAATGCATGGTTCCAACCGAGCAACTGCCATATGATAAATATACAGCGACATCTTCAAATGCGACATGAGCATATGAGCCAATACAATGCGAGAGGCGGATGCCCAACTCGCCCTCACTGTAACTTGCCAAAACTCGCCCAAGACCTGAACGCCGTCGCCAACCGTGAATTCCTAACAGTAGGTTCCATAGGCACCGCAAAATAGAGGTGATCTGCTTATCAATCATGCCTTCAAGCTTGAAGCGATTCTATAATAATTTCATCACCGAACGCCAATGCTCAAGTTCGATTCCCCTTGTTAGCCGTATGTAAGGTGTTTTCTGGGCCTACCGCGCTTTCTACGAGGCGTCTCGACGGGTGTTTCACCCGTACATTTTGTAGGCCTTGTCTTCTTAGTCCCAGAGCCTGCCATGGAAGGCAGCTCTTTTGAAACAGGCGTGGGTGACGGTCCGAAGGCCAATCTTCCGATTGGCGTTGCCGCGACTGCATCGAATACCGACCCTGGTTCTCGTGGACCCGGGCTGTTTGGCGTTATACCTTCGTTCTCTGCCGTAGCATCCTATGTCCGGCTTGCGATTGATGGACGTCTCGAGGCATTTGACATGCTGAAACTAGGCGTTCGTCGGGCCGTCACTGAGCTCATCATAATATCTGGCTCGCCTGGTGCATCATCCATATCCATGTTTAAATCAATAGTGGCATCCGGTAGTTTTTGTGTACCATGGCCAACGACCTTGAAGATATGCTGCCGGCCACCATTAGTGGCAGTTTGCAGCTGTTCATGAAGGCGGGCTAGTTGATATGTCCGTCTTATCGGGTTGAAGACCGGTTGCGGCACCACTGGCTGTGGGTTCCAACGAGCAAGAGCACTCATGACTGCCGCAGTCTCTTCGTCAGAGTCGACCGGCGCTGCATTCATTTCGTCCTCATCTTCCAGTGGTGCGTTGGCATCTAAAGCAGCCTCTATAGACAAAATGGGGTATTAGTCATCTACATTTCGTTGATTTCTCCTTTTTCTTCTCTTCTCCTTCTTCTTCTTCTTCTTCTTCTTCTTCTTCTTCTGGCTAGCACGCGAAGGGGGCTTACTTTGCTGTTTGGCCTGGTTCTTCTTTTGATATGCTGCTAACAACATATCATAAGGAAGTGATCGACCGGGAACGGCACGTTTGGCACCCATCGAATGGCTCTTGCACGTCAGTGACCGAGCACAGGGCTGGCCGTTGGGTAATATGACACCGCATTGTTTCTCGACATCCACGGGGCCTAGATGATGGAAATATGGTTAACGAGTTCTTGACCGGAGGGCCATGTGGTGGGAGGAGGAGGGCCCGGGGGTGCAGGGGGTACCTTTAGGTTTGGGGACCTTGGGCTTGGGTTCTTCCTTCTTCTTTTTGTTTTTGGGCCCCTTGTCTGCATCGCCGTCAGCCTTCCGCTTCTTGCCCCCTTTGCTCTCCCCGTCGGGCTTCTTGCCGCCGAGCTTTTTGTTTGCTTTACCGCCAGCTCCCTTTTTGTCATCTTCGTCGTCGTCGCTGTCATCGTTCATCAGAGTGTCGCCGTCGGGGTCGTTTTTGCGAGCCTCTTCTTGACGAGCCTCCTCTTTGGCTCGCTCTCTGGCCTCCCTGGCTTCCTTCTTTCGCTGAGCCTTCTCTTTCTTAATTTTCAGGCATTGAGCGATATGTTCTTTGGCAGCACCCTTGAGGATGCCTTTCTTGCAGTGTTTGCATTGTTGTAGAGGCAGGAGGTCATCGAGTGGCATACCAGTCGAGAAGGTATCTCTGGTGTCGTCGACGAGAGGAAAGACGACAGGTGCTGGTGACGATGCGCCCAGAATGGCCGATGGGCTTTCGCTTCGCTTCTTCTTCTTATCCACTGTAGAAAACAAATCACGCATCAGCCAAAACAGCTCTTGATGGCCATAGTAAGATCCAAGGTGCCAATGGAGGGAAACATACAGTCTGCAACAATGCCTTCCCTCCAGTTGCCTGGTTTCGTCTGCTTCACGACCGTCTTCTTCAGCTTCAGGCCGCCATTCGCCTGCGCCCTTGAGATCTTCCTCGAGGCGACGTTGATGGTGCCCTCGTCATCAAGGCCTGGCCATGACCATGTCAGTACGGTGCTGGCTGCCGAGCGCTTCTCATGTGCAGCAGCGTGGGAGCACGACTCACCTTTGCGTCCCTCCGACACGGTCGCCATTTTGTGTCACAGGAGGGCGCACTCAGCGGCGCGTCATGTGGTGCAGCCGACCAGATTTGCCGTCGATGATGGTCGTGATATCTTGCGCCGTCTCAATCGCGGTCCCTGTCGCTCTGCGCTGTGGAGCGCGATATCTCCGATGACGTGTCGCGCAGGCCGGGTAGTAAGATGTTGGTACGGCGAAGTTGTTGTTTTGGCGTCTTTCGTTCCTGTGGTTGTCCCAAGTGACGCGCCGCAGGTGTTCTCGATGAAAAGAGCTTTGAGAGCCGAGCAATCGATGAATTGAGTGCGTTTCGTCGCAACATCTGATGGCCATCCGTCGTCGTCTTTGGTGGAATGCGGCGCTTGCAGCTGGAGCCTAACACGGACCCTCCAAAGCACGGACCATCAATCTATCGATCTGGACTGATAAGCTTATCCATAATCAGAATCATGGTCATGATAATCATAGTCATAATCGATGCGGATCCGTAGGTTGTTGCAGGTACAACTTGACCAACGTCAACTCCGTAACGAGACCCCACACAAGCTACCTGACTTGTGAAGTACACTCGAGGTCTTTATTTCCCAACTTATGAAAGCAAATCGGCAAGTTGAGTTACTTTGTACACTACTTGAATGGAATCATGACGTCAACCGGCACGGAACTGGTCTTTCGATTCTTTGAGATCCATTCAGCCTTTTGTCTGTAATTACCATCCTTGGTCATTCAACTTCGGCAGGGTAGATAACTTGTGGCTTGCGCCTGTTGTAGGTTATTTGCATGATTCATTACTGTTATATACTGAAGGCAACGAACATTGCTGGACATCCTTCGAGTCGTGTATGCAAGCATCATCGACGGTCTCCCAGACTCTGGCCCACAGTAGAAATCAAAATTGAGCAGTCCTCTAACTGGGATTTCCTTATTGGTATTGTCATTGGTATCCGATTATATACATGAAGAGCGACGCAGCAATTATCAGTGCCCATAACACAAACAGTACTACACAAAACTCACACACGCATGAGGTAATATTTCACTGCCAGGGGGAGCGACAGGTCGAATATAATAAGACTTGAATTCTTTCGAAATCTAAACTAGGATACTACACTCCTTCCCTTAAACCCCCTGAACAACCATCCAGGTCGTTCCCTAACCGCTATCAGTTGCTTCAAGTCGGTTATCATGGTAGATAGTTGGATGTCGCGGCGAGATGTCAGGGGCATCCAAGTTATACCATACGTGAGGTGACCTGAGCTTAGCTGCCGTAACATATGTCCTCTGTAGTCCTGGCCACAGCGCCGCAGATAAGCTCTTTCTGACAACTAGCAACTACTCTTGGGCTTGTCTGGCCGTAGGATCTACGGTCATCTTATACGACAAGACTGCATACCCAAAGCCGAGGCCGTGCTGTTTTTCTTCCAGTGGTTCAAAAGCAAGGATCAACTTGGTAGAAAGCGGTGGAAATCGAGGCCTCTAGATCACAGAGCATATGCATTCAGATCGGCATCGTTGCTACGTCAAGCACCATATGTGACTGTCTTCTAGGATTGTGAACTACCTTATGCCAGCTGCGACAACATGCAATTCAGGCGCCGAACGTGATTCAACACTGCAAAGTGGCGGAGAATATCACTCAAGGCGAACGTACAGTGAGGACTTACTAGGATAACATGCCTTTCCTACTCAATAGTAACTCCACAGTAATAGTTGGGGGCTAGACTCGTTTTCGGTTGCCGAGGATAATTTCAAGTTGCACACCAGTGTTTTTTGCAGCATCAAATGTCTTTTGTGGTTTATGTTAAATATATTCTCTGCTACGCTCATATTCCAAGCATGGACGTGCACAAGTGCAAAATGCAGCCAAATTGATGGTCTGCCAACCAGTATCTCAAAAATATGGCTTTCAATTTGTATGTTGTTAAGTCAGAGGTAACGTCCCGTATTGTTGCTATCATATGGTTCAAATACAAGCACAGGTTAAGCAGTGCAGCCTTGATGCAGCTTGTCTGGTAAAACGGTTGTTCATGAGCCAAATGGGGACAGAGCCACGGGATTGTAATGGAAACCATCCGTTCCAGCTCTTACTGTGCTAAAACAACTAATAAATAACAGAAAGGAACTACAGTCGCCTTGGGCCAGATGGTCATGAATGAAATATGCAGGCAATCAGTAATCAAACATAGTGATGAGGTCACCACCCGGCTCATTTTCCACGGAGCCGCGTGAAGAGAGCTGTAATACCGCTGGCGACCCTTGTCGAGCCATGGGCGGCCTACATAACAATTGCTGTTACCCCTTAGCACATATTCATTTCGCCAATTGAGCCTCGAGATGTGTCGCGCGTGAAACTCGTTACCAAGGTTTGAGATGCCAGGCGCTTTCGTTTATCGTTTGACGCGAGCTGTTTCCTGGTTGTCGGTAATTATTTTTGACAGCAGACATCCATTAGAAATTACAGGGATGCTGCACTCGGAGCTTTCTGTTGGCGTCACGACGTTGGCCCTCTCGGGAAGCGGGATGACTTGAAATCCGCAGTCTTCTAGGGTCACGAGGCTATCCCCTGCAAGGAAGACCTTCCCAGATGCTCGATTGGGAAATCACTCGGAACAATCCTCACAGGGAAGCTCAAGATGAGGAGTGGCTAATCGTTTGTGAATAATAGAGTAAGTATCAGAGCCTTCCTGAAGCAGCAGGGAAGCAAGAGAGAAACAGTGACATTTGGGTGATGTGTAGTGTTTTTCCCATACATCATAACCAGCATTGGCTTAGGTTACCACCGTGACTTTACCAGGGCCAAAGGCAACATCCGCGCCGCACCCCAGTCCACCGAAGAAGCGGATTACAGGGGATCAGCCTGGCAGATGGAGATGGCAGATGGACTCGCTGACAGGGAATCCTGCAGTCGCCGTCAGACGTTATTCGTCGAACTCTATCGGTTTGCTATGGTGTCTGCAGGCAACGACAGACCTCCTGATACAATTTGGCCCAGAGATATGGCTCAAGGTCAAAGATGAGCCCGGGGCCAGATTAACTGATTGACGGCTTGGTTAAGGGATCAGCGCTTTGCGTGATGACGATTGTGCCATGTACATAGCACGGCGCTGCTGTAGTGCCCGTCAGCTAGCGAGCATCTGCGGAGTACTAATGAGGGAACCCTCCGCCGAGCGTCGAAGCGGCGGAACGAAGGTTTGCTTCTAATGCAAGCAAGAAAAGCTACCGCACACGTACAGTACAATATGCAGGCGATGTCGAGCTGTGGGCAGGTATTCTAAACACATACTCGAGTGGGCAAGAACATCGCATTTCGGGAGGCTTGCAGCAAGCTAAGGCAAAGTTGTCGTTCTTGATCAATAGAGTGTGGAATTTGGTCACAATGTGGAGTGCAGAGACGGGCTCATTACACTGCATCTTGTTGATCTCCGCATAATATGTAATTCTACCGAACGGGCGCGTGGTGGTCATGCTTGAAGGGCTAAAAGGGGAAAGCTACCTTTCCTGTAGGTAGACTGGCGTACCGATGGGGAGTTCTCTTACATCTCATGGGGTTCTTGGTATTCAGGGACAGGCGAATAACTACATGCCCAGGTACCCTCCCTCACTCCCATTTGGATATTAGTGCACCATGTGTACTCCATGGCTTTGCGAAATGCGGGTGCGCTCTGTTGCTAGGTTAGTAGGCTGTCTGAGGTTGCCCCTCGGCCGTCTCTAATGCCAGATGCGCGCCGATGATGCCGACTCATCATCCATAATCTCTTCCAGGGGCTCCTGGTTCATGGTAGTTTTCTACAGTATTTAGTGACCTCCGCAAGAACTCCATAATCGCCATCAATAGTCGTGCTTAGGGGGGTCCCCTTGCCGTTTGTCTCGAAACTTTCTTCCTTTCCGGCGGCAGTTCGCACTCGATCCTGGTTCCGATTCACTCGGGTCTGTGTCTTCCGCGCTGGACGTCTTGTACCGGTTTGTGCGACAGTCTGCGCCGCGCTGCATTGCATTGCTGAGCTGCGAGTTGCCAGCACTGGAAGAGGAGCAATCCCGACTTAGGCAAAATCAGCTAAAAACTGGCAGTATTCGAAACATGGTCGTCCCCTCCCCTTTTGTTTCCACGATCTTTACGAGTTGCTTTCCATGTTTGGATGCCCTACAGCGTTAAGAACATACTTTTGGTGGAGAGATCCTACAATGCGCACGAGTCACCCGTACGAGCTTCATGCCTGACTTGGTATCCTATTCGTCCCCAAGCTGGCTTAGTTTATTGTTATCAGCGTTACCGTAGATCTTTGCATACGAACTCCTGTAAGGATGGTATATTGTGGAAAGGCATCCCAAGGTTCGTCAAAAATTAATGTTCTACTTATCATTGTCGTGTCTCACTAGTAGAATCGTGCAGGATGCCAAAATTGTCGTCAGCGTCGAATCAAAGTAAGCACCGACTTCCTACGCAGCATGACTCCTCACCCACAGTCAATCTTGCGCTCTCTCCTGTTGCTTAACAAGCATATATACTGCGCTCCACATGGCCTTAGAACTGTGTAATTGGCTCGGCGCTCTACGGCTTGCATGGCACTCTGCAACGCAAGACACAATCCCTCTACCGTTGATTTCCCTAGGTTGATCTATCACACAATGCACTAGTTTTATGATCACCTCCATACCGTTGGCTGATTATCGACTATAGTGCGACAAGGTGAAGCCAGAATGCTCTCAATGCATCCGGATCGGCAAGAAATGTCCTGGCTACCGGGATCAGCTGTCATTGATGTTCCGAGATGAGAGCAGTAAAGTGATTCAGAAAGCACATGCTCAGTGGGGGGCAGCAGCAACACCACCGTCGGCCGCCTCTGCATCAGCACCGTCAAGCTCGGCATCATGGACCTCGTCGCCGACGGGTACGTATGAATCGGGGAGCCCAGTGACAGACAACGCAACCTCCCCTGCCGAGTTCGTACTGAGCAAGAATATGGAGTTGTTATCTCCAAAACTACAGGCGAGGGTGGAACCTACCATCGATCAGCGTGGTCTTCAGTTTTTCGTTGACCAGTATCTCATGAAGACTCCGGACGCCCCCTCACTCGGCCGGCATCTGGCCGTGTATAGTGGTAGCTCCGAGGCGATGCAGACAATCATGATCGCCGTTGGTCTTGCTGGGCTGTCACACAAACAAGGTGACCGGGCAATGAACCTAGTGGCACGCCAGAAGTACACCACAGCAATGAAACAGACCCGCCAACTCATTGCAACGGGCCCGAACGATGCCGTCAGTGTGATGGCACCGCTTCGTGCTGTCGTCTCGTTGGCCATGTTCGAAGTCGTCCAGGGGAAGGGTTCGAAATTATCCACCGGAACAGCAAACATCCATATACTGGGTGCAATTGCCTTGCTGAGAAATGTAGTGCCAAAATCCCAAATGCCCATCTTTGGTGCAAGGGCTATACTGCAGCTTATGTATTCTTTGGTTAGTGCTCGCTTGCCACGGAGCTTACTCCTCGAATCATCGGAACGAGACTGACCGCCCGCAAGTTGATTCCTTCTCAAGTGACAGACGAGCCACTACCAGCACTGTTCTTTGACGCCATGGACATGGTCCGACATATTCTGCCTCCACAAGAGCACTCTACCTGCGATCTCGCTGTGGGCATCGCTGAAGTTTTACAACTACTTGCACTTTCTAAGAGCGCTCTGCTTTCAGATGGAAATCACGAAACTGACAAAATACTCGAACAGCTACTGAAAATGGACGTCATAATGAGTGGTCTCGAACAGAGGCTGCAGGACTCATTTCCTTTCACGATAGAAAATGCTCCTAAAGGATACCCACCGGAAGCCGTCTTCAAGGGCAAATATCACAGATATGTCGAAATCGAAGCGGCACGTCTCTGGAACCACCTCCGCTGGGCACGAATATTAGTTGCCCAGCGAATTCTTGAGATGGAAAAGGAATTCCCGTGCTCGTACTCGCTGATGGTCTCTCCTTCACATACAGAAACGTGTTACAGCACTTCGCTACGCATGGCCGAAGACATCATCACGAGCACACCGTCGCATTGGCACCATCCCGTATTGTCCGAAACACAAGCGAGGACAATAGCTGCCGTTGGGAAGGGAGGTACTGGCGCCGCGGGTCTTCCAGGACTTTTGTGGCATCTGAAGATTGCGGGCTGTGCTCCCGGGGTCCCGACAGAATTCTGGGACTGGTCATACGCAGTGGCGCAGATCGTGTGGAGGACTATGGGTATGCAGCACGCCCTTGCCCTTTCCGAGGTGATGGAGGGGCACCGTGCCGGAGTGGAAAAGGAGGCTATAGATCGCCTCATCAAGGTGGAACAGGACGACTGGCAATGATCAATCGATGGTTTTCGGCAAGCTACACCGTGGCACAGACATTTGTACATGATTAGTAGAGTCATGGTGTGACACAGGTATTTCCTTATTGTCACATGTGCGGGGTTGGGGGCTAAGAAGTATACCATGGTTTGGCGTTCAAGGGCGAAATGTTCACCGACTACTGCATTGTTGGATTTCACAATATCTGAAAGTGTGGGAAACGGACGGCCAGTCTGCTGGAGTATGTCCCTAGACACTTGGCTCGGGTTGGTTCCCGCGGTGCCGGGACAAAGGGTTAGGATTCCCGGCTTGAAGTGTACATGTATGCATCTAACTCTTTACTTGGGGTCCACGAGCTGTATACCACCCATTGCAATACCTGATGAAATCGATTGAAACGCCAGGATCCCTCATTTCCCGGGAATTGCTTTGAGCGCATCATGTACTAATAGAGGACAAGCCGAGCCTTCTAGTGCTCTCTACCAAAAGGGAGTTCTCAAGAGCATTTTCACACCCCAGCTCCTACTCATGCCCCACCTATACGGTTGTTCCGCGTGTATGGGATGTGTGCGATATTCGAAAACGATGTTTTATCACTGATGCCCTGTGACTCCGTATTGCTCCACGTGTTTGCCAGCAAGCACATATGTCTGTGGTCTTTTGTTATGACAACGTTTTTCACGGCTCGTGTTTCTACCTAACGATCGAGCCAACATTACATAATAGTAAGAGTCATGGTGAAGCAGTCTGAGGAGGATTTTGTTTTGAGGTAGTCGGGCACTTATGCCCAAGAAGCTAGATTTATTCATCTGCAGGTTCTTTCTACATACATATCGTGGTACGTTGCTGGCCCATCCGGACCGAGATTCCACTGGGTCAGTAGAAAGAGAGTTCCGTCAGGTACTGGCAGACCAACATTTCCTTTAGCAAGCCTCGCTGAAGCCACTGTCAGTTTCCAGCTGGAGCCAACGCAACCTCAAAAACAATTTCCAACTGTCGGCTGTATCAGGGGACGGCCGACTAACTTATTTGGTAGCAGTCAATGAGACACCGTATGACTGGACAACAGAGGCGCACTGCGAACCCTGCCAGTCTCTAGAAGCCTTCTGACCATTTCCTTGTTAGATTACTGTGTTATTAGGCATCATTCTTTTTCTGTTTTTGTTTTTGTGCCGCTCGGCGCACTATGAAGACACCCTACCGGATGAAAGCGTTTACTGGCATTGCTTTCGACAGTGGTATAGCCATGAGAACCTCTTGGGGTTCAGCGCAGAAATGCCACTGGGCCGAGAACAGTGGTCGATTAATGGTAATGAAAAATGGACAGCGATGTCTCTGCTCGAAGTTGGTGGCGCTTGGGGCCACGACAGTCATGGCAAAAATATCGATCTGTTTCCTGTACAGAAGGGGTCGATCAAAGTGCAAAGAACTGATGCGCCCGTCTAATTCCATGTTGCTTACCGAGCTCCGAAGCAGGACAGCATTTGGTCTTAAAAGACGAGAGACCGTGTCTTCTACTAAATTAGAAAAGTTGTAAACAGCTGAGTGGTTTCCGTAATCATTCAGCTGTCTTCAACCTGCGACTGTTGGCTGGGGTCGTTTTGACGGGGGTTGTCCCTACGCGTCCAGTTAGTGGTTCTCCACGCATCAGGGGTAAAAAAAGGGTTTTGCATCGGCCATCGCTTTTAGCAATCCACCGTTCATCCCAACATACATCTGACGGCGACGGATTAGGCCGCTTCACGGTTTTCTGAGATGCAGCTCCATTCGTGGCGCCCGACTTCTTAAGCGGGCGCGTGGGCTTCACCTCGCCGGCTTCGAACACGTCATCGGGTAGGTTGATGCTATTGATGTTGAGCAGCGGGTCAGAGAGGACGCGGCGAGCACTTACTTTCTCACGTGCTGAATGCTCAAGAAGTTCAACTCAGGCTTGTATTTGTCCCAGCCATGGCAAAGGTCCTTAAACTCGTTTACCTGGAAAGAAAGGTCCAAAGATTTGGCACCTGCTAGGTCAGCAACCTCTGCTACAAACCACCACGAGCGGCGGATTTGTTGTCGTGAAACGCCGAAGATCACTATTCTGAATTAGGGGAGGAAGTCACTGATTGAAATCATACCTTCTGCGAGCTCAAGGCCAATGTAATGGGTGGTGGTGTATATCTTGTCGTCTTGAGAAGGGAGATCTTCGATTTTGACTTTCGACTCTTCTCCTGATTCTGACTTCATAGAAATGTCTAGCTGCGTGGGTGCAGACTCGACACCAGGACTTGAAGATTCGGGTTTGATTGGCGTTTCGGCGCTCGGCTTGATTTTGTCGGCATTGTCCTTGACGGGCCCATCCTTCACCGGGGTCACTGGAGTATCGTCCTCCTTGCAAACATAATCCAGCTTTCCGTCCATGACGGCACTGAATTGATCGTCGTCGAGAACCTTGTGGGTTCGATCGAATCCCTTGTTGAAAGGATGGGCTATGGCAATGGAGGCGTGTCGCTCGACGCTAGCGACAAGGACTCTAACTTTACTCTCGACGAAGCCTGACCAAATCTTGTGGGCATCCTTGTCTTTAGAAGTGACAACAACAGCCAAGTAGTATTTGTAGCCACTTGTGAAGAAGCTATGCTTTACGAAGAGGTCCTTCCAGGGCCGGGCGCCTGCGATGATCTCGCTGGCAATATCTCGAGCGCGCTCCAGCTCTCGTTGAATAACGGCCTTGTTTGAGTGGGTAATGTTGAAGGTAGCACACATCTGTGGATAGGCAGGAGTAATGACAGGCATCAAATGGAAGCTATCACCCTTGTAGATCTTGGGATTCCAGACACGGACGTTCAAGGGACCATCCTCCATTTGCTTCAACATGACGGGGGAAGGCCAGGGCCACTGGCGAATTATGACAAAGAACTTTGTGACGATGATGGCGGCAGAAGCCTTGGGGTACAGCTGACAGATTCTGGCAACCAGCATCGCCCAGACCACGCCACCGGGAAAACCAATGATATTGGCGTAGATGGCACGACGTTGGGCCCAGAGTTTGATAGCACGCAATGCCAGGCGGAAGGTCGCCTTTTCGGGGACGAGGTTCAAGATCTCATTAGTGACACGGGTTCCATTCACAGAGCGCAGCTCGGCTTCGTCAAGACCGCGGAGATATTGGTTGTCTGTCAGATACAACTCCTTGTGTTTGGGGAACTGGGTGAGAGTGGCAATGCGGGCAAAGATCAGATCGATGCTGATGCCCCAGTACTCGAACTTGATGATGGGGACAAAGGCATCTTCGACGGGAGTGAGATCGGTGATTGCGCCTTTGGGTGCCATCTCGACGATTAGGTCGGGGAAGTCTTCGAAGTAGTGCTGGCGTGTCACGTACTTGGGGGCACAGACGAGAGTATCTATATCGGAGCCAGGGCCGTACACGCCGAGACAGAAACTTCCATAGGTGAAGACCTCTCCACGAGCTTCTCTGATCAAGGCAGTATTATGTGGCTCTTTCTTCTTGGCAATGCGACGAACAAACTCATCCGTGATCCGTTGTAAATCGGCCAGAACCTTGTGCCTAGAGCGACTTGTCAGGGTGGCTGTATCACGTTGAGCTGGATGTGATGCCCTCACCTTTTATTTGTCTCCTCCTGGGACTCGTATGTTCCCTGACGCTTGAGTTCTTCAAGTAGTGCATTCGTGGATTGCACCTCGATGGGCGTGGGCAGTACTGTCGAGATGGGTGGCGTTACGCCGTACGTCTTCTCCGAGGATGCCATGAGAACGGATATAGCTGGTGCAAAGAACCGAGTCAATGATGAATAACAAGAAGGAGAAGAAAAGAAGAAGCGAATCCCAAAAAAGAAAAGAAAAGAACAAAGCCCCCCTCCAGGTGTAGTTTGCGACGCGACAACTAGAAGGGTGTTGCGTCTCGCAATGTGAGTCCGAACTCGTCCAGCTCTTAAACGTGCGCGTTTGAAATGCACCTGCGTCTGAGTGACGAATTGAAGGAACGAATAACGAGCGAAGGAAGGTGAAGCATGAGGAACATGCGCAGGAACGGACACAGTTCAGGCGGCCTGTTTGCTGGTGGTAGTGGCTGATGATGCAGTTGTAGTTGCAGCTGGAACTGGAGCTAGAGTTCTGCCATCGAAACAAAATGCAGCTGTAGCAATGAGATCCAAGATCCATTAAACATTGGAAGGCACTAACCTAACCTAGTTGACTTACATACACAAGGCTTGAGTCAAAGCTTTGCTTCGGCGACCAAAGACATGCTTGACAGACTACATGAGCATAAACATACTGAAATTTACTGTAGTCTAGCGCGTTTTTAGCGGGTCCCATCAGCGAAGGCTACTAACCTTACTTGAATGCAGCCTGCCACGGTATGTATTGGAACCTCTCGGTTACAGTAGTTTACACAAACCACATATAGATCACCTTCCCCCCCACCCGACGATACCATGAGACAAACGACCTGGACGATTCTGCAAATTGCCGTTCATTGACGTTTCCAAGAGAAGGCCATGTCGCGCATAGCTATCAAAAGTGAAGCCGCACCAACCAGCCCTTGGGTAAAGATTTCTTGGCAAATTATCATATGCTACTAGCTTTCGAGCCCAAACATACTTCTCTCATCTCGCAGATCGCGGGGCCCCGTCAGAGCAGGCTATACTGGCTCAATTCCTGGATTACAATGCCTGTTAAATTGTATATGGGAAGTGGTAGACAAATCAAAGACTGTTGGGTATGCGACTCCTGCCCTAACTCCTGCCCCTGAGCTGTGTTTCATACGCATCACCATCGCATCTACTAATTATATACAGCTTATCCCACGCCTTTCGCCATCCTCAGATGTCGAGTCCCCACATCCTTGCCCAGTCATCCGCGCTCTGCGCCGCGTCTATCTGCCAGCGTTGTCGTGCCAGCCAGTACGTTATGCCGCCAAGTACACCGAGGCCACCCAGCATCTCCAGAGCCAGCCAGCCTTTTGCCTTCAGATCCGCTGCCACTTGTAGTAAGCCAAGTGGATCTTGATGACGGGATCCTCTCTTCCACGTTTGATATTTTCGCTTCCTCTTGCGACATGGAATTGCCTCCTGTGAACTGTTCGTCGGGACTAATGTGCCATCTTGGAAACATCCGTTCAGTCGCTCATTGAGCCATGCAGCTTGTCCCCTCCTTGGGTGCGCCTCGTATTGCGCTTTCTCGGATTCGAGACTTCTCTGAAGGTCCATTGCCCAGTCCGCCATGTAGACACGAGGACTGGTGTCATTGTCTCTTTGAAGATGCACGCGGGCGAGCGCCAGAGGTCGCCGGCCGATGAGTGCACCCGTCGTGGGGTTCAACGGCTGATATAGATATTTCGGTCTCGGTGCAGCTGAGGCATCTCGCCACTGCATATACTTCTTGGCAGCCGAGTGCCTCAACCATGAGGACCCCTCGAAGCTGAATAGATGCTCTACCAGCCGAGTAAGTTCTGATGAGGCCAAAGGCTGGATATAGTCTGGACTCATTAAAAGACTCGCATCCATAACATCATGATCAGACCCAGCGGCACACGACACAGCGTGAATTGTTGGCAATGCGGAGCTTGGCGATTGACCCGCGCTTGAAGTGAAACTAAAGTACCGTATACCAGCCTCGCGGAGTTGACATGCTATCTGCTCTTTGCAGCTAGCTTGCTCGTCCGGGCTCCAGTTGTCAGCCTGGGCCAAGATTGGTATGATGTTCGTCAACGGTGCTAGACGCTTCAGGTATTCAATATCGACAGAGCTTAAATCTACAAATTGTAAGACGCAATGCTAAAGTTGTCGCGAGAGAAGCACTTACGGTGTTGAATCATGTAAAGCACAGCATCGACCTGGAACCCACCGTCCCCTCCCAACAGGCGAAGCATTTCCGGCTCGCTCAACGCATCGGAAGACACCTTGTTCAAGTGAGACTCAACGTATTCTACACACGGCATAATAGTTTCCAGGGCCTATCACAGTGAGCAGATAGATCGTAGCACTAGGTTCGGGGAAGCTTACAGATGAGCTATTACCATAGCCGGGTGTGTCCACGAAGCATATATTACGGTCGAGTACCTGGTCGCCAAGGCTTTTCCTTCGTTGGTTGGCACGGGATTCATCCAGCTCTGTCCACCAGTCTGGATATGGCTTCGTGCTCGCGAATATCTCACATATTGCTTTTGTTGAGTCGGAGCCTCGCCGACTAGGAGCAGCAGGCCTTGCGGAACCTTTCGAGGATCGTCTCAAGCCAGCCTGGGGTACAATGGGATCTACATGGACAATGTGCTCACAGCTCTGAACAACTGCCTTGACGAGTGAAGTCTTGCCAATACCAGACTTTCCTGCGATTAGCAGCTTCAAGCGACCAAGACTTTTACCCAACTCAGTAAAGGGACGGCGACTCGGCATCTTGATGCTGGGCATGACCAGTTGTGGGGCACTGCCGCTGTCTGCCATATTCATGGCTGACCTGTCGGGAGTATACTCGTCGTCATCTGAGCTGACAGCGTTTTCTGATATGGAGCCTGCTATGGAATTTCTCCTGGACGACGGGCTGCTCAGCAAGGAGCCCGCGACCGAAGTGCCTAGTGTTATCGGGGTGATGGACCGCGACAGTGGGGCGCGATGGTGGGAAGATGTTGGAACTGGCGTCGGGCTGGGTAACGATGGCATGGACAAAGGCGAATATGCCGAGCCATGCTCTTCCAGTGACTCTATTGAAGTGCTTCTCGACAAGGCATGGCCCCGGTCATGACTGCGTGCCGACAGGGTGTGCCCTGACTCTGTGACTTTCCTGTGGTCTCTCAAACGGGAACTGGCAAGACTTGGTTGGTCAAGATAGGAATCGACAGTGGCTTCATCGGCGAGGAAGAAAGACATCTGGCTGGTGGAGGTGGAAGTCGAATTTACGGATGGAAGGTTATCGAGTCGATGGACCGAACATTGATGCCCAGAGGCATTGTCGCTAGGGAGGGGTCGCATAATCACATCAAAGGTGCTATGTATGTATGTATGTATGGGTATTGGTACAAGCGCAGCCCATACTCAGATGATAGGGTTGGCAGCAGGACGATCTGGCCTCAGAGTAACGAAGAGTTGGGCATTTTAGAGGAAGCTGTCTAGAACGCGGATGACTGATGACAAGACATGACATGAATGGATGCAAGTCCGTTAGCAGTCTGGTTGCAGGTGATGGGTTGAGCTAAATGGTAGGGGTAGGGGTATGTGTATGTGTGTGAGTGTCCCTCTCCCTCTCTCTCCCTCTCTCTTTCTTCTCTGGCGGATAAAGCACACCCCGCATCATGAGTGTGTCGCCATTGAACCCGTGGTTAATCGTACTACGTACCAGACTACCAGACATAGTTGGAAGGTTCAAGGTTGGGGGGTGATGGGGGCCAGAACATGGGTGAGGGGTGAGTGAGGTGGTGAGAGGTGAGGGGTCACAGCTGATGGACGATCATGTCTCCCCCACACCACCAAATCAGCGGCCAGGCTTGCTAGGTACAAAGCATGTACGTGTGTATGCTGTCGGTGGAAGTGGCCATTATTAAGGGTCTCACGTCTGGTGCTCTGCAGTCTGTCACAGGCAGAAACAGGCGGCGATGTTGATCAGACTAGCGGCGTTACCAGTCTATTTCGCAGGGATTTGCCCCAGAAGCTGCGCCAGGGTCCTTACCTAACTGTTACGGTAGCCCGCTAAACTGATTGCACTTTCACAAAACTATTGGGAGCGTTTGTATCGCGACTTCCCCTCATTGGGATTCGCCTGTTCTTTTTGAAGTTCAAGTCTACAAAGTAAGTCTAAGTCTAAGTCTAAGTCTAGGTTCAGGTTCAGGTCCAGGTTCAGGCCCAGGTCCAAATTCAGGTTCAGGTTCAGGTTGGAGAGCTTCTCAACTCCAAACACTCCCAGAAACTCGGCCATATCAACTCAAACTCAACTCTTGCCCATTTACACCCACCTAGACTACCGATAGTAGACACCATCACACCCGCAACCAATCTTCTTTTTTCCCCGATCCCGAGACCGGACTGGTATCTTCTCGTAATCCCGACAACCCCCCCACGATCGCCACTATAACACCGTCGCCCGTGCGAGAGCGTCCGTCCCAGACGGCGAACGAGAACGTGAACGAGAACGAGCCTCCTCCTGTTCCCGTTCCCGTTCCTGCTGTTCCCACGGCTACATTTACAACTGCAACCACAGCTACGGCTTCGTCCCCAACAATACCCATCGCGCTTGTGCCGCCCGTATTCCATCAAGACAGCCGATCATCGGTTTCTCGACCAAGGATAACGACGGCCGCAGAAATCTTGTTCAACCCGCGCTACACATCGCAGCAGCCTCGTGCCGCTTCTCCTGACCCCGCCGTGTTTAGCACCTTTCCGACGAGCTCTGTTCCAGCCATGGACGCAAAGAGACACCCCAGCTCCTTTCAGCAGCTGGAGAAGCTGGGAGAAGGCACTTATGCTACCGTACGCTTCACCTCACGAGATATATCTATCTGTACGTAGTACCTGCTAACCCCCGTCCCCAGGTCTTCAAGGGCCGGAACCGGCAGACAGGTGAGCTCGTTGCCTTGAAGGAGATCCATCTCGACTCGGAAGAGGGCACCCCTTCGACCGCCATTCGAGAAATCTCTCTCATGAAAGAGCTCAAGCACGAGAACATTGTGGCATTACATGACGTTATCCATACAGAGAACAAGCTCATGTTGGTCTTCGAATACATGGATGGCGACCTGAAGAAGTACATGGACACCCACGGAGACCGCGGCGCTCTGAAGCCAATGACAATCAAGTCTTTCATGTACCAACTCCTCAAGGGCATCGATTTCTGCCACCAGAACAGAGTCCTGCATCGGGACCTGAAGCCTCAGAACCTCCTGATTAGTCCTAAGGGTGTATTGAAGCTTGGCGATTTTGGCCTGGCTCGTGCCTTTGGAATTCCAGTCAACACGTTTTCCAACGAGGTCGTCACCCTCTGGTATCGCGCCCCAGATGTCTTGCTTGGAAGTAGGACTTACAACACAAGCATTGATATCTGGTCGGCGGGATGTATCATGGCCGAGATGTACACCGGTCGCCCTTTATTCCCCGGAACGACAAACGAGGACCAGATTGTCCGTATTTTCCGCATCATGGGCACACCCACCGAAAGAACTTGGCCTGGTATAACTCAGTTTGCCGAGTACAAGCCAAACTTCCAGATGTATGCCACTCAGAACCTGCAGTCTATCCTCCCGCAGATCGACCAGCTGGGCATCGACCTCCTGCAAAGAATGTTGGTTCTTCGTCCCGAGCATAGAATCAGTGCCCATGATGCTCTTCAGCACCCTTGGTTCAATGACATTGTCATGCAGCAACAAATGCAACAGCAACAGCAACAGCAGCAGCTGCACGCCCAATCTAGAGGGTATGCGGCACAGGACTCGGTTCCATCACAAGCGGCTTACAATAGTGGTTATTAGATACGGTCAGCAGAACTAGGAATCAGGACTTATCCTATAACGTATGCGTCCTCATATCCGATCGAAGAAGCAGTGCATATTTCGGCCGAAAACGTTGAGACGTTCTTAGTAGAGTTCATCGACGAGGTGGGATGCGGGTCGCAAAGTCCACAAGCGTAAAAAGGTGTTATGGAACTTAGGCTGCGGTCGGGATTTCAGCATTATTGCGGCAAGGGCGTTTCAGGTGGGCTTTTTCTTCTTCTCTATTTGTGAAATTCTGTTCTTTTTCTTTTTGGGGGGCGGGGGGAGGCTCTCTTGTTCGGTGGCCCCGACTGCACCTGGATCCATAGAGCTGGCCGGAGATGAATTGGCCGCACTCGGTTTCTAATGATAATACCCAAAAACATTGCATGTTATTTTACGTTCGACCAAGTGCGAGGTAGAAAGAAATCCTCGTGACAAGTAAAGTAAGGTTAGTGTCTGACGAATTGACGGCTACTGGCTGCTGGCTGCTACTAACAGCAAAACCTGGTAGGCATGCAGTGACACTTTGCATCGGAAAGCATTAGACTAGGCAAACTATGCAGGATTGCGGGTGACATGGTCTTTTGATTACCTCAAGCCTTGCCCACTATATGTATCAGCTTTACGAGCTAAATCTCCTATTTGTGTGTATATGCTCTTGAGAGGGCCATCCCTCCACTGTCCAAGTCCATTCCGTGCAAACCACTCCTCCTTATTTCGGTTTCGTGATCTCAAAGAACTCCTTCAAACCATCGACAACCACGTCAACGTTCATGTTGACGAGAGGCATTTTGTCGTAGCTGTCCTCCTTCATGATCGCTACAAGGGCCAGGTACTTGTCGACCTCTCGCAGCATGATCGGTCTGTTTCCGTCGGTCAGAACCATGCAGCTCTCTGCCCAATTGCTGGCGACTTGATCCTCGAGCTTCTGGTTCCATGGTTCACCTTCCAACAACTCCCGGTAGCCTTGGGATCGTGGCCAACTGCCGTACACTTCCGTCAGGTCAATAATGACATCGATGTAATCCGAACAAATCTCGTAGCTGGCCATGTCTGCAGGCGCACTGTCCGTGGCGATGTAGATCTTTGACAGCACGTCAAAAAGATACGCCTTCTCGAAGCGGCACGTACGGCAAAGGTTGGTAAGCATTGCCTCAAGGCTGCCGAGGCGTGGTATCAGCTTCTGGATGACCTTGCTGAAGGCTTCGAAGATACTGTGGTTGTAGATACTCGTAAGGTGGAACCTCAACGGTACATTGTCGAATCCGTGGTCGGACAGCTCGTCCTGGATACGTATGGTGATATCCCGCTGTATGTCCAGCTTGTAGTCGTCAGATAGACCGTCCACTTTGTGAATAAATACCTCAATCTTGATATTCGGAAATCTGCTCTGCAGGTTGAGGATGGTCACATTGAGTCGCGCCACCGCTTCCATGTAATCGTCTTGAGCGTCAATCACCCATATCAGTGCTCCAATCTCTCCGAACATGGCATCGATGTCGAAAGTTGGGTTTTCAAATATGTCAATTTGACCTGGAAAATCCCAAACTTGAAAGTCCATGAAAGATCTAAGCGAAAATTAGTGTGGCTCTCACAAGAAAATACAAACGAATCTTACGCCATTGAGTCTTTCTGTATGCGTGCTGTAGATTCCAGAAATAGCGTTTCACTAGGAGGCAACTTGTGGAATACGACGCTTGATATTGATGATTTGCCACTCCTGGATCCAGTCAGCATGGTCATGGACATGGGCATAGGCGTGTTCTATGTAGCTGAGACAATATACCTTCTCTGGCCCATCAAAAGTAGTCTGGGCTTTCCTTTTGCCGGAGGACCTGCGTTCGCCGGCTCCGGGGCTTGCGTGCCATTCTGTTTCTGCTGAATTCGGAGACGGTTCTGTTCGAAGACACGTTCAAGATTTAGCTGAGCTGGACTAAGAAGGCCTTGTAAACGTTCTGAAGATGCTCGGGAATCTCTTGACCTGGGAGCAACATCCCATCCACTTAAATGAGAAAACATTATAACCGGCAAAAATGTAGCAAGAGAATAAGGGGAAGAAAACGAGATGGTGATCCCAAGATCTTTGGTTTCCCAGTCTCATCAATGCCCAGTAGATGGCTTTCGCCAGGTGCCTGCTGTTCTACAGTCGGGTCTCTTGCCATATCATCTGGACTTCAGGAGCCTCTCACTGGTTTATGACGTTGCAACTAGCAACGTTTTTGATTGGATTCTGCCTGCACTTTGCTCCAGCGAGCCAACCCACAGACGAAGCTGCCGAAGACAATTCCCTTAGACAATGACCGGACCACCGATTTCATTAGAGGTGACGTCGGCACGGATGCAGGCAGGCAGTCCGTTCAGCCATACGCTTGGTGTTTGCTGAAACTATTCTTTCTTTGGAAGACAGAGACAAGTTGTCGACTATGAATCTCTGGGTGAACAGGTACAGGACCATGGGTGATCTCACGGTTCCACGACCAAGCAGCTTGTGTCTCTGCCCAAAAAGTGACCCAATCCTCATGCCTGTCGAGCTCGGGCCCGCTTGTGACGCCTGCCTGGTTTTATCGTTTGCGTTTGGGCAAATTCATACCTGACTGCCGCGGAGAGGCCGATGAACCCATGAAAGTTTCACATCCAAGAAGCTCTATCGCTTGTCTTAAGCATCTTGGGACAGAACCCTTGTACCCAGGTTCTGCGGGTATTTCTGTACCACTCGGCAGGTTTGTTGGCGGGTTTTAGACGAACTTGACCAAGAACAACTCAGGGTTGCAAATGAAGGGATTCCCGGTCACTGACAGAAACAAAAACGTCTTACCTCCATGATTTCAGCACCCAGTGGACAAACTGTCTCAGTGTCTCTAATATCCGAATCACTGTTCAGTCCTCCCCTCCACCACAGCTGCACCGATGAGCTAAGCAGCAGCGCCCGTCCGTTGCGTCCTGCCCGCCCTTTCTGGCCACAAAGGTCAAATTGGAGGTATCCCGGTTTCTGGGCGTCGCGTAAGTCCCTACAATTATGTGGTGATCCAGAACTCGAACAGATTTGGTGTTCTGTCGTACAAGCTCGGCGTCTGGTGACAGCAGCCGAGTTAGTCTTCGTCTTGAGGAGCAAACAGCCAATCAGCCATGGAGATAAAACTCTCTTCCTCCGATAACGTTGAGATGTGCTTGACGGCGATGTGCCTCCTCAGCCTGCAACTATTGTCGATATCTGCTTTTAAGCAGTGGTGATGTGATTGATTGAAGTCAATTCAGAACAGGCGCGCGGTAGGACAAGTCAGTCCTGACCCTTTGCAATTGCTGCTACCACACGCTCGATAACCGTGCTCGATCGAGCAATGCACCCGGATGAATGGGTAATTTTGAATGCCTTTGATCGCGCAAATATCGTTGCATGTGACGAGTTGATTGATGCAAAGTACGAAGTCACACTCACTTCTGCAAGGCTGATAGATCTAAGATGTGTGGGGGAATTGGCAGGTGAGGCTAATGATTAGAGAGACAGTGTCTCGCTTCACTAATTTTGCACTGTACGCGTACGTTGTCCACTCAACTAAAGCTTCCAGATCTCGGCGTGAGCCTCACAAATTCAATTAGACGAGTGATTCATTATTCATTGCACATTCAAACGGCACATTGATACCAGGCTTTCTCTTCATGCTTATTCCGTGTTACATACCTGAATTAGTCCTCATGCCTGGACATATACTATGTGCCGCCGTTAACCACAGCTTGACAAAGGGGCACCCACTACAATCATTGTTTGAGCTACACCGAGAGTGAAATGAGTACGGGCAACTGATGATGAAATATCTATCAATGTGCAATGCTAGCTCAAGCAAACATAGCTAGGAAACAATGCATTATGGCGATCTGTATATTTTTCGCCGATCAGACTATTTCTTGATCTCATGCTACATGGATGGTATCAATAGAGCGAAGTGCAGTACAGATGACTACAGAGCAGGTGAAGCTGAAGATGTCTTTGGACAGCGCGCCTTACTTGAAGTCTTGCCGCCAAACAAAGCCGTGACGAAGCTCTTCCTACGAGCTGCTGTCCTGGTAGGCTTCTGGTCCTGCGGTGGATCCGCTGGCGGTGTGGGAGGATGCTCTGACATTGCTGTTGTGATCATAGGAGTTTCATCTGTGCTAGCTGGTGGTGTTGGCAGAGGGTCGGCTCTAATGTTTCCAGGCGTAGACGGTCGCAAAGTCGCAAAAGACTGCGTCTAAAATTAGTTTCATGTGATCCACAAATACCGATGGGAGAACTCGGGCCTGAAACCTTGTTGTTAGTGATGGCATGACTTACGCGCACACTAAGCCTTTTGCTGTTTTTCGATGGCTTCAAGGACTCACGTCCGGGTTCGTGATGGCCATTTAAAGCCCTCTCCAACTCGTCCATCTCACCAGCCAGTGTTTTGCCGGCACAGGCGACGTCCTCTTCCGGCGTCGCAACGAACCGCACGTATCCTCTGGAGGGCGCAACACCGAGACTTTCCTGTAAGTGACTCTGGATAAGGGCTGCGTTTCTCTTGTTCGTGGTCGGTTGAACCAGGCTCGGCAATGCAAAGACTGTCAGGGTATATGCAGGATCGAAAGAGCCGCCAAACATCATGCAACACCCATGCTGAAGGTTGATGACAATGGATGACATGGACCTCTGATACCGATTGGACAGTTGGTACGAAAGATCAGTGATGAAGGTAAACTCGTCTTGTATCTACCCAGGAATTGTAAGTGGAGGGCCAAACCCCAACGAGCAAGGCAACGTACCATAACATTCGTCCGTAACTCTGCGAGGACGATAGCTTCATTTCGTACTCTGTCTTTTGTGGGATCGGCTTCTCGCCCGACCGAGAACTCATTCTCGTAGTATGCGCTTCTCTTCTTCGCCAGCCCGGGCTGAAGTTGCGATTTGCGGCGGCTGCTCATAATATCTCCAGGAGGGGGCCGTTCAATGTCCCTTATTACATTGTTACCCTCCACGATACTGGTCTTTAAAGGTCGTGACAGTTGGACTTTTCGCTGTGCAAAAGACAGAGAGGCGGAAGAGACGACATCTTGTCCCTGATTTTGATTTGCCGTCGAGTTGACCGACTTATTAGGCAAATGGGGTTGTTTGACACCCGGGCCTGGGGTAGCTGATCGTTCCATCCTCTGGGATGAGCGATAGCACGGACTAGGCTTGCCAAGAGGGTATAGTTTCACGCATCAGGTGGTGGTGAGGGTGCTAGTTCCCTGCTGAGTAGAGACTCTTGTGGGTCTGAGCGACCTGAAGAATGTCGTATTTCAGACCAAGCTGAGAGCTTTGTGGAGTCGCAATGACTAATGCAGAAAGACACCGGTGATCACAATGCTAGTGCTCGTTTGTAGTGTTCTAACCTTAGATGGATCGCAAGTTGGGTAGCGTGTTTGTCGAGCTTGATGGTGTTCAACACATTGTTGAACATTCATGCAGCACAGAAAAGGTTGACCACTCGAGGTTCTTACGGGTGTGTTGCAAATGGACGTAAAACACAAGATACTGCAGCCGAAAAAGAAGCAGAGAAAACAAAAGAAAAGAGAAAAGGAAAATTATTCCGGAGAAGAGTGCGGCACCAGAGATGGGATTCCTAGAAGCGGATTAACATCATGCTTGCCAACTCCTGTACGGATGCAGGTTGCAGTGTTGCAGGATAAGAGAAAAGTGAATCGCTTCAATGGGAGATGTTTGCTTGACTCGAAACCTCAAAAACAGCACCGGATACGCAATGTGCTCACAGCATATCCACCAATTGAGCAATTGAATGGGCACTTAATATAAAAGATAAGTGACCAATGTGGGATGAGGTGACATGAGGATGATATCGAGCTGAGAAAGATACGCCTACCTACAGTAACGTAGGGACCGCCGTGTTACACGTTAGCCGATCACAGTGGAAGCTTTCGACCGCACTAACCTTAGACGTATGTGAGAGACTGTAAAGTAATCGAGACATCACAGCATTGGGTGATCGGGAGAATCCCTAAATTCGGCATACATCTAAATTTGTCAATTATGACAACGCCTTGCGTCGGTGTTTGTGTCCTACAACACGGTTAATGGTGGTGATAAGGATAGTTGCATCCTCCTGTTGGGGAAGCAAATTCCCCACGGATCTGGCCAGCGATGATCCTAGCGTGGATCATCTAAATAAATGAAGGGTGCGACCGGCAGCCGTCATTCACAGTACGAAACCAGCCAGTAATCTTTGAGGCCATGACATTTCCGCAAGAATAGAATTCGACCGCAAAGGCGTGGCCTGCAAAACTCGTCCGAACCTATGCACAATTGATCCAAAATTTGAATTTAAAAATTTGTACATAGGTAATTTTTCATGGCCGACAGATCAAAGCAGGAGACGTAGCAAAGCTGAAAATTAGGAGACAGGACTTCGCAGACTAAGAGTATCGTACGGATCCGTATGGATGATGTGTACACTCCACCAGCCTGCTCAGAGCTGGGTGTTCAATTTGACAGCACAAGAGCAAGCTTGAGTTGTCGCCTGAGAACCACCAGTCTGCTCGGTCGCTCAAAACAAAGTTTTTGGTCTTTTTTTGGGGCTTAAAAGATGTTCACGTTCTGCTAGGAATGTCGTCTTGATACCCGGGGTTAGTCCCGATTTCTTCTTCTTGCTTTCTCTGTTTTCTTTTCTGTTGAACAACAGCTTTGCTTAGTTGCTCGACCCAACACGGTGCTACTCAATGCAAATTTGGTCACATACAAATGGTCATTGTACGGTCAAAGTACTCTCCGGCTCAAGCATCGTGCAAGTGACCGCAAGACCGCCCACTCAACCCATTTATACCACCAGCAGGAGAGCCTCAACGCGTTCACTGCGTGGCACGGAGCCAATAGAACACCAATATCATACTGGCACAAGTCTGACGTAAAACGGCAATTAAAATAAAAATAAAAATTCGGACGAGGCGATACTCCCATTTCACTTCCGATATCCATCGTCGCCTTGGAGGTTTAATGTTGTAGAATTACAAGGTGGTTATTATTCAGCTAAGTCCAGACAATAACAGCATACCAGATAGTTCGCTGTACACCTCAGAACTCGCTCCATTCCAGGTCGTCTAGTCATAGTGCATACAATATCACCTGCGCAAACCCGTTTCACGTCAAGCCACCTGACATAACCCCCCTTTCCAATCACAAAAAGATTTACCTTGTGTGACTTCAAACCCATCCACTACTGCTACAACGATCCACACGGCACCTGGATACAGCCCCAATCTCTGCATTCATAGCAGCGTGAAGCATAAAATTCTCGAGGGGAAAGCTTGGCCTCCCCTTCTCAAGCAGATGGAGTAGGGCTGCCGCGCTTTGTGGAGCGTGCGAGGCCAGCGGCCTTTTTCTCCAGTGCCAGCTGGTATCCGGCCAAAGACAGAATAACAGCCTCAACGGGCACCAGAATAACGGACAGGTAGAGTGCAGTTTTGCTCTCCCGGCAAAGCGTACCAAAATAAGGTTGTACCGTCATCTCAATGGACTCCCACTGGCAGCTCCAGCTTTGCAGTGTATCAACTGTGCTGGATGTGTTAACAGCATAGAAGAGGATCATTGCGATCGTGGATGCAGTGAATCCAACGAAAGGTGTGACAAGTGTCAATGGTGTGTGGATAGCAACTCGGCTACGGAGCTGAATGACATTCACAGGTCAGCACATATTCACTGTGAAAAAGGACAACGACCAATCCTTACCGACGCCGTCTTGCTGAAAGCTAGTGATAGGATGCTGGCGAGGACGACGATCGCACTTCCTATCACAAGGGCAACCGTTGGGCGAGCATCGAACTCATCGGGCCACAATGGGAGCAAGAAATTCGTCGCCAATGATGTGTTGTTGTAAACGTCCAGAGCATGGCCAGAAGTCCCCAGGATAGTGATACCGGAAAGCAGAGCGAGCAGGGTCAAGCCGACTCTGGCGCCATCAACAAGACGTATTGTTCGAAGATGGGAGTGGTGTTGCAAGTCTTGAGGATCAACCTCGAACTCCGAGGTCGAAACCGGGCCCTTCGTATCATGGGACATTATGAAGAAATAACGAGTGTCGATCTGTTACAACTTTACCAGAAAGATGGGGAGGACAATAATAATAAACACCAACAATGTGACTAAATGACACAAAAAACAAGAAATAAAAGGTAGAGGAGCGCTTGAAGAAACGAATAATGTTGAATGCGAATAGAAACAAAGTTAACCCACCTCCAGGAAATGCGAAACAAGTGATTATAATGATGAGTCCCAAATAGCCGCCCAGAAGCGCCAATACCAGATCAAAGTCTTGTCAGGTTCTAAAGGTGTGAAGCACCAAGGATAAACCTCAAAGGTGCATACGGCATAATTAGAGCGTTGCGCTCATGCACTGTGAGCGCCTCGCGGCGGCCATTTGGAAAGGCCATCGCCAGTGGTCGATAAGGACAGCTTTGAATGCAAGAATGAGGAGCTGTCTTGGATTGGCTGCAGGTTTTGCTTTAGGCCCCAATTTGGCACATCTGGGCGCCTAGGAGATCGTCTAGCCAATGAATACAGGGCGTTAAAACGAGACCATACCTACTGCATCCCCGATTGGCTCCACGGCCTACCTAGGTACCTGCATGTGCCCAGATTTCTATTTCTATTCAGGAGGTTCAACGTTTGGGTCGATACGTATCAACTTTGCAGTTACGTTCAGCAAGAAAACATGACCATTTATTTGGTTTGTACATTGTTAGTATCGCGCATGAATAAAGTAGTCGTCTAGTCACGTCATGGTCTCACCACCCTGGCTTAAGCTCTATTGTGTAGGATGTTAATGCTATTGTTAATTTGCTCCTTGAGCTTCGATCGTGATTTGAACGACACGTCTGCCTCGGCCTGACTTAGATGCGAAGCGGTAGGATTGTTAGCCAAAGTATTGAGACGCGCACATATATCTGGGCATGGGGCCAGGTGCTCGTTCTCAACTTTGGCAAATCAAGTTCTGGCCCGCACGTGGCACATAGTCGCAAGCAATTCACCAACTAAATTCCATGTCGCATATTGCAATGCCCTAGATGCCTCGAAAATATCATAAGCGCTATGATTTTGAACAGATAATGATGTACGCTGACCCTTTGGTGGTGGCTTCGTAGCCATTCCCACATCACAACCGCACTACAGGTACTTCTTGGGCGACGTCTTCTTGCGCTCGTACCAAATATATGCAGCCACCAATACAATTTGACTCCCGATAATGACGAAGATCAACTTTCCGTGGGTGGGCTGGGTCTTTTCAGCAACATGCAAGAGCATATCGCCATGAGAAGTGCCGAGCAACTTCTTGATTGCATTCTCCGAGTCCTTGACCTTGTTGGCTGTGTCCTGTTTGATTGTCTTGATCTCCCGCTCCAGGGACACAATCTGGCCTTGCAGGCCATCAATCTTGTTCAGCTTCTCTAGCCTGTCTAACAGGCCTTTGATCTCATTGATTGCGGTCGAGGTTTCCTCGTGGCGCCTCTCCCCAATGCTGTCTTGCGTTGCTACTTTTCGGAAGATTGTTGAGAGATGGTGGTTTACACTTTGTAAGCGATTATGTAAATCGGAGAACTGGGCCTTGGAGCTGGTGATAGAGTCGGCAGTGGCATCGGCAATGTCCTGCTCCCATGCACTGTCATCAAAACGCATGTTCTTTTCGTAGCCGTGACCACCCGGATTGGTCCAAGTGTTCTGCTGTTGCTCCTGGGAGTTGAGCTGTTGCTGGGGTGGCGCTTCGTGCTGCTTGTTGAGGTCCTCGGTCATGACGACGAACTTGAAAATCTCGAAGGAGTCTGGGTTCTCGGCACTGGCAGCAGTGAGGCCGAAATTGTATCCCGGGGGGATTTGAATGTTGCTGCTCTCGAAGCAGAGCTGGCCGTCGACGTCAACACGGAAGTTACTCACAGTTTGACGCAACTTGATCTGGGAGGGCCGGCCAAGATTGCGGTAACTATAATCGCAGTGGCCAAAGGCCAGACTGTCGACGCTGTGATGGTTGCTGTAGTCTGTGGTGCCATCATTCAGGAAGCCACGAATCATGCCAGCACCTCCGCCAGAACGATCAATGACCAAGGCCAAGCCATCGAAACGTCCGACCTTGTATATACTCGCTGTGCCAACTTCTTGGGGGCCACGGCGCGCCAGCCAGATGTTGAGGTTACCGCCGGCTCTTTCGGGGCCGTTGACACGAAAATCAACGTCTGCTACCCATTCTTTGTACTTGTTCGGGTTGTCGCCCCAAACCGCGCCTCTAGCATTGCCTGGCGACGGCTGTGTGAGAATGATTTTATTGGAAAGGATCTCTGGTGTGTTGGGCTCTCCTTGCAAGGAGAATTGAGGAACTGTTTGTTGGCCTTTGTCATTTATCCTGCGGAAGAGTCAGCATGTGATATGAGATGCGACGCGATGCCTCGCCTTGGGAGAACATATTGTCCAAGACATAGAGTTCTTGAGCTTACCTGCCAGTATAGCCGAAACTGAGTTGATCTACTAGAAACTGAGCTTGAGCTTCAGCGACGGAAATTCCAGCAAGCAATCCGGCTAGCGATGCCGGGCGGGAGAAGCGCATCTCTATGCTTTGGACAAGGACTAGGGAACAAAAAAGCTAGGCGGAAGCTGCAAATGAGATGAACTGACAAGCGCGAGATTTTGTGATGTGCGAAGAAGAAGAAAAGAGAAAGAAGAAAGAAGAAAAAAGACAGTGAAACCGTCGCACAAATTCTACACGACTTGCTCCTTGCGCTCGTGGTGGATTTGCTGTATCTGAAGCTGAGGACACTTTGTCTCCAAAACCGGGGACGGTGGTGAAGCTCAATGCGGGCCGGATCCCAGCGTTGGTGTACGAGTAGGGGCCAGCAGGCCCAAGCAGGCCCAAGCAGGCCCAGAGGCAGGGGTCTTGGATGCACATCAGACAGGCATGCCCATCTCCCATGCGCCCCCCTCCGAGGAAGACTCGTTCTTTCTGGGGAAAGCTTGTGGTGCAGGCGACTTTACAAGTCTACTGTAAGAATTGCTTGGTACATTGTACCTATGTAGCCACCGCAAACTAAACTAACCTGGTGCCTGGTAGCCGGCCTGGTTACTTAAGCTTGCAGCGTCGTGCACCCACTAATACCATAAGAACAATGTCTTGTCCTCGGAGCTTATGAGAATATCTCACTGGAGATATTCCGTCTCTATGCTGCCACTATGAGTCCTACCCACTGTAGGCAAACAAGGTCTTGACCAAGCATCACTTCTAGCTGATGTCCATGACTGGTGTACCATGTAGAAGTCGGGACGTTAGGGGTTCAGTCCGTTGGAGCCAGCCAGACTCATGTGGGGTAAAGGCTTGATTGAAACAATGGAGAAAGTGAGTTAAGCGTGGTTCTGTCTAGGTTAACCGTAAGTTCCTGTGCCGGGTTCTGTTTCTGTTCACGTTCCTGGGGATGCCACGCTACAGCCAGGCGGTTACTCTCTACCAAAGTTTGCAGTACGTATGTGGGCAGTCACCACGACGCGTTGTGAGCCGTGCATGTACTGAGCAGTAACTATATACCCATACTATGTATCCACTGGCGAAGGTCGGGAACACCCCGCTGACATCTACATTGACGGGAATCTTTGAAAAGCGGTAGAGCCCTCCAAGCAGTGACTTGGATTTCGCGACAAGGCTACTGTAGTTCCGGGAACCCCTTTGTTTGTGACTTTTTAATACTATAGGAAATCACTATCGGCATGGCCTAGGTTACTGTACTTGGACCAAGGTATATTCTGGCGCTGGCCCCAAGACATACCTATCCACTAACTTATGTACCGGCGGGGGGGTTATCGGTGCTTCGTGGCCTTTGACGCCGATTTCGAGCGGCGCGTCACAAAAAGTTAACGACGTCGTTTGCTCACCTGCGCGTGCTTTCCTACCATCTGCAGCACCTCACCAAAGCTAATACCCGCTTATACGCCGCCTACAAAGCTCAAAGCTACACCATAACGTGCGCCTGGCAGGCAATGACCTTACAAGCATGACAGACATCTACCCAACAATCGCACAATGCGCAATTGTCGCGACCGCCTTCAAGATCCTGCTCTTCCCAGCTTAGTACGTGACGCCTTTAACCGAGGTACATGATACTTGGTAGCGAGCTACAACAAGAACTCAGGAGGCGCTGACAGCTGTATAACAGTAAATCAACAGACTTCGAGGTTCATCGCAACTGGCTCGCCATCACCCATAGTCTGCCATTGTGGGAGTGGTACTACGAGAAGACATCAGAATGGACTCTCGACTACCCGCCCTTCTTTGCCTACTTCGAATGGGCCATGTCCCAAGTCGCCAAGCTCGTCGATCCCTCCATGCTCAAGATCTACAACTTGGAATACGATAGTTGGCAGACGGTTTACTTCCAAAGGTTCACCGTCATTGCCACCGAGCTGATTCTCATATATGCCCTGCAAATGTAAGTCTGGTTCTCCCGAATATCAGACGCTGGGGAAGCTCATCTTATCCTAGCCTCATCGATGCCAACAGCGGAACAACAAAGAAGGCTGCACAGGCTGCAGCTATTTCCGTTTTTCTTTCCCCCGGTCTTCTCATCATCGATCATATACACTTCCAGTACAACGGATGTATGTACGGCATCTTGATCGCGTCTCTCGTCCTGGCAAAAGAAAGATCGGGCCTCCTCCCAAGTGGGCTGATATTTGCCGCGTTGCTTTGCATGAAACACATTTATGCTTACCTTGCACCCGCATACTTTGTATATCTGCTGCGCGTCTATTGTCTCTCACCCAAATCTGTCTTCCGCATACAATTTCTCAACTGTGTCAAGCTCGGCGCCGGCATAATCGGGATACTTGGAGTCGCGTTCGGACCGTTCGCCATCAAGGGCCAGATTCCTCAAATTCTCAGCCGGCTGTTTCCTTTCTCTCGCGGGCTTTGCCATGCTTACTGGGCTCCCAACATGTGGGCGATATATTCATTTGTGGACCGCCTCCTGATCCTTGGTACGTTGCACGGTTCTCACATCGAAGAACAGGTTACTTACACCAGATAGTTGCTCCACGACTCGGATTGCCGGTGAAGACCGAAGCATTGAACAGCGTCACTCGAGGGCTTGTAGGAGATACTTCTTTCGCAGTCCTTCTTGAGATCACCCCTAGACTTTGCTTCCTCTTGACACTTCTCTTCCAGGCCATTCCCCTGGTCAAACTCTTCCTCAAGCCAACTTGGGACGGGTTTGTTGGAGCTGTCACGCTCTGCGGTTATGCATCGTTCCTCTTCGGGTGGCATGTTCACGAAAAAGCTATTCTGCTGGTCATTATCCCTTTCAGTCTCATTGCGCTCAAGGATCGCAGGTATCTCAGTGCCTTCCGTCCCTTGGCAGTGTCCGGTCATGTTTCCTTATTTCCATTACTTTTCACACCTGCCGAGTTTCCTATCAAAACAGTATACACCATATTTTGGTTGATACTGTTCCTGATGGTCTTTGACCGACTAGCTCCAGCATCAAATAGGCAGCGATTCTTCTTGTTCGACCGCTTCACGGTACTGTACATCGCAGTCAGCATACCTCTGATTGCATATACATCGCTCATACACCAGATGGTGTTTGGCAAGAGTTATGAATTTCTTCCGCTGATGTTTACGAGCTCTTACTCGGCGATTGGGGTAGTTGGAAGTTGGCTCGGTTTCATGGTTGTGTATTTCACCTCGTAGAAATCAACAGTGGCTAGGACAGCAACAACAAGAAAGTAAAGTATATAGAAGACTATACACGCGAAATGAAATATCAACCAGTCGTAATTTATAGCCTGTATTTCTATTCGAAAAGTTCGCAGAAAGTGGAACTTGGAGTGTGATTGCTGGATGTGTCGTCATGCGAGGCACGCACACACTGGCTTTTTTCCTAACCTTAGGGTGGTCGGTCACCTACATGATTGTTTGAGCCGCAGGGTTGGCTTTCTTCCCACAACGATCCCTGCCGGCTAGTCCGCTGGGCTCAGTCTCACACAAGGGGTCCATTCTTCACAGACGAGTTTGGAAATCCAAGAATAGAGATTACCAGCGTTGAGGATGCGCTCTGACTACTCCCTCGATACTCTCGATACCAGAAGTGCCAAGGTGGGGTTTTATCAAGATATTTGTTGGCATTGGGATTCGAGAGCAGGGAGTGAAGGCGGCGGCCGGGTTATACTAGGTTGTACCTCACCAAAGCGACGGTAAAAAACGAGGTCTTTGGCGCCTGCAGATAGTTGAATGGTCACGAGAGGAAATGAGTACTGTTTGCAATGTCGCCGATGGGTTGTCGGCTTGAGAGCAGGCGTCTAGCATGTCGTCTATGAGGAGGCAACCTGCGCCTGGATCGGGCTACCTTGAAGGTGAGAATGGGCCAAATCACACTTGGAGGGATATCTGATGCTGATGACGTCCAAATCTAGTGATTTGGAGCTTGGAAGATTCCCCTCGCAGCGACGAGTAGATCGAGTACAAGAACGTGGGCGTATCCGCAGAATGCGGTCTGATGCATGCGTAAAAAGAAGAAGTCGATGGGGTAGGTAGGAGATGTTGCTCTAAGGTCCACATTCAATCGAGGTGGACTCCTGGACCCAATGGAGCAATGGGCTATCCACAGTTGGTATGACGAGCCAGTGATATGCGAGCTGCAGCTCGTCTACACCCCCGGTCTGTCTTTCTCTTCCCGTCCGCGTCCGCCTCCCTGGAGGTCATTGACCTGACTAGTAGCACTTGAGTCCTCCCGCTTCCTTACCTGCCTTTGCTTCCTCCTCTACTCAAACCTGCGAAAACTTTGTCAAGAACAACATAGCAATTGCACATCACCGCATCAGCCCACGACGTCGACTTGCATCCGCCACCACTAGCAGATTAATCCTTGCGTCCCTGCCAGGTGGATCAGACGCGTCTTATAGAGCCCAGACCGCGTCCTGCTAGATTGAAGGCCAGGTACTGTATGTATGTGTATGCTCTTTCATCTCAGTGCCCGCCCTATTCTTCGCTTTTCTGACTACCCAAGCCTGCACTACCCACATGGGGGGGGGGGCCCTTACTCGCCAACCAAACACCACGACCCCTTCCTTGACGCGCTTTTCTTCCTCACTCCCACCATTATTTTTTTCATTCTCGTTTTCTTCACCCAACTACTTGCAGCACCCAGCTCACACGAACGAGGCTGATTCTCAGCCTTGCAGATTGATCGGCCACTAGTTACCCGGCAAAGGTCGCCGGCTACCTTGAATTGTTGCCCGCTGTTATGGTAAGAGAAGCTTCCAACTCCAGACTTCCTTGACCAGTATCTGACATGCTCAGGTGCTTTTCAAGCGCAAGCCGGTGCAGTTTCTGCAGACGCCGGTAGTAGAAGATGAGTCTCTGGAGGTAGGTACCTGCGCTTGCTCCGCCTATTCCCTTATTTCTACCATGAAACCCCATGCTGAGAAGCTGTCTAGGTGTGGCATATTCCCCAGACGGGGGAAATCTTCGTGTCGTATGAGGAATATCTGAATCGGTAAGTTGGACAGACGTGTTGTGCCTTTTCGCACATGGCTGACAAGTATCTATTTAGCATGGATTTTTATAACCAGGTTTGTAGCACCAACACCAACTCGGTGCACACCCGTCATGGCTTCTCTAACAGATCATTAGCCGCGATTCATCTGCCAGATCACCGGCCACTCTGGCTTGACATTCTTCGCAGCTCTGAGAAGCGAACAGGCTGGCGCCGAAGAGGTAGAGCAAGCTTTCCCCGAAGCACTGAAAGGCCCCGTCTTGCGACGCGTCCAGTTCCAGACCATCTCGCGAATCGATAATCTCGTGGACTTGATATACGACGAGTTCAAGGCCGACTATTACCCTGGAGAAGCTGTCACGATTCACCTCATGAACGGCGACCGCACGACCGGCATCGTCAGGGACAAGGCGCGACTGGGCAGCAAAGTACTACCTGACGGCACTCTCACAGAGCCCTACTCGCGCTACTTTACCAGCATTGACGGCAGACCCGGCGAGGAGGGCGTCGTCGACGAGAACAACATCTACCGTGACAGGAAGATCTTTACCAAAGCCGTGCTCCGATCCTTCATCAAGAAGACCGTCACTCGAGAGGCCTGGACGGGAGCACCTTGGCTTGTTAAGCATGACGTCGCAGCGCAATACCACATCGACACCCGCGTACCTCCGCATTTGCGGTACGACAACAAATTGCTGGAGCGCAAGCAACACCAGGCGCAGAAGAGGGCCTTGGGTGCGCAAGAGATGAACAACTCCAACGGCATCTCATTCCAGGCCACATTCGGACCTACGAGGTTGCCTGAGCTCAAACCCGCGCCCAAGTCCCAGAAACTAGCCCGGCTTCAAGAGCAGCAGTTCAAAGGCAGACAGGGCATCCATGTTGGGCCAGATCCGCACTTTGTGCCTGGCAACAACCCTTTCCAGTTCCCCGTCTCGTACCGCAACAACATGCCACCACCTCCCACGCCTGTCGTATACACGCCTCCTGCTCCACCGCCGCCCCCTCCACCCCCCAAGTATCCAATCGAAGATCTCCAGCTTGAACCGCGCGACGATTACGTACGACCGCCATTGAAGTTCATATGTGCCGACCCCCCTCAGGGTGTGGTTGATAGCGGCGCTCGAAACGATAAGATCCTCATGAAATCTATCGGGCCTCTGTTGGAGACTTGGGATACCTTGAACGTCTATGCCGAGATCTTCAAGCTGGATTCCTTCACGTTCGACGACTTCGTCCAGGCCATGGAGATTGCCAGCGCAGACATCCCCGTTCAGCTTTTTAACGAAATCCATTGCGCCGTCTTGAAGCAGCTCGTGAGCTCCGAAGCAGATGGTGGCAAGCTTTTGGTACGAATGCCAGAGCTTGAAGAGGAAGAGGATGATGAGAGCGAGGACGAAGAAGACCAGAGCCAAATTCCTACCCCAGAGCCAGAACCGCAACCAAAACCGGCAACGCGTGCAACTCGAAGTAGCCTAGCTAAGGCCGAAGCCGAAAGACTACAAGCCGAGACGGCTGCTGCAGAGAAAGAGGAGGTTGAAGCTACCCCAGCTCTAAAACATCGTGCGGCAGAGGCCCTTGCGAACTACGATTGGATTGAACATCTGAAGAAGCGCGACTTTAAAGAAGGCGGGTGGGAGCTCATCATGGTTGGGCTGTTGAATCAGTTATCTCGAGATCCCAGGAAGACCGAGGTTTGCGAGGAGCTGCTAATTCAGCTGGTGCCACCCGACCATGAGCCTACACAAGAGACGGTACAGCAGTGCTACGGCAAGCTTGATCTCAATCTCCGGATTTCCGCTCTCCAGATAATATGTATGTTGACAGTCGGAACCAAGGCCGTCCGTGCGTATATGGAGGACTGCTCCGAGACTATGACTGGCTATCGAAAGGAAAAGATCGAGTGGCAGAAGAATCGAAAGCAGACGTAAGTAATACGCCATATCTAGACACTTTAGATGCGTGCTAACAAATATCATTCCAGAATCGAGGAGCTCAAGGCCCTAAACGATCAGCGCAAAATTCTACTACCTGCCAATATGCCGCAATCTCCCAAGTCCGAGGATGCGCCGGAAACCAATGGTGACGTTAAGATGACGGACGCCGAAGAGTCACAGCCTGAAGAGCCTACCGAAGACATTGTTGATAGTGACGAGGAGACTTCCCTTCGACGTAACACGCGACGCGGAGGCGATCGTGCTGTTGCCCAGAGAAAGCAAAAAGAAAGGGAAGAAGAGCAACGCAAGAAAGAGGCCGAGGCAGCCGCTAAACTCCCAAAGCAGTCGAAACAGTTTATCAAAGTTGTCAAGGATATCCAGAAGAAGGAGGACTATGTCAAGAAATGCGAGGACGAGATTGCGGTTATCGACAACGATCTACGAGAAGCTGATTGTGCGCGCACTCGAGTTCTGGGCAAGGATCGCTTCTGGAATCGATATTACTGGTTTGAACGCAATGGCATGCCCTATGCTGGTCTTCCGACCAGTTCTACTGCTGAAGCAGGTTATGCCAATGGTTGCATCTGGGTTCAAGGCCCCGACAATCTCGAACGGGAAGGCTACATTGATCTCCCCCCAGAGCTGCAAGCCGAGTACAAGCAGAAGTTCAAGATCACAGTGCCCCAGCGAAAGAAGATGGAGGAGGGTCGCACAAGCGTTTTCAACGCGCATCAATGGGGCTATTATTCCGATCCAAACGACGTTGATTCCTTACTTAGCTGGCTTGACCCCCGAGGCTTCAATGAGCTCAAGCTGCGCAAAGAATTGCTCAACTACAAGGAGAAAATTGTTGCCGGTATGGAGAGTCGGGCAAAGTACCTCGCTGCAGTTGAAGAAGCGGAGGACAAGAAGGAGGAAGAACAGTCAAAGGAGCCAAAGCGTATGAGCACTCGCGCTAAGAACCAGCCCTCTCCAGAGCTCCAACCACAACACCGATGTGCAACTTGGTACAACTCTATGGCGATTGACGACATTGGCCACGTACACAGCGAAGAGCCCCCTCCCCCAGAGAAGAAAGCTAAAAAGCCTGCTCGAAAGTCCAAAGGCTAATCCGATACATCAGTTCAGCTGGTTGTTGAAGGTGTTCGGACCGACATGACCAAAATGCCTGCGGTCAAGTCACTCCACAGATGACCGCTGGCATAACAGTTGCATTTTGTTAAAATATTGATTTCTGGCGTCCAAGGGCGCGGTTGCATAAAGGAACGCATGAATAGAATGGACTGGGGTTCTGTCTGCATATACGCAATAGTTTTGAGGGCTGGTGCATCAGCGAGCAAGCGAGATTTATGGCACGACAATCTGGATGGGAGGCAAGATTAATCTTAGATGATTCTCCCAGATGAAGCACGGCGATTGTTTTTATTATTATTATTATTACTATTATCGACCTTTCTTTACGGTAATTGTGAGAAGTTCCCGGTCACGAAGTATCGCCCACGACATCCCTGGAACGGAGAGCAGATCCTCGTGGTGCAGACAGGAATGGAGCATTGCATCATGGCGTAAACTGGTTTGACAATTCAAACAAAAGTTATGTACGCATTCCTTGTTTGGTAGATTAGAGCATATTGCACAATCAGTTAGAGAAACGAATTCGACAACTCCATGCTCATATGTCGAAACTTGAGGGAATCATGAATTGGTAGAGTGAACTGTAGGCGCGTCTGTGCGTGTTTCTGTGTTTTTTTGTGACAGCGATGTAGGAAGAAAGCCGAGGACAACACAAGGCTTTGAAGCAAATTTTACAGACCGTTCATCCACATTGCCACGACAGTGTCCAAGATTGCCTTTGTACTTGAGCGAGGGTAGACTTGTGCATGTCTGAAGCGCAACGTCAGAGCTGGGAGTGATTGGAGGTCAGCGGCATGCGAATTGGGTTTGGCTTGCTGACATCTCACGCTTATTATATCAGCTTCTTTCGTCCTTGGGTTTTTACTTTCCATTTCAAATTCGCACTGTAACTAGCTTGTTAGAATCATAACATCGCTTCCACTCCATCGACAACTGGCATGTATTCCGATGACGTCAAGGCGGTGGCAGTTGGACTAGAAAAAAGTTCGGCGCCGCACCAGCAGCTCTACTAGTGGCCTGACCAGCATAAATCAGCATCATCATCATTTCTTTTCAAATGTTCACAGTACGAAATGCCAGATCGGGCCACGAAAATGTCAATGTTAGGGATTAAGTGAGATGGTCCCAGTCAGTCTTGAGGATCAGGCCTACTAGTTCAGTGGCAGTGAACACACACAGATGGCGATACATCGAGATCATGATTGGCCCGGCACAGACTAAAAAATGCTTATATGGGATCCATTATCGTGGCGGCGCCAACAGCCTTCCAATATCCGTTTTTAGGCAAGGACCCTGAGAAAGGATTACTCCATTGCTTGCAAGCAATGCCCATAGTCCGTTTGAGTGCTTCCCTCGCTACATGTAAAATCCACTCCGTTTTTCGAGTCTTGTCATTGTTATTCCTCTATCTCCTAACCCTGCATTGTATTTCTCTCTCTTTCAAGTGTCTGACCTGTACCCTTCAATGTGAGAGTAACATCTCATTTTGGTAATTTTTTGACTGCACACACGCTCCAACATCGCCTCGGGCCTAGCGACTCCGATCAACCTCGCCGGCCCTTCCGGGACCCTCATTGCTACCGAGGCCCCTTTGGGTACATGTGCTTGTGGGTCTGACTCTATTACGGATTATGATTTGCATCGAACGAAACTTTCTGAGCCACTGATTCTGCTGGTTGGCGGCGTGATCCTGCATTTCAAGAAGGATCCGATGTAACAGGCGCACACCGTTAGGCACCATGGCCAACACGTCTGCACCTGGCGAGCCACAAGCCACGCCTAGTACGTCGACATTGGCATCGTCTTCTCGCCAAGAACCAGAGACGCTGGTCCTGCCACCAGACGAACTTTCGTCCGATAGCAACTTGGAGGATGATCCGTTATTTGCAAACCCGGAGGATGCGCAGTCCATCTTCCAGCCGGCGCTGAGCCCGGCTGCTACCAGACTGACATCGCCCAAAACGCCAGCAGCTGAGAAGGCAGCGGCAATGGAGAAACTGCCTGGCGGTGGAATTTTTGGTGCTTTCGAAGGTACAGCGGTATCTAACGGGGCTACGGGAGCACTTCCGCGAAAACTGGTGAAGCAGGCACCAAATCGCCAAAACCGCGGGCTATCGCTTTGTGAAGTGCCTCCACGATATGTATCTCTGCCCAAACTTCCCTCACCGTGGCAGTCCGGTGCGAAGGATATCATAGTGCAGAATGATCGCACGTCCAGACCGGCGCTATCAGGTGTGTTCGGAGGAACTAGACATAGCAGGTCTTCCTCGGGAGGCGCTGAAGCGTTCAGGAAGCTTAAGGACGCATTACCAAACATCACACTTCCAACCAATCTTTGGTCAAGTCTGCGGTCTCCCTCGTTCCTCTCTGACGGCTCATCGCAGAAGAGCCCAGGTCTGGAAGCTAAGCAAACATCGACTAACGGCAGTATCGGGTCCCCCCAGGTTTCATCGTATGATGGGATCCGGGACAGAGATGGTCACCTGGCGGAGGGGTTTGGGGAATCTTCACTGCGGACGCCATCTACTAGCCTGAACAGACCTAGAGCGATCAGAAGGTCGACGTCTGATGATTCGATGCTTTATCACTCCTTGTCACGCGTGTCCTCGCTAGGAGATGATGACAGGTGGGGAGACGTCACCGAAATGGCCAACGTCAGATTTAAGGCCATCAAGGAGAGTTTCGACAAGCCATCATTCAAGCTACCACAGTTTCCACATGCTCTCAAGAAACATTCGCTTTTAAGCTCGTCACCACCGCATGAGAAGAACCCCATAGGCTCACCAACCCTGAATAACTCAGGATCCTTTCATAAAGACCCCTATCCTGAGCTTGGTCAGGCCTTGGAGACGCTCACGGGCGATATAGTAGTAATGGGTGGGTACAGGGGCTCCATTTTACGGTCTACAAAAACAAACCGTCAAGTTTGGGTTCCTGTCAAAGTCGGGCTAAACATCCGAAAGGTCAACCTCGAAGTTGGCCTAGAGCCCGAAGATGAAGAGAGAATGGAAGAGACCATATACCCATCAGGTATGCTTACGAATATTGGGCCAGTGGATATATCAAGACGTTTGTTCAAAAGGCTAAGAGAATGCGAAAATGCCAAGAGCGGCAGACTAAGAGTGTGGGACTATGGTTGGGATTGGCGGTTGAGCCCACATATCCTAAGCAGAAAGTTGATTGCGTTTCTGGAGTCATTACCTTGTAACCAGCCTGGCAATTCGGAAGATAGGGGCGCTACCGTCATCGCGCACAGCCTTGGCGGCATGATCACTCGGCACGCGATAAATCAACGACCTGATCTCTTCGCTGGTGTGGTTTTTGCAGGTCAGTCGATTAGAGTTGTTTGTTACCCTGTCTGATTATCTCAGGATTCGAAGCTGGCCTAGTTGCCATCCGTGCTTCCAAAACATCATAAGCACTTCGACACTCTTGAGACAATCTGATCGAACAAACTACTAACACGTATGTTGCATAGGAACGCCACAAAGATGCATCAACATCCTTGGCCCAATTCGAAACGGAGATGCAGTCTTATTGAACGAAAAGGTGCTTACAGCACAAGTCAATTTTTCACTTCGGACAAGCTTTGCATTCTTACCCGAAGACGGGTTTTGCTTTGTCAACAAGAACACGGGTGAGAATTTCCCTATAGACTTTTACGACGCAGAAGAATGGGCGAAGCATGCACTTTCTCCTTGCGTTGGCCCTACTTTACCGGCATATAACATTCGACAAAGTGCGCTGGGCTCGCTACGTAGCTTCTCTGCCAGCTTTCCTAGTCTACCAACGAGAAGTCGCGGCAACAGTACTGCTAGTGACTTAGACACAAAATCAACAACGAGGTATGGTGCAGCAGATGCTGCTCGGCAGGTAGAAGTCAAGAACGATCATACTTTGGCTCCACAGATGGGCAGTCGGCCAGGAGGCTCGGGAGCTGCTCAGCAGCAACAGGCTGCCCCGAAGACCTTCAACGAGCAAGAACGGTACATGAAATACTTAAAACGCACGTTGTCTGACACGAAGCGTTTTCGGGCGGAGCTGCATCATCGGGCAGAGTTGACCGAGTCAAATATGTATCCACCAATGGCTGTGATATATGGCAAGGAGATTCCTACAGTGTATGCAGCACATGTCACAAATCGTGACCAGATCCCCTGCGCTGACGCGTATGACGATCTCCTATTCAGGAGTGGCGATGGCGTGGTGCTTTCTCGCGAGGCTATGTTACCACCAGGGTACGATGTAGTCAAAGACGGCCGTATTAGTACTGATCGTGGCCATATAACAATGCTCGGTGATATGCAGGTTGTAGGAAGAGCACTCCAGGCAGTGTTAAGGGGACGGCAAAAAGGCATTGGGTTGGGTACTCCGACGAAGCCGAACCGACCCCCAGAGGCCACGCAGACAGACTCACCCAGTCAATGGAAAGGGCCGCTTTGCGGTGATTGAACAGATGGCTCTTCCACGGCGCTGTGAGAGACTAAGGCGAGACGAGTGAAATAGAGCAAACGCTTATTGCATACAAACATGCTACTATTTCGAGTATAAATTTAGACATCCCTATTTATGGCTTCGATACTCTTGTGTGATCTGCTTCTGGTGTATGATGACGAAAACACTTTAACGGTACTGGACAAGTGAACGTGGGTACGGACTTCCAAAGAAACAAGTGGACATTATTAAGCCAATACTCTGGCTGACATGTCGGCAGACAAATTTGAGCCTTGATATCCACAAATGGCTCTGGCAATAAGGGCGTTGAAGGTATTCGTGACCAGGCGGCTAAATATAACTCACCGTAGGTGCTTGTAAGATTGATTACGAACCAGCACTCTGTTACCCGTCTCTGACTGCAGTGATGAGAGGCGCTCGTTGTTCACAAGTTCAATGGTGGCCAGGGCAAGGTTACAGAGTTAAAGGTGGCGAGAGGAGTCTTGTCATGATGCAATATTATGAAATTTCGGATGGGGGTTTCCCAAACACGGGCTGGCAAGTGGTGGGCGTTGCCTGCTCCATGGAGCAGTGCGAATCTGATTATTACCCAAGGGTCTCAGCGATTCTCAGGCGCGCCGGACGGACCTGTGCTCTTATCACCATTTGAGGGTGGCGTCTGCCTTTTCATGTTGTGTCCCTGTACTCTCTTGCCATGGCGGTGGTTCTTTGACAAATAATTAGTTCATCGGACCTGTCCTATCAAGAGGCATCTGCTTTCCTCTGAATAACAAGACCCCGCCCTGGACATGAACACGTACACGGAGGCTTACAATACTTGGTTCAAAGTCCTCCTGCCAAAGTGACACCAACTAATAAGCTAACGGAATGGCTACATCCCTGTCATAACAACCGAGGCTATAGCTAATTACTGCTATGTGAAATCAATCCGAAACCAGTTTTTCATACCAACTTCGACGCTTGGCCTCGAGCCATCGCAAACGCCAGTTGATGTGGACTCGCCTACTTTCGTGCTTGGGGGGCATCACTGATGACTCGGTTTAATGGACGCATAATTGTTTTGAAAGGGACACAGCAGCTCTATCTACATTGATTTCCCGTTGATGATGTTCAGCATCTCCTCGCCTTTGGGTGCCCAGCTCAGGTTCTCAGCGCCATCTTCTGTCACCAATAGACAATCCTCAATCCGGACACCACCTACATCCCAATACCTCTCCAGAACTTCTTGGTTGATATACTTGGCATGCTCCGGTTGTCTCAGGAAATACGCCTCAATGTATTGCCTGTTAAAGTAGAGGCCAGGCTCAACGGTGACCACCATGCCCGGTGCCAATTCTCTTCGGCCTTTGTACGGCGGCCCTGTAGTTGCTGCGGCATCTCCTGCATCTCCCTTGGACACGGCCGTGTTGATCATCTCCTTCAGCATATGGGGCACAAACAGCTTCATCTTCCCACCAAGTGTCATAAATCCATCCTGTTCAACCAAGAGCCGCTCGTAGCCAGCAACATCGTGAACCTCAAGTCCAACGTGATGGCCTAGCCCGTGAGGGAAGAACGCCGCACTGGTACCGTTCTTGAAAATCTCGCTCGCAGTGCCGTTGTGGAGAATACCCAGCTCGAGCAGACCCTTTACCGCGACCAAGTGTGCGTGCAAATGCAGACTAAAGTACACCGTGCCAGGGCGGATGCGGTCTTCGCATTGTGACTGCATCTCCGCCACCAAGTCGTAGATAGCCCGGGCTTCAGGTGTAAACTTCCCCGAGATTGGTAGCGTGCGGGTGATGTCGGATGAATAAACGTTCCACTCGGCGCCGGCATCCAGGACAAGCAGCTGGCGGCCGGCAAGGGGTTCATTGTTGGCACCGTAGTGGAGCGAGGCGCCATTGGAGCCCGAGCCGGCAATGATAGCGTACGATTGAGAGTGCGCATTGCGGGAAAGGCTGACGGCTTGGAAGATGGCTTCGACCTCACACTCGTTCTTCAGGTAGCGGATCTTCTGGCAGACAGCTTTGTGGGCTGCAGAACTAATGTCGTTGGCTTTTCGGATCATGGAGATCTCAAAGGCAGTCTTAATCACCCGAGCCTCGCTTATGGCAGGGAGCAGGGACGTTGTGTCAACCGTGACATGCGGCTTGAGGGTGTCAAAGGATTTGAATCTGGGCAGCTGGGATTCTCTGAGTACGTATAGAGTCTCGACGAGTGCTAGGGTTGGGACAAGATACTTTGGAAGCTCGGCAGTATACTTGACATCGTCCAGGTCCGATTGCTTCAAGCACTCCGCCGGCGTGGGCGTTGTACCATACCATAAGGCCTGTTGAGGAGGTGTGTATGGTACCCAGAGAATAAGGTTGTCTGCTTCGATGTCATACGTGACTGCGCAGCGCGGGAAATTTGCACCACTCAGGTAATAAAAGCTGGAAGGAATCATGAGTACACGATGATGGCCTTTCCCAGCGGTGACTTACTATCGGCGTTGCCGAAAGGGAACGTCCATGTCCGAGTCCTCCCATCCCTTTTCGGATTGACCTGGCAGGTAGATAATGCCGTGGTCAACGCCAAGCTCCTTCGCCACCTTCCTTGCATGTTGTTTCGCTATAGTCAATCAGATATCAATGCAGTGCAATCCAAGAAAAGCCCGCAGACATACCAGGAAACTTCTGAGACGGTGCGGGCTTCACCTCAATGGCCCTGGAGATTGTGTCGGTTAGCGGTAGATCAGAAAGCGACAGGCCGAGCAGAACCTCTGCCGGAGCTTGATATTATGCGGATAGTCTTACAAAGCATCGAACTCTTCCACAATCACCAGGTCGTGGTCTAAAACATCATGTGCCTCCATATCAAGACAGATGTCGATGAATTGCCAAGGGGGTTTCGTAGTGAACGCTACCTATGCAAACTGGCGTAGTCAGCACAGAAGTCGCAGCTACCGAGACGAAGGTTAAGCCTGCTGCTCGCCTGTGTGTCGAGCTCTGTTGCGCACCTGGAGTAACGACGTTCTTTTCTTGCTTCCACTCACAAAATAAAGTACTTCCTTGCTCAATTCTCAATCCCTACCTAGGTACGTACATACGCTTGAGATCATTGAAGGGGTAGAGGCCATTTGCGGGGCAGATGGTTGGGTACAAAAACAATACCAAAGTAAATAACAGATGCCATGTTCGGTTTAGCGCTCACCGGTTACAACCTCATAGAAACACCGCACTTATCGTGCCAATTGTTGTTGGTGAGGGTTTTTCATCAAGCACCACTATCTCTTAATTGTTTTGTTCTGTCTTGCTCACATACCGGCCGCCAGATCGATGTGGCAGATCGCGGTATCATGAAACTGGGTATTCCGAATGAATATTACAGCTCAGGGAGATCCGTCATGGTACTCCGAGCCCCGCTAACTACTTTTGAAAATACAAAATCTAGTCCCTGTTCGCATGAACCATTGGACCGCTCGCTAATCACCGTAGCTATGTACAGTCATCTTCCTTCTATATCCGATGTAGCCTAGAAGGACTGCGAAAGACGCCTCACATCTTTTCCCACAACTTGAAAAAGAAAAGAAAAGAAAACCCCCCTCCAAGACACTTGCAACACGTGACAAGTGATCGTGAACGTATATGCTCCCGAAACAATATGAACTCCAACAAAACTTTCCGCGATTCCATAAACTGCTTCCAAACCGGCCGTCGTACTCATGAAGGGGTATCATTTGGTCCACTCTAATCATACTGAGGAAACATGCCAGACCACGGTTGCTGGCTGCCGAACTGACTGAACATGCGTCGCCGCTGAGCCTGTTGCGGCATCTGGTGGTGCGGGTGAGGCTGGTGCTGGGGTGCCCGCTGCATCTGTATCGCGAGCATTGGATCTGGATACATTTGAGCTGGGAACGAAAACCCGGGCTGTCCTTGAGGTGTCTGCATCAGGTATGGAGGGAGCGGACCCATCAACTGACCTTCAATGCCATCGAACAGATTAGGCGCGTAGAACTGGGATGGATCATAATGCTGAGGTCCACCCCTCATTGCGAATCCTGGTTGATTGGGATAGGCCAACGGGTCTGCCGAAGGAAACATGACCGCATCGAGTTGGTTGATTGGGTTTACCCCATGGGTCATGCCATCGGGCAGACGTTGCCCTTGTTCCATTTGGCCGGAAGACATGGACTCCACTGGTGTTGAGGCCAGGTCCAGCGGAGACATACCCGGGACGTTTGAAGAGAAGTCGTCCATGCCAAAGTTGGTGTCGAGGTCAAAAGAGACGTTGGGTGCCATAGGTCCTAGGGAACCTCTAGCTCCATGTGCTGAATGATTCCGCATGCCGTCCATTGCATCGCCCGTAATATGCATGGGCGACGGGGAGACGACTGCGTGAAGTGACTCCTTGGAATCAGTTGCAGAACGCTTCTTGGAAGGCGCTGCACCAGCGGCAACTCCCTTCATCTTGTCGGGGAGTTGGTCAAACATAACCTATGCATGTCAGTATTACAGCAATTGCATATTCAGTTGATTTTGTACTTACATCCAAAGCTTTGGAGATACGGTCAGCAGCCATGCTTCGTCTCGCAAGCTTACCGATCATGTCTCTACCGGCCGTAGCATCCGCCATAATATCGGTTGTGCCAGGCTTATCGTCGTTTTCCAGAACGTAGAAAACCAACGTAATGATGGCAAAGAACTCGGTGAACAGAGTAAACCAGTACGGTCCAACCAATGATACCTGTTTTCGCATTTCAATGCCAATATGTATGATGTTCCGGGCAACATTGATGCCAGCTGCACCACAGGCGTATGAACGCTCATCCGGCGGCTTTCCTGAAGTCATCTTGGCCGAGACTGCGTGAAGGAATGGCCTGTACAGTACCATCTGCACATGAGCGTATGCGAACCTGAGTAGGTTACGGACACGAACGACTTCCTCGGGCCCTTCAGAATCCGGTCGCCAAGCAGCAGGCAGCTCCTCGTTCCACTGTTGAAGCGCGGTCTCGAGCTCCTGTACCTTGCCATAACTTATCATGTACGACGGACTCATTTGACCCCCTTCCGCAACAGTCTGCTCCATTCCCTTGACAGGATAAATATGTTTGATGATCTTGCTCAGGATGTCCATTAGGCGAGCGTGGGCGTTGAAGGCCTCAATGAAAGAAGTTGTGCCTGGAGGGACTGGCACCATCCCATTCTTGGTGATGAATTCGTCATCAATTGGGGTTGGTAGTGGCTGGTCAATATCGTCGTCGTTGAGCAGCATGGGAAATCCGAGAAGCGCGGACACATAAATGTCTAGCTGGCGGCAAACAGAGAAGACCCGCCGCCTTGACTCGGCATCGATAGCAGTACCTTGATTGTGCGGCAGGTTTCGATGAAGGCCCATCCTCAAGGCAGATCGTAGCGCTATGCCGACGAAGCCGTAACATGTGCCAAGGCTCGATATTGATTGTATGAACAGAATCATGAATAAGAGAGCCTGGAGTGATATGAGATCTCGGCAGTCTGTAACGTCTTGAAGTAAAAACCTCGCAGAGGTGTAGTACTTTAAACTAAACACATAAAAGAATTCAGTATATATATTCCCTGTTTGTGCAAAGATCAGGGACTTACCCTTGCTCCGTGGCGATTTCATAAGGAGGCTTTTTTGATTTTTCGTCGTCTGCAACATTGTACATGCATCCTAATGCTAAGACGGAATAGAGCAGGGCCAGGTCCCTGTCCTCGTCGGTTCCATAACTGCCATACTTTCCCGGCGGCTTGTCGTATATTCTATCGACCATTGTGTAAAAGGAGGGAACGTGGACAATTCGAAGTAGACATGTTGCATACTTGAGAGAATGTGAACACAGGCGACGGGCTATGACCTTTGGGGGTAGATCACAGACGTCGGCGGTAGAGCCCTTCCTGCTGCTGCCAGGCGAACTTATGGCTGATAAGCGGGGAGAGTCGAGACCCACGATGCTGGAGGGTTTCGGCGGACGAGGTAGCACTGGTACGTGGTAGTCACGACCTAGCAAGCCCTTGAAGTGGTTCTTCATCTTCTTGAAGAAGACATTGCCAGAAGAGGGACCGTGAAAGTCATAGTCACCATTGTCGTCAAATTCGAGTTGGCCGACACCCGAGATCATGGACATGAGACGCTCATCAGATTTCATGGGCGACGGAGAGGAGCTGTCTTCCTTTTTGAGGGCCTTGGTACGTGCCTGTTCCCGTAGGCGGAACTCCTGCTCAACAGCAGGGTCGAGGTTCGGGTCGGCCAGATCAACGTCGGGCATGAACTTCTTCAGAAGTCCTTCAGCGCGCTGCAGCCGGTTCTCCAGGGCCTCGATATACTGTGGCGCAGGGTTTCTGCGTCGGTTAGAGGGCTTGTCGTAAGTGCACTCGTAGCTGTAGACTTGGCAATGGGTGCAGGGTTGTTTCCCGTCGCACTTGATCTTCTTCCTCCGACACTCATCACAAGCTCTCGTAACCCTCCGGCGCTTCTGGAGTGGAACATTTGGGGTGTCGCCTGCCTTGCCCTTGTCCTGGGTGGTGCTTTCATCTTCAGAGTGGCCGCTAGACTCTGCATCGGACAGGTCCAAGTTGGGAGATTCGGTGGCCTTGTCCTTGCCTTTGGGAGGCGCCATGTTGCCTTTAGTGATGGAGGTCCGCGCGTGGGACCGCGGCGTCTTCAGTCAAAATGATTGCGTGATAACGGTAGATGTGCGATTGACGCGCTTGAGTAAGGGAGGTGAGTCGCAGTAGTTGTTGGTGCAATTATCTCATGTCGGACCCCCTCGAAAACACTGGTCAAGATTCGCGACGGACGCGGGGCAGGTGGCAGTGAAGTGAAATGAGGCGAGGTGAGGTGAGATGGAACACGGCCAGCAGTCCTGTCGGGCAAGATAACTAAGTTGGCGTATTTACCCCCCAAGGCCGAGCTCAGTCCGAACAGGAATGCGAGTAAGCTTTGATCCAGATGGCCAAAAAGACTCAATCAAGAACGGGGGGGCGGGATAAATGAAAGCGACACGAGTAGAGAGAGATTTGGATGAGCAATGGCCCCGGGGAATCGTCGCAGAAAACCAGGTCGATCGACGGGCTGGGTTGTATGAATCAGAGTCAGTGGTCGTTTGAAGCGAACTGAACTGGTTGAAGAGGAACACTCAATCAGTTGGTGTGTGCAGGACCCAGGCAAAAGGTGGTCTTCCATGCACATGGACTAACCTAGGACATGAACAAGAACGAGAGCCGGGGAGGTCCAGTAGGGAGCGCCCAGTGCCTTGGGGCCCAGTGTACTATGCACATTCAGAGTACAGTAGCAAATCAAGTGGACCGCATGCGACAGCCAAAAACAGGTCAAAGTCTTCGCGCCTTGTGGTTGGAGACTTGGGAGATGCGGCCTCTGCGCTAGACATGCATACTACGTATATCCCGTCTCTGCTCTTGCGACGACACTATGTACCCAAGAATTGTCCAGTGCCGTAGTTTCGTTTCGGTACTCATTAGCCTAGCTCGACATCGTTCCAAATACGAATATATACGGCAGTATATTTTCATTCTGCGTCCAAAGGCCCTTGCGAGGTTCTCTCAGCTACAGTAGAGTCGGACGACATCCTGCTGTAACCAACGCGCCAAGCCCGACATGGTATGACGGTTGCCGATTTCAGCTTTGTACAGGCACCGGCTGCGATCACCTTGGCCGTTTTACGTATGCCGTTGGACTTTCGAAATTGAGGACTCCCAAGTCCAGTCCCTCTCTCCTGACATCCAATCATGTTTGCAGATACTTCTCACGAAACTAATTTCATCGTTCCCAGCTCCACAGTACCGTGTGGCGGGCACCTGTCTGCCCTCAACCGAGTCTAATCCAAACCGCCCAATGGTTATTATGCCACGCTCAACTTCAAAAGTAACGGCATCCCAACGTCCTGGGTAGGAAAAGGACGCTATTGTTGCTCACGTGTGTAGGCCGGAGCCTTGGCCGTCAACCGTTCATTGACCCGGGCCCTCGCAATCTTCACCACTGCCTGTCCAATGCAGGACAAGGCGATAAATCATCATTGGCTTCGTCCCTACTGTAGTGTATCTGGCTAAAGAAGACGCGAACGTTCGAAGCCATTGTCATATGCTGCTAGCTGTCCTAGCCTTTTCGACTATAACTCATCTACCGCCACGTAACAAGCCGGCCGCGCTCGATTATCGAACGCTTGGTACAATACGTACTGCATATTCTGCATCCTTTTCACAGTATGGCCAAACCATGCAGTAATGACTTACTTACTTGGTATTGCGTCACTGTGCCTCGGAATATTTAGTAACCTTTTCCCAGCATAATTCTCAAACGTCGTTCGGAAACATTGACTAATTAATGTGCTTGTGGAATAAGACCTTGCATATCCGAAGTTTCTTGTTGCTGATCGTTTGACAGCACGACTCATGCCTTCCTCATGAGAAATTGTGTCTTTTTTTTTAACGTCACCTCGCGGCCCATGTATGCAAGGTAAGCGAATCACATAAGTACATACTTTGACGCCCAGTGATTAGAAGATCGAAGGTAACATAGCTATGAAAACAAGATCACCGACGGTGCGTGGCTTTTCCCGAGCTCTCAGCTAGTATCAGGCCGCACCTTGCAACCGCAGCCGGTGTTGAAGTTGAGTTGCCAAGTAAACCGAAGCTTCTTGGCATTTTCTAGTGCCAGACCATGTGCCGGATATCCGATTTGGTCATTGCTATTTTCTTTGGTCGTTCGCTTATCAGATTATGTTTCAGACAATCTTGGGGAAAGGAAACTGCTTCTCAGGCAAATTCGAACTGGACATTTTAATACACAGTATGCCGTTGCAGCTAGCTTCTCTTGTTTTGAGAGGCTTGTATAGTGCCCGACTGATTTCCTGTGGCTTGTCGCGTCAGACGTTCTCTCAAGATTCCATGCTTACTGAAACCATCAAAGCGCGGTGCGAGTCATTGGCCATGCAAGCCTTGTCAGACCCTGCGAGAGGCTTCAGACGGCGCGCAGTGGCAATAAAAAGTGTGATGATGTACTATGAGGCATCTTATCTCAGGTGGGAATGATAAGTCTTGATACATATCTTCGCGCACCCCGAGAGTGAAAAAGAGAGAGAGAGAGAGGGAGAGAGAGTCAAGATACGTAGCATTACGGCCCACTCGAACCAGGTGGGACGTTTATCTTAACCTCCCCGTTTAACCTCACCTCCAAGCACATATGCGTGTAGTGAGAGTAGCATCTCCGCTACATAGGTGTGACATGCCGTGCATAGTCGGGCAGACATGGACTTTCCCGTACGTAGCACGCATTTGAGTTGCCTTGGGGGCTGTCATCGCTTGGTTAATCAGTGGACTCGGGAGGTAGATAAACTGTATCGTTTATCAAGTTGCTATCTCTACTACATATCTAGTACCAAGTCAGTTGAATATATTCATAGGTTGATCCACCGGGGACGTTCCTACCAGGTGTTAATTTTGTGCAAAGTGATGGCCAGACTGGTCCATTGTGGCACAGATGAAGCATTTTCTTTTGGAAGGAAAACTAGTCAGAGGTTGCGCGGGCATGCTACCAAGCTACATACATACTGCACATGTTGAGGCTGCGAATACTTGAATACTTGGTAGCGTCCGTCTACTATGGTGCTGGTGTTCGTTACTAACGTTAGCTGTGGAAGAGCGAAGGAGGCCGTTGATTGGTTAGGACGTAGAGAAAGAAAGGTCCGGTCCGCATGTGCGCTGCCCTGTCGGGACTCTTGATTCCTTCCAAGTTGCGAGGCGCAACGGCTGAAAATTGGAGCCTGTCCAGACTGAAGCAACTGGACCAACGCCTGGACACAGGCGGAACAGAAGCTACCCCGCTGTCCGATGAGATGAGATGGCCAACTACTGTAGCTTCACAGCTTCCCAGCCCCACCCCAAGCTGTCCATCTGGCTACCTAATTGGAGCATCTGCAACCTACATTAAGTTAGGTAGGCTTAGACACATGGAGTAGTTAGTGGCCCTTCAGCACCTTTCAGTGGCCCAAGGCTTGCGGAGGCCCGCTGAGGCTTGCTGAGGCTACCTCCCACCTGGAGTTGTTACAGCACGAAGTCTTACTTGGGCAAGGCTGCAGCTATCATCTACCTCCTGGGCATATCTTTCTCCCAACTCCTCCATCTCCCTGCAGTGTGAATTGTTCGTTGATGGTGTTGCCAGGGCTGTAGTATACATCATGGCGGACCAGAGCGGCGCTCAGCTGCTTACCTACTTCACTGCCATGGACAACCAAGGAAACGTCATCGTCAGAGGTAAAGGCATACAGATACAACTGCCCTTCCAGCATGCTCTTCAAGGCCGGCAACTAAACTTTATCATCCAATAGAAACCCCGAAACTCGACCTCGAGCTGTATATCTCTAATTATCGAGGTAGGCTTGGCCTGACCACACTCCCCCGACCAGTCACGTATGCCATTAACACCAACTAGGACGAACCCGCTTCGAACGCCTGCTCTTGGTAGGCCAATCGTCTGTTCCCCTCGCCGTTGACGCCCTCAAAGCCGCTGTCCTCGAGGCCAAGAGGGGCAGGGATACCCAACGCTACCGTAACGCATGGGAAGCTATCCGCATCGCCGCTCCCACTGAGCCGGAGGCACAATGGGATCAGTCGTGGCTGGACAGGACGAACCAGTCAAACAAGACTGAAGCACATCGTTTGGACGTCGAGCTCAAGGGGTACAAGAACAATCTCATCCGCGAGAGCATTCGAGTACGTAAACCGACATCCATCCCTCCACTTCGACAACGTCGAGTATGTTCCGAATTTCTAACTGGTTTGTCTAGATTGGCTACCGAGACATTGCCCTCCACCTCGAGAATACTGGCGACCTACAAGGTGCTTCTGACGCCTTTCTTAGAATGAGAGGCGAAGCAAGCACTCAATCTCATCTCCTTGAGGCTGCCAAGAACACAATCGGCGTCATGGTCCAAAAACGGGACTGGCCCAGTGTACTGGCTAACGTAAGCAAGATGCTCTCGGGCAACACCAGCGATGATGAGTTCAAGGCACAGCAGCCATACCAAAAAGTCGTCACTGGCCTCGCCAACCTCCATTCTGACAAGTATCATGAAGCTGCCAGGAACTTCCTGGAAACAGGAGACCTGGCCACTTGCCAACTTCACAACGACATCATCAGTCCGAACGATGTGGCCACGTATGGTGGGCTACTGGCATTGGCCTCCATGGATCGATCCGAGCTGCAGGCTCGGGTGCTCAACAACTCGAGTTTCAGAAGCTACCTGGAGTTGGAGTCTCATATCCGAAAAGCGATCAACATGTTTGTCAACGGCCGCTACTCACAGTGCCTAGCCATACTCGAGTCATACCGACCTGATTACCTTCTGGACATCCACCTTCAGAGACATGTGCCGGCCATCTATTCCCAGATCAGGACCAAGTGCATTGTTCAGTACTTCATCCCATTCTCCTGTGTCACCCTGGACAGCTTGAACGAATCTTTTGCTCAGCCTGGAGAGTCTCTTGAGGCTGAGCTCGTCACCATGATTCGAGGCGGTCATCTTCAAGCCCGCATCAACACAATCGACAGGCTGCTTGTTGCAGTCTCCACGGATCGCCGCGTCGAAATGCAGGCCAAGGCACTGGAGGCGGCAAAGCTGTACGAGAAGGAAGCATTGGAGCGAATCAGGCGGATGAGTATCGCCGCAGCTGACCTGGAGGTGAAGGGAAGTCGGAAAGGGGTTGCCGCTGCGGGCGCCGGCATGTCCGATGTCTGGTTTGACGATGCCCGAAAAGGGGTGGCGGAGAGTTTGATGTAGAGGTGGCCAGGTATGATAAAGGTCATTGGCATACGGATGGCGTTCCTTGAGTGGGCAGAACATGGCATGACTGGCGTTTATCGGCGTTACAGGCCTGGTCAAGGAGTGAAATGAATTGCCACGACGCCCAAAGATAGAGCTTACTAGGCGGAAAGCCAGGAATGATACATGAGAGATGACAAGACAACGTACAGGACAAACCGGGCTGAAACGAACATGTGATTCACAAGATGATGTGTGACAAGTAGACTATCCTGGAAAGGACATGCATGCTTTCATCGTCTCACTTGCTCTATGGGTATCTGGCCAAAATGCGACAATTCGAACCTGAGAGCCGACATGCCCGAACTTCAAAAGACACGCGAAAAACCAACCAGGCACAACTGGCCCCCAAACGCCCGAAACACCAGTGCAAAGTCGAGCCGACCAACAAGGTAAAAGCAAATTGGGCAAAGGGTAGTTCTCACCAGCGTCCCCGGCCCCTGTTCCGACCAAATGGCGCATCGGGCGGCGGTCCCTCTGCCCTCCTCCACTCCCCAGATAGGCCACGCCCTTCCCTCTGCGCCTCGGGCAATGCCTCACCTCTCCTCCACTCGCCCACGGGCACGTTTCCTCGGCCGAACTGTTCAGGCCGACCGCCGCGACCACCCCTGCGGCCGCCAAACCCGTTCTCCCTATCTCGTCCGCCCAGGCCGGGGGCCCGTCCGACAACAGCACCTGCCTCTCCGGCACCGGCGCCACGGCCCATGCGCGCAGCACTCGCCGGGGCTACACTGCCGTCCTCGAGGGGTGGCAGGATGGCGACGGACACGTGGTCGCCCACGACGAATCGGGCCTCGGCGAGGGTCTTGGCCCCGTCCCCGCCGTGGTCCGGGGCGGCGACGCTCTTCGCAGCGGAGGAGGGCGCGGGATCTAGCCCCGAGGCTGGGCCTGACCCTCCGTGGCCTATCACGATGCTGCCCAAGTCCTTGACCATGTACTTTGGAGGCTGGCTAAGGGTTGAGGAGGAGCTGGCGGTCGACCGCGTGTCGGGAAAGATGAGGCGAAAGGAAAGCCTCGTCCCAATGGCCGGGTCGGGGAGGATGGCCGGGGCAGTAAAGGCGAGGTGATGTGAGAGCTCCGTCAGCGTACACGACGGCCAGGTATGTACTGTGAGGTGTGGTGGGAGCTGAAACGAAGAGAACTCGTCGGGTCTGCGCGCCATGGTCAGTTGACGTGCAGGGAGAACAAGGGCGTAGTCTGCGTGTTCATCGTACCTATGAAACGCGCCGGTCCGGTAGAAGAGCCGTATTGCGCATGGCGGATTGGTGCGCCGGTCCATGTTTTCACCAAGATGATTTGGATGGTGTCCGGCCTTGCGACAGACAGACAGCCAGGCAGACGGTGATGTTGCCGTGGATCGGGCGCAGTTTCAACCTAAGCACAGATGTTGTATACCTGCATATGCATTTGACCTTTTGTACGTGACCAGGAAGCGACGGGAGAAGCATATGTACCTTGCTCTGGACAGCCGCATGTACCCCCCATGCCACTCGTTCAGCCTGCTAAGTATGTACGTAATCGGGGCCCCGTCGAGGCCCTGTAATGCTTGGAGCTTTAGCGCGCTCGACCCCTCCAAGCTCGCGCCGCGGCTACCAATAGCATCAAGCAACTACTCAAACAAAGTATGTGACCTCCTGGCAGTGCAACTGCTTGCTTCTGGCGCTGTGATGCTTCGACAAGTCTACTTCTTCTTCTCCAATCCACATCAGAGCTGAATAATCATCTGCACTTGCCCCGGTATTCCATCTGTCCCGGACACCCGGGCCGAACCCCGTCGCCATGGACTTCGCATCTCTCATGTCCAAAGAGATCGCGAAAACAAACCCCAAATCTGAGGATGCTCCTTCCAAGCCCACCAAGTACATGCGGCGCGCCGAAGTGGAGGCCGAAAGGCAAAGGGCATATCTAGCAGAGCAGAAAGAGCTTGACGAGAAGCGCCTCGCCAGAGCTGCAGAAAAGCGCAAGCGCGACGAAGACGCCGAGGAGGAGGCACGTCTACGAGATGAGAAGCGTCGCAGGATGGAGGAAGACACCAGGAGACGCCGTGAAGAGGCCGCCAAGGAGGAAGAGAGAAAACGAAGGAAGCGGCTAGGACTGCCAGAACTGAGAGAGGAGGACAGCGCAGAGCCCTCCGACGATGGCGACGGCGACGACGACCTCCCGCCCCAAGAGCTAGTCAACAAGCTGAGAGCCCTTGGCGAACCGGCGACGCTGTTTGGAGAGACACACAAGGCCCGCCTGCGGCGCTATACGAGACTGACGACTGTCATGACCAAGGGCCCCATCCCGACAACGCTCCAGCTGCTAGAGGAGAAGGACATGAAGGTCGACGGCGACATGCCGCAGAGCAAGGAGGCCCGGAAGCTCCTCTTCCGACAACTGGCTTCCTACTTCACCATGGTGCTCCGAGAGTGGCAGCTGGCCCTTGCCCAGGAGGAGAGGAGGGACACATTCGAGAGCAAGGCCGCTTTCAACGCCATGACCCAGAGTCGCGAAAACATGGTGCCGCTGTTTCGCAAGCTTGAGAAAGGCGATCTTGACGATGATATCATCAAACCTGTGATCGAGATCGTGAAGGCTGCACAGGAGAGGCGATATGTGGATGCAAACGACGGCTATCTACGCTTGAGTATTGGAAAGGCGGCTTGGCCCATTGGTGTCACCATGGTGGGTATCCACGAACGTAGCGCCAGAGAGAAGCTTCATAACGGAGAGAGAGGACATGTCATGGGCGACGAGGTCACGAGGAAATATCTCCAAAGTATCAAGCGTTGCCTTACCTTTGCCCAGGTAAGGTGGCCGCCGGAAGATGTTAGACAGCTGATGGGCTAGATGAATCAGAAGACCCATGAATAGAAGAAGCAATTGATCAGTCGCTGGTCAACAATAAACCATTGTGCTCAGCAGCTAAGAATTGGGGGGGTTTTCCCCCCGGTACCCTGCCAGTAACGGGAAGCCAAGTATCAAGGCCAAGGAGTGAAGGAGAATGCAAGCCTGGACAAAAAGAAGAAGAAAAAGGTTCCGACTGAGAACTTGACCCAGATGATAACACCTGAGGCTCCCTTACCGCGGGTGCCATATTTCTTTCAGCATGCTACGACTGCACCACCGGGCCCAGGAGAAATCATTAATAGTTAGATTCATGGGTCGCCGAGCAATCAGGGTACCGGACTGCAACAATCGCCCGAACGCGACATTCCATAATCTACAGTCCAGTTCATTTCTGTTTAAATATAATTTTTTTCCCTTCTTCTTCTTCTTTTCAATGCCCGTCCACTGCCCCGAAATTATGTACAAGTCCGACGCCTGGCCTTTGCTGCACCGGTTCCATCTAGTACTCGGAGATCAAGTCGCCCTTCCTCTTGGCCCGGAGATCGTATTTGCCCTGTGAGTTATATACGCATTAGTCCCGAGCTGAACGTTGGTGCTGGTTTCCTGGGTGGAGGCAAAGACTCACGTCTGTCTGGTATGCGAGGATGCCGAAGAGTGCAGGCACGAACACGACGTACATGAAGGTGATGCGGGCAGTTCGGGGTGTCCAGCGAAAGTATTTGGCTCGGTTCGTTTGCATCGCTATCCTTCAATTAGCCACGGTAGCTCTCGGCGGTGTAGCCCTCAGTCCTCCTCTTGTGGGTTCGCTCGAGGCATCGGGAGATAGAACATACTCCCCAGCTTTTGGATGGACGGGTCAAGCGCCAGCTCTATTGTCGTACAGATTAGCTTGCTGCTTCCAGTTGGGGGGACTGACTTGACGTGGCTCCGGGACGTACTGAAGTGCTTGAGGCCAGCCATTTTGATTGCGTCGGGGCAAGGGCCTGCACAGGATGTGGAATGGTGGTTGGTATATGGTCGCGTTCAATGCGAGTGAAGCGCTGCTGTATCTCTCTGCTCCGAGCACTTTGGACTTTGGGATGTCGTCCGTCGGGGAGTTTGTGCGCCTCACCTCACGCACGACCTTCACCTTTCGGCACGCAAGCACTTCATCAGAGGTGGGGAAATGAGCCACACTGTGGCGTTTGCTTTGGTTATGAAATAATAACTTACAGTACAAAGTACATACTGTAATTAGGTAGCACTCCGTACGGATCCGTACATGGCAGCCCGCCAGCAATTGGTCAATTCCTCAATTCCTCAATTCGCGCCCCCCCCCGCCATTCTTACATAGTAAAAACGAAATGATAGCAATCACGTTGCTTCTTTCCATATGACATTTTCTTGAGTATAGTCCATACGTACAGCACGTGTGATCAGGCCCAACATCGCACTAACGCGTGATATTTGTTGTCCGCAGAGGCTCAGCATATGACCATTGCTCCAGAATCCAGAATGAGAGAACCCTCAACTTACGTCAACTATTAACCTTTCTTGGACAAAACTTGGGCCGGGAGTGCAACTTACCGAGGTAGCCGTCATTCCAATAGCCCCAGAGATAGCGAATTAAAATCAATACGCTTGACGAATCTGTCCTGCGATTCCCCTTGTGTCCGCCTATTAATCTTTATTAACTTTTCTCAATTGCCGCTTTTGGTAGCTTCTTCGAGCTTTTGGTAAAATAAAGCCCACTGTAAAGGACCACTGTAACTATCAGAACACGGACGTGGCAAGATTCTTTTCTTTTGCTTCTTCTACTTCTTCTTGTTTTTCGCATACTCCAGAAATCAAGACGCCTTCACCCAGGCACATGAAAAATTTTTACCTCTCTAGCAGCAATCACACATCAGTAGTTTCCGCATCATGTCTACAGAGCAGCAGCCTAAAATCAAGCTTTACTGGTACTTCAACAGGGTGCATTCCCCCCACCAAAGACATCATCCCTAACTATGTACAGGCTAGAGAAATCAAGGGCCCAGAGTATCCTGTGGCTGCTCGAGGAGCTCAAACTCGAATATGAGCTTGAACTCATCCACCGAAATAAGGAGACCATGCTGGCTCCTCCCGAGCTCAAGGAAGTTCACCCGCTGGGCAAATCGCCCGTCATCACAATTACTCCCGTCGGTTCTGATAAGCCGATTGTGATCGCAGAGACTGGCTTTATCGCCCAGTACCTGAGTGAGAATTTCGGTCGGAACAGCACATTAGTACCAAAGCGCTGGAAGGATGGGCAGGAGAACAAGATTGGTGGTGAGACCGACCAGTGGATGCGCTGGATGTACTTCCTGCACTACAACGAAGGCAGTCTGATGTCGCTGTTTATGATGACCCTAGTTGTGAGCATGATGAAGGGCCCCAAGGTGCCATTCTTCATCCGTCCCGTCACCACTCTCGTTGTCAACCAGGTCTTCAGCTCTTTCCTCATGCCCAACGTGAAAACCCACATGGGTTTCTTGGAGGACCAGCTCTCAACCAGCGGCGGCGACTATCTCTGCGGGACGAATCTGACGACTGCTGATATCGTCGTCAGCTTCGCGCTGATCACCTATCGACAGAGGTTTGACTCCATGGGAGTATGGAGCGACAGCCCGGATAAGCTGTTCCCCAAGGTGTGGGCGTACATCGACAGGATTGAATCCTCCCCAGGGTACAAGCGATCAGCTGAAAAGATTAAGGAGATCGATGACAGCTACGGGGTCAAGTGGTAAACCATTACAGATATTCCAATGTACTAATTACACGCTTTACAATATTGTTGCTCTGCAAAGCATCGAAACTACCGTTCCGGGTGTTTCTAGCATATCTCCTTTCTTATCACTGTAACATAACTCCATATCGTAGACTGCATCTCTGCGTCACGATATGTTCCAAAGATGTTAATTAACCGTAACAAAACATACACATTAACCAGGATCAGCCTTGTTGTCACTACAGAGTAATCAGATTACCTGTATCTTATCTCGGTCGGCCAATTTCTCGCTGTTATGACACTACTTTCCGTTTCTATCCAGATGTCGGTTTTGCCCAAGGTCGGAATCAAGTCAGAGACGTGATCTGGTTAATTAGAACACTTGAGTTAATGTATCATCACGTGGATGACTTGCCTGCACCCCTTTAGTTAGTTTATATCATCCAAGTCTCTGATCCAGCTTGGGCATGATATATCCATGTAGTTGTAGCTTTTGAACAAACTAAAATAACGCTTTGCAGTGTTCTCGAAACTTGGAGAGGTGGTCGACTTCCTTGACTTGTCCGAATAACATAATACACAGTTGTATATATTTGAGATTATCTGATGGCGAACGCATGGTATTCAATCATATGTATATATACATACCTCACACACAGCCCGGCTGGGAGTATTGTCCGATACGCTGGCGTCCTTCCGTGTAATACCAATGGTAGATAAACGAAGTCTCGTCTTATAAACTTAACAGAGACTTTGCTTGCCACTAGTGCTAGCCTTTGGCCTGCTTTATTTAAGATGGGTTGGTTTGGTTATTATATTTCCGCTTTCCTTGATAATTCTGAGATCACTATTATTAACCGCGAAGGCAATATTCTAGTTGCGGAGACTTTTCGCTTTGTAGCAGTTTATTCTATCTCTTGCCTGATAAGCGTCCCCTCTCTCATTTGGTATGTAATTACACCTAGGAGGTTTATAGTGGCTAAACTTCACCTCGAGCTGGAAATCGCGATGGTGGGTATTCATGCCCCTCTCGTATAAATTGTGGCACGCGTGGGACCTCAGCGATATGTACCGTGTCTACGCGTACAACACAAAAATCTTCGCCGTCTCGTCGTGAAACACGTTTGACAAGTTATTGTAAATTGCATACGGTCAATGTGGCATCACTCGCAGTTTCAAGTATTCTATGAACCAGATATCGCAGCCTATGCAGTTGTTCTAGAGGCAGGAACCATGAAGATCGGTCGGCTACCTATACCAGTACAGTTTTACCGATTGTTCGTGGTGACTAGATTCAATGTTTGGGTTGTCGTTGCTGACTAACGTTGGCATATTGATATGTAGCTTCGATTACAGGGCTGCAGCCATCGGGTTGCACGGTACCAGTTAAATGATAATAAGATACAGTAATTTCAGCTCACACAAACGTTTGGTTCGATCTTCTCGACGGACCATGGTTATTTTGACGGAAATTTCTCATTATCTATCAACTATGGGTCTCGCGTAGTTCCGTTCTATCTGTAGCTTAACCTTAGTCTAGTCTAACCTAGTGCACTTGCTAAGCGCCAAATGAGTTAACCTAGATACGTTGTTGTCCCAAGACTAAGACCAGCCTGCAACCATGTAACCTTAGCTATCTAACTGTATAATGTCATGAATTGTGCCAATGATCTTATCACCTTCCTATATAGTCCAAGTGTGGTAATCCATGTCTCTGTTTTCAAAATCTTGCTTGCATTCGCGAATGGATCCCAGAGTATCGACACTGATGACGATGGGTCAGACGCAAAACGCGTAACTGGCGGATCTCTGTCGGAGTTGCAACCGGAGTTCGGACAAGTCCATCAGTAATATTCATAAATGTTCGTCAATAACAATAGTTTGAGTTGAGATCTTGATTAAAAAAAACACAAGCTTGACCAACTGCGGGAGGAATCTCGAAGATGGCTCCTCGGAAGAATGAATTTGCTGCTCAATTGTCACCCCCGCCTTATGAAGTAGAAGCATACACGTATAGACGGCCCCAATTCCGTCGACGTTTACGACGCGCTTGCTCATTTCCGATTGTCATCGCGTTAGGCCTGTCATTTGCGGTCTCATATCTTTGTTTGTTGATTGGGAGAGAAACCTTATTGAGGTCATCCACATCCGATGCGTTTGCATCGGTCGCGCTCCAGAAATTCGAGAAGTCTATTCAGCAATGTGCAGCTCGCACCCGTTTCCCGTTGGAAGTGCCACCTGAGTCTCGGAAGGAAAATCCTAGATGGAACGGGGTGCGCGGTCAAAATGAGACCATTGCGCTGCGCAATGCAACGCTGTTTGACGGAGTATCCTTTGCTTCAGCTCCTGTAGACATCATTTTCTCAAAAGGGCTGATTACAGCTGTATCTCCTGCTTCATCGGCGGAATCAATACTGGAAAATGGCGCACAGTATAACCTGGATGGACGCTATGTGACTCCAGGGCTTGTGGACATGCATTCGCACCATCTCGAGATGCCATGGCCAGGCGTGGAGGCGGTAGACGATGGCAATGGTAAGCACCAAGCGCTGGCGTAGTCGACTGGTCTAATCTATCCACAGAGATGCACGAGTTGTTTGGACCATTGACTCCATTTGTCAAGATTACTGAATCGCTCAAGGCATATGACAAGGCAACAAAGATCATCGCCTCGGGCGGTGTTACGTCAAGTCTTCTCATTCCCGGCTCGGCCAATATCATGGGCGGAGAAGGGACTGTTGTAAAGAATATCGCAAAGGCTGGCGAACTTGGTGAATACGTGGTGGAGGAGATGCTTCTTGAACATGGCATCAATATTGAAGACCGTCACCGCTATATGAAATTTGCTTGCGGAGAAAACCCAAAACGAGTCTATGGCCACACTCGAATGGGCCTGGCCTACATGCTGCGTCGCCACCTTACACGCGCAAAGGAACTGATGGACGACCAAGACGCTTGGTATGCATCTCTGCACCTCTGAACTATATCCCTACCATTGGAGTTGCCCCATGAGTGGTGTTCGTTCCTGACTAAATAAGGTATCACTAACCTCTGATTATGGTATAGGTGCGATGCGGCCACTAAACTTCGTACAGACGCGCAAAGGATTTATTTCACAGAAGAGAAGGGCCGGCTTCCAGAGCAACTTGAACTTGAGTCAACAATTGCTTTAATTCGTGGACAAGTGGCGATGCATAACCATTGTTATGAACCTCAAGACTTTGAAACAATGCTCGGGGTAGTTCAGGAGTTTGGCATTCACGTGCGGGCTTTTCATCATGCAATCGAGGCATGGCAGGTCCCAGAGATGATAAAGGCCTACGGAGGGTGAGCGCAACCTGCCTATTGTTAACTGGTAGCGGACTGACAGACCATAGCAACATCACGATTGCAACATTTGCTTCGGATTCCCTTTATAAGCACGAAGCTTACCACCCCAGCCTGTATGCCGGGGCTATATTGGACGCTCATGGCTTGGCCGTTGCGTACAAGTCTGCAAGTGTCACTCAAACAAACGCGCAGGAATAAGAAGACTGAGACTAATACTTCTCAGGACCATGGAGATGAATCAACTAATGCTAAATATATTTTGTCAGTATTGATAGTCTGGCTGTACAGGCCGTTCGTTAACTTTGATTCAGATCGCAAGCGGCCGCAGGACACGCTTTTCACCTTCCGGCCGAAAAAGCTCTTCAATCCGTAACATCTATACCAGCAAAAGCGATAGATCAAGGCAATCGTATCGGTTATGTTCGTGTTGGATACGACGCTGATATTGTCGTTGTAAGTACTGTATTCGTATTGTTACAGAGACGGTTCTCCTTAAGTCCTTAACTCTTGTCCGACACTCTCATCAGGATCTCTACTGACAAGCATACCTAGTGGGATGACCATCCTTTATCGATCGGCACAACACCGCAGCAGGTCTTTATCGACGGAGTAGCAACTCTGAACTCCAGAGACGTGCAGGTGTCCACTGGCTCCTCTATGGAAAGCGCTGTCAAGACAAGAAGAATATCAGAACCGCCGGTGATGCGTCAGAGGTATCAGCCTGAAGATACAGAAAGCTTCTGCGCATCTGCCAAGCGACAGAGCACGAGTTTTGTTATCCAGGGAATTAGGAAATCATTCTTGGACAATCATTCAGATTTGTCGGCCTCAGTCTCGACAACTGGTGCCGACAATCTCACACTCGTCGTCCATGCTGGGCGTGTGTCTTGTTTGGACACATCAGCCTTGTGTGCCAAAGAAATCACAGCGACAAGCGATGATGCAGTCCACGTTACATTGCAGAATGGTCACCTACTTCCAGGGCTCACAGCCGTCACTTATAGCCTTGGCATGAAAGAAATCTATATGGAGGAAGACACTGGAAATGGCGTTGCAAGAGCAAAGGATATCAAGGACCCTGCTTCTGTCGACTATGCTAAGTATGGGGTGTATCTTGACGGGAAGGCCTTTGCCAGGGCACGCGTAGGCGGAATCACTAGGGCAATCACAGCACCGGAATTCCCGACAGTCGACTGGCAACCGTCCGGCTTGGTCCAGGGCGTATCTGTTGGTATTCGTACATCTGGCACAAAAACCATTTTGAACGGCGGCATATTCCAAGATGAAGTTGGATTACACGTGGTCATTGGTCAAGCTAATAGGGGTATAGGAAGCGTCAGCATGGCAATCAAAACGCTTCGAACAATCCTGACAGAGAACAAGGGTAAAGGTAACGAGAGCGCATTCGGCCTGGTAGCGGATGGCAGAATGCCCGTCTTGATCAATGTGGATAGTGTTGTAAGTCCCGATCTCAGTCCACCCATGTATCTTGACCTAACCCCCTCTGCGCAGCCACACACCCAACAAATTGTATTACTGAAGAAAGACTTTCCAAATGTTAATATAGTGATCGATGGCGGCCATGGGGCACCTCTGGTGAGTGGTCTTTAAGCATCAGTCATATTTGGAACAAGGGGGTGGAAGACCGAGAACTTTTCAAGACTGACTTGGAGACCTAGCTAGCGGAAGAGCTGGCTGCTGCAAATATCTCCGTGATTCTGAGCAAGACACGTCCCGCACCAGCGCACTTTGACACGAAAGACACCCTTGTAGGACCTCCACTCACTCGAAGCCCTGCGAGTGTTCTGAGTGAAGCCGGTGTACACTACGCTATTTCGGTTGCAGACGAAAGTACGTGAAAAAGTTCTCCTTGATTGCTGTTATCCGAAACTAACCCAGCAATTTGCTGAAAATAGTCCCAGTGGCGGATTCTAGAATCCATGACCTAGTTCTTGAGGCGTCCTGGGTAGCCAAGTACGCCGGGCTCACTGAGCATGAAGCTGTCCAGCTTGTCACCAAAAATGTGGAAACAATATTGGGACTCAAGCCGAGTAAAGACATAGTCGTGTGGGAGAACAATCCGTTACAATATGGCGGGTCAGTCGTGCTTACATTTGAGGAAACTGCAGATGGCATGCTAGCCTTGGGCACATGCTGGCCAGATGATACCATGGATAACTCATACTAAGCACATATAAGTCGTGGTAGCCGCGTTGCAAGTCGGTTGATTGCCCCGTGAAAGGCAGTATAGTCGGCGGTTAGGTGTTGCCAACTAAGTACTCTTCTATGAGGCCGCCAAGGCTAACAATGTATGAATGCGTCATAAATGTAGTTCTCAAAAATTAGGTATTGGCTTACAAAGTTGGTCATATTTATATGCTTCAAATAAGTCGCAGCCTGGAAATAAATAGACAATTATGCACGTACGTACCTTACAAATAATGACACTAGTCTGGCGCAAGCTCTTATGTAGCAGCCGTTCCAGGGGAGGAAGGTGGTGGGAGTGGCTTGCCCTTGGTGACTCTTGCTAGGAGGAAACAATTTGTCAATTAATGTACTTAGCAGCTCGTCGTAGCGCCTATTTAAGGCACGATGGCTGTTGTGCTATTACGCTGAGTACAAATACTCACCAGTTAAGCTGTTTTTGGACTTGTTCCGGGATAAGCTTTGCGGAAGATGTGATACTAAGTTTTGCGGATCGCCAATGTCTAGGAACTGCCTACGGACCAGGTAGAAAGGACATTGTCCAAGGTTTGCTGTGTGAAAGGGAAGCTTGATCTCGACGACCACGCGAACTAACATGAGGAGGGTATAACCTCACAGCTGTCACCGTGACAATTGCATGGCCGTGGATTACTACAATAGTTGAGACATGCAACAGTTAAACTTCACATGCGTCACTCCTCGTAATCAACATATAGGCTAGTTCAACCCAGATACTCTCCTTGAACGACATGATGCAGGTGCTGTTATGAATTGACTACGGCAACATCTAAGGCCGTGTGCTAAATTTAGAACTCATGGCAAGAGCCTTGTCAAAATAAAAAGGTAGTACCGAATCATTATTGAAGCTCTTGTGATATAGCGAAAATGGCATATGCTTTTCGAGAAAAAAAAAATTTCGCGCCTAAGGGCGAAGCGCAAATCGATCTGTCCAAATGGCGGATTGTTACTCCTAGTTGATCTGGTATTGTACCTCGTTGGGTCTTCAGGATGCATGTCACGAGGCTGGCTACAGCTGGTGTTTGTGTCTAGTCCCGACTGCGTTCAATATCAAGCAAGCCCAAATTTGAACCGTACATGGTTGGGCCAACCAGAACCTAGTATTATAAATGGCTATGGCCCTGCAGCATCTGAAAGGTATGAAGACAAGAGTGAAGCCTTTCTCTCACGAAGATGAAATCCAACAAGGATCGTGCAAGCGCCCAGGAAAGGTAATGCAGCGAGTGCCGGCCAGCACGCACCTAGATGAATCAATTATAACTACTCCGTCGGAAGAATTTTTTATAAAAAGAAATTTGGTATGCCGTGATTGGTGCACGTGGAGAGACAACCGCGCGCAATGGATTGCGTCGATGCAGGGTTTCTCAAAGCCGATTGGGTGGGAAATACTTCATAACGTTCATCTATGATGTACTAAGAATAAATCCACAGTAACTTGAATGTGCGTCTCTTATAAGCTTAATCCAGGTTGTACCCTACATCTTTGTTTTCTTTAATGACCGTACCAATAAGGCAAATATTTTCTCGCCATTACAGAAGACACAGGCGTTCTCCCACTCTGTTATAGTCTTAATCCTGCGCACATGATCGTAATTCACGTCACAGTTCTGGACCTTTTCCCTGTCAGCGAGTTCGACTTCGTCATCACTAAACATCTCGACCTTGGTTGCCATGGTGACTTTAGGCACGGAATGTCGGTCGACAATAGCCTGCAGCTTCTCGGGGTTTGATATGGGACTGTCAGAGGCGAGAATGATGGGGAAGTGTGGCTCCGGCACGCGAATTCCGGCAAGCCAAGCAGCACGAGCTTGGGCGAACTTGTATCCCCACACATCTCTATTTTCGTCCTCATGCTGAAGGTGCTCGACTTTAAACTTGGCCAGCTGGACCCTGAGATGGTCTGACATGGCACGTGACGGGTTTGGGTAATTGGAAAGTGTGGAAAGCGAGTGCGATTGTTGCGCCGGACGAAAAGTTCCTCTAGAATTGCTTTCAGCTTAGCGAATTTGAGAAGCCTTACACAACCGAGGTGGGTGGCTCATTAAAACTATGTACGATGCTGGGTGATATGAAACGTAAACGCTTTGGGTTTGAATTCATATGAGTACGGAGTAATGGAGCATAATTCATAGCATGTTACAGGATCAATGTTCTTACTGGCACGCGGTGGACAAAAGAAAAACTCTGACATAAGTAAGACTACATAACACAATATGTATTCTGATTATTATTACTGTAGTATAGTTTAACTATAAAGAAATCAAATCAAATAAGAGCTTATCGTTAAAATGGTCACTTGATCTTATAGGATTCTTTAAAAAGAGAATTAGTTAGATTAAATATAATATTTAAGCTATAAGATGATATGCCAAATAGAGGATGGGGACATGTGTCGGAGGGGCCGGGTTGTTTGTCCACCTTGTGACTGGCTGTTGGTCAATAAGTTACCAAAGTCTACATTAAAACCAACAACCAACCTAACCTTAGTCTAGTCTAGTTTCAGGAACCGCCCATAGGCTATATGACGAGCCAACCACTGCTCCTAATTTGTATCTCCTCAATGGCCAGACCAGCCGATTAAACTGGCAGCCCCCTAATACATTATGATTCTTACTATTCGCAGACTTCTGAAGTCCCGTGCTCTCACATGCATATAGCAGTGGCAATTGGCCAATAATCCTTACAAGAGCTCATTTGAGATTCAAGATAGTTCATACGTCATGTCAGGTTGTAGACGACGTGGCTATGAGCTGTGGCGACGGCTGTCTTCAGGCCTATGTGCCAAAAGTTGTATGCTTGCAGTACAGCCTAGTCTTGTAAGGACCAACTGCACCCATCTCAGCGCCAAGACTGCTGGCATTACAGATTGACCATAAAAAGAGACTTGAGCTATATATAGAAAAAAACATATACTACCGATTTTATTACATCATGTACATTTACTCACATCAAGCATATTTGGGGAGAAACTTCGTCTTCTCTCATTGTCCGAGCTTGCACTAATATTGTTGATACTTTACTTAACTAAATTTATCAACTATAGAGTCATTCTCAGTTAGCACTCTAAATTTTTTAGACTAGAGACGGAGATGCTTGTTAGGCCCAGGTCACCTCTACGACATTCTTGGGAAGGCAGGCTGGAACAAAAACGTCGAGTCAGGAGACCCGACTCCACGACGCAGCCCTGAGGACAAGAATAGACTTGCAGCAGAGATACCTCAGAACCTCCAACGAAAGATCCTTCGGAATACACTCGCCGCTTTGCTGAACAGAGGGGGTGTCAAAGCCGGGACAGCAGCCGAATAGTACTCACAAACGACATTAGCCGACGAACCTAGCCTTGATGAAGTCAGCCCAAATTTCTTTGAGTGCCACATTTTGATAACCACATCATTGAATGACAATCTGATAACAGTCAACTTGGCGGCTCGAGCTGGCATCCCGAATTATGAACACAAATGAGGACTGGCAACGAGAAGTTCATCTGGTCTTTTCAATTCCAGAGGAGTACTGTGAAATCAAACAGACTGTCGGCTGCTTTATGCACATTCACGTGGCACCTATGCAGACCACAGACCTCGACCAAAAGTACGCGATGGTCCAGCTGCAAATCATCCTAAACGTAATCTCGTACTACGATGCAGCCATCACACAGATCATGCCGGCTGAGGGGAGAACAATCTATAGGCCCACTCCAACATCAAGAGTGAGAAAACGCCAAGCGGGATAAAATGGCATACAGAGCTGTCCCCCAGAGGTCCCGGAAGCCACTATTTTTTATCTTGGAGAAGATCAAAATGAAGCCAATGGTCTACCGTGAGATGGGCCAGGATAAATATCAATCCTGGAATTTCGGCCATTTGACCAATCAGTGCGGTAACATCGAGTTTCGTCGACCACCCGGAGTCCAAACCGCCGCGGATGCGAAACCCTGGACAGCTTACACTCTTAGTTTCATCAACATGGCCATAACCATGTCCATTGGATGGGCTAAGGTTTAGACGAAAACGTCCATCCTTCTATCGATCATCTCAAAAGTTTCGTATAAGCCGGTGCCGCCACGCTAGGACCTAAGTGCCAAGAAGCGCTGAATGATCGAAGAATTGTAGTGGACAAGTCACGGGCACGTGTATACTCTGCCGCCGAAATCGAAAATATCAACGTGAACATGAATGGGACGAATAAGTTTGGGAGCGTCTTTGCTGAGAAGGTTTGTAGTTCCACAATTCTGAGACTCCTTCCGGCTAAACTTTGTTAATGTTAATCAGATATCTTTTTAGAAGGCCAACCCCCGCCCAATACACCAAGCAGCCGCCCTTCTTCGTACTCGTCCAACCCATGAGCAGCAGAATCATGTGAGATTACCTCCATCCTCCTGCAAATATCAAAGAAGACACTGCGGCGGATGATTACTATGTTATGTCATATGATATACAGGTTGGGTAGGATGGTTGTCTCCAGCCTTTATCGGGCTTGCATTGGATACTCGTACATTATGTTTACATTTGGGTATCAATATATGTGATTAGTCGTAGATTAAACAGCAGTGGTAAGAGTTTATGAAGTGTTTGTAAGTTACACGAATCGACTGTGTCTTGACGGAGCACCGAGAGAATGGCTGGGTAGTTATTGCTTGGGAAACAAGCATGCCAATATGCGTCAGATAAGACCGCTACTACCTCCTGATTACATAAGGTCGGTGTTTCCCCCCTCCCCAAGTGTCTTACCAAGTTTTAATATGGAGCTATTAGACACTGGACCATGTATACTTATTAGCATGTCCTCCAAGTCAAACCATTTAACCTTGGTGTAGTTTCAAGTCTTTTTCGGAGCAGTCTCATCCCTCTTCTTCTAAACTCGCAGAATCCATATCCCACACAGATGCCTCAGATGGCCAGCTTGGGAATCCAAAATGAAGCATGGTCAATTTTTCTGTTTTCACTCTTAATATCTAAGAGTCATGAGATATGAAGGCCTTGTCAAAATGGTCCACCTCGAGCGGGCAGCGCGGTTGGTTTGCCCAAGCAGTATCATGGTAGTCAACCATCTCAAAATCCACGCAAGTCTTTGTGAGTGGTTCGTGGCACACTTAACGACACCTTGGCGTGCAGAAGGGACCCTGAGGCTACATCCAATGGACCCTGAATCAGAGCGAGCGGAGTGGGTGGTGGCCGGCGCGATACTGGATGAGGTCATAAAGCTGACCCATGCAGAGGCCTGGGGACTTTTCAGGAGTACCGGGGATCACCAGTACCATATGAGTTGTCAGACCGGACCCAATCGGGCTGTCAAGAAAAAATGATATGCTGGGCGACAAATAGCCAAGTTGAAGCGGTGGTGGTTGGGATATTAACATGCGCCGCCAGCTTTTCTGTCTGGTCACTCTCGCCGTGGGTGGAGTGGGCTTCCGCATAGTACGGAAGGAACCCTTATTTAACGGGTGAGTGAACTCTACCTCCTGGTACGGTCGTGCAGTCTAAGGAAGCGTGTAGAAGGACCCCGAGCGTCGGAAGTAAGCGTGTTTTCCAGAAAGGTCGAAGAAGCACAGGGAAAACCTTTCCAGTAGCAGCGGGTTAGGCTGAGCACTTTCTTTCTGCTTCTCAGGAGTCGAAGGCTAGTGGAACGCCTGCGCATCGTTATGAGTAGATATACGTGTCTTGAGAATCTTCGTAGGAGTCGGTTTGAAATATGGAGCCTCCTGGATCGCCGTGGAGTTCATCGTGACGTTGTGCCATGCCATGCTTACTCGCGAAGCCGACACAGGCAAAGGAGTGGCCAAAAACTGCTATTCAATAAGCCACATCGGCCGGGCTACACCATGATTAAATACTGTTTGCTCTGCATAAACGAGCATAATGTCTCGTGACCCTGGTTACTCAGGGTACGTGGCTGGAACTATAGCATGGCGCGCACTTTTTCTATGTCAATAGTAAGATAAAAAGCCTAACCTAGTACACATCGAATGCTGATCATTTTAATTCCGAAGTAGATATGCTTGGCGCAATTAACATTGATAATAGAAATCTAGGGGGGAAGCTTAAGTGAATTAGATAATCGCATAAGGAATTCGCACCTGAATGGAGTTCGTACCTCAATGGAATCCGAGAAGAGACGGACTTCAGATTTTCGAGGCACACGTCAAGACCCAAGTCCTTTACCTCTCCCGCAAAAGCAAACGCTCAGCACATGGCCGGTTTATTGAGTTTGAGTCAGTTGTGCATAATTTCTCAGTGCATGCTTCTATTTTCATTCGGTGCACATTTGGGGGTGCACAACTCACGCCCTGCTCAGGCCCCGCTCAGGTCCCGATATCAGAGGGCCATGGACCCTCTACTTACAAGGTAGCCAATGCAAAGGAAGGATTTGCAGGGATTTGACATCGGACGACAGCTGAGCTGAATCTTGACGCACTTCTACAGAATGAGTTCAGGTAGGCTGTCCTGTCAAGTGAACATATAAGGCTAAGAAGGGAACGAAGACAGCATGGGCGTTTCGTTTCCGGTCCCGAAAAGTGGCGAGGAGCATGCATTTTGCTTGAGAGCACAATCCCGGTCTTCCAACCCGGGCCTAGTCTAGAGACTAACGAGCCTGTTCACGATAAATATTTTGAGCTGTGATGGGAGAATATCAGTCATACCTTTTCGAATGCTTAAATATTGATGCTACTATGTACATAGCACAAAATAAGACAGGGAACCCGGCCCCAGTTTCGCAGCGCAAACCCGTGGAGATAGACACTGTACATGGTAGTCAAATGCTTTTAACCTTAAGTTTAGTTGTTCTTGCAAAAGCCTAAATTCAACGACGACGCAACCGAGCCAATGAACCTCAAAGCACAAGCAAAGCACGTTGCTCTGAGATCCCAGACAGCCATGATTTTAGTGTGTTTCGATATTCTGCAAAGCCCCGGGGACAGGTCCCGATTTGCCAACACCGACACCAATGCTGGGCTCTAGCATGCCCGTAATGGCTGCAGGTGGGAGGGGCAACCTGCAAGTGGGCTGCCAAAGATACCCACACTTTTGCGAGGCTTTCACCACCTGGGCAGCGTGGTGCTTGAAACAAGAGTAAACAATCTTAATCTAAACCAAAGGATTGGGTCGTTTCGGGTCGACCTCAAGCATTATACATGTCATGTTTTCGCCTCGTGCTGTTCGCACGAAAAGAAACTGACAAGGGACCGAATACTGACCGGCCAGACATTGTGGCCTCGGGTAAACGCGATGCTCTCAACTGCATTGCAATTCGAGATAGCTTACGTGTGTAGACCAGAAGTATATCGCCTTCTTCTCACCCATCTCTGACATCTTCATCCACAAGTAAGGCCCAGAGATTTCGTCCCACCGCCTTTAGTGCCTCTGGGAGAGTCCTCCTATTTAATTTACTGTCTCGGGAGACGCCACAGTGCTAGCGTTGCATCGGATACTAAATTTGGCCGCCTGGTCTGCTTACAGCTCCCTTGTCAACAGCTCATTCGATGATGGCTTTTGACACGACGGGAGCGAGCGCGCTAAGTTAACGTTAGAATGATACACATGTACATATGTACTTAGAAGGTTAGGATTCTGGATTCTGCCCCTCTCTGCAGAATCATCCCATTGGTCCGATCGAATCCGTTCCTGGCGGCGTTCCTGGACTACCTCGATTGCATCTAGAACAGGAACTTGAGTAATAGCGACCCACCCCCTGCATGTTGCTTGTTGGGTCATCTTTTCCAACTTCAAAGAACAAGAAGGAAACACCAAGTTGCTTCTTTGGCTCAGCTCATGGAGAATGCTGGGCCTCACGCGCATGGAGTTTCACCTTGCATCACAGCAACTTGTCTAGCTAATTTAGCCTCTCTTTCTCGTCTTTTGATTACAATTCGTTCGATAGGGACTGTCATCATACACTATTATGCGCCATTATTCATCCCCTGCATACCCGGCTTCAGTGCCGCGCCTAGGATTTCGTCGGTCGTTATGGAGTGCACACCATGTTTTGGAGTCTTGGTCAACGGTGCTCTCGGGTTGGCAATAACTAGCGCTCTCATCAGGGGCGATCCTTTGTTCTGGTCCAACCGCCAGTATATCCACACGTGCATACTACTTACTTTAGCTCGATTGCTACGCTGAGGCCTCGAAAGCCCACCCTTTTTTAATTTTTAATTTTTAATTTTTACATTTACATATGGCCGCCCTGTTGCGCAGTTTACGTTGTTTGTTGCTCTTCGTCCCTTTTCAAGTTCTTTCTGTTCACCGGCTGAGTCCGTCCTATCATTCAAACAAAACAGCCTTTGTCTGTCCTTCCTTTCTCACCAACAGAGGTCACATGCTTGACACCTTGTCAATCCAATCCCTATTGTCACTCATTATCTGCCCTAGAATCTGCATAGGCGGATGCTATATCATTCCTAGTGCTCTGGAAACGCCACAACTCATAAGTCTTCTTCAGTATTGATACAAAGTCGATCAAAACAACGTTTTAGTTTACAAGACACTTGCGGGTACAAAAAGAATTAAAAAAAAATTTAAACCCCAATTAGAAGAACAAGGAAAGTTTTGGGGAAATAGCAATGAGGGTCACCAACTTGAGCGTCCTGGCCACCCTAGCCAGCTGGGCAGCGGCTGCTCAGAGTGAGAGAACCTTTGCTGTACTTCGATTTGATGGCGATGGATTTATGACCGAGGGTCGGGTCGACCCCATTATCAGCCCTGGAACCGTGTCCAGCCACCTCCATGGTATTATGGGTGGAAGCAACTTTGGTACAACTGTCGAGGGGGACCAGCTACTTTCATCGCCTTGCACGAACGCCAAGATCAAGAACGACAAGAGCAACTATTGGGCTCCCCAAGTATTCTTCCATGATCCCAACAATGGGACTTTCACGAAAGTTCCACTGTTCTACATGAATGTTTACTATTTGTATGACTCCCTGCTCTCACCAATATGACAACTACCTAACTAGATATAGCTTTGAGCCTACCGACGATGAGATCGAAGCATTCCCTCCTGGTTTGAAGATGGTCAGTGGCAATGCTATGACAAGGGAGCCGCCTGCATTCGGCGGTGCCATCAATCTGGATCCCGGCGCTGGTGCCGTCCAGCCCATACAGTTCACTTGCCCACGCGCAAACTACAACCCCCCCTCGTACCCTTCAGGCTCTGATGGCACGGCAGCTGGAATACAAGATCCGAACAATGCAGGTGCAGGTGCTGGTTTCCCTCTTTACCCTTGCGACGGCTACGCTTCACCTATGAGAGCTGACATTCACTTCCCTTCATGCTACAACCCAAAAGCTGGCCTTGAGGACTATAAGAACAACATGGCATTTCCCACAGTCACCAACGGAAAGCAAAATTGCCCTTCAGGCTGGACTCATGTACCGCATATCTTCTTTGAGCTATACTGGAACACCCCTCTTTTCAGCGACTTGTGGACACCCGATGGCGTTGCCCAGCCGTTCGTCATGGCCAATGGAGATGTAACTGGATATAGCTCGCATGGTGACTTTATTTCGGGATGGGATGAGCCCACTCTGAAGAGAATTATTGATACATGCAATGCTGGCTCAAGTGGCATGGATCAATGTCCTGATATTCCAGGTGGCCTGAACGATGACAACAACTGCAAGATTAGCGACCCGGTCGCTGAGATCTTGAGCCTTGCTAGCGCGTTAACGGCCCTCCCAGGCGACAACCCTCTCTCTGGCTGGAAATACGGTAGCAGCGGCTCGAGCGGTAGTGGTTCTTCCAACAGCGCAAGTTCTTACCCAACTTCGGGTGCTACCAAGTCAAGTACCACTGTTTCTAGCGATGATACCAAGTCAACTACCATTGTTTCTAGCGGTGTTTCTTCGTCTGCTCGCATTGTGTCCTCGGCGGTTTCATCGTCTTCCTATATTGTATCCGCAGCAGAGTTCTCGTCCACATCTATCGCTTCTTCGGCCAACCACAGTGGCAAGAAGAGCAAGGGCTCGTCTACATATGGCGCTTCACCGACGGAGACGTCGACTTCAGTCGTTGCTGCTGAACAATCCGACTATCCCACAGTCGTCGCTGCAGCTGCACAGACAGCTTCAGGCGACGGCGATCTTGGTCTCCTTACATCAACGATTTATGACATCGTCACAGCGACTCAAACTGTTACTGTTTGGGCAGAAGAGACTTCACCGATCAAGCGTCACGTTCACGAACATGGTGGTCATCTTGCTCGTCACCGACGATCCGGCCACATGCGCAGATGAACTGCGCCTACCTTCATTTCTTGTATACACTTTCTAGGGCGACGGCGCAGAGGCTGCTTGGATAGAAGAAACGCACTGGGCTGGTTACAAAATTTGAGTTATTCATTTGGATATGATACGACGCCATGTTGAAGTCCTGCTTGGACAGGGTTTTGCATTTGATTGTTTGGTTCGATTGTATTTGTTAGATCTTCAATTCTTTGGCGGGGCCGTTGCCTGAAATAGGTAATGTCACGGCCTCACCCCTTCACATCTCAGTTGGGGTATCTACTACTCATGACTGGCATTCTCAGTGTCCCTATACGGAGTATCTGGACAGAGGAATTCAATTAGCCAGATTCTACAACCTCGCGTCTCGCCTGGGAAACCCGAAACCATTCGATTTATGAGAACTGATGTGAACCACTAATACCCACAATGATGGGATTTCTATCCCCTTGCAGTACTGGATTGTGTTGACAACACACAATCTGACAACAGCAAAGCTCATGAGTTCAAGTCATATGTAGACGCAAATCACCTGCCGGGTGTGATTATGGTGGTGCTGTGTTTCTTTATACAAGGTGAACACACCAACGCGTGAGAATCGTCTGCTTGGCGCTCGCGCAATTAGGATAGTATAGTGAGACTTATTCCACTATCTGAACATTGAGAGCGCTGGGTCAACATAGCGGGCAATGAGTGTTTGCTTGCTTGTCCGCTGTAGAATATTGTGACTTAAGTAACTATTGAGGCATCCGGTAACCGTGTTTGTTGAATCTCATTGTGCTTAAGCCTTAGTTAGGTGGTCTACCTCCAAACAATTAACCTAACCTAGACTAGGTTAGTCATGACCAACGGCGTAACGTAGTTGGTGGGGCGGAAGTCTATTTAAATAGTGTAACTTAGGTAAGTGCAGTATGTAGCAAACCTCAGGGCTCAGGCTGGATCCAGCGCAGATTCAACCAATTGTATCCACTGGAGAAAAAGCTGAGCTGCATTCATGTGTCTAGGCTAGCTTGTAGTCTAGAGTCTGGATTGGATTTTCACCAACCAGAAAAACCAAACACCGTTGCACTTCTTGTAATGATATTTCCATCATGTCGCTGTATCATGAGACGGCAGCTATCCTGTCAATTCCCGCCAGCGCCGGTGGCAATCTGAAAAGCCGTGTGTTTGGAAAGAAGGACCACAAGACATCTCCCCAGCAAATCTACGCCTTGGCCGCAGAAACGTGCAAGTGGAGCGCCGTCCTCAAGGAGGTTATTGACAATGCAGATATCCTGCGTCTTGAGCGGAAGGTATGTTCACTCACGCCGTGGGTTAGCCCACAGCTCTCGCTTCATTTCCTTCGGTATTGATGTTGCGTAGCTGAGCCCAATGCTTGTGCTCCTGCTCGTCCATGACCTGCTGCTGTCAAAGAAAGGCATCGCACTGCCTGCTTCTCATGGGCTCAGGGTTTCCATTGAGCGTCACAAGGCTCGCTTGTCGGCAGAGCTTACAAGAGCTAGACTGAGGAGAAAGGCGCCGTCGCTTGATGCGCTCCACGTCCAAGTAGAAGCTGCATTTGCGGAGACTTCTCCTAAATATCCTCGTTGGATACGGATCAATGCTCTTCGCACCTCCCTAGAGGAACAACTTAAAACCACATTCAAAGACTTTGTGAGGGTGGATGCAATCGGCGATGTTGCAGCCGCCAGCAGCAATACTTTATACGTTGACGAACACATTCCGAATCTGGTTGCTGTCTCCCCGAGCTTTGAGGTTCTAAAATCAGCTGCCTACAAATCAGGTGCTGTAATTCTTCAGGATAAGGCTTCCTGTTTCCCAGCATATCTCCTTGATCCCCGAGCTGAAGATGGCGACATCATCGACTCGTGTGCCGCTCCTGGCAATAAGACGACTCATCTCGCTGCTATTGTGTCTCCTCGCGCTCATAAAGTTGATGGCACAACCCCGAGAATTTTTGCTTTTGAGCGAAACGGGTACCGAGCCCAGACATTAGAAAAAATGGTTGCAGTAGCCGGCGGAGAGGACATTATAGATATAACCCCCAAGCAAGACTTCCTTAAGGTCGACCCGAATGGCAGAGCGCATAAAAATGTTGGCTGTCTGCTTCTTGATCCTAGTTGCTCGGGTAGTGGTATTGTCGATCGTGAAGGGCTGCCGGAAATCCATCTCCCTGGAGGTAGAAGCTCTGCAGCCCAGAAGTCCACCGGCGAGGACCAAAACCGGAAACGGAAGCGCAACGCGGAGGGAGTTGTCGGCGCTCAGGAGGTTATGGTAGATGATGATGGCCAGCAGACAGTGATTTCTACCGAGCAAGAATTGCTCTCTCGACTCGATACCCTTTCATCCTTTCAGCTCATATTACTTCAGCATGCATTCAAGTTCCCCTCCGCAAAGCGGGTAACCTATTCTACCTGTTCAGTTCACGCTCAGGAGAACGAGCACGTGGTCATCAAAGCACTGCAGTCCGAAATTGCGAAAGAACGTGGCTGGCGAATACTACCCCGAGAGCACCAAGTTCGTGGCATGAAAGATTGGCCAGTTCGAGGTTCTATCGATGCTGCTAGCGGTGACGAGATGGTAGCAGATGCTTGTATTCGTACCTACCGCGACGATGGTCGAGGCGTCATGGGCTTCTTTGTGGCAGCATTTGTCCGTGATGTACAAGGCGATGCCAATAATACCGGATCGTACGTGCGCAACGATGAACTCGGAATGACCCAGCACGTAATAGGCATGTCTGGATTGAGACACGTAGATTCCGGGGAGGCCAAATCCCCAACTGTGGGCGGCGCAACAATCGTTGATGAGGACGACTCGAGTGATGGATGGGAAGGCTTCAAGGACTGACAAGAACCAATGCCATTTATCAATACGAAAATTTTTGTACGTGTTCTTCCATCCTTCACTCATAAATTGAGCCTCGGGGAGGTATTGTGATCCAGTCATCCAGGAAATGTTAGAAACGACAAATCAGCGCAGTGAAAACCCCCGACGGATCAGTCACTTCGCTGATGTATGGTTATAGACGCCGTAGAAGCAGTACCACCTAGGTTATGGACAAGAGTTTCGAGTAAAGACTCAGCACATAGTTTACTCTGTGGCACGGCGCAAAATAGTACACACTTTCCACCAACATCCGGTCTTTCCTGTAGCAATACATAACCCGCTGGGCACCTTGACGACATAAAGCTGCGTAGTGACTCATTCAATACGATGTACTGATTAGAAGTCTCTTCCTCGAATGATTAATGAGACAAGGTTACCCAAGCCCATACTTTTGGCTGTGGCTAGCTTTTCGATTCAAGGAGATTTCAGGCAAGCTTGCTAATGGCCTAGCATCCAAGAGCCCATGATAACTATACACATGTTATTGGATATAAGTTTCGCCCTATGTGGCAGTATGCAAACACTCGAAGTGATATTTGCGTCCTAAAATGTGGTATTTATAAGCATCGTGAATTGCTCACAATATCATGCGAGGTTTCAGTTTGGGGCAGATCAGTACTGTATTTACACATTTCCATTTAATGCGGGAAAGCCACTTTCAGTTTTACAATGATACGTTGGTCCTTTTGTAGAACCCCTGAGCTTGTAAAGGTCATCCCAGCCAACCAAGACCGATAAGGTGTTGACAATCATCCATTCGATGATAGACTATCTACCGCCACGCCGAAGTAAGTAAAAAACTCCTGTAAAGCCTGAATGTTGATGATATTATGCCACCAGCTTTTTAGGTCTTAATAATGCACTTGTATTCTGAGAAATACTATACTAAGCAGACGAGGCAAGGTTTTGAGGCCAAGACGGGGTCAAGATTGTATGCATCTCAGCCGCAAGGTACTCTGACTATTACCAGGTAACACGGCCCGATATTATCTTCCGGCTGCACGGCTTCCGAGTAACAGAAAATCTCAAACTTCAAATCGTGTGGATCAACAAACACACCATCTCCACCTCGTCTAACGATGTTTAGTTTATGGTAAGTATCGAAAACGATCAAGGTAAACCAAGGGCTCACAGGTTACACCAGGATTTGGCTAGGAATACATGCCGTGAACCAGGCCTTAGGAGATTCTAATGCCACATTGAGTCCGTTGTCCAATTTTACTGCTTGCTTCTAATGGCCTACAAACGTGATCTATGCCCATGGCATATCTGTCAGTCGAGGATCTTCTGCGAGGCTGATACAGCATACCGCGGCATCAAAACTCGAATCCAGTGGACTCAAGACACTGCTTTGTCCTAGTGGCTGCATAACTTAGCACAAGACAGATGATATCCCAGACTTGCGAGTGTTTTTAATCATGTCCATCATGAGATCTAATCCACTATGAATGGTCCAGCTTTTGGAACAAGTCTGGCTCTGGGTCGGAATTATCGAAAGGTAACGTCTGCTGTGGAGTCTCTTATGCAACTCTGCTCCTATTTTACAATGCATATTGACGTGAATTCTAGCTGTATTGATGGTAGATTCGACGTGTCACTCCTCTGCTTGGGTTTTGGGAGGTTAACCTTTCTAATATTCTAGTTCAACTTTCCCAAAGACAACTAACTTGACGATGCCAACACTAACTTCTTCATCGCCCTCAGTTACAGCAATGGAGACAAGGCAAGATGTCAAGTCACAGAAGAATCACCGACTGCCCGCATTTATCATGCTATTCGACCAACCTGCTGTAACTTGGGAAGTCCTGGTATGAAGATACAGAGGCAAAGTAACTACCGAGGAACTATATGTTGTTGATTTTCTAGATGGCGATCTGAAAAATTCTACATGTTTCCGCAATAGAAGAAGTGTAGTGTCCTGATTCTTCAGGCATTTGCAGTCCTAGCTGTAATTGGCATTTATGTCTACGGCCTCCTCTGGAGAGAACCTCTGAACTCATGGAAGAATTTGAAGTGAATGCAAATCACAGCTATACCGAGCATCTTCCTCTTCATCACAGGCTTTGCAGTAGGGTAAATCTTTTGATTTTGTCCGTTAGGAACTTAGATGCTGAATCATCCTTGTGGTTGGATCCCTTCTACGGGCTCCTTTGTCCGAGTTATCTGGCCAACAGGTCCTGTTCTTCGGATTGTATTTGGCCTTGACAGCGTGCAACGCAGGAGCAGCAGCGCCACCAAATATTCGGACACTCATCATTCCTCGATTCTTCGCTGACACATTTAATTGCTCTCTAATGACCAATGCTGGGGAAGTCGTTGCCCACATGTTCTCTGCATCAGACAGAGGTATGGTGACAGCTGTCTTTGCCACGCTTCTTTCTTATGACCCTCGACAGGACCAATTGTTTGAGAATTTCTGGGAGAGAAGTCGTGGAGATAGGTCTAGGGCTTGATGGCGTGCTTTGCTGGTCTGATTGGATCACTGGCCCCTTCTGCGTGCCCTAACCTTATACTCCTATAGTACTCCGCAAACGAGTTAATAAAATCTCACAGATTACTGGTAAGGTTTATATTCCCAAGTTGGATACGAGAAGCCCCCAGAAGACCATATCACAGGCGTCCAGGGTTGCACTCACACGACCATGGATTCTGTTATTTAACGAACATATCGCGATGCCTACGTCACTTTACATGGCCTTTCTATACGGTAATACTTACATGATGTCCGCTGCTTTTGTCATCCTCTTCCTGCAGCTGCGAGGTTGGTCTTCTGGAATTGGTTAGCTTGATTTTCTTGGTGTTTCCTTCGGTATGGTGTTCTCGGCCGGCTACAGTATAATCGCCAGCGAACGTTATACGAAGATATCAGAAGCTCGAGGATGACATGTGGCTCCAGAAGAACGGCTACCAAGTGCAATAATGGTTTCAGTGCTGCCCCTAGTCAGCCCGGTTTGGCTCGCTTAGACCAATTATATATTATATGTTAGTTAGTTGTATGAGCAAAGGTTTGAGTTTTGGGCTAACAGTTTCACCGGCACGGATTATCACTTGGTTGTATCTATCGTCGCGTCGGGCTTTTTGGGTGTTGGACTCGTCCTTATTTTCCTTACTACTTGATAGAAGCTATGAGTCATTATACATGTCAACAACAGTCAGATTCATCGCTAACAAAATGCATAGCTAATTTATGCTGCCTCAGTACCAGGTGCTAACTCCGTCCTTCCATCATTGTATAGTGCTGCCTTTCCCACTTTTCACGACAAATGAATTCAGAATTCTCCAGTCATTCCTAAAGCATTCATTCAGCTTAGATGGTTCTGATATGAACCAAGATATGTATATTCACTGGGCATTTTCAGTCCCGGCATTCCCTTCCCTGGCGTGTTTACCGTTCCACTTCCTTTTCCGAAAGTTTGGCGGCCAAATCAGGACCCGATGCAAATTTGCCGCTGGTGCCGCCAAAGTCTTGGCCATGGTGCTACAGAGTGCTGACAACTCAGTAGTTAAAGTCGTCAATGAGAAGAAGGCCATACAAGAGTCTGTAAGGGAGATTTTGTCTGACAAGGGTACTGTCACAAGCTTAGATGGGTCAATGAGCGGCCAGACACAGTTCAGTGAAGTTGCGAGAATTCCAAGTAAAGTTAAATCAGAACATACAGGGGCATTATATAGATTTGGATGCGCGTAGAATTGGCCTGGATGACAGTGTCGCCATAGACGTCCTGCCAACACTTGTATATGCATTCTATCGGCTATGGGAATTCAGTCATAGATATAGATAGTTTGCTCACATATGTAATTATAATACACAATTACCCGCCGAATCCGCATGATCGAGTGAATTATGACGGCTGTCCGCAACCAGTTGAAAACCATAGAGCCAAATGCCTCAGGACTCTGATGGCTGTCGACATTAAAACCCGTTGTATAAAATCATGTGTCACTTCTAGAGCTCATCACGGCCGATATTGATCTTTATACCCGGATAACTTCGAATTGAGACTTTTCGCGAGGCTTTGATCTGACCCGGAGCTTCTGATACGAGTGCAGTGGTCGTTCCAGGCGGACTCCAAGGCTTTATTCGTCCTTGCCAAACATCCAATCCCCATTTCTGCATTGACGAAGGCGTTATTGGCGTCCCTTTGGGATAGGGAAAGATCCTGTTTGTTGAGAGCTGGTGCACAGCACCAGCTGGGAAAATCTCGGGCTCGAGACCCAGCTTTGCTGGCAGGTCCGGGAATTCCAAAGGGTCAACGGTAACCATGGTAAGTGATTCATAGTGGCTACGGGCCAACTTCTTCAGACTCTCACGTAAGTTGGCCCGTTCGGCTTCCGTAGCAGCAAAGACGTACACCATTGGCCACTCGCGCTAAAACTGGATCAATGGAAACGTTTCCAATGGTGACCAAGATGCTGTCGCAACTTACTTCAATAAAACGCTGATGGTTGTAAGGTAAGAGTTCACCAATTATTGGACGCTTGGTATTATGAGTCAGCCTTTGTAGTCACTTCGTACTGACAACATACCGAAGCTTCTATCACAAAAGATTCAAGAGACACTTGATCGAACGGGTCATTGAGCACCTTGCGGTCTCCATCTATGACCCTGAAGCAGTCAACTGTCGGATTATTCAACTCCTCCTTGCTTTCGTATTTTACAATATGGATGCCGAAAGTGAACTCGTTCTTATATTTCAAGGCCACTGCCTCCAATATAGGTCGAGATACTTCATCATCGGGACGGATATTTGCCACTATGACTACTTCGTCTATGGACCGGAACAATTCCATTGAACTGAGCTGTACGTCAGATACTGATGGTCGCAGGACTCTCGCGGCCCAAGCTGTAATCCTAATTTCATCGTTAGCAATTTTGAGGAGTAGCAAGTATGGGTCATACATACGCGGAAGCTCGGCTGGGCCCTTGATATGTTGCCATAATATTTCCATCCTTCAACAGCTTAATGCCGTAAGATGCCGGCGATCCATATGTCTCACAGACTTCGCCATCTGCACTACAGTCAACGCTAAAGAACGGCAAGTGCGAGGCTGTTGCAGCCACATTCCATTCCAATTCGAGTGCTTTGAATTTATCGCTTTCAACATATCAGTATTTTCCTTGGGTTATCCAGGCTAAGGACTCACTCTGCTGGCTACACAACGGACATATCGTAAGCAGAATTGGTCATAGACGATGGAAGCTACATACCGACACAACTAGATTCACACCATTAGCTCAAAGTCGATCAAAAACAAGACTGCAAGATTTTGTCACGCACAGGCCACCACGGCTGTTTTTTTCTCGTTGGTCAATTCCCCCAACTCTTTCGAAGATGCGAACTTCCAGGCGAAGCTTTGAGCTGAAAGGAAACCGACCCAGGCTAGTAAGCATGCAAGTCGTGCCATGACGGAATCGGCAGCTACGACAACTAGTTAAGCGCACTGAATTCGTCAGGTAACTGATGTTAATTACCTGTGAACGAGGCGGATTGTAGGAGTAGCAATGCAAACGCAAACGTGTTATCTAGGGCGATTGCGAGGTTTCATCGCGCTGCCCTCCATGCCAGCACAATCAGTTCTTAGCGTTGTCGTAGAACTGCAGGGGGTATAATTGCCAATATGCCATCAGCTAAAGAACGTTTTTAAAGAAAAGAAATAAGTAAGGAAAAGAAAGGAAATAGGTTCGCCAAAAAAAAATTTCCTTAATGATTTTCTTAAATGTTCCTAATCGTGGGATTCCACGATAACCATATTAATTATCGCTTTCCCTTAACATTTCAATTTTGCAAGAATATAATAGAAATTATAAGACTAAGCCGTTGAATACCAAACAATGCCATTAACAAGCCTTCGCTATCATGGCTAAAACATTAAGTAATTGACCACGAACAATACCAATAATGTAACACACTATACATACAACGTTATAAGAAGATTGGTAGATAATTTATTATCAAAGTACAAGAGCCGGACAAGTGGTTGCAATCGACAGGGTCTTTCTTTATCGGCCAGCAATGCTTATGGTATTGTGCTATGTGAGTTTCTTAAGCCGAAAGCAATTCCAACCACTCTGAGATAGGTGTTGTATCATTGCTTTGATCAAGTCAGCGCACAGGCTTTTCAAAGTCGGGTTTGGTTGTCTTCACCAAAAACCGAGTATCCACGTTGTAGACTTACCATCTGAACCAGCCTTGCTAAAGTCTTGTGGCTAGGAGGTCATGTCATTTTTATGCCCCGGGTATTTAGCAACAAGCATTGCGACTTTTATGTGGAAGAACTGTAAGCTATTCTATATGAATGGAATCATATGGGATCTTGGATTCCGCAATGGTCAAGCTTGGATGATTGAGTCAACGACTGTTGAAACCTTGTAAACGAGCGGTGAACCCCTTAAAGTACGTGGATGTAAGGGATTTTTTTTATGATTGCATAGAACCAGGCTAATAGCATATCACAAATAGTGACCAATCACCAACAATCACACGCCTTGTGGGCTTTCGCGGCTGAGTAGAAACCCAATCAGACGTAGACCGGAATGAAGTGCCAAACATTCACCCACTCCCGCTGCTGTACCTCTGCTCTTAAATTAGGTGTGAGTCAGTTTTACTTCTAGCCTATGAACCAAAAGTTGCAAGTCTCAATATCTAGATGAAGAACACAAATCCAATGATTACGAAGGGCATCGAACCCCGTCAGTGATATATACATCAGTGTGACGCTATAGATGTGTTCTGTTGCAAAAGGATGGACCAATAATGAATACCAATCTATTACCTGGTAAACCGATTGCCGGATTGTAGAAACTCTTCACGAATGACAGCTGGTGCTCTGCGAACTTGGACTACAGGGGATATCGAATGAGGACATTATACAGCCAGGTCGAGGGTGTTTGTACACTACAGAGGCTAGCAGAAATAATAGGCTCATACAAATGTACCGAGACAAGTATAGTGGCCTAAGCATCCAAGCGCAATTATATGAGACCTGTTAAATGAATGATTTGGATTACTGCGACCAACGTACGTAGACGTCGCAAACTTATTTTTTGTGTCCAATTGGACGACTGGCTGACGTTTCCGTCAAATTCAGATTATTACACTTCATAATGCCTGGATTATAAACTCAATGTAAGGTGTGCCCTGAATTAAAGACAGCGCCATGCTCGAATTGGGCCATCCTGGTTGAAGTTCATTTTGTATATGGACTAGTCTAGTATAGATCAACACCACTGTACGTAATCATTAATCCGAAATGTGTGTGGGATCTGGAATTGTATTGGTTAGCGGCATGGGGTATGTCAGAAAGTGGCCTAAGGAGTCCATCTTGAAACGATCTGCTGGCTCCGGCCCTTTACCCGGTAGCCCGGTCTGGCAGCACTTTATGACAACCAGTGGAGGCATCGTGATCTAGAACATACGTACTGTATTCTTGCCTGCAGCCTGCCATACTGCCTGCTGGATTAACACACTAGGTAGGCTATAACGACAAGCAAGCGAGTCATTAGCACAATGAACTAACTCGATGATGCTATTAGCTGCTATGGTGGCTTAGTCCAGCAATGCACCTAAAATCTTCTAATTTCAAACCTAGCCTTCGTGACAAGAGACTGCGCCGAGATGGTATCCATTCACCTTGCCAGATAAACGACGAAAATGGTAGATCACAGACCGATGGATTGGACCAGGCATCTCGCGTGGTTACCAAGTCAGATGGCAATCTCAGGAACAGGCTATTGTTCAGAGCCTGCGCCGATTAACCCCATCTGGTTCAACGGTTACCACAAGTCATTCGCTTGTCAAACGCCAATAACTAGCTATCTTTATGAATAACAGTAGGATCCAAAGTGTTTGCATGTCTGTGTAACTAGCTCGGTCTGCTCTCACAGGATAGGGGTCATAGACCTTATAATATGATCTGAACGCCCTGTTCTACCTGTCCTGTGCCAGCTAAAATTTGACGATAGATTTTTATTCCTACTACTTGAGTCTCAAACGATTATGGCACAATCCGGGTTCCTTGTACCATCGAGGTACGTGGCAGAAGTCCCCACCGAAACGGACTGTAAGTTACCTTTGCAATTATTTACAAACCTGTCCAGCATGACTCGAGGGAGCATATTGCTTGACAATGGCTTTTGAGCTGTTGAAAGAATTCTGGTGCTTACAAAAGCGCATCTCGTATAAAACCCAAAACAACTACTGATCTTCTATGTGTCAGTGAATATTGCCAGTATTATCTGGGGGTTTTCTCTCGCCTGCAGCTGCTTCACTTTTGCTAAAGCGTCACGCCAGACATGGACTTCCATGCGGCGGATTAAATCAGTTAACGCATATGTAATCATGATTTGGGCTGAATGGGTTGCCTGTCTTATAATTTCTGTGATAAGCTGGTTGTTCCTTAGAGGCGTGATTCCAATCAGGTAAATTCCTCTTGCTATCTTTGGAGCATCCGCTATGCTAATCGTCAATATCTAGCTTCTGGTTTGCTTTCTCTCTTCTCTGCCTATGGGTTGTCCAAATTCAATGTATCATGCAAATAATCATCAACCGTATTGCACTTCTCATGGTCAATCAACAGAAGGCAAGAACGATCAAATGGATTGTATTTCTGATCATATCAGCCATTAACATTAGTGTCTTCTGTATCTGGATTCCGGCAAGACTACAGATCAGCGACACGTATGTTAGCGTCAACAACGTCTGGGATAGGTGTGAGAAGGCTATCATCGCCGTAATAGACATGGGGCTCAACTTCTATTTTATTCACCTGATCCGCGCGAAACTTATCTCGAACGGTCTTACCAAATACACTAGACTGTTTCATTTCAACTTGGGCATGATATGTATCTCTCTGGCACTTGACGTGAGAATCCCCCTAACATCCAAACTGTATGACACGTTGTGTAGTTGCTTACCTTCATCTAGGTCATCCTCATTGGTGTCATGTCTCTTCCCAATAGCGTTGTCTACGTTCAGTTTCACCCTCTCATCTACCTTGTGAAGTTACACATCGAGATGAACATCGCTGATATGATCGCGCGGGTTGTGCGTGCTGCGAACCCACACCACACAGGATCATACGACAAATCCAACTCGAGACGATACGAGGGGGGGCACAAAATGACAACTCTGGTTACAACACGACATAACAACGCTTCGCATGCTAAAGCTGACGAGGGTAATGAAGATCAGTATCCTATGGATGGTATCAAACGGACTATCGAAACGCAGGTGGTACGTGAGCCCAAGGTACAAGACGACGACGACCAAAGCGAATCCAGTTCCACACGTGAGCTGCAGAAGCATTTTGCCATTGTATAAGATGGCAGTTCCGTTTGATGCTGATAGCAGCGAATGGCGTTCTTGCAAATTCATCTAAAGTCTTGCATGCGACAGTTCTAATGCATATAAACCCTCACTCTATATATAATGTCGAATACACGACATGGCTGCTACCAAAAGACAATTGTATAGCAAAAATATCATTTCGGGCAGACAATGCGGCTTTCCACACTAAATGCCAAGAGAACCTGTCACCAATTTGTTGAATAACAATGAAGTTGATACATATTGGCAAACTTGAATTCTACCTGCGTTGCTGTAGTCATCGACTACCCCTTTTCGCTCACGCTTTATGCCATTTGAAACGAATGGTATGCTTATGTCCTGCACATTGCCATGCCAGCGAACTTCCTTTTACGGGTAGGAAATGATATTCCAGGGAGTACGTATCCAGAAGCCTATCATATTGGCTACTAGTCTACCCAGTCATTATGTCACGCTACCGGCAACAATCTCTGAGCCCATGGAAGCACATATATTTTAATATTTTCATTTATCAATGAACGGTATTTTTTTCATCAATGAACGATACTTTTTTCATCAATGCGGATTTTCTAAAAGCAACTCGGGGACTTTTCCTCACACCTACTATGTTTGTATACACCCTTGCCGTAAGTAATGTAATCAGCTCGCAAATATATACATGCCGTAGCACGTGTCGTTGTGACTTGATCTTATATAGTACTTCATATCGATTTGTTGTGTTAGCTAGCTGTATACCCGTCACGACTCATAGTTAGTCAATATACCATATGGAAACATGCTAAAAGCACAATCTTTGGAACATCCACGAAACTCTCCCATCTACGTGTTAAAGCTCTTATGAGATTTCACTTCTTCTTCTTAATCATGTATATCTAAAAATGTAGACAAGTGCTAGTGTGGACAGCAATTAGTAGGGGGGGGGATTCCAGGGAATAATTAAACTATCCCGATATAACTATAGCTGAGGTTAGGAGTCTAATACTAGGAGTCTCCATAAGGATGATTTGAGAAAAAGACATGAAAAAAAGAGGGAAAGAAGAAAATGATGAGAAATCAAGAGATGTGTCATATCACAAGTGCATATCGTTTGTGAGTTAAGAAGGATAACTCGATTGCGAACTTCCTATCAAATACCGCTGAGACGGTATGTTTTTGCTGGACACACATTTCGTTGTTCTTAATACACACAAACCTGAAATGCAAAAGAATAAGATTTCGGCAACTTAGGTAATTAGCTCTAGGGCGAGCGTAGGAGCGAACAAATTAATGAGTCAGTCATAGACCTAGGTACCATATGATGGCGCTTGCTTGAAATTGAACATAGTAAGCTGAAAATATGTATGCGTGCTAATTCGATAAAACACGCGCTGAACACGCTCTCATGGCTGCGTAAACCATAGCAAAATCGGTTCACGCAGCAGCGAGTTTGACGGCATGAAGTAAGGTAATATATGTCGGAACCATTAGTAGAACGGCTGTTCCATTGGCCTCTACAATCATACACAATTATACGCTGGACACCTACGGACGGTACGGTACAGTCTGTGTTATGAAGGAGGTTAAACCCTTTAGGTGTTGTCGGGATCGGCCCCGCGAGCGCAGATAGCGGGTTTCATATACAGGGATTTGGGATAAGGAACAAGGAACAAGTGATGATCGCTGTGTTTGGGGTTTAGTGTTTGTGGAGCCCTCAGAAATGGCACGCTTCCCAACTCGGGAATCTGGCTTCGTCACCCACACAGAAGTGTTTTTGCCTCTAAAATCTTGACACAACCAAATCACAATATCCATGGTCAAACATTTCACGTACAAGTCGGAGCTATTACACATTGGTCCGAACTATGGGCGATAAGCTGAAAGTTGTCAGAGAATGGTTGCAACATGGGCGTGAATGGTAACGTATAATGCAACATTCAGCGACCATATATACATTTAGAAGATTAAATACATGGATAGAATTGGCATATATTCATATACCTGATGAAGCCTGAACTAGATCGCCCACTAGCTTTACTCTCCCGTGCTGCCTAGGGTATCGAGAAGTTATAGCGCAAGAACGGCAGCAAAGATCGCCAGGACTGCGGAACCAGCAACGCTGCCGGCGCCAGCAGTGACCGGGTAGGTCGAAGAGGGGGTTGCACCAGTGGTAGAGTTAGTACCGTAGCCAGGAACAGAGGTACCGACGCTGGGCTTAGCAGTTGCGACAGTAGAAGCGGCGGTGCTCTGGCCGACAGTGACGGTTGAGTAGATGACAGTGCTAATAGAAAATGTCAGCCTTTACTCATAATGGTGGACAGACGGAACCTTCTCGGCGGTATTGACACCGGATGGAGAGGGTTCACATTCTAAATGGCACGCGGCATGTAGAAAACATGCGTGTCCTGGTACTTACGGGATGCAGGTGGTAGTAGAGATGGTCAGGACAGAAGAGCTACCCTCAGCCGGGGACGTGCTCTCAGCACTGTTCTCAGAGGTGGTCTTGCCAGTCTTCACAGTGGTGGGGAAAGGAGCCGCAGAAGAAGGGGCGTAGGTTGGGTAAGCGGCCGAAGGAACACCAGAGGCAACGCCCGAGGGGTATCCGGAAGGAGCAGACCCGGATGGGTAGCCAGAAGGCTTGCCAGATGAGACAGCGGGATAAGTGGAAGGAATCTCGGCGGAGGGAGTCTCGGCAGGGTAGCTGGAAGCCTCAGTTGGGACAGAGACAGCGTATGTAGAAGAGTACACTGCAGTGGATCTAGCAGGGCAGTTTGTGACCTATAAGGGCGTATTAGCTCCTTTCCCTTGAATTATAGCCATCCAATGGTGTGGTGAGACGATGGATAATCATGTTCACGCCAAAATTATTGATGATTATTGAACGCATCCAAGGCTTACCTCGGGTGCACAGCTCGTGATAGTAACGTAGTCAGTACTGTAGACAGTCTTGGCCGAGACGGCACCAGCGAATACAACGGCAACGGTAGAGAAACGCATCTTGATGGTATCTGGGTTTGTTCGTTGGGGAACGTAGTGTTGTCAATGAGTGGTGATAAGCTGAAAGCTTGAGTGAGTTTTTGTTAAAGAATGGACGACGGTTAAGTCAAGAGTTTCAGTTGAATTGGCTTGTTTAGCTGAAGAGGGACAGAAACCAAAGTAGGAATCAAGACGCAGGACAACCAGTATTAATAGGATACACCCACATAACGCCGACAAAGGAGAGGAGACAAACGACTGGGCTCCGGGAGATTAACTGGATGCAATATGCGGGACTAAAGCCCATGATCATCGGGAAAGACACCCATGCGCTGGTTGACATGATGACCGGATCCACTTAAACCGGGGTGATAGACATGGGCAAGCATGGAATAGGCCCCGTGGCCGCCAAACGGGCAAACGTTCTTAAAGTTGTCATCGACGAGCCTTCTCCACAATCGTTGGTGGTCTCATCGCCAACTGATCTCAGTTGAGTGGGCAGAGTGGGCAAAATGGGTTAGTTGCTTCAGACAATCTTGTGTGTTTGTTTGGGTCTGGGCTGAGCTGGCTGCCCCCCCGGTGATATAGTCAGTCCAATAACGATACAGGACTTGGCACATTCATGGAAATTGAATCTAACCAGCGGTTGCGAAGGGTCCATAAGGGCTGCTGATTTGTGTGGTGTCCGGGACGATGGGTTTCGACCCTTGTCCAATCTACATCGGACATGGTGGCATACATAGCTACAGTATTACAAGGGCAGTGCAAGGACTTGCTTGAGGGGTACCGCCGAAATCCGTCCTTGCTTGACATTTGTACACTGTGATTAGCCTCCTGTCGATTCGGTACTTGCATTGCCTTACTACATATGTACATATATAGCCACGATATGAGAGTGGGAAAATAGCATTAGGTTCATCAGAGTCAAAGCCGAGGTTCTGTGTGTGTAGTTCAGCACATTAAGGGCTACTAAAATATCTATTAGTCTATTATAGTAGAGATTGACAGCCAAGTCTTTACAATAAGATAACCAAGTCGAATGGACAAAGCGTCAACGTCAATGTCCATGACTGTCACAGGTGCGCCGCATGCTTGCAGCCAATTTCTGCCCGGGCCTGCCACTATAAGCACTCCATCTCTGTGAATTATGTATTCCGCGCAACTTCTGTGCACTTCTTGCATCATCAACTTGTTCAAAAGGGAAATGCGGCACATTCATTGTGTTCTGGAGTTGCGCAGGCTACGGATTAGGTACCCCGCGATTTGTGGTACTCAAACAACCCGTATCTATTTTCCAGGATGGGTGTTGAGCAACACAAGACCAAATCCACAATGAGATCGTCCAGGATTGAGCTGCGCTCAGGGTCCTACTGTGTAGGTAACATTAGACCCAACCAGGAATGTCCAAAGCACACTGGCACTTGGGCTACAATACAAAGTATGCCGCTCAGATCTGGGAGAATGGTCTAACCTAGCAGATCAGGGCCCAGGGAATGGAATGGTGTGCTAGAGCTAATGCAGGTACCGACGCCTCTCGGCCTCCTTCCCTCGTCGTCAGTGCTTTGGATTTACAGGAGTTAAGCCGTCAATGCCTCCAGACCGAATTTAACGACCAGGTCGTTAATTTCGTTCGTTGGCAATTCAACCCCTGCTGAAGAGGCTCTGTAATTAATCGGAGAAACCAAACACATCTTATTTGCAACAGCATGCCCGGAGAAGTGAAGAGTGCCTGTGAAATTGTCATTTGCGACTGCGAGCCCTGGAGAGTAGTCTAGGGTTCTACCCCACCGACTCGCTGCACGGGAAATAGCCCTATCATTCCTTCAATTTTACTTGACCGCTCCGTAATCCGCAATCTAAATGTCAAGCATTGAGACGAGCAGAATTCATAACAACTTGATACCATGCAACCTCATACTGGCCATAAGCATCATGGAAGACGACTACGTAGACGTTGAATACCGTTGCAACATGGCATCACCCACTGTCGGGTTATACTTGATCAGAGACATGCATGGACAAGTGCCTACGCTCATAGTATTCAATTACCTATCAGCAAGTGGTTCCAATAATAGATCATCGTGGACTACTAATGGTGCGACACGCACATGAATAGATCAGCAATGCCAGTATGCCTCGCAAGCAGGCAAGCCTCGATGTCTCTGCTCTCTAATGATACGTGCCGCCACTACCGTAGACTAGACTAAGGTTAGTCTAAATACTAAATACCATTGTGACAAGCTGTGCTCGTCGATCACAATCCGCTGGTGGCTGATTACGTCGTTGGTATAGGCCATGTAGGAAGAGTAACTTGGTCGCAGTAATGCGTCGAACTCTTCCAAGCCAAGGAACAGGGGGGAAAAAGCAAATTCCTTTATCTTTAGGTATGGCGGCTATATCTATCAGTGGAGACTACAAAGTTTACTTGCACGCTGTTTGAGAGATATTGGTTTTGTCGAGGATCAACGCCATCAAAAGTTCCCCAGAGGTTTTTCGCCAGTTTATTACCGTCCATGACCTGGAGGCAGTCAATTGTCTCTTGATCTTTTATACTCAGATGCACCCAAGTGCATTAACCTGTTCTAAGTTGCTTCGCGGTCGGTAGTGGTAGTCTGTGTAGTATAGCAACGAAAACAAGAGCTCATCGAAACAGTCTTGTATCCACCTCATAGGCTTGACGGTGAACTATCCGCTTGCCCAGTATGTTTCGTTGATAAGCAAAGGGTATTTCAAAGACTTCGAAAAGTTGCTATACCTTTGTTATATAGACTAAGATCGAGATATTGAAAGGTGAGTATTCGGCTTCGCCGGTGGTTTGATGAGATAGACAATAATGACTATCGATTTTATAGGTTGATACGTGCTTAATCGGAGTAGCTTGGCAAATGATGTGTTCCGGCATACATTCGAAGCGGTCCTAGGAACCGGTACAAGGGCACTATACAGACGATGATTTCAATCGCTGTGTCCGAATGCATGGTCATATCAATCGCTAACACAATGTATCTTCACCTCTCCACTAGTCTAGCCTATACTTTATACGCCATCCTTTGCGGCTAAGCGTTTCATGGCTTACAGTTACGACGAATTACTATAAGTAGCCGAGTATTTCATCTGATCATCTCACCAACATCGAGAAGTTGCTCGCGTGCCTGATGTCATAATAAAGAGCCATGTTACCGGTATCAACAAAAGCGCGTCGGTGGTCAAATCAGTATTAGAAAGCCATTCTCTCGACTGGTCTTGCTAGAACAGGGCTATAGCGCCTGTTATAAAGCCAACTCGTGGACGCTTGAGAGCTGCCATGGCCAATTCTGCCACGATGGGTTTTTTTTAATCATTTTTTATAATTTAAAATTTGAACTGACATTGAATGAACGCAGTAGGTTGCTTGAAAGGTTTGAGCGAGCTAGCCCTGGTGTAGACTGCTGAGAAACTGAAATCTGCTCGAGTATTTACATTAGTGTCTTCAGGCTGGAGAAAAGACGAGCGGTGGCATTTTAACAACTGTAATCAATATCACGTTTCCCCCGGCATACTCTAATCCTAACATTGGTCCAGTATGGCTTGTGCCACACAACGCCAAATCCTCTTGTAGACCCCGGCAGTCAATAGGTTCCGTGCAGCATGATGTCGTTTCCGGCTATAAGACAGCAATACCGGATTTACTGGCACTGTCACACACCCATATATTACGGCTTTCTCCTGATCAGTCTATGCTAAGCTTGGAATTCTACTGTGGTTGCCGCCCAAAGTCACCTAGGTTAGCATAAGAGCAGAAACCGCATAAGCAGCTTTCGGGGGACAGAGCAAAAAGCTGTTGAGTGATGACATTTTCTTTTTGAGGCTCTGCTGCGCATTATATCACGGACGTGGAAGTCCATATTGCTGCTGGGGGGCAATCTCTGGGGGTGCCGTGCGTGCTTTTATGGGCGTGGCTGAATGTAGTAGCAACGGCACCACGGTATCCAATAAAGCCGAGGGGAGCTCCAGCCCACTTTGTTTGTTCTCACTGACCGCCTGGCAGATACCAAGACCCTAGGTTAGTCAAGGCGGGGTGAGGGAAAAAAAAAATTATGGATGGCAGGGTCGAAGAGTTGGGCTGCGATGTGGCAGCGGTGGGTAGCTGGATCTAGTGAGGCTGCTGCGCTCTTTACTACAGTATCGAATACATACATTCCTCGTTTGCTTGTGACCGTGATGTGTTCAGAAACTCAGTTGGCCACATATCTGGTGGCATAGAACTTACTTACCGGGCTGGAGAATAGAATGATCTCGGTGAAAATCTCAGTGGAATACCCCAAATTACAGTACTCAAAGTTCTCAAGCCCGACTGGCGGCTGATTCCGACAGCAGTTAACGTTCTAACGTTAGTTCATGTCACAGCGACTTGAACCACTAACGTTACCGTGAATCACATCCCACCTTCACATTCAACGGGCCACACAACATTATTCGCAATCTCCGTCTCCGTCTCAATCTCCATCTCCATCTCAGTCCAAAATCATCATTGGCAACACACCGCTGTCAGGAAAACACAACGACTGTTGACCAATACGAGCTGCATACTTGCAAGCATGCTGTATGCACCCCGTTGAGGGTTGCCCACATCATAGCAGCAGCAGCAGCAGCAGCAATCTCATCACCCCGCCGAGTACCTAACATTGCGCTGCGGTCATAACAGACGCGGGGCTCTGGCTCTGGCTTTGACTTTGGCTTCGGCTCTCCTTTTTTTTTTTTTTTTTCCCACACCCCCTTCCCCTTGGGATACTTCCGCGGTAACCGTTAATATGGACACCCAGATCGAGAAGGCAGTGGAAATAGTATGGAACCCAACTGGTGATCAGGCCATCAAGGCTCAGGCCTTCGACTATCTTCAACAGCTGCGCTCCGACCCTCAAGCCTGGCAAGCCTGTGTCAGCCTCTTCACCAGGACCCCTCGCGTTTCCGAGATCGTGCGTCATGTCTGCCTCGAGTTGATCAGCAACAGTGTTCACACCCATGCTCTCGACGGTCAAAGCCTCGTCGTCCTAAAAGATACACTGCTTGCCTACATCAAGGAAACATACGGCACGAACCAGCCCGAGAAGGTCGACTCTACCAACCTGCAAAACAAGATTACCCAGACCGTCACATATCTGTTTGTTACCCTCTACCAGCAGGGCTGGGAGTCTTTCTTCGACGACTTCCTGGCACTCACTGCTCTGCCCGGTAGCGCCACTCACGACAACATCATTGGCACCGTTCTCTACTTGCGCATCCTGAACAATGTACATGACGAGATCGCCGATCAGGTCGTCATGCGTCAGGGCAATGAGGTCAAAATTCACACCGAGCTCAAGGACTTGGTGAGAGCTCGTGATGTCGGTAAAATCGCTCAGTCATGGCAGGAGCTCCTCGCCGAGCATGCTGACCATGATCAAATCATTGTCGAGACAACACTCAAGGTCATTGGGAAATGGGTGAGCTGGGTTGACATTTCTCTGATTCTCAATGATTCCATGATGAGCCGCATATTTCCCTTGATTGGTCGCAGCAACCCCAACAGTGGTGAGGACAAGATTCGCGACGCCGCCGTCGACGCCTTTACTGAAATAGTAGGCAAGAAGATGCGGCCTGCCGACAAAGCCAGCATGATATCCTTCCTCAATCTGCGTGAAATCATTTCTCAGCTCATTTCGAGCCCCCCCTTGAATGACTTCAAGGGCACCCCACACTATGATACGGACTTGGGCGAGGCAGTGGCAAAGCTAGTCAATACTGTCTTGGCCGACCTTGTACGCGTCCTTGAGGACCGCACAACTGACGATGACACACGCGCCAAAGCAAGCCAACAGCTACAAGAATTTCTCCCTCTTCTTCTCCGCTTTTTTAGTGACGAGTATGATGAGATATGCTCCACTGTTATCCCTTCGCTCACCGATGTTCTTACCTATCTGCGGAAGGTCCCCGACCTCCCTGGCCCTTTCCGCGAAATGTTGCCTCCTATTTTGAACGCTATTATAATGAAGATGAGATATGACGAAACTTCTTCATGGGGTCATGAGGACGAGCAGACAGACGAGGCTGAGTTCCAGGAATTAAGGAAACGTTTGCAGCTTCTGCAAAAGAGTGTGGCAGCCGTGGACCAGAACCTTTATGTGGACGTCCTGAGTAACCTGGTGGCAAACACATTCCAACGCCTTGACGAGCAAGGCTCCCAGTTAGATTGGCGGGATCTGGATCTGGCCTTGCACGAAATGTTTCTCTTTGGAGAATCGGCCATGCCCTCTCAGGTCCTGGGTGCTAATAAAAGCCAACCGTTGGCCCCTGCTGCCGAGCGGCTCATGGCCTTGATGAACAAGATGATACAGTCAGGTATGTGATCGCAGTAGAAAAGCTGTGCCGGTATATACTAATCTGACATAGGTGTTGCCAACTTTCCCCATCCAGCAATCATACTCCAATATATGGAGATCATTGTTCGATACTGGAATTTCTTCGAGATGGAGGCCAACTCGTCACTCATAGGACAGGTGCTCGAGAATTTTGTCCGCTTCGTCCACCACGAGCACGTACGCATCCGCAGCCGTTCGTGGTATCTCTTCCACCGGTTTGTGAAACATCTTCGAGCATATGTTGGCAACGTTGCGGAGACCATCATTCAATCAATTGCTGATCTTCTGCCCATCAAGGCTGAGGTACCAGGCGAAGATGCGGATGATGATATGTCTTCGGACGAAATAGACAACTCTGCTGATGCTGTATTCACAAGCCAACTGTACTTATTCGAAGCAATTGGTTGCATATCCTCAACTGCCAGCACGCCTGCCGACAAACAAGCTTTCTACGCTCGATCTATCATAGATCCCCTCTTCAGGGATATGGAACAGCATCTCCCAAGGGCCAAATCCGGGGACATCCAAGCCATTCTTCAAATACACCATATAATCATGGCATTGGGCACGTTGGCTCATGGATTCTCCGACTGGACTCCTGGCTCGACCTCGTCCAACCAACGAGCCCCACCTGATAAACTGTTGTCTGAAGAATTTGCCCGAGCTGCTGAGGCCATCTTGATTGCCCTAAGCCAGCTGAATGGCTCCGCAGAGATTCGCACTGCGTGCAGGTCCGCATTTTCCCGCCTCTTGGGTGTTCTGGGAGCGGCTGTCCTTCCCCAGCTGCCTCAATGGATCGAAGGCCTCTTATCGCAAAGCTCTTCCAAAGACGAAATGGCCATGTTCCTTCGTCTTTTGGATCAAGTCGTGTACGGCTTTAAGACTGAGATATACGATGTCCTGAACCTCCTACTAACTCCATTACTCCAACGAGTCTTTGGCGGGTTGTCCGAACCCATGGATGGTACCGACGATGAGATACAGCTTGCAGAACTGCGCCGTGAATATTTAAGCTTCATTGGGGTAATTCTCAACAACGACCTTGGTGGTGTACTCGTATCCGAGGCAAATCAGGTATTCTTTGACTCCTTGATCACATCCATCCTAAACATGGCTACGGATATCAGTTCTGGTAACCTACCAGCGAGCCGTCTTGCTTTTGGGATTTTATCAAAAATGGCTGGAGTTTGGGGAGGCCCAGACGTTGCGAACATAGCAGCCAACCCTTCTGCCCCGACCGGGTCTCCGTCCCCCGCCATTCCGGGTTTCGATCAGTTCCTCCTTGACAGGTTTCACTCGGTCTGCTGGGAGGTTATGAGAGATCCGCAGTTCAGACCGTCACAGGACGCTCAAAGCAAGCAAGTCCTCAATGAGATTGCAGGACTTGAGCAAGCAGTCTACGTCAAGACCGGCGAACTCTTTATCCAGCATTTGCAAAACTCCTTGTTTCCAGGGTTGGGCATTGATGGGAACGACTTCCTCCGGCCGATGACCACCTCAACAGATCGACGGGCGTTCTCTAAATATTTGCAGGATCTACAGAAGACATTCAGGTGATAGAAATGGAAGTGCGAGATTATATCCTCATTGCCAAAAGTCATTGATGGCATCATTGCGGTGGCTTTTCTAGCATTTGCATATACAGGAGTTCGGCCAAATATACCAATTCGTGTTGCGGGGATCTAGAAATTTGTTTTGTAAGGAGCCGAGTGATGCGTACCGTGGAGTGATATCGGTCGTGGAGCGCTCATCTGATATAGTGCGGCCTCGGAAGTGAATAGATATCCCATAACTACACCCAACAATTACAAGCCATTGTTCTATTGAAATTATTAGTTGAGCGCAATTTTGCCACTCAGCTGTTTACATATGAAGCCATGATCTGCTCGCGCCTAGGCTACGATCCTCACTGGAAGATATTTCAACTATATAAAAAGCGAAAAAGCCTGCCACGAAGCTAACAAGTTTGGTCACAGCATGACAGTCGTCGACCAGCGGTCATCAGTGCTGCAACTAATTCACTGCTTTCGTTGTACGCTTAATCACAAGACGCACGCCGCAAGGGGCTTCAGATTGCACAACTATAATGGTAATGGGCACGCAAACATTGCTGTACATATATTTGTCAACCTTTAATCATGCGAATGCTAAACTCCACTCGTCGCTGCTTGTGGCGATCATTGTAGCAATATGTATGTCCTGTCTGGGCCTTTCATTAAATTCACATCTTTGAGCCGCAGATTTGAGAAACACGACTTCTACTGTTCTTGCTACTCTCTTCTGGTTCCATAAAGCTTGGGACCGAAGAGTATCTTTCGACGTCTCCAGAGAGTTAAGGCCAAATGTCGCAACTTGGACTGCTTCTTAGATCCGGAAATGTTATTTTCAATTCGCCCCTCCCTCCCTGGCTGGTACCCTTAACTGATAAAAACGGTTACTATATATTACGACACGCGTTGAACGGCCTATCTTCACCTACTAACACGAATACGGTATGAACCCTGGCTGTTGCTACCGCTTATGTTTGATGTTTTTTTTTTTTGCTATATTTCCTTTTTGTGATTCATACGGCGTTATCAAATAGTTACTCACTAGCAGGATCAACTACCACGGTGAAAGAATTCAGACACATATTAACTGCTGATAGCATGAATTACGCTGCACAGTGTTGACATAAACCGCAGTTGAGATACATACACCATGTATCTTCAAAGATTTATTTCTTTAAGGTGACATCCTTCTCTGTCCACGCCGAGGGGAATCACTGCAAGCGTTCCAATAGTGCAGCGCGGGTTGTAAGAACATTGGCAGCATTTCTCTAGACTACATGGAAGAGGGACTGTGTCAAATAGCAATGATGTGAAGACAACGAATAGGGGAGTAACGGGTAAAATTGTCAGGCCGGGTCCAGTGCAAAAACATCTGCTTTTTTTTATTTTTCTTTTACAAAACTTCAAAATCGGGACTCCCTAGCCGTCGCTTGTCTTACTCCTAAGGAACCTATATTACATAAACCATAAGTACATATGAAGCCGCTGGCTATAGTGTTTTATGCCTGACAGACTATTAGAATGCTAATAAATACGATACCAAGAAATCGTGCATTGCCTTAGAGAGAGAGGTGCGAGAGGCAGTCCAAATTATTTGCACTATTACGTTTTGCACTTTCTTCACAATGACACTTGTTCGGATTATTCTATTTTTACGACTTTTCGTTCACTCCTGCATGATCGCCAGCATCTCGAGTGTCTCAAGCAAGAATAAGTATATAACATGTGCTGCAGTTTTCTATTTTTATTTCAGCTGCTCGCTCGTTTATACCATTGTACGGGTAAGGTCCATTGCCAGAAGAACCAAACGTCATATACCGAATATGACGAGTAGCGGACAGTTGGCATGGGTACTCATCACAAGCCGGTCAGTTGCTCAGTCCACATATATTTTGGCCTCAAGTTCTGAGTAGTGGGACAAGAAAGAATCGAACAGCTTAATGGCATGCTCGACATCATACGTACCACCAGTCTCGCGGATACTGTGCATGGAAAGTTGTGGGTTGCCAAGGTCCAGCGTGCGAACTCCCATCTTGGCCGAGAGCATGGGCCCAATGGTCGAGCCACAAGACGAGTCGTTCCTGACCACAAACAATTGTAGCGGGACACCAGCGCGCTTCGCTGCCTCCTGCAAGAGTACAATGCCAGGAGAGTTGGTTGCGTATCTTTGGTTGGCGTTTACTTTGATAACAGTTCCCTTGTTCATCTCAGGCTGGTGGTTGGACTCATATTTGACTACATAATTGGGATGCACCGAGTGTGCCATGTCGGCGGAGACGAGGAATGAGCCAGATGCAGTCTGCTCATAGGCTGTAGTCAGGTCGACTTCAGGGTCGGAACTGATGTGTTCCCATGACTTGTTGGAGGCGGAATCGCCATGACGATCGCCGGCGACCACAGACAGGCGGCGAACGACAGCAGGCAAAAGATCCGAATTTGCGCCCTGGGCGGACGTGGAGCCAACTTCCTCATGATCAAAGCAGGCGATCAAGCGGATCGAACTCTCGTTGTCCAGGGAGGAGGAGGATACGGACTCGATCAGTCCCATGACGCTGCAGTAGGTCATGTTGAGGTTGTCGAGGCGAGCGGAGTATATGAACTCCTGGTTCAAACCACCGAGAACAGATTTTTGAACGTCATAGAGGACGAGTTCGAAATCAACCACATCAGCTACGGCCACACCGGCGTGCTCGGCAATGATTTCCATGATGTAGGGGTGATGGCGATCCGTCATCTCCTTGAGTGGTTGGAAGGTGTCATTTTTGCTAAGTTGGTCTTCCTCGACCTCCTTGACGCCAGTTCGATTGAGCTCAGCGGCAACCATGCCCGCAATAGGGAACAGTTCGGTCTCCTTGTTGGGATCGAAGCCGGAGGAGCGATCGAGGTGGATGGCGAGAGTGGGAATACGGATTATAGGTCGGTCGACTTTGACAAGCTTTTGTAGGAAATTGCCCTTGCCGTCCTTGACCAGGACTCTGCCGGCAATGCTGAGGTCTCGGTCAAACCAGCTGTGCCATATACCGCCTCCATATGTCTCTACACCGACTTGAAGGAAGCCGACGCCGCTCTTCTTGCTGACAGGCTTGATACGGAGGCAGGGCGAGTCGGTGTGGGCGCCGACCATGGCGATAGGGTTTCCGGGCTTCCATTTGGAACCGATGGCGAATGCGACGATGGTAGAACCGTTTCGTGTCATGTAGTACTTCCCGCCAGGCTGGAGGGTGGAAGACCAGTTATCGCGCTCCTTGATCTTGGAGAACCCGGCCTTCTCGAGACGAGTGATGGAGGACTGGACGGCATGGTATGCTATATGGTAAGGCTCAAGTGTCAGCCAACATGGCCATGGCACGACCAAAGACGCACGTACGGATTCGACTTACGAGTGGGCGAGGCATTAACAAAGTCGAGGAAGTCTAGAGCCGACTTTGGGGGAGCCATCTTGATCTTGCCAGTGGTTGCGGAGTGGAAGCGAGTACTACTAGCAATTATGCGAACGGGAGTGCGAATGCCAATGGTGGGGTTCGGGTTCAGCAAGAAGTGACAACCTCTAGCCCTCATCGACGCAACTGCAAAAATAACGTATCAGGTAGTTCGCTGTGATGGCGGCGGATGGTCGCGATGAACGGGGTGTGTGTCTCTTCACACTAACCTTGGGTCGACAACCCCCAATCGGAGCTAACCTGACAAAGCAACTCGATAAGAGTCCACGACGATACTCTAGATCGCCCTACGACCTATGGTACGGAGCACTGGTGAAGAAATTCGTCAAAGCTACTTTGTCCATGCCTCACTCGAATGCTTTTCTCTTTTCTTAGGCCCCCCCCCCCCCCCCCCCTTTGTTTTGTTTTGTTTCTTGGGGGGGTTTTTTTGGCCTCAAGAATGTAGATATATTTACGTATATACATATATATATGTAAATGCTATATTTTATTGTTACGCCTGCACAAAAGCTAAACCCTTAGATCCTGTTCAAAGCGATTAACCACGTGGAACGTACTGGGAGCGCAAGGCACAGACAGTCATGGATGCGCTGTAGCGATCATCATTGGGGCGGCCGCTAACCATCTCGTCGATGGAGGCCAAGTTCCTTGTACGTGACAGCTATTACGTATGGTTGAATTCAAGTTCTTGGCAAACGATTGACGGTCATGTCCACATGAAGCCATCGCATTGCGAATCCGCCGGGGATGTAGGGCTGTTGATTATTTGGCAGGTGACGTCTACTGTATAACGCCAACATGGCAGTACTCCAAAGTCCAAATCCTGCTCTCAGTGCAGCGTCGGGTCTTTTAGTGACGCTTTTGATACCAACATTATGTAATGTAGGTATCGATTACTGTACCTACCACGCACTGCCGTGAAGCGTGCATGTGGCCTGGACTAGCAGTCGTCATCGCACGGCTTTGTTCTCAACTAGTCTAGTAATACGCTTTCTGTAAAGGTATCTATCTATGCGACCAACTACAATTACGGATTGGCAAGTCTCCCAGAGTCTCAAACACAAAAGCTACGGCGTACCAACTAACAGGCATAGTTTGCCTATGCTGCATGCACTTGAGGACCGTCGAAATAACACGATAGCCATACGCACAAACAAACCACGCGCGATTCAACGAGTCTTTAGCGAATGAGAGGTTCTACTCTGTGCTTTACAAGACCCTGCAAAAGAAACTCCATAGGATTACATAATTTCTCATGTAAATTTCAAGACCAGCGATTTCGCGAGTGACTACCCTCATTAAGTTTATTTCTTGTCGTATTATTCGCACGAATTTCATCTACCCATGGCGTATGCATCTATCCCAGCTTGTTTCTATTACGCTATTAATCTGCCGGGTCCAAATGCGTGGAAATGGTTAAGCACTAACCTTAGATCGAGGGGCAGTGGATCATCTCTCGCCACCACGTAGCTTGGCAGGGTCTATGGCTTGAACTGAGGCTAAGAGATCAAGATACACCGGTATGTACCTATAACTAGACTAAGGTTAGACCTGTCTGAAAGTCTCAGAATCTGATACTTGTCTGCTGATCGTGCTTTTGTGCGACGGCGACGGCTACCCATTTATAGCGATATCGGAACGCATGCTTCAACACCAAGCAATGCGTGATGGGCTCCTTTCCTGTACAAGACGTTCCTCTTCACGGTGCCCCTAGGGACGGCATCGTGCGTGGCAGCGTTGCACTTGTCTGGGAACGTGGCAGGGTCTTCCGCCTCCCCTGGTGCAGCTCAAAAATATTTTTTTGGGCGGCGGGCGCAAACCAATCAAGGGCTCATGCCTACTGTATGCCAGGCTAGGGTCGAACATGCCCCTTAGAGCCTGAGCCAAACATGGTTCGAATGACAGTAATGTCTGCGAGATGACTTTGCTCCAGGAACAGCTTATTCATTACATCTGTACAGCCAACTCGATCGAGTTCGCATTCATTGGGATGTGAAGTTGAGACGCCTGTCTGTCATGTTCCGCCACAACGTGAAAGGCGCCCATCTCAATCCCAGTCACCCAATGCATGTTGTCCCGAAAAAGGTAAACGACGATCAGACAAATATATTTGTATCAGAATATTCGAGACTGTCGTGGCACCTTTTATACTGCGTTAACGATCCGAACCGACGAGGTAGACTAACCTAACCTTAGCAACTAACCTTAGTCTAGACTCCAACGCCCATCGATCCTGCTCGGAATAAGATAATCAAACCCAAGGTGCAGATGCCATGCTGATTCAGTAATACCAATTAGCGATATATGTTTGAATGTTTGTTTTCATGCTGGAGGAAATTTGCAAGACCAAGCCAGCGCACGGAGCGCATAAACTGGACGCACTGGTCTTCGTCCTAACGACGTAAGCTGCTAACGTGGGGTACACAATCGCCCAAGGTCGATATCAGAGGCATATTGGGATATGCAACCACGGTGTGGTCTTCCAATTGGAAGATACGCCACCCTGAAGTTCACAATATTAACGGTGGTCCACCTAGTTCCACTGTCGAAATGGATGATTACCAACAAAGGTTTCGAAAAACAAATACATGCTTACATCACTGCTTGCCATACCTGGCACGTTCGTTTTTCCAGCTACTAACTAGCCCACCTTAGATGCTTGGGTATAGTTTTACAAACGGAGGCACATTGCTACAGTGCTAAAGATGACATAGTTAGGGAGAACAATCACTTCGTCTTGACAGTGTTCCAATGGCGCGACTCAAGTGTTCTAATATCGAGAATTACACTACAGGGTATGGACTATAGGCAGGTATCGGTACCCAAGAGCCGCTGTACTTATAAAGAAGAGGAGACAAGAAGGGCCAAAGGAGTCAAAAAGACGCCCGCTAGGTAAAGCGTAAGGTTATATTTTAGGGAATCCCAATATCCCAGGTGGAGGTCATCAACAACTTTGCCTCTACCGACCTTTAGAGTTAACAATTCGTATCGCTGTAAAGTGTACTATGTACTGTGTCCAGCATGGCCGGGTGGTGGGGACCCAGGTGGCTTTTGTTATTTACAGTACGGAGTAGAACTGGAGTGAATTCCTGGCATAGGGGACGAATCTGAAACAACACTTGAAGCGCACGTCTTTTCATGGCCCTAGATCCATACAAAAAATTGTGACAGTCTGTTATTGATATGATCACTGACAACGAAAGTCACATCGAAGGCATAGAACGACAGAACGACTTCGTCATCAGCCTGCTGCTTGACTTGGGGGAAGGGGGGCGCCTCGTGGGATGGTGTTGTCAGTTGTGTCTCGCTTAGTCCGGTAGGTAGTTGGGCAAAGAAGCCATTCGTGCTTGCAGCAGGTTCTAGGGCTCTACAGAGTACATAGCACAAAGTACGCAACACCGTGACGCCGTGGAACTAACGCGGTTGGCAGAAGCGGGGGGCTAGTCTGAGAACGGCTTACAGTGGAGCGTGCTAGTCCGGGGTGCTTGTCAAGAATCGCATCGCCTGCCTGCGTCCGAGACAATGTCGCCACAAAACGAGATTCTGGAGCGAAATGCTGCGGAATTGTCCTGGGTTGTGACTGATTGAATCTTGTGGAAGAGGGATGAAATGCTCCCGCTCAAGTTCAAAGAGCCCTACTACTAACAGTCATTATTGCTCAAGTCACGAGAAGCCCTCCCTCTGGAGACGAAACCACCAAGGTGTACAAATGAAAGCATGTGTCACACGGGCAGGATGGGCAGCAATTGACATGACAAGCTTTAGCTGCATTGTTGGTCGGCTGAGCCCAAGCGGCTGCCCATTGCTGTCAACATCTTATGGTACACATACAAAATTCCCAGATAGCGGTGACCGGCAGAATAGAACAACAACCAGAGGTGAGGGCATAAAATAGCGGCCCTCACAGAGTATGACTGGCCCACCCTTCCGCCATGAAAGGCTGGTCATGACAGTACTGGTTTATAGTAAGCTTCAAATATGTATCTTCAAGACAAAGATAGGCAGTCCTGGGCAACCAACCTGTCGTCCGGAGCTCGTCGTTCATTTCGCATCACACATAGGTGATTGGCCGAAGAGCAATATGGCAAGGCTTACATCTCAACTAGGTTTGAGCCAATTACACCACCAACGCAACCACGCAACCACGCAACTATTATTGGACAAGTACATCCAGATATGTGCAGGGGAATGAGGACCACGTCCGCATGGAAGAAAAAAAAATTAGCCTCCGAGATTCTTGATAGTCGAGCAGACTACGCTGCTTTTGAGGTTCTACAAACGTTGAATTTCGGAATCTTTTTCGATCGAGTCCTGCTGTGCAATAGCATCTTTACTTGCTTCGACGGCAAGCTCCAAGATTCATAACGCAATTCCAAGGCCGACTGATGTGGGACAGGGATGGTGAGGCACCTGGAAACTCGGCCTACTTGACATTGCTAAGCTTGGCTAATCCAATCGAATCCTTGCCCTCTGTCTTGCACTAATCTGGCTACCGGCACCATCGGTCAAGGGTACACTTGTCCCCATAATCTTGTATTCCTGGCACACTGTATGGGCATGCTGACCTAGATGGTAAGGCATATATTATCAAGTGTTTACACCACAGAGCCAATATGGTAGCCGTTCCTCGAGATGACCTTGACCTAACGGCAAGCACCCCAAGATTGAGAGATGCATCCTGACAAATCTGTCCACTGTAGGGCTGTCTCTAAGTTCGTCGTGGCGGATTATCAACGGGTTGCTCGCAGCATTTACCGTTCTTTGGCTCGTTCGACAGGGGAGCATACTTGCATACTACAGTATGTCATCCACGCACATAGTGTTACAAGAAGAACCTGATCATCCTGGCACTCCTAAGTTCGCAGAAGGCTTACAAGCGGGGTTGACACGTTGTGTACTACTCCTGTGCTACCGTCATCGACATGAAGTGCTAGGTGACGACGTTGAGAACGACCAAATGTTCAATTTACGCTGATTTGGCCGAGAGTGGCAGGTATAGTACAAGAATGCTTGGGCAACTCAGAGTACCACAAGAAATGAACCCAGCCAGTTGCAGATGCCTTGGGAGTCCGCAATTTAGAGTTGGGACGACTTCTCCCTAATTTTGAGAATGAGTCTTGACTTTATGAGCACTGCAGTCGATAGGACGCCACCGAGAGCGTTGCTTTGCGTTTATTCTGTAACTACATCTCGAGTTGTAGATGCGATTGCTCCCCAGTTGCTCTCCCGGAGACACAGCCCTCATGTTTGCTGATAGCACGTCCCACATATTTGTGACTACGAAATACCAGGTCAATTGTCAGGCGATGTACAGAGTATACTCTCACGAAACGATTGGAGCACGACAGTGCAATCCCGAGGAAGATCTAGTGCAGGGCACAATAAAGTGCCGATCCGCAGATGAAACCCAACTTGTTGCATTTGCCCGCGGTAGCACTCGGTTGCTTGATGTTATTGACAACTCTTTCCTTCAGAGGAGTTGGCCCTTACTTGGCAAGTCTATTTGATGGTTTATTTTCGTTGGATACTGTTAGGTACCAAGGTGCGCTGCTTGAATCTCGCCTATTTAGAGGATTTATTGGTGCCCTGTGCGCAAGTGCTGTGGAAATACGCAACCGAGAAAGATGTTTGCCACACGAACCTCTCGTCATGAAGATGACCTGCTAAAGCCGTAGAAGGCTGGACTGCCCAGCTGAACTGCCAACTGAGCAGCAAAGCTGCGACTACCCACGTATAAAGTGCATATGAACCTGCCTTACTACGTTGCTACCTACCTATCTAGCTAGCTAGCGGCCTATCTGTATACCTATTCCTGTCTTCTCGAAGGATGTTGACGCTTTGAGATGCTAGACTAGTCGGAGCATACTTTGCACCATCAAAGCCAACGCCTACTCGAAGTGCAAGTGTGCGATGATGGAGTTTGCGGCACCGTGGCTGACAACCGCGCTTGATGAAAAACTGTTACTGAGCTGTGGAAGAAGGAAGACACAAGTGTAACATGTGGTGCAGGGTCTTTGGAAAACTGATATCTCTGGAAGTACAGTGTGAAGGCTACTGTATGATCTGTATTGAGTTGGGCTGATCAAGTACCGGAAGACCACCGCTAGATGCCGGGGGTTCTAGCCAGTCAGCGCAACGGTCTGCCGCCTCCCAGGCCCCCAGGTGAACTGCTACAGTATAGACATGCGCATGTTGAGATCTCAGCCTTGAGGAACTGTTCATGCTTGATATTAGGAAGTGCACAACTTGGCGGAGGAGAGCAGGTGGCATGGAAGACATTTGAGTATGTATGCCTACTTTTGCTCGACTCTGGACTTGCATTTGTATTCTTATCTTTGTATCAATCTTTCACTCATTCCCAACCCGTGTACGGATCCGTAGATGGCCGATACATAGTACTACTCCCAGGGACACACTCGATTGGATTTATACCATGCATGATCCACTCACACGCACATGGACACACACCAGACACACCGCAGACACACACACACACACACACACACACACCTTTCCTGCCTACTAGTACTACTGCAGTCCGGTACTAACTCATTCACCCTATCACCCGCCGCCGCCGCGTGCAGCCTGGGTACGGGTACCGCATACTTAGTCTACCCTTTTTTGTCGAGGAGCCCTGTCCGGGAGCCCTGTCGAGGAGCCCTGTCCACAGCCAGGTTCAGGTGCCAGGCCCAATCTAGTGCCAGGCGCCTTGCTGGGCACCCCTCGCCCGTCCCCTTCCATTTCCCAATGATATCCTCTTTCCACGCCAGCTCTCCTTCACCACCAGACACTACGGATTACATAGATACTCACATACTGCCTACAGTATCGTCAAATCTTGGTGCGCCAGCAACCTGCTCGTTTTGCTGCTCGGTATCGCCCTCTCTACCTGTGCCTGCTGCCCATCTGTGCAGATTCAGATTCGGGTTCGGATTCTGTCCCGCAAGCACATGAGGCTTGTCATCTCTCGACTGTAGACTGGAAGACGCCAGGACCATTTCAGTATACCCATCGATCCATCCGCATCCAGCCCCCCGGCCCCCCCCCCTCCTCCCAACGACGAACCGTGTCTCGAGGAAACCTTGGGAAACTAACTAACCTACCGACTGCACTTTATTTTATCCACCTTGCCAGCCAACCCACCCTGATCCACCTACCTTACATTCTTGTTCGAAATTGATCAGCATTGCTTTCTCTTCACCCACTGCCCCATTCGACGACAACCCTTCTTCCGCCAACTTACCGGGCTGAATCTTCTCATCGAGGATGCGGTCTTGACAAGCTCCTCACCAGACGAAACAAATTTCGTACTCTTTTGCCTCGCTGCACAAGTCCTCGCTGGGCTCGAATTGCTGCGCGCCCTGGCATAGACCGTCACGACCCGACCCGATCCGACCCTACTGCATTGTACTCGCACCCGTACTCGATCACCCGCCGAGATTCCTGCGCGACAAAAGCACGACTGCCCTCCTTCTTGATATCATTTCATCGTCAAGGGACTGGCTGCACCTCCTAACCCATCCACATCCACACAGTAGCCATTATTCGACGGACCCGACCCCTTCGCCCCGCATCCCCAAACCCCAGGCGTCCTTCCTGCCCTTCCCAGCACGCCCAGACGGACCAGGACCAGGACACACACGTCTTTATGGCTAGTATCTGAGTACTCGCGGGCAACACCTAGCCTTGGCCTAGCCTGGTCGCAGTACAGCGTAGTCCAGGGACGCTCTTTGTTCCAGCATCATCTAGACCACCACTCATTACTTACCCGCGAGCGACAACGACTCTTGTGAGGCGAGTTACTCCGACAACACCGTTGCGGCCATGGCCGCCCAAATGCCTATGATGGGCCCTGGAGGGCAGATGCGGCCTCGCGTGCCACAGGGGAACCTTCCTGGCGTCCTCATGAACCTGCTCATTTCGGAGCAGCAGAAGATGGGGCCACCACAAGGCTGGCAGGCCGCGCTGCCCATGCAAAACCGTGTACAGGTCGCTCACAACTTGTAAGTATATGTCCCACAACTCATGCTACCGGCCAAAAAGGCCACAGTGACAAGAGTACTGATGATGCCCAAAAAGGTTCACCAATGCCATGCTGGCTATGCCACAGAACGACCAGAGCGCGACCATTAGCCAAATCGTTGGCTTTGAGAAACAGGTCTTCGTGGAGTCACCGTCGAGAGTGAGTCGCATCTCTTGCCCCCCACCCCCACATATATGCCTATTGCTTGTTCACGTGCTTACACTCACTGAAGGAGGTCTACGACCAGAAAATCAGAAGCAAAATACAGGAGCTGTTTATAAAACGCCAGCAGCAAGAGCCCAATTTGCAAAACACCATCAACCAGCAAGCTGCCCAGATGCAGGGTCTTCCTCCCGGCATGATGAACCAGCCCAACATGTTAAATCAGCACATGAGAATGGGCCAAACCCCCCAGCAAGGTTTTCAGCACCTTCAGCAACAAATGCAGGCCTCGCCTATCCCTGGCCAAGCACAGCCTGGCATGGGCATGCCAAATCCAGGTGCGAATGTTATGAATCCCAATCCTCAACAGCCCATGCACATGGGAGCTCCCTCAATGCGCCCCCAAGGTGCAGGTCCACAGCAACTCGCACCTCAGGACCGACAACGCATCCAAAATATGGCCGTTGCCAAGTTCAATTCCATGTCTGATCAGGAGAAAATACAACTGCGGAATACGGCAAACCAAAAATTCGCGCCTCAGCTTTTACAAGCTTTACAGGCCAAACATATGGACCCGGCCATTTATTTTATTCAGCAAAATATTCAGATTCAGATGAGCGCTAAGATGGTCAACATGTCTCCCAATGGGCCCATGAACGCCGCTGCTCTGCAGATGCAAGCGCAGCAGCAGCAGCAACAACAACAGCACCAGCACCAGCAACAGCAACAGCAACAGCAACAACAACAGCACCAGCAACAGCAGCAGCAGCAGCAACAGCAACAACAACAGCAACAACAGCAGCAGCAGCAACAACAGCAGCAACAGCAGCAGCAACAGCAGCAGCAGCAACAGCAGCAGCAGCAGCAACGTTCAGCTAATCCTGGCAGCGTCAATACTGGTGGTCAGCAGCAAGGTGCAACTGCGGCAGGTGATCTAGGTCCCTTCTCTAATGCCGAGATCATGAACCAACAAAAAGCAGGTTTGATGGCTCAGGAGGCTGGACAAATGGTTGTTCCAGCGAGTGGACCCGGTCGAAATAACACTCCGCAACCGATGAGTGGTGGTCCTGGTCAAAACCAAGCTGGAAGTCAACAGGCACCCAGTCAAGGCGGACGTCCACAGCACCAACAGCAACCATTTAACATGCAACAGAACCAGCAGATGCAGATGGATCAGGCCGCCGCCAAGACGCAGGCTCAAATTCGAGCTCAGGCTCACGCAAAACAGATGCAAGGTCAGCCAGGCGGTCTTGGCGGTCCCGCGCAGATGTCCCAGAGCCCTGCTATGAACACCCTCAACGCTCCCGTCCAACGGCCACCCGTGGCAATGGGACAGCAACCGCCCATGAACCAAGCTAATCTACCTTTCGGACAAACGCTGGACCCACGATTCAATCAAGGTAATCAGCGACCCCAGCCTGGATCCATTGCGAATAGAAATCAGTTAATGAGTTTCATGGCGCAAAGCATGACACCCGAACAGCAGCAGGCTCTTCGAAACCTAACGCCCGACAAACAAAATGAAGTCTTGGCTCGGTGGTTTGCCTCGCAGAGAAATCAACAAATGGCTGGTCGTCCTCAACCGCAGCCTGGTCAATTCGGCCAGGGAAACCCAATGGCACAGTTTGCTCAAGGTGCCAATATGGCCGCGCCGCAGGCCAACGGCTCCATTTCCATGAATACGCAGAACCCTGCCCTGGTTCAACAACACTTAAATAGGATGCGCGCCAACGGGGTCAATCAGTCCTCTTTCCCTGCAGATCCAGCTGCGGCGGGCCCTTTCATGGATTCATTGGACATACCACCTAACGTCCTCAGTCAGATATCAAACTTACCCCCCACAGTCAGGAAATGGGGTCAGCTCAAGCAGTGGATGGCACAGGCCAGTGTGCACCCAAACACTCAAGCCAAATTACTACAAATACAGAACATGCAAGTTGGGAGAATAATGAATCAACGTGCCCAGGCAGCCGGGGGAGTGTCATTGCCTCCGGGTGTTCCTCAGCCTCAGGGGCCCCAGGGGCCAGGAATCGGCCAAATGCAGCCTCAACATCCCAATCCTGCCATGCAAATGGCTATGCACAACATCACGGTGACATCACAAGAGATACAAAGCGCACGAGCAGCAAGCGAGAGATTCAGCACTTGGGATGACGGACGGGTAAGGCAGTACCTTGTTCAGCTTAAGCAACACCAGATGAAAAACAAAATCATGGCTGGTCAGCAACAAGCACAACCTGCTCAGCCAAACCAACCCACCGCCATTAACTCCGCACCGCCAAATCAAACCGCCCCTGCGCCTGTCCCAGCTGCTCCGCAAAGAGCGCCCAGTACTACTGAACAGCCGGTCTCCGCTGGCCCTATCAAGGCTCAGAAGCCTGGGTCTGGAAATCGCTCAACGCAACAACAAAATTCGTCTCCGGCGATCCCTCAGAGACCTAACAAGAGAAGTAGTGACGATGTGGTGGAAGTGCCGGCTCCAGCTGCAACACCGGTTCAGCGCACGCCCTCGCAGCCCTCTCAACCACTGGCAGGTCCTCCGAAGATGACAGCGGCGCAGCTCGCTTCTTTGACGCCGGAACAAAGGATCAAGTACGAACAATTCATCAAGAATCGCCAGGCCCACCCTGCACAGGGCAAGTCGGAAGATTTTGAACGCCTCAGGAGTATTGGTATCGAGATTCAGCGGCAGTCTCAACAAGAAGTACTCCCGGACGTACCAATGAGCCCACAGCAACATGCAGAGATGGCCCGAGATATCCAGTACATTATTGGCGAGATGAACAAAGTTGGTAAGATTTTGGGAAGATGGTATTCCCTGACACGTGATGACAATCGAGCCAAGCAATACTTCACAATGGTCAGACGCCCTGCACTCTATACTTTATATCCCCCACCTTCGTATTTGTGGCTAACTCTGAACTAGCGTATACGGCTTATCAAACAGTTCAAAGATGGGGAGGCGTCCACGCAGCCGAGAGAGACATTCTCGATCGAGCGCAGTCATGTTACAGAAGCCAAGGCACTTCTGGGCAGTATGGCACAAGATTTAAAGGCAGCGGCGGCAGGAGGACAGAGAACCGCGGCGGCTCAGGGCGTAATGGACACAGGTCAGCAACAAGGAACCCCAGCCCAACCCGCCACGTCAGGGCAATCTATCCCTCTGAGCGCAGCAAATCTAGACAAGCACAACAAGCACGTACGGTCGAACAGCAGGCAGGGTCCACCAGCTGCTCCAACGTCGAGCCAACCTCCGTTCCAGATACCCTCTGCCCCTTCACCTCACGGTGTACCGACTTATAGCACCAACAATGGTGTTCTCGAGCTTCAGCTTCCCAACAAGAGGCGGAAATACGGCCCTGGACAATCTACGGGTGCGAGCGCCAGCCCGCAGTTGGGCAAGCAAGCCTCTCCGGACGCCAAGAAAGAAAACATCCCCGAGCCTCAATTCCCTTGCCCAGAGCCGGATTGCGAATCCAGCCAGTTCGCATTCTTGACTGAGGAGGCTCGCCGTATACACATCCAAGAAGAGCACGTTAAGCCTCACGAAAATCCCATGAAATTTGTCTTCGACGCCTACACAGACAGCCTTGGTTTTGGCTCTAGCGGTAACCTGAGGTCGGATTCCATCGCGGCAGCCGCTTCACTAGGGGTCGCTTCTTCCCGGCAGGGACAGGCTCCGGCCGCTGCACCCATGTCGCGCGGTCCGTCCATGAAGAGGCAGGAGAGCGCGCCAGGTCCGGCGGAGGCTTTCAGAGATGCAGTCACTAAGATGCCCGGGCAAAAGCCCACATTGATCAAAGCGGAAGACGATGCGACCGTGCAACAAACAGTGGCCGAAATACCTTTCCAATTTGGAACCATTGATCCACAGGATCTGTTTCAGAATCTGGGTGGGCTACAGAGTGGCGGGGGCGGCGCCATCTCGGATATGAACGTGTATCGATCAGTGACACCCAATGATACTCCAGAATCGAGCAAGGATAGTGCTTCGTCGGAGCCAACGAGTGATGTGTCAGAAGGTGTGGCACTCAACGTGACCTTGGATATGGGGTTCGATACCTGGCAACCGTTTGATGGTGATCGATACATGAACATGGGCTTGGATGTAGAATTGGATCTGCTCGAGGCAAACAACGTCGACATGGCAGGGAGTTCCGGCTTGATGGAAATGCCTTCTTGGGATGAGATGCAACCAGATTTCACGAAACCATTTGCGCTAGACACTAGTCTTTTCGCTCTAGACACATCTTCGTGATTGTGTCGACACAAAATGCATCAAAGGTGGTCAGTTGGCCATACAGGGTAATTGAGATTCGAGCGGCGGGATTGGGAAGATATGACCTGGGCCAGCGGCGTTCGGGACACGGGGTGGCAATATTGTCTTTATGTTTTTCAAGTATTCAGCAATTGGCGGCGACATAGTGATTGTTTATGGGCGTTTCGGAAAGTGAGAGAAAATGAGGCTGGTGCATTGGGAAACCTAGGATTCAAGGACAGGGATGGCGCCGGATTGGGGGTGTATTAGGGAGGGAGAGGCCAGTAATATCTATGCCATACGGACTTAGATTTCTTTTTCCTTCCCTTTTTTCTTTTTTTTTTCATCTTTTTTTTTGGAATCTTTTCCCTTCCTATGGAAGTTTTCCGAGGGGGTGGTGTATTACGGTTTGACAGTATGATACCCGCAAAAGAAGAGACGAGCAGCAAGTCACAGCTGAAAGCAAAAAGGAAAAAAAGTCTAGTCTACATTTTATATCAGCTGCTAATGCACTAACGTTGAATATAACCTATGTCTATATCTACATGTACGGGAGTATACAGGTCAAGGTACCACTACAGGAGTGCCGGTGAAGAATGGCGGGAGCAAGGCGCGACTCTCCCACACACGTAGATCAAGGTCAAGATCGCAGTCTAGACTAGGTGAAGGTCAAGTCAAGTGGATGGAGGTAGAGTACAATATAAGTTACAGTACACACACACACTACCTGCGAATACTCGGTAGGGCAGCAAGCCTGCAGTGCATCCCGGAATGGGGATGCGGCTCCACCTCGCGCTAATGTTAATGTCAATGTTATGTACATATGCAGGTGATCTGATCTTGTCCCAATAGGGTCAGGATGGGGCGCTTGGTTACATATGTACTGCATGTATAGTACAGTAGCAGACTGCCATTTTTTATGTTTATACATAACATACAGATCCGCACATAGCAGATTACCTTTTAGCGTCGGATCGTGCTCAAACGGGCAAGAAACAAACAGTGCATAAGTCATCACGACTCACAAAACAAGCATTATATTCACATCACCTGACGCGGGACGGACGCGACTTGACCTTTGGAGGGGGACTGGCTTGTCATTTAGTACTAGTCCAGCTCCCAAGTTGGCATTAGACTAACCTAGCTAAATCAACTATCACCATCTCCTTCATTTCGACATTCGCAACCAATCAACCAAACCAACCACTCAAAAAAACGAAGGGGCATTGTTTCTCTCCTCGTTCTCCTCCTTCTTCTTCTTCTTCCACTCCCTCTTCCTCTTCTCCTTCTTCTTCTCTCTCCTGACCTGGTCACTCTTCTCCTCTGCTGCTGCCTTCCACCTGGTGCAATCTGAGACCTGACCTGCGCCGCGCTTTGCTGCCGATTAATGCTCCGCGCGAGTATTACTTGTTGATTGCATTGTACACCAACAGTCCGACATGGACGCTTCACCGGCCAAGAGGCGCGTACTGGGCCCTCTCGATGCCAATCTCCAATCTCCCGTCTCCCACAACACCTCGAAGCAGGGCCAAGTGAAGCCCCAGGCGTTCCGCGACACGAGTCCCACCACAACTATAAATGGAGGCATCAAGAGGAGCATGTGTACAGCAGACCACCAGCCAGCCAAGCGACAATGCAAAACAGTCTCGTGTCCTGCACCCGTCTCGTCGAATGACAACATACTGCCCAGCGAGGAGAGGGATTGCTCCGCCTCGCCAGAACCCTCCTCCGTCTTTGACAATTCCGCAATCGATACATCCCAAGCGACATGCACCACGGAACCAGACCCAGACCTCCACGTGCACGCCGACACTGGTGCTAATGCCGATGCCCTTGCCCTTGCCCTTGTGCATTCGCCGCCCCGTCTGCCGCGCCCGCTGACAATCACCCGCGATGAGGCTCGGCAGAAGGCAGAGGTATTACGGCTCAGACTGGGACTCGCTGGCTACAAGCTCCGGACGGGACAGGAGAACGTGCCCTTGGAACGTCTGCAACTTCGACGGATATCCAGCCGCAAGTCGGACCCTCACCTGGCCTGTACCGCCCAGACCAGCAACAAACCCGCGAGTCGGCAGGCGATATTGCAGACGAGTGACCACAGTTCGGATCTGCCAATACCACGTGCGGCGCGGTTGCGTGCATCTTCCTCGCCCGAAAAGAACAGACTACCAACCCTCCCTCCGGCGTCCTCCATGACGCCTCCGCCCCCGCCTTACCACGAGGAAGGGTGCCTCCCGAGCAATGCCACCAAAGGAGGGGCGGCAAAAGGCTTACTCAGTCTATCTCGCAGCTGATCCCCGGCGTTCCCGGGAGGGTGCGGGTTGGTGTATCATGGAAAAGAACATCGATTCCTTACGTGTTTGCATTTTCACTGTGGGACTGTGATTTATTTTACTGCATGGAAGCGAGGGGGCCATCGCTGGGAGCCAGGGCGTTGCATACGGTTGCTACGGGGTCCTGTCACGGAGCTGGACACCGGATCGCGAACAGCTAAGCTACATTGTGCAGAGCTGAAGTGGTCAGTAATATAATTTCAAAATATCTTCGTTCATGTCCGTGTCTGTATCTGTGTCGGGTGACTGTTCTTGAAGCAGCACGACAGGGTAGCCATAACTTCCATCTACATCCCAATCCAGGTGGACAGTTTGATACGCTCCCGCCTCAAACTCAACCGGGCAATTATACCGCAGGCGCGTAATCGGGCAAGTTGACCAGCAAGCCTGTCTGCTTTTGTACGCCCACAGCTACACATAGACGACCACGTTCACCCGTAACAGCTCTAATCAGGCATGCTCAATCACGGTGGCCGGGATGGGGTATGTTTTCTCGAGCTATGTTTATCAGCCTTGCGGGGAGTTGCCTTTGCTGTTTGGGAGTTTACGTTGGTTCTGTAGTGCATGTATATAAAATCACCAACCTGACATCGCCACCTGGGCCTTCTTTCTCTTCTCCCGATTTCTTTTCTTGGCCCTACTGTTATATCATCCCAGTATGTGTTACAGCCAAACTCGTCTTGGCTTCGTCCGAGTTGCTCGGGGTATCCTTAATATCATGGCGGTGATCTATCATGTACAGAGTCTGTCTTACAGTTCGGATGTTTGTGTCCAGCATTACCCTTTCGAGATATGCACGTTCTTACGTGCTAACTTCCACTCCTATTCGTGGCCATCATGCCATGTGTTTCCTGCCCGTCGGCGCTTTGGGCTCATACTATCCATATCTACTGATATCCCGGCAGCGACAGCTGTGGACTTTCTCTCGTCACGATTTGAAAACGTCGGTGCTCTAAACTGTTTCGCCATGCTTGCTGCTCACCACGATAGGCACCGAACCTGCACAACCCCTAGCCTCGAAACAGCCGCCCACGGCCGGCCTGTTCATGGATGATGTTTGGAATGACGAAGTTCTGTCCAGCGGGGGGATGGCTTAGAACCTAATTAACCTTGGTTGGTATAATTGGTCAATGCACTGCGAATATGTTTCACCTCATCGGAGATGTATAGCGACGGTGTCAGACAAGCACCAGAGTGTATAAATCACATAGATCGGTCACGGCACGCTCGAATTTTCAAAGGGCCAGGCGATGGTGAGACCGGTAAAGCCACGTACTCGATGAGCTTCCCTGCCTCGCAGTCACCCTGTGGCATTGGCATTTTAGGTCTAGCCCCCAGCAATGGTGTTTTGTACGGGTCTACCCTTTTATTTATCTAACAGGATGGGTCAAGCCGTGTCTTCCACATGAAAGCTAGCAAAAGACGCATGTCTGAAGACCGGCCTTCTAGAGAGGATACACTGAATTCATTCCTGTAAGCGTTTGCCACAACAGAAGCTCACGAGTGATTCATACGTGATAGCAACACAGCAGCGAGGTGTTAGCACCAAATCAGTTCCAGTCCTTGTGTGTTCCAACTCTTACGTCTTCATGGATGGATTTCAAATACACATTACGCTACGGCGCAAGGACTTTTCTGATAACTGTATGTCAACTACTCATACTACAGCTAGCCCGGCTCTCGTAGTATCTAGAATCATGTCAAGTTTTCCCTGAATGAGGCGAGAGAATGGTTCAGGACGGCAGGCCAATCCGTTAAGTTATCGTTTTAGACAATTAATATTTCCATAACCGTTCGTGCAGCCTTGTCCCGGACCACAGTGAGCCCCTGCGGTAATTGTTCGTAATCATAGCACCGACGCCTGTCCCAATGACTATGGTTCATGTTACAATCGGACGTGCGGCGATTCCAACAGTGCTATATACATGGCTAACACTGCTTAATCATAAAATTACTTGACTCACACATCAAGTAAGCGCTTAGCAAATACTTTGTTGCACGAGCATCCAACCCATAGCATATACAATGTACATGAAAACATATGATCATGTTATACCATCTTTGGACAGAGCAACATTGGAACAATCTTGGCCCTCTATCCTAGTCTTCACTCGGATAGACAATTAGCGCGTTTTGACTGTTACATTCTAAGTGGGCTGGCTTGAGGCATTTCGACGAGGTCGAGGTGAACGACGAGATGCTGCTTGAGGATGACTATTATCATATCATGTTATTCGTCTAATTCTTTGGCTCATGCAGCCTATGAGGCGTAGCTCCTTACCCAATCACGCCAGCTTGATCCCATCGGCACGCACAACGCCGTGTAAATACACCCCTAGGCTCCGAAGTCCATTTTAAGCGCAATGCTTGGCTGGCCACCTGCATCGGTAGCACCTTTCCCACTGTCACCAGTCGCACGTCCTGACTTGATGACTTCCTCCATGAAGGCCCTTTGCCCTTCAGTCATAGCAGCTACTATACCCCTAAAGGCAATTTGGTCCACAGATGCCATCTCCAGCAGCCTCGTGCTGGTCTCCCGATATACCTCAGCGCCCTCGGTTGACGCACGCGAAAGGAGAGCTGGCACAACGACCGCCATGACGATTTGAGCATGTTCGTTGCCCACGCTTGTCACATAGTGCGTCAACGTTTGTGAGACAAGGCGGCGCGCATTCTCTGGATCATCTGGCTCCGTGTTCGTCACGAAGACGATGAGCCGAGGAAGAAGATATCGCACGATGGACTGATCAGCAGGGCTCGGCGACGGTTGCAGAAGTAGAGAGCGAACGCAATTAGCGGCGATATTGGCAGTCTGTACGCATGCATGTGTTAACAACGGTTTGATATCACGTGGATATTGTCAACTTTTACTTACCATTCGGTCCGTGAGGCAGTCTACGAGCTCATCAAGGAAGCGAACAACTACCGGATCGTTGGCTGCGAGGCGGTTATTTCCTCCAGTAAAAAGGACGGTGACAGCGAGAAGACAGTTCTTGACACATGTGAGTGAGTTGGAAGATTCGCGTTTCTGGGCGTTCAAGTATATGGACAAGAAGCGGCGCAGACATCCCTGTAGCTGTGCGCTGGAATTGGAGTTCGTGTTTGCTGCTGATGGTAAATCGGATATGCTCATCATGAATCGTTTGAGTATCGGCAAAGCTTGCGGAACAATGACTTCCTGACAAGATGGCGTGGCCAAGATAGTCGCAAAGATATGAATGATGCAAGCATGAAGATCCGTCTTGATAATCGTAGGGAAGACTTCAGCTGCGTCGACTATGGCATTGAGAGCCGACCGTATCAACAGGACCGCTTCCTCGGTTAACTGGTGGCGGACGGGCTGATTTGTATCGCTGAGGTTCGGAAGGAGGCCAGAGAGAACGAGGACAATGATGCGAGTGAGCTCGAAAAGTTGCTCGATATCTTCCGACAAGTCGCCACTCTCAGCCTGTCCCTGCTTACGCGCAGAAGGATGAGAAACACACAGAGCCCTAGCTATTTCAACAATTACGCCTTGCACATCGAGCCCTTCGGTTAGTACAAGTCTGTCGAGCAAGTCCATGGTTTCGGAAAATATGGCTTCTCTGTAGATAGCATGACCGGAAACGCTGGGATGTAGTATCTTTTTGAGAGCCTGCAGGATCTCAAGCGTCTGTTCTTGGGTCGCAAGGGAATCTGCCTGGCCGGGACGAGTCGCCAAAGCTTCGAACGCGATGCCGAAAAGAACAAAAAAGAAGGCAACAGGCTCATCTCGATAGTTGATATCGACTCCTTTCGATTCGCCGTTGGGTGAAGGTCCTTCGGTTTCTTTGCCATCGAGGGCATCGAACACAAATTCACTGTCCTGCTCTATGAGACTGGCGATGGCATCAACAAGCTTCAACCACGAGTCCTGATAGAACCGCAAGAGCGTTTCACGGTTTAACGCAGCATATATGGTATCAAGACTACCCGAGAGTGAAGGCGGCCCAAGAGTCATCGAGATGTCAGGCTCGAAGCGTAGTCGTGCGAATTCTCTCAGTGAAGCCAGCCAGAGAGGAGTGAGGGTTCCGATATGCGGCTTTAGGACGTCCAGCAGGTATTTTTGTTCCAGACTAGCCACTTGCAGATCAGCCCAGGCGGAAAACACAGACATTTTGACCATGATTTGGGCGTTCGAGCTGAGGCATTGCAGATCTCCTATCCCTGCATTTTCAGAGTCCTTCGAGAAATTCTCCAGGGCAGTGACGAGCGTTTTCAGGATGCGCCCCATCCGATCAACGTCGGTCACGATGCCGGTAGATATGAAGGCTGCGCAAACGTTTACAGCTTCGGAAGCTAGCTCAGGTGAAGAGTCAGCAGCGAAAGCTGGCGTCAAGGCGGAGCTGATTTGTGCTTGGTACTGTTCGAGGAGCATGGCTTCGTCAAAGTCAGGATCCGGCGTTTTTCCAAACATGCGCAGCACAGCTCCAATGATCTTCAACCCCCATATCCTTAATTCTAGGACATTCGACGTAGAGGCGGAAAACCCCATGCGCACGACGTCAGCGATGCGTACTTGTAGAGCTGTCTGTGCCGGTGATTCACCATTGGTTGCAATGTCTTTGTTGACAAGAATGAATATCTCGTTCAAACAGCTCATTGCAAAAGTTCGGACTTGCCAGCGCAATGGCTCAACCTCCGAGCTCGCTGGCTGGTCTTTTTCGTCCTTGGCAATACCCGCAAACCCTGCAACCTCTTCGTCCTGAAGGTCCAGAGCTACCGTCGGTTTGCCCATACCAGCACGGCGTTCCTCTTTTGCCTTCGGCCTCGTCATCCTGAGGACATTTTGAAGGCGTAGTAACCAGGACGTTGTGTCAAGCAAGGACGTTTGACGTATCCAGTTGCGAACAATGTTGCGGGCACCATCATGGCCAGGACAAGAATCGAGAACGAGCCAGAACTGGTCCTCTAGACCCGGATCGGCCGCATCAAACACGTCCCGAGGGTTTCGCTTCATCAGGTTGTAAAGACCATCTACAGCAGCGTCTCGCAGAGACGGACGCTCGCCGTTGAGATGGGTTTGGAGAAGCTTCACATAGTCTACGAAAACCATGTTTCCTGGTGCATAGAGCGAAAGGTGTTCCAAGCAGCTCAGGCTTGCGCGTTGAACAAGCACGTTGGTTTCATCCTGGAGCTGACCGACCAATGTAAGAATCAATTCCCGCGACTTTGTCGAGTCCTGTAGATCGGGTCCTAGCACATTAATCATCGAATCAATGCAACGTGTGATAGAGCCTGCTGTAGACAACTCCGTTTCGAGATTCATCGAAATGGCTGAGGGTATCTCAGGATGATGGGTATCCGACAGGTATAGTTGTGCCAGCATTCCCAAACTACTCGACACGAACGGGGCGAACCCCAGCCCAGCCGCGTCGGCTGCCTGAGAGAGCGCCTCCAGAGCCCAGTAGTGAACGGTGGGGTGCGGATCGTTACAGAGCGACATCAGAATACCTAATATAGTCTTGAGATGGTAGCCTGCAGCCATGCCCCCGACTTTCGCTTGTATGCATCCGAGAGCCATGGCACATCCAGCTCGCGCACTAGGCTCCCTGTTGCCGACGATAGTGTCGACGAGGTGCTTGATTTCACTGTTAGTGAAAGCGTTGCCGCATGTATTGCAAAGCCTCGCAATCGTTTCATAGCCAAGTCGGCGGATGTACTGGTCCGGGTCTACAACAAACCCCCGGACAACCTCCTGGAGAAGTCTTTCTACTGCCAGGTTTGTAACATCTCCTGGCGGCGACGTTGTTTCCTTGGAGGCCACCTTCAAGCTATACAGGAGTGCTGCAGAGATATTGACATCCATGGCTGCTTTGCGACCGGGATCGCGCTGTAGAACGCCTGCAGACATGAAAGTAGCTAGTTGCTCCAGAATACTCTCCTGGACTTTGGCAGGGGTCAAAGGGAAGACGAAGGCGAACAGCTGGATGGCCATGTTGATGACTTGGGTGGCCGGCGGGTCAGGTAGTATGTGGGACTTGTCGAGGCTCGTGACGTAGAGCATGGCTGCATCGTGCTCAAGAGCTTGACATACGGGTGACTTGAGAAGGTCATCAATCAATTCCTCCGGGTCTGTCTCATCAGAAGTTGGTTGTTCGCTCAAGCCCTCCTGCTCTCCAGGGAGCTTCTGGAGCCGGAACCCATTGATGAGGCCAGTCACACCAAACCCAGAATTATCGCCAACCTCCCAAACGGACTCAAACGTACCGGCGGCATTGGCTATAGATGCACTAAGGGAGTTGCCGACGTAGTTCTCTGGGTCAGCGAATAGGGAGATTGCCAATGTGAGCAAATTAGACTGTAACAATGCCTCGCTACCCCCAGCAGGGCTCTGATTGACTAGCTTCATGTAGCACTGGAGAACACGGCGTTGGACCATGAGGTCGAGGTCCTGTAGTTGCAATGCTGGAGTCAGTCTTTGTGAGATGTCATCGCTGACCTTTTTGGATGGCAGGGTTCGGAGGAAAGCAGTGGTGCTTTGCAGCATGGCTGCTATACGCTTCGAAACATCCACTGTCAAAAGCCGACTGTTAAACTGCAAAAAGGAGAGGATAGATCCAAGCGCACATTCCCTGACGTGGGTCAAGAATGAGGCCTCCAGCAGGCTGCGCTGTGATGTATTGTCCTTAGCCAAGGGCTTGGGGAGGGCGTTCTTCCAGAGGAGCAGCAGTTGGGACAGGTGAATCTTGACGAAGTTGGGGCCCAGGGACATGAGACCGCCTATCAGTATCCAGGCAACTTGTATCTGTGTGCTCGAAACGCGGAGCTCCGATTTTCCACTCGACTTGAGTAGGTTGGTGGCCATGGTCAAAACGCGGCTGTTGATGTCAACGGATCCATACAAGGGACGAGCCGGGCTGGCACTGAGGGTGGCGGCCAGACCATGGGCGAAACCGATACACCTCCTTGGAGAGTTACGCCCTGTGCCGAGTTGGGACAGTTCCCGGCTCAGACTATTCATACACACGGACAAACATGGCAGCAATTGTTGCGGACATGCCTTGACGAAACTCTTCATGCAATATGATGCATGCACTTGCACACTATAGCTAGGGTGCTGTAAGACCTGTAGAAGGCCATCGCGGCAAGCTTCGGCAAAGTTGTTGGCGGCGGACCCCAGAGAGTCAATGAGAGATGCCACGGCACCAAGAGCAGCGATCAGTGTGTGTTTGCTTGGTTCAGGACGCTCCGGGAGTGCCTGGGGATAATTTTTCAAGACGTCGTTGATGATAGCCGTGGCAGCGGCTACCTGACCGGACTCGCCGAGAATGCGCTGGCCAACTGTGCTCCGAAGGATGGAATCGACGATTCGACGGGAGGTAAGCAAGCGGTAGCGATTGTTGGTCACATTTGAATTGCCTAGAAGGTCGACCGTCAGGTTTTCCATAATCTTCAGATAGTTGACCTCGACGGTCTTCTCGCCGAGTCTTCTAAGCAGTCTGCCATAGCAGACACCAAGGGCAGCCCTTGCTCTGTTGGTTGTGGACAGCCTCACGTAGTGGGTGGACAAGGTCTTGAGCATGTCAATCAGTGTCAGCGACAAGACCTGTGTCTTCCTCCCACCAGGAGCAGGGCTTCCTGGTCGCGAGGGGATATCGTCGTCGTCGACGAGATTTGCACCGGGCTGGACAGAAGCGCGCTTTGCAGCCTTTGACTTTGGTCTCTTGATCATAGGGACTGCGCTCCCGATGGCGCTCATCTCGGAATGGCTTTTGACCATGGCATCAGCCAGACAGTCAGCAGCAGCTTGGCGCACGGGAGAAGAAGCCGAGTCAAAGGCTTTGAAGAGGGCATCTTTCAGCTTGTCGAAGTCGCCCGAATTGTCGAAATATGCGGTGTGCTTGGCCAGAGCCCTCAAGCAACGACAAGCGGCGACGACGGACAGATGGCCTTTGTCCCCAGAGGCGACTGCTCGAGACTGTTTCCATATATCGCGGGCGATGTTCTCATCCATGCTGGGGCCAATCATGGCAGCAACCTTGGCGAGGGAGACGAGTATGGCGGTGCGCAGGCCGGCATTGGCCGAAGTGGCCCTGAGGAGCTTGATGAGGGCACCACATGCCAACTGGTGAAGAGGAACGGCACTGTCGCCTGCGGCAGCGTAGACGTCGCCGAGGCATGTTACAGCAGCATGCCTCGTTCTAGTCTCGGCGTCGGTCTTGACTTTTGAGTTGGCAATGATGGCGACCAGATCGTTGACGGTTTCGAAGAGGAGTTTCCGATCGCCGTTTTGGAAGACATGGGCCAGTACTTGGCCGATATCAGTCCTTACGACGCGGCTCGGGGAGGGGACAGAGAGGTTGATGACCTGGAAAGCCTCCTTCTTCAGATAGAACTGCTGAGCGGTACAGTCGTCGGCGGGAAGGCTCTTGACGTGTTTGCGGAGGCTGGAAACAAAAGTCAAAAGATATAGATCCTGCTGCTCGGCGGGAAGCGACTGCAATTTCGCGACATCGAGCTCCGGGTTCTGAGTGACGGTGGCCGCCGCAGGGGCAGTCACACGAGGCGGCGAGGGTGGGCTGGCGTGGCCATTGGCATCATCGGCAGCTGGCGTGGGCGCCGACATGAGGAGATATCGTTTCCACCAAACAAGGTTGGTATGGAGGTGCCCTTTGCCTGGACGCGAACGATAGGACTCGGCGTGGTGCACTGCTTGTATCGCAGCTTGGTATGAAGATATTCAGAATGTTGGTCGACTGTGTTCAGTACAGCAAGCACCTTGGCTGTTGGCTGGGTGGTAACTAATAATAATGCATCGTACAGTACGGGTTATTTGGCCTACTGTAGCGTCGCTTCAGTGCCGCCCGCACGCACTTCAAATAGTGCTCCTAGGAGGCTCCTTGGTGCTTGCGGTTACCGGTAATCCCCCTAACGAGGTGCCGCATGGGGGGTGTGCCGCAATGCGAGGGAGAGTTGACGCATGGGGGATTCCAGGGCCTGGTCTGCCTCAGGGCAACCAATGAGCACCCAGTGTGCGGCCTGCGTCTCTCACACAACCACTCCCCACAGATCGGCTGAAGGAGCACCTACATAAGCTCCCGCTCCAGCTCACACTGGCGACTACTGACCAGGAGCCGAGCTGAAGGAGAAGAGGGTACCGTAGTATCTGGTGGACGAGGCGGACTTTCATTTATCCTGCGATACAATGGTTACTTTGTGCTCACTGTTGTTGCATTGTCACCTAACGAGAGTATATTCAGGCCCAGGTCCTGTGGATTGGATCACAGTCAGTGAACAAGTGCATAGGCGCATTTTCTCGGCCGGTTTTGCAGCTTTGCAAGTTTATACCGAATCGCGCTGCATCATTGGTCCCCCCTTCTCCCTCTCTCTCTCCCCATCTCTTTTCCTCTCTCCCTCCCCCCCTTCTCTCTTCATCATGCTCATGTAATATAATATGCTCTTTCGGAAACGATCAGCTTGTCTAAGCTCTCTGGGGAAAGAAAAAAGAAAAAAGGGTTCATTTTACGCTCTCCAAGGTTGAGGGCTGAAAATATAATCACACTCTGATGGTCTTGATTTCACCGTTGAGGCGCCCGGCCGCGCAAATGCTTCGAGCCCCTCCACCAAAATATTCCCAGTGCCGCCGCGCGTTTGGCACAACTCTTGCGGCTTCTAGTGGCCACAATCGCTGGTCAAAAATAAAACATGAAAAGGGCGCAGCCGACAAGAGGAAGACGACTGAGAGAAGTTCCTTCGCCAAGAACCTGACCTTGTATTCCAAGCTCTACGGCGCAAATCCGGATCTGAACGCCCAGCTAGCCAAGACCATCACCGATGCCAAAAAATCGGGCATGCCAAAGGCCAACATAGAGCTGGCCATCGCCCGCGGTCAGGGGAGGTCGTCAACGGGCGAGAAGTTAGAGACGGCCATGCTGGAACTCATGGGCCCGGGATCCGTGGCCGTCATCGTGGAGATCGAGTGCGACAACAAGCAACGCGCTCTGAAGGACCTAAAGCTCATTGCCAAGAAGCATGCGGCCACGGTCACCCCCACGACGTTTTTGTTCACCAGGCTTGGAAGGACCATTCTGAAGGATCTGGCCGACAAGGACTTTGACCATGTCTTCATGCAGGCGGTAGAGGCAGGTGCAGAAGACGTCGAACAGGACCAGGAGGGAAACGTCATTGTCTGGACACAGCCCAATGCGACACACCAAACAGCCCAGAGTCTCAGCACCGCCCTCGAAGCCGAGGTTGTGACGTCGGACATAATCTGGAAACCATCAGAGGATAGCATCAAAGTTGACGATCAGATTACAGCGGGCCAGCTTGGCAACTTATTGGCGGCGATCAAGGACAACGAGGATGTGCAGGCAGTCTACGCCAACGCCGAAAAAGGAGACATCTCAGAGGAAGTGTGGAGCTCGATCGAGGATAATCTCGACTGAGCGCCCAAGTGATCATCAAGTATATATGCATAGAATTGTACATTATGTAAACATAGGCGCCTCCCCCAGAACCAAGGGTTTGGACATTTGCCATTTCCTGATATACAGCAGCCGATATAGCAAAACACTGCCTCCTTCAGGGGCCAGGCCTCTTGTTGTCTGTCGCTATACACGCCGATATGAGACGGCTTCTCAATCGCACATGGGGCGCATGGCCCGCGGCGGATGTGTGCGCTTGTGTGTGCGTGTGCGTTTCCTAAAGGTGTGCTCCAGAGTTACTTGTCCTGATGCCCACTCGGGTCGGCCTGGGGCGGGGGCGGTGGTCTCCGTGCCTCCTCTTCAAGTCTCTTATCCCTGAGGTAGAGTCTTCTGGCCCTTAGGCGCTGCAGTTCGGCATGGATCTCGTCTTTATCAAGGGGTACCTTGTTGGCGTTTTCGGCCTTGGGCCAGAAGTCGGGAACAGCGAATCGCTCGTCGAGGTTGGTGCCAAAGTAGTACATGATGCCGATCGGGAACATGACATACATGCCGAACTATGGATCTTTCATGTCAGTACAGGTTGGCTACGTTGGCCATGGGGGGTTGGGGGGGTTGAAGGGACGTAGTAGGAAGCGGCATGTATTCCCGTCGTACCTTGAAAACCTCAAGATTGAGACCGCCCATCTTCACAGTATGGTGGCTGCGGCAGCACAGATTTCGAAATCGAGATGCGATTTGTCCTGACTGATTGGGTCGGTTGGTTGATCGACCGGGCTGACTGGTCGGTTGATTGATTTGCTGCTCCTCAAGTTGCGCGTTCGTCCGGCGACGGTCCCCGGTTGTTTGTGGAAGACAGGCAATTGTGGTGGTTTGTAACTGGATTCAGTCCATGACAATCTGATGTTGGATTGAGCTTATTGCCCATTTGACAGTGGGGCACCAACTTTTAAGGATCGATCGGTCAAATCGAGACGATTAAATAAACTATGGGCGCAAGTGCAGGTGCGGGTGCAGGTGCAGGTGCAGGCTGGCAGGCGCTGCACTAAAGCTTGTTGGGGCTTACAGCGGCTTGATGCACTGCACAAGTACTGTACCGTACTGCCCATCGTATCGTTGTGGGGGCCGTAAAATATCTCCGGCTACGTGTGCCCGTTAATCCAGAGCCGCCTTGGATACTGCGTAAACCTTGTTTTCACACAACATCCAAATGCTCAAGCCGGTAGAATCAATACACATTTCTACACATATTAGAGCATCTGTACCTTCCACCTATCCCATACCTCACAATCTCATACCATGAACGCGCCCTGCTCGGCACGTGTTAGATCTTCATCCGCAATCATGAAGTCATCACGCGAGATGAGCTGCATCCTCGAATTGACTGAGATTATGCGTCTAGAAAAGTAAACGCTTTCGTTCCTACCTACACGTCTTTGTCACCCTCCAAGCCGCGAGGCCCCGTCTGCCTATTACTCTCTTCAGTGTCGGCCAGAACCCGTCCTCTGCCCAGTCCAAGTCATCAAGATTCAGATGTTGTTTGTGCCGCCACACCTCCCGGAACCGTAAGCCGTCCAGTCCTTTGTTTGGTAGGTAAGAATCGAGCCATGTCGCCGATAACGGCGCCACCAGGTAGGTACCATTTGGCTCCTTCAGGTATTCCTTGTTCCTCCGATCTGCCGGCGTATCGCATGTTGCCAGCCTTTCGAGCTCCTCAAGGAGCTTGGCCCCATCCAAATCCATTACATCCCGTGTCCGCAACACCTCGTTCTTTCCGTTCAGAAGCCAGATAGGTGGCATGTATGTCTTCCACCATATGGCCTGAGTTGCGTCGGGCTGCTTGCTCAGAAAAACCTGACCGGGCACGATCCCTCCTTGGTGATAGACCCCCATGAGCAACGATAGCGCCACGTTGAACGCAATCCAGGCGCCCACCCAGATTTTGAGTATCTTGGTGTTCTGTGGCAGTTGAACCGACGACAAGATCAAGGGGATTGTTGGAAGTAAAAAACGTGCTTCCTGATGTTGAAACACAGATAGCACAAACAGGCCCGACACGGCGGAATAAAGCCGAAGCGACAAGTGCGGCTGGAAAAACAGCAATCCAGCCGCAGGTCCGAGAAGCATCGGTATGTTGACCAACATGTGCTGATACCACGGGTGGAGTCCATGCTGGGCCAGGTTGGCCGGAGACATGTTGTATCTCAGATTGTTCCAGGGCGTCACAACCGGATTGCGCAACAGATCAGACCAGTTGATAGAATACGGTATATAAAACGAGGTATCTAGCGAAATGGCCACGATCACGGTTGCGGTAGCTGACGCTACCAAGACGACAAAAGACACAGGCCTACCGGTGACTCGGTCAGCTTTCCGAACATGGAAAAGAAAAGTGCATTGCGGCACCTGCTGGACAGGCATGCCGCGCAAGGTAGACACTAGACTTACTTGTTCCAGAAATGCGGTATCAACCGAAACCCAGGGATCAACAAAAAGGCTGGAAATGTGATCCTATTAAAAATACCGAAGACGGCGACCACGCCGAGTACAGTCGGCGCAAGAAGCGAAGACGTTTGTTGTGACTATACAGTTGTGAGTTTAGCCGGGGTGCGCTTTAGGCTGGGAAAAGGGTTGGTCCTGGCTAGTCTTACAGAAGTGTCCAAAATACGCTCTATCAAGACCAAACTCCAGGCGACAGCGAGTGTCTCGATGGAGTTGGAAAATGTGTGTGTCTGGAAAGTCCAGGTGACGTAGGATGATGCAACTAACAGCATGGCGATGCGGCGGTGTCGCGCAGACTGCACAAGCTCGTGAACAGCCCAGTCCTCAAGCACAAAGCTGAGAATGAACATGAGGACCCTCAGAGTCCAGAAGACGGCAATGGGTGGTACATCGCCGTCCTTGCCGTTGCCGATCCATAGCCACCTCAGGAGCAGCATGGGCAGTCCGTAGACGGGCCACAGAGGAAAGACGCTACGGATGGGATGTTCGCTCGTGAATTCCCATGTCCGCCGTACCGGATAGCTGAATATTTCGCCGGCAATCACTTCAGGGCCTTGGAAATTTTCGTCAGGATGTAGATAGCTTGGCGACAGGGCGAACCATAGCCGCACCAATAACAACAACAAGTACGTGCGCCTCCACATACTGGCGATCAATCTGGTGTGTTCCCGTTCTCCTTCTCCTTCTCGTCAAGTCTTCGTCTTCGTCTGCTCAAGGTGGCACGCCGCTGACTAGCAACGTCATCTACTTGAACACGGATCCGATCAGTGCTCCAAGGGAGGCGAGGGTAGTCCGGAAAGGCCTGGTGGCGTAGTTCTTTCACCTCACCAACCTTGGGATATACGTGTTCTTGTTCTTGTTCTTGTTCAGTTGCGCTATGGTTTCGTGTCGGATTGTTGCATGGTCGAAGAGCGCGCTCTTTTTACCATAAGCTGGTAATGCGACTGTAGAACTCGGACTGTGCTAGCTGGTTACCAATTTCTGAACCGTCTGTGGCCGTTGGTGTCGCGGCGCATTCGCAATAATGGTCGTGACTATGAGGAGGAGGGCAGGCTGGAGCAAAAGCAGTATTCAGGGCAGAAGGAATCTTGGTTGTCTGCTGTATTGGTAAGACATGCCGGATGATCAAATCAAAACAACACCCATGATGACAGGAAATGAGCTGATGACAGCCCACGGTGGCTGGAACTTTTCAATTTTTATCTTATTTTTAAACTGGGACAGGGGAGAAAGGGAAAGCCTTCCTCGTGGCATCGCACATGTAGGTCGCGTTTGTGATGCACATCACATCGCACAGACAGTAATTACACAAACCAATGTCCATATCCACACCTAAACAGGGGCCAATGTTGAACACGCTGGCACTGATCGATCAGTGGGGAGTGGTCACGAATCTGGAAATACACGATGCTACAGTGCGGGGATCCACAGCATGTATCTACAGTATGCACTAAAGGTGAGCCCCATGCCCGCGCATACACCTAGCCCGGCAGGCTCAGTCCCACTGAATATGTCTTTGGATGATTGTTTGCAGGGGCCTGATCTGCCAACTACCGTGCACAGAACAGAACTCTAGGCGGGCAGACAAGTTTCTGGGCCTCTGCCCCCATTTCGCGTCTAGGGAAACCCGCGGAGGTACTACGCCTAGTGCTTGATCATGAGATATGCACTGTACAGAAAAGTACTGTGCAAATCATTGATGGGGCAAAGATTGCGCTAATGTCCCCGGGTTTCCGTGTCCGTCTCCGCCGATATCTAATTACATACGGAGGTTGCTACCAAGGTCTCCGGTCCCTCTAGTTTGTACAAGCAGCTGCGGTCGGTAGCGATCATTATTAGCGCCAGCCGATATCTCATTTTCGTAAGCTGTCGGCCAGTTGCTACGGTACGTAACGAAAGTCTTGGGGACCTAAGACTTTTGGTAGCGACCTCCGTACAGATGCATACTTACCTCAAACGCTGCAAATGCCTGGCGACAAACAAACTTGCTCAAGACACACGGATCAACGGCCATGGACATCATTTTACTAGTGATGGCGCCTGGTCCACCATGGTGACATTGCAGTATTTGTTTCTCTTCTTGTTATCTTTTCTCCTTCTTTCTCCATACTTGTGCGGCGTACCTACAACCCAACCAAACTTCAACTGCCTACATTTAAGTATTACCAAGTCCACAAATTCTGCGGACCATCTAAATGCGCTGAATGGCTCTTGTTCCACATCTCAACATATCCGTTTGGAGGGGGGGTTCTACGCCTCGGGTAGCCAACGTACATTCTGTGGCCGAGACATGCGCACTCGCACTTGTGTAAGGTTCACTTCCATGCCCGATGCGCATGGTACCGTAGGCCTCCAGTATGTATGCCTCACACCGTATATCCGAGGTTTCCATTGGCAACCGTCAATTCACCAAAGACAGAAATGAAGGTTCCTAGTACGCTTCACTTATAGTGTAAAGTTCTTTGTAACCATTGACAGAGCCTACCTGGCCCGGCTTCCTAACCAGTAGAGCAAACCTCCTAGCCCAACATTAACTGCAATATGTTGCCCAATACTCCAACCCATGCTGTAGAGGTACTTGGGCGAAAACACAGTCCAAATGAAGAGATGTGTTCTCAGTGCCGTACAAGCAGCCATCACAAAAGTCAAACTCGCCGCCACGAAAAGCGTGAGTAGAGCGATGTGGGACTGGAACACATTGCCGGCATTGTTGTGCTTGTTCCGCAACAAGAGCAGAGTAGTTGCCGACGCCCACCAAATAGGAGCCGCCCAATTGCTGATGAATGTCAACACTCCGACAGCGACAACGTTGAAGTCACTAATTCCATTGTATGCACTTGAGAGATCTACTGATGAGATTGCGTTTGAGCCACCCATAGCAAAGAATGATGCGAACTGCAAGATAATGGACGACGTTGTGATCTCAACGATACTGAGACTCAGCGCTTCCAAGTACGCTTGCAATATTCGGAACAGAAGGAACAGCGGAATATTCGTCGCCCGAGTCTGGGTCAAGGCAAGGAGCGTATACAAACCATGCAAAACCTTCAAGCCTATAGAGAACAATAGTTAGACTCCAGCACGGAATATGTTGACTCTTGGCTTACCTCTGTAGCGTGCCGATCCCTTCGTAGCAGTTAGGAGGTATAGAGGATATATCAACGCAAGCGATAGTCCTAAGAAAACTGCTTGAGCCCTTGCTACAAGTGAAAGATCACCAATGAGGTGCAGAAGGCTGCGCACACATCCCACAACCAGTTCTGGAGCATCCTCGTTTGTGAAGGCAAGCTTAAAAGATATCGCAGATAGCGCCAAGCCAAGAATCACAGGTTGGTTGATAGCATTGGGAAGCCTGCTTGTACTGACCATGAGCTCAGTGGTAACCATTGCATACGCACCAAGAATCAGGCACCAAAGGAGTCGCGGGTGAGGCAGCAGGAAGAGCTTCACGAGATCCGGGCTGCCAGCAAACTTCTGGCCCGTCTGATTCCAGCCCCTAATGAGACGCATGGAGACGAGAACAATCCCTTGGACAGACGCCGAACCTAGCATAGACATGTTTGAGCTGGTATATATTAGCGGAAGGCTATGAAACACTTGAAGATCCTGCAGTACCGTTTATAGGACAGGTACACCAGCCAGGCTGTAGCTGACCAGTACCAGAAGTGTTGCTCTTCTTCGACGTAACTACTGGCAAACATCATCGTGCCATAGAGGATTGTAACCGTCGCAAAACACAAGATAGAGCCAGCTGTGCTCCTCACGGAAAGAATGGATGCCACTAAAGCAAACATAAGTGCCAGCAGGGCAACAGCAGCGCCTTGGCTCAGCCTTGTGATGTCGTAATTGCTCGCCATACTGCTCATGGTTCGTTGCGAGTTTCGCAACCACTGTAAGATAGAATTCAGCAACTCAGTCCTTCAAGGGAGGCTATTAGCAACCGACCTGCAAGACCCGCTGGTCCCATTCTACATCGTCCAAGGCCTGTGAGCTATCCAGTGGTGGTCCTCGACTCAAAAAATGCCATTCGCAAGCTAGTTCTTCCGCGTCAGTGGGCATGTGTGAGCAGTCATTTCCATCAAAGCTGTCAATAAGCATTGAGTCACCAAAAGCCGCTACCACAATCCTGAAAATTTGCTTGGCGTTGTGCATGAGGATGTGCACCTGCTCACGTCCTAGATTTCTATAAGCCAATGTGTGTGTAATTTATCTGGGCAACTTACGTTGTGGCCACATAGGTAAGAAGTCGGAGATTATAGCCCCTAAATTGTTTTTGGGTACTGGGAAGCCAAGCAGCGCGCCAAGAGTAGGTGCCAAATCAGATTGCTCAACGGCGGAATAGTATTGAAAATCTTCCCTGTAAGGAGCTGGGACGGCTAATGGCTTCGAAACGGACTTCAGTTTAGGCGACATGAAGACCAAGGCAGGCGAAGTCTCACCAGCCGAGGAAGCACCATGGTTACCTGCATCGTTCATGCCGTGATCCCCGCAAAGTACCAGAATGGTTGACTCCAGATGTGGATAGGTTTCCATTGCTTTATAGATACGCCGGACGATTCCATCCATCTCTCGTTGTTTCGGTACCATGTTGACACTGAGCGGTCGGTAAGCTTGATGAAAATGCTCCGCCGGGCAATCAAGCCAGGACAAGCGTGACATACCTTCGAGGTCCAGATTTATGGCCAATGTGGTCAAGACCTAAGTAGTGAAGAACCATAGTATTCCAGTCATTCTGGCGCAATTCTGCATCGATATGCCTGGTCACGTTGCTGTCCACCTCGGTAAAATCCTTTCCGCACAAAGCCATCCATTAGCTTGCAACCCCTGTTTCCATAAAGCCGTGGGCTCCTTACCGAAACAAAGAAGCTCGAGGTGCCATCGGCTCTGTCGAATGTATGGGGAAACAGCTTCAACCAGGTATCGTCTCCGTACATGACTAATTTGCCAGCCTTTTTCGCTCTCATTTGAGCAAGCCATGTGTCCTGGGAGGCAAGTGTTGAGGAACTGTCGGCCTCGTCGAGGTTCAGGATGACATCGAGAAAAGAAGGAATCGAGCCGGTGGTTATGGCCTTGAGACGGGGCATGGTGACGGTCGGGGAGGCGGCGTGGGCCGTGTAAGGAAGGGCATAGCCATCTCGAATCAAGCTGTGTTCCTGATGAGTATTACTCAATGTACAATGTGTGGTATAGGGGGGGGGGGGAGCTGGTAGGGGAGGAGAGATGACAAACCCTTGGGTGAACTCAAAGCCAGAGCCTTCGGCAAACACAAAATCGCTTCGCACATTTAGTATCGACTCACGGAGCAGCACTACGATGTTCCTACGTTACCTTCTCAAAGCATCAACCACCATGAAGACCAAACGATTAAAGGGTGGGGGTGGAGGCGGGCCGTAACCGAGGTCGTCATATTGAGCAAGCCCTGACAGGAACGGCTTGTAGGGAAAGAAACCAGCAGCAAAAATCAGAATGGCCGCTGGTATTAGCAGATTGGCGGCTACGAGAAAACCCTGGGCCGTAAGAGTGGTCCTGCGTTGCTGCATCTTGGACTTGGCTGCTGTCGAGGAGGTCACCGGGCGCGATGGTATATCCTCAGCCGCTGGCAATCCCCATTGCTCGAATGACTGGAATCGCAGAGATGGGGACGAAGCGCGCAAGCGTGGAGAATTGATCGATCTCCGTACTGGTCAAATGAGCAAGAGCAAAAGACAGGGCGGGTTTACTTGGCTGACTCCATGGGCAATGTCTTGTACATGGCACGTCTGTTTAAGGTGTGTTCGGAATATTTATTTGGTCAGAGTCCTGTTCGGACGCGAAACCGATACCTATGTAGGGGTCCCCAGTAGCCATGCGCCCTGCAAGGCACGTCCCATTCACGACATTCGCTGTGCGTCCAGTAGTACCAAGTAACAATCTTGTGCATGTAGGCAAGTATGTAGGTACCTAACCTTAGGTATCTAGCTGCGGTTTAGAGTGGCCAGGGGACCTCCAAACGGCTCTGTACTATGTATGTAATCATGCACCCTTGGTACATTATGGAGTACATGCTTGTACACACTGGTCCAAGGCGCGTTAGCAACGGATGGTAGTGCCCCGCAACGACATCATGTCAGAAGTTATGTAACTTGTCGCCTTTGTCGACTGCCACTGGGGATTCTACTAGTACTCATGGATATTTCCGAACTCGCGTTGCTCACCGAATATACCCTCCTGTAGCGCCAATTTCTACTCTGTACGCGCTTCTGCCGAGTTGCCCTTCCCCTAAACTATTAAATAACACTCCCCCTAATCGTGCGTGGCCGTACAAAGACCGGCGTCTTCAAGCATGCCAAGCGACCAAAGTCCAGACAATCCCTTTGTCCGCTTCAAAAAGGAAATCGACAGCCAGTTCTCAAGAATTTGGCACGGCAACCGCCAAGATGTGAACAGTGTCGGCTTGTACGCTGATAAAAAGGCCGAAGGGCTCCCTCCCATGCCTCTCAGCAGCTTTTCCTCAGACAATATCAATTCTGAACCTGATGAGACGCTGACCTTGGGAGGTGTTGCTGAGCAATTACGATTCCAGACAATCTCGTCATGGCTGAACTTTTCATCCTATTCACCAGAAAACCTGTACTTCATGCCTCAGCCCTCACCGAAAGACCTGCCGCCCGAGCCTCTGGCACACTTCACTTTCCACGATGCTTTAGAAGATCTCCTGCTTGTGCGCTCAGGCCAGCCCTTGAGAGATCTTGAGCAAATCAGAGCAGGACGAACAAGTCATATGGACAGCCTTTTCGATATATTTGTGCAAGCCTTCAGTTCAAGGCCGTGGCGAGCTGCGCTCGAAGATCGCGGCCTTTGGGACGCATATTTCCCGCGTTCGGATTTTCAACAGGGGGCGCAATCCATCCTTCGCCAGGTCGCTGAGGCCGGGCAGCAGGGAAAAAGTTGGCAAAGATCGGACGTCCTGGTCAGGTCTCTTGTGAAACAAGCAGCCAGCTGTGAAGACGAGGTCAAGGTATCCAGCATCATGGGACACCTGGCATCGCTCGGTCCTTCCGCTTTCTTTGGTTTTGTGGGCGACGATTTGAGTCATGTCATCCATGAACTAGACGAGTTACATAGTCCTTGGGCGAAGAAACTAGGACTGCGCGCACCCAAAGACAGCTCCGCTGGCGCGGCAGACACGTCGGGAGGAAAACCTACGACTGAGGAAGACCTCCACCAAGTCCTATATTCCCATTTTGCTCAAGGCTGGCCCAAAACACTTCCCTCATGGGATGATTATCCAGCAAGTCAGCACGATACACCAGAAGACACCAGTACAGACCGAGAAACAGAAAACTCAACAGACACAAACACAGTAACCTTGACGGATGGAAGTAGGATTGTGACAAAAACCGAAAGGCGTTCGCGTGGCGGCATCATCAAAACCTCCCTTACCATAGAGAAGCACGACCCTCAGGGCAAAGTACTAGAGCGTTCTGTAAAGACTCGCACTTTCTCATCCAGTGGCGGCGACGGGCATCCAGGCTATAGCTGGTCTCGGGGAAATGGTGGTTTCAGCAACGGCCCAACCAAGGACAAAAATACCGCCGGGCCAAGTGGATGGTTCTGGACCAAAGATGAGTGAAGCTCGGAGAGCAGCAGGCTATCTTGAGTGGCTGCGTTCGATTTGTCTGTCCTACCAACAACTCTCAAGCCTTTGGTATACGTGCCTTAGAGTGTGGGTGGATTATCAAGCACTCGTTGGTACCAGCTGGGCGGAAGGAACAGTCCTCTCACGCAAGGGGCACACAAGTGACCGAGGTCTCCCCCCCTCTCTCTCTCTCTCTGGATTTTTTTTTAAAAAGAATTCGAAAAAATTGGTGTCTAAAGAATCTTGGCATAGGGGTGGGGTCCGGTTTAAACAATACTATAATGGCTCAATGACAATTAGTCCCAAGGGTACGTAGCAAGTTGACGTATATTAACATTTTAGTAGGATCGTCTGGATATCTATGTGCACCATGCTCCCCATCTAATGCTTAGCCTCGAGCATTCGCCTTCTTCTTCTTCATGATCCTTTTTCTACCGATGATCTTTTGCTCTAGAGCACTGCGAGCATCGCTTGTTTTCGCCGCCGCGCCGTCTTTAATAATATTTTTTTCATCTGATCCCTTGAACTTGTTCCTGAGTTGGTCTCCCTTGGCAGTCCTAGGAGCTCGCCTGTCGTTATAACTGCCACGATGACCTCCTCGCTCATCCCTAGCAAACTTTGAATGCCCCTGCTGCGCAGCGCTGGTGTCGCCGGCTCCTTGGCCGAATTTCGTCTGTCTGTCATTGCGCCTGGAGACAACCTGGGCATTCTCGATGGCAAACTCAACAATAAGTCGTTGTGTCTTTCCAGAGGCGTTCTTCAGCGCGTGGCCGTTCAGCCAGCGCAGTCCCATTAGAGCCCACCTATGTGAGGAGTACTCGACGAATCCATAGCCTCGACTCTTGCCGGCAGCATCGGCTTCGGCTACCTTGGTTCCTTGTGTATTCTCGTATACAATCTTGGCCTGCTTGACGATGCCCTTGCCCTTCTCCTTGCGCTTGCGCTCTGCTTCGCGGTCGTCGTCACCACCACGGGTGACCTCCTCCTTGGATAAGGGTTGGCGGCGACCCTCTTTGACATCCTTAGAAAAGCCAACGGCAGCCTCACGGGCCAGGGCCTTGAGTTCCTTGTGCGAAACATTTCGCGGGATGTTCCGAATGGCCAGGCGGGTAAGACTCAGATGAAGACTGGGGTTGGTCTGAATCTGCTTTTTCCTCTGGGCTTCACTCTCTTCTCTCATCTTAATCTCGGAGGCTGAGAGGAGGGAGTACAGGGGCGAGCTGGCGGCGATGGTGCCCTCGGGGAGCAAGTATAGGCGTCGCTTATCCCTGTCTTTGCCATCACGGGTAGCAACGCCATCAGCAGTCAACTTAGTGGCCTCGTCCTTGCTTACGGCCTGAGTAAGTTGTAGTATTCTGCCCTCGAGAGTATACAATCCCTGTGCATCGGCCAGCTCGTCCTGCAGAATGGATCGCTTGCCGGATTGGTCGTTGGGTCGAGGCCGCGGAGCTCCTTTGAGACACTTCATGGCATCATCAAAGCTAATGAAGTTGACAAAACCAGTACCCGCAGGTCGGTCCGTGGCACGGTCCATGACAACTCTGGCATATCGTACCGGGCCGAACTGTTCGAAATGGCCCTTCAGGTCAGAGTCGGTGGTGGAGAACGGTAGGTTGCGAATAAACAGAGTCGATGAATTATCTGTCATGAGGGGCTTGGTGGGCTTGCTGTTTTTTCCCTCCGGGTCGTCCAAGTCGTCTTCATCGTCGTTGTCTTGCTCAAGACTACTATCATCGTCGGCTTCTGAGTCTGGCCCGTCGCCTTCAGCGCCACTCTCTTCATCCTCGAGCTTGTCTCCAAAGTTTTTCATGAAGTTTCGAAGATCCTCGTCCTCTTCCTCGTCGTCTTCGTCTTCAGGTTTCTTTTCGCTCTTGCTGTCATGGCTGGGATCCGCTCCGTCCTGCTTGGAGGACTTCTTCTTGGCCGATTTTTCCTTGGTGGCAGTCTCTCCATCCTCCTGGTCTTGAACATCATGGTCGCCATGGTGCAGCTTTCCCCATTCCTGCTTGCTGACAGCCCAATCGACGGCAAGAGTGCGACCATCAACAACCTTTCCATTGACGGCCTCGATTGCTTTTTCGGCACCTTTGCGCTTCATGGTGACGAAGCCGAAACCGGAGAGCTTGCCCTTGTTTTGGGGCAGGTCGCAGTAGTAGATCTTGCCATGACCACGAAAGAGGGCGGCGAGCTGGTCGGGCTTCTTGATGCTCCAAGGCAGGTTTCTGATGATGAGCTTGGGGGGCTTTCTGGCTTCCTGCTCGGCTGCACGCCTCTCTTCGTTGCCATTGTCGTTTGTAGTGCCAGTAGTGTCGTTGTTGTTGTTCTTGCGGTCTCTCGCTTTGGCGAGATCAATGCTTATGGGGCGGCCGTCGAACTTTTGGCCATGGAGCTTCTCCTTGGCATCATTGGCATCCTGGGCGTCAGTCAGGACGACGAAGCCGTAGCCTCTGGAAAGTTTGGTGGCGGGGTCCTTGACGACGACGGCGCTCTTGACGGGGAAGTGCTCAGAAAAGAAGTCGGTGAGGGTGTCGTCGGTGGCAGAAGGAGGCAGGGACCTGACAAAAAGGGATCTGCCAGCCTCGACTCTGGCTTTCTTCTTGGAAGGTTCGGCCTGTGTCTGAGTCTGAGTCTGGGTCTGAGTCTGGGTTTGAGTCTTAGTCTCTACGTCTGTGTTGGGGTGGGACTGAGATTGAGAGGGCTCTGCAGTCGCATCCTCGACCTGGTCGCGGGAGCGCTTCTTGGTATTGCCGGCCATATTGAAAGGTGTTAGGAGATGACTGTGTTGCGTTGTTATCTCAGACCACACTGCACAGCATAGCCAAGCATGGCATATCGATACTATTTTCGCCAGAGAAAAAGTTCTGGGTTGTTTCTTAATCTTAGCGCAGCCAGAACGATAAGGGTGGATATGACATGTACGACGCATTCGCGGTGGCGGCGGGTACTACTGTATGTATGTAGTAGGGCATCACTGATAGATGCATAACCCCGCCATCAGCAACGGAACTTCCTTCAAAGTACCTCCCCTCCAGCACGCTTGGACGCGCTCGTCGGGGTACACGTACACGACAGACCCAGAGGCTGAGGCCCAGAGACCTACAATAGTAAAGACCAGAGGCTTCCGTTAGCGGCTGTCTAATGTCTGAGGTCCAGCTGCACAATAGTTACCTGCCGCAGTTGTTTGTTGCTCTGCCACCCCCCACTTGTTGTTGACATGCACAGATGGAGAAGCTATCAAGCCCGTCACCCAAACAAATCAAGACAGACGCGCATGCAAATCAATCAATCGCGTGTTGAGTAGTCCCAGCATAGCACAAGCACAAGCATAAACACAAGCACAAATCATCTCGGCCCGGCGCAACGGGGTCGACGCTTATTTACTGCCTCTCCCTGTCGTGTTTCTTGCTTTTACAACTGTTGCTCTCGCTCAATCGATTCTTCGGTTTCACTTGAATCCAATATCCCCCCTCCCCTTGGCTGGGAGAGAGAGAGAGATCTCCAGGGCACACCAAGGCCAAGACAAACTGGCAATCCATCCCTCGATTGACGACTGTATTTATATTTACATTCACACAACCGTCCCATCTGTCATGCCGGCCAAGACCTCGACGAGGTCAACACGCACCTCGAGTGCTGCTACCTCACGCAAATCATCCGCCCCTGCCTTGCAATCGAGGACTTCCAACACTTCTCGCACCTCTGCCCCAGCCATTAGTGTCCCAGAAGAGCCACTGGAAAACTCCTTGCGCACCCGGGTCTGCCTTATCTTCAGGGACGCCCAGAAGACCACCGCCTCTCATAGGAAGCTCGTTGTCAACCTGCGCAAAATCCACGAGTCATGTTGCTACGAACCCAGCCCTCCTAACAAGGGCAACAGCAAGGGCCCTCCGCCCGCCGACGACTTCGATGAGGACGACTTCAACACAGAGTTCGCACGCTGCGTCATGAGGGCCATGCCCGTCAGGAAGAGCGAGGCCGTCGGTGAAAAAACTATCCGCTTCGTCGGCCTCTTCTTGCGCCACGCCAGTGACAAGGACAACGAGTTGCTGGGCGAGGACGATGCCGATGCTAGTACCATGCCCGAGACTCCCACCACCAGGCTCATCACCCGCGTCATGAGCGCCATCCTGCCCTTACTCACTGCCAAGGACAAGTTTGTCCGCTTCAGGGCCACTCAGTTTGTCTCCCACGTCATTAACTCCCTCGACGCCATCGATGACGATCTCTTCCAGAACCTGCGACACGGTCTGCTCAAGCGCATACGTGACAAGGAGGCCATGGTGCGCGCGCAGGCTGTCCTCGGCCTGGGGAGGTTGGCAGGGAACCAGGTCGAAGCCATGGCCAACTCGGACGATAGCGACGATGACGCCGAGACCGGCTTGCTCGAGAAGCTCCTCGAGGTCCTTCAGAACGACCCCAGCGCAGAGGTCCGCCGCTCCCTCCTCGTCAACTTGCCCATCCTGCCAAACACTCTCCCCTACCTCCTGGAGAGGGCCAGGGATCAGGATCCTCTAACCCGCCGCGCCGTCTACGCCAGACTCCTGCCCGCCTTGGGCGATTTCCGTCATCTTTCCTTGTCCATGCGCGAGAAACTTCTGCGCTGGGGGCTGAGAGACCGAGATGAAAATGTGAGAAAGGCCGCAGGGCGCCTGTTCCGCGATCGATGGATCGAGGACTGCGCCGGTACGCCTCCTCCAGCCGAAGATGGGAAGCTCAACGAGAGTCCGGAGCCCAGTTTCGATGGTCTCCTCGAACTTCTCGAGCGTATCGATGTCGTCAATTCCGGAGTCGAGAATGGCGTCGCTCTCGAGGCCATGAAAGGCTTTTGGGAGGGCCGCCCTGACTACAGAGATGCTGTTACCTTTGATGACTATTTCTGGGAGACTCTTTCTGCCGAGTCCGTCTTCATGGCCAGGAGTTTCAACGACTTCTGTCGAGCCGAAGGCAATCGAAAGTACGAGACCCTCGTCGAAGAAAAACTTCCTGAAGTCACCAAGCTAGCTTTCTTTCTTGAGCGCTATCTGAAAGTCCTCGTAGAGGCTATTGGTAGGGTCAATAGTCAAGAACTGGCCGATGACGACGACGACGACGACGAGGAAGAAGATACGGTAGAGCAAGAGTTCATCGTGGAACAACTTTTACACATCATTCTCACTTTGGACTATTCAGATGAGGTCGGCCGCCGGAAAATGTTCAGTCTCTTGCGCCAGATGCTGTCCATACCGGAACTTCCCGACGAGGTGACCAAGCTCACCATTGATGTGCTTCGCGATATTTGTTCGCCAGATGCAGCTGGTGAAAAGGAGTTTTGTAGCGTGGTCCTCGAGGCTGTAGCCGACGTCCACGATACTATCGTTGACGAGCCAAGTCCCGATAACGATGATGATAGTTTCCACTCCGCCCGCTCTGACGTTAGTGGCGACACCACTCCCACCAAGAGCGAAAGGCGTTCCAAGGAACCGGAGAGCGAAGAAGAAGCAAGAGCCAAGGCTATCAAAGAGATCATGATCAACATGAAGTGCCTCCATATCGTACAATGCATGCTCGCCAACGTCCAAGGTACTTTACAGGAGAACGACCACCTCGTTGCCATGCTCAACAATCTTGTCGTCCCTGCTGTGCGCAGCCATGAGGCTCCTGTCCGAGAGCGAGGTCTTGTCTGTCTAGGGCTCTGTGCCCTGCTCGATCGCCCCCTTGCCGAGGAGAATCTCACGCTCTTCATGCACTTCTTTGCTAAGGGGCACTCTACCCTCCAGATCACGGCGCTTCAGATCCTTACTGACATTCTGAATGTACATGGCGCTCAGTTGCTTGCCGACAACTCAGCTCTACTCAAAATATATATCAAGGCACTCCGATCGGGCTCCAAGAACCCCGAAGTACAGGGTGCCGCCACAGTTGCTGTCTCCAAGCTGCTGTTGGGCAGGGTCGTTACGGACCACGATACGTCCGCTGAGCTTCTCAAAACTCTTGTTGTGGCCTACTTCGACCCTTCCACGGCGGGGAATCAGAGCGTAAGGCAAGCTTTGAACTACTTCCTCCCCGTCTTCTGCTATTCAAGAGCTGAGAACCAGGACCTCATGCGTTCCGTGGCATTAGACGCTCTGCATGCACTTTACAACGTGCGAGAGGGCCTAGAAGATGACGACGCCGACGTAAATGAGGAGATGGCAACTCTCAACACTATCGGCGCATGCTTAGTAGACTGGACGGACCCCCGGAAGTGTTATCAGCCCGGAGTCTCAATGGACGCCGAGAAGAAAAATGTCAACGGTGATGGACATCTCGACTTCGCCACAGCTATTATAGAAAGGCTGAATGGGAACATGAGCAGTAAGTGACTACCCCATGACGCACATTCTCCATCATGGGCCGCTTCTAATACGAGAGCAGAGGATGAAAAGAAGGTCATCGCGACCCTCTTGGGTAAACTTTATGTTTCACCCTTCTCGTCAGAAGCCAAAATTCGCAATCTATACGATGAGATCAATATGGCCGTGGAAGAAAACATTCTATCAGATGCCACAAGTCGAAATTCTCTCTACAAGATTCACGTGAGTCTCGGTAAGATTGTCAATCAATTTACAGAGCAAGAGAAAAGTGGTGGAAGAAGGATGAGCCGCAGCGTTAGTATCTCTGCTGTTGGTTCCGTCGCCGGTGACGAGAGAACCATCACGGAGGAGCAGGAGCCTATCAAAGAAGAAGACGTTTCGGATGATGAAGATCGGAGCAATGATACTATCCGCCAAGGTGGAGAGCATGAGTCTGGGTCTTTGGTGGAAGAGCTTCTCACGGATGGCGAGTAGCTGGGCTGAATATTTATGGTATGCCGGACTTTTTACGGTTTCATGTTAGACAACGATTCCCCTGGTTCACTTATGAATTGAACGTTTTGCTTTTTGCTCTCAATCATGATCTCGTATCGAACCTGACTAAAGAAGCAGTGTCAGTTTTGGCCGTAAAAGCCAGAACTGTGTCTCTACTCCGTTGCGGCTCAAAGCTATACTATCACAGTAGTTCAAGTGTTGTCCAAGACAAGACTCTCGCTTGAATTGATGCGTATGAATGGTGCTTGGTCAACTGGTGGGACCGCATTGACTCGTAGCAATCAACGCGAAGCTCTGCTGCATAGACCCACTCTTGGTCTTGTTTCGGCCATGTCAGTATCATAATAGTCTCGGAAACATGGAGGGATTGAGCCCGAGCTCTCTGTAGAATGAGTACGGAGTAGGAAGTATCATGCAATCGGAATGAAATGATTGATCCATTGTTAGGAGATAAAGATGATCTCACCATGTTTCGGCAGCATGATCGCGGCTAAAAACGGCCACCCAAATGGGAAAGACTATAGAATACGGTGGGGGTTTGAAAGATCCGGAAAAATCACAACCTCGGGGCTCGTCGATTCAGGGATGATCGACAGCTTGGTAAAACCCCCAGGGTCTGCTCTCCCGGATGTAACTGGTTCAAGTCCCAGCCGCTGCCGAGACTTTTAGAGTTCCATAAGTTTCAACGAGCAGCTCCGTCGCCTATCTGCCGTATACCGCACCAAACAGGATGCTGATCCAAGTCCCGTAGTCACAAGTTTATGCACTACAGCGCCAAGCTTTCATGCCGTCCCGATCAATATGGTACGGCGCAAGCGCTGGTTGGCGTTTCTCCCATGGTTACTTCGATGGGCATCTAATAACTACTGTCAAATCAGATAATCGCCTAGTTCCAAGCCATAGCAATGCGCCAGCACAGCATTTCCATGGCTCATAGCAACTCGCTAGTCGGATTGGCCAACACGTGAACCGGAGGTTGTTCGTCATGTAGATCACATCAAGTGGTCAAGACATTAGTCCAATGATGCCTGATCACCTAGCGGCAGTTTCTCAACCGCGCCGCTATGCCGTGCTCTCATTCGCCGACGTTCCTACAATGAGGACATGCGTTGTCGAAGATAGTCTGGCTAAGTTGCATATATGCCTCACCGGGATAAATAAACTGCTTACTCACAGATGAAATGGTTATTTTGTCTTCATCCAACCGTGGGAACTCTGATTGCCGGCAGCTCGAATACAAATTGACTTAAGTCGGTCTTTACACCTCACTCCAAAGACACCCGCTGTTTTGCTTCTTCTTTTTATCTTCTTCTTCTAGTTTCCTATCGTCACGATGCACCCTGCTACTTTCCTGGTACTGTTCCCATTGGTGTCTGCCACCCCCTCGAACCGAGCACAGCCCGTACCCCTTCTCAAACCTAGAGGGGCTCAGCTTGTTGATGGGAAGTACATTGTGAAACTACAACATGATGCCATCGAAGGTGTCCTGAGCTCGACGATAAGCACGCTCGCAAACAACGCTGAATTTGTCTACAATACGGGCAAGTTTAGGGGATTCGCTTCAGGATTGACAGCTGCTGAGCTTGACGCCCTACGTAATGACGACAGTGTCAGTACAATTATCAGGCCTCCTCAACCACACGTGCTAACTAATGATTAGGTTGAATATATCGAGCAAGATGGTATCGTCACTATCAAGACTACCCAGACAAATGCAGATTGGGGTTTGGCGCGCCTATCTAGCAAAGAGCCGTAAGCAATTCCCGAACCCTTTCCCACGACGTTCAGTGTGGCTACGGAGAGTGTATCATCGATCGGCTGTCAAAGACATCGACCTCCTCATGGCTCCTCTACGATACCCCCGAGCAAACCCCAACCTGTCTCAACGAAGCGATGACTAACTCCGAATGCTGTAGTGGGAGTACGACGTACACCTATGATAACTCGGCCGGGAAGGGTACTTGCGTCTATGTCGTTGATACTGGTATCGACACGAGCCATCCTGTATGATCTTGTCGATTATCTAGTGGCCTACCTCGCTGACGTTTTGCACAGGAGTTTGGAGGTCGAGCTGAATTTCTTGCCAACTATGCCGACAATGATAACACGGACGGTCATGGGCATGGAACACGTATGTATACACCTAAAAATGGAACTCGCACAGGTTGGTAGACCCTGAGATGTGCTTTTTATGAGCTAAGGTCTACCACCGCTCCCTGGCCTTGGGTATATCCTTTGTCATGACCTATCTGCTAACTTGGCGATGATAAGACGTTGCTGGCACCATTGGCTCTGTTACGTACGGTGTTGCTAAAAAAACCAAGTTATTTGCCGTCAAGGTACTTGATTCTAACGGCTCGGGCGCAAAGTAAATATCACCACAAGTGGGCTTGGTCGTAATCAGTTTTACTGACTACCTCTCAGCTCACAGGTCATTGCAGGTATGGGATTTGTGGTCGACGATGCGCCTGCCCAAGATTGTCCCAATGGCGTGCTTGTTAACATGTCCCTCGGTGGAGCAACGTCGACTGCTGTGAATGAAGCTGCTGCTGCCGTGGTCGAGGCTGGTTTATTCCTCGCAGTAGCAGCTGGCAACGAAGCGGTGGGTGCTTCCACCTCCTCTCCGGCCTCTGAGAATTCGGTTTGCACCGTCGGCGCTACCGACATAGACGACCACCTTGCTGAGTACTCCAACTTCGGCAAACTTGTCGACATCCTTGCGCCAGGGACAGACATCAAGAGCACGTGGCGTGGCAATAGAACCGTATGTACATACGAATTATTGTCATGCCGCCATGAAATAACTAATAGTGACCGATAGAACACCATATCTGGGACCTCCATGGCTAGCCCCCACATTGCTGGTCTCGCAGCCTATCTCCTCGGTCTAGGTTCCACCCCAACAGATCCGCAAGAACTATGTAGCTACATTGGTCAGACGGCGCTTTCAGATGTCATTCTGGGAGTTCCTGGCAGTACAGTCAACCTACTAGCACAAAATGGCGATACTACAAGTAACAGAACGGTCGTCTAGAGCTATATAAGACGTTCTCGAATGCTATACGTTACAGAAATTAAGACCTAAGAGAAGTAGGCTAGCTCGAGTTATTATATTAAAACAAAAGTAGTATAAAGAGTATAATTAAATATTTATTTATATTATTATTATATATAATTTAAAAGATTTAAAAATATTACTAAGTTAATAATAATAATAATAATAATAATAATAATAATAATAATAATAATAATAATAGTAATAATAGTAATAATAGTAATAATAGTAATAATAGTAATAATAATAATAATAATAATAATAATAAAATATAAGCTTAAAATTTAACTTATTACTTAAATTAATAGTTAATTTCTAAGTTAATTTAAACTTGTTAAGTTTAATTTAAGTTTTAATATTAATTAAACTTATAACTAATAATTTATAACTTATATATTAACTTTATACATTAATAAATCTGTAATATAACTTTATTAATAAAATTTAATATTATTATTACTTTTATTTTATATCTCTTTATTTAATATATAATTGTTTTCGTTTATTTCGGCTAGAATAATTTCTTAAATTTCTTATATTAATTTAAATCTTTAACTCTTTAAAAGTGTTAACATTTTAACTGTTCTTAACGATATATTGTTTATACTTTTAAGAATATTATTATTTAAAATAAAATAAACTCGTTTTAAAATAATAAAGAATTTATTTATTATAAAGTTAATAATTAAAATACTAAGATAATAAAGAGATATAAAATATAACGTACTTTAATTAAAATTATTCTTTCGTTAATATAAACTTCGTATTCTTTAAGATTTTAAGTACGATTTTAATTTAAAAAGAATCTTTCGTCGTTTTTATTATTAATATTAATATTAATATTATCGTCTTCGTTAAATAAAGTATAAATGTTATTAAATACTAAGATTAAGAATTAATTAAATCGAAAGTAATTAAAACTAAGACTAAAATTAAGACTAAGATTAATTTAATTAAAGAAAGCCGTAATAAAAACTAAATTAATTAATTACCTTTATAATTAATATTAGTTAATTTAGTTTTAATTATAATTATAATTAAATTAATAACTATTAATAAAAATGTATATTTTATATAAGATATATAAAAAATGTTTTATCGAATTTTAATTATTAAATAATAAGTTTAACTAAAATAATTAATTTAAAAATTATAAAAAAGGAAAAGGAAAAGAAAAAAAGAATTTAAAAAGAAAGAAAATAAAGTGGTATTATTAAGAAAAGAAATAAAAAGGCTTTTTTTCGATATTATATTTTTAAGTTATTTAACTGTTTTTCTTCTTTTATAACCTTTTTTATTTCCTTTAATAATTTGATTTTTTAACTTTTTAATAAAGTTAATTATTTAAGTATATTAAGATTTAATTAATTTCTTATTTTAAAAATAATTAATTTAAAAATAAAAAAGGCACGTTTAATAAAAGTTAAAGTTATTAAAATTATTAAATATCGACGAGTTATTGTTAATAAATCGGGTATTTAATAAAGTATTATTTATAAAAAATATTAATAAATTTATATTAAGAAAAAGTTAATATTTTTTCTTTTTATCTTTTTATCTTTTATTTCTATATACCTTTTTAATAAAAATAAGTATAAATCGTTTTATTAAATATAATTATAAATATAAGCTTTTATTATAGTTAAGAATATTATTATAATTTATAATTTATTTTATAATTATTTTAATTTCTTTTTTTATAAAATATATATATATTAACATTAATTTTATATAAAAGTTAAATATTAATATAATCTTTATAATATAAATTAAATAGTATTAATATTTATATTAAAGCTATTTAATAATATTTAAGTTATATTTAAATTTTAATAAAAGTTTATTTTCCTTTAATTATTACTTAAACTAAAGATTAATTAAGGTTAATATTAATTAGTTTTTACCTTAAATAATAATTAAATTAAATTAATTACGAAACTCGTAAGTAATAGTTAATAATTTTAGTCTTAGTTTTAATTAAACTAACTTAGTCTTACTTATAATTATAAATAATAAAAAGACAGATAATTAATTTTTAAACCTTATTTATAATAATTATATAATTAATATCTTCGCCCTTTTTAATATTAATATAGCTTTAACAAGGTCGTAATATATATATAATTTAATTAATCTTATTCTCCTTTTAAAGCGAGCTTAAGATTCTTTTAATAGTTTAGAATAAATAAATACGTACTCGATTATTCTTAATACTTAGCCGTAATAATATAAAGGCGTATATACTCCGGTTTTAAAAAGAACGCCGCGAGTTTAATCCGCCCCGTTTTAAATAAAGATTTATCGTAACTTCTTTCCTTTTTAACTTTATATATTAAATAAGGCCGTTCCTTAACGCTTTATTAGTTAACGCTTTATATTAACGATTATCTTTCGAAACATTAACACATTTTTTTTATAATTATTAATATTTAATAAGCGTTACCTTTTAATTAAAGCCGTTAACTTAGTTTAATATTCATTCGAACTTCTTTATTAACTACGTTATTAAACGTAAACGAGGCGATAATAATAATATAATATTATATTATATTTAATAAACTTCGTTATTCGTAAAATATATATTACTTTAATATTAATATTACGTAAAAGATTATTAGTATTCTTCTTATATATATATTTTAAATTTAATTACTTTTAAGTTAAAATAAATATTTAACTATAAGATCGTTATTTTAGCTTCGAGTAATCGTGTTAATATTACTTTATACATGTTATATATCGTTTATAAACACTCGTTTTAAATGACTATTAATAATTTAATTAATATTATAAAAGCCCCGTTAATAATATATTACATTATTACTTTATATAATTATTAACCTTATAATTACTATATATAATAACTTTACTTATATAAAGTTTATTCTTTATATTATTTTAACGAGCTTAATAAAAGTTAACGTTTAAATAATTATCTTTAATTTCACCCTTTTTATATAAACGTATTAATTTAACGTTAAACAAACTTATCTTATTAATAAACTTTATTTTAATAAATAAGAAATAATTTATTATTAACTCATTATATAACGTAAAGTTATAAAGTAAAAAAAGAATATATAATAATAATAAACTTGAAAAGATATTAATATATAAAAAGAAAAGTATAAACTCTTTATTATTAATAAGGGTTAGAAATTAAGGTTTGGAATTAATTAGACTAAAAGTGACTAAGACTAAGACTAACTTAATTAAAAAAATCCGTGATTAAAACTAAATTAATTAGTTACTCTTATAATTAATATTAATTAACTTAATCTTAGTCTTAGTTATAATTAAATTAATAACTAATAATAAAAATATATATTCTATATAAAAAAGAATTTTTTTAAGGTATTAGTTTAATTAATTTAATTAATTTAAAAGTTTAAATTTATAAAGAGGAAAAGAAAATAAGGAAACAATTTAAAGAAAAAAATAAATAGGCTTTTATTATTATTATATATTTAAGTTTTTAAGCTCTTCTTCCTCTTATATAATCTTTTATATTTCTTCGATTAATTTTATTTTCTAACTTTTTAATAAGATTAATTATTTAACTATATTAGGATTTAATTAATTCCTTATTTTAGAAATAATTAACTTAGAAATTGAAAATATACGTTCGATAAACGCTTAAATAGCCGGAATTACTAAATATCGGCGAGTTATAATTAATTAAATCAAATATTTAATAAAGTGTTATTTTTAAAAGATTAACAAGTCTATTTGAAAAAATTGTTTAATAACTTAATAAATAATAAATATATAAATTAAAAGTAAATACCTTTTTATAACTTAAAGGTGAATTTAGATAATTTGTTAATTCGATTTTAATTCGAATAAAATCTTAATTTAAAAAGAATTCATTGTCCGAAGTATTTAAAGTATTAGAATTATCTTTAATATTTAATTCGTCTTTGTTTATTATACTTTATAATAAATATAATTTAATTTTTTGTTTTAATTTAAATTAGATTTAATAAATAAAAGAATAAATAAACTTACTTATCGAATTTGAATTTTAATAATTTCAAAATCTATATATAAATTTATAAATAAAAGTATAATAAATTGCCCGGTTTAAAATAAATATCTTTAAATCGAGGATTTAAAGTTAAAGATATTAATTAATAAATAATATGTTTAGTATCTCTAGAATTTTTTATTATTAAATTATAATAAAATTTTAATTTTCGAATACCCTTTTCTATAATATTAATTAAACCTTTAAAGATCTTTTCCTATTTAAATAAGTTAATATAAATAAATATAAATAGAAAAATAAACGTACTAAATCTTCATTGTCTTCTTTCTAATTATTATAATAAATAAGCTTTTTATTTAATTATTTATATGTTTTAAAAATATATAATAAAGCTGTTAGGCATGTTGGCACGGCCAACGTGTGGTCAGAGAAGAGTGTTATATAAAGCATGTCTAGCAACTTATCTGTGGCATTGGCCTAGCCAAAGCTATGGCTGGCCTCACGCCAATGCCATGGCTGGCCTCACGCCAATGCCATGGCTGGCCTCACGCCAATGCCATGGCTGGCCTCACGCCAATGCCATGGCTGGCTTAGGGCCAGCCATGTGTTAGTCTAGCCTAACAAAAGCTAAAGGTAAAGTTATGTAAACTTAACCTTATAATTTAATATTTATAATAATAAATATTTTGAATAAGCTTTTTAACTTGTTTAATAAATCTTAATCTAACGAATTAAAAAACGTATTTTTATATTCGTTATTAAAAGTATTACGATAAATAAAAATTAAAGCTTCCTTTGATTTTAAAGTAACTTCAATTATATTATGCGTAAAATTTTAATAAATATAAGAATTTAAAATATAAATTAATAAGTTTATTTAATTATATTAAAATAAGATAAAATAAATACTTATTATTTAGAATTTTTGTTTTATTATAATTTTCGTTTATTCGATTATTTCGTTTCGTGAGGCTAATACCTTTTAATAATAATTTATTTATTTTAGAAGTATATTTAATTAAAATAGCGATTTATCGTACTCGGTTAATTAATTCTAATTACTTATTAATATTATTTATACAATAATATTAATAACATAAGATATATATCGAATATCGCAT